CCACCAGCACCACCAACAGGCCCCCCCTCACCCTCCCCATCCCCCCGATCACTCCAAGCATGCACACTACACGTCCCCAGACTCGTCCCCCAGCCATTCCAACTCGTCGCCGCAATAACAGGCGCACTAGGATGCCAGCTCGCATCCCTCACACAAGTCTGCCACGGCGCCGCATTCCCACCATGTCGACCGACGAAATCATACGTCTCGGCGTGAGCGCGCGCCGCATGTTCGCGCGGGCGCGAGTGGCGCGTCGCAGCGAGGACATCGATAGTAGCGGCCAGCGTGGCGTCCAGGTTCCAGACGTATACCTTTCCGTCGTGGGAGCCCGAGTAGACGAAGCGCGAGTCCGAGGACTGCGGCGGGGAGAAGTGTGCGCGGATGAGGGTTTTGAGGACCTGGTGGCCGCGGAAGGTGACGAGGGAGGCGTCGTGCGGGTGGGGGCGGTATAGGGAAGGGTCGTAGGGCAGGTTGCGGTATTCGAAGCCGGTGGTGTAGCGGTCTGGGCGGATGGCGGAGGCGCGGTCGGCGGACATCATGCGGCGTAGGTCCCAGAGCTTGGCGGTCTGGTCTTTTGCGTTCGAGAGGACGTAGCGGCCGTCGCCCTTGGAGTCGACGTAGGTGAGGCCCTCGGTGTGGCCGAAGAAGACGCCTGCTTCGCGGCCGCCGGCGAGGGAGCGGCGGTCCCAGATTTTGATTGTGGTGTCGTCGGAGCCGGAGTAGAGGATGTGCGGGGAGGCGTTGTCGCCGTAGCAGACTGCGTTGACGTCGTCTTCGTGGCCGGGGATGCGCAGGATGGACTGGTTGCGTTCGATGTCGTAGACGTAGACGGAGGCGTCGCCGGTGCCAGCGACGATTTCGCGGCCGTCGCCGGAGAAGCGGAGGGACCAGATCTGCGGTGGGTGTTAGGGTAGACGTTGCAGGTAAGGGGAGGGGGGCTTGGTGTGGAACATGGGACGACTCTACTTACGCCAAAGTAGGGGTACACGCGACGTCGGCGATCGACGCTGGCGGTGTTTGTAAAGTCGAGGTGTCGTGGCGTCGAGTCGTCGGCCGGGTCGGTACTGGCGAGACAGACAACGCTTCGGATGGAGCTATAGGCCAGAAGGCGATTATCAGGACTGAGCGAGGCGTCCGTGATCGTCCATTGGCCGTACGGATACTCGACCGTCTGCAAGTCTGTCAATTGTCTTGTGCATGAGGTTGTGCCGGGTGTAGGATGACCTTGTAGTATTTCCAGTCGTACGGATTCGACGTGTCGTACATGCGAACCTTGAAGTCCTGCGCGCATGAAAAGAAAAAATTGCCGTCCCTGGAGAACTGTCCCGAGTAGCATCGCGCGTTGTAATGGATGATCATGTCGGCTTTTGACTCGGGTATCAAGCCCTGCAGACCTGCATGAGCATCCTTCCATGCCACCATGTGCTTGTTGTTGCTGATGTGTATATACTCACTTGCGAAATCAGTCTATCAGCATTCCGCTGCCGCCCATGGCTGCCGAGCCCCAACTCCCGACGCATAATCTGCGCAGCCAGCCTCTTCTTCCGCTTAAACGTATCTTCTGTCCGCTCGTTGCTCCCAAACTTGCCCGTCTCCATGAGCTGCCGCCCTTCGTCGCTTGGCACTTTCTGGTATGCCGCCGCACCCTTCAACCGGCGTCGTCGAGGTTGCGCTCTCTCGTCATCCCCTTCCTCCTCGCCGTCTTCTGAATCGCTCGACATTGGCCGCCGTCCCCCGAGGTCGATATCCAGACTACTCCCGAGCAGTCTCCGCAGTTCCGGGTTCGCTAGCAGCTCCATTATCTGCGCGCGGCTCACTGGCACGAGGTGTTAGAGTACGTGGCACCACCCCTAAAGAACGGGTCCCAGCTCACTGTATATCGTCCTCTGCGCCTGGCCTTCTTCCCCATCTCCTTCTCCCTCCTCCTCATCCTCGTCACCGGGATCTGCCCGCCTCATATCAATGTACACGTCTTCCTGCGCGTCATCAAACTCGTCGTCCTCGTCGTCGTCATCCTCCTCTTCTTCCTCATAGTCATCATCATCGTCCTCCTCATCGTCCTCCTCATCAACCCATTGATCCTCTCTAGCCTGGAGGGCCTCCCAGAACATATCTTCGTTTTCGTCGGCGTCGACGTCATGACTCGGGGGCGTGGCGGCGGACATTTTGACACTTGGATACGTGGGTGGTTCCTCGACTGACGCGGGAGATGTGCTATGTATGAAGCTGTACAGATCGAGGGCAAGGGATGTAGAGAAGAGCGATTACATTACGGTACGGGCCCGGTAGTAGTGAATGTGAAGCTATGTTGTCGACATTGATTACCTACTTACTACTCTACTTACGATAAGAAAAGCGGGCGGGATCATCGCCTCAAGCTACCCCGGTCCCGGCACCCGGTCCAGCCGAGGCGGGTGGAGGCGGTGTTAAGAAACGCTATGTCCGCGTCAGAGCTTCCCAGCAGAAGAACAAACACAAAGTGCAGACTTCACGAGTAAAGGCTAGTCATGTATCAGGAACAAATGCCCAACGACAAAGTATCATATTCATTACTGTGCCAGCTCTACAGCTGCCACCACAAATCATCTCATTTCACAGTCATTCATGTCTATCTTTTTGCCACATTCCCCGTCGTGTCATCCTCTCGTCCCTTACATGTGTCAAATCATCCTCTCATCCCTCATCCTCTCGTCCCTCGTATATGTGTGTCATCCACCAAATTACATTTCATCCGATCATAAAAACAAGTGTGAAGAATGGTAGAAAAAAGCGTAATCGTACCAGAAATGAACCCCGTTTCCCTAGAGCGCCGTGATCTGAATGAATAAATGTTGTACGCCTTGCTGTTATGCTGCTTTTTGCGATTATGAAGAAGAAGATGATGATGATAATGACACTGTGTCGTTTTGCGGTCGTATATGCTGTCATGGTAGATAGATAGGTGTATCCCATGTTGTGATGTTGTAATGTCGGATGTTGTGGCGGTAACAGTCAGTGTTGGCCACCCGGAGAATTATAGGTTCCGAATGGCCACGTAGAATTGGCTCTTCATGCCCATCTCCCCCCAGCCTCAGTCTCGCCATGGTCTTTTCGTCTGCTCATAAATGACCATCTCTCTCCCGGTCCCTCGCTTCACACGATCGATTCCCAGATGCTCCATGCCGTCACGCCCGACGTGGATGCCGAATCCGTATCTGATCGCGCCGGGATCCAGGATGCTCTGCCTCTTCTCACCAACACCGGTCTGGTCGACATCGGTCTCGTCATGGTCCATGCCATGCGGACTTGGTGCCAGGTCTGCACTTGCCGCCCCAACGCTGCGTTGGACAGCCAGGTTTTGACGGGACGGTGAGACTAGTGCGACAAGACTGCGAGAGAAGGTGGACTTGTCTGTCCACCCAGCACCCATGAGACGGGTCACGAGGTCTGCTTTGGTAGTCGGGCGAGCGAATGCGCGATCTGCAAGGATGGGCGACTGATATACCCAGGAGACAATTTCGGCAAGATTGTTGGACGCATGTGGAAGAGCCATCCGCTTCCTGCTGACAAAGATGACGCAGATGAAGAACGCGTACAATGCCAGAAAGACGCAGAGTGCGTAAAAGGCTGGGAGATGAGCAGCGACACGGACGGAGCGGCTGTCGACGTAGTACTGGTTCCAGAAAACGCCGCCAGACAGGACCGGTATGGCGGCATTGAAGAGGGTGAAGAGGGAGAGAACAGCAACGGCAAAGTGTCCGTTCGCAGCCGCAACGACGGTGACCGAGATAGGAAGACGAGCCGAGTAGTCGAGGAGGAGGGACTGCTCGGCTGTAGCGCCACGAGGGCTCGAGAGAGATGCATAAGGCGTAAGAGCACGGAAGCTGAGGTCAAGTGACTGCCAGGACAGGAAGAGGAATGTGCCAATGACACCCGGCACAAACGAGTAGAGGAAGTTGGCTGGGGAGAAGCCGGTTGAGTCGGACTCAACGCCGAGCAGAGGGGCGAACCCATCGCGGACGGCGTTGTTGATGAAGCTGATGACCAGAAACGCTGCCAGAAGAACGATAGCAATCACAACCCAGGCTGCAACGAAGGTATCCCGAAGATACCAAGGAAGGTAGTGCAAGCGCACCTTGGACGAGCGAATGTCCATACGGATGGAAAAGTCGCCTTCTCTACGAAGACTACGACCGGCGCCAGCTTCCACGTCGTCCTTGGGATAAGACTGATAGGACTGATAGGCCTTCTCCGGTGCTTTTTCTCGGATTTTGCCATCCTCGACCGAGTACTTTCGTGTGGGGTATCCTGGCTCGCCTAAGCCATAGAAGACGTCGTTTTGGCGCTTCGAAGTGTGCCAGTACCCCAGCAGCGGTGCCTGATCTGCTAGCGCATCCCGGAACTCCGTCTTAGTTTGGAAGGTCTCGGCGCCTTCATATGCGCCCACAGTGTTGGACCTCTCGAGCAAGGCTATGATGTCTGCGAGTGACCGTGGATCCCACTTGAGACCGGTCTGTCGTCGCCAGAGGCATATGACCAGCAGCATGAGCGATAAGACCAGGAATACGTATAGTGCGATAGTAGCCCATATGACACCCTGGACTGATATCCACACCCACTCGCCGTCGATATTGCTGGGGCCTTCGTGTCGAGCGCCGAAAGCCGAACCAAGCAGAGGTATCGTGAAGATGAACAGCCAGGACGCAGCGGAGAAGATTCCAAAGACGGTCTGTCCAGTTTTGAAGTAGTTCACGTTGGGTAGCAGAAACGACATGGGAGCGATGCGTAGAAACATTGCCTCGGATCTGCTGCGGTGGCTCTCCGAGCAGAGTGCCATGAATGGCGCAATCCGCTGGACAGCCGTTTGGACCTGGAATAGCCACATCAGGAGCATCATACCTACTATCGTTGGCAGGTACTGGAATGTGAAGTACCGACCACCACCAAACCCGCCGTACGCCCACAGTCCGTTGTTGATCAAGGAGTAGACAGCACAGAATATCAGCATTGCGAGCATGATGGTGCACAGCAGGATGAACGTCACTAAAGAAAGCGGACGAAGTATCGAGGGTAGAAAGTCGAGGGGCGGGTATCGCAAGGACTCTCTTGTGGGCCTGTGGGGAACGAAGATATCCTTTGACAGCGATTCGTGACCAGACAAGGACTGATGAGACAGGGACGATTGGCCAGAGTCCGTCCTCCCATGAGGAGGCGGTATGAAGGATCGTCTTGATTGCGGAGGAGTCTGATCGCTCGCAGCTGTGATGGCGATGGCTGGCGGTAGCGATTTTCGAGTTATGGTTGCTGATCCCGAGGACGGAAGCCGTGGCAAGATGCCAGGCACGACCGGTGTGGACTTTGCATTATCGGATGAGATTGTTCTTTGCGGCAGCTGAGTTTGTGGGATGTTTTGTGTGATGGGTTGCGGGAAAGGTTGTGAGACGGGCCGTTGCGACTGCTGGGCTCGTTGTTGCGGTGGTCCTCCAAAGTAGCCCAGACCTTCGTCTGATATGACTCTGTCGACTGGGTATGACGCATTGCTGTCCTCGGGGACGCCTTGGTAGTGTCTTGAGCCTCTCACCTCCTCATCGCGGGTGAGCTGGTCGATCGCAAAGCGGATGTATGGAGTGTCGTCGAGACCAGGCGTGGTAGAGGGGCTGATGGAAGCCATCTGCCTTCGTGGAGCACCAGTATTCGGCGCGGTACGGTACGAGTCTTCGCTATGTGGTCGCTCGTGGATGGTGGTGGAGTTGTCGAATGTGACGTTCTTTGGTCTGGTCATGAAACCAGCAGCGGCATGTGAGTGTTGATCGTCGGCGTCCGGAGACCTTCGCAAGGGCGGTGTAGAATATCGACGACGGTCTGCATTACTCGCACTCAGCTCGCTCGAAGTGCCTTCCGAGGCCGAGTAGTAGTCTTCGGAGGCAGTGATGCTCTGCTTCGAGGTGCTATGATATAGTTGTGGCTGGCTGACTACAATGTAGGGCAGTCTGTTAGCGGTGCGCATGATGCCAACGAAGCCACGACAGCTGGGCAGATCTGGGTGAAGGCTGGGCTGGGCGATAGGGCGGTATATAGGACAGGAAGCAGAGAATGGGCAAGTAACGGCCTTTTTACTTACCAGTGGTGTGTTTGAGAGACAGCTGCTCAGTCATCTTCCACAACCTCAAGCAGCGAGGCGAGGTAGGGATGACAAGCAGGCTTTGTCGAGTAGTCGAGTAGGAAGCGAGGAGGGCAAAAGGGACAATTGGCCGTGGAATTCGTGAAAGGCTACGAGGAAGTCGGAGGATCGGAAGAGGTGCAGGAAGATAGATGCATGGTGGGTTTAGAAAAGTATGGGCGCGGTACTCTGGGGAGTTTGTAAAAGAAGTTGGCGATGGCTGGGGGGGGGGGGGGGGGGCTGGTGGTGAGTTGTTGTTCTAGCAGGGATGGACGGCACGCACAGTGACAGGGTGGGACTCTCAGTCCTAGCGGCCGCGCGACGCCCGACGCCCCGGGGACTCGGAGAGTTGGGCGTTCGGAGAGAAGGGCATGTAACGGGCACGTTGAAGAACGGGGGAGATATACGATGATAATATACAGTGAGTAGCAGCAACAGCATCTATACATACAACGCTCTATACGACAATATAATGTTCATTCATTCATCCAGAGCAGCAGCAATCCCCATCTGCGTCCAATCGTGTTGATGATGAGGTAATGTAACGCGCTAAGCCCAAACAGGCAGTGACAGCACAGAGCACGTGCCTTCCGTCTCGCTACCAGCCACCAGTCAACACTCACCAGCCACCCGTCCCCCTCCATTCCCAGCCACACAGCGCAGAGATGACGTATTACATAATCGTCCCGGTCTTGGCGTCGTTCCGTCATTCTTGGCTGCCTCAGGTTTCAACGAACAATCAGAGTCATCATCCATGTTTCATCATCCATGTTTGATGTTGATTGATTATTATTCAACTATTCACTTCTATCCATCCATCCATCTCCTGTACTCACTCCACCGACAAATACACTCCACGAATCCCATCAATAAATCACCTCTCTCTTCCAGAAGCCTGCCGTGCCACCACACTCTCCCGTCTGTCATTCCATCCCATCCATCCATGAACACCCCTCCCTGCACAACACCACGCCTCGTATCCTCCCCTGCTTCAGCTCTCCAGCTTCTCACTGTTTGCCCTTACACACTCCCCCTATGATACACATGCCTGCCCTGTCTGCGTTCCTGGTTTTTTTTTTTTTTTTGTTTTCCTTCTCTCTTTCTCTCTCAGTCTGTTCCAAATTCCTCTTTGCGCCCGCGCATTTCCATCGCCTTTGTCCGCTTCGAGCACGGAACAAAGCGAACGGGTGGTGAGCAGGGAGGGGGCGGCGCCGATTGCTCAGCCCGCATGCCACCACGTGCGGTCGTGATTCTCGTACTGTATGTATGGATGCATGTATGTATGTATGTATGTACGTATGTATGGGATACATGGGATACGTACACCTGCCTGTAGGTAGGCCGTACAGCGATAAAAAAAATAGATCCTGCATGTCATCTTGCCATCACTCCATCCATCGTCCATCCATCGTCCATTCATCCATCCCAGCGGACCCTGCTCACCACACAGCATACATAATTAGTACGTACACATGTAATACCTCACTCTCTCTCACTCTCTCTCACAGCGCCATTCCATCGGAACGGCTCGAGCGGCCGTCTTAACCGTCTCACCATGGATCCTGCCGTCCATTCATCCTCCTCCGCGCTCCCTCCACCCCATCCCATCTTACCATTCGTTGGTAAACACGCACATGCCCCATGCCCCTGTCGTGCGCCGCATTCCACGATATCTGACTACATACCACACGCATACATACACACCGCAGCAAAGAAGAACAACAACAACAACAACAAACAAACAAACAACACACCCATTCGCCCCATGTCACACCGCATCCCTTCCATTCATTCCCACTCTCCCTTCCCATTCTCTCCTCTCTCTTCCATTCTTCCATCCATTCTTCCATCCTTCCATTCCTCGGCCCAAGCGTGTGGAATACACATCCATGGCATGACACTGACTCGCCCCGACTGGCTCTCCCGTCCTACCTACCTACCCACCACAGACACCCAGACAAGCACAACCCCACCGAACGCTCGATCGCAGTGACATACATACATACATAAATACATATACACATGAAATACCTATAACAAAAAGCCCGCCACTGATTTTTCGCATACTGTACCAGAGTGCCCCAACGCAATCTAAATATAGAAACCCTTGGCTCCCGCACGCACGCACGCCCGCCTAGCCTAGCCTAGCCCCACGCACTTCTGTTTCATGCCATAAACATACTCATACCATCTTGACATACGTACCGAGGTCCATCACAAACTGAGCTTTTTATTTTCATCATTTCTGGAGAATAACGTCATTCCATTCCATTCCAGTCCAGTCCATCTTGATAAATAAATATAGAAAACAGATACAAGCATCGCTTAATGCCCGACAGATCAGACAGATTGGACAGATTGACAGATTGACAGATGGAATGTATTACATTCCATACCTTCTTCTCGTTCCTTGGTCTAACCTAATTCCTTTATTTCATTTCAGCATGATTCACTCCGTTAGCAGTTGCCCTTGATACTAAACGAACGGCGACGCTTAGGCTATGTATACGTACATCCATCCTGCCTTATTGCCTTGCCTCGTTGTTGTCGCTTCTCGCTTTGGTTGCCTGACTGCACTGGATAACTGCCTGCCTTACCATGCCCTGCCTGACTACTTGACTAATGGATCCATGCCTGCCTGACGGCCTGACTCCCACGTCTCGCTCCCCCTTGGACACGGAACTTGCTACACCGTCTGCACACACCCATCCACCAATCTCACACGCACAGCATAGTCATACACGCCCTACTTCACAAATGAGCACTGCAAGGTTCTAGCTTGAATCTCTCTTTTTGCTACAGCTCGTTGATTAATCGCCACTCCCCCCAATCTTCTCATTCTCTGGCGGGTTCACCACATTCGTGACATTTCCCTGCCGTCCTCCTTGCAAGTCCCGATATCGTGAGGCTTCACACAGTCTAGTGATTAAATAGCATCCGTGATCATTCCAACCGAGTCTAATATGACCAACCAACCATTCAGTCACAGAAGCTACCAAATCGTCTAGTCAGCCGAATCAGGGCCACAGCTTATGGTCGGACAACCAATATGCGTATCCTACCATTCCAATCTACCAAGCAATAGCATTCTCGTCAATAGTAAACCCACCATCGCCGGCGGAACCAGTGTCCGCAGGTGCTACAACCGCGACCACAGGAGCATCTCCCCAGGGGTCAACAACCTCATCGGCATCAGCAGCTCCACCAGTGCCTGGCAATTCCTCGTTGTCAGAATTGTCATCCCAATGGATCGAAGCCGTCTCGTCGATGCGGCCCTCCAAAAAGTCAGGGATCGGCTGCTTCGCTTCGAGCATGACCTTGCAGAGATCTTCGGCGATATCCTCATTGTCCTCGTTATAGAAAGAAGTAGCGAGTCCCTCGTTCCCAATGCGCGCCGTACGGCCGATACGGTGGATATACTCCTGAATTCCTCCATGTGCTGCTGAGGGGAGATCAAAGTTGATGACATGCATGACGTGCTTGATGTCCAAACCACGAGCGGACACGCCAGTGGCAACCATGATGGGGGTTTGCGCCATGCGGAACGCACGAATAGCATCCTCACGCTCCTTCTGGGTGCGACCGCTATGCATCGATGTCGAAGGAAGACCCTTGTTGTACAAGAAGTCATCCAACATATCGGCCATCCGAACGGAGTTGACAAAGATCAAGGTTCGGGACGGAGGCATTGACAACAAGAGGTCAAACAGGGCATCGCGCTTATGTTCTTTGGCAATGTAGCAGATTGCCTGCTTGATGTTGGTGTGCGTGGACCCTGTTCGTCCAATCCGCACACGCACGTAATCGTCAGCCATGAAGGTCATAGCAAGCTTGCGCGCTGCTGCTGGGAATGTGGCTGAGAACATCATGTACAGATGATCAGCATCCTCATTGGTGTCTGTGATTCCAAGTCAGTCATGGCGAACAAGACTTGTACAAGCATGCAGAAATGTAAATACCTCCGCCGGACATGATCAAGCTCATCTCTCTCTCCCAGTCAGGGTGGAGAAGTTCGTCTGCCTCGTCGATGATGGTGTACCTACAGCTTGTCAACCACAGCTCAAGGGTGTCACTACTGGGGTATTGCCTACTTGACGCGGTTCATGGAGAGGACGTTCGGACGATCCATAAAGTCCATCAGACGACCAGGTGTGGCGATGAGAATATCACATCCTCGCTGAATCTCATTCATGTGCTCACGAGTGGGGACGCCACCGTAGATGACGCAGGGACGAAGCTGTGTGCGATAGCAAAGACGACGGGCCTCATCGAAGATCTGGCAGGCCAATTCGCGGGTCGGGCAGACAATCACAGCAAGCGGCTCAGCACGTACCTTGTTTGAATCAGTCCAGTCTTTCTTCAATGGGCGAGGGGCTGCAAGCTTGCGGCCTTTACCCATGAGGCGGGAAAGAACAGGGATGAGATATGCGGCGGTCTTGCCGGAGCCTAGATCCTGTGAGTGAAGCTATTCAAGGTAAAGGGTTTACTCAGGACTTACCGGTTTGCGCACAACCGACTACATCGTTGCCAGTGAGAACAGCCGGAATAACATAGCCTTGGATTGGAGTTGGCTTGTTATAACCACAAAGCTTGACGTTCTCCAGCATGACAGGATGAAGGCCCGCATCCTCGAACTATCAGAGTACATGTCAGAATCTGACGTCAAACAAGAGTGAGCATCCACATACCGAGATGATTGGTGGGGGGCGATTGTCACCTTCGACAGTGACCTTCAAGTCGTAAGCATCGAGATAACTACCAGTCTCCTGACGGAACGTCTTTCCAAACAGCTCTTCTTCGAGTCTTGGAATCTTCGGGCCGACATCACCATACTCATCATCCCACTCGTAGCGCATAGCACTGGAGAGCCAGTCCGCGCCCTCAATAAGAGCAGGCTGACCGGCTTCGTCAACAACTTCAGCTTCACGAGTTTCGCGATCATCGCTGAACTTCTTGTAGTCGTAGGCAGTACGCTCGACCCAACCGTGCTCCTTGACCTTGGCCATGGAGTCCGCGGCGTTGAGAGGAGGTGCTGGAATCGTCGCAGACTCGATCACCGTCTTCATTGCCGACGTTTCGAAGGCATCGCCATTGTCGAAAGTCTCACCGTTCTCAGACATGGTGAAAGATCTCAACAGTGCTTGAACAAGGAGTGGTCAAAGGCGCGAAGCTATATTTGTCTTTAGCAGCGAACATTGGAGAAGAAGATTTACTTTCAGATCTTTGAGGTGGTACGTTGACTTGAATAGTTGAGAAGTGAGGTTAATGATAAGTTGAAACAGATTGCAGAAGCTTGACTTACCTTGGAGTGTATATAAGGAATGCAAGCGAGGTGTGGTGGAAGCTGAAGATGAGACCAACGAAGCTCACAAGATCTGGGGGTAAAGAGGGCGACGTGTCAAAGGTGAGAAAAATCAGCTTGACAGTTGTTGTGACTCGGAGCAGCGGTGCTCGTGTGCGCGTTGGAGCCTTACCGCTTTGAGACGGAGTACACAAAGTGAACAACAACGGGAAGGAGCAATCCAGAAAGTAACCCCTCCTGCCTTTTACTAACGAACCAACATTATATGTCTGATATCATGATCGAGCAAAAAGATGGACAATAGTTTTTTGTTTGTGCATATGTCATGACTATCATTTCACTAATGTTTAGTGAGGTCAGATCTACGGATAGGAGGATGCTTCGTTCCTGTTAGTTGCCGCCCTGCCTGTAGCGATTTCAAATGAAACTCCAGCGTCGCTGTTAGCCTCTCGAGAACCCACTCTGCTTCACTCTGATTGCCTAGCAGTGGACTTCGTATTCCCAGCCAGCTCCAAGCCAACGCCTCACTACCAACATTACGATAACCTGCCTTCCCGAAGTCAAGTCTGGACTGTTCATTCTGGCCAGGTCTTACATTCTTATCTTCGACAATTGGAGGTGTCCTATGGTGCTCCGGGTTGTGTTCATCTTGACCCAAAAGTTTGAGAAAGTGAGCCCATTCGCCGTAGCTGTACCTTTTTGGTGGAGAGGCATTGACGTCTTTCATGACGTTGCGAATTTCGCTCACGAGAACATAATTGTAGAAATGCACATCTCGTTCGGTGTCCTCTCCCTCCGAGCCAGCATCATCCGCAGCCATTAGCTCTTCTTTCTCGAAGCACGCAGCAAGCCTTCTCTTACTGACTTCCTCGATTCTATGTGCTGTATCCCTTTCGTGGCCTGACTGGCCGAATATTCCGTGATACGATTTTTTAGGATGCATATATTGCTTCACTCGAGACATCGTATCGTTGAGTGCTTCCTTGGTTCCTCTTTCGCCGGGCAAGACCGTGAATGCGCCGATCCAGATGACCAGATCTCGAAACACCTTTACAACTGTGTCGCCCATGTTGCTGATCAGAATAGTAAGGGTTGGGACTGCTAATAGTGACCAGAACACAAAGAATGCCTTGCCGGAATTGCTAGTTGGGGAAATGTCTCTGTGAAGATGTCAGTGGATGTTCGGTCGTACACTACAACTACATGTTTCTCTACGTACCCATATCCTATCGTCAACAAAGAAACATACGAAAAATAGAATGCCTGAAAATAACTCCATCCTTGGGGCTTCTCGGATTGCCAGAATACAACTGCTCCGACCAATGCTAGAGTCAATGCTGCCAACGTAGATACAATCAGCGATGTCCACTGCCTCATTCGTTGGGCGTCGTGTTGCACTCTCCGCATGATGAGGAACTCTTGCTCTCGTCTTTGGGCTTCTGTCAGTCCCTTCTGAGCGAACTCTATAGAATTAAATATGCCAACACGTATAGTTCGTTTCTCCAGATTGACAGTCGACAGGACTGCCTCTCGCTTCTTTTCCGTCATCCTAGCCTTTAACTTGTGTTTTCCCCGGTCCAGAGCAAGGGATCTTATCGAGCCAACAACAAGACCGACTGTGACAATGCCTCCAATCGCGAAAGGAAAAAGTAAACTTCTGCCCAGATGTGTGGTAGGAGCATAATCACCGATTCCAACGGTGAGCAGGGTAAAGCTCGCCCAGTATACCGCGTCTAGATATGCCCACCCTTCGACTTTGGCGAAGACAAGAGCACCTACAAGTAGATATACCATGAATGTGATTGTTTGCAACATCAGAGTTCTTTGCGCCATAGTCAACCTGAACATCTTAGGGTAATGTTCCCTGTACGCACCCACCACTGTTATGATCATGAGTATGGCGACAGCAAAGTAAAGGCCGGCTGCCATTATCGCATAGTAGTACGCCTGCGTGAGAGCGTGCTCTGATGCCGGTTCGATTCGAAACACGGGCGATGAGGCTACACTCACCAGGGCGATCAGGAGGGCCGAAGCGACCAGCCAGCCAACGATTGTTACGGGTTGCGCAATAGCAAAAGAAACTCGACGAGCCATATTCAGAAGGAGAGCCATGTTCGCGATCAAGGCGCAAGCGAGAGATACTGAATTTATTGCTATAAGCCTACACACAAAGCGTCAGCCTGGCCAGCGTAGGAAACCGCAGGAGACTACGCTGGGAGCTGATTGCATAGGTCTTCGATCGTACCAATGTGGATCTTCGACCGCCTGCCCAGACGCTTCTGTTTGACCCTCCGGTATATACACTCTCCATTTCTCCACCAGAGCACAGATGGAGAACGCGCTCGCCATGGGCCCAAACGTGCCAGCTATCAAGGGACATGCAGTCGAGGCGAACCACCACCTGCTTGGGCCGAGAAAGTCCTGTTCTCCCCCAGCACTTGTATCGAGCTCTTTCTCCGGTGTGTTATCCTCGACGTCGTCAGCCGCGCGCCCGACTGGACCATCCATGCCGGGGTCGTTCATTGTGGATGATAGAGAGACCTGAGATGGCGGGGGGCATGTAGGCAGATTCGCACTCTGAACGCATCAACATATCTTCTTGGAAGCGAAACATAAACAGGATGGCGCGACGAGATAGGGACATGCAAGGTGTGCAGTGAATACTCATGGAAAGCTCGTTGGAGATTGACGTCATTGGAAGGTGTGGCTGAAACTGAGGCTGATGAAATCTAACTACTGGCGGCCTAGCGTCCCACCTGGAGACTACATTCGATCACAGCGTTGTTGATAACGAACCTTGGATCTACAAACCATGCTCGGCTGCTACAACAGGGAGATCATTCTTCGCAAGAGCACATAGTACAGGGAGATACGCTCTTCAGGATACTGCAAGTTCTATGCTACAGACTATTGCAGTCTTACAGATGGTGAAATGAGTCAAAGCTTGCCTCTACGGATACAAATGCTCTGCCAAGTGGCCGGACCTTATTGACATCTTGTTGAGATGCTCTAGAGATACTGATGGTAGATCTAGTCGGTGAATGCTACGTCTCTAGACCTGGACAACGCTTCTCATGATGGCTCAAACTGTCACTGCCTTCGAGACAGGCGTCAAGAATGTCAGATACACTCATCAAGGTCTGATGAAGTCCTTTTCTTAGTCGAGATGATCTTTCTCTCTCTCTCTTCCAAAGCTTGAAGACACATTTCTATTTACCTTGGTAATGATTATTACCAGCGGCACTGAGACCTAGATCCAAGGCAATGGGACAGAGCGTCTGAAGGACGTCGCTTCTCTAAAGACATATATATGACTGGAAGTAGCGATTGAAGCAGCGCTAATCATCTACAGCTGGTAGAAGCGGAGTTCTCTAGGACTGGCTCTGCAACGCTCTTCTCACAAAACCCTCAAGACACCATCTACGTCATTAATCTCTCTCTCTCTACACTGATCTACCGACTGTAGATACACGGTCGCTGGACGACCCCTGGCAGCATTCTCTCATCATTCCCGCACTATGGCAACCCAGAGCTTCTTCCCAGGACCCGGCTGGACCAAGCCAACCAGTGCCACCGGCCTCCCAGTCGAGCTACTACACATGATCTTCAGCAAATGCGCTCCAGGGGACCTGGCCACAGTGATGCGCTGCTGCCAGATCTTCAACGACGTCGCACCAGAGCATTTGTACAAGGTCATAAAATGGACAAGCCAGCCGACGGGGCGGGCATGTCCCCCGTTTGACCAGCTCCTTTACAACCTTCTTCGAAACCGTCGGTATGCGGAGATGGTTCGTGTTTTTTACTTCAAGAGATATGACGGCATCATGCAGTACATGACGAAACGGAGACCTGCGTTTGGGAGGGAATATATGGAGCTTGCAAGGCAGTTTATTAACGTTAACGGGCTTGCGGACAAGACTAGTGTTAGTATGAGAAGCTGGATGAACAGACTGACTCGCAACGATGTAGCCTGCGTGGTCAGTCTGATACTGGCGCAACTGTCCGGGCTCAGGACGCTCAGCCTATACACGGGGCCGGGCCTGACTAGCGATGTATTTACAAGCATGCTGAGCGCGGTGTTTTGGCGTGTGTTCTGCCGGACCCCAAGAGCGACGATGTCCGGGTTCGAGAAGCTGACGAGCTTCGAGTGGCAAGACAGCATCCGGTCCGACCACTCCAGACGTGTTATTATCCTCCCTATCCTCGGCGCGTGCAACCTCAAACACGCATTCATCGCACACAACACAAAATGGCAGGACGTTCAGAAAGACGTACAGGCTTTCTGGCTCCCGTCCACGACAAATCTCACGGCCCTCACGCTGCTGAACCCCCTCGTGTCGGACGCAGACATCATGAAGATCCTCACTCGAACGCCGCGCCTCCGGGTCTTCAGCTGGACGTCCCAGCGCCTCGGCACCCAGCCGTTTCACGGCTACAAGCTCAGAGAAGCCCTCCTATCCTGCCGTCACACCCTAATCGAGCTCAGCCTCCGCCTCAGCTGCACATCGTTCTGCGCCCCCGGCGTCGAACCTGTCCAGACGCCCCTGGGCCGGCTGCTAGACTTCACCGCACTCTGCTCCATCGCAGTCCCCATTGACGTCCTCCTCGTCCTCGTCCGAGGCCCAGGAGATACCAAGCGCGTCCTGCCCTCCACGTTCCCGAAGACCCTCCTCGCGCTGACCCTATTTCCACCGCTCTTTCGTCGCCTCACGACCGCCATCGATCAACCGTGTGAGCTGCTCAGGCCCCTGGTCCAGCGGCTGGAGAGTATGTATCACCAGTGTACGCCGCGGCTCGCGCTTGTGGATATATTTCTGTCGCGTCCGCATGATGTGGCGCGTAGGAATACGGAGTCGGGAACGGTTCTGTGGGGCACATATGGTCGGGTCATGTGTTTTCAATTGGTCTATCGGCGGACTGGAAGGAACTACTAGGCCAGGCTGAACTTGAAAATGAAAATTAATGCTCTCGTTTTTATCTTTCTTCTAAAATTGCTTTGATAGTGCTGTGCTTCTCGAGAGCTACATGTAACATTGCATTGCTGTTATATAGTGCGCTGGTAAAAGTGTAAATGTATATTGTTGTTGTACAGATAATACTGTGCTCATGGCGCAGACTCGGATTGCCTCCCCCCGTTCCCACCCTTTTCCTCCTTCACCCTGTCTGTCGTGATTATAAAAAAAATATATAGCTGATAGCATGGTACAATGGAAAGATACTGGCGAGACGACTGTGGGCATGTAAGGTAAGTCAAGGTACAGTAGGCTAGGACGGGGTAAAAAAGTCTAAATCGCGATTGCTTGCTGTCACGCATGCATGCAAATCGGGTAGGTAGCGCGTGCCCAAGGAACGCCGGATATGCAGATTCCCAAAAAAAACCCTCCCCCCAAAAAAAGACGTGGTTTGATCGGGCGTATATTCATTCAGCCCGCTATTAAGACCCAGAGCAGGAAGACTGGCGGCAGATTAGCATGCCATTTCCCAATCGCCGAACATTCGGTGGACAAGAAGACGACGCAGCAAGGAAGGACTTACATATCATCAGCACGCCAAACATCTTGGCCACCAACCACCGGTTCCCACTGACGCGGTTCCAGTACTTCATCAGCTCGCGCTGCGCACCCTCGACGTTGTCGACGACGTCCTCGGTGTCGGCGTCGATGCGCTGGATCTGCTCGCCCTGCTCCGACACCATCTGCGCGAGCTGCGAGAACATGCCGCCGAGCTCGCCGATGGTGCGCTCGATCATCTCGATGGCCTCGCCGCGCTGCTGGATATACTGGTTCGGCGCCTGTGCTTCTTCCATCAGCATGAGCTGCGCATCCGACTGTGGCCCGGCGCGAGCAAGCGCAGAGGACGACGACGACGGCTCAAGCGAGAGGAGATCCTGCTGCGCTGCGCTCGTGTTGTGCGACCCGGGCCGCGGCGAGCGGCCTCGCTGCGGCGTCTGGTACAGCGGCGAGTCGGTGCGGGAGGGATCGAGGGCGCCGTGCGAGTACGTGGACATGGAGGAGACGAAGTTTTCTGTGCGCGACTTGCTCGCCATGACGTTCTCCATGCGCGTGCGGAGGACTTGCTTCAGACTGTCCGTCATGCCCTCGAGTTTGCCGTTCAGCATTACGACTACGTTTTTGCCGTGTTCGCCTTCTTGGTCGAGGGCGGGGCCGTGGGTGTGTTTCTGCCAGGCCTGTGGGTGCTGGGCGCGCGAGGAGTCGCGGAGGGCGGAGAGGGACTGGGTGAGGGCGGCGAGGTCCTGTTTGATGACGAAGGTGAGCTCTTCGACTTCGACGGGCCGGTCGTCGAAGAGGGTTTTGCGGCGGGCGAGCTGGGCGAGGCGTTCGAGTTTGGCCATGGTGCCGGAGATGCCGCGGCCTATGTCGGCGGCCTTGCGGGCAAATTCGGAGCGTTGGCGTGGGCCATTTGTGGTGTTGCCGGCGGCGGCTTTCTGGTTGTTGGTGAGGAGGGATTGGCGTTGGGAGCCGACGACTTTGGAGGTGGTTTGCTTGCGCTGGGCGTGGGCGAGGATGGAGCGGAATTCGGAGGTGCGGTCTTGTATCGAGTGGACGGCCATTGTTGTGGGTTGTGGACAGTGGGTTGTGGGTGAGGTGAGGGTATGGTATATGTATATGTACAGTTTGCGGTTGGGAGAGAGGATAGGTGGAGGGTGGAGGTTTTGGGAGTCGGAGTTTCAACGGGTCCGTGGCGTTCTTGTGTCTGGGCCAGCCGTTGCGGAAATGTGGAGAGAAGGGCGAGGCAAAAGGAGCGTCTGTTCAGGAAGTGTAGAATGCGAAAATCTCGCGAACAAAGATGTTGGACGACTCGATCGTCTGCGCGTTCGTGATGGAAGTGAGATGCAGACCAGTAGTGTGTTGTGATGCTGATACACGACAGTTCAGGAGTCGTGGTAAGAGCAGAAGAGGGGTGGCTGCATGCAGTGTTATATCTTGGCATAATTATGCGGCAAGATTACTCTTGTCGAGACATCAAGCTTTCTGACCCATTTTGCATTCAGCAAAGACCCCTGAGCGCATCCAATCTCTACGCGCACAGCCACACAGAGGTGACGACGCAGCCATTCGTCTCTCACGTATCGTCAGCGCAACAGAATTAGACACAACAGACGAATCAGAGGGATATCGAGAAGTCTAATGATGGGAATGAGGACTTTGTGTATCATGTTCTAGCTGCAGTCCCTGTTACCAAGCAGCAAAGCACATTTCGTGGCTTGAAGCAGTGCGTCATATGTCACTCTGTTGTTTCGACTCAGTGCTTTATGGTTAGCGGTTGACGCTTAACACTCCAACTTCCAACTCCACAGCATCTTTCACTCATTTCACTCTCTCTCCCTTTGCATCAACACCGACATCACGCTGCTTCGGCTGCTTCCTACACGTAATATCTAATATCCTTTGTCCGTTCGTTGTCTCCTGGTCTGTCAGACAGACCTCCGTCCACACTGCTGTCGTATTGTTAAGCCTGCATTCTATGAATAGCCCGGAGCTGCATACTGACGACCTGTCCTATTGAGCATTGCGACAAGAAATATGTCGCGTCCATGGCAGTTTGCGCAAGATCATCGCTCACCTCTGTAAGTTGATCAGCATCTCTACGACTGTTATTATTAGTTAGGGCTATAGCTGACACGAATACGTTCAGTGATCGCCGACAACAAGGTCCTCCTGGCGGCCCTCCACCCTCCTTTTCCACAAATGTGAACCGCGCAAAGACAAAGAAATGGGTGGAAGCAAAGTCCTTCTCGTATGATGGTGACGATTGGGGCGAATATGACGAGCAGGACGAGTATGGTGCTAGTGCGGCACCTCCTCCTGTGCCTCAGCAGCAGCAGATGCCATCGAATGCTGCGAGAAACTTCACGGATCCTCGATCTGCCCCCTCGCAGGCAATGGGACGAAAGAATTCCTTCGACACCGGCGACGAGAGGCGCGCATTCTCTGGACCACATCCCCCTCAACATCGCATCGATACCAGCGGACCTGCAAACAACTTGCGCCACGAAGAGAGCTTGATGCAGAGTCCAGCCTCCATGGCTTCTGCTTCGGGTCCTGCTTCTCAGCAGCAGTATACTCGGAGTGGCCAGCAACAAAGCTATCCATCACAGCCGGCTGCCAGTCGCCAATCGAGCGCCGCAAGCTGGAGCCACTCCGTCATCTCCGAGACGCCGTCGGCGAATATGGAGCCTCAACGGAGACAAGATTACAACCCATCCGCCATGCCACAGCCCCTACAGACACGGCCCTCTGTCGGCCCCGGAGAATCGCCAGTCTCGAAATTTCCGCCACGGAAGAGCAGTCTTGGCCAAGATGATGCTCCTTCAGACCTGCTGGGTTCATTGGACGCGACGCCTACGGCACTGAAACAACGTACAGGCAGTGAGTCCAGCGGAACACCGAACCTCATCCGCCCTGCAGATATATACAAGAGGATAGCAGAAGCGAGAGAAAAGGAGCGTGCTTCAATGGAATCTAGCCGCCCGAGTGTCGATTCTCTCAGCAGCCGGCCGGCTGAAGATAGTAGTCGAAGCGCGCGACCACTAGAGTCGGTCGCCGAAGGGAAGAGCGAAAACATTGCACAACCTCCTGCGACCAGTGGAGCTCCACAAATCCAGGCTCCACCAGCGACTTCAACAACTACGCCGGCCAAGCGGTTTAGTAACTCGCCAGCGTTGCCAGAGTTCTCCAGTACGTCATTTGGCGATGACTTCTGGTCACAAGCAGGATATTCTCCAGGCCCGGCTACCCCACCTGTTCAGAGACAGCTTTCCCGGAAACAGCCTGCGTCGTCTAGTAACAATACATCGTCGGAGATCAAAGGTGTGGTCGACCAGGCATTCACGCGCAAGGATGACAATTCTGTCCCACCAACACCCGTGTCCCGTCAACCGGGGTCGACTTCAGAGACTGGGTCGAGCGTATCGCGCAGCAACACAGACAGTACGAGTGGTATCAGTCCAATCATGAGTCGGGTTCCCAGCTCCGCAGCAGCAGCAAGTCGTGCGAGAGTTGCAGAGGCAAAAGACATGGCGACACCTGTGATCGCAGAGGAAAGTCCAAATGCGTCAAGGCGTGCATCTGCGACGCTTCATGGACTGGATCAAGCACCACTTCGACCTGATCAGGCAACCCACTCGCGCACCGGATCCGGTGGCTCAAATCCCAAGCGGCGGAGTCTTGTCTCACCAACTCCCACCGATAGCCCTGCCCGCTCTCCGGTCATTGCTTCAACAGCCCATTTACGCTTTCCATCTGCGGCAGAAATAGATGTTGCTAGTCCCGTTGGTGCTTCGACGTCGGAGATTCCAAGCCCTACGAAAGATTATACTATGCGAGAAGAAGACATCGCCCAAGCCATCGTCACCAGCCCCGAAAGAGACGTAGCGAAGCTGGCAGGGCAGGAAAAAGAGTCCCAGGCTGCGTTCCTTGAGCAGACCAGAGAGTTCACTGCACCAAATCCAGCCATACCGCGTGATAGATCAGAGTCACCATCGAAAGGACGTGTTCGCGACTTGGCTGGGAAGTTCGATGCTGAATCGAGAAGAAACTCGGTACAGTCGGTCTCTTCGAACAAGAGCGCCAAACAAGACACAACAGTGCATTCCACAGATGCAAGGCCAGCACCTGCTCGCGAAGAAAGCTTCCGACCTAAACTTCCCGGACAGTGGGAATCATATGTGTCTACTCCTGGTCTAGCCACCCCGAGCGAGCCGGAAAAGCAACTTCAGAATGCGCCGGAAGACAAACATGATGCCAATGCTGTCGACTTGGAAGCGACATCTCCAAAGTGGACTGAAACACCGGAGGGCAACGTCACAAGCCCAAGCGATGCGATGTCTGCACTAGCTGCAGCAGGTGCCGCCATGGGAGAGTCTATCAAAGCAGCCGCAGGCTTCGGTAGCTCTGAGGAGACACCCAAAAGTAGAGATATCGGTGAGGTGCAAAGTCGACCACTGGGACCTCAACGCATCGAGTCGAACTTGACCGAGTCCACGATTGCACCAACACCTCCGCCGAAGGATATTGACGATGAGAGCCAGAGTGAAAGTTCCAATGAGATTCGGCCAGTGCCCCCGCTAAAAAGCCGTGAAGCTACACCTGTCCCTGACATGCTCCCTCCTATATCGACTGCCGAACAGTCTGTCAGCGTGCCGCGCCTAAGCACCGATAACTCGCCGAACGATGAAGAAAGCGATCGTCTACGGAAAGAGATTGTGCAGACTCTGAGTCCCATCGCCTCCGAGAGCCCCCAAGCCGCCAAGTTGGCCCAAAAACTGGCTGCTCCCGAGGCTGCATTGTCTCGAGATAGTTCTGTTCTTCCAGCCGAGTACGACTCTTTCTGGGGAGGGCCAGGAGGCGCTGACACTTATCCATTCAGAAATGTCACATCGAAGCCTACCTCGCCGGAGACAACTGTGGAAGCTCCCGTAGTGGAGAAAGCCGTGGAGCTGGACGCCTCAACAGGACCTGGCTATCTAGATCGACGCTTCTCGTGGGAAAAGCCCGCGCCGAAGCCCTCGGGGTCTGCCCCGATCGCATTGCCTACAGAGACATCCCCGGCCGCTCCGATTCCTACTTCGACCAATTCACCACTTCCGCCACCTCCGGCTAACATTGCTGCAAGTGATGTGAGCACGCCTGACACCACCGGACCCGTCGTCAACAGAGGCCTGCATGTTTTGAATACTGAGAACCCCGAAGCAATTGAGGAGCCGACGTATGGTAGACCAAGTGCGGAAATGTCAAAGGTATCCAGTCTTCAGCAAGATGAACCAATCGAGCCGACTGTGGAAGCTCAGCAGCCATCATTTTCTGGGCCGCCTGCGTCTGCCGCAGCAGTCGCTGATCCAGGGCGCATCCCGCCTTTCAGAGAGATACTCGTTCTGAAGTCAGCTCATGAGCGCACCGAAAAGTACGACTTAACTCGCAAGCAATTTGCAGACATGGATACTGGCTTGCGTAACTGGCTGGAGATCACACTAGCGGCGCGCCCAGAGCATGCAGACGTCAGGAACATCGCCATCAGGGCACCGAATGTTCCAGCAGCGGTTCCTTCGTCAGCACGGCACCGACATGCGCCGTCGCTCAGTGTTTTCAGCAAGATGAACCAAGTTGCTACCTCCAGCAAGCCCTCATTCTCACACCAGCCATCAACCAACTCGCCATCGAGCCCGGCCGTGGCTGCAGGCTCACCTGTGAGTGCTGCCCACACCGGAACGTCTAGTCCTTCTGGTGGCGCGAAGGTCCAGGCAAAGGGCAAAGAACTGTTACAGACTGCGGGTATATTTGGCGGAAAGGCAACGACAAGTGCCAGGGGTCTGTTTGCGAAGGGGAAGAGCCGGCTCAAGGGAGGCGGCGAGAAGGTGGTGGACTGATTTAATGGCCGCAGCTATCATATATGCCAACTTTCCGACGTTTCTCCTTGTTCCTCTGTTACTTGTCTCGTATGCGCAAGGCGGCTGATGATGAAGCTGGTGATAATGATGAGGGTGATTTGTGACATATAAATTGAGCACAGCCAGCACACAGATCGGCGGGTGCACGATGTTCCCCTGCATATATTGGCGATGATGACAAGACTGTTTTTAGGTGTATGTATATATATACACACACATATATATATATCCATCTATGCACGGATGCCTCGTCTCTTTGGTAACCCTGGCGCCACTAAAGGGCCTAAAGGACAAGATGTGGAGTAGTTTGTCGCCGTCGCGCCGCATGGATCCATAGACGGGGCCGGGGATTGTTTGCTGGTTGTGAATTGTTCGATTGGCTGAGATTCGAACGTGGAGCGTCTAAGCCTTCGCCAACTTCAGCCCCGTCCATCATTCATCTCCAAGACATCTCTCTCCAGTTCTGATTTACCATTAACCCTCGACTCGCTCCCGCTACACTACATCGCGCATTACTCGTTCATTATTGCTATCACTTCTTCCCTTTATTCCCTTTGGTACGCCAACACCGCATTCCCTACTTACATACATATATGCCTTGAAGTGGACTCGCAGGACGCCTCGGCGCGATCCGCATACCAAACTCTTGACAAATTCTCCTCATCCCGGGCCCCGAATTTGTCCATGTACTCACGGTCCGCCTCGGTCGCGTCAATCCCCCGCCTGCGAACCCTGCGCGACGCCAATGACGAGGAAAAGCAATCTCACAGACGGAGCTGGTCGTTAGGCCCGTTCGCTCGCAAGTCAAAGCCGTCCTCGCGTCCCAGCAGCATCTTCCTGCTGCGGCGCAACACCGAACGCGCCAGCGAGCTCGATCATAGCGAGTTCAACGAACACCACCACCACCGCCCTCACTCGTGGCTGGGCGGCTCTGGCATAGACGTCTCGAGAGCGCAGGCCTGGAGCTCGCGTCGCCTGCCCCAGACGACGTACGTCGACCCGACCTACGCGTCTGACGCTGCTGCTGCTGCCACCGCCGCTGCGTTTCCTGAACCGCCGACTACGCCTCCCCCGAACTCTAATGGCGTGGTAGATTCACATCTCGGCGTCCTACCGTCTCCCGCGCCGACGTCCATACATAAGAGGTCTTGGGGCGACTTGAGGAACATGGAAGACGAGCCGCCGTTGCCGGACGGTGCTCAGGATAGGATTCTGAGGAGTGTCATGCGGCACGCGAGCCTGCCCGTCAGTGTGGAACAGCTACAGGCCGTGCAGGGCGTCGATCCTGCAACTATGACTGCCACAGCGGACGAGCAGCCGAACCACGTCTCCGCTGAGGAGGATCCCGATCGAACGCTCACCGAGAATCCCGAGATATACGACGAACTGAAGGAATTCAAAAAGGAGATTGAAGATGGTGTGGATGGCTACGAGTCTTCGATAGACTCGGGCTCCGATCCGGTGAGCGACGAGATAGAGATTGGCACCGGTGTTCAGGCTCGTGTGATCAACAAGGATGGCGAGATAAGCCCAGTCGGCACCAGACCTCCCACCATCGACCAGCGTCGCGCATCTCTAGTCAGCCCAATATCTGACTCGGATAGAAACCAAGAGCGAGACCAGTTGCTTGCAGAGAGACAGAGAGAGCAGGAACAGATCGCTCTTCAGAATTCCTATGGTCTGGAGAAGGAAATGAACGTCCGGGAGGAAGAGGTGGATAGTTCATCTGAAGAAGACGATGAGCCAACGCCGGACGCTGGAAACATGACAGGGCACTTTGTTCGGGGTGCGTCTGCCGATGCGACTGCAAGCAATCTAGGCGGGCAATCACATCTGCAAGACCCAGATGAAGACGATGCAGTCGGCCAGCAGGTTGACACCTTTCTTCACGATGGATCAAGCACGACGGCAGTGGATGAAGATGAAACTCCTCAAGCCCCGACACGGTTCTCTTTTGAGGACGACAATGTGAATATAGAAAATGGCGCTGCTACTAATTATGGTGAAGCAAATGCGCCCACGCACGTGCAGAGGACGGATCGCAATGCGACGCAACCACCACATATCCAGATCCCCCTTGCGACGCAGCAACCGAGCAAGTCCGGGGTCGCCAGCGATGACGATTCCTCCGCCGGTGACAGTTGTAGTCTTCCAGGAGACATTGTCTTGACTCCAACAGTCCAGGCATCGCAGAACCCGACGCCAATATTCGATCGCCCACCTCAATTTGAAGATCAACACGCACGCAAGCCGAGTCCGTTGTCCCTTGCGCAAGAATTTGCTCCACCCCCTCCGCCAGTTGTCAATGGACCGCCGATGATCACGAAGCGCGAAGTCCGAAGAGACTCGCCGTTGAATGGCTATGATGCGGTTCCCGGTGCACAGCTATCGCAAGCGCCTCGACGCCAGGGCGCATTACTTCAAGCGCTGTCGAACGCCGTGGTAAATGGTTCTTCTGAGTCCGGGTCCAAGCCGATCCGCACCGAAGGGTATGCCGTACGCGTCGTGGCTGCTCCGGAGCCACCGAGATTGCAGAATCGACCTCCACTTCCTCCGCCTAAAGATACACCAATTCCTGTCAAGCCACTCGCGTTCTTTCAGCATATACCGAAGGTACAGACTAGCAATATTAGGGGTTTGGACGTAACGATACCGTCTCCTTCATTCTCGTTTAAATATGATGCCAAAGACGAGCTTCCGCGGCTGTCTACTCCGCCCCGCGCACCTCAGCGTGCTGATCCGACACGATCGTTCGCAACGCCTCCGCAGAATGATGAGACGCTTATTGGGGACGATACCGAGGCGCCATCTTCGATCCAAAGACACAAGAGTGACGTGGAAGCTGCGATGGTTCCATTGGCATTGCATCCGGCAATCCGAAATACAATGAAGCCCGGAGACAAACCAATTCTGCAACAGAATGGTACATCAATGCCGGGTCTAAAGAGTCAGCAGAACCTCATGATAAATCAAAATGCAGACAACGCGAGCGTCGCGAGTCTAATGTCAGACGATGACCTTTACGGCGACCATGGCGGAGTAGTGCCGCCTCCTTCAAATCAGATCCACCAAGGGCAGACGCACGCGAAAGGAACACCAACGATAACCACCCACGACTCGACGACAACACCCGGGCAATCACATGCTCCGTCCCAGAGCTCGGCGACGACTCAGAAGACTACAGGCCGGCACAGATCGAAAGACAGTTTAGGGGTCCAGAGTCTCGCGTCTTGGACTAATCGTACTAGCAAGGATGATCGCCAATTGCGAAGCTCGATTGACTCTGCGGATTCACGTCCCATGTCATTTGTGACCCTGCCTCGTGATGGCGAGGGCAAGACAATCGAACGAGTAAGCACAATCACCAGGAAAGAGCGACAAGACAGGGAGGATCTCGTGGCACGTAACATCAATCGGAATCAAGAACCGAAGACATTAAAGCCAGACGAGCAGGAGCAAAGGTCGTCGTTTGGTCAGCTCGCGGTGCATCAGCAGATGGGTCCGCAACACAATGACTTTCGCCAAACTCAGGAGCCCGCTCGAGAGGAGGATATACCAGTGCAAAGGCAACCTACGCAACGCCAGCATAGCGCGGAGAATGGCTTCCGTACTCCTAGTGCTTCACACCCTCCAATCGCGGAAGAACCAGCACAACACGATCCCATCGAGCCCGATATTGCCTACCAGCCTGGGCCATCGACGACGTCGCCGAAAGGAGGAAAACCACGACACACTCCGATCGTGCCAATCGACCCAAGCCAAGAGCACGTCGCCTACCAGCTTTCTGGCTACCGAGAGGCTACAAAGAAGGCACTAGAACTGAAGTTGCAGGCAGATCCTAACTTTAGGAAAGAGAACGAGGAGCCGGGCTATGCATCCCAGGGGCACAGAATGGATAAAGGAAAGGAGCCGTCTAGAGCGCACGGCCTTTCCTTCTTTACGCAGGACGCGGATCGGTTTAAGCTCAAGGGCAAGGCTATTGGGGTCTTCAAGGTGCTCGGCAGGCCTTCTGCTGTCCAAGAGATCACACCCATGAATGGACATGGCGAACCGCGTCCGAGTAATGGCAGTGCTGGCAGCTCTTCGTCGGCGGTACAGGCTGCACACCGAATGTCATTCCAGACTCCATCGAATCATCCCGACAGCGGCAACAAGAAGAATCGATTTTCTATGAAAAAGTTCTTGCAAAGGGACGGCGTTGGAAGTTACAATTCACCTAATGCTCTAAAGGCATTCAAGTCAGAATCCAAGGTGAATGGGAACACCACTAATGACGGCTCTGCCTATCAAGCTGTGCGACAAGTCCCGCCTTCGCAGGCTTATCCTGAGAGGTCGCATACCTCCCACAGCATGAGTGGTAGAACTTCCCGTCAATCTGACAAGTACGGGGAGGGCAACCTGTTACGTGAGGATATGGACGACGAGGAAGATGAAGAACTTGACGACGAGGCGATGAATGCCGTTCGAGGGAATAGCTTCGTGAAGTCTAGTAGCACTCTTGGACCTATCCATGAGAATCAACTACATCCCGGCATCTCGCCTGTCGAGACATTTTCGCCGCATCATAATGGTAGGACTCCTTCGCCAATGGATAAAGGGATAATCACTCCTCCTGAGCCCAAGTATGACGATGTGCCACTGCCCGCGGCTTATGACAGGTCGTTTCGCCACATCAACGATCAAGGCTTCCAGCGACCGCTCAATCCCTATGGGCCTCTTACACCACCGGGACTTCTGTCGACTGAAAGCCCGACCTGGCGCCGCGATCCCCGGGATCCTTTCCGAGGGCCATCCACAGGGCCACCCCGGAAGTTCTCATCTGATTCATACGCTGCTCACGTCAAGCCCGACCCGGGCCGTCATAACAGACTGACGCAACCGATGTCGCCGCCTCTTGTGTCGCCTTTGTCGTCACCGCCGGCTCATAAGAAACTGTTTGGAAGCGGCTTGGTAGGCGCAGCTATAGGTGCAGCCAAGTTTGGGGAGACGAAGAAGTCCAAGGCCGCGCGAAACTCGAAAGATGGCGGTCAGCAAGAGAGGCCATGGGCTATAACATTACCGAATGGCGTAGAGGAGGAGGAAGAGCACAGAATGCAGATGAGCCATCCCAAGGCATCCCAGATTCTGGGTGCTCCAGTGCAGACTGCGCAGCAAATGCAAGGTCCCCCAATGCATCCTCAAGCCAGTGGCCCTCCGCCCGGGTTTCTCTTCGCCAACAACAATCAAGCACCACAGCCGCCGCCTGGTTTCCGCTTCGCGGCTCCGCACGAGCAGCCGCCTCAGCATCCGGCTCAACACCCGCAACATCCGATCCACCAGATCCAGAACACGATGCATGCTCCCCCGGCACCGCGCCACCCTCTGCTTCAGGGGCAAACATCGTCTCCGGAGCATTACCAGCAACAGCCAACTCACCAAGTCCCGCAACACATGCAGCAGCAGCAGCATCAGCAGCAGCATCCAGACGGGCAATCAAACTATCCCTCGCACCACGCCCAGCAACCCTCACCACACCCCTCTCGTCCTCCACACCAGCCCCCTCTACCAGGCTACCGCGAAGTGCTTCCACGAGAAGTCCAACACTCACTCAGCCCAATCCCACAATCAGCCGTGTCAACAGAGCATATCCCACGCGCCCCATCAGTCAAAATGTTCCCGCTGCCCCCGAACCACCACCATTCTCCCTCGCCACCTCTGCTCGACGACAAACACACCCCTTCATCCGCGCCGCCGCCCCCGCCGCCCACAGCCCATCCTCTCCGCGAAGAGGTAGCTAACAACATAGACGGCCCAACATTCCTCACCGATCCCACTCCCGCAAATTCCGCACATCCAAGCCGCGAGTCCGGCTCCTTTGATGCCATAGTCCCAGGGCAGAACGGCGTCCCGGCCGTGCCGGATATTCGTGATGCTGCTGCTGCTGCTGCCAATCCTCCGACGACAAATCGTATGGACACAGATGCGCAGCAAGTCGACATGAGTACAAATCCGCGCGCATCCCCCGAGGCACGACAGATCCTGCCACCTCCTCCTGTGCACACACTTACTTCCTCGCCTACGACTACATCTTCCGCTAATTCGCATGAGAATGACGCAAGCGTCACCGTACACACCGCACAGCAAGCGGATAGCTTGGCTGCGCATACTTCCTCTCCCGCGCTATCTGGTGGTCTGGGTGGTGTTGGTGCTGATGCTGATGCTGATGGTACTACACCTGTTGCTCATACTCCAGCTGCTCCAGGTAATGGTGTGTCTGGCACTGTTGTTGCCGCCAGTAGCAAAGTCTTCGACGCACCAGAAGGCATCGCAGAGCTGAGCGCTGTGCCAAAGGGCGAGGAGGAGGATGAGCCGGTCATGTTTGCGGCGAGTTATCCGGGGATGGAGTGGATGCCGACGTGGGAGGGGGATTGAGGGGGGATTGAGAGGGGGTTGAGGGGTGTTTGAGAGGAGAGGGATGACTCTTTTTTTTTCTTTCGTTGTATATTTTTCTCGTTATTCGGGGGTTTTTTTGGAAGGGGAAGGGAGAGGGGAGAGGGGAGAGGGGAATATGATGTTTCAGTTGACGCAAAGAGTTCATGGAGATGTTATCGCGATCTGTTTTGTTGGGGAGGAGTGTAAAGTCGGACTTGTTCTTGGTTTTGTTCTGTTCTGTTTTGTTTTGGTATGGAATGGTGTGTATGGTATACCTTTGTGATGGTGTGTATGGTATGGTATGGTATGGTATGGGACATGTAGGGAGAGAGACGAGGGGGTGTGGGTGAGAGAGAAGATGTATGTGAGAGGAGAAGATGTACGTGCAGAGAGACCGAAATGAAATGATATCAGACGGGAATTAGGAGATTTTTATTGAAACGTAACTGTCTGACAATATGTGTATGTATATGACTACAAAGCGCCATCAGTCCTGCAAGACTCCTCCCCTCCTCACCCCTGCTGGGTTCCTGCGAACAAGGCTATTCCAGTAATGGCTTGTATCGATATTTCTTCTTACTTTGCAGTGTCTGGATACTGGCGGCTTTACCCCGGTTGAGATTTAAGACTAAAGATATAGATTAGGGCTTGAGATTGGTGTCGGGGAGAGCTGTACTTCCTTATAGGATAGTTCGGGTGCTCGATTCTTCGCTGTCATTGGCGGTGAGTGGTCTTTGCCTGTGAGCTTGGATGGGGTGTGTGAGTTTTGATTCCTGTGAGCATATTTGCTTGTGAGGTGGAATGTGTGTGCGTCTTGCCCTCAGCCTAGACGCTGTGTACCTGGTCCAACGAGATGTGGAGATAGGGGCTACTAGTAGGTGTGTAATATTTTACTGCATTAGGAGGACTCCTGTGCGATAATGATGTTGCGGTGGTATCTGTGAGGATGGATTAGTTTTGGCGGTGAGATGATGGTGAGGGCAGCTCGGGTGTGATTCGACGCGTCCAACTTCGTGGTGTACAATAGTCGTGTTTTTGTCGAAGCTTTGAGCTACTCCATGAGTCGTAACAGCAACATGTACGGCATATTACCCAATAACTCGGCAGTTCCTACGGGCCTCTCGCAGGGACGGACAGATATAGAGCCTAGCATTATGGCGCCTACGGGGTTTCTTCTACGTCTGCTTCACTCCGACTTCAGGGAGCGAGTGAAAGAGTAAGTTGGGTTTTGGTTGGTCGTACGGCTGGGATCCAATCATGACAGAAGAATGGCTGAGCTAGCCTGGGAGATCTGATCAGTTCCTTGTGACAGACAGGTAAGGGGTATGATCGGTGAGAGGGGATGGGTATTGAGATGTTGTCGGTCTTATTGTTTGGTGTGATTCACTGATGAATTGGATAGTGAGCATATGAATGGGTGGTTTGTTGGCATGGTTATGTGACTGAGCCATGGTGTTTGATGGTTCATTCAGGGCTGGCAGGACAGCTGATATACTCAATGGGAGTCGCTATACTATTATACCTTGATCACGAGGGAGTCGAATAGTCCCCGTGTTGTCACCAGAGCAGAGACGCACCATGTCCGTATTGAAGATGAATAGCGAACGGTCAGAGATCCCGTGCTCGTACGTCGGCGTGAATGAACATTGCTCTGTTGTGTTGGCAAATAGCACCTGTCAATACCTAATGGAAATTGAAACAGCCATACTATTCTACTCTGCACTCTGCCTTGCCTCCTCCCTACTACTTATTTAAACTCAAAACTATCCCAAAATCTTCCTACCAGCAACGAACCTCATTTCATCTTACCACAAACTCGACTTCTCTACAACTTCGACCTCTTACCATACCAAGCTTCCCCAACCCTCACACCAACACCACAATGAACAACTCCTCTCCCAACAAGACCGCCGCATGGCGCACCCCCTCTCCAGACCGCCGTCTCACCGCAGAACGTAAGCAAAACCCTACCCATAACCCCAACCTCACCTCCACCCACTAACAAAACCCCTCAGAACTCCGCTACATGCCCTTCGCAGACCTCATCACCCACGACAACGCCCTCCAAGCCGCCATCGAGGCACGCAACGCCCGCCTACCCCAAGCCTCTCCACAAACGCCCACCACCAATACTCTGTCTGCTTCTCAGCAGTCAACACCCGTGTCCCTCACTGGGAATGATGTGCGTGGTAGATCGGTAACTGTAAGCACACCCCTTCCCCTCCCATCAGAATTCATTCATTATTGATACGAAGCTAAATATGCTAGCAGGGCCCCGCACACCCGCTCTGCGAAAGAGCACATTTTAGAACGCTGCATTGCGGCGACTGTCTTTACTTTTTCTGGCTGCAGCGGATGGTGGATCTGGCGCTTGTGACTGGGGTGGAGGCGGAGACGGTTAGGAGGGGGTTAAGGGATGCGTTGGGGAGGATGGAGGGGGGAATGTAGTATATAGATATCATGTATACTGATTGTGAGGGGCGAGGGTGTTAGGTGAGTTCTTGAAAGGGTGCGGAAGGGATGTGTGTGGGTGGTGAGGAGGAGGGAGTATAGCACGGGCGCTAGACAATTCTATGCTGATTATAGAAGTGTGTGTGTTTATTCGTCGTGCATGCCTGAGGTATGTAGATTAGTGCGGATTAGACATGCATACGCACTGCTTCGGTGTAGAGTACACGTCAATGCCACTCACTCAGACATCACAGAATCCTCATATCAAACACACCACATCACAATTCTACCCAGCCCAGAACCCCATTTCAGACGTATCGTATTGCCAATATAGAAGTTTCCAAGCTCCAACCCATCCCAACACTACCGTGACATCCGGAATATAGCACGATCAAGTCCATGCACTATCGTGTCGTCCCATAGTCCCATCTCTTGCCCTTCATATATGCAGTCCTGCAACATCCAGTGCCAGGCACATTCAACGCAGGGGCGGTAGCGCATGTGGGGAGATGTGCAGTGCGGGTGCATCGTGGCTGGCGGGTATGGCTCGTGGTGGGTGAAGTAGGGGATGTAGTTGGGGGTGGGTTTCGGGCGTTTGTTCTTGCGGTTGCGGCGGTGCTTTTTCTTGCGGTGCGGTTGGGGTGGCTTGTGTGCTGCTGCTTGTTGGGTGGGCTTTGGGGAGGGGATTGGGGATGTTTGGCGAGGGCGCGATGGGGAGGGGGGTTTGGAAGGTGGATGTGGAGGGTTGCTTTGTGGTGGGCGAGCTTGGGGGGGTTTGAGTTGGCTTGTTTTGTGTTGATGGATGAGCTGGGACTTACTGCTGCTTCTACTGTTGTTTTGGAATGATTGGGTACCTCTTCGTGGGCTTTGGCTGTGTGGGTCGGGCTGGAGAAGATGTATTAATGGGGTTATGTTGATAGGAGAGAAGGTTCGATACGTACATCAGCCGGACGCGTAGATTGGGCTCTGCGCCCCTTTTGATTTTTGCGAGTCATTGTAAGAATAAGATCCTATCAAGCACAGATCCAGAAGTAACCCACATCTGTTCTGCATAGATCCTTAGCCATGATAATGTAGTCTTCTTATAGTTCAGATTACTGTATCGTGTCTACCTGACAATTACCACTATGTGCTGGCAAATCCTCTAGTGATAACTTCACAGAGCCTACACCGTAGCCATGATGACGCACAGGATGATCTTGACATCGTGTCTATGACGTGCTGAGAGTGACTTGTCGAAATTCAGCCTGTTGCGTTGTTGGGACAACTGGCAATGCTCTAGTACGCAGCAAACAGAGGGTTCTCGTCACCACTACAAACGGCTGGATAGAGTTACAGGAGAGTTCTAGTTTTTCGACACGGCATGCTACGCGAAGGTATGGCTTCGGAAATTCAAAGCTTGAGAAATCAGTGGATGCTGAACGCGTTTTACTTAATTATTAAGTGTTGATGGTATAAGCTCTAATTCAGACGCAGTTGCTGTTGGTATACTTCGCGATTGAATTCGACTCGTGATATATATATTCAATCAATCCATTATGTCCTCTTGCTATCAATCGACATCCTCGTCTCCTTCATTATCACTAGTAATGGCTTACTCCTTGCCCTTGCTAGTGTCGACCCGTTCGCCCACCTTTATAAACTCCTTGAGCTACTTTACAATGTCTAGCTCTTTCGACTCGATATCATGCTTATTTTGCTTAATCGCATTTACAAGTAGTCTCACGAGGAGGTTGCCAAGGCGTTTTGATCATTTTGTATTGTCTGTCATATCCCAGAACTCGCGCTCCGAAATGAGTTCAGCTAGAGTCTTCCGGTAGCTTCTTGCTCTTTCGGAGTGCCCACGTATTCGCCGGTGTCTTTCATGTCTCTTAGTCTCTCTGCTCTTTCCATGTCCGCTGACTCAATGGCATGCCTGTCCTCCTGGACCAGTTGTGTACGTAGCTCCATAAGCAGGTTCCGAGGTGGCTTCACCCTTTTGCCTTCTCTGTAATCTCTACCGAAGCTTTTGGATGTGTGGCTATCAGGTCATGATAGAGTCGATGTGTGAGGCCGTGGTTTTTGGCGGCACTTCTAGAGAATACGATGCATAGGGGGAGCGGCGTATTCTCGAGAATTTCCTGCCACTGAAACAATACCACTCTTGAAGCGATACCACTCTTCGAACTCAAGACCTGATAAAGGCCAGTATTATATGCTAGCCACTTTCTTCAACCTCTTTGCGCGCGTCTCCTCGCGTCGGTGGATGGTTTCGGCGGATTGCATGAGCTTCGTGGCTGTGGCATCGTCATCATGCTTGTTAAAGTGCTTCGCTGCGGTTATGATCTCATAATGCTTGTAGTATCGCTCGATAGAATTGTATTACTTGTGAGTAGAATCAATGTGAAGCTCGGAAAGTTGGACAGGGAGTTTTACTCTGCCTCGGTTCGTGGGTCGTTGAACGTTGGGGATAGGACTACATCCTCGTGTACATGCTCCCAGTCTGGCTGGTAGGTGGCACCCCTCGCATTGGTACAAGGCACCTGCTACTGTGTGAGCACTCATGTTTTCCAAATCTAATAGCAGCGCTTTGATGCGAGCGGCACGCCCGTCTAACATCTCGAGCATAGGATCTCTATGTTAAGACGCTTGGCGGCCATCGCGGCCTGTACATTGAGATGGTGTTGTCTAGGCGGGTAGACTCTGTCTGCATGATGCTGGTCTTAAGAAAGCTTCTTATCCTTGTCTCGTCGCTTCATCTCATTTCGTGGCACGCGGCTGGACTTTATGATGCGTATATTTGCTTGGGATGGTATCGTACAGGTATCAAGGCTAGGTGGAAGGGTTCGATACTAACGGGATGAATGTTATTATAGGCGATGATGGATGTTATTGTAAGGGTGTAAGGTGTAGGTGGTGGGACACGAAGGCGGTGGGATAGAAGATCTCACAGTAGATGGCCGGCAAGATTGTGACACCATGTCAGATGGATGAGTCGCCAGGCAACAGTGTCATCACTTGCTAGATATCTATTATGTGCTTACAAACTTTATAGTCAAGAGATTCGTATGACACGAAGAGAAATTCATGTACCTACGAAGCTAGAGAAACTATTCCACCATTGCAAAAACTGCGACTCCATGGTAAATCATGACGCCTTTATGTATGTACAGCTCCGCGTGTATTATTATTTCAAGGAGCATCAGGTTCTAGCTCTTGTACCACTGCTTGGATGCAATATTTACATATCTTCTCATCATCCCGTCTGCCATAGCAATTAAAGTGTTAAACTCTGATGTCTCTAGGATAGTTCGCTGCAGACAACGACATCTAACACTATCTAACTTGTTACCGCCTGTGTGACGTGCTGCTAGTTACAATCTTTCAAGAGGAGGTGCGAATGTCCTTAAGAGTCCAGCGGAGGTGCGGCCAGAGGGTGGATGCTGGTTCATGCCTATGTTTAACGCCAATCGCTGTGGGTGCATTCTCCTAGAGTTGGATGTTTCTTGTAGACTGTATTGGTACTGCAAACAGGTCCTCGTATTCGGCTCCGGAATCATGTAATACGACCATCCCTTGACGTAAGAGCACGGGCTAAATTTTTAGAATACTGTTATTGTCACTTGGTGTATATGTGTTTATACATTGAAGAGTTGTAGCTCGGTATTAGGCTACAGGTCACGATCGTGGACCAGAGGGCAAGAGATCTACCTCTATAGCACCGTCTTATTCGATAGGCCGTTAGTCTTCAGAGTCATTCTTTCCACATCATCAGAGTGATTACTACCTTGGATCTTGCCGAAGTTGGCCCCTTATTCTCACTGTCCGCCTGCAAGCAGTGCATGCTTATCAAGTCATTGTACTAGGGGCAAGGGGCTGCTCTACGAACCATTCAAGTAGATGCTCAATTGCTTAGTTCAATAGGAATCGCTGGGATAATAGAGTTGCATAGAATACAGGCTACAAAGTGCTCGAAATGGATAAGTGTTTGGTTATAGCAAGGGATGTTCTCAACATAGTCATACGCGAGTGACAAAACAGTGCAAAAAGTTCAAACTTGTTCATTTCCGTGCGTTCGTTTCACATCTTAGAAATAAGCGGAATTAAGCTCTCGTTGCCGAGTTGTGACATGCTAGCTACCTAAAATACCAGATCTTGAGCTTCTCGTCTAACGCTCAGCTATCTACAACCAAGTCATACACGAAGCATACATACCAATCTCTTCATATCTTACCTTCTCTCCCATCTCCATATCACAATGTCGCCCTCAGCTCCTACCACTGTAAGATGCTCAGTGCCCAGCCACCCTCATCACGCATGGCCATCCACCGGCGCTGTCCTGTTCTTCCGCTGTCAGAGAACCTGCCTGTTTTGTAGCCAAGATATCCCCAACGGCATGATGCCGCGTACACACGTACTTCGCTGCTACTCGCGCCCTGCAAACATCAGAGATCAAACCATAAAAGTCCTAGCTTTGGGCACTGGCCATGCTGTCGACTTTGACAAAGACTGGGACGTAAGCGAGGAAGAGTAAGCTTTTATGACCAGCCATTGAGCTTTGAAGCTAATAACTCCTAGAAAGCATACCAAGGCGGAATACGCGGATAGGAGGAATGCCAGGAAGGAAGCGGGCATTGACCCGTCTGACGACACTCAGCCTGAATTGGAAGAGCCTTTTTTGGCCGGGACTGTCAATGGAGTAGGGTGGCGAGAGCGGAAAAGGAGTTTAGAAGGTTTTGGACAGCAAGGGGAGCGATTACCAGCTAGGGAGGAGCAGACTACTGCGGATGTGGAGGGTGATGGAAATATATATCCGCTTCCGCACGACAACCGTGCGGAAGATAGCTCGAGGCCATACTTCGTTCGTTGGGCCGAGAAAACTCAAGAATAGGCATAGGAGTCTATAGAGAATACGAGTAAGAGGTCTACGACTTGGGAGAGCTTCGTGATGGCAAGACAATGAATATAAGACTCTGGTACTATAGGAGGAGGTTCTTTCCTCTCGTGCACTTCGCTCTGGTAGTAAGATGAAGAGGGAAACGTACCTTAGGACTCCGATGCAGTCGTGATTTGTACTATCAATCGCACTCCATGAGAAATCTCCCTATTCCTAATAGCAGAATGTGCTCTATAGCTACTGAAATAAGCTACTCTACTAAGGCGAATACTTCCTTATCAATTTTCGCACAACCACTAAATCACGCCACAGAAGTTCGCCTGACAGCATCTTCAAGTCCCAATGTGATGGAAGTTCTCTTCTCATGATCTGGTTCCGGCGCAAGACCACCCTTTTCGGAGTCCAGTATCTCTTCGCCGGAGCTTATGTCCTTCAAATCAGCTTTGTCATCACCGATATCACTGTCGAGAAGCTCGTCAGAGATCATCTTAGGGTTGAACGAGATGGCACCTTTCGGAATAAAGGTGGAGGCGATAACAATAGCAGCCAAGATAGTGAACTGAATGCCAGCAACACTGCGGACACCATCTTGGATGGCACCATCCTGCCCAGCAGCTTGTAGTGCACTCTGGCGGTCGAGGTATCTGCCAAGAAGAGGGTTTGCGATTGCGTAGATGACAATGTATGTTGAGTAAAGGAATGCCATGACCGCACCAAGGGCCGACACGTTCTTCATCTTCGATTCCGTACGGGCTAGCGAGGCTTGGATGTATGCTGCTAGCGATACATCGCCTGCGGCCCAACCAAACGAGATCGGGATGAAAGTAGCAGCTACAATCCATGCGTAGCGGACCTCAGATTGGGGTGGAGTATAGTATGGAAGGTACCAGACAATAAGTAGCAGCAAAGCGTCAAGACGGAGCCATGGCATTGGTCTCGCGACAAGGTTTGTAAAGAGAAACACGAAAAGGGCACCGAGAAGCTCGCCAAAGTTGGAGCCGCCAACCATGATCTGAGACCAAGCAGATACACCAAGGTAGCGTCTTGCGACGAACGGTGCGATGCCGTTTTCGAGATATCGATGTCCGTATCTAGGAGAAGTTAGCAAGCAGATGATAGTCTTTAGGTAGTGATATCTCACAGGGCAAATGCATATCCTGGCAATAGCCAGATAAACTTGCGGTTCGTGAAGACAAGGACTCCTCCAGTATAGATCGACTCGAAAAATAGCACAATACTATGCCAGATCGACTTGAAGTAGTTCCGGTTGCCTTGAGCATCACGAAGGTGGGGAGTCTTAACGAAGCCATAGTTGGAAATGAAGAACCAGACGATCGAGGCTGCCGTGAAGAAGATAGGAGTAATCAGGAAGCTGTAGTTGTAACCGAGGGCGGGAATGAGGCCAAGAGCTGTTGCAAATGCACCGGCTGTTCCAGCGACCTCATAAAAGATATGGACTGTCGCGTCCATACGTCTCAGCTTCTGAACATTGCCCCCAACTATATCTCGCGGAATGACTCGGCGGATCAGTTCAACCATGCCATACGCTATGCCAGTTACACAGTAAATAGGGATTATACCTATGCAGAATGTTAGCATCATAGTTTGCTAGGAAAACCCTAGACAATAGACACTGCTAACCGTCGGTATTGTAATTCCCAAAGTACGAGAAGTCGGTGCGCAGCTCTGCAGCTGTGTGGGTCTCCTCCCAGTCATTGGGCTTTATCTTGCCCCCAGTGGCGGCATCCACGATGAGCAAGATCGCAGTGAAAAGACCGAAGACAAGAATAGCCACAGAAAGGACCAGACGGGTTGGGTAACGTTTGATTAGAGGAGCAATCAAGATGGAGCCAACACACTGAAAAGCTTGATTCAACCCTTGCAAGAGACCGATACGCTCAAATGTTCGTGGAGTGGTCCCAGCAAGGCGTGCATCTTGGTCATATCGGTTTGTTGCTAGAGCCGTAATAGATCCATTGAATGCTTCGAGACCTGTGCAAAATAGGATTAGTAGCTCACAAGTAATATATGCCACGATTACGTACCAAACTTGTAGAGCATGATACCAACGATGTAGATCGCGATGTTTCGTTTTTCTTTTGCGTCGAATAACCCCCAACTTTCACGGACGACCTTGAGATCTATCTTACCCATGTTGGCTAAAGGAGTGCTGTGTTCGCCCTCAGGAGCAATGTATGTAAGCTGAGGCAGGCGTAGCAAGAACTACAAAATCGCTTATATTGCTTCAGAAAAGAAGAAGAAACCATGGGAAGATAAGTCCGCTCCATTATATATGTCGAGCCATGTCGACTGAGCCTAGTAATAGAGATATCTCGGCAGGCGATGTCAAATGTCTGTGGCGTCAGCGACAAAATGCACACATCCTCCAGACGGAACGCAATCACCCACGTGTATACGACAAGAAAGTAGCTTTTGCGCCTGGCCTTGGAACGTTTCGACCCAATACTGGGCGCCGAGTGTGATGCAATTCGTAGCCATGGACGAAGGTGGCTATGTTATTCTTAGATACACTTCAAGTGCTGGATTCGAGAAGAGGCAAAAATGGTTATTGCTACAGACTAAATCGCGACTAACCTTGTGTGACCATGTTCATCAGTGGCGCAATAATGACCTATCATGCGCATAAGATGCGATAGAAGAGATGGGTGTCTTAACTTGACTGTGGCGCGCCAAGTTTTGTGGACTTTCCCGCCCTTTGCCAAGGCCGCTCCTCCGCCCCACGTGCATATATTACTTGTTATCATCTTCTGGCAATGAAGAATTCATCATCTAACATCGTCATACACATATCTAGGTTGAGACGCCATGTCGCGTTAGACAAGGGCCCAGGACTTGCGCAGCCATCGCAGCGCAGCTTTGAGATAGGGCCTCGATGTTCTGGGAAGACTTCCCCTGATCTGGGCACCCTGTCATGCGACACTCTTCATGTCCATGCCACCCCTTTCAAGTCTTACGAGGCTAGTAACCACAAGGGAGTCCCACTAGGTGAAGGGTCTCCTACAGCTAAGGCAAATTCTGAACGTAACAATGACAAACTCGAACTAAGGAAGTTCTGCATGGGAGCTGAGGGTCATCCCACGTATGCAATCGTGGAACGTGTGGTCACTTTTCGAGGATCATCGCTCGATGGTATATGTATCCTCCAATCACCCGTACTCTAGATTCGAGTCACGGGCCGTCAAATCCGAGGTTGAGTATATCTGGTAATCCCCTGCTAATCGACTATTGCTCAGTTGTTATGATTATATCATTAAGAACGAGTATTAAGCAGTTGGCAACATCACACTTTTCCCACCTATGAGCCAACACAGTAGAGGTGACTGCTGTTCCTGGTAGTTGGTAGGCTTAATTGGTATCTACTAACTACTATTTGCTGTCTATCAATAACAGAGCGCCGAACGGTCCAAGTTCGATACACGAGTTGTCGACAGAAGCTCTGTGATTCGTAACTAATACGTCCCAGCCCACGTACTTATCTGTCGATATTGTATATTTCTGCTCCGAGAAACTCACAAAAACGACTGCTCTCTTTCCGCCTACTACCTGTTCTGCACGCTCAAATCCGATGACTCCCTCTCCCATCACAGACTCTGGAATTGACTTGTATGAGCCATATACAAACAGATCGGTGTACTGTTTACGAAGAGTCAGCATTGTTCTCCAGAACGAGAATACACTGTTTGGATCATTGATCTGGCTCGCCACGTTCCATTCGGTGTAATCCTTGTTGATAGTCATCCAAGGACGTGCTTTTGGTGACGCGAAGCCGGCATTGACAGAGCTGTCCCATTGCATAGGTAAGCGGCCGTGATCTCGCGACTTGAGTTGCATCTCTCTCAAAACATCGTCCATAGTTGATTCGTTACCGCCACGACTTTTCAGGACTGAAATGTAGTAGTTCTTAGCTTCTACATCTATATATGCATCTGGGCCGTAGTCTTTGCCAAGATTGGCCATGCCGATTTCATCGCCTTGCAAAAGGAAAGGTGTTCCTCCGAGGGATAGGAGGTACATTGCAAGCATCTTCGCAGCTGCTGCTCGATGCTCTGGGGAATCAGAGGCATATCGAGTCAGAGGTCGACCACTATCGTGGTTTGAATAGTACACGCTATTCCACCCATTGAACTTGGGCATGGACTGTTGCCAAAGATCAGTGATCTCACGGATCTTTCGCGGAATGTTGTTGATCGTGCGCTCGTATTTCCCATTGGGGCCAAAGTCGACATCAACAATATCGCCGGTGAAAACCATATTGAGTTCATGGCGATCTTTCGCCACGTATTGGCTGACGGATTGCTCATCCTTCGTGAAGCCAAGCTCGCCAACGGTCATACAATCATAGTTATCGAACACCTCCGTGCGCATCTCACGGATATAGTTGTGCATCTTTGGGCCAGAAGCAAAAAACTCAGATCCATCTTGAAAAGGCTCATTATTCACCACCTTTCCATCTGGGAGATCAGGATGCTTTGACATGAGGTTCATTGAGTCAATTCTGAAGCCATCAACGCCCCTGTCCAACCAAAAACGCATGTCATCATATGTAGCTCTGCGCATCTCCGGATTTGACCAGTTGAGATCTGGCTGTGAAGGGAGAAATAGGGCAAGGTAGTATTGCTGGGTTGTTTCGTCCCAATGCCACGCGCTACCTCCAAAAATTGATCGCCAGTTGTTTGGCTCTTTGCGATTGCCATTTGTATCGATCTTCGCATCTCGCCAGAAATACCAGCCACGTTTCTCACTCTCTCTGGAACTGCGTGACTGCTTGAACCAGTCATGCTGATCACTCGTGTGGTTGACAACGAGGTCCATCAACAATCTCATCTGGTTATCGTGCAGGACATTAATGAGGGTCTGCATATCTTCGACAGTTCCATATGGCGCATGTATCGACCGATAGTCTGATATGTCATATCCCATATCCTTCTGTGGTGACGTATAGACGGGAGAAAGCCATATCGCATCGACTCCGAGGGATTTGATATATGCAACTTTACTGATGACACCTGGTATGTCCCCGAGTCCATCGTCGTTACTATCGAGGAAGCTGGCTGGGTAGATTTGATAGACGACAGCTTCTTTCCACCATGCTTTTTCTACGATGGCTGATGAAGTCATTTCGATTGGACTCTGTCGATCGTGAATAATGTCTTCTTGGGGCATCGGCGAAATAAGAACTGTGATATTGACTCTGGGTAATGGCCCTACCAGCGGTGCAGCCTTTAACAACAACATTCCCCTCAAGTATCGTTTCTCCGAAAAGCTGCCCGGATGGAGGGCGATGGTTCTGCAATACATGTTACGTCGTGATGGAAGCTTATTTGGGAATATTTCTCCGATCGAACATATTCACTAGGCAGCTTGGGGAAAGCAGGGCCGAGTTTAGTGCTTCCCCGCTCCCCGCTCAAATCATCGGGCGATTTCCACGTTGTACCCTCCTGGATTTCAGATCTCGTGCATAGCTACAAAGCTTATATCGCGCGTTTTCGGTCCGACATGAGATGTTCACGAGCTCTCCCGTCGGGATAGCTCTATATAAGCCGATTCACCGTGATTGCGGTCGTTCTAGTTCTATCTATACACTAGTGTGAAGGCATGAACGTTAGAATCGGAATGGACCAACTTATGATTATCATCGTGTCTGAAGGGAACATGGTGCTGTATGCTGCATATAATTCTATATGTGAAACTTTCGCGAATGAGATAGCAAGTGGTTAAACCCACTCTTCTTTTTTCCGAGAACATGGAGGTCTATGGTTGATAGAACTTGCCGCACATTCAGGAGGACAAGAATGCTAAAGTCTAGTACCTCGTCGTCCTATTGGAGCCACAAATTGGACTTCCAGGTGCGTAGGCTCGCTGTTATATATCGTTCACCCGGCCGTTTGTTGACCTATGGATACTGCACAGGATTGAGAAGAGACCACAGATATCCGAAATTTTGTAACAATTTCGATTGAATAAGATATGAATATACACCGACACCAAATACCACTCTTCTATGCCTTGCGGAGCATCCGGCCAACCAGACTCCCCTTGGTCTTCTCCTTCAACTCAACATGACTGTCAACTACTCTATACTGCGTGAATCGCCACTTCGGGACGCCAGAGGCATAGAGTGCATCCATCTCAGTATTCGTACGATTTTTGGTCTCGCCTTGGAACCAGAATAGTGCAGCAAGGATGAAGATCTCAGCGCCTACAAAAAGGAACATGACCTTGCCACCCCAATTCAGCTGGTCAGGATTGATGAAGAAGGGAAAGACGCTGGAAAGTAGAAGCGCTGTGAGTTGTTGACAGACAAGGACAAATGAGATTGTCTTCGGTCTCGTGGCTTGTGACGAGGTCTCGGCGGCAACCGCCCATCCGTAACATCCAACTGTCGCAGTGTATCCCATGGACCAGGTAATCATGAAAGCGAGATTCACCACGTTTGCGACATGGTTGTCTTTTGGTGCCAAAGAAGTACCGGCAATGATGACTGACCAGAATAGGAGAATTGTGCCACCTCCGATAAGGCCTTTTCGGCGCGGAACGACATCTGCAACAACGACTGCTGCACAATTGGCCACAAACTGGAGGGTTGAGGAGATGGCTGTGAGTTGGAAGGGATCCTTGGCCCCAATCAAACCAAAATAGTATGTTTGATACGTGTTTGCAAAGTATCCACCGGAGAAGTTCTGGACTTGAAGACCGAGGACTGCAACGAAGGTACGGATACGGTTCTCCCTAGAAAAGATTGCCTTCCAGCTAGTCTGAGAGATACCATCCGTTGGTGCTTCATTCTGCTTCAGCTCGTCGCGGATCATTTGTAGACGCCCTTCAATGTCGACTTTTGAACCATACAGCTTCACGAGCGCTTTGCGGGCGTCCTCTTCGCGGTCTTTCTTCATATACCAAACGGGAGATTCAGGGAAAAATGGCAGTCCGATGAGGTAGATACCAGGAATCAGAAAAGTTAGAACGAAGGCCAGGCGGTATGACCATACACCCTGGATATGAGACGAGCCAAAGCCAGTGATCGACGACATGAAGAAGCCAAGAACGATGATGACGTTCGTCAGTGACGCCACAGTAGACCTCAGATGGGCGGGCGCGTTTTCCGTCACGTAAAGAGGTGGGGTTGCGGTTGATAGACCAATGGAAAGGCCAAGAAGCAGCTTCGACACGAAGAGAATTGGGAGATTCGGTGCAAACACCAAGGCGAAGCTGGATGCCAAAGAGAGGAAAACAGCAAGGTACAGAATGGCTTTGCGTCCGAATGTATCTGCGAATTGGCCTGCTGCGTATCCACCAAAGACCTGTCCAATAGTCGATGCTGCATTCCAGAGAGATTGCCAGAGGGCTGGAATGACATACTCTTCTCCAGAAGTCGTTGCTTCGGGATAGTAATGACCATAACTCTCTCGGAATGCCGGAAATGCGATAGCTACGCCAGATAGACCATTGTCATAGCCCCATCCAAAAACCAAAAGTAGACAGTAGCCTGTCCACCAACAGAATCGACTATCGGCTTTGATGGCTCTGCCAAGTCGTCGGTACTGATCTTTGATGGATAAGTCCTGAGAATCAAAATTGCTCGAGGACATTGACTCAGTTTCAATGTAGACAACTTCCGATTTGTCCACTGATTCGGGCGTCGTTCTTAGTTCTTTATGATCCATGGCTAGAGATGAATGATTGGAACTTCAGATGACCAATATCAGGAGTGAATGGAGAAATGTGATGAAAGGCTGTCGGGAAAGAGGAATCTGAAGGAGAAGAAGATGCCGGAGGAAATGATTCCTCGATGGCGATCCATGATAACCTTATACCCCAGGAATGCGGCATATCAAATTAAGCTTGATGTGGAGAGAACCTGGAGAAAGTGGAGGCGAAGGATGGGTCGATGGATGCGGCGTTTCTTCGGTGCTGAACCAGCCTTAAAGGTGAATCCCGCCTCCAGTGGCGGCCAGCTTTATCCATATGAGGTTAAATCTACCGAATATTCTGCGAAACCCGTCCCGACTTCATTTCGAAGACCGTCTGTTTGGAGCATCAGAGCTCATAGGAGTGAATCCACTAGTTCAGTGAGGCGTCAATAACAGAGTAAGTTACCCTCGACTTTCGAGAAACTATCAAGCCACATCAAACTCACGAAGATGTCGACTGCTTCGAGCTCGACTGACTTGTCTACTCCATCAGATTGCCCGTCATACTCTACGACACCGCCATCATGTCATACATCTGCCCAGGAAATCTCAAATCCATCATTGGTCCAGCAGTTCCAACGATGGAGGCCATCTTACCACCTACAAGCACCATCAGGATGGATGAATGACCCGTGTGCACCTGGTTACGATCCAGGAACAGGTCTCTACCACGTATCATTCCAATGGAACCCGAATGGGTCGGATTGGGGAGATATCGCATGGGCATCGGCTCATTCTCACGATCTGATACACTGGACTGTCAAAGCCGAACCCTCCCTGTCTCCTGACTCTCCATATGATTATCAAGGAGTGTTTACCGGATGTCAGATGCCTACGATAGATGGTAGTATCACGTATGCCTACACATCTGTCAGTGCGCTTCCGATACATCATAGCCTCTCTCATCAAAGAGGCAGCGAGTCGCTCAGTCTCGCTAAATCGTTTGATGGGGGGAAGTCTTGGACCAAAGTTGATGCAAACCCGATCCTACCTAGCGAGCCTCCTGAGTTGGATGTCACTGGCTGGAGAGATCCTTTTGTTGCCCGTTGGGCAGCTATGAGCAAAATCCTGGATCGCAATCCTACCAGTACTTTATATGGTATAATATCCGGGGGTATTCGAGACGTCACACCAACGACATTCCTTTACGCCATAGACGAATCCAATCTAGAGCAATGGGAATATGTCGGGCCTCTAGTAAACTATGGCCTGAATGCTCGACCGTCTATGTGGAGTGGTGATCTCGGCAAGAACTGGGAAGTCACCAACTTCACATCACTGCAAGGTGCGGATGGTAGCATGATAAATTTGCTCATGATGGGCACCGAAGGCTGTTTATCAACATCTACTCCTGATCTCATTGGACCGTCACGACCAGCAAGAGGCCAGCTTTGGATGGTCGGGTCACTCCAGGAACCCGGAGCAAATACGTACGATAGCCCTGTCGAGATGAAGTATCATTTTGGTGGCCACCTCGACCATGGTTGTCTCTATGCAGCAAACTCGTTCTACGATCCAAAGTCACAGAAGCAAATCGTCTGGGCCTGGATCACGGAAGATGATTTATGTGATGATCTCCGCCATCTTCAAGGGTGGAGCGGAATGTTGTCCATGCCGCGTGAGCTCCATATGCAGACAATACAACATGTTGTGCGAGGTTGCTTCAGTGACCTTGCAGATATCACCTCAATCGAAAGTAGACTGGACAAGAATGGCACATACACCATTTCGACGCTTGCTACTCAACCATACCAACCTTTAGTGCATGCCTTGAGACGTGGACCCAACGTGAGAAAGACCTCTTTGACTAATCAGGCTTTGTCAACTTCATTCCTCACAAACACGCGTATTAGTACAAGACAATGGGAGCTATATGTGGAAATTGCCCTCGCAACGCAAGCTGGTCGCATTGGTATCAGGATTGCTCACTCGGTGGATGAGACCCGCTGCACTGAAATCGCATTCAATCCACAAGACGAGATGATAACACTATCCCGACCTCCTCTCCCATTCGAGAACTCTGCTCGCTTAATCAATAGCGCCCCTGAGTCAGCTCCTCATACATTGTTCACGAGTCGCAGTCCGCATACGCATATGGAGAGCACCGAGACTCTAAAGATACGTGCGTGGCGGGACAACTCAGTTCTTGAAGTGTTTGTCAATGAGAGGACGGCGATCAGTACTCGTCTGTATGGCGCTGATGAGACGTACGGATTGTCAATATTTGCAGATGAACAGTCGGGATCAAGTGAACTGATACGGTTAGATCTTTGGGATGGAATCGGGCTTCCGTAAGTCTAGGCTGTCCGATGGGATAATAGTCTCATTGTGTTCCAAGGTCAGTATGTACTTACACAACGTCTAAAAATATACTTCATAATGTAAATTCATCTGTGATATAATGATCCACACGTGCTGATAAATTCTCTTCGTCGTGAGAGCAAGACTCGCGTCCGACCAAGCTGCCTGAAACTACCCAGCGCCGTTTCACGTGCTACACTCTATACGACGTTGAAGCTATCGTGGATTAATTACAATGCTTTATGGGATCACCTATGCCAGGTTATGGTGCGGCGTGCTGGATAGTACGCGTAACGTCTACCACCGCGGCGTATATCTGAGATAGGCTTACTAGGTTGAAGCGTCATGCGACAACCTTGGTGGAAACTTAGCACAGCTTCTTCAGCTCAAATTCCTTGTTCCATCTCTGTCGTAGTGCACATCGCCAGTTATTCTTCGTGTCAAGCTCGCGTATTTCTGCCTCGCTATGTGAGCATAAAGACGCTTTAGATGCATCCGACTAAAAAGCATCATGTTTACCACGCTCGACGCCAGAACGGCCAACACCGCTCGAGCATGCGATCAATGCAAGATCCGGAAAGTTAAATGCAACTTCTCGAAGCCATGTACAACATGTGATGTCAGAGGACTGGTCTGTAGCTACGAGCATCCGCGTAAAAGACGCGGACCAGCAGGTAAACGAATTGCTGAGATTCAGCGGCATCAAAAGAATCTCCACGGACAAGGAGATAATAATGTATTCGAATCAGCACCCGGAAACGACCTTCAGGGCTTGAATGTCTCTAGATCCGATCAGACATCGTTAGATCCAGCCTACCAGGAGCGCAATATGAGTTTATCAAGTTACGAGTCTAGATCTTGGCCAGCAAGCCATGCATCCACTAGTCCTCAGGATAATGTCTCTCCTTATCCCGGTCTGCACGATCAGAGGACAGAGTCAACTGCAGGGAGACCACTCGGACTATCGACAACTCGAGGATCATGTGAGCATCTCTTTTTCCTCGACTTGGCGTGCATTGCATCTGGAATAGCTGCTGACCCAGCCTTGGCGGTCCTTACGACAACTGTGCTGTTCGACTGTCTGCCACCAACAGATGATGCTGAATCTAACTAAGCATATAGTACTACAACCAGATACTCGAAGCTTAGAGCGAAACGGTTCTGATATCGCACTACTATTGAATCCTGACACCTCTCACGAGACGGAAATTGTTTTCCCTAGCCTACCCATCGAATCACCGGCATGTGCCACCATGGACGACGCCTTTGGTTCTATCCAGCAGGAGGACTTGCCTCGAATCCAACAAAAGGACGATGTGTGGCCATCGATTGTCAACGAGCAAACGCTACTCCCTTGGATTGATGTGTACTTCAAACGTCTACACCCTACGATCCCCATTCTTAACCGTCCCAACTTGTACTGTGAGATGCTACTCCGCAAGCATCGGACTGATCCTCAATATGGTGCTATGCTCCTCAGTCTCGCAGCATTTGCAATGGAACAGCCTGTGCAGATACACGAACAGGCTATGAAAGCTTCGAGATCAGTACAATCTCGAATGCTGCTCCAAGAGTGTGCCAAGATGCGCGTTGCTGCTAACTTTGGGGAAGAGCCCACAGTTGACATGATCCTGACAAGCTTTTTCATGTTCGCTTGCCTCTTTGGTTCTGGTGAGCACAAAGCTGCTCGACATCGCCTTCGTGAAGCTGTAGATCTCGCATTTTCGCTTGGCTTGCATCTGCCACAGTCGTATCAAGATCTATCCCCGGAAGTGCGAGAAAAATGGCTACGGACATACCTGGTCCTGTCTGTTACTGAACGAGCTTATGCTTTACAGCAGAATCACGTAATTAGCTTCCGTGGTCGACCCGGCATCACTGCGCGATTCATGCAAGCATTCGACGTCTCCATGACTAATGAATACATTGCTTCGCTCATTTTCCCAGATCAAGATGTGAAAGCTGATGCAGTGAGCATGACTGGCCTGTTGTACTTGATGGATAGCTTCGATGCCATAGACGAGGTTATTATGGACTGCTGGAATGGCTATTGCCGTAGCTCCGATGGAATATGCGATTCTTTCGATCGCCGTCGGGCGCTGCAGATGTTTCGAGCACAATACCGTGTCCGTGAGGGCTGTTTGACCGGGAATATATCATACGCACCATCAGTGACCCCGGTACCTCTCTCGCAACTCTTGGAAAGCCAGCAAGCAGACATTTCCATTACTCAAATCTGGCTCCTCAATCGCCTCTGGCTGCTCTGCTTCTCCCATGGTCTAATCCGCGAAGACTCTGAGCACCGAGAGCTTCGATACGATTTCAGTGCTCAGCTTGCCCATGCAACCCTGAACATCTGCGAATCACTCTCACTAGCTGCGATGGAAGTACATGGACTTGGATTCTTGATGAAAATCTACGACATTGCAATGGGTCTTGTGACGGCTCTTCAATCATCTGCCAATCTAAATATGGACACTCCCAGTACATCGGTATTTGAGGATGTATTCCCGGGTTGTCCAATCTCACTGAGAACGAACCCCTGTATTCAAACACTCCTCGAAGATATAGGACGTCTAATGAAAAGTTTCCGTGGAGGGGACCATCACTTCAATGGGATGCTGGATACAGCCGTCTCAGGCGTTATGGGCCTCACATAACCTCCAGGACAGCGAACAGACCTTCCTTCACATCTTCTAACGTTGCGCTCTCGAAGCCTCGCCTCAAAGAATACACGTGAGAATATGAAATCATGCCATATGATCCCTGTCACACAAATGACTTGGTTGTGCACTGGCTAAAGCGCGTACCTTCTCTGGTTGAGACAAGCCTTATGCGCCTGCAACATGGACAGGTACTTCATCTTGAATCGCGTCTCGATGCATTTTAGTACATTCCCAGCCACTCGCCATGCAGTCTTCTATATCAGAGGACATCCTTGCAACATTTGGTGCTATATCCAACGACCCCACGTGGTAAGGTTGAGATATGTTGCCATAATTACTGCGGAGGCTATGCAGATTTCTCCGGTACGTTGAGCACCATACGACCGAGCTGCTATGGCATGAGTCTGAAAATCCACTATAAGCGGTCCAGCCAGTACGTACTACAGCTCCCTACATCCTGGCAGATAATCCTGTCAACAACCATCCGATTCTTGGCGCTGAGTTCATATCGTGAACGTCATACCAACCTTAACTTTGGCCATGGCGAACGATTCTAGAAGAAGTTTTGTACACAACTAAGCTGAGCGAGGTTAGAGGTGCAAGTCTCGGTCACTAGATGTGCAATGACTTGCGCTTTGTCCTATTTGGAGACACAGGAGACGTATGAGTCCTTTTGCTATACTACCCTCAATACTCAAGTCTTCGATCCCACGTATCGGGGTCCACTCATATATACAGTTCATGGTGCCTTATTACCACCCCATGACGCCTTTCACAGCCTGTAACAACACCATTGCCCCCGCCGCATGTGTAGCCGCATTGGGATGATAATCACACCCTACATCTGCGCCCTGCGTAGCCCACTCGACTAGATGGACCTTCTCACCCCCTAGCCGTGCAGTAGCAGCCGCAAGAGCATTCCTCTGTGTACTTTTCTGTGCCTCTGCGGCGCTCGGATAGCCATCACTGAGCATCGGACTCGTCATCAGGAAAACATGCGCCTTCACGTACTTCTTCTGAACTGTCTGTACGAAAGATACCATTGCCGACGCAAAAACCGTTGCATTCAGGAGTGCACGCGCATTATACGGCTGCCCTGCAGAGTCATATGCAATGTAGCTGAAGTCGTTGGTGCCCAGATTAATCACGACGACATCGGGTGTCGCGGATGATGGAAAGGTATAGCTGTTATCTGCGTCATTCGCGCCGTAGCGAGTCCAGTACTGAGGCATGATAGGGCTTGTGTCTGGATCGACCGTGATGTAGTTACGCGTGAGCCCCTTGCCGCTCCATGCGACGACGCTGTATGATGCATTGAGCGCTTTAGCTGTGAGCGCACCGAATGTCTTTGGGTTGTCTTCGACTGCAGCGGTGTTTGTGCAGGGGTTCACGCCATCGAGGCCGTAGCCGACACTGATGGAGTCGCCGACGATTTCGATCTTGCGTTTTGGGAGCACGTCGGCGTTGAACGTCCCGTCTGTGGTGATGTTGCCTATGGTTATGGTGCCGTATTGAGTCTCTGATCTTCGACGGAGCTCGACTGTGTGGTTTCCTCGGGGAAGCTTCGCTGTGGATATAGAAGTCCCTGCCACGTTCAGTATTGTTGTTATGGCTCCGTCTACGATGAGGTCGGCACTGTTTGCACCGCTAGCACTGATGCTAATGGTTGCTGTCGTTCCAGAAAAGGTGAAAGATACACCTGTGCCAGGCCAAGTCAGTTCTTTAGTGTTGGGATTGACCCGGCCAAGGTATTGAATTGCCCGTACGTGTCCCACAGTTGCCAAAGCATAAACAAGGCGAGCTTGGATGAGCATACTGGTAGGTGATTTTGGAGTCCAAGAAATTGATATCTGGATCTTCTCTGCTAGCTATGCCTCTATCTCACTTTTGAAAGATATTGATCCAAATTCATTCCGCACTCAGAATGACAACAGTTCATTATAAGCCACAGCGATTTCATATGATAGATAGGTAATGTGGCGAATGCGAGTAGTATTCTTGTCCTCTCGCGAACATCTTTCATTTGTGGCCAGGGCCCCATGTACCTAGTCTCGTTTATCTCGGGAATGGAGCTTCGATGTCCATATTACATGAACCTAGCCACATGACACTAACACTCCCAGTACACTGGACACACCGCCACTAGAGCCGGGCACTCGCCGGAGTTTCTATTTCTCACGGAAGAATATTCCGTATGTTGGTGTTTTAAGCATATTGCAATTCACGGTGTCAAGAAGCATGTCTTCGTACCGAGCAAATGCTGAGCCACAAGGGTATTCACGCCCCGGTGTTTGCACTATGCTTTATAGTGGTAGGACCCACATTGACCGGGGTCGTACGCGCAAACCTGGATCCCTGTATTTTGTATGCTTTACAGGCTGTCAATTGTTATCCAAGACTTCGGAGCCAATGAATCTTTTTGACAAGACTAGTGTTGTGTTATACGTTCACGTCTAGAGCTTTGTTTCCTTGCGTCTGGCAGGTGCATCTAGATGGCGTGATTCTTTTGCGCCCCGCCTATGCATTTTGATAAAGAGGTCATCAGGTATGTCGGCTTTGCTAAAGCCGCAGGAAGTTTTCATGCTTCGCTCCTATCATTTATGTATGTGATGCTGGAAATCCCAGTGTATACGAATTTGCAATCCTTTTCAAGAAAAGACTACATCAATTGGTGGATAACATCTGCAGATATACCCTGGGCAAAGCATAATGCACGCCGTTGTATTACTTCGAGAGAGGTTGGTCTTCCTAGGCTCTACGTATTCGAGTGCTTTTGTGGCTCTACTGTTTCTCATAATGTACTTCATACAAAGTCTTAACGTAGGTGACGGATCTGAACTGCTTATGCAACGAAACAGGAGCACAAACGCGTGCAAGGAATCCTAGGATGACCTTTCAACCCAGCTGGTTTTACTGCATGGAGAAAGAGACAGCTGGTGTCCAAGCTCGATCAAAACACGACACCGGGGCTTTGAAATGATGGCGTAGACATTATCTAGTCTATTTACTACCGTCTTACATTTAAGAACAAAAGTTCAAACTGGCGATCTTGATAAAGTCAAATCAGAGATCCGAATGTGCATGGTCAAAGCAGAAAAGATGGCGTCGAATTCCAAGCTTGCAGCTAGACTCACAAACTCCAAGCAGCCAAAAAGATATTTTGTTCATCACAAGGTATGTGATTATAGCTTTCCATGCTCGTTTGCGACGTTAACATAAATATACGTCAAGCCAAACTATTCGTGATGTACGCAATCCATAAACAACGCTCACATCTTATATACCAAACATGCCGTTAGAGAGATACAAAAACTCAGAACTTGGCCAATATCCATCTCAATCCCACAACGAATCAAAAAGATCAAGATCATGGACAGAACCAGAAAGACAAGATCGTATACAAGCGAGGGTAAAACCCACCAACCTCCTTTCAACCCCCTACGCAAGCTCTAGTTAAATCAACACTAACAAGTCCAAAGTATACGATCTCGACGAACGGAACAGAAATCGAAACGATCACCCAAACAACTACCCACTCGACCACCCCGGTCCAGACCACCGGACGCGACCCTACACGCATGACGGCAAGGGCGGACCACGACCTACGCCTTCACCTCCACCTCCACCGCCCAGAACGAAGTCTAGAATATTCGCGGGCCACGTCGGACGGGTCAAGGGACGAGTCAAGAAGGTTGTAGGGAGGGTCAGAGGCTGGGTTAGGAAGACATTGCGCATTTGAGGTGGATAGGATGGAGGGAGGTACGAGGGTCACTGATACCCAGGGGATAGAAATCAGGGGTTCTATCTAGTACTGGAGAAATGCTTTCCTGATACTATAGCAATAAGATGACCGTTTGTGATTAAATACTTTGCTCAAGAGATATGACTCCATGAAGACGGGCCGACAAAGGTTCCATGATTATCATTGATGATAGCACTCTCGAGATGCTACCTGCAGGAGTCACGCCAGAACTGGGCCTGATCGAAATAAGCTAGAAAGGGGCCATGTGCTAGAACGACTACGACTCATCAAAACAAACAAACCCCAACATCACTGATCTGCTTACTTCCTTACTCACATAACGAATCTCGCCAGGGCGATCTCATCTCATTCTTCGCCATCAAAAATACTGACTGGATAGACATCTGCATTGCTTTGTACATACGCTCACTCTACATTATCCCATGCCCTGACACGACTTTCTAGCTTCTATCGAGATGCATGTCCAGGCTAGCACGCTCGTTCTTCCGTCATATTCTGCACAATGGTGACTGTAACAGTCGGGACAAAAGCTGATTAGATACAAGATTCTACCCAAGACCGGGCGTATCAGGTTTTCAGATTTCGAAACAAGCTAGGGTGGAGCTCAATGCCTCTACTCGGGTTCACTGAGCGTGTTCCGGCAGATGTCAATGCCGGGTCTAAGGGAACAGTCCATCTTGCTGATCGCATACTCGGAGCTTGCTCACCAACAGGATTTATAGCAGCCAAATATCGTTACAAGTCCTCCCTCTGATCCCAAATTCCGAGGTGTTCAGCTGAGCGTACAAGTGCTCGCAGCGGTATCTAGTACTGTAACGGCGGACTTGGCACAAGCGGGTACTGTGACTGATATGCGGAAGCCGGATATCTTGCGCTGAGTGCCGGTTCTACTATATACCAAGGTAACACACTCGAAGAGGTATAGCAAGCAGCAGAAGCGTTTCATCGAGCGCAACGGCGTCAAATTGACGGCATGGGAACGCATCCGTCGATTCAGAACCATCTCCGCCCGAACAGCTTGTCCTCTCTCCTCTCCCCATCTTGCTCCGTCCTCGGCCCCCGCGTCCTCAGCACCTCATCCCCTGCTCCAATCCAGACATCCAGCTCGAAAATATCCGTGATCTGCAAGCCAAGACAGAAGCTGACACGGACATGTACACCCTCCCGTTGAGCCTTTGCCTGCTCTGAGATGTGGGGTCCAACCTGCCTTGCAACCTGCGCCGCGAGCGCTTCAGGTGTATATATTGTTTGCAAGGTTTGCGACCAGGAAGGTCGGGGTTCCGAGAAGTGGGTGGCTGCGGCATTCTGTCGATGGTTTATGAGAGCGGCGTTTGCGGCTGGAGTGAATGGGGGTGGGTGAGCTAGTGGCTGGAGAACGGGTAAATTGAGAGGGAGGGCAAGGGCAGTAGAGGTAGGTGAACTACGATCTTGCCAGAACTGGATGATAGAGTCGTCGCGGAACTCATCTTCGTGCCATGTGAGCAGCCACATGGACAAGACGAGCGACTTCAGTTTATGAAAGTAGCGGATGGGGTGTAACATCGCCTCAGTGATTGGTGTCGGGCGGTAGAGAATCGGGGCACCGTTATAGCCGCAGAACTTGAGTTCTGTGACTGTCGATGCGTGGTAGCTGGCGATGTTGTGGACGAAAGGAGGTCCAGGGCCCCAGCCGTATGACGCATGGAATTGCTCGTTGAAGGGCTTAGAAGGCTCTACACTCATGTATCCCTCAATTATGTCGTCGTACTCTTCCTGGAGACCGCGTGTGTCATCACCAATCCCCACGCCTCCGTCGATATCCTGAAGCAGGCGTCCACCAGCTCCCCATGTATTGCCTACCGGGCACGAGATTCCGATGGCAATGACCTTTTCTAATGGTGACTGACTTAATGCACGGATGGTTTCGCGCTTCTCATCGCGCGGTATACCGCCTTCCAACTTAATCGATTTGACTTTTGTCATATGGGATGCGAAGTCTTCGATGAACCTTCGTCTCCGCGTCCGTTCATTGAATTCCATGTCTCCCACTGGGTTATGTGTGAATGGTTCCCGCCTTCCAAACTCTGCGTCAACTCGCAGATCCTCCAGCGTGCGTGCAAGCTCGGCTACTATTCTTTCTCGACGAGCAGTATCTTCTGGGCTCCGAATAGAAACCCCAAAGAAGCGATCGATTGGCCATGCTAGGCACCGCAGGTTTTTGTGTTTCTCGATGAACGTTGGGAATATTGAAGAACCATCTTCGCTTGAATCAAGTAGGTACAGATCTTTAGGCAATTCCGTTTCCGTAAGAACCGTATTACGAAGCTGAAATGCCTTCAGGTTTGGAAAATATAGCCGGCTGAAGCTGTCGAGGAATGGTAAGGTCTGCCTGCGGTTGTCAGATGGCCATAGGATCCAATCTAGGGTGAGAGAAGTCAATGTGTCTGCCGAACTGTGCAACAAGAGAGTTGTGAGGGTGCAGGGATCTATATTGCCGAAGGGTGTCTCGTAGTTGTTGTTTACCGGTTGGTAACCCCGGTTAGCCAGATATGCAAAGGCACTAGGTAGATTATAATATATGCGTTTGTCGTATTCAGATGCCACGTCAAGAGGCGCCACATCTAAAGCTTCTGTTGGTAGGATTTCTTCCTCGGGAGAATATACCATTGGATGCGAGTATGTTCCTGCACGACCATTCGCAATATCTCGTGACTCGCCTGCGCCCCGCACGAGAATATACGACATGGCGGACTGCTCGTACGGTGGTCGATCTCCGTATAGGTGCAGACGTCGGAGCCTTATACTCTCGAGGCCGCAGCTTCTTGGACTGCTCTGCAACAAGTTCAGAGGCAATCCTTCCAGTGAAACATTTTCGAGCCACAGTCTCTTTAGCGATGCGGGTCTGTCGAACAGAAAACCTTTCAGGAGGCACTTCGTGAGATTCCAATGTCCATAGACTATTCGCAAGGTATGTACCCTATCGAGCAAACAAATAGCATCTGCTAATAGGACGGAAGTTCTTCTATCAGATGAGAGGGTGCGACTCTTGAAATACATGTTCGGAAGCTCGTTGAATATTCCAGGATGAGGTAAATGGCATCGATGCGTAATACTTTGTACACTAGAAGCTATAAAAGGATTACTATAGACCCATGTCAGTTAGTTTTGATCTACTGAAGGACTTCATCTCTAGCCACTGACTGTAGTATGACCAGGACCTTCTGTATTATCGGCGTGTCGTCATGTTTATCCTCAAATCCCCAGTCTGCTCCGAACATTTGTGGCTTATCCACATCTTTGTAGTCGGTACATTTATCCACAAGCTCGACATGCCGCCACAGTAACGGTATCGCATTGTGATAGCCCCATTTCGACGTGAGGTTTAGCCTCTTTAGAGCTGTAGAATCGAGATAGATGAGAATCGCGGAGATCAGCTCGGTCGGAAGGTCTGTGAGCTGTGCATGTATAAGCTATTTGTGTCTTTGAGAGGACAAGACCACTTACTTGAACATTCCGTTTGAATGGAGAGGCATGGTTCAACACGGTCGTCATGCTTGCCGCAGACACATCCACGCCACGGCCTTGCAAATGTTGGAGAGAAGCGACTGCACAGGTACTGTAGATGCAAAAAGGAGGCGTCCGATGTGGTGCGAATGAGTCTTTAGCTTGAATTCATTATATGAGACATAAAATATTCTCGGTCGCGGATCGCGCTTAATACGTGACGTCGGCGTTGAGATCCGACTTTGAGGGGCCCCTCGCCCACCCAAGACTACCCCAGACGCCCTGGCTTCAGGCTGCCCCGTGGCTACCATAGTACAGCGCAACCTATAGTAGTGATCTGCCTACTAATCAAGAGCCGGGCCGATTAGATGTACATAAGTGGGGACTTGAGGACTGCTGAATCTCAGGTAGCCTTGCCACAGCCCAGATCGGAAAGTAATATGAGCACGGACACATAAATATACACATGGGATACCTTGTATATTGATATGGACCTCCTATAGTACTCGATGCGTCTTGAGATGGGAATTTGGTTCGACATCAGATTCTATGTCTAAAGGGATAGATATGCAGAAGTTTCTATCTGCCATTGTTATTTTTCGCTCTTCGAACTATATACAAAGTAAATCTTTAGATGCATCAATATCACATGAAAAGCCGCCCAAACGCTCAATCTAAAATAGTATGTACCAGAAATCATCCATCATCACAAAAAGGTGTGCGCAAACCTGGCTGCACCGGCTCAACGCTCCTCGAAATCCCGCTTCGCAATGAACGGCATGACGATACATGGATCCCCTGGGCAGATCTTCTTCCTGTCGAGGCTCTTGAATTTCGGCCCATTGGGACCACTACTATATCGTGGGTTCCCAAAAAGATTGAATTGTCGAGGATCGTCTTCAGGATATTCCTGATCGCCCCATCTGCCATTGTAGTTGAGATACGCCACCGGCGAAGACGATTCGTATGGTGTGAACACTTGCGAGGCAAGATCGTATTTGTAGAAATACGCTGCCTTGGTGGGATCCCACTTTGGACCTTTGTCCGTGTAGTCTGTCAGGACGCCTTGCCATGGGAAGCTAGTCCCGGGGATGGTATGTGCCGATTCACCTTCGCGAGAGTACACGGCATGCGAACCGTTGCCAGAGAATGCGAGGATGCGTTGACCCTCTTTGCTGAGCGCATCCCAGGTAAATGCTTGGCCGGAGGCGTGCTGCGAGTACCACACCTGCGTGGGCTTGCCGTCTTGGAAGCGGATCATGTTGTGTTCCCTGAGATAGCATTAGTATAGCACGCGCGCATATTGTGGTCAAATATGGACGTACCAGTCACCAACGTGGTTCCCCAGGTTGAGATGGCCAAGCACGAGACCACCCCAGTTGAACGCATAGTAGTAGAAGTAATATGCGTCGAGCTGGTTGTTGCCGCGGTCGATGGTGAGAATCACACTGGTCTTGCCGTTCTCGGTCTCGCCGTTTGCGTTGGGCGTGATACCGTTCAACCATGTGGGATTCTTGGTGACATCTTCGTTGGATGTCAGGTAAACGTTCTCTCCACCCAGGTTGTTGAGCGTATCAAGATTGTTCAGGTCGAGCGGCCCGGAATTGACCACAGAGAAGTTGACTTCTGGCTTCGTATTTCTGATCGTATCCATCAGATCCGACGGTCTGTATGGATCTTGCGAATGGAGATAGACGAGCGGAGCATAGTCCAGAACAAACTGTGGAATAGCATCTTTTCGCTTGACTGGAGAAGCTGACGCGAGCGATAGGATGGCAGAAACAACAACGAGAGCCTGGAGAACCATGTTGACTGAGGATGAGGTGCCACTGCTACATCGCGAACAAACTACCAGGATCCGAAGAAGACTTTATACAACCAACGACATAACTGTAATAGGAGGCCAATCCGCCTGCGAGACAAGCTTCGAAGATCATCATGCGCTAGAAGCCGGTGCAGATCGCATTACTCCGCATGATTTCTAGGAGCAGTAGAAACTGTTCAGCACGCCAGATGATCAGTGCACCTTATTCGCTGAGAGCCTTATTGATCTTTAGCCTTGAGGTCACAGCTGAGTCTCGTCGCAGGGGTCTCAGTGTAGCTGTGGACGCAGCGAAGTATGATTGATGGCTCGGTTCGGGACGAGAACTAAAGAGGAAGTTGTCTAAGAGACCTTAGGATGCAGGTCCCGGTGATAGTCAAGCAAATAGCAGCCCCAGGTACGGCCACAAGGGGCGTCCATGCCGATGGATTGCTGCCGATGAGGGACGGAGCAGTGTGTTCATGATTCAGTCCAGCGTGGAGATATGGGTGGAGCGCGCAACGACAGGCATGTCGGCTGCTTGTGATATTCCAGCTTTCCGGATCTAGTCTGGAGTGAACAGGGAGGGGGCGAAAGACCCTGTGGTCGTTCCGATGTCAACTTCTCAGGGGCGCTGATTGGTTGCAACGAAATGGCATCTTCTGCTACCTTTCGCATCGAGCTCTTCCCGAATTTATGTTGATCAAATCATACATCCGTATACACGAATTCCGTCCAGCTTCCGTTCTAAGGCGTTCTCGTGGACTCCGCGGTGCAATCTGACGCTGTTTAGTCTTCGAATGCGACAGGTTGCTTGTCACAGGCACCAAAATAGCTGGCAAGGCTAGAGAGCCGCCAATGAACTCGACATCATGCGCTGGAGCGATCTACCATGCAATCCTTACCAGAGACACTGACATCTCCACACGTATAGATGCCGCAGCCGCAAGCTTAATGAGGGCCACGGACACAACCAGGATTGCTGAGGCTGCTGGATGTAACGTGCGGGATTGCGCACGTTCGAATCGGAAGTTGACAAGACTGACTGACTCGCGTGGCTAAGTCATCTGACGATCTAACCTGGGAAACTTTTCACATCAATTCCGGATGACTTTGGGGATAAATTTATGCGACTTCGTCTTCTGATGATAGCTGTGAAAATGACCAAAAAGTTAGAACAATCTCGCGACACACATACAGATGTCGCCAGCTGGATCGATACGACTGATAATTAGTCTGTCCCGAGATCATTCTCATACTCGGCCTATGCTCGCGATCAGAAACAAGAAAGAGGTTTCTCGTTATTATCAAAAGCGTGGACATTTCGACAGGCGACTGTCCTGTCGAACGATTCTTATCATCAACAATTTGTACAAGCTGTGCATCCAATATATTAATTCTGTAAGAGCGAGGACCGAGGACCGAGGAAGTTAGTTCGTAAACAAGAAAAAGCCTGCCACCCTCTCGCAAAAACGCATGTACTCTAATAATATCATGATACTTACACAACATCTGCTTCGAAGGATGGCTTCGAACCATTTGCCAATATTACCATATAGCCAGACCTGATATCCCATCGCCTCAGCCGATATTGGCGACCTGGACAAGTATTGTATTTTGGAGGAAGCAAAGACTTTTGGTGCGCTCTTCTCCGGGGCTTCATTGAGTTCGTATAGATGGCGCCCAATTTCATTTAGACTGCTTGGCTGCTCCACCCACGCGATATCCGGTATATCAAACCGTTACGCATACTGCGAGCTCTGCAGGTTGCTCTCCACTCATGACGGCGTGTATAGAGCGCATATGTTCAGCACAGAGTAGGTTTGATACACTGTCGCAGAGGCGTGTTGGATGAGACACTGTGAGTTTTGACTTCGAGTCTTATGCGGACACTAATTAATATAAAGATGCCATCTATCGATCATCGCCTACTTTCCCATGACGAAGAAGAGACAAACCATACTGAAGTTATCAATGGCATCCGGCGATACCTCATATAGCCAGCGGAGTAGTATGTTCAGATCTTAGGACTTACGGTAGGATTCCTTCGTCTTGTCGACAAAGTCTCCCCTCCTGCAATGCAGTTGCCGCCTAAAGTATTATACGTGACGATGTTATCATATACGCCAACTGCAATACTGCAAACTGCAAGAGTAATCGCTAGCAAGTCGATGGCTGAGTATGCGTAGACATAACCTCGGGATAGAAGTGAAAAAGAGCCCCAGAGCGCCAAGCTGCGCTATTAATCAATATCCATGCATGTCCACAGGTCCAAGCACAATCGAAGCACGATCGATTTGATTGATGCGAGATAATTAAGGCAACAAGGCGGCAAGGCAGACACATATAAACCGTGAATGATGTCCAGCGGTACTAATCTGACGAGCAAACCTACACTCTAAGGTGTAATGTAACATCACCATTCCTTCATCACAATGCTAACGAGTAGTGTGTCTTGACATCCAGGGTCCTACCCTGATGTCCACGCTGACCGAAACGAGGCACCGCAAACGCGCAAGAAAGCGCACATTTAAATATCATGTCTGCCCTGCACTCTATAAAATCCCCAACATCACACATCTAGACGAACAATCCAACTCTCCGCATCTCAAACACCATATCAGGCTCTATACTTCATCCAATCCCATCCAAATCCCATCCGAATTCATCCAAATTCCACCTAGAACCTAGAGCCCCAGCCCACATCCAAACCCCGACCCATCTCCGAACATCCTCATATACACACACTATCCACCCCGACAACAACAACAACTACAACCACACCACCCACCAAAATGTCAGAACCCACCATCCCCGAAACCACCACGACCACCACCCCCTCCCCCCGCTACACCATCACCCCCTCCCTCCCCACACCCCAACAATACCACGACCTCCGCCGCGACACAGGCATGACCCCCCCGCCCCTCCCCGCCGTCCCCCACGCCCTCGCAAAAAGCATCCACTGCATCCTCGCGCACGACACCCACCACGATCCCAGCACCTCGCCCAACGACCCCATGTCCAACGTCGTCGGCATGGCGCGCCTCATCGGCGACGGCAGCCTCTTCCTGCAGATCGTGGACGTGTGCGTGCTGCCCGCACATCAGGGCCGCGGGCTGGGCTCGCGCATGATGCAGATGCTGGTGGAGTGGGTGGATGCGCACGCGCCGGAGGCGTATGTGAGTCTGATTGGGCATGTGAATGCGGCCAAGTTTGTGTATCCGAAGTATGGGTTTTTGCCGGTCGTGCCTAGTGTGGGTATGTATCGGTGTGAGCGGGTGCGGAGGCGGAGGGAGGTTGTTGGGGAGAATCCTTGATGATGACGGTTTAGTTGGGTGGTTGATTTAGATGGAGGGATGGAAAGGGGAGGGGATATGTTAGTGTGCGTTAGATATCTGAGGATTAATTGGAACGGCGGAATGGGTCTTGCAGGATACATTCATATGCTATATACGATATACGCCCGCAGTCTATCTATACCAATGTGAAATCGTGACAGCTGGAAGTAAAGGGGTAACGATGTCTGTACCACCCACGGCCATAACCATCCCCTCGAGCCGTTTGATCGAAGCCCAGAATTATATACCTCGTCTCTTACGCAACCTCTTACGATGCGTGTCCATTTTCTTTGGCGCTTCCCTTGATATTTCCTATCAGCCCTTTTCCGCCTTTGTCACCAACCTGCCTCAGAGTAACTCTCACGCTCAGATCTGCTGCAACGTCCAGTTGAACCTCGACCTTGGCACCCTTCTTCACGCCTCTCAATGCAGCCTCAGAAAGAACTGTTTCTGCCTTCCAAACGCGCTCACGCACCTCTTCCGGCTCGTCCTCACTATCATCTTCGTCACTGTCCTCATCCTCATCATCTTTCTTCTCAGCCTTGGGCTGTGGTGCAGGCGTAGAAACCTTGATCTGGCTCACACCTTCGCAGATCTTGATCAGTACATCGCCACCCTCGCGAGGGACGGCAATTTGCGCCGTACGACGCACAGGAACAGGTGTATGTGCTTCAACAAGCGGACGGAAGACACCGCTAGACTCGTCGCCTGAAATTGAAAGGATGCCGATTGCCTTGCCAAGGTGTGGTGCGGCAGTGACCATAGGGTGCGTGCTCTGGTCGATGTCCTCGGTTTCAAATTCGGAGATGAGAGAAGCTTGGATCGCAGCGCCTCGAACTGCAAGTTCAGAAGGGTTGAGTGAGGTTGGGGATGTTGCGGGTGCAAGAACGGGGATGCCCTCGGGAAAGGCAGATTGCAGAGAGCGGGCGACTTTGGGCGTGTGCGAAGAGCCGCCGGAGCAGATGATTTCAGACACGTCGAGGGGGTCAAGACCAGCCTTTTCTACGGCGGAGAGGGCAAGGCGGCTGATGGAGGCGAAGTACTTATTACCGATAAGCTCAAATCGCGTACGGTTTATGGTGGACGTGAAGTCGATACCAGACACAAGAGACTCGACGGAGAAGCTTGCGTTCGTGCCAATGGAGAGGGCCTTCTTAACGGCTTCAGACTCGAGCTTAAGTTTCGCGAGCGCACGCTTGTCCTCTCGTGGATCGGTCTTGTGCTTCTTGATAAACTCCTTGGCGAAGTGGTCCATTAGTGCCTGGTCGAATTGGGCGCCCGAGACGTCATAGTCATGGGCAGTAGCCAGGATACTGTACAGACCGCCGCGCGAGGCAATGACAGTAACATCTGTGCGAATACCACCAATGTCGACCACAACTACGATCTTATCAGAGAGCTTTGCGTCTGGTCGGGCATCGTAGGCAAGCACTGCGGAGACGGGCTCGTGGATGTATTGGAGGACCTCAATTCCAGCCTCCTTGGCAGATGCTGTAAGGGCCTCCTTTTGCTTGTCTGTAAAGTTCGTGGGCACAGTAATGACAGCAGCGTTAACTCCCTTTCCGAGATAGTCGCTGGCAGAAGTTTGCAACCGCTTCAGGTGTCTCGTTGTGATTTCTGAGATTGTGCGGGTGTTTTCAGAATCTTCTTCAGTGTCCTTGATGTTGAACGTCGCTCCGTCGGAGCCTGCTTTCGGGTGTGCTGATCCGGAGCATGGGGTGGGATCTATTGACTTGAAGCTACTATATTGTCAGCTGTAATGTATTGGTGTTGGGGCTGGATGTCCTCTACACACTCTTGCCCGATGAAATCCCTGAAGTATGCAACAGTATTCGTCGGGTTACGCACAAGCTGTGACTTGGCTTGCTGACCGTGAAACTCCTCGCCAGAAACATACGACAGCATAGAAGGGATTTGTCTGTCTCCGTCCTCGTTGGCGATCACGATTGTGTTGCCGTCATTGTTCGTTGAAGCAATCGAGCTGTACGAGTTTCCAAAAGAAATACCAATCGCGACGCGCGACTGGGATTCGTCGTCACTCATCTTGGGCGATTGAGAGCGTATGGAAATAATGTTAAAGGTCGAGATAGAAGCGGGAGACAATATTCTGCCCGCTAAACAAAAAATTCCAGGACAAGAGTCGGCTAAATCTCGGAGCCCCGCCGTCATTGCTTTTGATTATTCTACTGTTGTACTGAGACTTTGAAATAGCTTCAATTGATCCTGAGCAAGCTTCATAAACCCTCAGCATGTCTCTCACAGGCCTCGTCGTCCTCCCAGGCGACCCAATCCTGCCCTCCCATCTCCCCTCATCCTCCAAAAACCCAGGCAAGGCACTCACCATCGGCCCCGGACTACGACACATCCCGCCCACCACAGTCACACCCACAACCGGCGGCGCCCTCATCGCAGACGACCGGAAACCGGCAGTATGGGTCGAGAACAACAGCGGCCGTGTACGTATTCCTAAGCCCTCTAATATCTCACAAGATACTGACAACGCACAACACAGTACATCCCCGCCGTCGGCGACCTCGTAATCTGCACCGTCCAACGCGGCAGCGCCGAATGGTACTACTGCTCCATCACGCCGCACACGCCGCTCGCGACGCTGGGCAATCTGGAGTTCGAGGGTGCGAACAGGAAGAACAGGCCGAATATGCTGCCGGGCGCGCTTGTGTATGCGCGCATTGTGAGCGCGCATCCGAATCCGCCGCATCAGGAGCCGACGTTGACTTGTATATCGCCGACGACGCAGAAGGCAGATGGTATGGGCCCGTTGAAGGGCGGGATGGTGTTCCGTGTTAGCTTGGGGCTGGCGAGGAGGTTGTTGATGGGCAGTAAGGGCAAGTTGGATGTGTTGGAGAGGTTGGCGCAGAAGGGGGTGCGGTTTGAGATTGCGGTGGGGAGGAATGGGGTTGTCTGGGTTGAGGGGCAGGGTGGGGATGTGAAGACTACGTTGGCAGTTGGGAGGCTGTTGCAGGAAGTTGATGAAAAGGTTGCGACGTTAGAGGAGCAGGGGAAGATGGTTGAGAAGGTGGCGAGGACGCTGAAATGATTGCGCGGAAGCGTAAGGTCGTGTTCGAGCATTGCGATGGCGTCTGGTTGAATGCATCTGCGGGCGTTCTTGGTCATAAAAGCACATTTTGTAGGGAGATTGTATCGATGTCACCAGTCCAGTGTCGGACGGTTATTGTTCTCAGCATTCCTATCAACCTGCGTGATACCGAAAGTTGGCTTCGTCCCATCCCAGTTCTCAAGCTTATCTTGATCCCATTTTTCCGCGACAGCTAATCCCAGGTCCTCCCATTCCTCCAACAAGCTTCTCTCACTCACCCAACCCACCGCAACATTCACAACCACCCGTCTCAAGCCGCCCAAGAACCCGTACTCTATTCCCACTTCGATATCAACCGGCGTGATCTCATCCTCATGGACGGAGTCCTCGCTTTTCGTAACCCTCAACTCACTCAACGAATGTGCTGGCAAGCCCCGAAACTCCTCTCTCGCAACAGCCCGTCCCGTCCAAAACTCCGCCGCTACGCTGACCTTCTCCAGCCGCGGACAAAACACCAGTAAGTCATCCAAATCACCCCTACGAAACCTTGGCAGCGAACACGTCGTGAACACCCTCAGCTGCCCACCAACACCAGCCAGAAACCGCACCAAACTCGCGCATTCTAAGACGGGACTATTCGTCACACTCAACCTCGTCAGCGTCGTCGGTAGCCCAGCCGGATTCATTCCTAGATTTCCCCCACATCTCCCCTGCAATCCCGCCATAAACACACCACTCAGCCCACCCGCCAAATGCAGCTCCCTCAACGCCGGCCACCGAATATCCGCCCCATCATACGCCCCATCCCGCACCCCAGTCCGCGGAAAAAACAACACCTCCAAGGCCCGCAACCCAGCCAACGCCCTCCCCAAATCCCTAAAATCCACACTCTCACACACGAGCCGCAAATCAAGCACACGCAAGCGCGCACAATGCGCCAGAGCAGGGTAGCTATTCAGCGCAAACCCGGTCTGCGGCGCGACAAAGACCTGCAGACTGGCCTTTGTGCGGCCGAGCAAGCGGGCGGTTGTCTTCTTGGTGGAGTGGTGGACGATGTGGGAGAGGTCGAGGGTGTGGACGAGGGAGGCGAGGTCGGAGCGCTTGATGTGCAGGTTGATGGAGGGCACGATGGTGCGGGTGAAGAGGTCGAAGTTGGCGCCGCGGATGTGTGGGTGGGCGTAGAGGCGGGCAATGGTGACGGTGTGCCATTGTGTGTTTGTGAGGCAGAGGGCGGCGAGAGTGGGTTGGAGGGCGGGATCGGTGGGGATGTAGGAAAGGATTTGGAGGAGGATCTCGTTCGGGAGGTGGGCTGCGGGTTTCGAGCCGGTGGGCGATGAGGGCGGTGTGAAGTTCTGGGGATTGTCCATTTGGATGTCTCCAGCTTGACTGAGGGGGCGTCGCCGAAGCTGAGAATTTGGAGAAATATGTGTGATGCCCGAGGACCTTATAAGTATCTGAACGAAATGGTGATGATGTCGTTAGTGGCGCGAGATGGAGCTAGTACCGAATAGGACTTTCAGCCACATGTTTACTCCAAACTATACATTTGATGCTGAGCAACGTACTCGGCCGACAGCTTATGATCACAATCAAGAACCATATTAATGGCTGGGCTATAGCACCGTAGGTATCTCAGATTCTTCAGTTCACTTTCCTATTTTCTGTTGTATAGTTTTTGTAACATGGTCGTCACCTGTCGTTGACATGACTTTCCCTTCACGAGATTGTAATAGTTTACATGACTAGGGCATAACCCTCTGCGGGTCTCTTGGGAATAGACTGGTCAGGCGAATATTCGGCAGTCCCAACCAGAAACATACGATTCGCTCCAACCCAAACCCACCACCTGCATGTGGCGGACATCCATACCGGAAGCAATCGACATAGTCCTTCACTGCCGCTCCCTCAGGGTCGATCGGTGGGTCAAATGCCCGCATCTTCTCTTGCAGAAGTCGCGTACTGTGAATACGCTGTGCACCGCTCAAAATCTCCTGTCCACGCATGAACATGTCATACGAGTTACTGAGTTTCGGTGATGCTGCGGAAGGCATCGTGTAAAAAGGCCGAATCGCAAGTGGGAATTGGTCGAGTGTGTAGAAGTCCGAGCCGTATTTCTGCAACACAAGTTTGCCGAGGAGTTTCTCCTGTGGTGTAGACAAGTCATCGTAGTCATTGAGCTCTTCTCCAGCCTCGCGGAGCATGGCGATACCCTCTGCGAACGTAATACGTGGGACGGACCCCGCTGCTGGGAGGGCAAAGGGCTCGACGTGGTATCGGGAGCGGACCAATTCGGTCTCGCGGCCATAGCGAGTTTGTAAACCGGCGAAAATGAAGAGCATGAGTTCTTCGAGGAGAGACATGACCTCGTGGTAGTCCTCCTGGAACTCCATTTCGAGATCGAGACCAGTGAATTCAGTCAAATGTCGGGCGGTATTCGAATTTTCTGCGCGGAACACAGGACCGATCTCCATCACACGCTGAAACCGAGACGCAATGAGCATTTGCTTGTAGAATTGTGGCGATTGTGCGAGATAAGCTTGACGGTCGAAGTATTTGACTTCAAAAACATTAGCACCACCTTCGGATGGTGCTCCCAGAAGCTTGGGACTGTGGATGAGCGTGAACCCCTTGCTGCCCAGAAACTCTTGGAAGAGTGCGCAGACACCGCCTTTGATTGTGAAGATGGCGTTGTTGATCTTGGCACGCAGGTCGATGGTTCGGTTGTTGAGACGTGTGTTGAGAGTCACCAGCGGGTGACCGGACTCTTCGTCATTTTCCTCCTCACCAGTAGCTTCAGATGGTAGGGGTCTTTCGGCATCCTCGACTTGGAGGGGGAGTGGGACTTCTGCCTTGGCCTCGATGAAAACTCTCTTGATATGGATCTCATAGTCCTTGACTGTCGCGCTGTTGACTGGTTCGGGGGTCTTCTTGACCAGGCCTGTAACCACCAACAAGCTCTCGGTGCTGATGTTCCCAGCAAACTTGACCATTTGCTTGCTCAGGCTTTCACTCGCTGCAACGACAGCCTGCACGGTCTCCAGCTCTTGTCTTAAATTTAGAAAGGCCAGCTTGGCACTCTGCACCCGCGCATTCTCAACCCAGCACCGCAGGGTCACAGTTTGATCTGCATATGAGGCCACTTCGGATAGCTTGATTCGTTTCTCGCCCGTTGGCTTGAATTCGGCAGACCCTATGAGAGGCAATTCACCATAGTCGTTTGCAGAGACATCGGCGGCGTCTTCTGCTTCCCTTTTTTGGCGCTCTGCAAGCTCGCGCTGGCGGGCAGCTTCCTTCTTTTTCGCCTATGACAGTTTATTAGAGTAGCTCCGATACCAAGTGTTGAGATTTTGATTACCTTTTCGGCGTCCTTCGCAGCCTTCTTCAGGGCATTCTTTGAGGGCGCATTTCCCTCTGTAGCAGGGCCGGGTTCGGTCATGATGATGGCGCGTCCACAAAAGTAGTTAAGCAGTCGGAAGAGCAATAAAGCAATCAGACGCGCGGCAGAAGAAAGATTCAAGGTTTCGGGGCCTGTCGCGTGGTCAATGGCGGAGGAAATGAAATAATGTTTTTGCGGGGTCGGCCTTTGGTCTTTCATGGTGGGGCAGAGGCAGTGAAGTTTGAGTCATATCTTGCAATACACAGTCACGGAGCCTGGAGCAGATTTTGTTGCATTCAATATCGGAGACGTTCGTCATCCACTTGCATATGTTTTTTTATCTTATGTGCTTTAGTTACAGCCCTTCTCTCCCTCAAGATCATGAAGATCCTCAAGATTAGATGCCGTGGTGACCACTGTCTGCTTCCTTAACCCAGTTTTCGCCGCTCATCAATGTCCTCTTCAAGAACCGGCAGCGCTGACCGTACATTCTACAGTCTCTCCTACTTTCAGAACCAACCTTGAAGGTCGTTGTGACTTTTGTTGAACAGATTGCGCTGTTGTTCAGATAGACCCTGGTTGCTGCTGGATGAGCTTTGTTCGTTGCTCGATTGACTCTGGCTATTGCTAGACTGGGCCAGCTCGTTGTTTCTCAGGATCTGAGTGATCTGGGCCAGGTTTGGGTAGTTGTGACTCTCCCTCATCATCTTAAAGTACTCATTCTCCGTATCCGTGAAACGACCCTGGGAAGAAGAGGCTACATTAGGTCGAGCTTGATTTTCCGTCTCCGTGGAACGACTCTGGGAAGGAGGCCCTACACCGGCTCGAATCTGCTCGTCGCGCATTCTCAGCTCTACCACTCTCTGCTGCTCCCGAATGCGTTTCGCCCGCAGTGCAAGGTCCGTGGCAAAATAGCTCTTCCTACCTTCCTCACTCGTGTCCATATGACGAGGCTCCGGTACCCTCCAATTACGTGTGAAGTAAGACCTTTCACCAGTATCAGTTTCTTTGGCATATTCTGCGAGATTCTCGAAGAGTCGTAGCATTCCCTGTGTACCAATATAGTCGTATTGTTCAGCTTGGGCGGGATCGCGAGCACGAGCATTTGCAAGAGATGGTAGCACGAAGTCATCGTTCTGATCGACTCGTCCAGATCCCCACCACTCTTCATTCTTGTTTGCGTGCTCTGCGTGAGGAGTTGGAAAGGGCCCTGCACAGTCGCGGCAGCCTCCCATAGACATTGTATTGAGAACCTGGGGATTTGGTGGCTCATCTGGCTGACCATTGATAATTTCCTCCTTCCTGTTCTGGAAGGGATCAGGGTCGCCTTGCAGAGTTGGATACGGCGCAAGTCGAGAGCGACCAACGTTCAGGCCAGGGGGAGGTTGAAGCGCGCGAGGAATCTGGGGGATTGCTGCTCTGGTCTGCGGTTGATATTCCGATGAAGCATCCGCTAGTGCTTGTTGCATCGTGGTGACAGGTCGACCGCGATATGCTGCGCTCATGTCTACAGCTTCATCTTCTATATCATACGACTGGAAAAGTCTTCTGACCGACTCCTTGTCCAGTCCAGTTCCAGATGCCAGGGATCTGATCTGCGTTGTGTCATGCTGGCCCGCGTTGTTCCTCTGACCATTTCTGCGTATCTCATCCCACAATGCCACTTGAGTACCTGGAACGTTTCCGAAACCATCACGGTTGTCTCCATAGGTCTGGGTACCGAAGGTAAGCGGCTGTTCCTGGGTGCGGTGGTTGAGAGGATTGTAAGAACGGTCTTGTGGATGGTTCTGAGGAATCGGGAATTGGTAGTCGCGATCCATTGTTCCTGGACGCTCAGATTCTTGAGTGTGAAGGTAAGTGCTGCCCCAGCTAGAAGTTCTGTCTCGGTCGGACATGAAAGGATCATCAGACATACCGTGAGTTCCATTATCTCTAGCAGTAAGGGTAGAAGCTGACATGAGCGAAGCGATAGAGGGTGCCTCGGAGGTTGCTAAATCTCGATATGGAAGGCTCCTGCCAGTGGCCAAGCTAGAGCGTGTTGGAAGATTCACGGCAGAGCCAGAGACTGTTGACAAGGAACCGAATTGGTCCATGCTATTCATACCAGCCACTGCTTGGAGCTTGGGGCGTTGAGGTATGGCAGTGTTGACACGCTGAGTCTGGGAGATAGCTGAGGCATTGGCATTGTCATTGTTCCGAGGTGATGGATTGGACGCAGCAGCCTCACGTTGCTTCGCGACAGCTCTGAAATAGGCGAGTGTATTCGGCGGGATGCTTGAGCTGACAGTCTGACCTCTCAATCTCTCATCCTTCAACTGACCTTCAATCTTTTTCCTGTTGGCGGAAAACTGACCGATACTAACCCACTGATACGCGATAATGTCCCACTGGTGTGCGGATACGTCACGGTTGGGATGCTGGATGAATTTGATCTCGCCGTGAACTGTACCCTCCCATTGAGACAAGAAGATCAAGTCAGGAAGTCGCTCACCGAAGACTCTGGTGATCTCGTCATCTGCAGCAGGTTGCATCTGTGGAGTTGGTCGAGCTGAGATGAACGGCTCAGACATGGCGGAGAGTGACATTTGTGGGCTATCAACGGGTGGGTTTTGTGCAGGAGGATGGTTGAGGTTGGAGGTTGAAGTGAAGGTAGGCTCACTGTCGTTGGTGACAGGCGCCTGATGAGACGAAACAGATGACGAGCCTCCACTGCTGTCGGGAAACGCTGCATCACGCTTGAGGCCGGCAAAGAAGGGATCATTATCATCACCCGTGGTGTAGTCATCAAGAGCAAGAGGTACCCAATTCTTGGATTGGCTGCGACCGCGTTTGGATTTAAGCTTGATGAAGCCCGAGGTGGAGTGACCTGCTTCAGTCTGCAGAGGTGTCTCGGTTTGCTTCATCTCTCTGTTCTTTGCCCTTGCAGCGGAGCGTGCCATATCTGCGAATGTCTGGTTTGCGGCAGGAGAGGTATGATTGCTGGCCATGTCGCGTTGTGTGTCTGCACTGTCGGCAATGCCTGCTAATACTTGATAGGAAGGAGATCTAAACACTGGTATACCCGACTCAGCATCGTCTTCGTTGTCAGGGTAATTGTCGTCTTGAGTAACGAGTCTGAAGTGGGTGAAAGGAGAGCTGCTGGTAGGAGTTCCAATTGGGAAGCGCCCTTGAGAGCCAAGACCTCCTGGGCCACCGTTCGGACGGCGGCGAGCTGGAAACATCTGTCAGTTTGAGCGTGAAGGGAGAATGTTGTATAACACTACTGTTGTTGGAAGCGAAGAGCTTCTTGTAGGGAGAACCAAGAAGGGAGAGGGCGATACTAACGACGGCGCCGACCGTTAGGAATTTTAGTAGCCAGCGTGAACGTTCAGAAACGGATAGAGCGATAGGTACACGGTCGTCACTGCCAATGTACAGTGCGCACAGAAGGATCAAACAATACAGAAGGGAATAATGGAGCCAATACGAAGAATGCATCAGACGCACATTAGGGATTGGGATGGGAGGATAATGTAAGTGAGACGGCGGTGAGAAGATCCGGTGCGAGTCGCGATATCAACAACACCAGCAACAGAAACAGCAACAGCAACAGCAACAACAATAACAAAATAGCGGTGGTCTGACGATCAGTGCTGCCTGCCAGATACGTTTCCTTGCTACCACGTGCTTGTCACTGTTCACTTTCTTCACTTTCTTCACCTTTTCACTTACGATCAGACACGTCAGTTCGCCGTTTGCTCTGGGATATGACGATTTGCTTGTTATCACTAGGTCAGTCAACGACGTCATTCACTCCAGGTCTCAAGATCGCCGCATGATTTGATACATGAATCATGTACTTTGCGAAAGAGGTAAACGCTGCTGTATGCACACTCACAGCTAGCTATGCTACACTAATTATATTGTCCTGTTAGTCATTAGCAGATGATAATAAGTAGATATACTAGCCAATCGTAAATATGATATAATAAAGTCTATAAAGATCAATTGTGTAAGTAGTGCGGCTTATGCTGACTGATTCGTGCCTGAGGCAGCATCGACTCAGGGGTAATTCCAGATTGAACTGCACAGAACGATCTTTGGTGAAACCATATCAAGTTTCGTATTTAGCAGTGGTTATATAAGTATTGAGACTTTATTTCATGGTTTGATAACCGCAGTTCTTCCAGCTCGCTGCATTCGTTTATGTCGTCGAAGATATGCCCGACCACATTGATATCACATCGTTGAGCTCATACATCAACGCTCTAATTAACCACCACCTCACAGTCCCCAAATGTCGTGAGAAGATGACCTCGCCATATACGATCACCAACTCAGCAATCACTATCCCACTCCTCCACAACCTCATCCCTCCTATTCCCCAACACCCTACTCGCCAACTGCACACCAACAACACATCTCGGCTCATGCTCTCCACCCTTCCCACCCACACACCTCGCCATCCTGTGACACCTCTTCCGCTCCATATTCACCCTCCTACGCTCCGCAACCAAGTGCGCAGGGTTACAACACACCCAGCTCCCACACAAGTGACTCAGATCATACCCCTCCGTCTTCCACGTCACCTTCTTGTCCTGACTAACTTCAACAAGCCCCTTTTGGGCCTCATCACTGAGTGGCCCTGCGCAGAGTAACGCCCACACGCCGTAGTGGAACCCCACATGGATTCGTGCAAACGCAAAGCGGAATGTAAATGCCTTGGAGATGGTGTGTGTGCGCCAGCGCTTGTCGCCGGGTTTTGCGACCCATGGTGCGTGGAACCAGCATTCGAGCGCGGATTTGTTGCCTCGTGCGGCGGTCTGGACGGTGGCTACGTAGGCTTCGACTTTGGCGCGGTTTGGCGCGTTGAGGGGCGAGGTGGAGAGGATGCTGAGGGCCATTCTCTTGCGCTCGGGAAGAGGGACGAGGAGTGGGTTCAGGCGCTGGTGCTCTGGGAGAGGAAGTGGGAGTTTGGGCCGGAGGTGGGATCTGTGGAGTCTACTGAGGACGCGGTGTTTGGATTCAGGGGGCTTGAGGGTGGTATTTGGAGGGTGATTGCTGCTATTGGAGTATTCAGAGAGCGCCATAGTGGTTGGATGCCGTCAAGGATACTGCTAGAATGATGCTGGAGGTAGGATCTAGGAACGATGGAGATATCTCCAAGGCGAGGTTCATGATTCGAGATAGAAGAATTGGCAGTTCACTTATGACACAGATGGCAACCCTGGTCATACTCGAATGCATAATGATTGTTATCTAGATGCTGGAAGTGAGTGAATATGATACTGAGGACCGGAATCATAGAGATACAATATCACTTTTGCCTCTACCGTATATGCCAAGCAACCACCTTTGTGCAATCGCGTTCAATCTCGATATGAACTCTTCCTTTCGCTTCTTGGAATATTCTTCTTGCAGCTTCCTCGTTCATGATCATAACCTGTGAAGCTTTGCATCCATCAACGATCATTGCGCGGTCTGTCATTTTCTCCTGAAATTTATCTTTCGATACACCTTGGACGAATTCTGAAGACCCTCGACAGATGTGTCCTCTCGCGCTATTCTTGCCTATCAGGTCGTTGAACTCTTCTAGTGGTCTGATGCGTCTCTGAAAATACCAGATAAGCTCTTTCCCATCGTGGAAAGTTATAGCTGAGCGGATCTGAGACTTTCCACGAGGCTTTACTTAGGGACTGACTAGTCTCTTTCTACCTAAGTAACTCGATGGTATTTCATGTGGTAATATAGCCATCAGACAGAATCATAGAAAGCCAAAGATCATATAATAGAATTATCGAGCTAACTTATTACTATGTTACAAAATCTGGGCGGGCTGCATGTAGTTGGACACCTATCTGACGACCTATTCCTCAAAATTCAAGTAACCACACACTTCTGTCAACCCTCGATACATATAGTTCCTCCTCCGAGCTCTATTTGCTATCCTATTGCCTGTCATCAGATTTGTGCAGATTCGTGTAATCTTAACACGGCGTGTGATTTTAATAGATGTAGCATCGACCTCAGTGAGTTGTAGCGGGTCTTGAGAGTGTCGTCAAGCCAGAATTGAACAATGTGGATATCGACAACCTGTGAAGCGACTTTGTCGAGAGTCGTATCCTGAAGCCAAGTCTGTACGCCAAGCTGAGCTAGGACATCGCGGTCCGAGATGTTTGCACTGTCTAGCTTTAACCCTCGGGCACTCGCTGTGTGACCGTACACAAAGTCCAGAAGCCCTATTCGAGGATGCCTATGATTCCATCGACTGAAAAGCTCGTGTGCGATTCGTATCTCAAAGCCAAGGTACTCAATGGTTTCCGGGCTGTGCAAAACCAAGGGGATTTCGATGCCTATATTGGGGCTCGTGGATTGGTAGAACACCGATATGGTGCCAGAAGCGCTTGGTGGAATGCTTGATGAGTCCGGCGAAGACAAGCTCGAAAAAAATGCCGCGAAAACCTTTCCCTTCTTTGTTCTGGACTGGTGGGGATATGGCAGGGGAATAAGGATTTGGTCTTCAACAAGGACCTGCTCTTCCTCTTGGGTGAGTGGACTCTCCGACATGATAAGCCGTGCGCAACCGCAAACCAATAATTGACCAATTGAGGCGGTTAAAGAAGATTTGAGGCCGAGTTGAAGCGATGGACTTCGGGTTGTACAACAAAGAGGTATGAAATAAAGTTTATTTAAGAGAAACGGAAGTCACGGGTCACCGGAACAAAGCGGAAGCAGTCTAATATTCGTAGATAGGAAAAAGATTCAAGTGCGAAGTGGAAGACTTTATATTTCATTTCCAGAAGCTACACTGTCCCGTGGTTACCCGTATTGTTATCTGTTTAGTTGAGCTAGACCTATCCCAGAATTGCCTATATCATTAGTGAACCACTTAGAGACGAGCAACGAAGCTGCCCGGAACGTTAGGGCGAAGGTGATCGGAGGTCAATTATTATTCTCGAGGGTGAGTGCAGATAGGTCGTGCTCATGCGGCTGAACCGTGGTTTGTCTGTGACAGGACCGTCGCCAATGATGGTAAATCCAGGAGATGGCGACCGAGCATTCCTTCCAATGCCGAAAGGAGTGTCGCGTAACAGACAACATTGTGCCTGCTCAGTATCTCTGGCACTCCCATGATCTGAGGCCATTGAATCATTCGACCCTCTTGCAGTTGTAAACCGACGCCGACGGCCCAGAAAGACAATTTCAGGGGAGACTGAACGTTGCGTGACTGAAGTAGTCATCGAAGAGCTACTAAGAGCTGTAGTGCTACATGAACCGTGTGGTGGAGCAACAGATGTCGTCTCCACAATATAGATCGCAGACGAGCTCTTCTTGCTTAAAGGCTCTGTTTCAAGTTGCCGTTTGCCGTGCTTAGGGCGAAGTTGTTCTTTGGACATCTTCAATCCCAAGATACACAGCGGGTGATGATCGCATATCTTTGTCCCCCTGTGGCACCTATTGCGGTTGATGTTGATTGTCTGACGTTCCAAGACAGTGTGGCGTTCATTCACACATGGGAAGTTGCCACAACGATGGCTCAGACTCCATGTTTCATGAGAAGACTTGTATAGTGCTCCAGACTTCGTGAATCTGCTAGGCCATGGTGTTCCATATATGAAACCTTGTTTCTGGTCAAGAGAAAGAGTCTCGTCGAGGATGTGACGCCACAGGGTAACGCTCAGACTGAGATATCCAATACCTAAGCTAATCCCAAGATGAACCCTGTTGCACCATCTCGCGGGGCTAGGATCTTCTCTCCAACTCTTGTGAAGCCAGCACGCATCTTTGTCTAGGTCACCTCTAGCTTCCTCTTGAATTCTGCCGACTATTTTCCGGATTTGAAGGCGTTGATTGTAAGTGAGCTGGCTTAGTACGTATTTCTTCATACGAACATAGCTCTTCTGCCTATAGCTATCATTTTCACAAGGCAGATTAGATCTTTCGAAGCTAGACGTAGGCGTAACGTTATCATGAGATCGGTTTCCTGACGTCTGCTCATGGCTGGAGATCGCATGAGACAAAGTTGGTGTTGGTTGACTGTCGTAGTTGAATGGCGATAGGGAATCTCGATGAGGTTTGAGCCTGTCCATTGTTGATGTCTTACTATACCAAGCGATTGGTGCTTTGGTGAACTTGGGCGAAGCTCTATAGCATGTCAGCAACAAATCCAGACTTACAAGAAGCGCATCATACAAGAAAGTCACTATATTGAACCTGATCTATCGAAGACAGTGAATGATCGGTCGGAGACGCTTGATCTGACTTCAGTGTCACTGTAGACTTGGGAGCCAGCGCCAAACTGTGCTATATGGATGTAAAGCAACGTGCTAGGTCACTTAAAGATTTGATAAGATAGTTCAGCTAGAATAACTAGTGTGAGACGATGACCCCGATGTCGACTTCACTTGGTCAGGAATAGTTCCTGGCGGCTTCACCACTTCATGTCTGGTCTCATGCCGAATAAAGAATACTGATATTAGCACTAGAGACACAGCTGCTTATCAGGTGTATACATGCAAGATGTCATGTACCAGGAACAAGGGAGACCAGTGGAAAGCAATATTCTCTTCCCAGAAACCAGTGAGCAGGCTCATTTGAAGTCTTCTGATTGCCTATATCACATATGATCTATGATAGCATCTGAAATGTGGTACAATTTGATCTCCGCTATAATGGCAAAATATTAGCAATCGACATGAACCACACATACCGAATTGTCGTGCGTACCGGTAGCAGATGCTCATCACAAAAAAATGGCTTTGATATATTGCTTTGCCTTCTGGTCACAATGAGCTGCTGATATAATAATTGAATTCTAATTCACTTAGAGTTGTCGTATTGATTTGGTCTTCGACCAGGCAGTGCAGATGTACGGTATGTGCTAGTAGTCTACATAGTGCTACCATGGTGCCCACTTCATATGATGATACGGAGTGCATTAATGTAAATCCACGGCTTCTCAGTCGCCGCCAGTATATAGCTCCCCAAATGCTGCTTTTACAATGTAAGTTTGGAGGTAGTTCAAGAGACGATGTTAACAGTAAATTAGTAAGTAATTAGATGACTAGAACTAAGGCGGTAATGCACTAGTTTAATGCACTACCCTTTACGGTTAGAGGCCACTGTCCATTGCTAAGAGGTAAATGTACTGAATGAGTGAGTGGGGTTCAAGTAGTATATGAGCGCTCCTTTGAAGACTATTCGCCTGTCGAGCTCCTACATCTGGCTATTGATACCTGGTAGCTGGAAGGACTGTCTTTGAGATGGAACGGAAAGTGAGCCAGAGGCTTTACGCAGGCAGCTATTAATTACTGCACGGACAGTACTAAAACTAGCTAGGATGTTGCCCCCTGCGCTGACCCCTGTTGTCCGACCGTTGAATACTAGAGGAGTTTAAGGAGCAGGCTCCTGTTTATACGGCATAAACATATATATATATACGTACATAGCGAGGGCTTGAACAATATAGTTCAGCATTCTAGTTCTTACTTGGTGATGGGAAGACCTTAGTATAATTGGTTGAGTAGCATAGTTAACATGCATTATTTGTTATAATCTGATGCGGTGCCTGCTCCTCATCGCATTACCTGTTGAGCGGAATGTGTCTGCCTAGAATGCGGGCGCGGAACTGCATCAGTCCACATCCACATTAGACACATTTGTTCAAGCTGCGAACCATCTACTTGCAAGGAATTGGTGGTATATCGCGCGCGCCACATGTTCGCAGCTTGCGTTTCTATGAGTTGCAAGCTTTCACAGCAGTAATTGTTCGATTGCCTCCTCACACCCATACTATGCTCGTAGCAGACAGACACCAGAACAAAAGGAGAGAGAGGAGCAGAATATCACCCAACGAGCCACATGGACGTGCGATCATGCTCATCAATCAGCGCGACAGCGCGAAACCTTCAGACCAGCCCAAATGGTGAAGCGCGAGTCCAATCGTTGCTATGTGTGATCAAGCTTATGTTTGTACAGCTATTTCGACGCTTTTACAACCGCCGATAGCTCGAAGCGGACTGGTACAACAGAAGCCTGTGTCACCCTCAGCCCTGTATAGAATACCGACCGCACGCGACATTCCTCCCGTTGTTCTTACGTCGATACCGCCCGTTGAGACACGCGAGTTCGATTCATACGTGGAGCGGATTGGACCCATATATAACCTTTTGAGGTCAATAGGAGACCGCAGGGATGATTGTCGGGAAACAGATAAGAGTGGACGGATCAAGTGTTTGGTAGTAGATGAAGATGCTAATCCGCTGGATGGTACCATGCGCGACATTGGCGGGCTTGATCGTCGAAGCAAGCATGACGCGCCATCCTTGGCCACGATACCCGTTGCATATTTCGATGAGCAATTCGATTTGAGAAACCCAAGGACTTTCGATATTGTCAGTGAGCGGTCAGAACTTATGACATCGAGAGACGAGATCGGTGCAGTAGAGCCCAGAAAAGCCTTAGCCACCAATGCAATCCTGCAGGAAAAGCTCTCGTGGTACATTGACATAGCAGAAGTTCATCTGATTAACTCCCTTTCAACGGCAGCTACACCAATCTCGTCCACCTTCGCTTCATTGGAAGAGCTACATATTGAGGCTGCAGAACTCGTCGAGAATATAGCAATCCTGCGCAAGGACCTTGCTTCGCTGGATGAGAATCTTGTAGCGGGTGGTTTGAGACTGCTACAGAAGAAGCGCATGCGCCATAACCTTCAGCAACTACAAGATGCTATGCAGCAGCTAGAGCGCATCGCGCATGCGCGTACTCATGCGAAGCTGTTAGTTGAGCAAGGGCAGACTGCAGAGGCTCTTACTGAGATTGATGCTATTGACATGTTGATAGTCGGTGAGCGTGATGAAACAGTCGGGATCCCTATGCCACGTTCGCGACTCCGAGATTTACGTGGAGTTACGTCTTTACAAGGATACCGTGACGACCTAGACCATCTTCGGGTTAATATTGGTGATATTCTCGAGGCGCAAGTTCTCAATTTCCTCATCGACGACTTGCGGAACTACGTCCGGTCTGTTCAGACGGAGGCAGTAGTGTCGAGGTGGCGAGCTTCCCCGTTACGATCCATGGAAGATGACATTAAAGAATCGCTGGCATTTTCAACGCATGTTAGTCACTTCGGAGAACTCCGCACATCACTTGTGCCTGCATTTCACGGGCTTCATAAGTCTAGATCTATACCGAAGGTTATTCGAACATATCGAGACGCTATGAACCAGGAGATCCTCAATTTTGTTCATAAGCTACTCTCTTCCTCAGACGACGACCCAGGGTCTGTACCATTAAGATTGAAAACTGACTGTAGGAGTCATCGTATGCTTCAAGAACGAACCGCAATTCTGACAAGAATCGTTCGCAGTCTCAAAGACCATCATGCTGAAGAGCTCCTACTTTCCATCTTTATCGGCATCACTGAGACGCTCAGGCGAATTCAAGGGCAAACAGACTTGCTTCTAGATATGGCCGCATTCATTGGTACGACTGCACTACAAGACGAGATACGGAGACTACTCGACACTCCCAGCATTTTCAAACGTGTTGTGACATCAGGTTGTGAGCAGATCATCGAGATCCTTCAGATTCGTTCTGAGCAGACCATTCAGTCTCCGCTGACCTCCTTTGTCCGCTACTATGCTTCAAACAGTCTCTTCGTCAAGCAGTGCGAAGCTATATTGGGACAACAATCAACCTCCTTGAGAACCGTCATAGATAGACATGCTAAGGATTATGTTAGAAAGCATGGAAACATGCAGAACGAGACACTTGCCCAACAGATGAATAGTGATATTTGGCAGGATGAAGATTTTACAACCGAGGACAACAAGATATTAGACCAGGTTCTTCACCACCGCACACTTGATTCTCTGCACGATATCGGCCCGCAATATTCGTCGCCAAAGACGTTAGAAAACGAAGCTTACATGACTGAAAATGCCCAGCAAACAGGTAAAGTCCGTGGTGCCATTATAGACAACGAGTCCTTCCTTATTCCCAAGGCTGCGATTCTCTGCCTGCGTGGAACGTCGCACTTTCTACGCTTGTCATGCGGCATTCCCACCATGGCGACCGAGACCACTATGTCATTGATATCATACCTCCGTCTGTTTGACTCACGATGCCGCCAGCTAGTCCTGGGTGCAGGTGCTATATACTCTGCTGGTCTCGCGGTCATAACGCATACGAATCTGATATCTGCCTTGCAAGCGATCCGTTTTATGGCTTCGATCATCCCGCATATCCGCGACTTTGCACAAAGAACGGCTCGTTCGGACAAGAAGCTGTCCGACGAATTTGACAAGGTGCAGCGCACCTTTCGAGAGCACCAGGAGGCTATCTACGAGAAGCTAGTGGAGATTCTGAAGCAGCGCGCTCGTGTGCTATCCAGACAGGCCTGCGAGATTGAGTGGAACCTGGGGAGTCCCACTGATGTGCGGCAGTATATGACAAGCCTCACAAAGGATACAGGCAAGATATACAGAGCTTTAAGTAAACGATGTCCATCATCGATAGTGCTGCGTGTGATGACGCCGGTGTTTGCATGCTATCGAGAGCACTTTGTGGACGTATTCAAGAAAGCTGACCCAGTAACAAATACTGGTCGTGAATGGTATGTCTTGTACATTTCCAAGTCCATGTCATGATGAAGTTGTGTGGAATTGGGGTGCTAATCAAGTCTTATAGTATGCTTCGTGATGTCAAGCACCTCGTAGATAAGTGCGGTGAAATGGAGGGCTACAGTGATCTGGGTACCACACTACTCTTGATAGTTGAGACTAAAGAAACTGACGGCACGAGTCATGAAACACAAGGATCTCATGAGAAGGTCTGATAAAAGTTCGTAGTAGGGCCAAATCCCATTATAACAATATCTGTTATAGCGATAACCTGGCTATGACGATGGGGTTTCTCTGGCCTATCAGAAATGGCAGGTATAATTATGCAAAACCCCGGTATTTGATGAATAGTTTCTTTTGCGCTCATTATTGTTACATCGAGTTTTAAAAAAAGGTGTAGAATAGGTATTACTTAGGGCTTAGAGGCCCTCAAAGATTAGTAACATAGACTGAAGTGGTCTACAAATAGAGTTAGCTGATCAACGCTTTGGGGACTAGCTTATGTAAGAATTAACCATTCGATAATCTTGCCATGAAGATATGATTGACGTGGCCGTCTTCGAATCGCTCTGACGGGATTTGACTGTAACTATGTCGACGTTTGAGATCTATCACTTGGCTATATCGCGCCAAGGCCCGTAGCATGGGCCGGGAGCCGGTTCTTGTCGGCGGTAGCGGTAATTGGTGAGCATGGAGGTTATTAGGGCATCTCTCGGCTAAGCAAGGCAACAAAAGGCTACTTGAAACTTTTTAACATGCGCGTATGCGTCTCTTCATCCGCAAATGAAACTCGTGGCTGCAGAAACCAACGATCCAACGGCGCGTATCAAGACGCCAACAACAAATGGTGTGGTGGGCGGCCGCAAGGTACGAAACGGCACGACCCTCTCTGCCTTTGCGGGATAGCCAACGACGGTCGCTTGCGCCCCCGACAGGACACACATGGTGGGGTCTTCACGTTTCAGAAACACACTGTGCCTCTTTGTGATTCGACTGCGGTCCCGGATCGACAAACGTCAAGTGCGCAGGATCAAGCCCCTTCACTACTTAATGCTTTAGCCGTCTGCATTTTCTTGTCTGTCATTGCATCTCTCTTCGCATTCTAGCAGTCCCAGATCATCTTTCGTTTTGTACAGAGGTGATCTCATCTCGTGATACGTCATTTTCCTTCTCGCAAGGCCAGACCCTTTTGATCCCGCTCTGTCTCGCATTGTCCTCCGCGCATTTGGCATTGTTCAATAGTCTGTGCTCATCAAAGCGCTGTTCATATTTGACCTCGTGCGAAAAGTGCACATTTCACAATGTCGGTAAGTGCACGTGACTTTCTTTGTCAACACCATGAACTTCACTCTCGACACTATTCAATGCCGTGAATATGTCTTGGCATATCCATTAAAAAGACCTCGCTCTGTCAACGATTCCCTCGCATACGTAGACAACCTCCTCTCCTCCCTTTATTTCGCTGTGCGAACTTTCAACCCCCAACCTACATTTCCTGATACAGACATAGTCTCCTTCAAAAGCACTGATGATGCGCCTTTCATTCTTCGGCCTAGCTCTGGCAGCTGCCGCTTCCCCCATCTCCGCCGATGACCAGCCCCGAGCAGCGTGTGAGGATAATAACGCACGCCTATATGTGGCCTCGTACTCCGGCGGGATCAAGACTTTGGAGTACACCAGCAATGATGGCAAGCTCAGTCTAACCAAGAACGGCACCGAGTGTAATCCTGCTGCTGTGTGGCTCGAGCTTGATAAAGCCAACAAGGTTCTATTCTGCAGCGAGGAGACCAATGGTGGGCTTTATTCCTTCAAACAAGAGGAGGACGGCTCTCTCACCAAGCTCGCAAGCGCCGACGTCGTCTATGCTCCCGTCTCCAGCACTCTCTTCAACAACGACGGTAATCGTGGCATTGCGCTCGCAAACTATGCAAACGACTCAACTGGCGGACCTGGTCTGACAACCTTGAGTGCCCCTCTCACTGGCGACAAGCTCGAGATCCTCCACTACATCGACCTCTCCAAGGAGAAGGGCTCCAACGCAAACCCTGCGCGCCAAGCAACTCCTCATCCACATCAAGTCCTCCTTGATCCTACCGGGGGCTTCATACTGACCCCAGATCTTGGCTCTGATATGATTCGCTTCTTGTCTATTGATAAAAGCAACAACAACATCACCCAGGTCGGTCAAATCGCCGCGACCCCTGGCTCGGGGCCGCGCCATGGCATCTTTTACTCTCCAAAAGGCACCGACAATTACGACAAGGCGAACCCTCTTTACTACATCCTTACTCATGAACTCGACAACACCCTCGTCGTATACAAGGTCACATATCCCACCGAGGGCCAACCGATCTGGTTTGAGCAAGTCTTCGACACCAACACGTTTGGCGGCAATGCTCCTCCAGCAGGCGCTTTAGCCTCTGAGGTGCAGATCTATGGCAAGTTTCTGTACGCCGCCAATCGTCTTGACATGAGTCTCAGGATCCCCCCGCTTGGTTCAGACCCTAAGGGTGAGGCGACAATGCTAAGTGATAGCATTGCCGTGTTCGAGATCACAGACGAGGGTCATCTGAAATTTTTGACCCTCACATCAGCTGGTGGCGTAAATCCCAGGCATTTCAGCATAAACAAGGCCGGTGATCTGGCTGCAGTTGGACTGAGCAACAACAACACCGTGGTGCTGCTGAAAAGGGATGTCAACACCGGTATTCTCGGCGATCCGGCGGCTTGGACTGACGTCATGGCACCCACCACGGTCATTTTCGACGAATAGAACCATGACGGAAAGTGGTGGTCGTGTTGAACAATCTATCTGGGCGGACGAGCTGTTTGTACCGGCCCGACGACATTTCACCATGGCTGTGGCGGAATTTGGATTAGAAATTAGGTCCATATAGGCTAGCCTCAATATAGCTGTATTCTGACACAATGGTATCAAGAATCGCAAGTCACTATTTACTGTCTGTGCTTTGAAACTCCTCCCCTCCGGCTGGTATCGATGTACTATCTATGTATGGTAGATAAGTGTACCACAGCCCCTTTGTTTTCACGTTGGCGTGCTTCAGCTGCACAGCTACAGGTAGAACCGTCATTTTCACTACATAAGTCAACCTCCCAAAAACTATGGCAGTCGATGACTTCAGTACCCTAGCAAGAGCTTTGAATTGTACCTGACTTGTGTTTCCCGAGTATGGGGCTTGAATATCCTGGTCTGTCACTGCATTGTTACTGTTTATCTTCAGATCTAGGCATAGGTGATTCACTATTCGTAACCATGCCATGTATATTGTTTCTCGTTAGGTAGGGATACTTAGTCATCTGTCGTATTGTCCACCACAGAAATACCATTGCATCTCCTTCTATGTCCGAGATCTTTCTCCCTGTGCTTCTCCCATCCTCCTACCACCATAACCAAGAAGTACAAGTTCATCACGAATACAAATGCCAATGAGTTCCGATTCTAAGCCAATCATGCCTCTAAATGAAGAACATAGAGCACTCGGAGACGATCAAGTCATAAGCTCCAATAGCCAGACGTCGAACCTTTACCCTACACCCACAGGTCCAGACAACCAGCTGAATCAAACTGCTGCACTGTCCGACTCCCGCAACGAGCAGTTCATCAATCCTCAAGAAGTCAGTCCCCGCATTTGTCTACCATGCTTGGGCAGACGGATCGACTGCTCATCAGAGTCGAGCGCCATCGGCAATGGTGCAAGACTAGAATCGAACGTCTGCCGCTTCTGCTCCGACGAGTTGAAATGTATTCAACTGCAGTACCTCACGTTCCTGTGCAAGGCATGCGTTGGTTGTTACTCCCTTGGAGCCGACTCGGAAGAGGCCCGAACATGCAATATGGAAACACTGAAGCCTTGCGACTGTTGCGCACTTCGCGGTGAGCAGTGTACATTAAGGCTGAATTGGTTCAGGCCAGAAAGGGGTGACATTCCGGTAGACAGGAGAAAACTCCCATGGTACATGCACCCCCTGGACAAAGTTTGGATGTTCGATGCCCGGGTACACCTCCAAGTCGATCCTGCCAGTATCCAAGCCATTGACACGCCGTCAAATCTCACTCCGGCCAGTCTACATCGCGTGGCCCAGCCCCAAACTCGCAAAGAAGACACCCCCTGGAAATGCGAGAATTGCAAGGTCACAGGCAAGAATTGTTCTTTCTCCAGTGGTCATCCCATAGACGGTCCTTGTGATGCGTGTGGAAACTCGGCCAGCACGAGCGCCAGAAGACACCAGCGCTGCTTCATCAGTTTCGCCTGCGAGCTTCCCGTGATCCGCGACAGCCTAGTCGGGAAGTGGACAATCAAGCTGCCGGGTGAAAGGGACTTGTGGAAGTACGCGGTAGTCCCTACCAATGCCATCGAAAGTAGGAATAGCGTGGCGTGCGACGAGTGCAATGCACGGAACCGTGGAAAAGAGTGCCAAGGAGGGTACCCATGTACGTGGTGCCTTTGGTCTCAACTGGAGTGTAAATTAGACAGGCTGATAGGGGCGAGCAGGAGTGTGCCTGCCAGACCGGCTACAACGGGAGGTACACCTGCAACGGAGACCAAATTGGCGCCGAAGATGGCACCGCACCTGATGCTTGCGCTGCTGAAGCAGGCGGACGATGCTAGAGAGGCACGCAAAAAGAGAGATGCTGAGCATGGTACACGTCCCACGGCCGTGGACAGCAGCGAGTCGCTGAGGGCGGCAGAGGACGGCACTGAGTTGCAGACAACGGTAACTACTGGAGACAACCCAAACGCACACGCACATGAGCGCAGAGAAAAGCGCAATCGCTCAGTCAGTTCGAACGAGGACTCACGGTCTTCACACGAACGACACAAGCACGCCAAATATTAGGACGCATTGGAAGCGTATCTCTACAATTGGTCGTAGATCTTGTCAAGCGACTGACGATCTAGGCATCTTGGAGAGAATTAAGGGCAATAAGGAATGCAAAGAAGGTATGGACTATTATGGAAATCGTGGGAGGATAGGCTTTAAATTCACATAGACCAAGGAGGTCTAATCCTATAGCTATTAAGCTGAGATATGTTATATGATTCAATGATTCCCACTCTTTGCTAAGTGAACACATAAAATAATATTTTCCTTGTAAAACTATCGTGTAGCTTTTTCATGGATAGGACGTGAGATCTAAACTTGCTTGCTACGAGAGATCGATACGTGGACAATTCCTTAAAAGATCTGCCCGCTCTTACTCGCACTTCCAAACTTAAGCCTCCAGGCAGCACAGGCAGCCTTCATCTTGTCTATGTATACTCTCCTCTGGAAGCACTTCATGACCCGTCCATTCATCTAATCGCTCCGCAACTGGGCGTATAGTCCCGGCCGCAGTGGAACAGTCCTATGGTACCTTCTCGGTGACGGACCGGCGATGTCGTGACGGAGAGAGTGCGATAGCACACGGTCTAAGGGTAGGTCTCCGAGGTTCGGGGCTAGTAGAGAACCTTGAACGGTAGGAGCCAGGGATGTATAATTATAGCGCTAGAGTGTTATATCGTGGAATCGAGAGGAAGGAATAGGGATCGGCGATAAGAGGTATTCGAACAGAAGCGTAAGGGTACAGGTACGTGTGTGCGGAAGAGGCATGACCTAAATACAGAGGAATCTACTATCTGCGTTACGGTGTGGCGAACGCCTAATTAGTATATCATACTTTGGATATGGGAGAGTACGTAGCTCGGATACATAGCAGCGGTGTTAAGGGGAGGAGGATTTGCGAAATGTTAGAGGCTGCATTGGAATATGATCGTAAATTGTTCGAGATGGCGAGATATTTTAGAAGGCTAGACTTGTGTGCAAGACAAGTTGGGTGAAAGTGTATGTATGTGGCTGCCGAAATCTAGTGTGGCGTTTGTGTTATTTTGTTTCGCGTTGGTGCAGGGATGGTGTCATGTTTTGGAGGTTGAAAATCAGCTACATGCAACATAACGCGTAATGCAAGCTAGAGATCACGCAGGCCAGCTGCTTCGATCTCTTTTGATGATTCTCTTTTTCTTTTCTGGATACCTGCACCTCTGAGATCGATTCTAAATCGTGTCGGCGATTCTTGGTTTCACTGGAAACCGATGTAAGTGAAGCAGAACATGACTGACCTGCACGAAAACATCGAGGCTAGTAGTCAAGCATTGTGATAGTTCTAACGGCGAATTGGATGCCTGCAAGAGACAGAAACTTTCGAGAACGTGTGAGCTCTAAAGATAGATTAGGGACTTTCGAACCAGTGGACACGATGCGTCGTCACTGCTCGTACACACAAGAGTATGAACTAGGAATAAAACAAGAAGACTAGGCCATGACACAAAGATATGAAGAGCTTCTGCCTACTGTGCCTGTTTGTAGGCTTCGCGCGTATATCAAACTGACCTTGACAAGCGAAACCACTCGCACTTGGTCTTATACTTTGACAAACTTCAAAGTGCGGATTATTCACGTCGTAGAAATCAGAACTCCTGGACGCTATCATATTACATACACTTCAAGAGGCGGATGATCAGTTCACAGAAGTCAGGACCCCTATAAGCTGTCCTAGTACAGGACCAGTACAGGACATACACCCTGAGCATGACGAAATTTTGCGGACAGAAAAAGATCATCTAAATCCGGCGTTCCCATGTTTACCCGAATGGTGACCGGAGACAGAGTCAACACTGTAGCGCACAAAAATACGGTTTCAACGGTCACATCTAAGCTGAGGATAAGATGGTGGAGATCGTTTACTGTCACTGAGTAGAACGCACCCTCAATTCCACATATGCTAACATTGTCCTATCTTCTAGTTCGGCCACGACTCCTCCTCAGCCCAAGATCACAAAGAATAAACCTACCTAGTGCGTATGCCTTGGAGAGCACACCCTTTGAGGAGAGCATGCACAGGAGACTACCCCCGCGGAACATATACCCATCGAGCTCAAGCACGCAAGAACGACCTCGAGAGCTGGCCTAGAAAAAGCCACCAGGACGAGTAGGAGCATATGACACAGCGCTGGGGACTTCAGCCACTTACAAGCTTCTCATCTCGACGGAGGTCAGGACAAGATTGGCCTGGTAAAGAGACAGGAGTGGTATGACATGGTCTTGCGCTGGCAATACTAATGTAGACGTCACGATGGACTCGTAATACAACTCAAATATTTCGGCCCAACCATTGAAAGGAGATGAGTGGATGCGAAGGTAGACAAGATATGAGAATTTCGATCACGGGACAAGAGCTGCCCAGCAAGGCAGAAGACAAAGGACAAAATCAGCGTCAATAACGATGCGCCGCACCTTGGAAGTCTCGCCGAGATAGCACAACTGTTGAATCTGCTAGACTATCAGTATTGTGTCTCAGGGATCTGCACCTGCTTCTACCCTGGCTTCGTTCAGCGAACTTTGGCTAGTTCTCCTTGAACACTACTTATACAGAGCCGCACTTCGCGATACCATGCTATCTCTATGCGCTTCCATGGGATTACTAGTCCGGCAGATCGTTCTATGACTCCAGTTATGTGGTTCGTAAGCATGAACTCATCTCTCTACAAGATCGGCATTACATGCACTGTGTGTTAGGGCTATCGTTTATGGTCATCTATACGAGGAGCTGCGTTGGTTAGCTGTGCAACAGTTAATTCTTACATGCGACCCTGCGGATTGAATGCTAGCCAGAATATAGTCTTGCGTAGCTTGGCTAGGTCTACCACATGAACTTGTTGATGGCTGGTGTTTTAGTATCTACACCACTTACAATGTTCATAGCCACATCATATCTTTGAGTCAAGCCTATTGGAGCCAGATTAGATCAACAGAACTCGAAAGTGGCTGTATGAGTTTTCGAACACCCTGCTTCTCATAATTAACCACTGCCCAGTTGCCATTCATCGGTTGAAAGAGTAGTGGCTGCTCCAGGCTTCGCACTCCCAGTCGATCTTTAGTTCCAGTAAAGGTGTTGTAATATAACTCTCCAACTACGCTGGTACATCCAAGATATAGCCACGGTATGTTTCCTCGTAAACTTTGTCTGATAATCCACATATTGAGATTTACGGCCATGAAGAACACCTAGTAAATCTCATTCAATAGCCAACTTCCCGCAAGAACCAGCCTAGTCCGATTTCAGCCAGTCATAAATATTCTTCTAACCTGAAGCCCCTCCAGGATGCGACATAGAAAAGACACCCAATGATCCGTCCAAAAATCCCACAAAGTAAGCTTAGTACCTCGGAGCACTACTCCGTTTAGCTTGAGCAGTAAGAAGTTAGTATTTATGCCACATGACTACCACCAACCAACAACCCATGTCGTTCAATTAGCTCGCCCCAGCAGCTTTGATAACCCAGTTTCTTGGGTGTTGTCATGCATATATGTCCCGGAATGATACCTCTCATGGCTTTGATGTCTGTGACTAGCTGATAGTCGAGGGTCTATGGCCATAAGAGTGATTTCTGATATCACTCGGTTGCAGATTACTTATTGGTTTTAGCGCTTGATGCGCGATAGATGGCTTTTGCCTTGTATGGTAGAGCGTCTGCTATGACTAAGAGTCTCTTCTGGTCCTATGAAATTATTCCCTACCGCTGAATAATTTCGTTCTGATTCCAAATAGAAGTCTAAAGAGTTAATCATCGCAAGTAATTACTTATTCTTTTCAATCCTTTTCGTCTACATATGATATGGATTATAGTACATACCCAAGTTGATATATGATTTAGATGTTCGAGATCTTAAGATGAAATCAAATCGTAAGTATAGATTTTAGGTAGACTTACTATGTATTCCATTTGAATCTCTCCCACTCTCTTACCCACAGCTATCACTCTCATCAATAGCGAGGAAAATCTTGTACAGCAGACTTGTTTACTCCAGTAGTACTTACCCCTGCACTCATCCTGCTTCCTTGGCATCTTGCTCTGCTCCAGGCTAGTGGCCTGTGGGAAACATGAGCTGGAATTTGAGAGAGAGTCTACCGGATGCATCTCCGACACATACCCGATTACGAACGACCTATGAAGTAGCTTGATACCAACACATGTCCGTTCGTGACGACCCGTAGAGCAGCTCGGGATAACACATCCATAGGTTACCCTCGAGGTTCACGCGAACGAGCGGTCTTGTCTCCCTGTTCGGCTCAAGGGAGAGAAGCAAGAGGTGCGCCCACACCTATCTCAGTCGTGGCAGATGACCAGAGTGATTGCGGCAGACAGGGTAGGCGCAGCATCGAATTCGTGAGACTTCGTTGTTGCGGTTATCACATGCGACTGATCGCTCTGACTTGCTGGTGAAGAGACATCGAGGAGTGGGAAGATAAACGCCGAATACGCAACGGATATGGCTTTGTGGCCGAGAAACAGAGAGCTTTCCAGGTCATAGGCTCAGCGATATCATGATATGTCTACCACAGTCGCTGTATCGAGAGCAAACACTTGAATGGACGAACTGATCGGTGAGCATGCCAGGATCAGGTGGCAACATACATCTCGACAGCGAGCCCACCTATAAACTGTACTCTTGCGCGGTCAGACCGCGGTCATTACTAGGCCGATAGGATATCCGTGGAATATAAAGCATGGAGAGTGGTTTGTGATGTGCGGGGTATGCATGAAAGCTGATAACGACATGAGTGATGAGGCTCTGCTACCGGCAACCATAGTTATAAGAAAGCGGGAGTAACACCAACACAAAGCAAGGCCGTCTTGATACAACGACTCAAATCACGACAAAGACCATGGCCATGAGAATCAGCCTTCCAGCCATCAATGGCGCGTACACATATTCCAGGATCCCTTCGGATAGAAAGTTGAAGTCACTCTCTGACTTTTATGCCTACTATCCGAATATGAGAGGTCGTTTCCCTGAATCTCAACCGCCAATTGAGTGGCATCCAGACCCACAGGTATACGCGGAACGTAGCAAAAGGCGTCAAGCTACGGAAAACCTAGAGCAGGAACTGCCACGAGGCTGGCCTGCTCGTGTCGAAGGCCCATGGGTCTGGGATGGCAACGACATAGCCATGGAGAATGGCGGGCCTGGAGAGTCACACTGGGTGACGAAGCTACAGGCAGAGAACATAGCTGACCTCGAAGCTGCGACACAAAGGTTCAAACGTACCGGTAAGCCTCAGGTCTCTTGTATAGAGTACACTGTGCTGATGCCCATGTTGCACCCGAGCCGATACCCAAATACGTTTGTGTCGACACGTTTCCGTTGGCTGCGCGGACCAGACAAGTCTTGCGTGGCTGCTCCAAGCGACTACACACTGACACTGGCCTGATTGTGCTTCGCGGCCTCGATCCAGATAAATACTCCGAGGCTGACAACATGATCATGTACGCCGGACTGACTTCGCATATCGGAGACCGCCGCGGTATCCAGATCCAGAGCTCGAAGGAAGCTCTTGGTCAGTGATCACAAGCTCCCGGTACACGTGTAGTCAACACTGACCATTACAGTTCATATCAAAGATACTGGGACCGAAGTTGCTGAATTTCCACTTGCATCGCATACCAACGAGGCCCAAGTAAGTAGCTAGGCTTTACATGCGTGATATTATGTCATGCTCAAGTGTCTATAGCCCTTCCATTCGGATCTAGGAGACATCTTGTGTCTCTACGTGCTCCAGACAGCGGCTGAAGGGGGCGAGAGCCATGTCGCCAGTACTGGTCGCATCTATAATGAGATCGCCGCTACTCGTCCAGATATCATCCATACGTTGGCAGAGCCCTGGACTTTTGACACGTATGTATAATACTTGATGTGCCGCAATATGGAGCGTACTACTGACACAGTGTGCGTAAAGCCCAGGAAGTGTACCCAACCATTTCATTCGGCCCATTCTGCACCACAAAGATGGGAGAGTGATCATCAACTTTGCACGCCGACTATTCACCGGCTATGGTAGGGATAAACGCAGCGCAGAGCTGCCGCCAATTAGTGAGGCGCAGGCCGAAGCACTCGATGTCATCGAGTTCACTGCGCATCGCTTCAAGACCTCTATGAAGCTCCAAAAGGGAGATGTTCAGCTCCAGAACAACTTTGCCACAATCCATGGACGTAATGGCTTTGTGGACAAGACAGATCGCAAGTCTTCAGGGCGCCATATGCTTCGGCTATGGGTTCGGGATGAGCAGTATGCATGGCGGGTACCGGAAGCCTTGGAGACTGAATGGGCCAGGGTATATGACAAGGTGGAGCCCAAGGAAGAGGAGTGGCACTCGGAACCTTCGTATGCGAGTGCAACCGATAGTGAAACCTCTTGTGCTTGATTCCTACAAACGGTCGAGGTTTATTGTAGTTTCCTTCTATATGATAACGGTCTTTTGAGGTCTAACTCCCTTAGCTATGATAACTTGATGGATTTAATCCTACTTGACTTTTCTACAAGATGCCGTGTGCTTGCGTTGAATGCCGGATGTGAGCAAAGGTTTTCTTAATAAGAACCAATCAAGTCCGCTTCGCCTTCCTCGAGCTCTTTAATATAGATTGGTGACGGATCCCAGGAAGTAGAGAATAGATTGGGTGTCCAATACATAATGTTTTCGTACCTATTATGCTTGCGAAGAAAGTTTGCCGTTGATACTAAGGTTCTCAATTTAGTGTCAAGCATGTGGTCAGGTCATTACGTGTACGACTTACTGGCAGTATCTAATTGTGAATGTATCATCGTGATGTAGCGAACCTCCTTATCATCTAGATCTTCGTGGCTGATCATGATCTGATCAGGAGAGCCGGATTGTAATGGGCGGTGTCCATTAATGATTACTCGAAAGTGCGCGATCAACACCTGTGCACCATGAAAATAAGATTCGATAAGGTTATAGTCTTCAAATCTGCTGCCCCTTCCAGCTGCCTGCTTACTTGTTAGTAATATGCAGCAATGGTACTAGCTATCAGATGCGGATCATGATATGAAGAGGGTATGAAATCTGACAACTTACCACATGTCGATGAAGTTTAGCGAACTTGTGATCGTGAGCAGTCGAGAGCGTGATGCTGTTCAACAGAAGGGATACAACAAGGTAAGTTTCAAACCACTCTGATCTCTTGCCAGGAGTGATACGCGAATCCAAGATCTTGAGCACTTGGGCGCGAAGAGGGTTCAGAATGAAACGGACCATGATCTGGTCGAACTGAGAGTCCATGACCGGCGGGATGGGTATTTTGCCTTCGTAAGGAGTGCCAGCAGTATCGGCATGGCTAAGGCCTAAAGTTTCGCGGCCGCAGATGTGCCATGCTTTCTCAACCATCCTAGATGCAATCCAGAGCCTCAGCATCTTTTGCAGCAGTATACTCTACAGAAAATTAGCTGTGGCACTGTGAACGGAAGAGCAGCAGACCCACATTGCGATATCGCGCCCGGTGAATAGCAATCTGGAACGTCGCCCATACCACACTGTCATTTCTATCTATGAAGGAGTCGATGTATCTTTCCAAGTTTTGTACCATGTAAGTTTCCATTGCGGCCTTCGTTTCCGGTATGTTGGTAATAGCATAACATGGCATTGGTAGCTCGAGCTCTGCCCCATCTATAGACCAAATGTACGAAGTCTGATCGCCATCTACAGGTATGAACTCCGTCACACGGACTACGAGGGGTTTTCCATAGTCTTGGGTTAATTCTAGTATTTTGACACCAGTGTGTAATGCTGAGGATAACTCCGTGGGCTCAGTTCCGAAGATCTCTGGTCGGATAGTCCAAGTGTCGTTCTCAGTCGTCACTAGAAACGATGCCGGTCAGGATTTAGAATGGCAACGCACGGAATTCTCTTACCCGTATGGTACAGTGAGACTTGCGGAATTCGTGTACGAATGCATGGTATTTGATGAACTGAGAGACTAGTAAGTGCACAATTGATACACTCACCGTTGGGATTCAAGATATCGGGTTTGCACTGCCTGATTAGCTGCATAAGGCACCATGTCCAGATGCTACTTACACGCTCTTTCCTCCCTCGGCAACGTAAACATGAACCTAACTTCCTCACCAAGGCAGTCTCTTGACGGCTAGCGTTATCGAAAGCAGCTCTCACTTTGATGACTTTACTAGGATTGGATCGCTGCTTGAGTTGTGAAGTTGAAAGATGCCGATCAGTCGGTAACGCTGTTTCATGCATCGATGAGCTATGATCTGACGGTATCTCAGCTCCCAGGGTACGTTGCTGTGTTGCACGGTCAAAATTTGAACGAAAGGCTTTTATGTCGGAACTTGCCTCGGCTTTATTTATTCTGCTGCGCAAATCCTCTATTATGAGATCCTTCTCAAGCAATTGCAGCTTGAGACTGTTTACTTCATCCAGGTTACCTGACTGTTGTAGACTTTGAACAATCGACTGTAGCCGGCCCACCGTGTCCAACGATGGAGTTGAATGACTCCTGAGGGAGAGTAGACCATTATTAGTGATATTGTGAGTGGGTGCAGTCTTCTTATTGCGTAGAACATTTGTACCAGAGCCTGATCGTGAATGAAGAGCTGGCATGCTCGCTACTTCTCTATTAAAGCTACTGAGGGGACTTGATGCAATAGTGGTACTTTCTGCTGTGAGGGTACTGAGTGGACTTGGTGCTGTCGCGGTATTTCTCGCTGTGTTATGGCCCGTATATGTTGTTAATGCATTACTTGCTACGGCCAACGAAGCCGTATGTGACGATGGAGATACAACGGGGACGACATGGTGCTGCTGTTGCGGGAGCATAGGGTTGATGTAGGACGGGAACGAGGATTGCGCGCTGTAATACTCGAACTGGTCCGGCGAGAGCCATGACTGTTGAGCAGGGACGTTCGGGAGTTCAACAAGCTCGGTGAAGAAATCCTCGAAGGTGTCATCGGTGAGTGGTAAGATGTTGCTGTCGATAGGCAGGGCAGGCTTCGCATTGGTAGTGAGTGGCCTAAGATAGGCGCCGGCATGGTCGCCTCCAGCCGGAGCGATGGGTCTTGGGCCGGAGCCGGACTCCATTGACGGCGGGCCGCTAATTTGTCCCTAACCACCTTTAGTATGTCCGGCCAAGGCCTCCGGGAAAGTGGAGGTAAGTACCCGTCTTTTGTATCCAGTGGAGTGGTATTCGTCAACGCAATGCCGAAAAGGAGAATGAATCATGAATCTAGGACTGCTGACCCTTCTCCTTATCAAATAACAGAACACGTGAACCGTTAGGCATCCATCAGGCTGCATCGGTGAGCATCAGCCTCCCGGTGAGCGTTCACCGACGCTAGCGCACGGCCAATGGTTTGGGCATAGCGCGCGCGGGGTAAGCTGATTGTTTCATGAGGCACGGGAAATGCAAACGTTAGCCCTTTGGGCATACCTAGTTCGCAAACCTCACCCAACAAAGGCATGAATCTTACCTTAACCATCGAGTCTTCCAAACCATAAAGGCTCCTCCTTCCCGAGTCTCAAGCTTTAGATCCACCCGATCCGCCTCACAGAATCTCCAGGGCGCTTTGGTCAGACTGACTTTAGCGTAATGCGCACCCATGATTGGCGATGGGTAGCATCGCAAAAGACCCAGGCTACTTCTGCGAAAATCCGACCTGAATGGCTGCTGTCATTGGAAGTCAAGAAGGAGGCTGCGTCTCGTCTCGACATTACTGGATCCTTCATTCGTGGCCTAATGTCTGGGCGAGAGCGCCTTATTACCGAGGCCAGTACTGTTGACCTGGCGCATAGTCTACAGCAGGGAGAGTACACTGCAACAGAAGTCTGCCTTGCTTACTGCAAGAGGGCGGCATTTGCTCATCAGTTGGTACGTATCGACACATGTTGAAAGAGTATATTCCCTAAACTAGATTAGAACAACTGTCTTCATGAGATATTCTTTGACGATGCGATCGAGCTTGCGCGTGTATATGATGATTACTACATGACTAATGGCAAGACAATTGGTCCTTTACATGGGCTTCCTGTCAGCCTCAAAGATCAATTCCATGTCAGGCATGCCGAGACAACTATGGGCTACGTTGGCTGGGTGGGGACTTTTGAAGGTAAGAAGGGCACCGGGAGAGAATTTCACGACGAGAGCCAAATAGTCGAGGAGCTTCGGAGTCTGGGAGCCATCTTCTACTGCAAGGTATAGTATTTCCGTCTCAAAGTCACCTCGGTCCTCAAACGCCAATACACGTTGACCACATGTGTCATCACCCGTGTTTCATATACTTTCAGTCGATGATGAGTTGACACACGTGTCAGACCAGCTGCCCTCAAACTTTGCTACTTGGGGAAACTGTGAATAACCTCATTGGTAGCACAATGAATCCTGTTCATCAAATGCTTTCTTGCGGTGGTTCCAGTGGTGGAGAAGCGGCACTCATGGCTCTTGGTGGTAGCTCGGTTGGGCTAGGTACAGACATAGGTAATTTTCCAACTTTTTGCCACTCGTATGAGAGTTGGAACCCTGCTTAATTAGTGCTTACTATAGGTGGCTCTGTCCGGATACCTGCAGCGTTCTGTGGCGTTTATGCTATCAAACCATCATTCGGGCGCTTCTCTTACCGAACGGTCGCAAATACGGTAATATTATGATTTATTGCTCGGCTGTACCTTACTAAATAGTATCTAGACTCCAGGACAGACATTGGTGCCTTCTGCGATTGGGTTTCTGTCAACGACCCTACCTGCTCTGGAACTCATAATGAAGTCAGTCTTGTCAACACAGCCTTGGCTTCGCGATCCAGATGTTGTGGAGATTCCTTGGCGTGACGGTCTTTCTCCCTGTAGGCCGAAACTCTGCTTTGCAGTACTACGGAATGATGGAATGGTCACTCCGCATCCTCCTATCGCACGTGGTATCGATATTGTCGTAGAGGCAGTCAAAAAGGCGGGGCACGAGGTATGATGAGTGTGATCAACCGTAAGAGAAATTCGCTGAGACTGTTCATCAGGTTGTTGAGTGGAACCCACCGTCACATGCGGACGGCACATATCTGCACGTAAGTGTGAGCTTCGTCATTGCACATACGTTACGTGCTCACACTATCTCAAACAGCATCAATTCATGGCAGCAGATGGTGGACAGCATATCTGGAAGCAGCTGAACATACTTCGTGAGCCACTTATTGACGGTATGACCGGAGATTATGGAGGTGGTCCCTTCGAGCCGATGCCACTTCTTGAGTATCAAGATAAAGGACTGCGCGTCAAAGCATATCGTGCACAGTATGACCAGTACTGGAACTCAACAGCTGCCACAACAAGCACAAACACCCCAGTAGATGCCGTGATCATGCCCGTTGCGCCTCACGCTGCAGTACTCCCTGACAAATATTTCCATTACGGTACGTCTGATGGAAAGATGACTACATATAATTTCTCTAATACAGTGTGCCTAGGCTACACAACAATTGTGGATCTTCTGAACTACTCCGCGGTGTCTTTCCCAGTCACCAAAGCTGAGGAGGCGATCGACCAACCAGACCCTGACTTTAAGCCCATGAATGACGACGACCTGGAGAACTGGGAAGCTTGTATGTTGACAGTCGTGCGTGCATAATTTGACATGAGTGCTGATCTCACCAGACGATGCCAAAAAATACGACGGAGCCCCTGTTGGTGTGCAAATAATGGGTCGACGATTCGATGAAGAACGCCTTCTCGGAATAGCAAGGCATGTGGACGGTCTCCTTGCCTCTCGATAAAAGTTTGTAATCGTTTGGCTGTATCAAAATACTCATTACCAGTTTGCACTCGATTGCTGGCTATTTCCCACTCTTTTCGCCACTATCCGAGGGCGTGATGGGTGCTTGAGTATAGAAAGCAGGTACGCCGTGGAGCCAATACTCGATGCGTCTCTGAGGGTCACCTTCATGGTAATAGCTCTTGTCGACACCTAGCGATGTAAGCGGAGTCTCTATACCATCTCCTCTCTGATGAACCTACACTGGTAGCTCTTCGCCATGATATCCAAGTTGAGATCAACGGTCTTATTCCCACCACCAAAGTCATTCCTTTTCATTTTTCCGAGTGTGAACTCATCACACCAAGCTCCAACACCAGCAAGGTCATTCTCCATTGAAGCATTCATCTCGAATAACTCTCAACAGACTTTCAAGTAGGATGTATGTAACAGCCAGGAATAAAAACTCTTTGTCACAAGTACAGCGCAAGTAAAGTCTCTCCTTTACAACCACTCCAAAAAAACTCCAGACCAAGTCACGCCGTACAAGCATATATATATATATATATACATATATACATACATGAACCAATGACACCGCCCTCCCTTTCTATCTACAACTAACATATTCCACGACCACGACAGTACTCTCCAAAACAGCAACTACAACTCATCTCGTGTTCTCTACAAAGCCTCTCTCCCACTCTCCGACGAATCCTCCCGATGCTAAGCCGCCCAATAACACACCTCCGGCGGTCTGACACCCACCCGGGAGATTCACACCGCGCTCAGGCGCCACATCTCACCGCACCAGGGGGACGTCTTTCGGCGAGCACTCAGCGGCTCAGGCAGGGCGGTGATTGGCCCGAACAAGGATACATTTCTGTGTAACATACAATTCAGCCTCAGTATACGTGTACGTGTCCACTCAAACAAAGCGACCTGGGGAAAAAAAGCCGGCAAGGCTGCCTTTGTCTTTGTTTATGTTGGTTGGTTGGTCGGAAAGGCTTTGGCGAGAATGCGTCACATATATACATACATTATACATACCAGCATACATGCATTTGAGGCTGAGAGCGTCGTGTCCTTGCGAGGGTTTGCTTGGAATGCAACAGCTAGTATGTATGGCTGGAGAGATGTGTCGGACGTACCTCCGATGTGGACAACACCTCCACTCCCCTTTGAGTTGTCCCTTTGAGTCTTACTTCATGGCCAGAAAAAAAAATATGTGGCTGCCTGAAATTTCTTTTCGGCATTCGTCATCTGCGTGGCATTCGTCATCTGCGCGGCATTCGTCATCTACGATTCCGCGCAGAGAGGAGGGTGAAATCGAGGAATACTGCCTTACAAGAGCATGATCTATGCAGCCTATATCTTTTGCCCTCGGCACTTGTATCCGTCGTCTTGTGGTATCTCTACACCCTACTGAGACTGTGGCTTTGTCGCGGTAGGCTGGTATGCAAATCTATAGAACGTGATCGTTCTACGCCTTAGCATCAGAGGATGTCGCCAATCCAATGAGGAACGCACTCGCACATGCATGGACACACACCAGATTCACAGGTAACACCGGTATGTAAGCAACAGCGAAGCGTCTTTCTAATTGTTTAAATAAATAAGTTCGCATTACACCAGCCATCCAGATATATCAAGCCCCCTGCGCACAGCAACACTGCCGTCACATGCTCAACTCGACCACTCCATTCATATGCTCCTGTATGTTTCCTTTCCCAAAAGAAATGAATGACCAATCCAACCTAGCGCATTCACAGTCATGACCATGACTGTGCAAAGTAACGAGATATTACGTTACTCGAGATTGCGTGCCATACAGTTGGTAATACTAATACAATATGTTATCCTTTTTCGCTATATTATGCGTTGCGCCAAGAATGCAGGGAATAGGGCTTTAAGGTGCCCGCCTCATCTGTTGTGTGGAAAAGTTGCGGATGATGGCTCGTTAAAATGATTATCGCGGAAATACGTGTAGTGATAAGATGTGGGTGTCCAAGCGAGCGAAATTCGAGCGAACGTCAAGTAAATCGAATATCGATTGTAGAGTTTGAGTACTCTCATTCCCGAGAGGCCATCGTAGATGCGTGTGTATATGTGATTGTAGTTTTGTTTGAAGGAGCTCAGTCGAATGAGCCAGGGATTCTTGTCTCCGGCTCCGCGGAGGTCGTAGAATCTAGTTTCGCAGAAGCAATGGCATCTTCACTTTGGAGTTGATTTGATGCCAGTTCTTGAGCATCATGACTGTCCACCGACCCGGGTTCTGAGTTGGAGTCACTCTCTGGACTGCTGATTCCGTTAATCTCGGCTACACTCGTCCTGCCAATAGACACCCGCTTTGCCTTGCTATCACCGGCAAAAGGATCATCCTTAGTTTCGTCCATCTCGACAATATTCGTTGTACTCGATGTAAGGTTGCTGTCTTCGCTATGTCTCACATCGGCGCGGGCATGAGCAGGACTTCTTAGGCAGTCCCTGTAGGATATCGCAGGAATGACCCCGCCTCCAATTCTCGACCAGAACATTCGTTCTCGAAATCGAACTGCTTCCTCCCAGGCCGTCTTCTGCTCCTCTTCAGAATCGGCGCGCCAGTGGCCAGCTTGCACCATGCGCAAAAACCCGACGTAGTCGCATGTTGCCCGGAGGCGTCCCATACACCAGTCACAGAGTGGATACCTCTGAGCATCTTCGGCCTCAGAAGTTTTGAATCGATACTTACGAGAGTACTGTTCAGCAGCTCTAGCTTCACCGCACATCGAACATGCGTATACAGGGCCTCGGTGCTTTTTCACCGGCGGGTGAGGTTCAACGACCAAGCTGCCAGCAATGATACTGGTAAGAACTGTGCGTCTTCCCATCCATGATACACCTGGCGCTTGATCAAGCCGCAGTGTGGGCTCAATGTCCTCTGTGATTGCTCTTTTGAAGAACGGCGTCTCTTTCAATGGAGGGAGATTGCCGGGGATTCGTGGAGATCCTCCTGGAACAGAGCTGGGAGTACTTTGGGGAGACTTCAGAGTCGCAAGAGACGTCAAGGAACCGTTGGAATGCTGTGTCAGACTTCCCAAGACGCTGAGATTCAAGGTACTATAGTTGCCGCTGCCAACACGACTGGGCGGATTGGAGAAGATGCGTCCCTGTCGAAGTAGCTCCTGAAACTCGGTGTAAGTGTGCAAGTCAGTGCGTAAAACAGGGTTGATGAGATGCGACCAATGCAGCGGGTGATCGGGAGCTGTTTCCTCGTGCGTTGGTGTCACAGGCGAGCCATTACTAGGATCCAGCATACGAGTAACCTTGTCTTGCGCGTTCACTCCAGGGGTCGAAGGAGCTGTAAAAGATTGCGCGTTACTCTCACTCTCATCGCGTTCGCTCATTTTCTCCATAACAGACTTGAGATCATGGAGCTGATCCTGATGTGAGCGAAGCAGAATCTCTGAGTCTTGGAGTTGATTCTTGAGCTGGTCGTTGCGTTTCTCGGATGCTTCCGTCTCCTTACGAGCGGCTGCGACCATCTGGTTGCATGTTAGTTGGGCAGGTATGCGACATTGTGTACCACTTACGGCATTGGCCTCTTCGAAAAGCGCTGTGGTTAAATTTTCGAGTTCAGATTCCATGCGTTTCTTCTCTTTCTCCATTATCTTTCTGTTCTTGCGTTCCTCTTCCATTTCTTTTTGTGCTGCATCAAACCTTTCTCTCTTGATCCACAATCCATGGTTCACAGCGTCTGTGTGCTCCTTCACTTGCGCCTGCAGCTTTGCTATGGTTTCCTTTGCAGTATCTAGCTCATGTCGCGTTACTTGCAACGAATCGTCCAAGTCAGTCTGATGATTTATCGCGTTTACGAGCTTTGTGCTCAGCGTTGCGACCTCCGAAGATAGATCTGGATGACGACCGGAGTCTGTAGAGCCTTGTCGCGAAATCGGGGTAGCAGGAGTTGAAGACCTTGGATCAGGGATGGTATTGAGCATGTCCGAATCCGAATGGAATATGTCCTGCAGGCGGGGAGCAGTAGCAACAGCGGCCATGTCTTTGTGGAGATGAGGCGTCGAGACAGAGTGTGAGAGGTGCTTTGTTCGCGAGGGTGTTTTCGGTGTGGGTGTGAGAGAGCGGCGTGCTATCGACGAGGTTTGCGACGGCGTAGTCATGAGTCCTGGACCATGGCCTCCCCAGGCCCCGACGTAGAATATACTGCTCAAGTCAGTATGAACATCCCATTCGATGAGAACAGGTTTGCGTGCGGTGGGAAGACGTACTCAGCCAGTTTGACGGTTGTTGAGAGCTCCGGTTGCTTCACGTGCACGAGAACAGACTAGTCGGGTCGATCGGAACGAAGGGAACGACTGTATGAAAGAAAGAGGAGAACAACAACGTCTAGGTAAGGGATGGCGACATGGCCGAAGATTGCGATTAAGAGCAAGCGCAGCAGTGGAACGCACGCGGCGAGACGAAGGTGAAGAGGTTCGTAAGGGTGAGGTACGAGAGAGGATGATGATGATGATGATGGTGATGATGATGGCGGAGGCGAGGTGCGTGCAGTCGGGAAACAGGTGAGCAAGCAAGCTCCTCCTGGACAGATTCCCTGGGCGTCGGCATCGCCTTGATCGGAGAAGGAACCTCGCACGCGGATGCAAGTCCCAAGCTGCCCAGCACTAAAGCAAGAGCCGCCAACCCTATCAGCGAATCACGGTCTAACTCTCCGCCAGGCCAGGGGTTGCATTGAAGTAACTTACTCCAAGGTTGGACCTAGTTATTGGACTACTGGCAGCAGGGTCTAGCCGTGTCGTTGATTAATATTAATAGTTCGTCGGCCTCCAGCTTCTATAACAAGTATCGACCTCTAGATGGATCTCCTCATCGTCTAGACCTTGTCCAGATCAACTCCAACAATCCTCGCGGATCCGTGTCTGCTTGTCAAGAAACAAGTAATTAGCATGCATGTGCACTTCCCCGTGAAACACTATTTCTCCTTACCACATGTGCCGTCACACTACAGACGCAACTACGGGACACGATTCTGCACATCGGAGAAAAGGGGCTGTCTTTCACTATCAAGCACTGTTATCAGCGTTCTGTGATCCTTCCATGGATTCGATATATTGGCTTGTGAGGCTGTTGAGTCTCAACACACCCATCATCCATTTGTCTGATTATTCATATGAACGATCCGACGTCTATGCTCGGTCACTGTGATGTATGCCGTGCTTGACTAATCCCTATGATTATCAGTGTATACAATATTCAACCGCACTCACCTTACCATACCTACAGCCTCAGTCGTGAACTAATGATACATATGACCTGTATCGCAAATGTGTCACTGGGTCATCATTATATGAGACTCTAGCTACAGGATCATGAATTTCAGAGTGATGGTGCTCCAATTGCATATGTGCAATCATTTGTTAATAAGGCATCAATCAGATGTGCCTAGTTCGGCCTCGTCCTTGACCCCGCGAGCAAAAGCCCACCCAACCAAAATCTCGAACCACAACGACAATAACTCACGCGACGCGTAGCAGCGACCATGGCCGACGAAGAACTCGAACAGGTATGCAATATCTTTTGCAGCGCATGGCTAGACTCCTCATAACTTGACCCGGTGCAGATTCGCAAAGCGCGCCTCGAGCAGTTCCGTCAACAAGGCGGCGCCAGCGGCGGAGAAGGCCAGAACAAGGAAGATGTGCAACGGTATAGCGTCTCATGGTCATGAATGGTCCTAGAGCATTAATCTGACATTCCGTATAGAGAGCGCGAAGCCAATGCACGCGCATCTATGATCGCCCAGATCCTCCTCCCAGACGCACAAGACAGGTTGAATCGCATCCGCTTGGTCAACGCGACGCGCGCGAAAGATGTTGAGGATAGGCTGATATTCTTGGCGCAGCAGAGGCAATTGCCTGGGAGAGTCAACGAAGAACAGTTGAAGCAGCTACTTGGGGCAGTAGCCGAGCAAAAGGAGGAAGAGAAGATCACAGTGCAAAGGAAGGGCTCGAGGTGGGATGACGATGACGATCTACTCGAAGGCCTATAAGCGGACTTCGAAAAACATACTCGAGATCTGTGTTCTTGGCGGGTTGGCGTTGGGAGTCAAAAAATCGTTCATAGCCTGTATGGCTCAGATATGTACAAGGGAATGCATACTCTAATTGCAATACATTACAAGTTTACGATGCACCTGCACTTGCGCTTCGCTCCTTTTCTTTCTTGCTCTTCTCTCGTTCCGCCCTTCGAATTTCCCTCAAGTCTGGTGGCATCTCAATGCCCAATCGCTCTCTTAGAGCTTGCACATCCGTTTCCAATTCCTCTTCCCAATAGACGTTCAAAACGCTCTCAGAATTTACCCCGTTCCTTACCGCCCACGGTCCATACACCTCCCAGAACCTTTGAAACGCCTTTCTCTTCAGTGTTGTAACTGCGAACACACTCAGGCCCGTCATCGGAATTCCCAGGTTCGCGAACTCGAACGCTTTGAGCGCGACCTCACCCTCGCGAATCACAGGCAGCCCTACTAGCGCATGATAGAAGTCATGACACTCGCGATATCGCTGCATGACATATGCGCACTCAGGGTCATCGATATATCGCACCGCGCTCCGCGTGTCCGGCGTGACACCCTCTCTATCCAACCACCCAACATACACCCTTCCCACAGTATTCTCTGGCAAGCTCCTCAGATACTCTACGTTCAAGCTCTTACTTGTTATGCGTGGTCGATCTTTGAGCAGCCGTCGCCCTGTGGGATGTGAGAGCATAGTGTCGCGGAGCTTTGTGATAAAGTAAGGTTGTGCAGTGGCTTCGCCGAGGGCAGCGATGAGGTCGCCTCGGGTTGGGTCGACATAAGACCATAGTGCGGAGCCGATTGCAAGTGCGCCGCGCTCGATATGTGTGAGCGGAACGTGGCCCGGGTAGTTTGGGGATGGGCGGTTGAGGACAGAGAATGTGCGGAGGCAGGCGGGGAGTTTGGTTATGGCGGACAGGTGTTGTGGTCTGCTCAAGGCCAGATATACTGGAGTAGCCATTGTAATGGTGAGACCGCAAGTTTGCCAGATCAATGAGATCTAATAACTTTGGGCAATACTCAGGCTTGGTGCCTTCGAAGTTGCATAATGAAAACGGCGCTATGGATGTCATGGATGCAGGGCTTAAGACTGACCTGGGACCTAACCCGTACCAGGTTAAGCGGGCAAAGGTACCAAATTTACGCCCAGGGTCACCCACAGATATTCGACAACGATGCATCTGACTCACATCTCTTAATTGCGTGCTTGCTTAGATGGACACCGAATTTGATATTGAGTCGTCAGTTCGAGTTTTTCTTGGATTTTGAAACATGATATTTGCCACTTGTTGGAACTAAGCTGTCCGCATACTTCGGCATGGCCATTGTGTACTCACCTGGCGATGAACACGATGCCTTTGTTAAATGGGCCAAAGAGCAAGGGGTTCAGATCACAGCCGTAGCACCAGCACGATTCGAAGGCAAAGGCCTTGGTTTGGTCGCAGCCAGAGACATAAATGCAGGTGAATGTCTTGTCAAGGTCCCAGCCAAGGTCCTCATCACTATCGATAGCGATGCAGTCTGGGAACTGAATCTCCCTCGTCGCAGCTCTGTACAGGGCCGACTTGCTGCTTACTTGACAATCATCAACGCGGACGATAAGCGAAACCACAGATTATGGCAGGCGACCTGGCCAAGTATGCAGGAATTTGAGAGTGTCATGCCGTTTTGCTGGCCATTGGAGCTCCAGGAGCATCTTCCCCCTACGGCTAAACGTGAGAGCATCCCAAGCTCTTCTATTGAACTACATTGACACCAGAAGCACTCCTTGATTCTCAACAGAAGAAGTATCAAAAAGATTTCCACGACCTGAAAATGTATCTACCAGCCTCATCAGAACATCTCTTCAAGTATTTTTGGCTGATCATCAATACCCGTGTATTCTACTGGAACTATCCTGCTACACCTCTGTCACGAATGCCCAAGAGGCGAAGCGACCTCAAGTCCGAAGATTGTCTTGCGCTGTGTCCTTTCGGTGACTACTTCAATCATACCGACGTTGGCGGGGTGTGTACAAATCTCCTTCCTGATGCCGGAACTACATGTGAAGTGCGTATTGCTAAGTCTCAAAGTGTGATGTGACCACAGATAGGAGCGGATATAGCGTTGTAAGCACCAAAACTTACAGTAAGTGAACTCTGGTAATGGCATACAGTTTTACTGACGGGTTGATAGAGGCTGGCGAGGAAGTGTTCTTCTCCTACGGTGGGCACAGTAATGACTATCTGCTGGCAGAGTGTACTTCATCATCCGTAGAATGAATGAATAAGATGGCTGACTTTACAAAGATGGCTTCATGCTGCCAAATAATCACTGGGACTCAGTCTCTCTCGACCATCTCATCGTCCCCAAACTCACGGCCGAGCAGAAGGATGTATTAAAGGATGATAGGTTACTAGGGTACGCGAACCAAAATTTGAAAGAAGGGGTCCCTAATCCGCCGCAGGGAATATACTCTGTCTATAGTTGACTCAAAACCTGCGGTGTGCTACCGTACTCTAGCAGCTTTGCGTCTGGCCACGACTCCTCAGCAACGTTATCGCAACTTCGTGTCTGGAATTGGGGATGATAGCCGTGACCAAGAAACCGTTGACGAGGCAGTAGAAAGGCTATTCGACGACTTCGCGAAGGAATGTTCTGAGGCCAAGGCATCTTTAAAAGAGTTAAGTGGGGGCAATGGCAGGATAGCTGCGACTCTTGTAGATCGTTGGCAGCAGATCGAAGCTTTGCTCGGACGGTCTTGAATCCGACACAGTATGAAGAATATCTTGGTAAGCTTTAGAGCTGACGAGGTTCCCGGTGAATATAAACGGATCCCTGAGGATCATCGGCGTTAAGACGGCCGAGGGATTATCCATGCTAAATCTAAACGGGACTAAGCTGACCGTCATCACTCACCTCTTTTCACCCAAGGCGCCTCTTCTTGTCGATTCGAGAAGGGTTGTCGCTGTTGCAACTTTTGATTTACTGCCAATTACATGTCAATGATCAGAGTGATATCCTCATTGAAAGCAGTTTCAGCAAAGCCCATAGGGGAAGAGTCTCAGGGCTCCTCACGCGTAACACTGATACCATCCAACGCTGTTCATTAGCGGGCGGAAACAAAAAGAGGTTTCTCGCACGATTGAGCGCCGTTCGATCACGAAATGGCCCGGCAAGGACAGATCACTCGTACAAGGCCTGTGAAAGCGTGCATTCGCTGCCGAACGCGTAAGATTAAATGTGACCAAGCGAAGCCAACATGCAACAACTGCACCACAGTAGGCGCGAAATGCTCATTGGATCCGAGTATTGATACGCCTGCTCGGGAGCCCCTTGTGCAACGAAGTAATCATCAAATCACCCCTAAGGCATCGCCTGGGTCGACCAACGGGGAGAGTCCGAACAGCCACGTAGTTAGCGAGACAGGTCCAGACCCAGCTGATGTGCCAAACGGGTCTCGATCAGTGACGGAGCATCCGAAGAAACGAAGACGTTTCAGAGCGTCTTGTGATCGCTGCCATCATCACAAGGTCCGATGCGACCAAAAGCTCCCTTGTTCGCGGTGTTCGAAAGTTGGCCTAGACTTGCGGTGCTCCTACAATAGCAAATTTGCTGACGAGAACATTCCCACTGTTGACCCTGCTGTGGCCATAAACGAAGCTGATTTGGATACGCTGTGGAGAGAGAAGAGCAGGGGTGATAGCCATTGGCGGGTTCTATTGCAGCAGGTTGGGTGCTTTATTCTATCAATCTGTGGTCTGCTAATATGAAACAGATCAATCTCAGTCTCGGATACCGGTCGGACGAGCTTGTCGAGGAGTTCAAGCGCAGAGAGCGCTCGATGACTTATGAAGAACCTCTCTTACCTGGTAACTATCCTCTTGGAGGCTCTTACTTTACTACACAACCAACGCACAATACAATACTTTCGTGGATACCTGAACGCAGCACAGCAGATGAATATGTCCAGAGTTATATTGCCAGCTATGAACAAACCTATCGACTGCTCCATAAACCAACGTTCTTCGACGAGGTCAAGTCTTTCTGGATAGATCCAGCAAAGGTTGACCCCGAATGGGTCGCTCTATATATGATGGTCCTTGGGATGGGCTACGCCGCGCTCAACAGAGGCACTATGCCTACGGGCGAGTGGAGATTCTTTTGTAGACGAATGTTCGGTGGTGCGCAAGAAATGCTTTTCAAGACCTCTTTTCTAGCAAAACCAAGTTTGTGCAGTTTACAGACTATGTGCCTCATGATTATTGCTAAAGAAACCTTCGCCGCGACTTGTTTCCAAGGAGACACGTGCTGGCCCTTGGTTGGTATGACCACACGTCTTGCCATGTCTGCCGGTTTCCATCGACTACTACCGGAATCAGTCATTTCTGTACTGGAACAGGACATGCGCCGGCGTATATGGACTACTATTGTCTACCTCGAGATACAGCTAGCATGTACCACGGGTATGCCTATGCTTTTACGCATCGAAGACTTCGACGTTCTCTGTCCTGCGAATATAGACGACGAAGATGTTTCCCCTGCAAGCGTTTCCATGCAGATCAGAGTGAACTCGGAGCCTACCAATGCATCATACCAAATCATCATCTACCAAGCGTTTCCCGTCTTGTTGAAGATCATGGAGCGCTTGAACCACGAATTTAACGGCTTGATGTACGAGGAAGTCCTGCACTATGATGCAGAGCTTCGCAAATCGCTATTGGCACTCTCAGTCTTGAAGACTGGATATCTACCATGTGCAGCTAGCTTGCAGCATGAATATCTGCCTACCGACCTGGACGTCCACGCAATTCAGATTGACATCTTCTTCCGACGTGTCCTTCTGATGTTGCATAGACGCTTTGCATCGCAGCCCGCTGCCGAGGATATATATCCGCAGAGCTACTGGTCGTCTCTTGAGAACAGTTTGGCACTCCTTGCTCATAATCAAGCTTTATGTGGAGAGTATTCCGCCGCGGCTCTTCCTCCGGGGCAACTCACTTGGTTTTCTGGCCTCTTCTGGCAAGACTTCCTGAGTGCAGGACTAACAGCTGCCATTCATCTCCTGCGTAAAGATGGTGCCACCCTCAGCGTGCCTGCCAATCTAGGAGACAACTTAATCAGCACCTGCCCTGCTCGCAATACCATAATTGATACACTTACAACCTGTGTCGAGATCTGGCGACCGATGCAATCGAGAAGTGTGTGTACAGCACGGTCTTTCACGCTTCTAGAGAGAGTCGCAGAAGCTTTGCAAAGCACTCGAGAAGGTTGTTCGCAGCTGTAACGGGAGGAGTCATCTCCACGTCAAACTGTTGTCGGGACTAGTTGGCCTCGGAGCTACTATAGATGGAGTCTCCATTATCACGACCGAGCCGACAGTCACTTCCAGTCTACGATGCTGCGATGAGCAAAGTAACAAGCAACCTTGATCACCCTTTTCCCCAGCCTCACGTCAGGTCGAAACATTTCGCCGCACATTCCCACAAAAGACAGTGCTGTGTATTAGGCCTCTTGGTCTTGGCTTTCTATGCCATCGAATTGTGACACGCGGAATCTCTTTCATACTCGGACAGAACTCCGAATCTGTCTATGTCCGCAGATGTGTTGTAACTGCTTTCTAGAGCTTTGACATCGGACGAAGACATTGGAAAGCACAACCGAAAGCTTTGGTTTAGAAACAACAGCAGTTTCAGCTCCGATGACGCACAAGATCTCGTCGGTCAAGTTCCCATAATCCACACGCCTACAGACTCTATACCTAATGTTGAAGATGCCGCTCTCGATCACGATTATTTCTCTTTCAGCCTATATACTATGCGGTGGAGCATCAGCCCAAGGGAACTGCAGCTCATTCATGCTAGACGACCAAGGCTACTTCCTTACAAACAACGATCCCATTCGGATCAGCGCCGCAGCCAATTGTCCAGTTTCGAACAGCAACCGCACATGTGCCATCAAGACTGCTGGACAAGACCTCTTCACCGGGCGGACAAACCTATCTCTTACAACATTCCTCCCCGACGACGACGATGGTTATGGCATGCAACATCCATTCATGCAATCCATCAATTCTGCAACCGGTAACTATTCGCCTAGTCTGCCAGCTACATTCAACAGGACGATTTCTGCGCCCATTGACAACACCATGTCCGTCGAGCCAGGTCAGACCGTGTACATGAACTTCACAGCCCTCCTATACTGCTATACTGGTACGACCGGAGGATGTGACACCGTGGGCTCGGTCCAAGACGACACTCCAGTGGAGGTCTGCGCGCCTGTTTGGGGCGGCGCTCCGGGTGCCATCAGGGTCAGCGGCACTTACAGTCTCGAACATATCGATTTCAATGACGTGGACAAGTATAGTGATCCCTATGCGGGTCAAATTCCAGAGAACGCTGCCCAAACTCTTCAGATGGGGATCGGGGCCTTGATTTCAGTGCTAGCGTTTGCTGTGTTTCTCATGTAGGTACTTAAACAGACAACTATAAGCGCGCTTGGATGGTGCGCACCGCCGTTCGTTCACATATGACCTCTTCCTAGAATACGAAAGGATCCGCGATGATAATTTAAGATCCTTTCACTTTCATATGTGGCCCAGTGTCTACTACCTGGATGTGAAAGATGCACCAAACCTAAATGCGTGCTACCCGTCATTTTTTGTGATCCTTGTGTGACAGATTCAGCTCTATATATGATTTATATCCAAGCCTAACCTGGCCAGCGGCTAATTCCCAGCCACCAAGCTATATAAAGATGCTCGTTATACTTGCAATGGAAAAGAAAATCATGTTGAAGAAGGAAGCCGGTCGAATGTGGCCCGCCGTCTTCTCAAAGGAAGGAAAATACTATGACGGATGCCTACCTCGTTACGGCACCGGGCGTCCTAAATAACAAGACGTCCTTCCCATTTAGCTTCCAACCTTTGTAGCTATCTCTCCCTTCATCGTACGTTTTCTTGCGATAATTCTCATCATCGTCTAGGGACAAGACTGCAAGCCATCATCACAACACAGTTCTAATTTCCTAAGTCTGAGGTACGGCTGTGCTAGAGAAGCATGCACTTTTTTCATTACTGGAGATGTCAGGCATTCATGTCCCGCGTAGAGAGTGCTAAAGAGGAAGAGAAACAAGCTCTTGTATATCATCACTGAACGAGCACTATCAGGGACCTACCTGGCACAGCCCCTGAAAGCGTATATACTATTACCAAAAGATCAGCTTTACCTATGCAGACACACGACCGCTGCTGCTTGTTCACACCACCTATGTCTACTATCCATCGTGCTGACCTTGTTGAGCAATCATAGTGATCACCTTCATCATTAAGTAATGATACTCAGCAGCAGCAGTGTAGCCGCACAACGACCGTACAATAGTCAGCGCGATAGCGTCCCCAACCATATGGTCGTCTTGAAGCCTTGTACAAGACACACATGTCAGGTCAGCCCAAATCAACAAGGCGGGAGGCACATGGGTGACGTTTTCGCGTGATTTCCAGGTATGGACTGGTCTCTACTTGGTCGAGAGAGGAGAACTGGATGAGGGAGGAATGATGGTGATTTATATGACAAAGTATAAGCGCCTAGATGGCATTTGCCGGGTCGGTAACACTCCTGCTCATGTGATTATCGTGCAATGTGATGCAGTAGCGTGTGTAAGTGTGACGTGGCAGAACGGTGAATGCTATGGTTCCAACTTGCAAATGTGCATGACGAGATAATGAAATGCAAGCCGACCCGGCATATTCAATATCCAAGCCCTCGACTGATTTATATTACTAGCCACAATCCATCTTATCCAAACTCCTCACCGCTTCAGAGCTTCAGAGTACTAGCAACAAGCAATGTGCCGAGCAGAAGAAAAGAAATGGATATGTGCCACCGTCTAAGCCTCAGAAAAGCCGAAAATGTGTCGGGCCAGCGTCCAAACTAAGCTGATAACGGCTGTCATCATTGTATGGTGATATTTCGCGTCATCTTAGCGCAGTGACTAGCACTTTGTATCGATAGTGATGACTCTCAGCAGCCTATGAGAGGCATCAAAGGAATGAAGCGGAATAAGTAGGTGGCAGGGCACGTAAGCGCACATACTCCAGCCGTCTGGGACCACAAGCTCATATTATGAACCGCTGCTATTGATAAACAGCACACTGAGATGCTGCTCCGATTGTTTTGGTGTGATGTATATAGATACGTTGCGATCTTATATGGTCTTCTTGAACCTACATCTGTCGGGTAGATGTAATTCACGGACATATTGTCCACGGAAGTAGGCCAGTCGGTATGACACGTGGTGTTTCTGTGAGGAGTAGAGTAAAGTGACAGCCGGGTATGCGTGTTTGCTCCTTTTTAGTGCTAGCATATGTGGATTTTGGGCAGGATTGGTGAGGAACAATCACTCAATCCGCATGCTTTGGTTGCTTACTCCTGGTCATCATGCATATATCTTCACGATTGTCTTCATATACTGTACTAGATGATGAAATGCACCAGTATAAATTGATAGTGCAGATCATATTAACGTTAGTAAAGTCGTGAGCTTCGTATAAGTCGTCATGAACCCTTGACGACAGCTTTCATCCATCATATTCCATGATTTTACACATAGATATTGATTTGTTCGCAGCCATTTCCTCCGATAGCCCCTGGCAAGCTTTGAATTTTTTATCGAAGTAAGAGATAAGTAGCGAGGACGCAGCCATATGTTGTATATACTCCTTCAAACATGTCCAACTGACTGACGGGTAGGCGAGATCTTAAATCTGCTACTAACTAATATGCTACGAACTCACTTACCCGGCTGTTAGGGTAGTAGAATATAAGCTCTATATCCCTTCTAAAAGTCTAGATGTCAGTCATTGCTACATCACAAGCGGATGTTCTTAAGAATAATCCGGCTCACAATGTTCCTCCTCCGCAGATTTTTGATAACATAAAAGATCGAGACCTAAAATATGAATGGTAGTTATTGGCATGTAATGCTGTGCTTCATCACTGTTTAACGTTAGTGATATTTAGCTGTGATATTACTCTTGATTCGACTTTAGGGTGTAGAATTATTGGTGATTCATGTAAGAAATGTTGTAATTGAGCAGGGATATGTGTTTCATGATTCAAGATTTCTGAATTGATATTACAGAGGCTACAGTTTGAATTGGATTGCAGAAATATCCACCGACAGTGATAGAGAGTGTTTTTCTTTGATCAATATCTTGGAAATGTCTCTGAGCTAAAGCATAGCATTTCTCACATACTCATGCAAGTCACAAGGCAAGCTGCCTACTGTTAAGTAGGACTTAAGGAAGATCTATAACCATGCTTTGGAGGCCTGAGCAGTGCCAAAATAAGCCCATAAAGCTTATTCGTCATCATCGTAACATCATTACACTTCATCGAATATTTAGCTATATACGCAGCAAACTTGTAGTCAGACATAGCCCACTGGTGGCATTAGTACCGAACAAACTTTGCCATCGGTGCAGTTCATGCCATACCGTGTGTACATAGGAAGTATGTCTCAATTGGATGATACTACTGTGGGTAGTCTAGCAGGGACGGCTTTATGGTATGACAGGAGGCAAGGAACGCGTGTTTGCATAGGCAAAGCGGCCTGTTTCATACACCTATGCAGTGAATCGCCACAGTTATATGTGGAGTAAGTGGTCAGTTAGGCAGAAGTTGTGTGAAAGGAAAGTGTGGCCTAGCATCTGCCTGGTGGAGGAGCATTCTCAAGGACGTAGTGGGAAGAGGATGGGAAGGCGTATGAATTCGCAGATTTCCAGTGAGAGTGATTTGCCGTGCAGAAAATACGATCGTAGGCTGTCACCGGGTTTGATACTACAAGATAACTTGATCCTGTTAATACGTTGCGTTAACGAAATCTCACTTTCATTTAATCTCATATGACCCATATTGCATGTCTAACAGCTGTGCCATAACCACTCTGCGCATGTGCTCCTCCTACTCATAGACATGGGTTCGTATCAAGTCTCTATCATTGTAATAGAATCTTCTTCCCTTCCTTAAGGCTCTCAATCTGCTTCTTGAGCTCACTCCGACGCTGGATGGAATGTTGAGCTTCGCCCGCAATACGTGTAAGCTCATCAGTGTTGAGACCACCAATGAACGTCGAGGATAATACACCGAGTGGAGTTTCAGGTCCCGAGATGAGATAGTAGTCTGTGACTTGCATGCAGACACAGTCAATGAATCGTTTCATAGCAACCTTGCAGTATGCCTTGAGGACATCATGAATGTCTTGGACCGTATGGTCAATATTACTGGCTGTAGCTTTGTTGGAAGATCGAAGCGTAGCCGGTGCCACATAATTCCGCACAGACTGCTCAATTGAATCCCAGGATGATCTTGATCCATCTTCCTCACATGGAAACCTTTCACCTTTGGCTGCCTTGCTGACTATGGCTCCAGCTCTAGTTCTCTGTCGCTCGTCTCGCACCCTTTCGAGAGTGTCGCTGTAGTAGTGATTCATGGTCATTAACTTGCCGCGTCGTTCGGTCCTGAGGATGAATTCTACTTGGCCTGTAGCCTTTTTGTAGATTCTCAGCTGTTCGTTCATAATGACAGATCGCAGAGCTTTGTTCACGAGTTCATCTTTGCACAGCCTGTCCAAGAGTCGGCTGCAGAACATGTGGTTATTGATGATAGATCGACACACGTAAACCTTAGCTAGGGGCTCCCATGCCAAGGTTTGCTCGCTGAACAGTAGATGTAGGAGAGAGGGATTGTAAGTTCCCATCTCGAAACCTCTTGATCTGGTGTATTTCTCTTTGATCCAAGCGAGAATTTCAACCGAATGTGGCCTGGATCCATCGTTGGCGACATGACCATCCTTGTCACCAACGCGTTCGGTATCCTCATCGTGATCATGAGCTTGTATATCGTCGTACTTATTCTTGAGGGTACGCTCCACGGTGGTATACAGTTCAGGGTGATCCTTTTCCACTAATGCAAGTAACCTTGAGCGCTCTGTCGCAAGCTCAGTCCACATATCCTTATGTTGCTCTGTTGGCTGCTGAGAATCTGTAAGGAAGGGTACTGTAAAGCCCGTGGTTCTGACAGCCTCAGAAAATGCCTCATTCTGCGAGATAATCCATGTCGCAAGACGCATTTCGTCCATGCGGAAGAATGGGTCTGATCCATAGTTGGCTTCAATTGCCACTGCAACGTACTTTTGGAATTGTTCGGCCATGCGCAATAGATAGCTGCGAATCTCACCATCCGTCGTACGACTTGGGCCGAGCTCCATCATCTCTTGTTCACATCTGTCGATCATATTATTGATCTCCTGTCTCACTTTTGGAAACTCGTGCTGTGTTATGTCATTAAGGAGCCTCTCGAGGCGCGGTCGAAGAGTTATGACACCAACACGATCGGGTGGTACTCTGGAGAAATGGCCCTTGTTGAAAAACTCGGACTCTGCCTGATTTCTTTGTTCGATTGTGAAATTGTTCTCGGCTTTCTTACGATTTCGGATCGCGTGATAGCCAAGTCTAAGCTTGTTACTTGTGCCCATTAGAATGTTAATGACATCATCCTCTGCGCCTCTGTCGATGAGGTCTGGTTTTGTCAAAATTCCCAGTGTGCGCTGACCTTTCGGGTCTACTTCTTTTGCCATCTTCAGAATGTCTTGATTGGCAATATCGATGTTTGCCGAAACTACAGCCAATATGATGGACCTTTCATCCTCAATGTAGCTGTGAACGATTCTCTTGACCAGTGCGATGTCATCATTGGTAGTCACACCTTCTTGGGGGTTTCGAAAGATACCAGGAACGTCAACAACACTGAAGTGACTGTGATTAGGTCCATTCAACTCGATCCTCAGTGTGTGCTCGGAAAACGTTGGTTTGCTAGCCTGCTTATCCTGCTGCCCTAGTCTTGCCAAACCCATGGCATCAGATGCCTATGTATCATCAGTGGCTATCAGAAAACGAAGAATTCATCGCACCTTGAGCAGAACCTCCTGAAACTCTTCAGTAGTCAGAGCTTCCAAGAAAGTGTGCTCAAAATCTTTGAGTTTTGCTTCAAGGGCAGAGTCGCAATTCAAGTGCGGTACGATGGAAGCATGGCAATTTTCTGTTTCGGTTCGGTTAAAGACAATATGTGTTGCAAAACGAGTACACAGTGTTGAGTCTCGGGGAAAGGGTAATCCTGTCAGCGCCTCCAGAGTTGAAGACTTCCCACTAGACTGGTCACCGACGACAACGAACTACGAAGGTCAGTGCCTGCGGCCTAACGAGATATCTAAATACCTACTTGAGGTAGCGCGATATGCTTCCCAACACCAATCGCAACAAGCTTGTCGATCTTCTCCAGTCTTTTATCGTCCGTGAACATATCCTTTGACGCGTAGAGCGAACTCATCTTGTCTTCTGAAAAAAGTTGTTATGTAAGGTTTAGACAGAGTCAGTGACCAGAGGAGGAGTGATAATCGAATGTTAAATACCTTTGATACTAGGCTACAATCTGTGCCAGAAGTAAACTATGGGCGCTTAAACTGCTTCTCATACAAGTATGTCTCACTTGAGTCCACGAATTAAGTTCACCGTCCAATTATGATCAGCGCTTGTGGTGAATTCAGTAATGTCCTAAATGGTTTTTGTAAGAGCAAGATCCCTTCCAGGCAAACAACTATAACAGTAACGTTTGTAGATTATAGTTGGCACTTGAGCAAACGAAGCGGTCGCTAATGAACGTCTGAACTAACTTCGTTGTATGTGATACTTGCCTTATTTGACCAGCGTCACTGTCAGACCACGATAGAATGCTCCAAGTGAAAGAGGAAACCTTCAATTATGATAGCAAGGTCAACATTGATGTAGTGAGAGGAGAATGTAAAGTGAGCTGAAAGAAGTGGAATGGGATTTGAAAAGAAAACTCGCAAGGCTGGCGCAACAAGAACCTCTCAGATACCTTCATGGCTGAACCTACATTAGCGCCCTGTAGCCGGCCTAGGCAGACGTTTTCTCACATAACAAACTTGCTACTCAGTCACTATTGGAATGATAGTCCTCTAGTAATTAGAAGCCACATTGCTAATGATTCGCTATGCTATTCGTATCATACACCTCTGCATAATCTTACACGCTAGTTGGTTGCTCACTCGATCTAGGAAGAAGAGTAGATGCAGCTCACCGGCGAATCAGCCTTGACAGCCCGCAGCGCAACGCCAGTGCAGTTCTTGTTGAACCCAGGCTCGTCAGCGTTGCTGAACCAAAGACTGAAGCTCCCACCAATAACCTCAGTCGGACATGCCTTGGGACTCATTCCATCAAATACCAAGTATCCATCCTCGCTAATACTCCAGCCCTTAACCTCGCCGTTGCGTGGCAGCGATTGGCCTTCGTTCGTGTAGCCGCTCTTGCCCTGGCCCATACCGCTGCGGTCGACGTACAGCTGCTGGGTGAGTGTGTCGGCGTATAGGTAGGCTGTGGTGTCGTCTTGGATGACAAATGTGGCGTAGGCTGAAGGTGATTCGCAGGTGGCGTCTTGTTGGCCGCCGACGAGCAGGTTGCCTTTCCAGGCGGTGGCGCTCTGTAGATGCGCGTCGGAGCCTGAATGGATAGCGACAGCACCAAATGGCTCATTGGTGCATGGGGTTTCGATTTGAGGAGCCGGGAGCGCGGCTGCGACACTGGTGAAGGCAGCGAGGGCGAGTGTAGAGTATTGCATTGTGAGTGGACTGGTGTTGGTATCGATGTGATGTATCGGTGGTGTTGTTGTTTTTGAGAAGTTGGAAGGTTGCAGCTTTTGTGATGATATATAGCAAAGTAGATGTGATGGTTGGTGATGATCGATCGTTAATGGTGAGCAGTCGATACTTTTATATTAATTGCCATTGTAGCACCCTTGCAAGGGAGCGTGATACCGGCACTACGCGAGATGATTAGTGTAGCTAAGCTTTTTACTTCAATATCATACCATGTTCAACAGAGCCATCCCCTGCAATACAACCCTGGCCCACCAGAAACGATCATGAACGAGACTGGAGCCGCCAAATGCCATCATCAGATGGTGACTAGCTAGTGGTAACACTCCACAGGGTCCTCGCCACACTGCCCACTGCCGCAGTGTCCGTCGCCATACCCACATGAACGCTTCAAAGCTTTGTGTACCAAGAAGCAGCTGAGAAAGGAGCGGTCGCCGGAAGTCCCCATATCAAACTCTAAATTGCTATTCCGCCACACCAAAAACAGTAAGACCATCGGCGCCACTATATCCGTGCCCCACCGGAATCCTGGCGAAAACCCTCGGTCCGACGTCATTTTGCCCAGCCAATATTTCCATCCAGGTTAGCTCTCCGCATTTTTACATTACAGGTTTACCAGGACACGATGCCCGTGACTCCGTGTCATAATGTTGTTGCTCTAACCATAGGCCCAGTATAATTATGGTCACGAAGTATCATATCTGGTGCTCCGCATCAGAATTACCTGAGTATAGGTACCGTAGAATCCGATAGACTTATGCTAATCTACTTTGAGACAGCCAGGTGTTTTACTAGCTACACATGGTTATAGAGACTACGCCTTAGACCTACAGTAGTATAACCTAACGATTAAATTTGGTAGGAAAAATGTATCTATACCGTGTTCAACTGATGAGTTTCTACGGTAGTATGGAACTCGATAGATCCAATACCACAGCACACAGCACAGCCACGCTGGCAGCATAACCCATTGCTTGGGCCAGTGACTATTGAATAGGTATGCAACGTTACGCGCGCTGGTCGCGTATCGGTGTAGTAATGTTACTCTGGGCATTTCCATCATACGACGTCTTCTGCATACCTGGACTCATTTGTTAATGACTACGCAAGCGCGCCTCACCTCGCAATAATCAAGGCCGAACTACGGAATCTGGCGCGAGCACAGGCACATGTTTCCTTCTAGGCTCGTATTCGTCTTCCTTTATTAGTCTTTAGCTGCCTTCGATCGGCGCGAACAAGCGAGCGGCGAGATTAGTATGGCTCGGCCGAGTGACGAAGAGGCTTCTGAACCTCAGCTTGTAACACCGTCACGGCCATCGTCACAGTTGTATCGTGAGAAGCCAAGACTGTATGACGAGACACGCTGTGTTTGTTACATCAAGTGCATGACCAGATCTCCGGACTCTCCGGTGAGTGTCGGGCTTTCGAGGCTTCTTAGAGTCGTACACTTGGCCGATGTGCATTCGTCCTGGAGAGGAATCTTTGATGCGGTCTCGTCGTAGAGCATTGGCGTTGTTACCCTGGAGAAGAAGGCCTGGAAAACGAGACACCATGTTCTAGTGCACTGATACTGAACATGTTAATACATCAAGCAATGCAAATCACGACGACCGTATATCCGATATCCGACTACAAATGCTTGATTGATTTACTTCTACGCCCATCGCTATGCATTTTTTTATAGTACATATCCTAATCGACAATTCATTTACTCTCCTTCTTCGCAGACTTGGCAACCTTTTCAGCCTCTTCAGTTTTCCTCTTCAAAACCTGCTTGATCTCATCAATCGCGCTCTTGAATATTTTCTCAGCCTCGGCACCATGCTCCTTACCGACCTTCTGGAGCTGCTGTACCTTTGTCATAATATCCGATGACCCTGGGACGTATTTTTCGAAACTTTGGAGGTACTTCTCGATGTCGATCCCGTATTTCTGGCCCTGATCTTTGGCCTTCTCAGCAGTGTCCTTGACGTACTTCTCGATCTCTTCTGTGTCGCCTGACTCAACAGCATTGCGGATCTTGTCCCAAAGCTCTTTGATATTGCCTTGCTTGAGTGCTTCTTCATTTTCCTCAATGAGCTGCTTCACCTTTGGAGATTTTTCGAGGTAGGGCTTAACCTGCTCTTTGCCCTCTTGATAGGCCTTGTCTCCCATACTTTTGATCAATTCAACCTTCTCTTGAACCACCTTCTGGATTTCTGAAGCCGTGCTGGCTGAGACACCCTTGGACACGATGCTTGAAATCTGTTCCCAGGTTTTGTCGACCTCGCTTTTTACTTTGGGTCCGTACTGTTCCTGGAGTTGTTTGAGCTGATCAATGTTGCCACCGACCTTCTCTTTTACGTCAGGATGGTTGTTGAGGATGTCTGCATGGTCACGGGTCAATCTCTTACTTAAACAGATCGAGTAACTCCACATACCTTCAATGGCATCACCAGCTAACTCGCCAATCTGTTGCAGCTTGTCCTGAATGACATTCCACACCTTGCCAGTAGTCTCGATTGACATGTCTCCCTCCTGGGTCACCTTCTTAAGCTCCTCATATCCATCACGAATGATCCCATCAACCTTATCGCCGTGCTTGCTGCGAATGCTCTCCACGTCCTTGAAAGCTTGATCCACGTACCCCTTCGCGCCGGGAATGAAACCAGCATATGCCAACGCCGTACTGTGCAGCCACTCAATTGCCTGATTCGGCTCTGGCGTCTGCTCTTGTACTTTGTTCTTGGCCTGTTGGAAGTAGCCCTTGGCGCTTGACATTGTCTGCACAGCAGTCTTGGCGCCGGAGAAGTGGTAGTATCCATAGCCAGCAACTAGGACGGTCGCGCCACCGATGAGACCGCCGACAATACCGCCACCTCCAGCAGTTTTTGCTTGAGAAGATACATCAGCATAACTGCGGTATTGTAATCTTGGGCGCAAATGGGGTTGAGCTCGTTGAAAGTTCCGCGCAGATGAGCGGACAGTGATGCCACTGATACGAGATGAAGAAGACATAATTGTAATTATCAAGATGAAATATGGGGGAGACAAGGAATGGAGAGGCTGAGTTGGCACAGCGGGCAATTGAGGTTTTGTTTTACAGCTTTGGTTTCAGTGGTCACCATGGCGTCATAAGCTACGGTAAGCGCAAACGGACGCGTCCCCAACCTTGCAGCACGCCCATATGGACGTGCACGACGCAGACGTCATGAAGTAGGACAAGCCGGATAAATATTCTGCAAGTGTCATTACAGTGATACATAATTGATTTGATGGACGAGTTGAGCTTCCCAACGCCTGTCGAAATCCATCCATCTCTGCATAGAATTTTCCTGAACAAGCTAGCGCAGGTTCCCAGACCCAGCCCTTTAAGGTTAGTCATAGTTGTGTTAGATTGTATACTATTTCGGAAAGAACTAGATTCAAACATGCTTTATGGGAATAGAATCATCACTATTTGATATCTACGACGTACGCGATATTATTGTGTCTACAATGTTACAACCAATGATAAGCATCAGTCGTAGCTCCAAACAGCACGTAAGTTTAACAAACACAGAGAACATGTATTCTTGGAGTCTTGGACGCAGCGAATTGAAATCAAAGCAATCGCTAAGGTAGATGACTTTCTTACAGCCGATTCACAATATGCTAATCGATTGTACTCTGCCCCAAGGCCTTGTATCAGATGAGTTTACAGATAAAGACCATCGACATTATATTAAAGGTGTACACATCCTTTACGTTCGAAGTCCATGGCTTGACTTTACTCCATACTCCATACTTTATAACCATCAATTCTCCTGATATTGCGTGCTGTGATCTTATATACACACTTCATCCTCCATTATGGAACTATCGCACTATTCACTTTGAACTTCCTATGTCTCACTCCCTAGTCCTCTCATCTCCCGCCCATGAAGCGATATTCGCGCTGCGTGCTACTCGTTCGTAACATGGCACGTGATTGATCGGATATCATTGGCATAACCATACAACGCCGACGTAAGCATTCGAACCCTCACGATCCCCAAGTTCCCATCCAGCCTACTATAGACCATGCAAAGTAGCGCAGCACCCCAATCCATTAATTTCGATATCAAACACCCGGGTACACCATGCGTGTGATGGAAATATATTACGATAGAGCACGATCCCTAAGCCTCAGGGAGTAATGGTACAGGGCTGAAACGTGAAAGACAGAGCAGATCGTGTTTTATATACTTTTACTTGGCTTCGCAGAAGCAGCTAGTGACGGGTAGGTGTCTTCTCTCCTTTCCAAGGAACATAGACTGATGCGTGCTAGGTGGTTAGTTTGAAGTCACCTACCCGACGTGTGTGGCCTGCTCTTGGATGTATAAAGGGAGCAGCTTCCTTGACAGTATTCTTCTTACAATGAGTATGTATCTTACAAGGTTGGAATCCGGCAGTAGCTTCCTACGCAATCATGCTATTTGATGACCGAGCTCCGATGCATCATCTACGTTCTCGTCGAGTCGTTTGGACTTTATGGCTCCGTGCCATTGTATCTGGACGTGAAGTAGTGCATCAGGTAGCATCAGTGATGCAATGCATCAACGCTGCTCACTTGGAATGAATGCAGACTTCAGGGGCGATGGTCAGTATGAACATGAGAGTGAGATTCGATGTGTATGTATTAGCATTCTCTCTTTTTGGTTTGAGTAAGGAGAGAGATGTTCTGATCGACGTCGGCTCGATATTTGCACAGCTTCTGTGTACGCAGGCGTAAGAATATTGAACATTTTGCGCACGGTTGTGGGCAATTCCAGACCTAATCTACGAAGGAATTCTACCTTACAATGATAGAGTTCATCGATCACACTTCAGTATGGTGATGACCATCATCATCACCACACTGAGCAGGTTCGATGTCACTGGCCAGTCTACAAGACACGAAGAAGTGCACGAAGCACGAGCAAAACAGGTGACACACACACACACATCAGGATCCCAGATAGCAATGAAGTATTGTCCTCAGCAACCACTATCAACAATGACGTACATCATCATCATATAAGAGCGCAAACAGAACATTAACCTTTCATCCTAATAAGACGCAAAGGAACACATGGGCTCAGATAGACCATGATTTGGAGGCAGACACATAGATATCCCTCCACGACTCATCATCGCAGCTTGTGCAATGAGCATGGAGATATAGGAGAGATAGATTCTCTAGATAGGCTCTAGATATATACACATCTTACGAACGAAAGACCGCCGGGTACGTCCAAATGATCGAATCCAGTGAAGCGTCGATTGCGCATTAACACTCACCCTTAAACATACAACTGCACCACTCGACCGCGAGGTAAAAAGAGTCCTTCACTGGACCAAGCACTTCATGCGTGGAAAGTTTTGTTTAAGGCTCGTATGGTGTCATAATTTACACTACATGATTAGCAGCTAGAATGATGTCGAATGAACGCCAAGTGAATGCATTCTATGTCACACACATCAAGGCAGAGAATTACTGTCGAGGAGAGAGCATGGAGAGTTTCCAGATGCCAACCAGAGGAATTCTGCTCAACCATTCAGTGATCTTTGAGCAAACACGGCCACTTTCGCAAGCAGAGTTGAGAAAGTTATTTTGAACCGACTACTGCTTGCACTAAACATCAAATTTCATTCACAGTGACCTACTGTGGCACTTATACTACCCACCAGAACTCCGTTGTAGCTTACCCAAACATCACTCAAAGAATGATGTGATGAGACGCACCAATTTTTGCATAGAACGAACGAGGGCGAGCATTTAAGAGCTCACATGGCTGCTTATGGTAAAGAACGACATATCGACTTTCCTGTGAGAACTTGCAGAAGTCCGCTCTGAAGATGTTGTTTTTGACTTGTAGCATCGGTAACCTTTGTACATTATCTATGTGGAAGTATCTTCACCCTGTTATGATGAAGCTATGCATCAAGGAACGTTTCTAGCGCGCGTTATCACCGCTCAAGATTACACCCACCACCACATTAAGTGCCCAGTCACGTCCAAGCATCAAAAGACTCCATAGGTATACTGCGCCGAGCAGGAGTAGAAGAGAATCCGTTTTAGGTTAGTATCACTAATGCCAACAGAATAGTCACAGCCGACGAGAGGGATGATTATCTACTCCTTGCCGAGAGACCACTTACCGGGTACATGACTCCCAGATTTGGGGGAAGGAATCTTGAATGCCGGGTAGACCGTAAAAAGTTATCAGGCAATTGACACGGACGCCACATCATGAACCCACGGTTTCCTCATCAGTGGCACACTCAAGGCAAGTAAGACTGAGAAGCATAAGAAGGTAGCTAAATCACGAGTAAATACATAAGCTCTACTTTACACAGGCTGTGCGCAGCGCAAAAGCTCAAACACAAATACTGGTAAGCTGGTAAATGCTCTGGCAGCCCACAAAGGGTGATATCGATGGCCATCATCATGAGCTGATCATGACGGTCCACGTCATCGAAACTTCCACGATATCAACACTATCAAAGAAACGAAATCAGCGCAGAAGACCCACATAATGTTCGAGCGCCAGAGCGCCGAGTCACACACTTCGAAGCGAGGATTCAGAACGCCAGAGCAAGCACCCCGGAAGCATAGAATGCCTTAGCTTTGTTCGACGTGTGCTTCGAACACAAGCTATGAAGTAAGCGGCAAGGAGGAGTCCCGAGGAGAACATAGGAAATATATGTATCTTACAACCAAGGGGTCGGTGCCGGGTACGTGAGGAAGTCCGTGTGTGAATGATGCGACCTAGTTGTACGTGCTATTGCGCTATGCCAACGAGTTACATGAATAGCACAGCTGAAGAAGATCGCAATATGGTGTATTTGCACCGTAGAGCCTCTCTTTAGGAGCACATGCTAAGGATAATCTTTAAGATATGAAGAGGCACTCCGCCACATCTGAGCATAACAAGAGCAACGAAAACGAAATTCAAGCATATTATTGCGTAGTGTAACTTCGAGGGAGAATTCTATGCCCATGGACTTCGCTATGTTTCAAGGAAGCAATACAATGAAGGTGAGCCAGGATGAAAACTATCGCCATGTATCGTAGTGAGAAAAGCATTATCAGTCGAGCGACAGGAAAGCGCCAAGAGACATGAAGATAATTGCTTGGAGTGGCGGGGCTAGAAGCATATATCGCCTTTGTCCAGTATGGGATGGATCTTGTATGTCATTACGACGTGACTAAAGGAGGAGCAAGAAAGTAAGCGGCGGGTGCACTCTATATAGTAGAATAACGCAAAATCAAACAAGCATTCACCCAGCAAGCCCATGATGGATGCCATTACCAATGATCGAAGGATACGGGTCACTGCGTGCTTCACTATCAATTCTTAGTACTGCTCTTTCAAGAAGAGCAGCACAGTAGAAATTTCAATAAGGAACGACGGCGAAGACTGGTTAGCAAGGAGATGTTGCCGCTGTCAGCGGCAGAGAACGAGAAAAACAAAGATGTAGCATATACGGCCCGATGTGTGAGTCATGGGGAGATCAAAAACGAAAACCCATTCATAGAAGAGGGTGAGCATGCTAACTGGGAGGATCAGTGACAAATCGGCTAGCTTGCGTAGCCTTGGAGTCAGCGTGCACGGTACGCGTATTGCGCGTGTTACTCAGGGATAAGGGTGAGATAAGGACGACAACGGGCAAGATTCAAGCTGCGGTGAAAAGGCGAGCTAAGCATGGCCGACGATCGTTGACTTCAAGTAACCTTATGGGCAAGGAGTGGACGAGATCAGACGACAAGGCGAGCAAGGCGAGCAAGGCATGTCACCAACATGTTGTTGAAGGTAGGCAAGTCACCAGAAAGCGAAGTCAGTCACACTCAAGATAGATCACCAACGGATGATGGGAAGAAGAGGAAGAAGAAGTAGAAGAAATTGATTAATTCGATTGATTGTCAACGGGCCCTCCCCTCCCGTGACTACAGAGCCCTATTGCTCTGCGCCCTAATTAAACTCTGCATGATGACAGTCTGAAAAAAGAAAGAGGAGAGGGAGACAAAGATAAAGAGAGAAGAGAAAAGAAAAAAAAGGAAAAGAGAGAGAAGGAAATACCAAGCCAGATACAAACCAGTGCTACAAACTAATGATGTCGGTCCAGCCCCTCCGAACATCTCGCAAAGGCCACTACTCTTCTTTGCGCCCTAGTTAGTCCTTCTCCAGACTATGTTCACGCGTCCGCGACCATAATCTGGTAGAAGGTAGTCCCAGATCTTAGTTTTCCTCCCACCCCGCCGAGTGAAAGAGGTCGGACAAGAATGTGTTTCTGTGTAACGAACCCGAAGCCTCCAATTGCTAGAGTCGAGGCCCGCTCAGACTCTAGCTCCCCGGCTGATGCTGGCGATGCCCAATGGGCGAGCATGAGGAAAGAAGGAAAGTGTTTCGAGGGAGAGAGGACCGTTGTTTATATAGTCGCGCAGAAGCGACAGCTCTTGAGCACGGTCCAGGCTGGCTACTTCTGGTCTAGCGCAGTCTATCGGCAGCTCGGCGTTCTGATTACACCTGCAAAGCGAGGTACTTTGCGTGTATAGTGTGGTACGGCTTGGCAAAAATCGTGGCCTGGGGCATGACAAGGCCCTCAGGCAGCAAGATTTCCAGGAGGACGTCGGGAGGAAAGTGTGACCGCAAACCTCAGAAACGTCAGTTATGTGTGTAGGAAGCTGTATATATCTTTACGAGTAGTATATCTGAGTTCCTACAAGTTTTAAATGTGTCCGGTGATCGTGTGGTCGCGTAGTTGTCAAAATTGCGTGATTTTGTGACGAAAAAGCAGTTTTGGAGCCATCGACGACGACGGTGAGGTTTTAAGATGTCCTAGAACTCTGAAATTTGTTAGTGTGTATAGAGATAAGACAAAAGGAGCTTCTTGAGACTTACTACGCGTTCCTAGGGAACTTTGTTGTCGAGTCAGATTTCGACTCAAAACCGGCCTGACGCGATAATACCAGCGACATTGCCACAACGCGATACTATACGGACCAAAAAACATCTGATCAGTGGTTCAGGGTCAATACAAAAGCATTTGAGACTCTGGTACGAGTTCCTAGCACACTTTTTGAAAACGTCCAATTTCGACCCAAAATTCCCCTCCAGATCTTCACCTACGACGCGACCGCATCGACAAGCCTACACCCGAACATCAACGGCAGCACCTACGACCATTACCACGAGCGATATGGTCCACAAGACTGCGCTCCTGACAAGAATGCGGTTCCGCTGCGTAAACATCACTCATTCCAGGGCTTTAGTGTATAGCTCTTCGGTCCATTGACAATTAATTTGCCTCAAGCCTGTCTACTGCCAGAGCTGACTACACTCTGGCGTCCTTTCTCACGGTATGTAACGCATAAGAACATACTAAGATGAGTGGTCTGCGTGAGATATCAGAACAGCCTGCTGACCGCCTCATCAGTCTACGTTTGCGTGAACGATGCCAGTCATTTTCCCTGAGCGATTCCTCTTCTTGAGCATCGACACAGCCACTGGCAATTGTCCACAGTACGACAGGTGTCAAAGGGAACATGGAAGCATCACATCAAGAATAAAGCGAGCCCGAAAGACATAGAAGCTCGTACACTCGTAATGGATTGTCCATAAAACATAAGAATATAAAGTACGACTGCAGAAGAGCAGAGCAAGAGAGGGTATACAGTGATATATGGACGAGACTCAAGCAAGAGATTCAGTATGCAGAATAAATGTGCAAGTGGAGATGCTGAGCACATGTCGAACCGTTGTTGCGAGCAACCTAGCTTATACAAGCGAATGAATCAAGAGATTTTATATAGCCAGGTATTCATGAAGAAGGAAACATAGGAATTGTAGGACATTCAAGGAGAACAAAGAAATGATGAGATATCCTAGATTTGAAGCTGTATGACTGCTCACTTTACAAATACCTCGATCGCAGATTACTCAATGTACTCATTCTACCATGCTGCATATTGCTCAAGAGCGCTTCCTCTAGTGCGGACTGAGTGACACTGGCATCTAGGCAGACACTTTAGCTGTGGTGCGACTACATTGACTCGCAACGGCGGAGAATATCATTCGCGATACGGTCGACGGCATTTGGAAGACGATTCGGAGGCAAGTCGACGGTTGAATGAGACGGCGAAAACTTACCGTCAAGATCACTGAAGCTGCTGCCCATGCTAGGTGTGCCGTCGCTGCCTGTTTCCTTACCTTTGCCCCTGCTACTCGGGGAGCCTACACTATTTCGTTTGTGAGGGTTTAAGCGTGCCAGCTCCGCTCTGTGTCGTGGTGACATTGGTGGAGGTGATGAAGGTACTTGATTGGAACGGCCAGGTACAGCAGATGATGCGGAAGATGCAGAGGATTCAATACCAGATGTAGATCCTATAACTTGACGCTGTGCTCGAGGGTCAGTAATTGATTTTCCTTTCGACTTGTCAGCCCCTTTTACTAGGCCACCTTGAGCGTGATGTGGATCTTGCCGGGCAGGCGTCTTGTTCTGAGTATAATTCTGATTGACCATTGCGAATGGAAGGTCGGAATTCGAGGAGTCATCCTCATCTGGATCATTTTCTGAAGCATCATCAAGAGGAGCAAGGGGAGATTTGCGTTGCGTGAAACGAGGAGGGCGCTTGAATATTTGGCTGCGCCGGATGGGATTATCGGGCTCCTCGTCAGAGGAGCTTGCCGACGAACTTGAGTCGGCACCAGAGAGCGAATCAGGACTGGTAGGATGATTGGTTGCAGTACTAGCACCGTGCACAGGCACGGCAGGCGGAGCCTTGCGAGACGGTGGGAAGGACGAACGGAACGATCTATGAGGTGGTCTAGGACTGACAGGAGCAGTAACACCCAGACCGCTGTGCGTGACGGTCGTTGTTGATGGTGTTCGTGATATTGTAGGTGCTGGCGCTTTGGGGGATCCTGGTAAGCTACCATCTACTTTGACAATTTCAACCTTCGATCTGATGGACAATGATGAGGGTGCTCTAGAGCCTCCACTACCAAGCCTTTTCATGGGAACACTACAGACAGGTGTTGTGGAGCTCGCAGATCCTATTCCAGTGGAAGCTGTAGGTGTTTGAACTTTCCGCATCTGAGCGCGGACATGGGATATGTGTCGTTCGTACAGCCATGCTGCCTGTTGTAGCAGAAAGGTATGTGGGACTTGAAATTTATTGGCTCTATTTGGGGTCAGAGGGTGAAATGACGGGACGTCAAGGTTGGCTTACAGTTCTGTCCCTATGGTAGTTAGTAAAATGCAGGGTTTTAAAGAAAGGACATACAATCTATAGCGCTGGCCTTCGAACTGCGCGAGATGATCTTCCAAAGCGCTTGGTCTCTGGTGTTGTCCCAGTCCACTTGGGGCGGATCAACAAAGTCTCCTCTGAGGAAAGGCAGGCGAATGAGGGCGGTGAAATGTACCTTCTCCTCTGGTTCCGCTACGCGTCTCTGCCTCGGCTCTGACTTTCCTGGAACATTGGTTGAAGACGTTTGGGCATGTACTGCTGTGCCGGCAGTCGGGACACTCTGTGGAGGAGCCATTTCAGCTCATACCGTACAGCCTACTTGGGGCTGAAAGTCCAGAAATATAAGGAGTGATGGCGCGATGCCAGTACGTGGGCATGCTCTGATGTCACGCCTGGAGCAGTGTAATGAGGTGCAGTTGAAGTAAAGCGCGAGGTTGAGTCCTAGCTGATATTAGTTCGCCCATTAACTCCGACGCTAAAATTCACGGATCTGATGCCCGATATGCAAGGCACTAATCCATGTGCCTTGATCCTACTACGTTCGCCATTCTTTGAGGACAGTATCCGCGCAACGACTTCAGTATCACATACAACAAAAACTATTCATGTGTCTTCTTGCTTACCTCTACTTGAACACGGCCAAAGGATTCGATACATCCGTGTCGGCTCGGGCAAGACAAAACAATCCGCATTCCGCAGTGGAGCAGCCAGCTTGTTAATTGTGATCAGCCCATAAATGCGTGCCACCGTCGTCAAAGGTAGTCGATATAAGCGGACTTGGAAGCCTCGAGACTCGCGCCAGCGCAGGGAGTAGGAGCTCCCAAGAAGTGAGACTGAGACCGAGACTGTGCTGGCTGAGGAATGGCGACTCGCGGTTGCGTACTTCCGTGGGAACAGATGTATCTATCTGCTCCTCTCCATAGCTCTCTCTAAGCAGCACTTCACTATCTTTTGCGACTACACAATATTCCAACTATCAACTTGCCTCATTCTTGGCGTTCTGTGTCTTCTGGCTGCCTTTGCTTGCGTGGCCGCCCCCCCGGTCCTGGCGTGAGCTAACATATACTTCGTTAAAAGTCAAGTTTTTTTCTTCTTGGATATCGATTTCTGCCTAGTTTCTACTACTCTCCCATTTAAGGTTCACGATGGGCTGCACCTTGTCAAAGTCAAAGGCTTCACTCCGAACAATAGACACCCAGCAGAAAGAAGCTACAAAGCCTATCTCACGATCGCATGAAGCTTCATCACCTATAAAAACGTCCCGACCGAACACACCAGGAATTACGAGTTCTCCACCGACCCCGATGTCAAAATCGCCAGCAACCAGTACACACTCGATCAGGTCGTCAACAAATCAGCTCAGTCACGTGAAGAACGCATCAGTTACGAGTACGACTTCGAACTGTGTGTCGTACCACTCACCACGGGGCTCCGTGCGGAATTCCCCACGCAGCTCTGCTGTGGTGTCGCCTATGCGGCCACAATTTTTGAGCCCTGGAGATCGATCATCGAGCGGTACCGCGTATGGGGGACCGACAACATTCCATGGAAACGCATATGCCATGGGCTGGCAAGGTCGCCATGCCGATTGATTGACTCAGCTGCGCATTGGCTGGAATATGTTTAGCAAACCAGGTCTGAGACCAGAACTCGTGGAAGTTGGAATTTGATCCACGGTGGGGCCCAACAACCGATGACGCCGCACGCCAAACAAGGCAAACTAACCACCAAGCATGCTTCTCACATTATCATATATCCCAATACCTGGTTTTACTCTCCTCATGACGCACTTTCGTATCTTGGATTCCCATGAACAGCGAGGGTGACCATATCAAGCGAGGCGGCGCCATGTTGAAGCGTTTCAGTGAAGTTTGAGACAAAGTCACCAGGGCTAGGCAGTCACCCACACCCTTTGTCCTATAAAGACTGGACCCATCACTGAAATTCGAACTTGCTCGTCCACCACTTCAACCCGAATATTCAGTTCTCTTCCAGCACATCGAGAGCCTACATCATGCCCGATTGTTACATGGCAGCTGAGCCCCAGGCTCAAAACTCCCTTTCTCCAGATCCACCTGAACCCGAGCCTGAACCGGAACCTTTTCCAATGGACGCCCGGCCCACAGCCAACGACATAACGCATCTTGTTGCGTAATGCCTCAAATATTCTCGAATATTCTCCTTGACATGTGTTGAGAGAGAGGCTCCGGCTGCGCCGAAGTCAACGTTATTGGGATGGACAGTTCAAGGAATTCTTGGGTTGGGTAATCACAAGTCTCTAGACAATATATCTTCTACTAGTCAAGGGTCCTTTGCCAAATCTCTGGGCGACATCAACGACAATGTCACTAACATTCTCGCTTGAATCTCACTGTTCGATTTCTCTGTCCTGGGGTCTCATCCATGTCCGTGCATAAATACTTGTGTGGACCATTTCTATTTTGTTCTGGTGTCACAGATCCCTCACAGAACTACTTCTTTAACACCAGATACTTTTGTAACCACACGATGTTCTCATGTTTTAGAAGCTGCACGTCCAAGCCCCATAATCAAACACTTCATGATCCACCTAGGCATATCAAGCCCCCAGCACTAAAACCTTGCCGACACACTATTTACACCCGGACGGAGGAAAGTTCCGCTGTTGCTCGCGTAGTTTCGAAGCCATCTCACCAACAGTCACAAGCTGTCAGTAAAGTAGAAACGATACTACAGTACTCGCGGCCTGGTAGAGACTCTCTTGAGATTCTGCCAATCCGCAATTGATTCCATAGGACAATCCTTCACTCAAGCTAGTCCTGTTTCCCTACCAGGTTCTCACAACGCAATTTGTGTGCACGTGCCTCCAAACAAAACAAAAGATATCTCCCAACAAGCTAATTTGTCTTTCAGGCTCACCGAGCGATCCAACGCTGCATCTTCACACTTCTACTTGATTAACCACGAGACCGATACACGGCTATTGGCTTCTAGAAGATGCCTTTTCTCAGTCTCCTCTTCGCCTGCTTTCACGACACTGACCCCCCTGGCGCCACAATCGTTAATTCGGATTCTCGCAAAGACTCTGTCTTTTCACAGCAAAACAACGCCATACTTTGCCCGAGACCAACTCTGGCCGCTCCACAAAATGTCCAGCCGGTGAATGTACCTCCACTTCCTCCTTTCGTCTTCCCAGTAGGCAGAGATTCAACTGAAACTCAAGTCAAGACGAACGGTCTCTCCAATCGTGGCCCTTTTGCCAACCCTGACACAAGTAATCTAGCCAACTGCAATGGTGATGTTGGGCCTGTCAACACCCGCCTCATCGACAGGAATCAATTTGACCATGACTACGCACGTAAGCAGCAATTTCGTGAGGAGGGACTGCTTTCTAAATCGGGACACGAACCTCGTATGTTGAGCGAGCAAGATCAGAAGGACACCAAACGCAACAAGACTGTGAAATCAAAGGCTCAAGAGCATGTTGGCCGTCTTCGTGCAGCCGGGCTACTTCCTCCAATTGGTGTCTATGGAGCGAAGACCAGACTCGACACCCCCAACGTTGCAGACGATGGGTATGGCAATAAAGGTGATGAGACACCTCTTCTTCCTATTCCAAAGATAAATAACTGACCACGAAAGCCTCTCCCACGAGAAATTCAGTCGGACACGGTACCTCCGCAAGCACCGCTCGTAGGTATGCTGCAGGCAAACAAGCCGCCCTCGACAACATCAACCAGAACCTCTTCAAGCAGGGCCTGCTCTCTTCAAAATCAGCTCTGAACATCGCGTCTGACTATTCAGGTACCACACACCCCTTAACCTCTCTGTAGCTCTACTAACTCTTGAAGCCGTCACCGACACACCCCTGATCATCAACCCTGACAGCACAGCTTCCAAAGCCGCACGCAATAAAGCTAAAGACAAGGACACTAGCGAAAAAACGGTTCAGCAGCTCCGCAACGTCGGCATTCTTGCACCCAAGAAGAATACCATCGCAACAGGCCTGCGGTAGACTTCCGGTCCTGCTCACACATGTGCAGGATGAAGAGGACGGACACGCCACAACCAACGGGTCAGCAGATATGCATGTGAAAATAGACGTTGTAGTTTGGACAGGAGCGTTAAGGCATCACATAGAATCCTGTAGATGCACAAAATGAACGTTTAATAGGGGTTTGAAATCTCACTGCTCAGTCGTGGGAATACAGATATCGAGACATGTAGCGACTACGATCCTCCATTGCCATTATAGCCCCTAACATCTGCCCTGTAGTCTCATATCGTGTGATTCGCATATACATCATGACCGATGGAGAGCTTACTTTGAATCAGGCTTCGAGAATCTCGTCAGCCATCGTAGCATTCAAATGTCACACCAAGGATCGTGATATCTAACTAACTCGCATATCCATCATGACTCGTAGAAGGCGATTTCACAGCATTAGTCAGATATCGACGTTCCCATTATAGCTTATGGGCATGTACAAGATGTCACTCTTTGACAATTCTGGTTGTCTTCGTGGCTTTTGAGGGTGGACTTTGGGCTACCATTCGAAATCTTGGGTACACATAACGGATGGGGACAAGGACCACAACTCGAGAAATAACGTGTCCGTCGTAAGTGTCCTGGGTTCTCAACGCGGGGTGTAATCAGTATTACGTCGGTGAATCATGTGGTGGGTTGTACATAGCAAGGGCCGAAGTCACCATGAAGAATGCGCCAGAATAGAAGAATTATCATCAATTTGTCACAACAGACGGAAGAATATTTATCATGAAGTATCAACCTCTGCCCCATTCATCAACTCGTCTACCATGTGTTTCAGTCCTATCCTCTCCCAAGCACCCGTCGAATCCGTTCTCGATCCGTACAAAAGGAAAAGAATAACAAAGAAAAGCTTCTTGACTCTCAGGCGATCGTCAAGATAATGTTCGTTCTAGCTTGTTCTTCGAGCCGCAACGCCCAAGTTGGTATTCTCGCGACGACGAGCCTGTAGCTGTTTGATAGTACAATCCGCTCGTTCTCGACCTTTGCGAACCCGAGCCCAAACCTCGCAATTCCAAACCCTAAAAACCAAGACCAGAACGCCAAAATGTGTTCCCCAAGAATGTAGTGTGCTCGGCGCCGGATTTATGCCGTATGTAATGCCGCCAAAGCGTCTGACCCAGATTAAATTGGTGGTACGGGTGAGCGGGTCAAGATGATGGAGAAGGATTTTATGCCCTGTCTCCGAGAATCCACGCTGCTGCTGATAGCAATAATGCTTCGACATTTATGTCATCTTAGCAGTGTGGTATCTGCCAGATGACTGCTGCTGCTGCGGCGGGTCTGGGATGGTGTGTCTGTGTTGACACAGCAGTCCACACGTCCTTATTCGCCGCTGGATGTGTTCCTTGGCGTTCGTAGTATCTTCAATGATGGCTCAGCAGTTCAACGCTCAATCTTCGGCCAGCTATTAAGCCAAGCCATGAGCCCAACGCCGATCAACACGATACTGACCATACTTGCGACTGGGGCTTTATGAACCATAATTTCGTCTCGCCTCGAGTCCTGTGCCATAAGTTGCTGAAGGGCTTCACTGAATTCTTGTGCGAGCTCTTCTGCTCTCTGAACTTCGCTCGCGGGTGTGGTGCCAGCAACATGGCCGTTCGCTTCCCCGCTTTCGGTCTTCTCTTTGCTGCTTGACTGTGTCTTCCGTAGTCGTTTCATCATAACACCGCCCTTGCTCTTCTGTTGATCCCGGAGCTTGTCAACCATTTCGGCGAGTGTATCGCGATCTCTCGTGCTCTCGGCTTCTGCAGCCTCAGCGCGTTGGCGGTATCTTTCCATTTGCTGGCGAACTTCCGACATTTCAATAACCATAGAGTCAAGTCGCTTTTGCAGAGCATCGGTGTGGTCAATTGGTTCAATCGGAGAGGAGCTCATAGATGCCTTCGCGGACTCAGTGTCAACTAGGGTTTCGTCGTCTTGCGCGTCGTCCGCAATCCTGACCGGTATCTCAGACGTCGCCACAGAGCCATGCTGTGATAGGAGTTCCTTCCTTTGTTCGGCTTCAAGACGAAGAGCTTTTTCTTCAGCCGCTTCCCTGGCACGCTTCTCTTGTTCAATGATCTGTTCCAATTCCTTCAACTTAATGTTCTGCGCTTCCAGATCCTTTTTTGCGGCGGCCAATGCCTCGGCTAAAGCAGCGCTTTGTGGATCAACCAACGAACTGATGGGTGAGAAATTTTCGAAACGCCCAGACCGGCTTGGTGAGCTGTTTGAGCTTTTCGGTTTCTCTGTGTCAGTCCTCCGGAAGGAAGGAATATAGCTCGCCGCATCAGGCTTCTCCGGGAGCGGTTGCTGTGGTGGTGGTGCAGGTGGATCTGAAAAGCGTGCCTTGATGTCCCCTTTGACGGGGGAGGGCTTCATGAGGGGATTATGCGAAGCTTGGGGAGACTTGATTGCTTCTTTTTTCGGCTCGGTGGTCAGCATGGTTTCGATAGAGTGGGATGCTCGCTGTAGATCTTGTGTTTGTTGCTTTGCAAGCTTGAGTTCGGCCTGATAAGGGGTTAGGAGACTCATATCTTGGCGTCGTACACCTTGACTTACGTTTAATTTTTTGACGACTTGTTCCATGGAGATAGGCTGTAGCCAGAAAGTGTTTTGGCGCTGTTGACCCATAGCGCCCATGTTGTTGTTCGCCATACTGTTGGCTGCAGAACCAAGCCTTGCGCTGCCAATGGTTCCTTGACTGCCTTGTCGCGAGCGCATTGGACCCATGTTCTGCCCGAAACCTGCTCCCATAAGCCCATTGGCATTGGGAGAATCCAGATCTCCGAAATTGAGATCCAGCATGTTCTGACCGTTTGTGTTATAAAAGCCAGCATGTTCAACACGGGCAGCCACTTTATGGTGAACAATCGTTTTCTGGTCTTCACTAACAATATCAATACCCAGCTCCAACATGTCCTGTTCTCGAAGTTCTTGTGGCTCTGAGTCTCTGTTTTCTGGAGACAGTCTTTGTCCATTGACAAATGTACCGTTGGAAGATTTCACGTCTCTTATCCAGACCTTGCCGGTTCTTTCAGCCCATATTTCAGCATGCTGTCTTGACAGCACTTTCGAGTCAAAATATCCATTCAAAGGAGTGGGTTGTGTCTTTTGATTCGTTTGGCGACCAATTTTTAAAACCTCGGGGAAAAACGGTACTGTGATTGTTTTCCGTTCAAAAGTACCGTTCATGGGAATGAGATATAGTACCGCGGTATTTTCAGGTTGTAGAGAAGTTCTCGGCTGCCCATTTGTCTGAACTTGTGACTGCCCATTGGTTTGTGAGGGTAGCATGTGTGGAGATGGAGAATGAAGCGCATTCATCGCGGAGGCTGCAGACGGACCGGATGAAGCAGAAGCAATCGGCTGTGGACGCGCTGTTGACAGTCCTGCCACTGGCTTTGCTTCTGACGCGGGCCAAAGGCCTCGGGTAGGTTTCTTCTTTGCTGTCCAGTTCTGACCTTCGGTAGCCGGGGATTGTGATATGCCATTAGTCGTTAGGGAGGTTGAGGTGATGGTTCCATTGGATGCAGTGGATGATATAGAGGATGATGAAGGCGTGCGCTGAACGCCTCGACGAGTTCCACCCGGGGGCATAAACATCCTCGACACGTCGTCAGGGTTTACTCCATTCGAGTTGTTAGAGGCGCTCCATCCTGTTCGGGAAATGGGCTGGAAATTTGGCGGAGGAGCAACTGCAGTCATCTGCAAGACTGGCAACTACGACGGCTCTTAAAGGTATATTCGGGACTGTACAGGTGCCTCGAGCCCTCGTTTAGCACCGTCGCTTGGTGTGTATCGTCGACACGACGCCCCTTAAATCAAGCAATAACAACGTCGACAAGCGAAAGCGATGCCGTCGTTCTACCATAGACCAAAGCGAGTACAGGATATTAATATGCGACTAAGTTTTTTTTTGTATCGGAGGAAGTAGGTCGCCGTGGACGAGACGGTCGTGTGCTGTCCCGTGTCAGCCAGGTGCGACGTCAGTGCCTTGTAGCGCGACGAGGATGTAGACAACGCAGCCTAGGTGAAGGCAGGACACACAGTGTCAGCTATAGAATCGAAGCAAATACCGACGGATGTAGGGGAGAGTGAGGATGTCGATGCGGATAGAGGAGGGATTATGGCGAGAAAGTTAGGAATGAGATATGTTGGCCTGGTCGGTCTGAGGAGTCGGGCTCGCTAACGCTGAGCGGCTAAAGTGAAGCGCCAGTCACCTGTCAAGACGTTACAGAGACGCCTGAGCGGATGGACGCGAGTTTTCACAACGACCTGGCCTTGTTGTGGGAATTCAAGTGAAGTCGAGTTGCTATAGATTTTTTGGTATGACTGCGCATGTTGTGAATGCACCACTCTCACAAACTTTGTTGTTCGAAACTCGTGCTTGCAGGTATATATCACGTGCAGTCTGTCCAGCTCAGGCATAGCGTCGTCTGATGTAGCCTATGCTGGAAGCTTTAAGCGCGATGTCAAAGCTTCAGCCCGCATTTACTCTGCGTCGCCGCATCTTGGATCCATAAACTTTGTTGTCCCTTTTGTTCCAGACTGACATTGAGTCTCATCAACTATCAACCGCCGCCATGCCTCCAATGCCATCGAACGCAGGCGGGCAAGCAGGGCCGTCAACATTCGATAAACGTAGGAATCGATGAGCTCGCTAGCTATTCACTTGCTGAGCTAACTTCGCGCAGTGAAGATGGGAGGCATGATGGGGGGTTGTACGTACTCAATTGCGAGCGCATATCCTCTGTAATTCCTGACATGGATTATAGCTGTCGGATTGATCATTGGCTTTATCTTTGGTGCAACCAACATAATTCGATTTGGACCTGGTCCGAACGGAATGCTAAGAACATTGGGACAATACATGGTTGGATCTGGAGCCACGTTTGGGTACTGAATCCCTCCGCTCACATGGACCGGGCTGACTCTTCGAAAAGCTTCTTCATGTCAATAGGATCCGTTATTCGAACAGACTCGTCCTTGCAAGCTAATCGAGCTTTCGCAAGAGCTTACCAACGACCACTTATAATGCCCCAACAGCACGTACGGTGGCAGCGTGCACAAGAAACGGCGTGATGACATGAAGATTGAAGAGATCTTAACGACTCGTTGTATAACTATGGAGGCTTGCAGGGTATGCATACGTGCATTGTAAATATGTGTTTTTGAAGCATGGCGCTGGGAATCTGGACAGATTCACGGTCATCCTGGTAGTGGTGAGTGTATTTAAGATGCTGATATGCTTCAAAACTCGTTCAGATCAGGCATGAAGTGATAACGATGCACGACATTCCTACCCGCTCATGTGTGGCGTCACACTTTCCAATCTAGAGCGTAGACTTCCAGAATAACCACCATAGGGCACGCCGATGTGTAGTTTTCGTGCGTTGAGCTTTGACTGCAATCAGGATATGGAATTGCGAGCAGCCTCGTGGCAAACAGATCTCGTAAACCGATTTGTTTCTGTCATACCATAGAACGGCCGAGTCCAAATGAACACTTAATAACCCGACACAACAAGTCTCATTCACTTTCCCATAGCGCTAAGGCCCGGGCACCAGATTGGATTTTACGAATTCAATCACGTGTAGTAGTTGGTCGAGAGTACGCGTCGTAAAAGCCTTTTACAACCACAAATCTCTGTATTCTGTTTTCTTCCACCGGCGCCTCCTTCCGATTCACTATATTTCGATGGTGCTCGATCGCGGCTCCATGGCCCCGCCTCCCCTACCAGGCAAGCTCAGCACATACTTTCGTGATTCTGATGACCTGGCGGTACAGTTTGAAAGCTTCGCTCAGCGCTACGGCCCTGAGGCAAAGGCTAGACTGCTTCAGCGATTGAGTTCGGCGTCAGGGGTGTGCTCTACGAATAAGAGACAGTCTCGCAGCATAGATCCAAGATACACCACATCAGCAGTAAGCCTTCAATCAAGATCCATTGTCCCGATGTTTGAGGACACCAAAGCCTCAGACGCGTCGAGCTCGCGCCACTTTACCCCGGTACCGGACTCCTGGGAGGCCAGCGATCTAGAAATTGTGTCTCCAGGAACCCTTATTGGAGAAAATACCCCAATACTTGAAAGGCATGAGGGCTTCCACCCGAAACAGAATTATTCAACCGCGAGAGAATCTCGTGGCTTCAGGGCGCGGGCAGAATCAAACACAGGGCGAGCCAGTCACACTTTCCCGACATATGAAGCGCACAGTAGGTTGTTTTTCAAGTATATCCTAGTAATTGATCGAACAAACATAGGCCATAGTCACGCCCAGCTCACACAGCTGCCCTCGAGCTATAATACATCCACAGATCATGAAGACGATCCCTTTAGACCAGTCAACTCAAATGCCTCACAGCATGATCAATACATAAATACCGACGAACGTGATAATACCGGTGGGATCAACGCTGCTCGAACAAGTGGCCATAAATCTCTTAATCGATTTATTGAGCGTCTCTCGGTAGAGCCCATTGGGTCTCTTGAATTGACCATTACTGACAGCGAGACCGATGATATCCTGTCAAGTGTTTCTGATCAAACCACCATATTGGAAGATACTCGTATAAATACATCGTCTACACCACTCAGTAACGCGGCACAGAATAGCTTTGGCCAGCGGGAATCAATCCAGACGGAAAAAGCTGAAGGACTGCAAACGCAAATAGCTCGTACGAAAATAGGTTCTGGAGCAACTCGTAACACCACCACAATCGCAGACCTCATAGGCAGTCCAGGTTTCATGAACTGGCGTGCCGGACAAGGTAAACTTCGCACGTGTATGATGAAACTCCACAGCTAACGCTCAACAAGGTCTTGACCCCTTAACTAGCTCCATATTCAAGCCGTATGGTGTCTCAATTAGATATAAACCATCTACTGGAGCCAGTGTTAGGCGCGACTCATCTCCCTGTGACCCTCCTCCCCCGAAGAAGCCTTCTGGGCAAGCCCTGAGTGCGAGCCTCGAGGATATCGGAGCATCCATGTTGGGCGATCAACAAGAAGAAGTGAGCCAGTCTCCAGTTTTGCATCATACCAAGCCTCAGACCTTTCGTCGAATCCTCAGCCACGTTGCTATCGAATCTAGGCCTTCTGGAAGTCCAATGGCAGAAACTTTGGCGTTCACGGGCACCGTCACAGCGGGAGACCCCGAAAACATCTTTGCACCGACTCCAGCATGTAACACCTCCCAAAAGCACCAAGCTGCATGTCAGCGCTGCCATAATCGTCACGTGCGATGCCAGCGCCCGTCTGTATTATCCGGACTGTCAGGGTCAGCCACGACAATGTCCTGCCTCCGCTGCACTCAAGCAAACGCTCTCTGCGTTCCACGGGCTCAGGCTCCCCGCCCCATCGCCAGGATCTCAAAGTTCACCAAGTCTCCTTCAGCTATCCGCGATGCAAATCGCAAACGCAAAGAAGCACTCCGTAATGTGGGAATTGTGGCTGAGACACCACCGCGCAAGGGTCGGACTGCGGTAGAAGTAGAGATTCCGAGAGAAAATTGGATCTTAGAGAGTGATGTTCCTGATGCTTGAACAGGGCGCTGCTCTTGCTCCGTGCCGCTTGAGAGTACTACGTTCACTTTGTCTTGATGGGCAACAGAGAACAGATACGATGATTTGCAGATCTGGAAGATTGATCTGCCCTTGTTCAAGGGATAGATATGGTGTGGGGTACGATGTTTTGCGGTGGCTTGCGAACGTGTGAATGATTGCAAACATATTTTGCATGTCTGATAATGTGGCGAAGTGGACGTTCGAGAACCAACATCGTTGTATGAATAGACTCATAACGTTGCACTAACATAGAAGGTCAAGCTCTGCTTCAAATGAAATGTTGCTAATACATCGTTTACGTCGTCGAGGGTATCTGCATTAAATCATACACACGATTCTTCGTCTTCGTCCCAGTCCGCTCGACATTCAAGTAAATCTCGCTGGCCATACAGATCACCGATAACTGTGATCATCATGTCGAGAGTGACGCGTGTGTTAAGGTTCGGAAATGGCTCCTCGTCTTCGGCAGGCGCGGACTTTTTAGAGGTAGATGACATGCCTTTGAGCTCACTGTCGGTGTCCTGTTTTCCCAGGCTCTCGCTCTCCATTTGCAACGACTGTGTGGCCTCCTCGGATGCACTCAGAGCTTGTAGTAATTCTTGTTTTGCTTCGGCTAGCTCGTCGATTTCTCCTTCTTCGTCAGACGACTCTAGGTCCATAGCTTGCTCTTCGTCTTCATCAACAGCATCTTTCGGCACCATTTCAGTTCCACATGAATCCTCTTTGATGGCATCACCAGAAACGGTAGTTCTCTCTGACACCTGGTCCACTTCAGCACTGTTACTGAAGTTTGCATCGTCCCATGCGATATTCTCGTCCAAAAGCTGGTATCTCCGTGCCAATTGATGACACCGCTCATCATACACAGCCCGGAGTATCACAGCTCTTTTGCCAATGTTCTGTCTCCATCGGTGTACATTCCAGTTATCCATAACTCCAGCATCCGGTAGACGCGCCAGCAAGCTCCAGATCCACAAGCTCTGTCTCTTAGTGATGTTACCTCCTGGGACCAACGATCTCGCGACGATATTAAGCAGTCTAAAGATAGTCTCAATGTTCATAGAAGCTACCTGGGCAGGGACAGGATCATTTTCTTCTACAATGGCCTGACATTGTAGCGATTGGCCCTGGTCCGGTATCCATATCGGCTGAGATGCTTTGAGAGCAGAGATACGTGGTAGAGGAGGGGTCGTGCTGAGAAGCGCGCGGTGTTGTAGGAATCTGACTTTCAGGTCTTCGTAGTATGCCTCTTGTGGCGATATCGAAGTTTCCTCTTCCTCTGATTTGTCCTCGAGATAATCCTCGTCGGTTTCACCTTCGAGGCGATCTGGTTGCCATTGCTTTCGCTTGCCAGCAACGAACGCCCCATCCTCAAAGTACCCTTCATCGTTGATATCTATCGTGTACTCGTCACCTTGATCTTCAACCCGAGTTGCATTGGGAGCGCGTTTTACGCTGGGGAGTCGAGCAGCTTCAGACCTAGTGCACATGTTAGTTTAAAACGTAGTCCCACCAACATTGGAACTATATCGTGTCAAACAGAAATATCGATCATGACCGGGTGCAATAAAGCTTACCTCACAGCTCTCATGTACTTCCATACTGCATCGGTGTCTTCGTCGGAGGCGCTGCCTTCACCTTCAGGAATAGGCAGGCTGAACTTTTGGCCCGAACCCGCATCGACTTTTCCGCGGTTTACGTTCGTTGTCCTGTCTCGTAGGTCAAAAATAGTGCTCCTCGAGTGTGTCGTTTTTCGCTCCGGACCTTTCACGTGTACATCCTCCTCTTCAAGCTCCGGATGCCCAAGATGCGCTATGTCGGTGAGAGGTTCGCGCGTGTATAGGAAATCTGGGCGCGGACGCTTGTTGTAGGCTGAACCATCATTTGTAGTTGCGAGGTTCTTTCTTTTCCTCTCGACCGTAGCAGGTGAGACTGCTGCAATCTCAGCCATGACAAAGGTCGTATAGCATTTGAAAGTCCAGCGAGCTTCATGCTGTTCGAGGTGAACATTTAGGGCTGAGCTGGGCCGTGCACCGCGCTAGTGTTCGCATACATGGATGGACAGTAATTATCATCCGGATGGCCAATTTGTTCTTATCACAACTAGCTACATATCTGATCACTACGGGCTGCCAGCCCATATCATACATTAATCATTGAAGCAGCAACACATATCTTCTAGCTTGTTCTTCACCCAATATCCTACACCTTTGCCTGTAACCTTTACGACTCGTTTTATTGCTTTGCCCTTCCCAAACAAATTCTTGATGAGACCGGAATCGGCATCATCGTCATCACCGTCTTCAGCAGATATCTCTCTTTCCCTGGCCTTGACTTTGTTCTTGCCGTGCCGGGACTTCTCGTAGCTAGAGCTGCCCATGCTTGTGTCTGCATTGGCGACAGTTTGCTGTTCCTGGGGCTCTGTGTTTTGGTCGTCATGAGTCGTCCCCTTTGACCCTCGCCTCTTCTCTTCCGACAAGGCCGTCATAAGGTGTGGCATCTCGATTGAAGGTCGGGTGGAGCTCATTTCGATTTCTAACAGCAAATCGACATCTAGGTCTATATGACCCTTGTTATCGTAGCAAGCGGATGAGAGGACAGAGTTTCGAGGTCTGTTGTTTGGTATTATTGCTGTCGCAGATCCTGTTTTGATAGCTTGCGGTAGTTCTTCGACAGGTTTTCATATGCAGGGGATTTGCATTGGCTCGAAAAAAATCCGTTACCGTTCATGAACGCCTAGCGGACTGCTACGGGGCAGTCTTTATCTACCTCAGGAGATTGATGTCTGAACAGACCATAGCGTCCTACAGCCTCGTCTGTGGCACAGCATCCACTTTGTTCGTCGATCCAAGCATCCCAATCGCCCATCCGACATTCCTCTGGCGCGAAACCGCTGATTCTTTCCCTCTTCAGCCATCGTTGCATGGTTACGACGAATGCTCAACACAATAGCCAGGATCATGCAGCGGCTGTGAATCGTAAATATATTGAGGCAAGAGGCGCACGACCTCTGCTGAACAAGGCTGTCCAATCAGGAGCATTGCCTGGATGCACCGTTGTCAGCTCTTTCCAGTGAACGGAGCACCAACATGTCCATGTTTATCGATTGTCAGAGGTGGTCCCACCTCGATGCAGGGGATGGACGAAATGTTTCAGCCTTTCGATGGTCAGCAAAGGTTCTACTGACAAATCCTATAGTCTGACCTCGTGAATATCTCTAATATGACCTTCCACTGATCTTGAGTAGATCGAAGGGGTATTACAGAAACCCCAAGCATTTAGGTGTGGTGCGAAAGTGTACCCGGCTTAATGCCTCTACAGTCCAGATTCGCTTCCTACCTCATGCCAATATCCTAATTCTTGACAAAGGTGAAGACCTTCGAGTTCATGTAATATCGTATTAGAAGTTAGCAGAATCAGCTCGCTTCTAATCGCCGTTCCATGAGACTTTCATTGTATCAAAGCGAGCAAGTCTGAAAGGGTGAGTGCCTTAGAAGACTCCTGCTCCAGTGCTAACCATAATACGATGTAACATTGGCCGAGCAACGATACACAAATTGAGCCGTTCATATTGGCGTCTTGAATGATGGCTAAAGGATGAAGAAGTTGTTACCAAAGAACAAGTCTTGACTGTGTGCGCAAGGAATGCATGCACACCACGAGTTCTCCATAGATTCCCCGGATAGTCTTCTAAATGTGGGGAAATATGTGGAATCCTGGCGCTATTTAGATGACGATCCGTCAATAGACGATCCGGGGAAGTCATTATCATATGACCGACATAACTTAACCGGGAACCCACCGGAGCACATGGGAACCCTTACTAGCCAAACTTCGCTTCGATCTCATAGATCTGCAAACCCAATCATTATTCATGATGTCCCTCCGATCATGGATTAGGTCGAATGTGCAGTCAATGCTGTTGGGCGGTGGGTGGTGCTCCGGGTGTTGTCAAACGTGTCTCTCCCGTCTATCCGGAAGAACCTCTTCAAATCCAAAAATGATGCATATGAGTCTATAAGTATACTAAGCTCTAGCATAACCTCGCAAGATTCTAATCCCTTACTTCCAGCCTTCCTAACCCCAGTTGTCATCCACGATGAAAGCAAACTCCTGTATCACATTGCTGGCGGCACTTCACGTTACCTCTGCAGCTTTAGATAAAACTGCATTATCGCAGCAATACTTCGGTAATGATGCAGCCTGGTACTTATCTCGCATTCCATTCTTTGAGTCCAGCAACAAACAGCTCACTGACGTGTATTACTACCGCTGGCAAATATACCGTTCTCATCAACGGGATACTGGCTCTACGGGTTTCATCTCGACTGAGTTTCTCGATGATGTCGGGTGGCAGACCGGACCATGGGGCTCATTGAACGATGCAGCTGGCTTCCATCTGACTGAGGGGCGTTGGTGTAGAGACCGGCGGTTCAGAGAGGACTATGCCCGTTTCATGTATAGCTCGCAGAGTAATCCCAGACAATATACGGAATGGATGGCGGATAGTATCTGGAAGACATATCTGGTCGATGGAAATGTGGATGCTGCCATCGCAAGATTGGGAGACATGCAGAATGTGTGGGATGCGTGGAACGATGCGCTGGACCAGTCAAAGGGACTGTACTGGGTTGAACCATTACGTGACGTAAGTTCCTTTGTCGTAGTGAATGTTCATCGTTTTAACCTTCGAAAGGCTACCGAGTACACCATCAACAGTATCGATGCAAGCAACGGCCAGGATGGCTTTGGAGGTGGTCAGGCATTTCGTCCTAGCATCAATAGCTATCAGTATGCGAATGCAAGGGCTATCGCTCAGATCGCAACATTGAAAGGCAATAGTCAAAGCGTAGTCGATAAGTACAACGGACTCGCGGATAACCTCAAAAAGCGTGTCCAGTCAGAGTTGTGGAATTCTCAATTCCAGCATTTTGTCGACCGATCCTATCAGAACAATGACTACGTCAAGTACTACAACTTTATCCGCGGTCGCGAGCTGGTCGGTTACGCACCTTGGGGTTACGATCTTCCTGACGACAATGCGACTTACGCTTCTGCATGGAAGCACATGTTAAACACCAACGAGCTCAAAGGAGAGCATGGCCTGCGCACAGTTGAGCCGAGTTACCAATACTATATGCGCCAATACCGTTACGAAGGCACCCGTCGTGAATGCCAGTGGAATGGTCCAGTATGGCCATATCAATTCACCCAAGTCCTGACCGCTCTCGCCAATGTCCTCGACCACTACCCAAATACTCGCTCCTCTATCAACATCGCCGATTACACTTCGGCATTCATCACATACGCCAACTTACACACTAATAATGTCCAAGGCGGCCTCAATCTCGAAGAGAATTACGACCCAGCCACCGGCGACCGCATCGTCGGCCTTGATCGCTCAAATCACTACTTCCACTCTGGCTATATCGATAACATCCTCTCAGGTCTTGTTGGCATCCGCGCCCGTGCAGACGATGTCCTGGAAGTGAACCCCCTCGCCGACCCATCCCAAATCTCCTTTTTCCGAGCCGACACAATCGCATACCACGGCCACGACATCGCCGTGCAATGGGACAAGACCGGGTCGCGATATGGCCGGCAAGGCCTAGTTGTTGAAGTTGACGGCCGTATCGTCGCATCGTCCAACTCACTAACCCGGCTCACTGTCGCTGTCAGTCGCAACAAACTCCCCAATTACTCCACTCCCATTGCGAAGAGCATACAGGCGCTGTCCAGCACTCGCTACCCTTCTGGCAGCGTATCTGTCACCAATGCCGATATTGCACGCGTACACGACGCTATCGACGGCCGAGTCATGTTCTGGCCGCAATCTACCGCTGCAAATGGCTGGGACTCACCCGCCGGTAACGGCGTGGATGTCTGGTACCAGATTGATTTTGGCGCGTCGACGTCGACATCCCGTACGGAGATCGCGTTCTTCGTAGATACCGCGCAGGGTTTTGATGTTCCTGCGAGCTATAAGGTGCAGGTGTACAACGGGAGTGCTTGGGTGGATGTTAGTGGCGCGAAGTATGCAAGTGCAGTGGCGAATGGGATTACGAATGCGAGTTGGAATGTAGCGACAGCGAATATGGTGAGGCTGGTCTTCAGAGCGAAGGATGGGGTTAAGGTGAGGTTAGTTGAGTTCAAGCTTTATTGAGCGATGGTAGTGTCGAAATGGCGACCAGGGTCCGGAAGATGATATGGACTAGTACATACTTGAATTCATGATAGTACTTATTTTGGATGTCATGAATGTGCTGTGAGCCCAACTGTGGTTTTGAGGTAGATAGAATCTGCATGACATTCTATTGCTGAGCAGGAAAGAACAAAGCCGGAAACAAAACAGTGAATGGTAAACGACAGGCTATGATAAAAGAGAAATAAGAGTGGACTGATAGATGTATCCTTTCCTAAGTGATCATAGCAAGAACAATCTGGTCGCACTATGGTATGATAACAGCGTTGGTTATAAAGAAAGATTGCCACTGTCCTTAGGTCAAACCTTCGACATCGAGCAAAAAGGCTCGGAAAGCTGAGTATTATGTGAGACAAAAAATGCGACGAAAAGGGTTGCGAGGTCAAAATATGCGGTACCAGAGTAATTGGACTCCCATGACATTCGTCCGAAATCAAAGGTATCTGCTGCGTGGAGGCTTTTCAGTATTTTGCGGTTGTTACCTGTCTTTAACTTCATTTGGGGCAATCAAGAGCACATCTTCTTGATCATATCTTTTCCGCCATCGGTCTTACGAGCAAATACAAACATAGTCCAAGACCGGAACTTTCGACAAAGAGATAAATGTGCCACAAGGGTACGACAATCTCGACCATTCTGTATCAAACATACCTCCTTCAATCCCAAACAAAAAGACATATATGTTTCACTCTAGCGTACCAGGGAGCACTATAATCCAGGGAGTGAAATCGATCGACCTTATAAGTGCAGCGTTCATCACTTCTTGGTGTCATTTCCATTACCTGCCGAGAGCAAGGCTAGATGAATCCACCACCGCAACCGCGGCACGGAACCGCAGGTCCAGGCATTGTGGGACCATCAAGATGCAGTCTTCCTTCTCTCGCTCCACGTGGGCGTCTGAATTCATTTGTGCGGTACCCAATACCCCAGTCCTCGTTGCGTTGCGGTCGGTCATCCGTTACGGCATGTCGATACGGGCACTCGCGAGCGGCTTGGAAGGCATCGAGCTACAGGGACGTCTTAGCGCCAGCATGGCTCGAATGTGATCATATAAGAGTCATACGGAAAACAGAGACCAGAAGTAGAGAATTATGAAGAGGACAACAGTACCCGCAGCTCCCGACAGCTGCGTTGTGACGGGCGCGCTGTAGACTGTTAGCGCGTGGATACGGAGTCGTTGAGTAATGTGGAGCTGACCTCTTCTTGATCTCGCCATTCGCGACGTATGCAGGTTTGTTGGCCATGTTCAATATGGGTCGTGGGTATCGCAACGTCGCGACAACAGCAGCTATGGAGAAATATAGAGTGAGGTCTGATGTTGATTTTGGCGTTTGACTCCTGCGGCAGCTGCCTAAATTTAGCCACATCTAGGACTGTTGGTGGCGCATGATCAGCCCTATGCAGCTCCTTAAAATTTAGCACTATACGGGCCGGAATTTTCATCGGCGAAGCACAAGAGGTTCAACAGCTTGTAGCATTCTCAACCCCATAGGTCTATACACACTTTACAGCTACGCATAATGTCGGATCAGAACTCCAAGGTACATTAGATCAGCCCATCACTAATCTAGCTAACAATCGACTTAGAAACGCAAGCGCAATGTCGTACTCCACCAAGAATCCCAAGACTCCATCCCCGATACAACCAAACCGACCGCCGTCTTCAAGCCCTCCAAAGGCCGCGCCTACACCGTCAGTATCGCTCTCCCGGGCAGCATAATTGCAAAGTCCGTCCTCCTCCCTCCCAACAAGCGTACCACCAACAGCATACTAACCCAACCCAGCGCCCAAACCCACGAACTCCAAACCATCCTCGCCGGCACAATCGCTCGCGCCGCCGCCGTCTTCTGCGTCGATGAAATCGTCGTCTACAACGACGGCCATACCCACGCCTCACCCAACCCATCCAATGCCTCCAAACGCCCACGCTCCTACAACGCCCACACCGAAGACGCCAGCCCAGAGCACAAACACACCGGCTTCACCGACCCAAACCACTTCCTCGCCACGGTGCTCTCGTACCTCGAATGCCCGGCCCACCTACGCAAAGCCCTCATGCCGTTCCACCAGAACTTCCGCTACGCAGGCGCTCTGCCCAGCCTAGACATGCCGCATCACATGAAGGCCGACGAGTGGTGTCAGTATCGCGAGGGCGTCACACTGTCTCCTACTGCTGATTCTTCCTCAAGCTCTGCCGAGGAACAGCACACGACTCTTATTCATACAGGTCTGCCTACGCCGACGCCCCTATCCATACACCCGCCCATACCGCCGAATACGCGAGTAACTCTCAAGTATGCGTCTGCCACCCCGCCGCCTTCTTTGGCGCATCCGCAGTCGGCCATACCCGTCTCCCCGGCTGCACCAAGGGAAGAAGGGGGCTACTATTGGGGATACAGCGTGCGGTCAGCGCCAAGTTTGAGCGCAGTGTTCACGGAAGCAGAGTGGGAGGGTGGGTATGATGTGAGCATAGGAACGAGTGAGAGGGGTGCGAGTGTAACCAGCATACTTCCGACAGGTTCAGAAAACAGTAGTGTGAGCCAAGAAGGAAGATTGCCTCCCTCATTCAAGCATCTCCTACTAGTGTTTGGTGGTGTAGCAGGACTGGAAGTCGCCGCTGCGTTTGACACAGAGTTAAAGTCAAGCGGTGTGACAGGCGCGAACGTCTCCTCCCTTTTCGACGCTTGGGTGAATCTCGTACCAGGGCAGGGCAGCAGAACTATGAGAACGGAGGAAGCCGTTTGGGTAGGGTTGACGGCGACGAGGGAGTATGTGCTGAGTGCCGGTCGATAGCAGCGACATACACAGTCAAATGCAGAATGCAATGCAAGATTTTGACAAAGGAGACGATTTCCATTCTCCAATCAACCAAACGACGCCTGATTTTCACCTTGTGGTCCTCCGCTAGAAGCTGCTACGTATGATACAACATAAACCTCGACATACCTTTGCGCCTCTGGCCAACAGCGCACTTGTGGCCTGATCGGATATGCAGCGCTGGTATGTATCGCATATAACATTCCCTTCTATCTTCGATGCAATCTATTCTTCCAAAATATATCCTCCGAGGAGCTTTAGCTCACCAGCACCGTCTGCCCGATTGCTGGCACCCCATCCACAAGCACATAAACCACATAAGGCCCGGGTGGCGCGAGATTCTTGTCGTCGGGCATGCTGACCTCGAGCGTCTGATCTCGACCTCCTTGTGACCATCCGGTGTGATCCAAGAAAAGCATCCGATGGCCCATGTGTAAGCTATGTGTCACGAATCCACCGTGGTATAGCGCAATCTTTGCTCCTCGTGCACCATCTACAGCGGAAAAGGTGATTGTGAATTTCGAATTCGTTTTTGCTACCAAGTTCTTCGAGCCAAGATGGACATTGATTGGACGTTTCTGCGCATTGTCACCTGATAGATAGGGCGGTGTATAGATCTCGACTCTGAAGTCTGTGACAAATGGATTCTGAGCACTGGGTCGAAGAATTGGTTGCTCCACGGGATTACTTCCTGCGACTAGAACTGTACCATCAAGAAGCAAAAGTGCTACACTGTGGTAGAGCCTAGCAATGGGACTTCTTGCACCGCGGCTAAATCGCTGCCCAAGTGGCTTTGCTGGGTCATATATGAGCGCTTCTGTTGTCGGATCTTTCGCAAGACCAAATCCTTGAGCACCATAGTTGCATCCATTGAGCCATATCACAGTGCCATCAGGAAGAAGTGTAGCTTCGACCATGCCACGGCCCTCCGGCATTGCATCCATCTCCCACTTTGGATCCTGTGACAAAGGCATGATACGGCCACACGATGGTTCTGTCGGAGAGACAATATCTTGATAGGCGCCGCCTCCACAGATCAGGATCTCTGCTGCCCAGTTATTTGAAGATGATAGGGGAAGAAGTACAGAGCCTCCAGTGTTAGGATAGGTGCGATAGTCACCAATAAGATCCGGATATTCCCTGATGGTCCGATTAAGTCCTGAATTGAAGAGTTCACTCGACTTTGAGGCGAAGATGAACAAATTACTGTCTGGCATCAGGTGGATAAACGGATACATGTAGTAGGGCTGAGCCCGGACGAGTAACTCCATTCGTATAGACTGGGTAGTCGGAGCACCCTCACGGGACAATATCTCAAAACTTGGGTTGTTGTTTGCTGATACGGATGGGTTGAGCCCATTGAATGAGCCAGATGCAACGAACACTCTGCCATCTGCCATTATCTGAGCACTTGCATACCAACGAGCAGTATTGAGCTTCTTGCCAGGTTCTTCCCAGTCTTTGTCGTCGTGGTTGGAGGGATCAATTGATCTGCGCAAGAAGCGCAAGCCTCGAAAACCGTCGCCGACCGTTCTGTCGATGAATTCCAGAGGCCCGTTCCCGCCGATAGAAAGGAAAGTCCCATCAGCCAAGAAAACGCCTCCAGCACAAAATGCATTAGTCTTGTATGAAAGACCAGTAACCCTTCCATTCGATGGGTCATACTCTGCAGCATAAGCGTACTGCCCATTATCGAGTTTCAATTGGGTATAGTTCTCCACTTTATCGTAAAAAGCCACTTTTCCGTTGGGTAAAAGTCCTGCATGCATGGCTGGGACACCTGAATCCGCTATTTGCTTAAAAGAACCAGGATTAGAATGTATTGGCGCAGGCCGCGGTCCGGGAGCAGGTTCAACACCCTCACATTCGCCGGATTGTCTCTGGCAACCTTCTCCACAATGGGAACTCCTATGGAAATTAGCCAAGCACTGTGTGGCCACAACTAGCAATGACCTACGTGCTTCCACAATACCCATACATTGAGCAGCAACGACCTTTGTACCAGTCCCCACACATGGTATAGTTGAAATCGACGCCGCAATTACCATCGGTTGTTATTGCGCCTGTAGGTTGAGGTCCAGTGGCTGTGGTTGGTCTAGCCAGCACTGGTTCGCCCGTATCGGTTGGCCCAGTTGCTGATGCTGTAGCAGTCCTACATCCACTTTGACAGGAAGGAGGTAAGCAATGACCATCAGTGTTACCGCAATAGCTGTATGCTATTAGTCATTAAACCTGTCTGATACAGGACCACGAACCCATATTCAGAGCAGCATCCCCCGTGCTTCCCATTAGGATCGCAAATCGCTCCGCCGAAGAATCTCCCACACCTCCCATCATCTCTAGGGGGTGATGTCTGTGTAGGTCCGTCATCATTGTGGTTCTCGTCCTCTGCGTCGTTCTTCGAAAGTCGACATCCGCTCTGACATCCATTCGATTGCATACAGTGGTTGTCAGACCTGCCACAGAAGCCAGTCTTACTACCAGGGTATTAGTATGATATTCAGTGCTTGCAGTTGAAGTCTAACCTGCAACATCCCCCAAATGGCCCGCGTCTATTACATAGTGTGCCCTCAAATGCCGCTCCGCATCTTCCGTCGTCTCGTGGCGCTCGGGCCAGTAATGTAAGGTCTCCTCTTATAGATACTGGCCGTGGATAATTGCGAACGTGAGCGGCTTCACATCTAGTAGCTGTGAGCTATACCCCATCTAGAGTCATAAAATCCCATACTCATTTCGTTCGGTGCACCGCTGGCCTCGTAAACATTGATGATAGGTGCCTGCAGCGTAATCACATGTGGGTTGTGCCTTGTGCAACACGATATTGGCAACCGAGAAGCCCGCGAAGAGGGGACCGAGAATATGCAAAACTCTCATGGCGCATGAGACAAAAGTGTCTATGGGCTAAGTGTGTAAGTTTATTTGCACCAAAAGTATGCCGATTGAGGCTGTTGAAGAAAGATATAATGGGTAGAAGATTGATTGTAAGTGTGTGCCGAACGTGCTACGTGTAGTTAACGCTGAAGCAAGAATTCGGCAGTAACGGACGGTGCAAACGTACGACCACATTGTCGTGTGGCACCTGACATGCTTCTTCAGAATTGCCGTTTCCGCGTTGGTCGATACAGATGCATCATCATACCGGATTCAATGGCAGGCTCGAATGATTTGGGTGACACGTAGCGACCTCAGTATTTGATCATGGCTCTTCATCATCCATGAAAGAGGATCGCCAAGTCATTGAATACACTTCGTTCCAGAATGCCATAGACGTAGTGCTCACTTTCTCACTGTAAGAGGCAGCTTGGTCGACTCCATAGCAAGAGCGTTGCACATGGTGTCTGCGAAGGCGTATCTAGTCACCGGCTAAAAGTTCATGGCATCAGTTGCATCGGGCTCATCCAGATCTCGATACGGTCTGAGCAGTTTTAGGTGTGATTGAACTGAACACAAGTCTCGACCGTGAAGGCATTGATTTATCCAAAGCTGAAAGGCGCCCGATTGCGAATTCTGTGATTTGGCACATTCAGACAAGGTATTATCGTACGATATTGTCTGATCTGACATATCATGCTATCGCTCAGACTGACGTTTACCTTGGAACGGTCAATTTTGGAACAGCGCTTCACTAATCCCTTAGGTATCCATCATCCTCGCTCTTAATGTCGGTACAGTCATATGCTTGCTCATGGACGGGAACCTGGACCACACAAGATTGATATTCTAGCCAAGATTGTAGAGTTTACACTGGCAGCGAACGATTGAATGTAATGACAGTTTGAGTATAATGAGATGAGCAACGGAACGGGTCAAAATGAAGGACGTGGCGTGGTCCTGAATTTATGCCTCAGGCATCCGTACTTGCCAGAACTGCTTGAGAACACACAAAACGTTCCATCAATTTCTTCCCGCCAGCTGCATCCTGCACTCTGCAACTTCAAACCTGCATCCTGCAACCTTCTTATTTCTCCGTGGTCATTTCCAGCGCTTCACGTAATCTCGTGGATTTCTGCTATATTTATGCAGGGCTGTGGGTACCTGAGGCCGATGAACCCCTTTTCGAATATAATAAATCCACGAGACCCTGCCTCCCCGTGTCAGTGCTTGCTGTGTGCGATCGAGATCCTCAACCACTTTGCTGTCAGCGATCGAGATCGTACTTGCACTGGTGTTGACACATTCAGGAACTCCTTGGATGATGCGAAAAATATTGCCCCAACAAACAAACAGGTAAGTTCAAGGAGTCTGATGCTGTTGCTCACGTGATTAGGACAAGACATCCAGGATCGTGACCGTAACAGGTACAAGGTAAACGTCCAGCAGAAGAAAGTCCAAGCGATGTTCCCTTCCAATCATCTCTCTTCACCGTCACATAATACAGGTGACGTTCATGATTGGCCTTCCAAATCAATTCAGTGATTAATCTGCAATCCAACGTCCTATGTTACGTTTCACGTCGTTACACATCCTTCCACAGACCTCCCATCGACCGAGCCTCAGTCCACCAATGGGTCTCCAGAACAAAGATACACATTGATACCAAGATTACCTTCGACAAGACCAGATTCCCATAACAAACCCTCAACGGCGCCGCGTGGCCACTGACTAGGACGAGCACTCATCCCGTATCCCACGACCAGAACCCGAAATCTCATCTCTAGCTGTACCACAGAACTACCCTAGTCCTATTGTATGACGACGTGACCTTGACGACAATAGCAAGCCATCACACACTGTCCACAACAGCGACACACCCGTCGTCCCGTGCGTCAACGCCTGTCAACACCACGTACCTCGCGCCCGAATAAGTGCGCGAGCCGGGGCTTATTCTTGGAGCGCTGCGCATGTAGCCCTGCAGTGTGGCGTTTTGTACCACGTTACGTCAGACACAAGACAGGAATTTGTGTTCGACAGAATTGTTTCCTGGTCTGGCCTCAGCCTGGTCGGCGGCATGAGATGAGGCAGGATTTCGCGCGTGGAGACTGGCGCAGGCATGATGGCTTCCTTGCGTCCACGCAATCCGATCATCCTTCCTTGCCTCTTGCCGTGGACTCTGCAATCAGTACATTCTTGGGCATCAGAACTTTGAAACCTAGATTGGTACACTCGCCCTAGCCATCACAGAACCCTAAGAACTATTTGCATCGTGCATGCGCTGAATGTCGTGCCCCTACGTACTCGATTCTGAATTCAACGTCGCCGACCTGTGTTCCGAGAGCCTGGTCCGTCGGACGTCTGGCCTCGTACTAGGATATTCCATCGGGTTCTTGTGAAACAACGAGGAACCCCAGCACATACAGAGCTCCAAGCGGCGGCGCCTATCGCAGCATATCGCGGCGCCGCCCGTGTGCGACTGTGACGGAGATCGAGAGAAGGGATGATATGCAGACTTGATCGAGGCAGAGGGAAGGCTGAGGGTGGTGCGACTGTAAATAGAGCAGCGAAGTGACAAGTCGATCGAGAAACTGATTAGGTGACTTCATTGTGCGTATATGCGTACAAGTCATGTGATTACAAACAATTTTAGGTAAAGACTCGGGGCATGAGCGCCTGACAAAGGAAACCGCAGCGAAGTCGTTCGTGTATGTCGGGCCAGTCCATTATGCGTGATCATTACGCCCTGTAGCGGCAGTGGTATCGTCGAATCCCATCCTTCGCTCCATGTAAATCCAACCATCAAAACAAAGGAAATTCAGTCTGGTCCGGGGAACACATATCCAGCATGTCCATAACCATCAAGTAGAAGTAATTATTCGTCGTCCGCCTGCCCAAAACACCCACATCCCTCTCTCCAACTCCTCTTGCGCCCATGCTCTCGCTTCTCTCGCTTCTCTCTCAACACCCTCTCCTTCTCCTCGCTCAAAATCTTGACTGGCACGTCGCCACTGGGCGTCCGTCTCGTGCTTCGTCGCAATTGTAGACTCTTCTTCCACTTCTCCACCAGCCCTTCATCGCCAAGGCTATCGTCCTCGTCCTCGTCGTCATCATCGTCAAACGCGCTGCGCACGAGATGAATGGGTTGCATGAGCGCTAGCGGCGAATGCTCGAGAGGCGAACCTGACGGTGGGGAAGATGCCAGATTTTCGGATGAGAGGACGAATTGATGGTGGCTGTGGGAGGAAGTTGGAGGGGTGGGAAAGTAGAATATGTCTTTGGGTGACGGTAGAGGGGTGTTCTCTCTAGAGGAAAATGGTGTCGAGAATACACTGTCTTGAGGAGCGAGTGCTGATGGGAGGAGCTTTGGAGTTGATTTTTGGAATTCTGTTGGGAGGCTTGGTAGAGGGCCTGGTGGTGGGAATGGTAGCGGTGAGAGTGATGCGAGAGCGTAGCGGGACGAGGTTCGTGGTAAGCGCTCGGCTTGATCGAAGACTGGAGCTGGTGCGGGAAAGGACTTCGCAGTTTTGAGTGGTGGTGGGATGGGTTGGCTGAAAGATGAGCATGGCCGTTGTACGGCGCGATTGCTATGAGCGGAGCAAGGACGAGCGCTTCTCGTCGATGTTGATGTATCAGACTCTTTCGGTGTGGCGAAAGCCTGTGGCGACGGGATCGTACGAGAATCTGTCCGTGGTCTTTCGCGATCTTGCATCTCTTCATTGACAGAAACGGCAGAATCTGAGCGAACCTTTTCCTTTTCCTCAGGTATAGCCTCAGTGAAAGACGGACTGTGCACCATTCTCGGGCTGAATTGTGATGCTAGCCTTGGAGAAAACGCCATTGAGCTGATTCGGTTCTGATATACAGCAATGACATCAAGTAATGTGGCTTCCGATCCTCGTTCCACACGTCTCTCATTCGCTGCTGGTGACAATCGTTGGTCGCGATACTTTTCCCGTTCACGAATTCGGTCAACACCTTCGTCCCAGATTTGATCGACTGACTTTGGTGAAGTGGGACTGATAAGATAGGTCGAAGAGGGCGAGTTTTGAAGCATCAAAACTTGTGCGTCCAGTGGTAGCGTGTTGAGTGATGACCTTCTTGGTCTCTCCAACGGTGTGAATCCCTCCATCGTCCTGTACGCTTGTGCTAGTTTATTACTATCGAAATGAATTGTCGATGTCCTGAGCTCCGCGTACGACGGTGCGTGTGACAGTCTGGCCGAATGATAAAGATAGGCACGTACGTTCGCTGATTTGCAGAAGCGTCGATATATGTAAGAGGAAGATTATTAGTCCTTCGCAACGGCTGCTGAGGAGACAGATATTGTTTATGAAAATGCTGCAGTGCTTAGCGCTATGTTTTCATATGGCAGCCAATGCAAGTCGTGGCAATCATGGAGTGACAACACCCAGATCACTGGATCAAAAATTGCCGAATTCGATTAGCCCTACGCACCATCGGCATGAATTACCTTGCCCTTGTCTTGGAACAAGGTCCGACCTATACTGGATCGAAACGGAACATTTGTTTAGTTTCGAGTGCAGCAAGGTAAGCCTGATGTGATTAAAGACAAAGGGGTACGGGTATTTTGCGTAAGCATGGCATCCGAGAAATAAGCGCATCTGTATGGTCAGATATTCCTCCTCTGGTTTAATCAGCGCGATCGGTCATTCGACAACATTCGAAGTTGATACGCTGCGTGAACATGCATTGCATGCGCTGGAAGACCGTCAAAACTGGTCAGCTTAGGCTGTGCGATTGAGCCATTGGGACAGTATCCGAGAAAGTTTCGCTAGATGGCATAGTGGAAAGCCTGCTACTGCAAGGATACACTTTGGGCGATGATGATGGCAAGTTTTCTTCGATCGGGCATGATTCGTAATACAAGTGCGACGGCAAAGTCTGACCAGCAAGATTTCATAATCCCTCGCCCAAGACTGGCCAGGGATATTCGAGTGGATGCTCCATTGTCGTTCAGGGAGAGGCGCAGGCACAGTTGCTGATTCGAAATCGTTCCGAAACGCCTCCTTGTGCTGCGACACGTGATCCAGGTAGAAATAGCATATTACTCCTTGACTTGTCCCTGTTTGTACGGCGGATACCCGTACTGCTTCAGTAGTACAGTACGTAAGGAGGACGATGATTGTTTTAAGGAGTTGATGCAGGTGTGAAAGCCCCGGTGTCCATGCTTGCTGGGTACAGTAGATCGCTGCACGCCATGCGTCGGGCGAATACAAACTACTTTCAAGGTATCATGACTTCTGGTGTCTGTCGCATGAACTGCCTGATCACAGATCGTATAAGCGCTGCTTTGACATGATCATGAGTGATATCGAGGGCAGACGGTTACGAGTCGGAAGATGTTTCGATTCGTCCTGGTACTGTAAGATGATGGCCCAACAGCTTGGTAGAATGGAAAACCGGGGTCCATGCCACGAGGGGTGGCGGTCACGTTCCGAGTAGTTTGCAGCTGGTGGTGCACAGTTCGCAGAGTGCAGTCTCAAAGCAAGAGGCATAAACATAAATCGAAGTCTTCGAGTCAGGGTAGATGTGCAGCCGTGGAAGGCAAAGGCAAGGTTTCCGCCCGCAGTACAGAAGCCCGCTAAAGTCGGTGAATAATGAAAGGCGGACAGATGTCAAAGTCCGCCACCAGACATCGCATTCTAGAAAGGAGTGATATGAGCTCTCCTAGCACGAGAATGCATGCATCGTGTTTGTAAGAATATAGTTGTCACCATAAATTAGCCATGTATATACATAGCGATGATCGGCTCTGATGTTGATAATTAGAGTAAACTTATGCGCATAGCTTTTCTTCGCAGGATGTGATGAATACAGCCAACACTCGTTTCAATATCATCGAAGAGTACTAATGCGAACCATCACAATACACCTAATGCTCTCTAGATGGCCGTCATCTCGGAGCTACAGGGTATCTCCGATGCATCCCCCTTCCAATGAAGGTGGCGGTAAAGAGGCTACCCTCAATGTTGAAACGGTATTCATTGTAGAATCAAAGTCTGATGGGTTCATACGTTACGACGGCGGTTGCGAGACCTACACATCCGCGCAAGCAATGCACGCTCTCAATGCGCATCGCCCCTGTATATGACGGGCCGAATACCTTATACACCGTTGCCGAAACTCGTCTGGATGTGAGAGGCAATGTGATGAAAAGCGTTTGCTAAGGATCCGTACCTCTGCCATCGAAGATCCACATGATAAAATTTTCGTGGCCGGTAGCCTGTAAATCTGCAAGACAACAACAGTCAAACAGACGGAGAGGCGCTGGGTATCCGCGATTCGACTATCTACGACTCAATTCGCTCATGAGCCATCTCTCTCCTTTGACTCACGAGTTTGCCTTATGAGCTCTGTATGCATGGTCGCAATCTTGGGAATGATCAGTGACTCGATCTCAATAGCCGGCTCGCCGTGTAGAGTATCAGGATCCGATGGACCGTCTTCTTCCACAGAGTCTTTCTGGCTCGCAGCCTTTCCAATAAGAGATTCAATGCCAGTAGCACTTCTCGTTCGGCGTCTCGATGGAACACGAATCCACTGCTCGCCGTCCATCTTGGAGACGAAGACAACTTCCCATTTTCTGGTCAGTAAGAGGTTACCAATGACAAGATGGTGGGCGTATTTGTTGAGCGCGTGTTTCGCTTTCTTGACTAAGATGGCGGGGTCCGTCTCGAGCTTGAAGCTTACAATCATGCCGTCCGGAGCCCAGCCGTCGACAAGCTGCTTGAGAAATTTGGGGACTGGTTCGAGATCGATGATCAGACTCTTGCCTTCCGTTCGTGCTGCAGGAGTCTTTGATTGTACCTCCCCCTTGCCATTCATATGTGTTTGCGCAAACTCCTCGGACGACTGGATCTTATGTTCGACCATTCTGTCTTTGGGCACGAAGAAGTCTGAGACTGCGGCAGCAAGATAGAACATGGCGTTTGGACCGAGTGGACGCATAAGCATGGCTGCTTCGCGCAGCATCCACAAGTACTCTGTAATCGTCACAAACGACAGGATCAACAACTTGTTTTCATTCTTAGCAGCGTTGTACTGGCCTAGCACGCGGACCATCTCTTCCTGATGCTGCTCCTCTACCACAACCCTTCCGTTCTCCTCTTTCATGTAGTCAAGGAACGACCTTGTGTTGTGTGAATAGTGTCGAGAGTATGGGAGGAGGGAGAATTGCCGGTGCAGGAATATGACAGCATATCCATTCTCGAGGAAATATTCAGCACTTGTTGCGCCTCGGGTCCCAGCGGAGAAATTGTCAATGTATCGAACGGTTTGCTCTTCCAAAGGCACCGTAGTCCCACCAGAGGTCACCAGCACCACTCTCCGGTCGCTGTCTGCATGCCTGTTAATAAACTCGCGGGCGAGTACCATGTTTGACTTTAAGTTCTTTGGAGGAGGATTCTCCGTGAAGTAGTAGCTCTCTGCAGCCTCGAAGCCGCTGCTCGTTGGAGGCTGCTCCATTTTAACAGGTGCACCACAGAGGCAAGAGTCGTTTGTTTGTGAGGTTGGTCTAGTTGAAGTTATCAACAGAGCAAGAGCGTCAGCGTCAATTCGGGTACCGAACCGAGGGGCGCGACCCTCGGACCAGCGGGAAGCTAGCCTAGGCGTCTTGCGGAGCAGTTACAAAATGTTAATTCGCTCAAGTTCAAACATCGCGATGTAGTACGCAATAATTAGCAGCTGTCTCTCTACTAGATAGCATAATTATAGTCAGAATACTTTGGAAAAGACATACGTCTGCGCCGCCTGTTCTCCTGTTACTCAAGCTCAACCCAAATCGCATAACAGGTTTAATCTTAAGGTAATCGTCGCAGGTCAACGACAGTTTTCACAATCACAGTACGCATTACATGCTTCATTGTGGCTACATTCGTGTACATATTATAGCTTCATACATCTGGTAGTTATCGATCCCTCGGTCCTTGGTCGAGCGGCCAAACTCCGGAGCGTTTCCAGACTAGTGTTCTAGCTTTGTATCACACGGGCCACTCCCGCTAGACCGTTCTGGTGGCTTAAAATAGACGCTCGACTCTGCAGAACTTGCGCCGCAGAATGCAAAACCAAAAGATGAAGCTCAAGTGCGAATCCAAAAAGATCAGCCCAATGGGGGGCTCGAACCCCCGACCTTGAGATTAAGAGTCTCACGCTCTACCGATTGAGCTAACCGGGCTTGCTCAAGAACCAAAGTAAGCATTTGGTGCTCTGATGGCGATGGGCTGACATTATGAAAATATATACCCCATGGAGTATGTGAAGAGAGTGTTCATGATGGCGATGGGCATGTTATGATTGACCGGTAACCTCAGATGAGCTCACGGGACCTTGAAAACTCTGCGTAGTAGTTAATAAGGTTTGCACGCCTGGGAGCGGTGGTCGCGTGGACCGTGCAATTTTGTTAACTATGTGTGCCCGCTTAGCCTTCGACCTCGGCGCTGCCCTTCCCGGCGTACGTACTCAAAACATGGAATCAGACGTCAAAGTAGAAGTCAGAGGAAGAGCACAGAAGTCAATGGCATTGTGACCTTATCATCTAGCTCATGTATTGTAGCACATCGTAAAGCATCGCTATGGCGAATTCCCACATCCCATGGCTTCTCCATTGATAGCATCTACAAAACGGCCTTAGATCTGACTACTATTTAGATCCTTGTCTCATGTAAGTCTATATTTCCATGCTATGCGCTTCAACAAAGCATCATGTCGTTTCATAAGTCATACCACACCATACCTCGTCAGACGTCCTCCATCTCATTGTGTCCCCTAGAACACTCAAATAATCACCGTCCACTACATCCTATCTCCATTATCACTCCTTCGTCACCACATAACTAAACCCTTTTCCCCTGCTTATATCCATTTTGACCCTCTCCTTCCTAACGGTCACGTGCGGTGAGACCGCACGTCTTCTCGTCGGCTCTTGAACTTCATATTTTCGTCGCTCTCTCGGCCCTGGAGACCAATGTCTATAAGCTGGTGCTGGCGAACTTGCTCTCCTAAGTCTACTTGTATCCGCAGGACTTGAAAACCTGACTCGTCGCTTTGGTCTATTATCTATCGTTGTACTTACCTGCCGCGTCACGTTCTCACGCACTCTACGCTGCTCTAGCTGAGGGCGCCATCCACGCCTATTCTCCTCCTCCGTTTCTCGTGCGTTAGCGAACATTCGTGCTACAGACCGGTTCTCTGGCAATGCCCCTGCTGCTTGCACTTCGTTCCTGCCTTCAAGGTGGTGTCGTAGTCCAGGTGGGATACTAGGATTCACCCTTACAAACTCATCATCGGAGTCTTGTCCATCAGAGTGAATAGAAGGACCTCTCGCATACATTACCTCTGGATCTGCACGTCCAGCATTGAATTCCGCACGGCGGTACCCATCCCACTCCGCTTCGAAAACCTCCTTGCGCTTGGCATTTTCATACCCCTGCCAACCTTGCGTTGGAACAGCACGCTTGCTATCTATTGCAATAGAAGCAAGGGATTGCTCTATAGTACTCTGCAGGGCTCTGGCGTCTTTGTCGTCCTCGAAACTCTGTCGAGATGCTTCTTCGTTCGAAGCAGCGAGGGCAGCTTTTAATTCTCGATCCGTTGTTTGAGTGTGAAAGTCGTGTGACGGTTGTGTCTCTGGCTTTTGAGCTACCACCCTCCCACGAACTGGCTCTCGCGACTGCTCAAGGCTTCTGCGATTCTGGAGTTCTTTTGCAGCCGTATCTCGGCTGTTTTCTATCGCGTTAAGCAATTGAGCATCTTCAGTAGCCGACATTTGTCTGCTTCTCTTGAATTGCTCTCTCCTGGCCTCTTCAATAGCCGTTCTCCGACTCTCCTCCAATGCCCTCTGGATTTGCGCTGCTTCTGCTGTGAGTTCTTGCCTTTCTTTGTCATCCCGCTCTTTCTTAGCCTGATCTGCAATAGACTGCTGCTTTGCCATGGACATAAGTGCCCTCTCTTCCGGTGGGGTATCAGGTCGAGACACAGGAGTTAACGGTGGAGGAGGGGTCTGTGGACGTTCCGCCCAGTCTATCTGCCTTGGGAACCCCGATTGGGTCATCGTTATGTCAACGACGTACCCTGGGCTCCGACAGCGCTGGGGTGAAGGGCTGGTCTGGTAGCTCGTCCAAGGCGGTGGACATGATATTGGTAGAGGTGGAGCTGGCGGAGGTGGAATAAAAGCAGACGTAGGATAGTATGATGTTGCAGTACTCCTGGAGTCATCTAAAACTGGCGAAGGAGGGCGGCTGTGTACAAAGTTTGGATTGATAACTGGTGGAAATAGTGGAAAATGCCACGGCATGTCGGCAAAATCGTTTTCTGGTACCGTGCTCCGATAAAATATTTCTGCAAATGAGTCGTTAGTATACTGCAGCATAACGAAAAATATACGTTGTAGCTCACGCTTCCGGTTAGAAAAGTTTGCTATTCTGGTTGGTTGAAACACGTTCACTGCTAAGAATATCTGACTAAAGCATCACATACCATTCTCCCAGATCATATCGCGAGCTCCTCGTGTATTCCCTCCCCGAGTTCTCGCGTAGCCTTCCCTGTGAACATACTGCATCTCGCTGGCACACTTCACATGTACAGTGCAATGAACAACTCGGAGTGACTTGGATGACCCCGGCGTTGCGTTCGATCATGAACAAGGAGAAGCTGGCTGGGGTGAATTGGAAAAGTTCAGCCGTAAATATCCCAGCAGAAGGTGATGTGGTTGAGGTCTGCGGGGAGCATCCCTTGCATCACTCTTGTCACATGACTGAGGAGGCCTGCCACTACTTCTGTCACATATCTACATGGACTCAATATTATTCTCTCGCTTCCACATTAGTCGCTCTTCTGCAACGACACCAGGTCCTTTGTAGACACTTCCGTACAAGCCGCTTGCCCAGTCTTTGCCTTCCCCTTCCTTGGTCTTCTTCGTCGCTTGCCTACTGTACCACTTTCCGTATGCCAACAAATAGTACAGCCTAAAGCTCAGTAGTGCAAACTTGTCTCGCTCAAGATCCTCTGGGTACCTTGCGCCCAAATCGACAGCAGCTGCAATACCACTCATGCAAGCCACTTCATGCGCATTCACCATCGTCCAGCTGGCGGCGAATCGCGTGTGTTTGCGGCCTTGGAGGAGCCACATCCATGGCACTACGAACACATAATGTGTCCATGAATGGCAAAGCTGATGCCACCAGTCCTTGCGAATGATTTTGCTCTGATCGATGTCATCGATACTCCAAAGGTGGCCATCGCGCTCATGGTTGAGGAAGATGGTCTGGAACACATGCTTCTCGAATGGAACTTCTGGAGGAAATTGCGCTTGGTAATTGGTACAGTCGAAACACATTTCGAGTTTCGTGAGATCCTGCTGGTACATCTTGATGAGATACATTGGTTTGAAGCTATCCTTGGCTTTCTTTACGCGGGAAGATTGGTCGACACCTGAGAGGGACGTGACAGCTTGGTCAGGATTAAAGAACATTTCATAGTTCTTTTTCATGTAATCACTGTCCCAATGGGTGACGGTGATATCATTTGAGAACTTAGCTGATCCTAGAACCTTCTTCTCCCGAAAGGATGCGGTTTCAGAAAGGATACGCTTCGCGGTATCAGCCAATACACAGAGCACGAGTTCATCGTAATGTTCTTCTGTCTCCTTGGCGCCGGCGTCAGCGTTTGAGGTCGGATCATCTGTGTGTACACTATTTGGGTTGTGGTTGTCGGGCTGTGGAGTTCGCTGTATGAGTCGAACAGTGGCTCCGGTGCTATCACGCTTAACGACGCTTGTGACCTCTGTTGATAGGCGCACATTGACGCCCTTGGAGATCAAGCTCCTTCGCCATGTATCGTAGAAGTCGGCGAACTTCGGAAAGACTACCATAGGAGGTTCATTGCTCGCAATACTCTGTTTGTCGGGTGGATACCACATTCCATATGTAGGGCTAGTGCTCAATCGCTCCATGATCATACTTGGTACTTCCGGGGTATAGTTTCCAGTTCCAAGGAACAAAGCTACCATAGGAAGAGCAATGCAGTTGGCAAATTCAGTAGAAAACCAGAAGAGCTTCATAATGATCTTGATGGGCAGCAATCCCAAAAACACCTCAAACATTCGGATTATCTTGAGCATAGTTGCAAATCGCTTCACCTCTTTCTGGTGTTTCTCTAGCAGCTTACTAGGGTAGACGTTGGACCAGAACTGTTCGTCTTTACCAAACGAGACTTGCAACTCGACTGGGTTCGCGGCAAATCCCTGTCGTGCGAACATGGTCATGGTGTGATGAAAGATGTAGCTTCCACCTTGTACACCCTGATTCAACCAGCTTGCACCATGTTTTTCCTTATCGAGTGGTATAGAGAAGGCCTGACCACCGCAATAGTTCTGCGACTCGATGAGTGTTACTTCGAATTTATCTGGATGTTCGGCAAGGTGATGAGCGCAGGACATGCCTGCATGACTAAATTAGCAATGCTCAATATTGAACCAAAGTGATTCCTACCAGCAGCACCAGCTCCCACTACAAGCACCTTCTTCCTCTGTCCTCCATCTTTCTTGAGGCTATTCTGGCTCATGTTGCTCGTTGGTAGGAGTGGCTCTTCATTCGGCATGTTACGCGTAGTATAGTTTCGGATGGTGAGACGCGTGTCTTCGAAAGTGAAGTAGCAATGAGCCCACCGGCATCAACGTGCTTCACGAGGGGAGGATGATCACATTGTAAGGTACTCGATTGAGAACATAGTGCGTCATGACTTTTGGCGTGTCTAGGTAGATCGATCTGCGCGATCGCCCGGGTAAACCAACGCTAATCCCTACAAAGCTAGTAGTGCTATGTAGGTACTGGTACTGTAGGTAGTGAGTAGCCGATGAAAAAGCATGTTGAGCTAATGACAATCAATTAGGGTATCGCTATCAAACATCGCGGCGGTCCAGTGGGTGTCTTCTAATCGGCATATCGATGTATATATGCTACGATTAATACCTAACCAGAAGCCCTGATAGGCCCCTTGGTTCTGAAGTCAACTGCTACCAACACTGAATCAAGTGCTCAACTTGCATAGTATCATCGCCAAGCAAGGCAGCATGCATCAAGATAGAGGCACAGCGGCGCCAGCTGTAGGCGCGTAACAAAGTATCTGAACCAGTATTTGAAATTACTCTACGAAACGGCGTCGGTGGAGCGGAGATACAACAGCTCATCACGACGTTGGTCTCAAAACATGCGGAATTCGTCAAAGTTCGGGTGACGCTGGCATGTAGCCAGGAAGCGCGAGACAAGAATTCTCTGTTAGTCAGCGTAAGTGCGGGTCTGCGGGTGCGAGTACTTTCGTATTGAGTGGTGTGTTTCTTGGCTCATCAATTGGGAGATCATGAACTAGAGCCTGTGCTCAAGAAAGAGGCAGTTTTCAACGTTCAATGGACCTGCATTTGTCGCCTGTTGTTCCTTGCTCGCAAGTTTTACGCTGAATCTTGATTCGAAGAACAATCTACGCGACGTCATCTGCATCATTTTACCTCATGCTGTACAGATGGAGGGATCCAGTAGACGGTGTTATCTGATTTTATCAGTATTGTTGCAACACATGTTCAATACTCCCAATCATACATACGTGAATTCGTTTAGCAAGGCAATTGCGTAAGGTTCTCCATTTTTCAGTTCATATTATCATGTTACTGAAAGAGCTCCGATTTTCTACAGTCGACCAACGCGTCGCCGTCTTAAGGTTTCTTCATCATGTCTCAATATTTCGTATAACCTGCTTTCAGTTGCTTCCCTTGCATTGCGACTGAAATATACTTGTGTTTGTGGAAGTGAATCGGCTGCGATCGTTCGTGGCCGTCAAGCGATTTTGACCCCAACAAACATGTTAAGATCAAAGCTCTAAGGCGCGAGAAAGAGAATCGTTAGCATCCCTTTCTTCCTTCATTAGCAGAGCCTTGAAAACCTCATACCACCTCGCAATTCGACGTTCTTCGCCAGCGAATTCACTCGACTCTTCCATTGCCTCTATATCCTACACCTGAGGCAAGTCACATCTCCATTCACTTCAGCCGGATCGCTCATACAACACAAGCTACGGACATTGGCAGGCCTAAGAGTATGGAGAACCCCTCTGATATCCCGCCATGCACGTCCTGCGATGATGTCGGCATCATGTGGTGCCACACCTGCAAAGCAGCTCGTTACTGCTCTCAGAAATGTCTAATCGCAGACTTGTCTACGCACAAACTAATCTGCAAGACCTACAAGGATTTCGATCTTTCGGAACGTCCAACACACGAGCACAAGCGGGCCATCTTGCTCGACCCTTACAAATCCTCTCCCACTTTCATCTGGCTACACTGTGAGTGGAGTGGCGCCACGTTCGGTGAATTCCAGTATGCCAAAGTCGAGTCGTATCTGGGCGAAGACGCTTGCCCTGAACGACAGAATATCAAGTACAACAAGGTGTTGAAGAGAGAGGTTGAAGAGTTGATCACTGTCTGTGTCCGCGATACGTTCGAAATCGACCCCTCCTTGCTTAATAGCAGCGTTTCGAGTATTACTGCAGGATCAGTGGGACACAATTTTCTCTGGAGAGGACCAATTGTCGTGTACGGCAAATGTGGCCTCGACCGGGATGCCAGTCTTTGCAGAGACATACGTATGAGCGACTTCAAGCACGTCGTCGACTTCTTCCGCTCATACGTCTATAAACCAGCCGCCGTCCGAAAAGAGCCACAACAGCCCATCACGACAGTATACGGCGTCAGGATCAACGATGATTACCACAAGAGATTTGAAAAGCCAAGGTTCGAGAGCGTCAAGGTTTCGTCACGAGATCCTATCTTCAACCTTGGCGAGTCCTCAGATATAGCGGAGCTTATCGGTATTCCCACCCTATCCCGTCTTGTCATCGCTCGAGGAACGGTCCTGTTCGCGACTGAGTGCCCTACAGACAATCAGTACGCACGTCATCTTCACAGCTGCCTCCATCCCAAAAACCAGGCGCACGAAGGCTCTGCATGCTCAGGTTTCGGTCATGCCCACAAAGATTGGCATGGGACTGTGGGCAATGTAATTGTCGTTCGTCAGGACATGAAGCCGCTGTGGCCACATCATATGGAGTCCATATGTCATTATGCACATCAGGAAGTGGTGCCCATTCTGGGCCACAATCAGGGAATGTATCTGAAAGAGAAGGCTATAACTGAAGATCAAGCTCGCGCCATGATCAATCGGCCGGCGTTTGTCATCTACTATCATCAAAAGTACTTGATCGCACAACGAGACGCCGGAGCATCTGTCGGAGCAGATTTCGATGATGCTCCGTGAACAGTGTACTTTACATATTACATAGTCCTTTCCACCGAGCTCTCTGGCGGCTGTTTGTGTATTAATTGACTGTAGAGCCTTACTTGTAGCAGTCACTAGTGCTACACTAATCAAAGTGCATGAGTTCTAGGCACGACGCATTTCTGCCTCTGGCAGAGAAAAATCAAAATTTTCCCCTGCGTTAAAGAGAGAAATGGAAAACGAGACTTCACTAACACCAGAAAAATATCTACCCAATACATGAATTGAGATATTACGATGAAACCAAAATAACGGTATAGAGCCTCTCACAAGAACTCCCTCCCGATCTCTCCACTCACATAGCCTAAATCCCATCCGAACAACACCTTGACAACAATCATCTCGATATCTCACCCATAAGGAAGCTTCCAGACAAGCACGCCTCTGCGCGCCAAACAACAAACACTCCTTTGCAGAACGCATAATCTGACAGCTCCCGTTACTCCACCCCGCTGTTCTACGTCTCCAACTCCATTCCCACCCCGAAACCTATCAGACAACTACAGAAAAATCTTCGATCTGCATCCCTGCAGCTACATTAAGTGTCAACGATAGCTTGATGGGCTAGAGTGCTTTCCACAGCAAGTAATGTGAAGCCCCCCTTGTACACAGAACGATTGGTACGTGTACCACCCACGCTATCGACTTGACTTACATGAGTCTGAAGTACGTTGCTCTCTCCTGAAGTTCTTCCTCGCTCATGCTCGTGACAGCTTCGCCATCCATCATACCGTAGACGAAAGCCTCGCCGACGAATTCGTAGTACACTTCGTCATGCTCATCCTTCTGCTCTCGCAGTATGACAGGCACGGTGCAGCCAAAGAGAATACATACTATGTCATTGGTCAAGGTCGTCGCAGGTCCAAGTCCAAAAAGCGATTCCCGATTGGACTGTTTGGACATAGGATCTGCCTCGAAGATGACCCGTTCCCAGACAATGGAGCGGACACGTTCTAGGAATTTCCGAACGTGCTGGAGCTTCTTCTTCGACTCCAAGAGCTGCTTGACGTTGATGTGGCCGTTTACAGTATCGTTGATGAGGCACTCTAAGCAAGCACGATGGTACCAGGCCGGGGTGGGACCTCCATCTGGCCCTCGATCAGCGACTAGAGTGCGCCAAAGCTTGTCTGGTGCCTTGATCTGACTATATTCGCTATTCTTGTTATAGCCTCCTAAATGAATCGCTTTTTGCGGAATTACACCATCCGCTATGGGATTGGTAGCAAAAGTGATAGTGCTTATTTGAATACCTCTGGCGAAAATAGAAGAATCCTCCGCCTCAACAGCCTCTACACTGGAAGGCTCACATTTCTTAGTCATGTCACTGTCTACTGGTGCTGCGTCGTGCTTATTGGGCTGCTGTTTCTGAACTTGAAGTATAGCTTTCGCGAGAGGTTTGGGGATGTGCGATGTGTGGCCATTCATGTTCACTTCTTGCGCCCCTGCTTCGGCTTGTGGTGTTTCCTCGTCTTCTGCAGTGCCGTTCAGCAGAGCATGTCGGCCAGGTTGAGTTCCGTTGATTGGTTGCATGGTTGTCCCATCTTTGACAGAAGGAAACTGTGAAGACTGAGGCGACTTCGAAGTTGGAATGTATTGATCAGCCCAAGGAGATTGATCTGCCATGTCTGATGCTGAGAGCGGTTCCCCGAATAGTCCAAATAGTTGGGTATGATTCTCTGTTTCCCTACGAATTGGTATACTTGGTTGTCTTGTACGGTCAGAGAGACTCACGAACCCGTGCGGCAATAGAGGCGTACGCGGCTTTAGGCCTGTCTTATATTCAGTAGCGCCGAAGTATACTTCTGCTTCTATGTTGTATGATGCGTTATAGGCTGAGTGGCCTGGCAATCCTACAAAGTCGTCCGCCGATTTACGCCCACTTCGGCCGTCAAGCATAGCACCATATTTGCTCTCTGAGATCTTTTTAACCCACGACGGTAGTTCAGTGCTCATAGCAAGCTGATTCGGATCTAGTGTAGACTCTGCGACGCGTGGCGGAAGGGCCCAGTGACGACATATTATGTTAAGAGACTTGGAAGTCGTAACTACCCATTTTACGAATTCTTTGTACACGACAAGAACACTTTTGGTATAGTCAGGTGGCGGTGGTGGCGCATATCTGGTCGTTCCTCTTGAAAACATTCCAGAGGTCTCTTTGGCAAGGTTCCGAAGAGCGATGATTGTGTCGCGAGGATCGGAGCTATTGAAGGTCGACAAAGAGGAGACGAGGGTCTCTAGTCCAGCGACTGGTTCGTATATCGTTCCGTCGGCTTTCCTGCGAAACACATTTCCAATAACGTCCACCAGTACTTGTGCCCCTAATAGGTCGAGCTCTCCTATTTCCTGAAGCATGTCGCGTTGATCGGCGTCAGCGAAGTTCTGCTGGATAGTATCAAAATGCAGACTGAAAAGTCCTACGGCGTCTTTGAGGTCGTCCCAGCTGATTGTTCGGTCGCCGAAGTGGACCACGGCCTCTTTGGCAAGGGCAAGTTCTTGAATGACCCAGCGACGAGTGAACCAGTCACTTCGCATCAGATGTGCAAGATCAAGCCAGCGCTGCACGTGCTCTTTTTTTCGAACAAAATCATCCAGGTTTGGGGTTCCTAATATCCTCGTTATGAAATCCATTGCATTAGAGCAGCGCTCATTCGAATGACCAAGCCAGATGCACACATTAGATGCTTGGCGGTATATGTGCGCCATGCGAGCAACTTGCGCTTCCTTTTCCTGTTGATTCTGTTGATTTATGCATATAGCATCTATCCACAGAATCACATCTTCGTTCTCTTCCCGAAGGTGCTGAAGAGCCGAATATAGGTTCCGTTTCACTTTAATTCGAAAAGTCGAAGCGCGATAGACATCTTCGAATATCTTGATATCCTTGCCATCACGCTGATTTTTGACTGGTCGTATGAAGACTGGGTCGATCTGTGGCCCATCACCCCAGTAATATGATAAAGCGTCATAATGGAACTTCTTTCCGAGAAGGTCCATGGAAATCGTTCTAAGTGAGACCTGAATAGGAGTACTACTTTTGCCTGCATATAGGAGAAGTAGTCTAACTTCCTTTTCTGCGTCGATGTCGTCGTACTTGAACTTGTTTTGCGCTTTCTCGAAAGCATCACGCCATCGTATGAGTTGACTTGGGTTAGTCGGGATTTCTGCATCCTCAGACTTTGCTGGCTTGACAGGAGTTGGCTTTGCTCTTGTCTTCCGAGGCTTCGAGAAACAATCCAAAGGATCGTTATCTTGAAGTGCCATCGTTAAAGGCTACCAAGAATTAGGCCCTCTGACCTGTAAAGTCAAGAATAAGAGGAATCAGAGTAGGATGTCAAAATGAGCGTTGCGATGCAAAATTTGCGATGCGAAGCAAGTAATTATTGGTATGACCGACTTCTTATGTATTCGAATCGTGAAATGGGGCAGGGCTGCATTGATGCCGCCTGACATGGCTCCAAGTGACGGACAAGATTTACCGTATACCATTTGCGGCATGGTGTTGTAACCCTTCATGAATACCTCAAGTACCCAGGCTTCGTACAATGAGGGGGGTATCCGTTGGAGAGAGATTGAGAGAAGCACAGGCATATGCACGCGAGTAGCAACAGGGCCGGGACCTACAGGGACTTACGCGCGGGTTTAGATCAGGATGCTGTCATAAGGCTGTGTACATGATCGCTGTTTTTGCTCTAGTATGGATGAGGCTATTGTGATGATGTTTACATGGTGATCAGGCTACACGGCACAATAATGTGACCCCCGAAGGCTCGCAACATCATATTGATTTGGTCCCATCCAATCGCCATAAGGGAGCATATCCCCGATATTTTAAGATGTAATGGAGCACATGACTGGCCAAAGCGGACAGTAGCGGCGCGGAACACCGTTTGAGATCCAATTTAGTGGCTGCATCTCTGAGACGAGTCACAACAGGTTTAGGCTTCAGCCTTGCTCTGCTCCATGAATTAAGGCTAGCTCAACGTGACAGATATAGTCGCCATATTCGTCGCTACCACAAGTCTATGAGCTAAGTGTAGCAGACCGTGTGTGCAGTATACTAGGTCTAAGGCTACTGTGCCTCATGGGACGTAAATAGAACGACAGGGAGGCGAATTGCTCATTGCCACGACTAGGCTGAGACTGGATGGTCATCTCAAACCTGCTACCACACTTCAATACCATCTTAAAGACTGGAAACCGTTCGTCTTCGATCAACCGGATGATGGGACTTGAGCATTGACTTGTACCCAGTATGGCTGACCCGTTGAGTATCGCGGCCGGAGTAATAGCAATTTTGCAAGCAACGAACAAGGCATTGGAAGTATATGATAACTTTGAAGCTGCACTAAAGAACGACCCATGGGGTCTAAGCCAGACTATCGAGTAGGTCCGGGACTTGCGAGCCGTCCTCGGGGAGCTCGACGCCCTTACTGAGCGCGTGTCCAGTGATTCAGACTTGGGTGCGACAAGGCTAGATCCAGGCTTGAGATGCTATGCAAAGAGCACGGCCCCTGGTGGTGTACGCCCAAGAGCTAAGAGTCCTCGAGGAGACAGTTAGCGCAGCGTGGTCAGGCGAGGCTGGCGTTCAGCAACGTGCCTTCAAGCGAGCTATTTGTTGGACACTGAATGAGAAAGATGTGAAGACCTCGCTTCAGCGCATCGAACAGTGTAAGTCTACGTTGAGACTTGCCATAACTGTGGATGAGAGGTAAGTGGTCTTGGAAGATAATGAACCTTAACACTAGGTGTATCAAAAATATCTCTGACGCGACATCCAGAACATGACGTCGGCCCTCACTGGTATTCTCAGCCGTATCAGAGATGACGTGCAGCAACCGAGCGCAAAGATGCGTGCCGCAAAATTAGATAGTCTTTAACACATCCTTTGAGCTTATCGAAGGCTTACTGATGAGTGTATAGATAGCAGGGAGAATATCGTCGTCCAATGGCTGTCTACAAAGGACCTATACGAGTAGCATGAGCCTGCTTCTCTCCTGCATGACCCATCAACGAGCGGTTGGTTCGTCGGATGCCGAGTGTATGCGAATCGGGTAGCTGGTAGAACAGCAGGTCTGTGGTTGAGCGGCTTTTCTGAGCATCGTCTAAACTATCCCGATCATCTGCCCTACTGACTCGTAGATGCATTTGCAGCTGGATTAGGCAAGATAGCGCTTTCGTACGTTTTGCGCCCCATGGTTCCATTTATAGTATGCTCAACGTTTTGCAGCTCCAAGGCTCTGTCACACACTATCGAAGCCGTGTGTGATATGTTAAATGATGTAGCACTAGCATAATTCTACCGCCACTTACGTCGCGGCGATACCCGGAATCTTTCTAATGCAGTATCATCGTTCGAAGCGCAACTTTGTGTGACTTCAAGGCATTCCCCTTTCGAGATGCACGAAGCTCTCAGAAGATGCACCGGGGGGCGCCCATGGCAAATAGCCTTCGAATGTGGAATTGTTCGACATGACCGTGGCCATGAGATCTGAACGGAAGAATATGTTACTTCTCGACGACTTGGATGAGTGCAAATGGAGTGAGACTTTGCTAAATTTCTTTCAAAATCTTCAAGAACGCGGTGTGCTCATCGGTATATTGAGAACGGGCCATGAGGATGCTATACTCTAAGATCAACTAATGATTCTCAGGAGAATCGAATCAGAGAGAAATTCTCAAAAGAAGTGGATCAGGATGTCAGACTCTATATCGGCCGTCGATAGCGTACACACAAAAGACTACATTGGCTCTCGGATGCGGCGCGTGCAGACGTTGTTCAGTCTCTGGTCAATAAGTCTGCAGAAATGTAAGTATCTGCGACTCTTGTGTCGAGAATCACTGCTAAAAGGTTAGGTCTCATTGGGTACAATGCCAATTCGAATCGATATCCAGCGTCCATGCCCTGAGAACCATTCGTATGGCTTTGAATGCTCTTCCCAAAGGATTGTATGAGGCCTATGAAGAATATTAGACAACGTGTCTCGTGATGATCGTGTCACTGTGCGGCGAGTCTTGCTGTGGATGTATTTCAAAGTCCTCCCGATCAACCTCGTTGAGATGCACGAGGCTATCGAGACCCAAAGATACCGCAAATTTTTCCGGAATCTGGGGGACATGATCTGGCATGGGGTCGTCAATCATTCAAAACATGATGATTGGAAGCGAGCCTGACGATACCGGAAGTAAGCAGTCTTCGCGAACAAAGAACGATGAAAGGCAGTGGACAGAGGACCAAGGACGCGGCGTGAGCGCGGTCTGACGCGTTGGAAATCTCCCGGCCAGGCAGCAAGGCACTCTTGCAGGTGCAGATCGACCTCACCTAGTAGAAATATATGGATGTATTTCTTATAGCCATCTCAAGACCGGAAAGACTTTGTCCACAAGAAGATAAAGTGCGTTCGTTACGAAGTCATCGATGCGTATTGCTGACCTGGCTGTGAATAGTAACAATGGATGAAATACTCCACAGTATCCCAGTCTCTGTGTGCTCGTATCATCTCGGTCGTACTTGTCTGGAGTTCACCAGTCTAGGAAGCAGTGTTTCGAATAACTCTATTGAGTGAGACTCGGGTCGTTGTCACGAGAACATTGCCCGGACGCCAACAGGGTTTTCATAGTGCCAGCGTGTTTCTGCTTTCCACTCCCTCGAATGAAGCGTGGTCGTAGGTTGGCTTAGTCGTCGAACCACCAAATTGACTCTACAAATATTTTATATCCGATGGAGCGGCTGCTTTCTGAAGTGTGCTCCGACACTATCGATATCGCCAAGTATACTGCATCAAAGCTTGAGCGAAAAAGCCTTTCATGTGAAACATGATCCGTGATAACTACTCCAATTTGATTTGAGCGCTGTGTGAATGTCATGCCTTGCTCCCGCAAGACTCTCTCATCGATCCTCGGTCCCGAGTTAGATAGACGAGCTGTGATCCTGACCGCATAATCTTAACAAGAGACACAGCCCGCCATAGGACGTTGACCAGTGTGCTTCAATCGTAGTATGGTGAGTGAAATGATTGGGTCTAGTCCGCGACTCGTCGACCATCTTTCCACTTGTTGGCCTCCATATCAGCTTCAGTCTGTCCTGTCCAAGCCTCTATCAATGCCTCCTCGGCGCCACGCACAAGGACGTGGATATGTTCGAGAGCTCTCACACTCTGCCACGCTGTTCTGTTTTTGAACCACATGATCTCTGTACCTTCTTTTACATTTGATCGGAACGTTGTATCCACGAAATCGTCAATCAACGCTCTACTCTCGGCTGTCGGATCGCCATCCTCGTTCACGGGAATGCGGCTCTTCAGCCAGACCACGAGATGCTTGTTCTCCGGAAATGTCCCGTACGGCCAGTCGTTTCGCACGATGCGATAGTCTTCTGGTGACGCGAACGGAATCATACTTGTGGGTTTCAGAGGGAGCAATGCGGGGATGTCGGCCGGAGCGACAGACTTTGGTATCCAGCCAATTTTGTGTTGCATGAGGAAGTTGAGCATGGAGCCATAGGTTTGCTTGACATAGTTGTTAAAGTGGATGTAATTTTCGAGGTGTGATGGGAGACGTGTGAGGGTGTCTAGTGCATTGCGTTCTGCTGAGAGATTTAGTTTTGATCGCGTTGGCGGCATGGATAGCGCACCTATGACATCTTTTAGAAAGTCCCATGTATAGTACTCCCACTCATCATCATTCTGCCTCAGCGTTGCAATATCGACTGGTGTGAGATGGAATGGGGGATTCGCAATCAATGCTTCCCGCGACATTGTGAGTCTATGTTAGCAGAATGCAGGTGTGCTTGTATGAACTCTAATACTTTCAGAGGGATGTAGAAAGATTGCTAGCCCATACTCAGCGTCATGTAGAATCAACCTCCATACACAATAAGCACAACTATCGAGAGCAAACGCCGTAGGAGCAAGACATCCGACCCCGGGACGGACATCTTAGGTATCTAATTGCAGCCTTGGTGCCTGGCGCTCTAAGATCCTAACGACAACACTCTTGTCTCACTCTGCATCATTCCGACTCTGTCTTGTAGATAAGTCGTCCACCCAGGAAAATATATGACATCTTTTCCGTACTACGATAAGATGATATACAATCTTGTGAACTAAAATCCGATAGTTGTGTCTTTCTTCACACCTTTAGTCAGCCTGGCCTACGCTGTTTGCGTTCTTTTCTCACAAGCTCAACCTCTTTTCTCCGCATTTCCGGATCCAAAATCCCTTTAAGGTCATCATCCTCTTTATCGAAGTACAATGCCCATTCCCCAGGTCCATACTTGACGGCGATGAATCCTTCCCAACCCTCCAAGGTTACTCTTTTGTCGACCGGAGTGACATCCCATGGCCCAACGATATGCGGCTCTGCATCAGCGCGAAGCCCATACTTGACTTCAAATGTGTCCTGATCCACGTATATCCAGTTTAGCTGCGGCGGGTCATCCGAGATCGTAGACACGAAGCCTTCCCCCAATCGGCCCCAAGACCGCTCCGGGAAAGGTAGAAAGTATCCCGCAAATGGATGGTCGTCAGGCTGACCGTCAGGGAACTCATCTGTTGGAACTGACAAGTATAACTGGTGTTCATCAGTCTTCATGCAGTGGCCCAATGTGGACAGCGCGCACCTTGTTATCACTCAAGACCACCTCGCACCCATTGATCTCTCGTCCTGCGGCTGACCTCGTCGAGCACTGCACTACGAGTCCAGACTTCACGCCTCGGTGTCGTTCTTTCGCACTCTGTCGCTGGCCCTGTCGAATAGCCTCGGTCGTGCCAATAATCGCAGGACATGCCGCAATGGACGTCAGAATGCCCAACACCATGATATGAAACCTTATAGACACATACAAAGACAGCGCTCGCTGTTCCGTAAGCAATCTCACCCACACCACCCATGTTTCCCCCCCGCCGTGCGTCCCGACGCTTCGACCCGAAACCGTGTAACCCCTTGGCGGACCGGTCCACCCGCCCAAACCCGTCGTTGTGCACCCGCAAAGCAAGCCTCGCGCAGAACAATCAGGTCATTCCAACATGCCCGTTTCCGAAATGCGGTTCTGGGTCGTTGGACTTGCTCGAATCATGTCTGGTCTGCGCGACCCGTGGGCGCATGCATGTCCAGGTCGTCAGGCGATGATGGCGCGATCTGTCTGGACACGTAGGCAAGGCGGATGGGCGCGTTACATGACTAGATATTGTGTGAAATCAGACAGCATCTAGCAGATGCGAGACTTTTCGTTGTAGGTGTCAGCGTCCCAGGAGAAAGGCTTGAAGGGCGGAGACGGCAACGTAGCGGAGGACATAAAAGCATGCTTTGAAGACGCTCCATTTACTTCTCCACCAACATCCATCATCTCAAACCTAGCACAATCCAGAACAAAACTTCATCAACAGACCCTATCACCCATCCATCCCCAAAATGTCCACCGCAACAACAACCACCCGGTCCGTCCCCCCATCCCCTCTCCATCCCCCACCTCCCTAACTATCCCCACAGCGCCCCAACAACCTCCTCATCCACCCGCCAGGACCGCCAGGACCACCAAGCCCTCGCAGGCCCCCAAACCACCGACCCCAAATCCGACACCGAAGAATCCCTCCCGCCAGTCACGCCTTCGCGCGGCCGTGTCGGTCGCCGCATGGTACCTGTGCACGCGTCGCGCCTGGGCGAGCGCAAGGGTGAGATCGGGGAGAACGTCAATAGTAGTTTGAAGATTAAGATTGATCTTGACTTGGAGGTTGAGGTGGAGATTTATGCGCGTGTTAAGGGGGATGTGACGATTGGGTTGTTGTGAGAGATGAGAGAGAACTTGGGGGTGGGATGTGGTTTTGGGGGTGGTTGGGACTGCGGGGATGGTGGTGGGAGGAGGTGGTGAGAATGAGTTGGTAAGGGGTGGTGAGAATGAGTTGGTAAGGGGTGGTAGATATTGATTGCTGTGAATGGAGCTGTTGCGTTGTGTGGTGTTGTGCTGGGTGATTTGCTGTGCTCAGGTTCATGTCTTCAAGTTGTTTACATGTGCAGTGCCAGCGTTAGAACAGTAGTCGTTCGATCCTCCAGCATAGACTGCTAAGAACATAGTGATTCTCGCCGCCTTGATAATAAGTCCCTCCCGCGTCATCGCCAATTCACGCTGAGATGCCGTACGTCCGTCGGGAACATGCAGACTTCCAAGCCAAACAAAAATGCATTTGTGGTATCTCCGCGTAGAAAAACCACCAAACAGCTGCACACAGGCCATAATGTCGCTATCGTTTAGGTCGTCAAACCCACGTATTTCCAGACTCACCCGCCCCGATTACTCCACAAGCGCTAGGCAAAACTCCAAAAAGTCCTCCCTAACAGAATCCTCCAGGGCTTCCTCAACCGCCAAGCGGTACTTCTTCTCGAACTCGACCTTGACACGCATCATATGCATCTTGTCCCAGTGCAGACGCACGATGCGGCTGATCAGGAGCTCGTAGCGTTGTTGGCGCTCATGCTTGCTGTTGCGCGAGTCTGTGCGGTCGGAGAGGTCTTCGATGGCGTGGTGTAGCAGCATGGCGTCGCGCGCGGGCCGGTTGATGACGCCGTTGAGGATGTGTGCTACGACTTCGCCCTGTGTGGTGTGAAGTTAGGATTGTGAGGTTCTGGGTGGTGGTGGAAATGTGAATAAGGGGCAAAGGGGGGGAGACGTACTACTAGATTGTTGCTTTTCCGCAACGCCTCGCGTGCAAAGTTCTCCTGGAACTTGACCTCGTACGTCCGTAAGACGTCTCTCAGATGAGCATCACTGCGCTTGATGACAAGTTCCAGAATCGCAGTCTCGCCGCCCTCGCGCGCTTTGAGCGCGGTGTACAGCGTGTCGACGTCGCGGTTGCGGTACTCTATCGGCCACTGCTCACGCTCCTCTTGCCTCCTCCCTTCTAGCGCTAATAGAACAGCTTTGCGGAATTTGTCTGCTTTGAGCTCCTTTTCCATACACCTCACCAAGTCGTCATTATATCTCTTGTCCTTAAACGCGGCCTTGATCTCCCTCATCTCGACGTTCCCCCGTCCCATCAGACACTCCACCAGTAACTCGCGTCTCGCATTTCCAGATTGATACCACGTATTTGCCCAGTATCCCTCGGACTCCCAGCGGCCGAGCGCGGTGACGTAGCAGAGCTTACCAAAATTACCCGAGGTTTTCATCTTGATGTGTTTGGCCACATTAATGCCATGGCCTTGGACTTTGCAGTGGCGCTTATACTCTGTACGTAGTTCAAGCATTTGGTCGTGGTTGAGCTGTGGGAGGATGTCAATTAGGGGGAATACGTCAGGCTGGCGGTGGGACATGGCGGCGACGATGGCATGGGCGTCTTCGGTTGCATCGTAGATCTTGACGCGGCGCTCGCCTCTATCTCTATCATCCTTTTTGCTGGATTTTGAGGACTTGGACTTTGACGATTTGGACCTGGAGGTTCGTGTGGAGCGCGCAGGCGACGATTCGCGGCTATAGGCGGACAGTGTACGGTGGTGCCCAGCGTGCGAGTACCGTGGGGATAGTGGAGGCAGGTCTTCGAGGTCGGAGTCGTGTGGGTGATATGCATGCATCATGGGTGAGGGCATAGGTGAGATGGATTGGTACACGCCATGGTATGCTTCAAGCATGGGACTCGGTGGAGGAAGCATGCCTCCGCCTCCCGATGGCATACCCCCAGGTACCAAAGTCTGGATGTTTGGTCGATTGCCACTGACTGACAGTCTGTCCATACGATTCCCTAGTCCGAATCCAGGTGAGGGAGCGCGCAGCTCGGGGCCATGGCCGGGGGTACTTAGAGACATCGAATGCGGTCGCTTCCCAGGAGACGGAGGTGATGCGATCCTGCCACCTCCTGGAATGACTTCCACGACATTGCCTGCGGGGAATCCTCCTGGCATGTGATGGTGTCCATGCGGTGGCCCACTTGGAGGAGGCTGAGGATAGAACTGGTCTGGCTGGGTATAGAAGGCTTGATGCTGAGGAGACTCCTTCCCATGTTTTGACGAATGCTTATTTGAATGTCCATTGGAAGAGCCTGGCTGCGGCACAACTGACTTTGCAGTGTATGTGATGTTACCTGGCGTAGTCGCATACTGATATCCACCAGCACTGCCACTCGCAGATGAACCATGGCTAATTGTCCTTGACACGGGAGGCGGATACGGCTGACCTGCTAGTCCGGCATTCGGAGCATATTGATAAGGCACTTTACCACCCGCTACAGGCGTAGCAGTCGCCACATATCCTGGCCGTTCGTGCGGTGGAAGGTCGGCATAGTCACCCATCGTATATGAATCATCTCGCGAAGGATCACTCCCTCCCAAAGCACCACTCATCATATTCATTGCCGAATTTGCGTAGCTTGCTAGACCGGGAGCTGCCTGAGTTGGAGTTCGCGTTTCAAAACCGCCTGGCGGAGGTTGACCGTAGGCTAATGCGTCAGACTTGGGAACGCGTACGTTGCTTGAAGATCTATCTCTAGATCTCCCAGCTGGCGACTTTGAACGTGAGCGGCCTTTGCGGTCATCTGGACGTAGAGACATGGCAGCCTGGTATTATTGGCAGCGGGCTAGCCGGAGAGTGGGGTAAGACACCAATTATGAGCTCTGATTTGGCAAAGACACGACAAGGCTCGAGAAAAACACAGCTCCGTCGATCTGGATCAGAAGACCTGATGAGACGTCTTCGCGGTGGAAAAGTGTGAAATACGACCAGGGCGAGAAAATATGATCCAGCAGGCGGGCAGCCTTTCAGCCGCGCCTATTTTGGTACGCGACGCAAGGCTGCTCAGGCAACAATCGTTTCCACATGCTATGTGTGTGTGTGCGTGTAAAGGACAGGCTAACTGTAAATTTTCTGTAGCTGGGGGCCAAAGGAGTCTGGAACGGCGCACGACTGCATGTGGCACTTGTAATTTGTGGCATGGCAGGCCGACAATGTGCTCGTCTTGGCTTGTATATATGGATTATCGGAGTAGCATGATGCTTCATGTAAGGTATCGTAGCGGTGAGTGAAAGTCCGAAAGGACGTGGTGTTTACGAGCGTCCGCGCACTCAGCCAGGCTCGAATGCTAAGGCTGCCAGGCCAACAACTCATCAACGAATAGTAGAACATTCAATGCACGCAGTGATTATACAGTGGATGTAAACAGGTTCGATATGGTTGGTGTATGCGGTGGATTGCTTTTGCTCATATATACGCATCGCGAGAGCTAAATGTGTTGCTACTTGCCAGTCGAATTTAAGTAGCATATCAAAAGTACATTCGGCGCAGTAGTCGTAGTATTCCGTCATGTTAACAATCCATCCATCGTCGGTGCGCAAACGTACCATCGTTAATGACCCATAAAACGATGCAAACGGTCGTTGTCGCCAGATGGCATCATTTCCTGTATTCAGCCCTATCTATGCGTATAACAGCCAATCGCGGGCGTAAACACGTGGTATTTGGAGTGTAAATATCCCCCGATCCGGCGCTCCCGTCTCGCGCGCTGACCGAATCCTCGGGACGGACGGACCCTGCATTTGCGTCTGCATCTGTCATATCATAAAGGGTTTCTTTTTCCAGCATCGGTCCTTTTTCACCATCTTGCTCGTTCATTACTTCTGCCTAGCCTGCAGTACTCATCGCTAGCGCGCGCAAAATTTGAGATGTTGAATCATGCTCGGCTGATTATAGTTGTCCATGTTTACGGGTGTTCTTCCTCGCAAGGCTGCTATGGCTAAGCATGAGTGTGTGCTAGGTAGAGGATGGCCTGATCGAATATAAAGTTTGGCAACAGACCCTGTGGCCTACTAGGGACCAGCATAAGCTGATTAGAACAGACACCCTTGCTAGTCATTAGGTCGGACGCCGTAGTAGATTTCCAACGAATAAGATGCCAGAAGCATGAGCTGAAGGTCACATAGCAGTTATTGAAACACTCTATAATGAACATCCACATCGTATTGTGCTATGCTGACCTGTGTGGTCGCCCGGTGATTGCATGGAGCGCCTCTCAATTGGGTGGATAAGTGTATACTCGGACCAGGGAACGAAGAACCGCCTCGGATATCCAGTCTCTGGGGACTTGTTTGCAGACCTTGCGACGCTGCATTACTGACCAGTATAGTTTGATATCCGAGTCTCAAGGCTTGCCCCATTGTTTGCAATAGACAGTCGACTTATAGTGGCTCGACTGTGTACAATCCTATCGCTGCATTTGTGTTCCGTTATTGCGTCTGCCGGTATACACTTGTTGTCAATGTATCCGCGACTGAACATCACACACGACGGAACAGTCTCCCTATTGCAAGACATGATTTGTTGACAGGCTCTACTTCGGACTTGTCGCTAAACTTATGCTGAAGTTGACCTCTACATTTTGCTTCTCTGAGCAGATTTCGCTTTACCAGCCCTACCATCGCGCAGGCTTTCTTTCTTTCAACAGCTCCTAGAGCGACGCAAAATGTTGATTTAGGATGTAGAGCTCACTGTGCGCGAGATTAAAAATGAGGCTTTGCACCATCTTGGTTTGGTGTTTTGCTAAGACAAATCAATATGTGCTGCTACGCTCGAGTTCCTTCGCATGACGCACCTAGTCTGAAGACTTCTCGGCTGGACTTTCAGTCCTAAATAACATTTCGAAGGCAGACCTTCACTTCGTGGGGAACAACGCGCCGCATACTAAAATGCGTCTGCAGTTTTTATGCCATATTCATGATAGGCGTAGGGAAGGCACCTCAGACGGAAAACCAAGGGCTCTGGTCATGTACTCATTACGTCGGTTTAAATTATGCCGGCAAAGATGATCTAGTGGAAATCATGTTATTCACAGTCGGCGGATAATGCAATCATGGCGACATGATGATCATCTGGGGTCGAAACGCTAGAAAGATTACATCGGATGTGGCAACGGATTCTCACATGCCGAGAATTCTACACAATATTGTAGTGTGGTGAGTCAACTCTTCCTGGGGCGCCATCACCGAATGGGTGTTGTAGAATCAATGTCTTGCATTGACTCCAGGAATATAAATATGGGCTCCATAACATGATCGGCTCAGTCCCAACGACGCCGGATTATCGGTCGAGCAGGGTCCCAAGGTCCATGGATTTCGTTTTTATACTTTTGCAGCCCGATGAGCCACCAGCTACAGATACCCATCGTTAAGAATGTGGTGATGCCACCAAGGATGATTCCGACGAATGCTGCTGTCCACGCACCACCTGAGACAGTCACCCCTACGCCACCACTAGCGCCGACAACAAGGACGATCGTGAGCACAAAGTTGCCCTTCCAGGAGATGTGACGGAGGTAGCGTCGAAAGACAGGAAACAGACCAAAAACCTCAATGGAGAACAGAGTTAATGAGAACACGTGCGTTGTGGATGGTAGCCGGGATGCTAGGACTGTGGAAGCCATGAGAGCGGCATTAGTGGAAAGAGACGCTGTGAATCTGTTCCCGGATATTAGCTTCCCGTTCAGGTTTTGAAGATTGTTGTTACGAACTTTGCACCAACCGCGCCCCCATAGTCGAAAAAGAACACATTTATACACATGAGCCAGCAGCTCATTGCCCATATGGAATCACTCGTTGTTGACTTTGTGAGAGACTTGAGAATGGGACTTAGACCAAGAAGTGCGCAATATATTAGAGTGGCCGATTTCGCGGTTGCGAGACGCTGCTGGTTCCTCGGAGACAACGAGGATACAGAGTCTCCGGGTGGTGGGAAGTGACTGTACGTAGCGAAGCTTGACGCTCCCGTGGGATGACCAGTAGTCAGCATTGACTTTGTGGAGATACTTGAGCCCTCGGAAGCAGTACTCGCTTTGTATTCGTAGGTCTGGCCGGGCATCTTAGTGATACTGGGGTCTGTGTTGAGAAATAGACCTTCTCTATCGGCCGATTGAGCTGTCCTTGTACTCTCAAGACCTCCGGCCCTCTCGTCTACGGATGAGGCTTCATCTATGGCTTCCGTTGCGACGAATGAGGCCTTTTCTGCTAATTCTTCTTGACTGACCCAATAGTCCCAGAACAGCCAGCCGAAGAATGTGCTCAAGCTGCCAGATCCTACCACAGTGACAGGCGAGACTCTCTCTTGGATGATGCCGACAAAACAACAGATGAAGATCGCTACAGAAGATAGATGTTGTACTATGACCGTGGCATCTGCCATGAGCGGCCAGAATTCATATTGCTGAAAGGAAGGATTTCGTTTCAATTCATGGAGGAAAGTCTGCTCATCAGTGTAATTATCAGGGTCTGAGACAGTCAGCTAAAGTATATATTTGACGTGCGCAAATCCACGTACACTGTTGCTCGACCCAAAGGAGTTTCTTCCATTGCGCCGTCTTCTTCCTGCTCCGACTTCGCTCTTTGATCTTTCGTCTGACCTCTGTCAACGGTCTCACTACTGATCCGGTAGTGGCTCCTACACTGCCAAGTGCAGGCTGGCGTGATCTGTGAGGCGGAGGCTGTGTATAATATGCGTCCTCGGGAGCGAGACGCGACGGATCGGAGGGTAGGTGGTAGGGAGGCTCCGGGTAGAGAGAGCTCGTATGGTGTGCCGTAGGCGGCAAAGAGCTGTCATAAGGAGGCATCAGCGTGCATTATAGTCTGATTTGATCGTCATGTTGGGGTGATGATGTCGATGTAGCTTGTGATAGTCTCACTGAGCGCGTACGCGACGGCCCCGCATATATTAATGGTTGTGGATGGACGGATGCTTGAGAAACCCTCCTATCTATTAACCACCCACCCAGGTATCGACCCGCACAACATAGCAAGCTTTCTACCATCGAGTTGTCATTCTTTGTCATACTTCAATTCGACATAGAGAACTGCCGAGTGACTTCGTTGCGCTTCATGGATCTCACTCCGCTACATGGAGCCCCGCATCAATTCCTTGATCAACCCGGACCTTCTTGATCATCGTACGAATGGCCAGGTTCCCTTCCAATTCACGCTCCCTTCGATAGCTTCGCAACGACCTGCTCCAGTAGAACCAAGCTATAATGCTACAGATGACCTGCAAAGCGGACATGGGCAACACTTCCATGGACGTGAGCTTCTGTACCAGCAATCGGATCATCATACTGGAAGAGAAGATAGTAGTCGCTTTCCCACTTTACAGCCTCGCCCAGGACTAGGTGGGACCGAGGGTAATGATGACTCGAGAAGTACTAGTCATCCAAACAAGTCGTCTCGCTCTAAACACGGCGTTCCAATAGCTGAGGTCCTCAACGGACCAGACACTACAGAGCCTTCGGCGAGAGGTGGTTTGGATCACATATTACGAGATGGAGCTTTGAAGCGTCGTAGGGTTGACGACAGTGATACCAATGGTATTGCTGTCGAGCGTAATACTAGTTCAGGTAGCAATGGAATGCTGACGCTTCCTCGACCTCACTCTATAAGGAAGAAGGCGTCCAAACGACTACCACCATTATTACAGGGTTTGCATCAGCCACCTCCTGATGCCGGGCTATTTCCTAGGATCACAGAGAAAGATGAGAGTACCGATAGGGTTGTGAGCGCTCATGCGCGGGAAGAAGAAACCAGGAACTCTCTGCCTGCTCCGAAATTATTGCCTGAAAAGGAATCGCGCGCACCATCTCCACGACAAAGTGCGGAGGAGATAGAAAGCTCAGAGCAGCAGCCTAAAACGACTGGTAAAGAGAAGTCAAAGAGAAACAAGTGGACCGATGAGGAGACAGCACACCTGCTCCGAGGAGTGGCCAGGTTTGGTATTGGCAAATGGAAGAAGATACTAGAGTGTGAGGATTATGAGTTCAAGGAATGCCGCACATCTGTGGATTTGAAAGACCGGTATGCCTTGACAGTAGTTGTTACTGGTCATCCCCATCCAACCCTCTAACACGTGATAGGTTTCGATCCTGCAGACCAAGGGATTACTCTCCACAAAGAATTGTCGATAAGCCAGCCGCTGTGGCAAAGGATAAGGCACCTAAGCATGTACCCAAGAAGCAACTCAATCCGCGCAAGGCTACCTCTCTCAAGGACGCAGATGCACTAGCAGAAATGGGCATCGAAGAGCCCTTCGCCAAAAGCACACGGCGCACGCGCAGGCCATTTACCGAGAGCGAAGATCGCGCAATACTCGAAGGCTATGAGAAGCATGGCTCCCTATGGCATCTTATCCTCAAAAGTCCAGAATTCGACACCCGGTATCGAAGTCCAAGAGATCTGAGAGATCGATTTCGGACAAAGTTTTCGGATCTGTATGTCAAATCTGGCCTAAAATCCAAGGCTGCCGACGGTATTACCGCTGCTGAGGAGTCTAGTAATGCTCAAGCCGACTCTGTAGTAGCCACTGCGAATCGGGATAGTACCTCAAGCCAACCCCAGGAGCTCGTGGAGACATCAGAACCTACACCGGCACGTGTCGCTCTCCCGACGAATGCAGGGATAACCACATCTACGAATTCTCTTAGATCACTGACACTAATGACCAACTTTCACGACGTGTACCCATCTACCGCATATGAGGAGGAATCTGGAGATGACTATAGCCCCGTCACCCTTAACAGAAATATATTTGGATGGGCCGATGCTAATGCACCTCTGCCACCACTGCAATCCTTATCGATGTCTCTGGCCCCCGAGTCTGCATCCTTCGTACCGTCGTCTGCGACCACCACAAACACAAGTCATGGCATTACAATGAGCATGCTGATGACAAACGACTCGATGCCACCCCCTCCGGCACCTACAGTCCAAAAGTCGGCTCAGCCAGATAGTGTTTCAGGCATGAGGGCAACGAGCAAGCCGTCGAATTCACAAGCCCTACCTAGTCTCTCTTCGTTCCTTGATTTCGCCCCTTCAGTCAGTGGGCGAAGCTCCATGTTCAATCTCCCACCTCCTTCAGACACACTTCCAGGCTTTGATTTTGATGGGCGCGTGGATGGATCACACACTGGGCTGCTGTGGGAGGACCGAGATGAATTATGATCACGAACAGACTGTAGCGCAATCTCTCCTCGACAGGTGCCGGAGCTGCAGTGCCCTCGACGGCCGCTTAGTGCTGCTATGGCTTATCTGCGTAGCTTGGAAGGTATTGACCGTTGTAGCGTATGATAAACAGCTAGACCAAGCCTAGTTCTCCTCTGCTTCTACCAGGATGCTCACGTGCCATATTGTCTTAGCTTTGTGGGAGCGCCGCTGGAAGCTTGGTGCATGGATGGTAATGTGTGATGACAAAGACCAGCTTCGTCTTATGAGGCTTCGTAGCTCGAATTAGGTGCTTTCAACCTTCACTGTTACCCAGTATCCTGTCCACGACACCCTCGATCCTTCCATCACCTCCTGTAATCCTCCGTTTCAGCTCTCTTCGTTTGCGTTGCGCGGTCTCGTCGTCCGCATTTGCGTCTAGAGCTCTCTTGACCACGACATGTTCGATAGCACCAGCTCTGTTCATCCGCAGTCTCCCAACAAGGCCGCTCTTAAAGGTGATATCGACTGTATGCGCCGCCTCATCTGCAGTAATAGCCACGATGCCACCCTTTCCCTTCCTCCTCTTCTCTCCATCTTCTGCATCTCGCCCTTCGCCCTTCCCCTCAAGCCCAGCATCTACCCGCAACTTCTCCACGGCTGCCAGCCGCGCATGAAACGAGACAACAGCATGCCTCAACGCTCGCCCAAACGCATGTAGATCCTGCTTCCGTACCATCTTGCCCGTCTTCCCAGGCAGCGCAAGCCACCGCCTCGCAAGAGCATCGATCGGCACCGCAGGCGGAACCGTATGTTTATGCACCTTCAACAACCTCCTCCTGCTCTGCTGCTCACCCTCTTCCTCTCCTTGGCCTGCAACCCGCACGGCGACGAGGAACACAAAATACGGTGTCCCGAACGTGGCGCCCTGGGGCAGCTCGATGCGCAGGCCGAGCACGCGTCCGGAGTCGACGGCGTAGGGGTCGGGGTCTTGCACGCGGAAGGCGGTTATGCCGGAGGTCAGGCGATAGTTCATATGCGTGTTGTGGGCCAGTTGGCGCGTGAGATGGGCGCGAGCGCGGGCTATGGAGGGCGATGTGGATGTGCTGCGTTTGAGAGCGGCGGCGATGGAGGGAAGCGAGAGGAGGGTGCTGTGGGCGTGTGGGAGGAGGGATTCGAGGGCTTTGAGTTGGGACTCCAGTGAGGTGATTTCGGATCGGAGGGCCTCTATAGACATGGCTGGGAGAATGATACCTGAGAATTAATATGTCTTTGAAGATGGTGAGGTTAGATGTGGTGTTGATGTGATGCTGTAGGGCCGAGAACGCGTCGGGAGATTGATAAGATAAGCTACACGAATACGGAAACGCGGAAACACGTGCGGGCACCCTCCGGACTGACTGCACGATCGGAGATAGTCTCTCATACAACCCTGGATCTACATATACAGACTTTGTTCACAATTGTCAAGTTCGTGGTTGAATCCGCAACTCCAGCCTCGTTGTCGGACTCGATCCGTAGCCTTACGAACGACGTGGGCTTGTCGATCCCCTGCACTCCAGTCTCCACACCCCCTCGCACGTTAACGTTAGCTTGCCGCGCACCAAACAGGCCACGTTCTGATCTCATACCAAGCGTCCTCAGAATCTTCGGCCTGCTGCAACAGCTGGCTACCATTCCTTTATATGTATGCCTCAACCGCCTGACGGCTCTTTTCATTCCGGTGCTCACATCCATTCGTTGACCTCAACTCTACTTCCTACTGTCCCTGTCCACGAAGCACAGCACCGCCAGAACCTACTCACACAACAAAGGCACCAAAACCTTGAAAACGGACACGAACTTGAAGACCTTCCACATTCCACACAGGATATTGATAGTTATCGGAGCACTCGGCAATCTGTAGAACGTAATCCTCGGGTTCCTCCCATTCATATACCCAACCCTTCTTCGACGTCCCTTCCCTCGCCGACGCACTTCGACTCCGACAGCGACGATCAGATGCCATCCAAGAAGTCCCGCAAAAACGCAGGCAATAGTACGCCTGACCGCGGCGCAAGTTCGTCTACATATCTAGCGGAAAGTCCGAACGGGTCTGCAAACGGCGAGATGAACGGGCTACTCGAGCATCGCCGCAAGCATTCTTCACTGGATGACCCCTCTTCGGCATCACAGGCACAACATCTCATGGGACGAGACACATTTTCTTTAGACGATGATATACCGGAGGAGAAGAAGAAGGGTGAGGGCGAGGCCATAGGGTTCTTTGATATGCCCATGCAGGACAGGAGAAACTTCCTACTGTTGGTGGGGTTGTACTTTTTACAGGGAATACCCATGGGTTTAGCTATGGGATCTGTGCCGTTCCTGCTGAAGCCATTCGTTGGCTACAGTGAGATTGGTATCTTCTCGCTAGCATCATATCCATATTCACTCAAGCTTCTATGGAGTCCCCTCGTCGACGCGATATGGAGCCCCAAAGTCGGTCGCAGGAAGAGCTGGATCCTCCCTATCCAGACTCTATCCGGCTTTGGAATGCTGTACCTCTCCACGCGCGTCTCAAGTCTCATGAAGGATGCCGGTACCTCCTCCAGTGGTGTTTGGGAATTCACTTGGTGGTGGTTCTCCCTGGTGTTCATGTGCGCGACTCAAGACATTGCCGTTGACGGCTGGGCCTTAACCCTCCTTTCCCCTGAAAATCTCTCCTACGCCTCCACTGCCCAAACCGTCGGCCTGACCGCCGGGCAGTTCCTCTCATACACCGTATTTCTCGCCTTCAACTCCAAAGACTTTGCAAACAAATGGTTCCGCCCCGCCGACGCGCCCCTGGACGAGGGTCTCCTCACGCTGCCCAGCTATCTATGGTTCTGGGGCTGGGCATACCTGGTCGCAACTATCGGTCTCGCACTACTCAAGCGCGAAGACCGCGCGCGCAATCTGGAGGGTGTGTGGGACGTGTACAAGGTCATGGGCGGCATTCTCAAGCTGCGCAACATCCAACTCTTCATCGTGGTGCACCTCATCGCCAAGATTGGATTCCAGGCCAACGACGGCGTCACGAACCTCAAACTCCTCGACAAGGGATTCAGCCAAGAAGACCTCGCGCTGACTGTACTCATCGACTTCCCGTTTGAGATCGGCCTGGGTTACTACGCCGGCCAGTGGAGCCAGAAGTACCAGCCGATGAGCGTGTGGTCCTGGGCCTTTATCGGCCGCCTCTTCGCAGCCGTCTTTGCGCAGTTCACAGTCATGATCTTCCCTGCCGGCGACACCACGACGTGGTATCTCCTGCTCGTCATCGTCGAGCACGTCTTCAGCACCTTCATGAACACGGTCATGTTTGTCGCCATCTCGGCTTTCCACGCCAAGATCTCAGACCCCGTCATCGGCGGCACGTACATGACGCTGCTCGCTACGTAAGTTGCCTCCCCGTCCTACTAAAACACACCTATACAAGGTAAAAATAAAAATAAAAAATAAAACGCTAACCCAAACACCCCAGCGTCTCCAACCTCGGCGGCACATTCCCCCGCATCTTCGTCCTCAAATTCGTCGACTGGTTCACCGTCGCGACGTGCCACCCGCCCACCGTCAACCCGTCAGACATGAAGTCTGTCGACGTCATCGACGCGCCCTTTTCCTGTGTTGCGGAGCCGGACAAGGCTCGCTGCAAGGCTGGGGGTGGCGCCTGCACCATCTCGACGGACGGGTATTATATTGTTAATATCTTGTGTGTCGTTATTGGCGCGCTGACGTTTGTGGCGTTTATTCGCCCGACTGTACTGAAGCTGCAGGCGCTGCCGTTGAAGGCTTGGAGGTTGGCGGGTGGGAGGTGAGTGTGCGTGTGGGCGGCAATGGAGGGGGGAGGGGGGTTTTTGTATATATATATATATATATTATGGGTTAAACAGTACAGAACATAGATCCTAGACTTGTATGTTTCATGTGTTTCTGCTGCTGGTGATATTTGGTCTAATATGACGGGTTGCGCTGCTCGCGATATGATTTGACCGCCTTTAACTTTTTACACAATAATCGCTAGTCCCATACATCCCCCTATCTCATACGTCCCTCTCCTTTCACCTTCGCCTAGCCAACCAGACCCCCCCTTCAGCATCAGAAAAACTGCCCATTCTTCACATCCCTCCTCTCGACACTCTGCTCCCCACTAAACCTACCCTCGTCCTCCACCACCATCCCTTCATCCCCGCGCACAGGCCTATCCAGCGCCGTAAACGGCGTGCCACGCACCCTAGCCAACACCCACAGCACCGCAACACGCACGCCAAACGACGCAGCACCCCACAACAAGCCCCCTACAGGCGCAGCCACAAACGCGCCAAACGCGCTCCAGTCATCCGCATACAGGCCGTTCTTGAGCAAGATGAGATTGCCCGCGGCGCGGGCGTCGCCTTGGTAGAAGACGAGGCCGAAGAGGAAGACGGAGAAGATGCCGCCGAGGCCGCCGACGACGACGTCGCAGCCGCGCCAGGCGTGGGCTTTGGGCCAGAGGCCGATGACGAGGACGGGGATGACGGCGGCGGAGAGGAGGTCGGAGATGAGGTAGATGGTGAGGATGTTTGGGGATTTGAGGGCGACGATGACGACGGGGAAGATGAGGGCGACGACGGAGGCGCGGATGAGCCAGAGGTTGAGGCGGTTGCGGAAGAGGTCGTTTGAGGCGGAGGAGACGATTGCGGATTGGAGGGAGTCGAAGGCGGAGGTGCTGAGGGCGACGGTGAGGACGAGGATGATGCCGACGAGCCAGGTGGGGAGTTGGGCGAGGAGGAGGAAGAAGGAGAGGGAGCCGTCGGTGGTGGGGTCGGCGCCGGGCCAGACGCCGGACCAGGCGGCGAGGAGGCCGGTGGCGCCGACGAAGGTAAAGATTACGGCGATGGTGCCGGTTGCGAGGGAGACGCCGATGTAGAGGTCGCGGTTGGAGCGCGATGCGAAGGTGCGCAGCCAGAAGCCGGAGAGGAAGAAGTTGTTTGTGAGGATGGCGACGGGGAGGATGTAGATGAGTTGCCAGCCGAGGAGGGAGGAGTTTAGGAGGCCAGATTCCGGGATTAGTGACCGGTCGATGGTGGTTTTGGAGCCGACGGCAGCGACGGAGATGATGAGCAGGCCGAGCACCATTGCTGCTTGGATGTTGTCGGTGATGAAAGAAACTTTGAAGCCGGCAAGAGCTGTGGAGGAGATGTTAGTTAGGATTCGGGACGGAGGAGGAAGATAGGGGACGGACATGTGTAGACGGTCGTGACGAAGCATTCGACGATGACGACGGGTAGGCCATTCAGGCCAGTCAGAGCGTTGATAACTTGCTGAAGAGCGGAGAGCTCGGCGACCATGTAGAGGAACAATGTGAGCAGTCTTTGGCTTGTTAGTGTCATTCCTTGTCCATTCTCATATGATACCACGTACGTGCAGAGACTCAGATACAAGCCAGTGACAAGTCCATATCGCTGGATGGTCCATTCCGTGAGCACGAAACCCTCAGGGCACTGCTCTCTGATGATCGGCCCAAGCCATGCAAAGACGAGTAGTGGCAACGACGCCGAGAGTGCGTAGACAACAAGCCCCTGAACACCGGCAATAGTGGCGATTTGAGGGTACGTAAAGAGGATGGAAGATCCCATAGCTAAATGTCAGAAAGTCCTAGGTCAGCCACGGATCGTGAGACAGAGGAGAAAAGAAGGAGGGGACAGCGGCAGCACATTCCTCACGCAAGCATTATCTTGATCGAGTTCATACGGTACATCTCAGCGTCGCCAAGCAATCAGATCTGGAATGAAAGATCTGATGCCGGCTCAGCGCCCGTAGTGTTGCCGTGCAGTCCAGCCAGGTCAAAGTGCTTGGTTGTCGTTTTCAGACTACAAGAACCTCAACCTGACCTACTGCAGAGAAGCTTAAGTACCAACCTGGTCATGGGCAAGTTCTCGTGATGCCATCATGTTGCGTGTCGTGGGAGCTCGGGCTCGTGTATGCTCACACACACACACACTCTCTCTCTCTCAAGATATGTCGCAAATGATGTTGTGACGGTGCCACTGCCGCGCATTGATGCTTGCGAGTCTTGACTCACCCGACGCGATGAAGTTGAGAGCGAGCGGTATCGCTATATAGAGATGTTAGCTGTATGCACGATGACAGAATGCATGGCATGTCGCTCAAGTCACGCCGAATAGTCTAACCCTTCTGTGTCCGATTGCTAGAGAGCCATTCTCCCTTGGACTGATTCCTCAACCGCCATGCGATGTAAAGACCCAGAACCCTGACAGAGCACAGTCAGTCTTGTGTCCAGTGTTGCGGACCACCTCCGTCGCAACTTACAGAAAGAGTGCATAGGTGGTGTAGATGATGGCATTGGATGCCTGCGTGGATGGAACACTCATGGCAGAAGCTGTAGCAGAGAAGACTGAAGCTGTAGCAGTAGTAGTAGAAGCAGAAGCAAAAGTGAAAGAAGAAGAAGAAGAAGAGCGGCGAGAAGTCTTCTCACGATGTTCCCCACCATGGCTTTTCTCTCCATCGTCGGCGACGGCCTAATGATCCTTAGCGCTGGAGCCGACCTCGTGGAACAATCGGACGTCGCTAGCGCAGGCTGCATGTCAATTCCTGCATACAGATACATATAAACATATAAATATAGATTATGGAGTCTTTCCAGAAGTTGATTTCTAGTTATAACAATGCGTGAAGTAAAGTGAATCTGGGTTGAAAGTCACAGAAACAACAACATCCTCTCTTCCAATCGGCAAACGCGCAGCCCACGCACCCCCACGCTCGCGCCACACCCCCCGCGCCACACCTCGTGCGCCGATCCATCACATCAACCCACCACCGCGCTAGTCATCACCCTCCTCACGACCACCTGCCAAGTCCTCCTCCCCCTCACACTCACACTCACATCACCACAAACACACTCTCACACTCTCACACACACACAACACACCATGCAGACCCTACCCGAAAGTCGAAGCCAGAGCTTCGAAGAACTCTACGGCCCACCCGAGAACTTCCTCGAGATCGAGGTAAGTAAGCACACAGCCTGCCTACACTCCCCCCTTTCCTCCCGTCCTCATCTCCTCCTGAGCACCCGCTCGCGTGCCATCTCCTTCCTCTGCTTCATATGCTGCCATGTATACTGCGCGAGACACGATCATACACACGAAGAAGAGCGCAATACAACCCCCCCCCTCTTCTCCCCTCCCCAAACTAACACCCCCAACCAGGTCCGCAACCCCCTCACGCACGGCACCGGAAGCACACGCGGCACCTACACGACCTACGAAATCGCCCTCCGCACCAACATCCCGGCCTTCAAGCTCAAATCCTCGAGCGTACGGCGGCGCTACTCGGACTTTGAAGCCTTCCGCGACATCCTCGAGCGCGAGAGCGCGCGCGTCACCATCCCACCCTTGCCGGGGAAGATATTCACGAATCGGTTTAATGACGATGTGATTGAGCATCGGCGGGAGGGCCTGCAGCGGTTCTTGCAGATTGTCGTGGGACATCCGCTGTTGCAGACGGGGAGTAAGGTGCTGGCGGCGTTTGTGCAGGGTGAGTTTGTGTGTGTTTCTTTTTTGGGGGGGCAAAGGAGGAGGTGGTGGTGATGGTGGTTGAGTTGAGGGCTGACTTTTTATTGCTGGTGATAGATCCGAATTGGGATAAACATGCGTGGTGAGAAGGACGTTCGGGGCAGCTGGACGATCGGGGGAGATAAACATGCAACGACCACGGGAACACCACCGCATCTCTTTTGGAGGAACTGGATGGATCACGAACCATGAAGACGGAAGGAAGCAAGCAAGCGAAATTCCACCTCTGACTTGATTCCGTGCAATACGATACCACAAAAAGAACCACCAAATTACCATTCCCACAAGCTCAACTCGAAACAACACTCAAACACGAGAGTGTGTCCCCTTTTTTTTTTGATAAGATTCTCATACCTCATTGACTGCTGTTATGCTGCTGCCCTTTTAGCGAGTTATTCTTCTTCAATCAATCTCAATTCAAATTCAAACTCAAACTCAAACTCGAATCAAATATATATATATACGTCGTCTTCCAAAAACCATCATACTGTTTCCTTATCATATATATACACCAATTCCATTGCCATGCCAAACCAGACAGACAGTATCCGAGGCGATCGTCGCAAAACAACACAGCTACATACAGCACAACAAATGCAACGACAACGGAATCCAAAAAAACACCATGAAATGACGCAGTTAGCCAGCCATCCAGCTGGTATCCATATCTCTCTTGAATATCTCTCTTGAATATCTCTCTTGAATATCTCTCTTGAATATCTCTCTTGAATATCTCTCTTGAATATTATATATAAATCTTCATATATATTCTCATATCTCTCAATACGTCCAAAAGTAAAATTACTCCATCCATCATAGAATGCTCAAACCACGCTACTAGTATGCCGCGTCAACATAATGAATACCACATCTTATAACATATCGAATCAGAACTAACATATCATGCAAAGAATGGGGGAGAAAGAGGGGGTTTGATAAAATGATGAGGGTTCGCTGTCCAATGACTCGCTATGCAAAATTCCATGCTATGCTATGCTATGCTATTTCGTCACCATCCTTCTTTCCTTCCTTACTTCCTTCCTTCCTTCCTTCCTTGTCTGTCCACCACACCATCCACCCGTCAATCCTTCCTTCCTTCCTTCTCATCCACAACACCACACCACACCACACCCTCCTCGCTAATCGCCAATACCCAATCAACATGGTATATATGTATATATAGATATGTATAAACAAACAAGTCCCTTCCAAACCCCCACCACCCGAACAAAAGAAAGAAGAAACCCATCAGAAACGCCCCACTGCGTATGTATATAACCGAAAAAAAAGCCCTCGCCTAGGAGGACATCATCATCATCATCATCACAAGTTTGTTTGTTTTTTCAATTCTTCAAACAACGCGCCTCGCGCCAAAGAGCTGCAGGCTCAGCGCCGTATCATTGCCCGTTGCACTGCCCGTCGTATCGGGCAGGAGCTCCCATCGGCGGAACAGGAATGGGACTGGTTTGCTATTACTGTTGTTGGTGTTGTTATTCGCAGCGGACGGAAGATCTGTACCCAGACGCTGTGCTGTCGATGTCGTTGTCGAGCCCGCAGCGGATCCAGTCGACATGTTCTGCATCATCTGGGGTGTCGCAGGCGTTGGGGGAGCGCCGGGGATAGGCCCGGAAAAGGCAAAGTTACTGCCGGGTTGGCTGCCGGGGAAGCCGGCTTGTCCTCCGCCGAATTGCTGGGTTTGCGCGAAGCCCTGCATGCTCTGCGCTGCGTTCCATCCTGGCGTGCTGTATGGTGTGAACATTCCCGCGCTTGTTTGCTGGGTTTGTGGTAGGCGAGACTGGCTGTTTTGGCGCTGGAGTTGTGCGAACTGGGCGTTTGCACCTTGAGTGCGTTGCTGCTGCTGCTGTTGTTGTTGCTGATGCTGTTGCTGCTGCTGTTGTTGGGCGAGGCGCTGCTGGGGAGTCGAGGAACGGAGCATAGTCGACTGTCCGGCAGGAGAGCTAATTCGGGATGGATGCTGAGGTTGCGCTGCGGTTTGAGATGTTGAATCGGAGGCGGCGGCTGAGGCTGAAGTGGCAGGATGTCCTGGCATGACTAGGCCCAGCCAGCCGTCGGGGGAAGGTGAGCCGCCAAATATGAAAAGAGTGTGTACACCAGGTGAGGCCTTGGAGGACTCGGCTTTTGCAAAGTGGGCGCGCATATCGTCAGTAAGGTCGTCGGAGAAAATGACGGCGATGTCAAAAATTCGTTGTGTGATGATGGGATTTTTCTGTAGCCGTGGATTCACGAGCAGGCAGCGCAGGATACAAAGCAATGCACCAAGGTGAGCCCCTTTCGCGGCTTGGAACGATGGTCGATGTGCGACTGTAAGATGTAGAAGAGCCTCTAGCCAGGGACAGATCTTTGCAACAGAAGCATCGATCTCTGCGTCTGTTGCGGTGCCGATTGCAAAAAAGTCCGAGGCGTCCTCGGAAAGACATTCGTTCAAGAGCTTAAGCCTGTCAATAAGCGCGTTGAGTAACGCATGGTTGCCAAGACTTGTAGGAGCAAAGGATATAGAATCAACAACTGCGAGGTAGCGATTCAGAGTTGACTCGAGTGGCACTTCAATCTGCTGCAGAGATTGAATGCCCTTCTTACCAGTCAGTGGCACAGCATTGAGAATTTGCTCTTCTGTATGCTCCCGAATCTTCCGCGTAACGTCTTCACCAAGTCCAGAGACGAGTTCTGAAACTCCAGAGCTGTTTCTGTCCACCGCAGCCTTGATAGCATCCAGAAGCGCGAGTTCGACACCATTCTCACCCTCCTCACTCAGAACTTTGTCCAGAAGAAATATCATATGGAGTTCGAGTTGACAGAAGGGGATCGACAAGTCGTCAATGGCATCAATAACGACAGCAATCTGGTCGCTCAGTGGAGTAGTGGCAAGCGAAAGACTTCCTGTCGGATCAAGGAGGGTGTTGATGATTCGCTTGACGCACAGGAGCTTCTCGGTATTTGCGTCTTCGGGTTGATAGGGAAATGCATCGAGCAGGATTTGCTTATTGACGATACCAACTGATCTCAACACGCTAAGCAGTGTGGTACCCTCGAGCATTCTGTATAGCCCACTCCGATCATTCTCAGGCAGATGCTTTGTATACAGGTCGATCGACTGACGGACAAGATGTAAGATTAGCGACACGAATTCGGAGCAAAATCGACGCTGTTCGATGCGATGACGATACGCATCTTGCGGTCGGCACGAGGTCACCAGCTTGTCCGAAGGCAAAAGCAGGTCGAGTATCTCGCTCGACATGCGAGCTGCAGAAGCGCCGTCGTGTCCTCCAAGTAGGACCAGTACCTTGCTTGATCTCTTCGCTACATCACCCAGAGAGATACATGATGTGGAAACGAGGATTGGAAGGGCCACGCGCAAGACCGAGAGCTGTTGCTCCACAAGAAGGTTGGAGACCCATTCGTGCGCAAGGCGCTCGAAAGTTTTCTCGTCAAACGCTCGAAGGCGGGGAAACCACGAAACGAACAGGTCGAGGGCCTGGCCTTTGTGTAAGTCTGCCAATCTCGTGGTCATGCGTTTGAAGACTCGACCCATAATCTGCTCATCCATGCTGTTACCGCTGACTAGAATTCGCTCAATCTCTTCGTCACTATCTATGTTCGTCGAATGAAGCATGTCCATATTGTCAGAAGCGGGCGAGCAGACTGCTATCGATGACTGCTGTTCCGTGCGCGATAAATCATACTTTAGTATAGCAACAAGCTGCGGCTCAGCATGGACCTTGACACAAAGATCCGAGAACGCACGCAAGAAGTGCTTGTCGGGCATGCGGTCATGTCGTAGTGCGCTGTATCGCTTCGTCAGGTTACTAAGCACGGGAACCAAAGCGCCAATTGTAGCAAAAGCTCGCGAATGGCAGTTCAGAGTGTCCGCAACTGCACTGAGGATATTGTAGTTAGTACTTCGAGTGATTAAATCGAGGGCGTCTGCCAGGACTGGAAAATCTTCTAGTTGTTCCAATAGTTGCCTTATGGCGCAGACTTCTGTGAGCGAGATGTTGGCAGTGTTATACGACGTTTGGAAACCGTCCTCTTGGGACTCGGGAGAGCCGGCTGCAGACATACGCTCAGCCAAAACTTCTCGAAGGTTATGACTGGCCGCGAAGCGAGCGGTCAAAGTCTCGCAGGCGAGGGGTGGATGTGAGTTGATGGGAACCGGCTCAGAGGCTGCTGCGACGTATTCAAGCCATGAGACCAGTGAGAGTTGCAAAGATTCGATGTGTTCGTCTTCTGCCTCTACTGAGTAACCCATGCCTTCAAGGAGTGTTCGACGAAGGTTTTCGGCCTGTTCTGAGAGTGCACTGGTTGGGAGCTCAAGAATGAACTGCACATGGCATGGTATCTCCGTTGAGCCCAGGTTGATCAGGGCAGAGCCAGTCGCAATGAGCCATTGCAGGTATTTGCCAACATTAAATCGCTTAGACCTGACTAGACCGGCTCCAATTCGAAAGGCTGCACTCTTGCTACATCGACTCGTGCTGTTTAGCGACCGCAGAAATTGCATAATCACTTCATCCGTCTCAAAACCGAGGCTGTTCCACTTCCCAAGAAGTCGCATGGCCAGATATGCTCGATGATCCCCAGTTCGACAAGTTGAGCAAGCCCACTGTAGAACCAGCTCGATTAGCCGTCTTCGATTAGGCACCAGAGACATGCACTGTGCAGAGATCACGCCGATGTCGACTTTGTGACCTACCATGTCAAGAGTTCGGAGGAGGACTTTCTCGGGAGACTGTGTTGAGCTCGAATGTTGCGGCTCACCGCTACTCAGCCGTTGGTTTCGCTTACCGAGCTGTGTGATGACAGCGTCGACTTGGTGTCTTCCTCTTTCGGGAATACGATTGAGAAGAGATTTTAATGATGGCTCGAATTTCTTCCAGGTCTGTGGCAGCAGTAGACAGCCGCGATGTGCAATGAGAAGGGTGAGCAGCAGGTGGTCAAGGCGGCGAGACAGAGGATTCTGAGTATACTCGCCGACTTCCAGAGTTGAGTTTTGCGAATGCTGGAGTAAGCTCTCGGCCAAGCGACTGCCGCGTCGGCGGGATGCGACCAGATCTCGCCAGTGGATCTGTACGAGTAGAAGCCATATCGGCAACTTGTCTGACTGAGAGCCTTCGATCGCTGACAGAAGCCAATCCAGGTAGTGATCCTGGTCAAGAAGTCGATCGTTGTACAAGTGTGTTGACAAGCGGATCGTGTAGTCCATCCTCTGCTTCCAGGAAGTCTGCTGTCCACAAGAATGAACGACACCTTCTACAAACTGTTCCACGAAGACGGTCCATTCGCGAATCCACTTCGTCTCGCTTCCAGCACCAGTCGCAGCTGTTGCACCCTTTCTTTTAAATGCGCGCATTTCATTTGCACCAACGCACTTTGTAAGCCAAACTGCCCTGGGCACAGGAATGCTCTTCGAGAGGCACTGTTCCAACAACAGCTTACCAGCAATACCATGTGGAATCGTCCTGCTGAGGCGTCGGAGACTGGAGGTCGGACCGGCAAGTTCTTTCAACCAGGCCTCCCGTTTAGAATCAGTAAAGGCAACTCTTGGCGGAGGCTTGAAGGTTGATGGAGCAGTCAGACGACCAGCAGCTTGACGAGCCTCGAGGACCTTTACAAAGAGATGCGAAAGGTTCGTAGTCGCATGTTTATTTTTAATGTTCATCTTCATGATCTGATTGGCCGACTGCGATTCGGTGTGCATTGTGCCCTTGTTCGGAAAGCCAGACTTGACCACATTCTCGGTCAGCACATCTTCTTGGTGATTGCCAAACCACGGAAAGAAGTCGACAGGTTCTGCAGACGTTAGACACAACATGGCATGAGAATAAGGTAATCTACTTACTTGCGGCAGGAAAGCAGAGTGCAGCTTGGGGAGGCTCAAAAGTACCTTTCCGACTCTTAGTCCCAGATGACGCTACATCCCTGTCATGGTGCACTTTATGTTCTATATTCTGGTTGCCTGGCCGTGGAGGGAAGGGTATGACGTTCGTTGGAGAGAGCAGTGGCGCACTACTACCTTGAGAGGTCTTGGTGTTTGCTCCAGCAGAGGAGTGCGCACTGGAGAAGACATCTGTGGTGTACGAGCCATCGTCGAAGTATAACTGCGGTTTACCTCGTGAAGCAATCCTCGCGGGTAACCTTGCAGCTGTGTTCGTGGCATCGACCGGTGAAGTCTTGTGGTCTGGTCCCGCCGCAGGAGCACCCTTCAACACACGAGTGTTCTGCAACAGGTTCTCTTGAAAGCGCTTGTCACCATCGCCGAGAGCGCCGCTGAAAGCGGGCTGGTCCTGGCGCGACTGTGGTTTCGCGTGGTGTTGCTGCGGTGTCGGGTGTCCGCGAGATGGGAGGCGATGTGGAGGTCCGGTCACCGAACGCTGCAGAGGGTCTGGTCGGCCCAAGACAGAACGAGAAGTCATAGCACGGTGCGAGCAGGCATGGTCGTGGAGGAGGGAGCAGCTCTATTGCTGGAGAGAAGCGCAAAGAGAGGACGAGGTTGAGAGACGTCGGCCAGCGCGAGATCTCATCTGGCGCAGCGCAGGTGGTTAGTTAGCATGCAGCCTCGTCGGTCGGGGACATGGGGGAAGATTTGGGGGGGGGGAGACACATACTGGGTCTAGACAGCCCGAAATACCCGACGGTTATGCAGGAAAGAGGCGGCGAATCAGATAGGGCAGGATATGATGCGATATAGAGAACAATATAGATGCGACTTAGATGAGAGGAGGGATAAGAAAGTGGTTGAGGAGTAGGTTTGAGGGAATGGGGTAGATCGTCGGAGGTAGTGAGGAGTTGAGGCCTGAAGCAGTGAACAGGTTTGTGCTGCTAATCACTGTAATTAGGCTGGTGCTGGTGCTGGTGCTTGGTGGCAGCTGCAGACAAGGTAGTTTAGAGGTAGATGATAGGCATTAGGGTAGGTAATTAGTAAGTCAGTAAGTAAGTAAAGTGAGTATCAGTATTACAGTAGGTATATAATCATATTATGGCCCAACATCCGGCAACGTTATCGCCATCCGCCATTGCCCAAAGGAGGTCCTGGCGCACGCGGGTGGAGCGACTGCACGATTTCTGTTGCGTCTTCCACTAAATAATACTAATTAACTAATTACTTTACTGTTGCCGAAACCTCGCGCAAATCATCGGTTGAAACATTCCTGCTGCCGAGCTGCTCACTTGTCTCTTCTCTCAGTAATTAGGTATCGTCCCCCTCCATGGTTCTTTCATAGCTACTGAGCCAGTGTGTATCATGTTCTCGAGTCAGTCAGACTGCTTTTCGGTTGCAAGCAGGGCTGACTGACTACATAGTACAAAGAGAGAAACAATCAATCAAGTCGAAACTAATTAGTCGCCCTGCATGCGCGACACGCTCACTGGTCCATCTCCCGAATAGGAAGCGGATTGTCTCATTCGAGGGGGGCTCCGCAGACTCCGGATGACGGGGACGAAAAGATAGGTGTTATTATGTCAACCTTTCTCCGACTCGGCCACCACGGACTGGCACTGGCCTGACGAGAAGGAGAGTGAGCTGGCTGGCTGCTTGCTTGCGTTCCACGGAGACGCACGTACAACAAGCAGTACGTACACAAAGCCGACAAGAGGCCTTGACTACACAGCGACGGAAAGCCCTTCACACAGCGTTCCCCTGCGACGTCAGATCAGATAATAGATAATAGGGAAAGGAGGAGCATGCATTCCGCTGTCACGTATCAGCAGATAATAGCCGAATGACATGCCCCCGGTGGCCACCACTTGTTCACTGGCCGGTGTAAGCCTGTGAGTCGTGACCATGACTTGTCGCTCGCCATCCATCCCATCCCATCCAGATCAGCCATGGCTCAACTCGTATTACGGTATTATCGGCGTATCGCGAGGGGAATGAGAGTGCCCTCTCAGAGCAAGCGCTGATCTCGGCCCGGCGGGCGGTCAGCGAGAACTCAGATACTGTGCGTCCCTCTCTCTCTCTCTCGTAGGTCCAGCACGGTTTGCCACGATAGGAAATATTTATCATCATAATACATATACGGAGGTCCGCATTCCACTGCCAAATGCGAACACCTCAGACAAGACAAAGACAAAAAGTGCTCGGTCAGCTTGCCGTGTTTGTGTCGCGCAGGTTCGCCTCGCCTCGCTCCCCGACTTTTGCTTTCGTCCCAGTGAGTGGAACCACGTTCGTCGCACAGCAGGGCCTCTCCTTTCGTCGTCAAATTTGCTTTGCACAACAAATCCTGCGAAACACAATTTATTACCAAGCAACACTCCCCCAAACCTTCCATACTCGCGAAGAGGAGAACAAGCTGATTACACAAGATGACGGACGGGGTTGCGGGAAGCGGATCTCGCGCTTAGCCGGTCCCTGAACTTACCTAATTCCTATTCCCGGTCTGGCTGGCTGGCTGGCTTTCCCTTTCCGGACAGCCGATGACGGCGTGCCTGAGGTTTCAAGTTGCATTCGTCGTCCGCTTATATAATCAGCTGCCACGAGACGGCACGTGCATCGTCCCATCTCACCATCAACCTCACTCACGAACCTCAAACCCCGTCCCCATAAACCCGCTGACAAAACACACACACCCACAACCTCACACACAAACTCCGCCTCCTCTAATCTCCAATCTCCATCCTAACACACACACCATGGCAACCAAGAAAGACATGCGCCGGCCGGACTTAGGTACGTACCCTCCCTCCTCCCCTACCTCTCTCTCTCTCTCAAAAACACCCCATATACACTCAAATCACGTGCTCTACTCTCCCCATCCAACCCGCAAACTAACCCAAACAAACAGCCGTCCCCTACACCGCTCCCAAAGACGACGCCGCCGCCCCAGACATGATGGGCACAATGTCGCAAACCCTCCCCATGGCCGCCGTACGTATCCTCCTCTGTTATCCGCCCCTCTTCCCCTTATCACATTCCTTCCCTTGTATCTCCCTCCCCCAATCCCCAATATCACTAACTAACACCCAAAACAAGATCTTCACCCGCAACAAAATGATCGGCTGGGTCGCCCTCGTGCTCTCGCTGCAAGGCTATCTCGCCGAGGCATCCGGCTCAGGCTCATCTGGTAGTTCTGCGACATCGGGCATCTTTGGTGTGGGCATGAGTGTGATGGCGCTGGGCGTGTGTTATATGCAGTTGTTCATGCCGCAGCCTGCTGGGTTTGGACAGCAAGGGACGGGGACGGGGGCGCCGGGGGCTGTTCCTGCTTAGGTTTAGGTTTAGGGAGGCGGGAAGGGTGGGAATGGAGTGGTTGGTGTATGATAGAGATATAATGCGTTGTTTGGGTGGTGGTGGGATGTAGTGATCATGTATACATAGCAAAAGCGTGATAATACCAAGCACGTGAGTTGGACGCCAATCCTACATGTACAGACGGACAAACACTCGATAGATTCAGGCAGGGCATCAAGCAAAAAAATACTTTCTTCTTTCGTTTTTCGTTATTATTACTAGCACAACTTACAGCGTCCCTATTCACGGGCGCCATCCCGGAATATCTCAACTTTTTGATCGACCGTCACCGAGTTTCCTCCCTTCAACTGTACCAGGCCCCTAGAAGGTACCGTCTCTTTCTGCACCTTCCTTCCTTCCTACGCTCCTTCCTTCTTTCTTCTTTCGTTCCTGCCCGGCCCTTCCCCCGGGAACAACAGAAAAGAGTGCTTGCAAAAAAAAATCGCTAATTAAGATGGAATAAAAAGACAAGGAGGTAAACAACTGCGTTCCTCCCGAGAGTAATAGTACAAGTAATGAGAGATGCAAAAACTTTGTGTGGAAACAAGAGGGTGGCATGTCCTTCACGTCCCGCACGGCGCAGTTGTGCAGTCGCATTAAGAAGATGGCACGAGGGTAAGGGGCGGATATGGTGTACAGATGTGCTTCGTGAATAATGGTAGGGCGGGACAATTAGAATGGGAATCGTGTGCGTCTGTGTGTGTGTGTGAATGTGTGAATGTGTGTATATATGTATGCTCGGCATGGCTGGTACGGGAATATGTGTCGGGTGTTTTGAGTTTGTAGTGATGTGATGGGCGGGTATCGTTGAATGCGTCTTATGAGAGGATAGTCTTCTCACATGACGACACAGCTGCCTTCCTTGTCTTTGCTGGTCTTGACTTGGAGGGCGACACGCGCGGCTTCGGTAAAGGCCTCGTTGACGCCACGGTTCTTTTTCGCTGAGCATTCTATCGTCTGGTCAGCGGGTGATCCATGTTTGAAATCAAGCGGCACTAATATGGTCACCTACCCATATATCGCAGCGCCTTTATCCTCTCTGCAGCCTTGAGCCCCTCTTCGTACATGATGAGCTGCGCAGGTTCTGTGTTTTCATCATCCCCGTCATCGTCTTCTCGCTTGCGCAGATCGCATTTGAGCGCGACAAGCACAAGCTTGACTCCCGGGCAGTTCTCTGCAATTTCGGCTTTCCATTTTGTTTCTACGTTCTCGAGCGATTGAGGGGAATCGACCTGGTTGGATCGTGTTAGCTTGCAAAGATGCGGCTTGCTCCATCGATCGAGACAGGCGTACGCTAAAGCATAGCATTATCGCATGGGTATCATCATATGACAGACTCCGTAATCGGTCGAATTCCTCCTGTCCTGCCGTGTCCCAGAGACTTAGTTCGATGTGGGTGTCGTCGATGTAAATGTCTATGTGGGCGCATTAGATGGAGTAGGCGTCATATCATTGAAGGCAGGCATACCGTGGACATAGTTCTCTGCACCATAAGTTAGCATACAATCGAGATTCTTCTGTCGATAGACCAGACATACCGAAAACCGTTGGTTCGCTGCGCAGCGCATGCGACGTAAGCCACCTGATCATAAGCTTGCCCGAAACATACTCACTATACTGTAGGAAAGTACCTGTCGCACACCACCGTCAGCACTCATCCACACGCACCACTACCACACGCAGAACTCACCCTCTCGTAAACACATTCAGCAGACTCGTCTTTCCAGCCGCACCATCTCCTCTGTCATCTCATCATTAGCATCTCCGTTTGTCCGCACCCCAGTCCAACCAGGCAACACCCACAGAAGCACCAGTTTCCGCTGTACGGACTGATTCCCACCACAGGGAGCCGAAAACTTCATTGTTGCTGTCAAATGTGTGTATGCGCGTGTGCAATAGGAAAGTCGCGGATCGATCGTAGGCGTGCCGGGGTTGAGGAGCGCGGGCACGGTTGCGAGTGGATAAACCGGGAGACCGAATTAGGCGCGCATGGAGCGACGGCAGCGCGGTGCGGGATCAAGGGTCGCGGGGGAGACGATGGGAATGTTTGGGACAGAGTAGATATGGTTGGTGAAGAAGAGTCAGACAGAGTGACGGCTATTTGCGTGGAGTGAGTGAGTGAGTGAGTGAAGGGTGAAGGAGTAGGACCGAGAGCAAGGTTGACAGGAAGGTAACAATTAGTGTACAAAGCAGAAAGTAGAAGCAGGGCACAGCAAAAAGAGTCGTGATGCGCAATTCATCATTTCACGCATGCAATGGCAATCCTCCCAACCAATCAGCGTCCTCCAATCCGCCCCTACTAGTGCCACCCGGGGAAAGTCGCCAACTTCAATAACTCGGGCTCGGGCTCGTCTCGCTGCTACGAATTGGGGGCGTCTAGCCGCATTGGGACAGATGAGACTGCCGTCTCGTCACGTGAATTGGTGTTTTTTGGTCTGGACTTGTCTCCGAACATTCTGGACTGCATGCGTTTTGCTTCTAGAATCCGTTTCATGCATGAGTGAAACAGCATGGCGTGGGTATAGCAGCGAATACGAGCTTGGACGATGTTTACATTCTTCAATTTCCTTACCGTGCTCCATGATGTGATTTCAGCACGGTTGAGAAGTACTATGTATAGATTGTTGTATTAACAAGGGTATCCGTGTTTAAGCGCCTGCAAGTCTATGCGAAATATTCATGATCATCAGTCTCAATACGCGTCGACCTTCTCGAGTGTTCCCCTTGACCTCTGCAGTCGCTCGCCGAGATCGACATTGTCCGCCTGTCTGCGGATGCTTGATCCGAATCGCCCGTTATCCTTCTCGCGCCGCGCGTCGTCTCGGGCCTTCTGTTCCCTTTCCTGCTGCTCAACAATCTCAATGCGCTGCTTCCTACTCGTCTCCACGTCGGCCGCTGCTGCCTGCATCTCAGCAAGTCTGCGCGCTCGTTCTGCTTCTCGGTCCGGTGATCGCTTGTCCGATTGTCTCCTGTCTGGGGGCGGTCTATCTGATTGCCGTCTGTCTGAAGACTGCCGGTAATTTGTCTTGTGCTCTCTGCGCTCGTGATGCCGTGGAGACCTTGATCTGCGGTCTGATCGTTCTTGTCTTCGCGGAGACCGCGACCTATGTCTGTACCGCCGTTCCTCACGTCTGGGTGATCTTGACCTCCTTCTATCGTCTCGCCTTGGTGATCTTGATCTCCTTCTGTCGCCGCGATCACTCTTATGCCTGTGGCTGTGACTCCTCTCCGGCCTGCCCGCATGCTTGAGAAGCTGGTGTCTCGTCCCGGGATCATTCATAATAGATTCTAATGCAGCCTGCTCTTGCTTCTTAATCGCTAGCAGGGGATCGTCCCTGATCTTCGCAGCTGTATCTCGTGCATTCACAACCGGCAAAGGCGCCGCACCAAGATCCTTCTGTGGCTCAACAGCTTTCTTTGCATCCGATTTCAGCAGTGTATCGATGCGTCTTTTTCCCAGCAGAAACCCTTCCATCTCTTCGGCCGGCCGGGATCCTCCTCCATCTCCTGCTGGCGCACCACTGTACATCCATTCCACCCTGTTTTGCTTTCGCTGTCCTCCAGCTGTTTCTTGCAGTTTCTGTAGTTCTTCAATCTGACGCTCCTCTTGGCGCTCACGGATAAGCTTGTCGATTTGCTTGCGCTCTTCCAGAGCTTTCTTTTCCTCATCGTAGACCCTGCGCTGATTCTTGAGGAGGTTGGGGTGCCATGACTTCTTCAAGTTGAGATCGCCACCCATGGTGCCAGGACAGAGCGAGGATCAAATGCACGGTCAAGAGCGCCAGTCGTGAATATAATGAAGATTTGAGTAGCGATGATGTAGGTCAGTCGTGTGGAAAGGATCCTGCGCGAGTAGGTAGTGGAGTGAGCAAGTGAAGAAGGCAACGTGAGGCATTGATACTGTGGGGCGTGTGGCTGGTGCAAGGGTCATGATACGCTAGGCCGGTATAGGCTAGCCAGGCGATCTACTTACTAAGTCATCAGTCCTCATATAGTTACATATTCTCTACACATCCCAACAACGTTTCAATGATCATTACTAGCCATATCAGCATCGTGGGTAGATGCTTTCACTTGAAATTACGCTAAGGTTGGCTGCAATTATGATATCTAACCTAGGCTAGGCACAACTGACCAGATTCCGAGACCACAAGAACCCCTAAGAAGACAAATATAGCGCCCCCTTTAAGCTTCCTTGAAAGAGACGATTCAAACAAATGTGGCTACGTATCTTACATCAGTGAGCCTATAAACGCACAATACTATGAAAACTCAAATACCGACCTCCAATCTATGTGCGCCCATAAAGTGCTCCTGGGCAACAACAGTAACACTGACATATCCCAAACACACTTCCTCATCGTGGCGTTCGATTCGTTGACTCACTGAGCGTCTTCTTGTTTCCTTCAATGTAACAAGCCAACATGTGTATCCTGGATCAATCACTAAAAAGAACAACCTCCAGTGTGGCTAGACCCTAAAACCCTCGAACAAACCCCTGAGTGATCCTCCACGTAGAACTCAATGATTAGATTCCCCTGAAACAACTCGGGCCTATGCTATAATATACGACAACTCCGGCAAGCAAAGACTCTCATCCTATCCATACATTCGCGTCATTCTCCACGCCTCAGATACCACAACAAGAAACCAACTGGCAGCATCACCTCCCCTTGCGAAGCATAGGATACTCCGGCAACCGCCAGCCACCCTTATCGCCATCCGAAAAGCGCGCTATAAGCTGTGGAATGCGCAGAAAACTCACAACCGCAAAGATAAGCTGCAGAATGCGCACGCCCAGCACCGTCTGCGGATACGCCAGCCGAACCAGCGACGTATTCAGCTTCTGAATCTCCTCGACAAACGGTCTCAGCGTACTCTCGTACTTCTCCAGCGCGCGCACCACGTCTCCCCCGCTCGCCTCAAGTTCTCCGGCCAGCACATATGCGCCGACGAAGGCACTCGTCGTCCCCATAGCCGTGAACGGCGACGGGCAATGCGCCGCGTCTGCGAGCAGTACGACACGACCCCGATGCCAGCTCGCGATCTTGATTTGCGCGACCTCGTGGCAGTAGAAGTTCTCCGTCGACGCCATGGCAGCCGTGAAGCGCTCCGCTTGCCAGCCCGCGTCCTGGAAGCGCTGTGTCCAGAAAGCCTTCTGCACATCCACAGGTGCGCGTGGCAGGGAGCGCAGTTCCGGGTCACTATCCTTGAGGATAAAGTACGCCTGACTCTCGGTCGGGCTATGCGTTCGCCGCATCATCATCCGGGACCCAGGAGCAGCGTACGTACTACGAGTCTTCGTATCGCTCTCAATCCGCGGAATGAAGAAATACGCCATGTACATCCCCAGCGAACACACCGGATCCGGCGCAACAGCCGGCATCATCGCCCTGCGTATCCGCGAGCCCTGCCCATCAGCACCAACCAGCAAATCATACCGCTCCGCCGTCCCATCCGACAACCGCACCACCACACCCCCATCATCACCATCATCCTGCTCGAACCCCTCCACCGTCACCCCAAACACATACCGCACCCCTTCCTCCCTCACCGTCGCATCATACATATCCGCACAAGATCCCCCCTCATAATCTCGTACTCCGACGTCGCCGTCTGCGCCCCCTTGCCCGTCGTGTTCGCTCCGATCTTCCCCAGCACCCGTCCGTGTGTGTCGACCATTGATACCCCGTCTTCGTCTACGCGCTGGGCTCGCACGGCGTCTAGTAGGCCCATTCGTCGTACTACTTCGATGCCTTGTGCGCGCAGGTCGATTTGTGCGCCTGAGGCCCGCAGCGCGGTGTGTCGCTCGATGATCGTGATGTCGTGGCCGCTGCGCGCGAGCCAGAATGCGAGTGCTGGTCCGGCGCATCCGCCGCCGCAGATGAGGACTTTGAGACGTGGCATTTTGGGGGGGTTTGTAGGGGGGATGGGAATTGCGGGATGTGCGAGGCGGAGGGAGGGTAGATAGGTTGGAACTGGTCGGAATGAATTGCGCTGAGTCTCACGTAGTCTTGATCTGCGGATTATGAGGGTGAAGAGACTGTCTTATTACATTATATCCCATGCGATGACATGCGACTATATACATACGTACATACATCCAACCACCCACTCATTCAAATATGCGACCAACACCATTCCCAACGCTCCGCTGTTTGCTGACATCCTTGTCACGCCTCCTCCGCCAGCATCCATCAGTCATACAATTGTTGGTCAGCACCCCGTGTGTCGATAGCGCATATTAAGTACCTGCGTCATCGCTATCCCATCCATTCATTCCTCCTCTGAATCAGTCCCCTTCTCCCACTCTCCCACCACGCATCTCAAGCCATTAAACCGAACCAAAACCAGAACCCCGAAAGAATCGTGAAAATCATGGCGGATCGAATGAATTCGGATGACAGAAGTCGCAATGCAATTAATTCGTTCATTCATTCATTCCTGTTGGGTTGGGTTTGGTTGGATTTGGTCATATTGGGTAGGTTGCTGATAAATGGTACGTGTAGTGCGACTTGGACGGATGGATGGATCGATCAGGACTATACAGCGGCACTACATAGATACGTATGACGACATGACGAAAGTTATGACGTCTGCTAGTCTGTTAGTATACGGGACGGGGCCGTGAATCGCGGATCGTGGATCGTGGACTACCAAACCTAGATACGGACGGACTCCGAGGCAGGACACCGGCCGGCAAACAAACTACACATCAACAACCAACACACAGACGTAACTTCAGACTCATTTCGGAATATACATGTTGTGTTTATTAGACAAGGACAAGGCAGACACACAGACACACAGACAGCTTCACAGGTCTACCCGTCCACAACCAAATACCCCCCAGCCCCCCTATCCGCACGCTTGCTCCACTGATGCTGCACAGCCCCGTCCTTGCGATTCTTCATCTGCCAGACAAAGCGCGTAAGCTGCTTATACAGGAACGAATTCGCGCCATTATACATAATCCCATGATCGCTGTCCGTGAACCACTGCACCTGCATGCGCTCCGGGCCGACGCCCGCACCGACAAGACGGTCAACAAGGACAGCGCTATTCTGCCAGTGCACATTATCATCGCCGCTGCCATGCTGGATCAGAAAGCCGCCGTCGACAGTCTTGAAGCCGGTGGTGTTGTAGACGCCCGAGATATTGTAGCCGGCCGGGTTGAGGGCGGGCGTCTTCATGTAGCGCTCCGTGTACATGCTGTCGTAGAAGCGCCAGTCGGTGACGGGAGCAGTTATGACGCCGAAGCTGAAGATCGGGTCGGCTAGCTCAAGCGTCTTGGACGTGAGGTATCCGCCATACGACCAGCCCCACATGCCGATCTTGTCTGTCGCGACCCAGGGGTTCTGCTCGGCGAGCTGCTTTGCGGCCCAGACTTGGTCGCGTGGCTCGAGGTATCCGAGACGACTGGTCACGGAAGCGCGGAAGTCGCGGCCCTTGAAGCCGGTGCCACGGTTGTCGACGGTGTATGTGACGAATTCGAGCTCGGGGTCAGACGTCACGTAGGCGTCCCAGTTGAGGGATTGGAAAGCTTTGGTGACTTCTTGCGCGCCAGGACCGCCGTACGGGAGGAAGATGACCGGGTATTGCTTGGAGGGGTCAAAGTTGGGTGGAAGGCGGAGCATGGCATTGAGAGTGAAGCCTTCGGGGTGCTCGAGTTCAAAGTAGGTTATGTTGGGCAGGTTGTAGGTGTGGAGACGGTCATAGAGCGCCTTGTTGTCAGAGATGGCACGAATAGGCTCGCTGGAATTAACATTGTACAGCTCTTGATAGGGAACGTCAGGACCGCGGTAGTTGAGGATGTAGTAGGTTCCGCCAGTGGAGAATGATGCTTCGTACATTGCAGGGACGGAGTCGTCGACTAGTGCAGTCTTTTCCAAGGTCTGGTAGTTGACCGAGTAGACGTGCGACTCTGTGCTGTGGTGTTCGGTCGAAGTGTAGTAGACGAGGTTTCTCGAGTTGTCGACCTTCAAAATGGACCTCACCTCCCATTCGCCGCTGGTGAGAGCAATCTCCTTGCCGCCATGCACTGGATAGAGGTAGATGTGGTTCCAGCCAGATACATCAGACACGTCCAAATAGTAGGTCGTCGAGTTCGTGCGATAGGTCGCGTTGCCACTAGAAGTCTCTCCCAAGTACACAATAGAGAGAGTGTTGTCGAGCCATCCGTCTGTGCCATCACGCTCGCGAGTTACTGAAGATGATCCTGCCTCGACCTTGACGACTACATGCTTTTCCTGGTCCTGCACGCGATTGAACGCACGGTAGATAACATCAGAATGTCCATCCGTAAGCCACGAAACCTCGCCAATGACAAGATCGTCCGCCTCAAAAGCATCGATAGGCACCTCTGAAGTCTCCAATGAGTCTAGTTTCAGAAGATGAAACGACACAGTCGGGTTCGTCTCGCCCACTTTGGGATACCTCAGTTCCAACTCTCTTGGATAAGGCGGCGCAAGCTCCTGATTATCCATGTAGTACGGGATGCGGAACGTCTTGACACCCGACTCGTCGAAGCTGAGGAAGGCAATGTACTCGCCATCGGGAGAAAACCACAGCGTCGAGCGACCGCCAAAAATCTCCTCTTCATACACCCAGTCTGGCACGCCGTTGAAGTGATCTGCATCACCATCCTCAGTAATTTGCGAGACTTTACCAGCGCTCCAGACGAAGATGTTGTTCCCACGAACAAAGGCAATCTGGTTCTCAGTCGGACTCCATTCTGCATACTGCAAGTCCCCAGCCTGGTCCTCTACCAGCGGCGTGAGCTCTCCACTGGCGACATCCTGAACGAGGTAGTCCGCAAAGTACGAGTAGCGGTACTGTTTCGTGTAATTTACGCTCCATAAGACCTGTGTCAAATCTGGTTTGATCCAGTACTCGTGGTAGTCTGAGGGGATCTTGTCGGCAGCCAGGAACTCCGTCTGCTCACCGGTGACGACATTCTGGAAAGTCAGAGCACCATCGTCATCGCTAAAGATGTACACGCCGTCCTCGCCGTCGGCAGTAGAGACCCAGTCAAATGCCAGGGTTCGAGCAGAGAAGCTGGTTGGGATAGTTTCGTTGAAAGCGAGGATGTTGCCGCCATTGCCGAGCGGTTGGTGCGGCACACGCGGAGGGTCGATGGCGTAAACGAGACTGCTCAGGGCGACGGCGGCGAGTGAGAGGAAGTACAGCATGGCGACAGAAGTGTTCCAGGGACCTCCAAGGAGATAGAGAGGGACGAGGTGCGGCACAATTGTCGACACCGTGGCACGCCTTTATAGCATCTCGTTCGAGCTCGGTGATCAATGAAGATTGAGTGGCTGGCCGTCGATCACCATCCATGTTTGGATCACTGGCCGAGTGGGAAAGCGGGACCGGGTCAAGTGTATGGTCGAGTATGTTGTGTCTAGTCAAGTATGCGGATACCTGCACGAGTCACGAATATCATGGATGGTTCAATGTTGACAACTGCTTAATCGGGAAGGTGCCAAGGGCGGAGATCTTGGCGTCGCCCACGGACTAACCGGGACCGCACTAGTACGGCCTAAGGCTCCACTATATCATCGTCTAACGCCCGCTAGGTAACCATTTGCATTCACTTCGATGCATCAGGTTACGACCGCACATTGCTAAGGACGACCAGATAAGACTCAACAAGACAACATGAAGAGGCTGGCATCATGCGGCGGACATGGGACCTTCGAAATTCGCGATGTGACGTGCCTTCTAGAACAGAATGGGATCCCGTGTTGTGTTGTTGGCGTCTCCGCACTCATGTTTTATGGTGCGCTACGAGTACGAGACGTAAGTCCAAAGAAATCTTATTGAGAATACTATGATCTTAACATCTGAACAGAAGTGGGAGATTTGTGTAGCGACTGAAAAGGTGGATGAGGCTGCGGATATAATACGACAGCATGAGGAATACACACAAACAAATGAGAAGCGGTATCCTCAGCCCATGTCGTTCGCGCACATGTACACATGGTTTCGGGGAACTGAGGTAGACTATGAGTTCTGCCTGGTGCCATCTCTCCATGCCCGAATACCGATTGACCAAGTTTCTGTGTGGAGAAGCTCAAACGGAGTTCCGTATGCACCACTACCGGATTTAGTACAGAGCTACTTGGACAAATACGACCTGGTATCGCTGTGCGATATTGTTGATGGAGCGAACCTGGATTATGATTGGGGAATCACAAACTTGGATCTCAAAGGAAAGACCGACGTGGAATGGGCGCATCAACGTAACGCAGAATTGATGGGAGGCGAAGGAAAGTTGGACATTTCGCTAGCAGCCAGTGTGTTGCCCACTTGTCACGTCGAGACGATGTCGATGTGGCGGAAGGTTACGGAAGACAAGAAGGAAAGGTTATTACAAGTGATGCTGCCCCATGAATTGTTCGAAACACGGTTCATGCTGAAAGGATCAATATCCGAACCGTGGAGAGAAGAGCGCGATGGGTGTTAGGAAATCTTGTGAGGAAGAGAATCCCAGGTTGAAGATACATATCGTAGTTCCTTCTGTTATGCAGTGCTTGTCTATTACTTCAAGACGAACCCTATTCGACCCACATCCATCACACGTCTTTTTCGGCATCCTAAACAATAAAAGCATTGATTTCCTCGTAGAGCACCATGACGATCGTGATGCAAATTTCTTTGCACCACTACGTGTCTATATACAATCTTCGCCACAGTAGTCGTCACTCGCTCTACAAATCCCAAAGGAGGCGAAATAGTAAAACCGTACTGGATCGGAACGGCTAATTATAGCTGACGTCAAACTACCAACTTTCTATAGCTAGCCTATCAACATATTACACTGCGATACTAGTGAAGATCTGCCAGATAATACAGTAGACCAAGGTCATTCTCTAAGAAGTAAATTATCTGTTCCGACCACTGCTACGCACTGGCACGACATTTAAGAGTCCAGACATTCCGCTTCAATGCAACGAAGAAGCCCACTGCCATTCGCCTCCAACAAATCTCTTGAATAGACCATGTGTATCATCCCAAGCCCAGCCAATGCTAGATGCTTCCGGTTGAGAAGATTGCTGCTGGACAGGAGCCCACTGCCATTCGCCTCCAACAAATCTCTTGAATAGGCCATGTGTATCATCCCAAGCCCAGTCAGTGCTATATGCTTCCGGTTGAGAAGATTTCTGCTGGACAGGAGCCCACTGCCATTTGCCTTCGATCAATCTCCTGTACTGCCCATGTGTTGCGTCCCAGATCCAATTGAGATTTTCCTCTTCCTTCTTCTTCTCCTCCTCCTCTACTTCCTCTTCTTCTGCTTTTTCTTTTCCTTCATTCGTTCCTTTGTTATTTCCCTCTACTAGTCCAAGTCTCTGTTTCATCAACCTGAGAAGGCCTTCATTTCCCGCGTTGGATGCTGTGAACTTCTCTAGAAACTTCAGTCGATATTCTTTGTCAATATAACTGCTGTACTGAGGTATCACCATTGGATACCTAGTAATAAGAAAGACCAAGTCTTCGTAATCGTTTGTACTCGTGTGTCCGCGTGTGACGAATGCATTGAATTTCCCTCGCAAAAGAAAGAATATGTTAATCACCCTAGCATTGAAACCGTTCGGGAGAATGATTGTTTCTGAGGTGGAACTGTTGATGTCCGTAGGACTGTTCAAGTTTCCTGGTCGATTAGCCAAACTCATTTCTCAGAACGGTATGTCATCTACCACTTATGATTACATCCACTTGCACGGCAAGATCTGGAAGGTCGTCATAACCCTGATCGTAAGACTTCCCAGTATGAACGAACAAATTCACAGCTGTTTGACCATGAATTTGAGGGAAACAGATCCTATCGATTGTTTAGTATGTATGCTTTCATACAAGTCGTTCACGATAGTAGAAAGACAGCCCTTATCCCCTAAAGTGTCTCATAAGCACATACCGCGGCATCTTGAGCAAAGTCTTCTTAAACAGCTCCATGGTTGTTTTTACAGAAATATCAACATCTTGTGTCTCGCGGGAGCCACCCCGTAGTTGAACGGTCCACCCTCCCAGAAACGCGTACTGTATGCCAGCATTCTGGCAGATTTCAGCTAAATGGTATGCTGCTAGGAACAAATGATTAGAGCGAGGCTGCCGTGATGCATAATAAAGTTGGCCAAATCGAGTAGTATCATAAACTTCCGCCATATTTGCACAGCGGCAGAAGAGAATAGATTAGAAAGTAGATGAGAAGGAATAACAGATGAGATCACAATACCGATAGTCTACTTTATACCTGCTAGACATGGAATCTAGAAGCAAGGGACACTAGATTCTTGTCCTATAGATCGCTAACGCTGCAGCCTAGATCATTAAGAGGCCGGTCACTCACCATAACAAGGCGAGCGATAATACAGAGGTTAGCGAGAGCTCAGAGAACAGGAGCATGAGTCATAGGATATTCATTCAGGCGACAGGAAGGCTATCGGGTCACCTGTTCCCTACCCATGTGTCTAGCCAAATTGATGTCTGAAAACGGCTGACAAGAGTGGCAGCGGTCGTACAATACCGCAATCGAAACCAATCTGTGAAACCTCGCTGCCTCTACATAAAAATCTATATATTATAAATTTTTTAAATAGACTCATAGAGTATAATAAGAGAAAGAAGAGTTTTTGTTCTCTCTAAACACTAACATATTCTTTATATAGATTATCATCTAAGGTTCTATCCTTTCTCTATCTCTTAGAAGAGACTTTATTAATATAAAATAAGCTTGTAGAGGGATGAACATATACCTCTATACTTATTATATCTACTTTTGGTATCCTTATATACTTATCTACACATATGTAAGTAAATGCAGCTCTAGGTAAGAAGATAGAGATTAAAAATACTCGTGCATGAGTACTTAGAGATCTAAGCCTTAAGAAAATAACGAATGTTTCTAGGTAAATCACCCTCTGTAAAAGCTAGAAACAGAGACAATAATATTTATTAAAGCTAGAGATATATTATTCTATAGAGCTATTAGTATTAAAGAAATTAGATAGATATTAACTTAATAATATAGTCTAGCTTGTTAGATAAATAATTTATCATTATATTCTATATGAAAACCTATTCAATAAGTATTATATACATATATAGAAACTTAACTTCTACTATATAATACAAGATTAGCTGTATTTACGGTAATAAGGAAAGAAAAAGTACTATTACAAGAGCTAATATTATACGTATATTACAGGAATACCCTAAAACCCCACTTGTGGCTGCCTTGCATTGATTGCCTTGTAGATACCCATGTCTGCAACTACCACAGTTGCCTTTCAACATCGGCCATGTGTATTGTCTCAGACCCAACCAATGTCGGACGGTTGAATGAACCTCGGTGCCTTGTTCCTATATCAAAGTCAAGCATAATCAAGAAGCCTAGGGTGCTATTCACCTACAATGCTTCAATCATCGCATGCGGCAATGAGAGAGTAACAGGAGGGTGGGTGTTGACGCAAGGCCATTGGCTGACCAGATGTGACTCAAAGACTTCAGTGTGTGCGTAGGTATTTCCCCAGCGCGTAGGCCGAGCCAAAGATTGGCTGGCCTTGTACTGTCCGGTGAAGCCGCGAGGCTTTGGTCTAGGGGGTTTGCATCACACCCTGCATTCTGGCCCAGATAGGATCGCTTCGGTGCTTATTGTAGCGCGACATGCGCCAACTGAATCGAGAAGCCGGGATTTCCCTTGAAGGGGGTGATGCGGGCGTCCGTACACGGGCGCCTGGATCTGCTCAAGAATTCCCTTATCCGCTTTAGACTTCTCCACGTGTTTCCTCGGGCAGGCATGCTGCCACAAGGCTATCCAGTCTGAACGCGTTCTCCATGATTCGCCAAGCTTTGGCAAACACTGTTGCCAGGTAGGGCCACTGTACTATGACTAGCGCTCTCTTTACCTTTCCCATCCGTGGCCCACTCCATATTGCTGTTCTGCTTAATATATACAGCATGGTTTAGATCATTCTCCGAATCTGGAGCAAAGTTGGGTTCGTCATATTGTAGGTGACCCAGTGAACTCTATGTAACAGTGCGTTTTGCGCGTCTTTCGGATGAAGATAATGTCCCTGTTACTCTCTTTCGCTTCTCTGTAGTTGTCAGCGCGTCAGTATGACGCGGGACCTCGTCCCTGGCGTGTCCCGGGACGTCTGGCCTGGCGTGTTCCTGGGCGCCTGGCTTGCTGTGTCCCTGGACTTCAGCATCCTGGATAGGACGTGAGGTGCGTTGCTGTCGTATATCCCCTTCAAGCTTAGGTGAGACGGGACGCTTGAGGGCAGTGGGGTCAATGGCCGTTGGTTTCGGCGGTTCAACCTCACGCTGCTGTCTCTCAGAAGGCATTGGTCTCGGTGTTTGAGTCGGTGTTTGAGACCCCTCTAGCCCCTGTGCTCTTTCCAAACACTCTTTAGCTGACAACCGCTGCTTTGGGTCTATGACCAGCATGCCCGACAAGACATTGAACACGCCATCAGTGTCCGACTTCCACTTCTTCAACCCTTCGATGATCTGTTCAGCCCGGGATAGTCGTGAATTCCTATCATATCTCGGAAGACTATAACCGTACTCGAGGACAACAACGCCAAGAGACCAAATATCGACGGCACATGTGTATCTACGGCTCTCGCCATAGTCTGAGCGAGAGATCTCAGGAGCAATATAACGGGGCGTGCCGCAATTAGTTTCCAAAAAGCTACCTGCCTTTGCTAGGCCAAAGTCTGATAGTTTGATGTGGAATGGGCTGCGAGATAAGACGAGAATGTTCTCCGGCTTGACGTCTCGATGGACAATAAGTGGCTTCTGATCATGAAGGTATGCCAAAGCTGAAGAGCTTTGACGAAGCAGAGCCAAAACATCGCGCCTAGACATGACTTGTTCGCCATATTGTTTCTCAAGGCTTCCGAGCGGAAGATACTCCAGCAATAGCTGAGGGCGTGACAACCTGTCTAGCGACCGTCACAACGTAAAGTAAAGCTTGAGGATGTGATTCTAGAAAAAACACAAGTACAATAGTTGCTACAGCGGTATTTATGCCTACAAACGATGTATTACGCATCACACTCGCCTCCTTTCTCCATTCGATATCTTTCGAGCTAGTAAACGTCTTGGCAGCATAATCCAACCCGGTACTAACGTCCCAGACACGATCTACAACTCCGTACAACCGTTCGCCTAGAAATTCTCGCTTCAGAAGAATGGGCCTTTGGATAAGGGTGTCTCTGCTGCTAGGGGGAGCTTTTGAACTCACGCTCTCCCAAAGTAGCCGGTGGCATTAATTCGTGGCAGATGTCCTTGAGAAATTGGTCGACGGTGTTGAAGAACAGACCCAGGTCTTAACGAATCCTGGAGACAACGATCTGGAACTTGAGTGTTGGATGAATTTCGATGACGATTTGATTGCTGCTGTCGGCGACTATGTCGCCGCCTATGACCCATTCGGAGTTGCTGCGGCTGGCGCTCCCCCTGCCGTCGTACGTGACAGTGGTACCGTGTGTCGAGCAGTCACGCAAAACCAGTCGACGTTGGGCATCGAAGGTGATGTAGAAATGTTGCTTGCTGACGAGAGGTCGGCCTTCCCTGTTTTGAAGCGCTGGTAGGACAATGTCGCAGGTCCTTGGGTCAGTCCCAAAGACAATGCCTCGGCCGCCTTTGAGCTTGTGGCTATACCTCAACTCTAGTCCGGGCTCCCGCCCGGGCGATCGTAGTGACATTTCAACGTACCGAGGGCAGTCCTCCGGGCTGTTGACCGGGTCTATGATCACCCTGCGTGCTGTTTGGGTGACATCTTGGAATGGAAACAAATAAGCGATTATGTCGCCCATGATGCAGTGAATCTTCCTATCAAAGGGCAGATGAGGTTTTGGCAAGCAGGATGAGGTTTTGGCAAGCAGGATGAGGTTTTGGCAAGCAGGATGAGGTTTTGGCAAGCAGGATGAGGTTTTGGCAAGCAGAAGATGGGAGGGGAGGTCCGCCTTAAATGTTTAGATGGGAGCTGGACATGATGCACGAAAAGCAGAAAGCTTCCATCCGAAGAGCGCTTATGTCTAATCAATCTGCAGTCTGGATGCAGCTCGTTTCAGGCAACCAATCTATGTCGCGATCTCGTTGGATATCAATTGATATCAACATCACAACATCGCGGCGAGACGCCTGCAAAGCGCGTTGGGTAACGTCCAGGGCATCCCGGTGTCCGGCGCGCTAAGAATATAGTGGGTTACCGCCGGGTACTTAATCCGGATGGACAGCGCTAATATCAGCGTCAAATAGGGGGCAGTTTAAGGACTCTAGTTGGCTTTGAAATATGTATATATATAGATAAAGCGAAGTTAAGATTATCGATTAGGTTAAAGAAGAACGCCATTGAACTCCTATATTCCATTTATTAGAGAAATAATATGCCAGTCTAATAGAGTAAGGCGTCTATGTATAATAGAAATGGTAAGGTATTAATAGACTGAACTAACTGTTCTTAGTAAGTATTCGGCCCGGCTACTAACTACTAAAGTTAGCGCAGTCGAATCTTGGCGGGAACGTTGCGAACTGCACGTGACATTGACTGCTGGCATGTGCGGGATTTCTATTAGGTCATCCTTATTCTTCAGATCTTATTCAGCACTAGGCTGGTATATATAGCATGCAGGTAAACTTAGTAGAGACGTCAATTAATTTTGCCACGTCCCATTTACCAAAGTTCCCACACATGTGTCGGATTTTTGTTATGTCATCGTTATGACTCAGATCTTGTTCAGCGCTGACAGCCAATATAATCGTATTGGAGTTGGATGATGCTAGGTAACTACTTCATGATGGAGCTGGTTATGCTTATGCCTAATGTCTTGGCACATTCCACAGCACCAGGCTTGTATATATAGTTGGTAAATAGACTAGTTAAGATATGTTAATCACTTTTGTCACGTCAGATCTACTGAATTTCCCACACATGTTTGTGTGAACTGGCACAAGCAGAAAGAAACACTGATCAGCTCTCCCCAGACCGCATCGCCTCCCAGCCCATCTCCTCTGCACTTTTTGCGCAGACGAGCTATGGCATGTCCCGAAAGGTCCTCACCGAAACTGTTTGCCCGCGACATTGCTGCTTACAGCGATGCGGAACTGGACCGATATCTGGTCGAGCACGGAAGGTGAGCGCTGCATACCATCACCCAACCTACCGCCTTGCTAACCTAAGCTGCAGGATCGTCAGTGTTGAGGACCCAGACAACCTTCCAGATGAGTTCATTCAGAGATTAAGGTAAATGCCTTCCTAGCCTGCTCGTTGATCGTGCTCTAATAACTAACCATGGACAGAGACCGGGCGCGCCGCCGAAGCGGAACAGTCGAGTCGCGCCCCGTGGATCTTGATAAAGTTACTGCCCTGCTCCAAGACCAAGTGCGTCGATCGCCCTCCCTCCCAACCACGGCATCACAATCTCCAGATCCAGAGGAGGAATATCAGGAGGATCTACGACGCCAAACCGGGTACTATAACATGCTTGTTGATGATGGCGGCCGGCCTTCACATCCACTGAGTATGCTTGAGAGTATTGTCGAGAACCCTAGAGAGTACCGCGAGATCTTGTCATTCTGGCATACTAAAAAATCGAACGGTGGATGGAGGGTGTTTGACGTCCAAGTAATGAGATGGCGAGATTTCCGTGCACTCCAGCGATTCGCAAGGGGACAAAGAGGGTATGATTATTGGCGAAGTCTCTGGGATGAGGAAAGTGCGAATTGGGCTTTTCACTCCCCTTGGATGGCAGAGATGGGATATTCTGAAAAGGACTGGCAGAATTCATGGCGACTAGATCAGCAGCGTGAAAATTATGTGCAGCTCAGCACGTCGTACATGTCATGGCGACTATTCGTCAAGTGCAATGGGAAAAAAATAGGCCAGTGCGGCTTTCCGGAGTATGCTGAGGCGCTGAAAGAACGACTGGCAAGGCATGGATTTGAGCGGCCGTTCCAGCTCGACAAAGATGCTACCCGACAGGACAAGATGACGACCTGGATCGAATACCTTGCCTTTGAGTACTGGTGGTACGACTACTATTTAGGCTCTGTCAGGACGCATCAGGAACAGCACGACAATGCTTGGACGAAGCTCGTTGACTCGGAAGTGCTGAGGCCCGAGGAGACGGAGGAGTCCATATGCGATGTCGAAAACAAATGTCGCAATGCGAGCGAATTTGGGACGGCCAAGAGGGCTATGCAATCCGCGACATTAGCTGTGACCTCGGCGGAGACTGCCATGGCTGAATGGCAACAGTCCAAGCTCTCCAAACAGACACTTCAAAATCGATTGTCAAAAGCACGATCCAGACTGGAGACGATCCAGGCGGAAGTTGCGTCGCTCCAGAGACGCAGTGATTGCCTTATCGAATTCATTCATCGGACAAGGGTTTACCGTACTGCCAAGAAAGATGCTGAGCACCACGAGGTACTCTTGCGATGGATGCTTCAGCAGATTCCCTTGATCGAGGCCGAGCTGAATCCGCCCAATGCACCTGTATCGGACAAGAGGGGCGGAAAGAACCTACGCAAACGCAGCCGCAATCGATCAGAAGAGCTCGATCGAATTTCCCAACAGCAGAGCCGTGGTGAAGGTGTGAGCGGCCGCGGCTCGGACCGACTTGCACCAGCGGATGCCAGTTTCCAAGAACCACCCTCCAAGCGGTCAAGGCGTACTGCAAATCATGCAGATAACGCACTTGATATCCAACCTAACGAACATAACTCTAGCAAGCGACCAAGGCGCATCGCGAGTCTCGCAGACAAGGCACTTGATATCCAACCCAGCGAACACACCTCTAGTAAGCGGCTAAGGCGTACTACGAATCACGTAGATAATGCCCCTAATATCCAACCCAGCGAACACAACTCTAGCAAGCGACCAAGGCGCATCGCGAGTCTCGCAGACAAGGCACCTGATATCCAACCCAGCGAACACACCCCCAGCAAGCGACCACGGCGCATCACGACTCTCGCATCCAACCCAGCAGCCGACCCAACTCCAGCCAAGCCCAAGCGACAACGCAACCCTCGAAAGAAAACGAACGGCCAAGTCTCTCCTCCTCCTTCTTCTTCTTCGCAGCAGCAGCAGCAGAAACAACAACAGTCCTCGCAGTCCTCGCAGCCCCTCCGCCGCAGCGCCAGAATCGCAGAGCGAGAACGGAGACTGCGCGACGCCGCCGCAACGTCCAAAGCCACTGAGCCGGCACAGACACCGACGGCGCCGCCATCGAAACGATCGTCGGCAAAGAAGCGGGAAGCGGAGACTGAGGTGGCTGGTCCGCGTCGTAAGTCGGTGACGAGGCGGGGGTGTGGGAGTCGTGGGTAGATGGTGGGTTGTGTGTTGCTGTGTACTCGTATAGTGATATGTATGTGAACTGACTGAATGAACCGACTGAATGAACTGACTGAATGCATTAAATGAACCACATGAATTAAATTACATCGCATCCTCACTACTTTCTAGTGCAGTGTGTAATACCTACCATCTACCTACCATCTACCTACCATCTACCTACCTACCTATCTACCTACCTATCTATATCTTGCAGTTATGTTCTATGATATATACTAAGCATACGTGGTTCTGACGGCGATGTAATAGTGAATGGATAGGTAGGTGTAGATGGAGTTGCTTTGGTGTGATTGGATTGGTGGTACCCCACGGAGACGCTAGGAGAGATCTCCGGATGTGGTTTGCATGGTTGAGAGTGGAGTTAGCGTGTTCGCATGTTCGCGTCACGTCGCGTCACGTCGCGTCGCGTCAAGTCGCGTTGGCTGGGTAGGTGCCAGGGTCCACGGGATGGAATGCGACCCAAACTATTATCGAAGAAAGCCTCGCAGTGAGTGTTGCAGCGCAGGGCTGAGAAGATAATTATCAGACGAGGTGCGTGGGTGGGTGAGGTGTGGCGTCGAGCAGTTTGGAAAATTTTCTTTATATTTGGGGTTGGGGTGCTATGCTAATTAATTAATAAACCCCATGGATAATTGGAACAGAAAAGAGCGTGGTGTGTGTGTGTGTGTGTGTCGGTTCGTAAGTACTGTAAGACTAACTGAGTATTTAACATACTACTGTACCCAAACTTAACACTAGGACGTAAAAACATCGTGACGCGATACAGGAGTAGACGAGCGGAAGGTTGTCGAGACATTATTATGTATATCCCAAGATAACTCAATATTCTAACCCGGCTTACTAATACCTCCTCCAGTGAGTCGCCGGCGCCCAATCCAAGTCCCAAGTCCGCATTAAAATCAACCAGCCCGCTCTCAAGCAGCCTTCCGGTCAGACACGTCGCATAATGCCAATGTGGACATGTGACGCTGCGCGCTGCTCGAAACCTGCCGTGCGCAGCGGTGATTGCATGCTATGCAACCGGCACCTTTGCTCCTCGCACGTGCAAACTCCGTTTCATGGATGTCCTGCCTGGGAGGTCTGTCTATAACCTTATATACGATAATGTTGATACTATGTGTCTAACGACCTGACAGGACGCAGAAAGATACGATCCCGCCGCCCAGGAGGCAGAGAAGCGGGAGATGGAGGCTCTATTCGCAAGGATCGACACAGACGCGCTGGCCGCGCATGCGAGCGCGTTACGGGATGGGATGCGCTGTTCTATCCCTGCGTTGGAGTATGATCGGGCGAGACGGAGCGCTGTGATGGGCGGGATGAATTATCATGTCGATGTGGTGTTTGAGGACGGGGTGGTGTGGTTGGCGCGGATACGCCGGGTGAATGCGACGTCGCCGCCGGCCGCGCTGCGAGACTATATTCTGCGGAGCGAGGTGGCGACGATGAGGTTTCTGGCTGGAACGGCGGTGCCGGCGCCGAGGGTGTTTGACTTTGTGCCGGAAGGGCGGGGGAGTGTAGGGTATATGCTGGTGGAGAAGATGGCGGGGACGGCGCTGCGATGGTCGCTTGCTGCGCCGGCGCAACGGCGGAAGATCGTGGAGCAGCTTGCGGATGTGTTTATTGAGCTGCGGAAGTATCCGTTTGAGGAGATGGGGTGTTTGGGTACTGCGGCGTCGAGTCGTGTCGGGGCGTTTGCTCGCGAGTCTTTGGCCGACTTTACGGGCTCTCGTATGGCGCCCTTGGGCCCATATTCTGCGCTCCAGGACTATCATGCTGCCTCGATCAGGCTTATACTAGACCTCATCCTACGAGAGGAAATGTACGCCCAGAATCCCATCGACGCATACCTCGTCCACCGCTTTCTCCTCGACCTGGTCCCGTCGGTTCTCCCTGCTCAAGACGGCCATTTCTACCTCAAGCATGCCGATGACAAGGGCGACCACATTCTCGTCGACAGCGAGTACAACATCACCGCCATCATCGACTGGGAGTGGGCATACACAGCGCCGGAAGCGATAGCCTTCAATTCGCCCATCGGCCTCCTTCCCGTAAGCGAGTTCTACGACGGCCTCAACACATTGGGAGAGGAAGAGGAGATGCTGGCGGGGATACTGGAAAGCAGAGGCGCACCAAGCCTAGCGCAGGCCGTGCGAGATGGGCGATTACAGCATCGGTTTGCGTTCTGTTGCGGATACGACCTCGTTGCTGACTGGAATGGATTCCTTGGGCTGTTCAAAGGGTTGAGGGATGCGGTTCGTGTTGATCAGGGGTTGGAGTGGGGGGAATGGAGACAAGTGGCGTTGGAGCGCTATCGAGGTGATGAGGGATTGGAACGGTTACTTTCCAAAGCAGGTGGTGTGGAAACAGGAAACAGGTGATATGCGAGGATATGTAATATTATATGTCGGAGGGTCGGACAATTGTCTTGCATGAAGAAGGGGCATTAGCCACGTGGGGCATTAGCCACGTGGCTATGCAATGTACGAGTCAGCCACGGGTGTGGCGCCTGTAGTCTACTTTTAAAGTTTTCAGCTCAGCTACTATTAATTGATTAGTAGGCCGACGGGTGTGTGATGTAGCGAGTATTTCGCCGATGCAACTGCCATCACGTGCTCTCTACCTACCTTTCTTCGCCCAATCCCCAATTATCAGTCTCCACTCGACCAGCAGCAGCACTTTCCCAAAGCGGGATAGCAAGCAGTGATGCATGGAAAGATGAATCGCCAAGCTTTTACCAAGCTTTTCCGACGGACCTATCAATAGAAACAAAGGGGAAGAATGCATGCAGGGTAGGGGGGACGACGGTGCTTTCTTTCCGAGGTAGGTTGGGGAAAGCTTTTAAAAATAACTTCCCTTGCCCATGAACAACTGCCGATCTTTTTTTTTTTTCAGCAGAATTGCTCGGCCATCAATCACTGACGCAGGGCAGATATGTTACTGACTGGATTGGGAAAAAGACAAGAAAGAATTGCGACGAATAGGCCGGGGGAAGGATGTCATCATTGTATGTTCGAATGCGTAGGGTGCTGTGTAGACAGTACTTAGGTACAAGCTTTCCCCGGCCGGGCTGACCGGCGTGCTTGTGGAGCATGGACATAGATGCTGTAAGTGGTTCGGGCCCAGCACGAACAGGAAGACGTCAGATGGTGAAACGGATGTTTGATGATGAATAGGGACAGGCCGGCATGTGGCACTGGCCGGCTTCTGCGGCAGTTGGTGGAGTCTTTGGGAGATGATCGAGGAGACTGGAGTGCAGTCCGAGTGAGTGAGTGTTGAGGCTGGCGTGGCATCCATCCCCGGTCGATGTGAGGCAATGGCCTGTGTGTAGGATTTGTCTGGTGATGTTGGCATGGCTGTCGAGGAGGTTGAGTTCCAACAAGAGCGAGGTGCATGTTTTGTAGTTGGCAGAGTGTATTGATAGGAGATTTGACGGGCGAATGATGATGATGATGATGATGAAGAGGAGGAGGAAGTTTAGAGTGGCACGGGATCTGCATATTGTGATGATGGATCGACAGGTACAGATTAGTATATACGATTATGCATGTACAGTACTCGGCCCGGTACCTGGGCTGGGGAAGACGAAATGGCCAAAGGTGGGCAAAGGGTGCGCAAAGCTGGACACGGACAGCGCACTGCTAATACTGGGGTCTGCGCATTATAGTTCGGGGGTTTATTAATAGCCAGCCAGCCACATTACCTAGCATTAACAGCCGAGAGGGTTCTGTGCTCTGTTCTAGACCTTCACCTGAGTAATTGGAGGAAGAATAAGAAGAAGAAGAAGAAGAAGCAAACAGACGCTGGAAATGGATGGCCTGAGAAGCACCGTGACAGTGGTAATCAATTCATAATAGAAATAAACAAAACCAACAAACCCAACAAGCTCATCAAAACAACTGCCGATCCGCCTGCACCCGACTGTTTCTCATTCTCCCTTCCACCAGCCACCAAAGAGTAATCAATGCTCCAATGCACTGGACAATTGACAATACTGTAATGATAATGATAATGATAAGGATAACAACAATGATAATAGCAATAGTAATAGATGTCACCACCCTCCCAAAACAACAATTCTCCAATATAATTAATTAGCCATACATACGCTCCATTCGATTGCGTCCAGGCCGTCCCGCGCCCTCGGCCCTGCTGCCTAATTACTATACTACTGTACTATACCACTATACCTTAGTACCCTCTGCCCCTGCTGCGCCCCCTTGTACCTACTCTCTCCTCTTTAACTCGACAGCATCCATCTCTCTCTCTCTCTCTCTCTCTCTCTCTCTCTCTCTCTCTCTCTCTCCCAATCACTTAAGTCACTTAAGATACCTTCTATCCGCCCAAATCCCCCGTCTTCCCACTACTCCCATTACCCCGTCTTCAACCACCTTTGTGCCCCCTCACTCGCTATATATTGGCACTACAATCAATCACACTCCGTGCTACCACACTCCCTTGCATCACTCTCATTTACCATCTCCACGAACTCGGCCTACCACCACCAACCACTATAGCACTCACGTCTGACTGCTTTGATAAACCCTTCCTTTCCCGCATTGGACATACACACACACATACGCACTTGGAACGACAACGCTCCTTTCTCGTTGCCTGCTGCATACCTCCACAAACACACACACATATATATATATATATCTCACAGCCATGGCTCGACGTCACGCCAGACAAGCCTTGTTCTTCTCCCTCATCGCCTCGTTTTCCTTACTTCCCGCCTCGCTCGCACAGCCCATCTTACACTGTTCCGAACGTCACTCCGCACGCCAGCCAAACTGCCACTGCACCGTCATTCCTCACAACGTCTGGCTCAACACTGCAACGAGCAGTCCTTCCTACCTCTCATCATCCCCCGATTGCCAGCAACTGGCTTCCAAATTGGAACGTTGGCGTGAACATGATGCTCATCACTGGGAAACCTTCCTCTCCAAATCCGACCAGGTGCCAGGTCATAGCTCGGATCGCGTCGGCGCTTCCTCGGTGCGTGTACTCGGCGTCCACAGGCCTAGCGAGGATGAAGCCAACGGCAGCGATGCATTACGGCAGACATTACAGGAGGGTGTTGTCATGTGCAGACCCACGCAATGGTCCAGCTCCAGAGATGTGAGGGCTTTCGTTCGCGGTGTTGCAGAGATGGACGAGTCTTGGCAGCCAAGCCAAGCAACATTTGTCGTGGGTGCAGTGCTTGTGCTGGCGCTTCTTGGTGTCATTGCTGAGGTTGTGGATCTTGTGCTGTTCAGGTGAGGCTCTCTTTGGCCCTTTTTGGCGTATTGAAATCGACTTTCCGATACTAATCTACTCCCAGGTCTGGCCTCCTCTTGTCACGACAGCCTATTATGCTGACGGGCTCGGAGAAGATCATTTGCGCAGATGGATCACTATCGTCCCTCGGCGCACACGAAGAGCAAGTCGACAGCGACGAAGATTGGCCAGATGAGAGTCCAATCATATGAGAAGGTATCGATGCCTACGACGACGACAGTCGCTAGTACCTACGCGGGCCGATAGGTCTATCATACACTGACATAACACCCCATCCGATTGTACATACGGAAGCCTATGATTAGACGTTTCCCCCCACCCAAAAAAATATATACCCATTGGAAATGCTCGGCTTGACTGATAGTCCATCCATCTAATAAGGGCACTGCGAGTGACATCAACACGCGTGAGGTGAAGCCCAAATGTAGTAATCACGCGTCGCAGAAACCGGCAGGAGCCACTGTATACAGACCCCAACAGCACTGCTTAAGCTTCAATCACTCAACTCATCTCTACCTACCAGCTCCCTCCTTCGCAGACATCATCTCACCGCTACATCTGTTACCACCATTTATCTCCATCACATCGGTCGATCCATCTATTATCAAAGCATTACTCTCGTTCATCCGTGCTACAACATCTGCCTACCCATACCTCTCATTCGTCGAACATGGGTGGCTGTCTTTCGTGTCTGGCCAGAAGCCCAACCCCAAGTCAGACCCAGGTCAAAGATGTCGGACAGACCTCCACGAATACGCAAACCTCACAATCCATTGGTGGGGCATCGCAGACAGCATGTGCGTCACTATTCAAGACAGTCTGCGTGCGGGACGTGGGAAGGCATGATAGCTAGCTGACCTCAACAGCCTCCTCAGGAACAGACGAGTTCTGCAGAACCCTACGGAGAGACCTCGACAAGGTCGCGTCCGTAACCTCGATGCAAGCGCCTCGCGTCACACTGCAAGATCCGCCCTCGAACGAACCCACATCCCTCCGAGACAGTCTTGAGAGTGTCAACCTTGATCCTCTGGCACCTACTGGTGCACGCCAACAACCTCCGAACTCCCAAGCTTCATTGGCTTCAACTCCCAGCCTGCCCGAGACGGTCATTGTCCATCAGACGCCCGACCGAACACATTTACAACAGAACGATTCTTCACCCTCGGAGTCTAATTCTAATTGGTACTTGAGGTCGTCAAGTCCTCTCCTGGGGCGACATGAGCCACAAGAACATCCTTCAGAAAGTGCTGGCGCGGCATCGTCCTTGGATGACCTGTCGAGAAGACGGAGACTGAGCTCGCTAGCACGTGAGTCGTCAGAGACACGCGCGCCCAGCACAGACAGACCAGCTCCTTCTTCACCGGGATCTTCGAGAATATCGGAGGATCCGCCAGGAATCTGGTTAAGGAAGAGGACGCGTAATGCTTCTAGCGTACCAGCCTCTTCTGCCTCAACAGTGACGGCAGACAGGCCACCGAGAATTGAGCTGACCAACGGTATACGCAATGCAACACTGCCACCAAACGAGGACGTTCCGACTTTGGTTCCTGAGACTGACGGGTCCGAGGACAACACAGCGCCTGAGCTACCTTGGGACTCGTCGAGGTATCCCAAAGGGAAAATAAGGACCATGGAAGACATTCTCGCGAGCCGTAGGCAGTCGGCCACGACAGATGATCAGGCCCATGCCGGCCCTTCGCAACCTCGAGCACAGCCGGAACCAAACACGGACGAGAAGCTGAGGAAAAAGGGTTTCATGCTGCCAACCCCGCCAGGCGAAGACGAGACGGACACTGAGGAACCCGAGGATCCTGGTGCGGACTTGGCGTGGATCAATGTCTACTACAGGACTGCCGGCTATCGTACGACTGCGCAAAGGGAGGGCCAGGAGGGGCCTGAGGCTGGCGGGCCTGAGACTGGCGGGCCTGAGACCGTCGGGCAGGAGACTGGTGGGCCTGAGACTGGTGGGCCTGAACCTAGTGGGCCTGAGACTAGTGAGCATGAGACGGGCGAGCATGAAACTGGTAATCATGAAACTGGCGGGCATGAGGCCAGTGGTGAGGGCAAGAATGACAAGGGCAAGGGTAGAGCAAACGATGATGGTCCAGCTTGAAGAATAGACAGCCCGGTGCATGCTCAATACATTCAGTTGGATAATCTTCGTGACGATCGCATGCATGAACGTGAAGTGAAGCACAGCAGGACGACAACAGGAATATTAAGTCATGCACTCGAACACCCGCGTTCTGTTACAGAAACCATGATCCTAGCTTGACGTTTCCTTGGCCTGACGTGTGAATTTGAAGAACAGAGCTTGCAGATAAGTGTATCAGAGATGACAGATGCACAAGAACGATTTGGTAAAGACTGTAGATTTTGGTTGGATTTTGGTTGGGTTTTCGGTAGATTGTATATCCATGTAAGGTAGATAGCTGCGTGTTACATGATGGTTTCGTTTTACATGATTTTGTTTTGAGCTGTCTGACTGACTAGGGGACGACCGATCCAACGCCAAAGCCCAGGTCTGGGTGAGTCCAGCGCGAGGGTGTACATGAGGTACATGATCTACATGAAGTTACATGAAGTTACATGAAGTACATGATGTTACATGAAGTTACATGAAGTTACATGAAGTACATGACATACATGAAGTTACATGAAGTACATGAAGTTACATGACATACATGAAGGACATGAAGTACATGAAGTACATGACATACATGAAGTACATGACATACATGAAGTACATGGCATACATGAAGGACATGAAGTACATGAAGTACATGAAGTACATGAAGTACATGAAGTACATGAAGTTACATGACATACATGAAGTACATGACATTCATGAAGGACATGAAGTACAATAATGACAAGAAACGACAAGAAATGCATCGCAGCAGCTAGGTATTGGTATCGGTGTCGATGGTCATCATCATCATCATCATCATCATCATCATCATCAGACATTTACATGAAGGTGCTTTTTCTTACATTCAAGGTCGTCTGACTGTGCTTTCCGACTGATTTTTTTTCTGGCTTTCTCTGCCTGTTTTTTTTTTCTTTCTGCACCGATCCACATCCACCCTGCGCCCCAAGTCTGGTGGAGTCCAGCGCGAGGGGTCGTGTGTGCTTGTATATGCATGTGTGTAATGTCTTTATGTGACGAGATGGGAGGGATGGGATGGTATGTACCTTTTTTTTTTTTTTTTTTTTTTAGATCAAACCAGAGCCCCCCAAGTACATGAAGTGTGAGAAAAACATAAAAGGGTAAGAAATACAAAGAGTAGGAGCAGTCGGTGTCGATGGTCAGACATTACATGAAAGATTTTTTTACAAGATTGTTTTGACTGACTGACGGACTGACCAAGCCCAGGTCTGGTTGAGTCCAGCGCGAGGGTTGTGTAAAGTACAAAGAATGACAAGATTGAATCGCAGCAGCAGCAGTCACATGATGTTTTTGACTTTGCTGACTGACTGACTGACTGACCGACCGATCCACCGAGCCCGGGTCTGGTTGAGTCCAGCGCGAGGGCGGTGATGGCTGTTGGTTTTTCCGTGTTGTGTTGTTGTGCTGTGTGTGCTGTGCAATGCCGTGCTGCGAGGAAAGGATCGTGATTTTCTTCCAATCCACAACACGCGACATTGACAAAGCACACACAGTGAAGGAGGAGAGAAAGGCAAAGTAAGTAAAGACAGGCAAATGTTCCCATGTCCGACGTTTACCATTACATCCGGAAAGATGTTCTCCGTTGCCGAGTTGAGTGCAGATGCGGCGATTTTTATTTGTTTTTTGTGTTTTGGAGCAGCAGTGAGTAGACACTTTGATGATGATCGGTCTTTGTGCTGTCATGGACTGGACTGTATTGGGATTCAGTGCCAGGTTGGATGATGTTTGATGTGCGGCAGTCCCGATGGATGTGAGCTGCCGTGCTGCCATCATGATGTGAAAGGACGGAACCCAAGCCACTTTGATGTGTTTGAAATGGCTGGAATGCTCCGCTGGCAGGGACTGGATTGATAGTCAGTGCCAGGATGATTGATCTTTGATGCGCGGCATTCTCGATGGATGTGAGCTGCCGCGACGATGGTTTGAATGTTGTAGACCTAAGCCGCTTTGATGGTTGGAAATGGCTGGGATGGTCCGCATTTTGAGTTTGACTCCGGCAGTAATTGATTTGATTGTGCCGAATCGTTTGTCTGCGCTGGCAAGGACTGTATTGAGATTCAGTGCCAGGTTGGATGGTTTTCAATGTGTGGCAGTCTCGATGGATGTGAGCTGCCGTGATGATGATTTGGAAGTGAGGAATCCTAGCCGCTTTGATGGTTGGAATTTGGCTGGGATGCTCCGCGTTTCAGTTTGACTCTGGCAGTAGTAGATTTGATTGTGCCGAGTCGTCTGTCTGCGCTGGCAAGGACTGTATTGGAATCAGTGCCAGGTTGGACGGTGGTTGATGTGTAGCAGTCTCGATAGATGTGAGGTGCCTGCCACGTTGATGATTGAAAGTGCGGTCCTGAAGCTGCCGTGGTGTTGAATGTTTTCACCTCTAGTGAGCCAGAACATGGACCGTGTGTGATGGATGACTCGGCGGCGGATTTGATTGTGCCGGAGGAGCCAAAGTGTGAGATTCTGCCCTTTGAATGGTACGGACAGTGGTCTCTGTGGCAGTTTTGCTGTGCAAAGACACCTCGACAGCAGATTTGATTGTGCTGAGTGAGCCAAGGTGCGACGTTTGCTTGTGCGCAATGACATGAGAAGGCGTTCACAGCATTGCAGTCAAGTGAAGATTCGACCGCAGAGATGAGCAGTTGACCAGAGAGCCGTGAAGTGAAGCAGCTCAATGGTAAGGCTTGTTGATAAAACGGTGCTCTGGCTTGCGATGGCAGATATGCAAGTGAACCAGAAAGCCGTGAACCAGAAAGCCGTGAACCAGAGAGCCGCGAAGTAAAGCAGCTCAATGGCAAGACTGGTTGATGAAGCTGTGCTATGAGATGCGATGGCAGAGATGAACAGTCGACCAGAGAGCCACGATTTGAAATAGCTCCATGGAAAGACTGTTGATTGATGAAGCCCTGGAATGGATGAGCTTTGGCAGCATTGCGGTCAAGCGATGCTTTGGTTGCAGAGATGAACTTGACCACGATGCTTTGGCTGCAGAGATGAACTTGACCAGAGAGCCGTGATGTGAAGCATCTCGATAGTAAGACTGGTTGAATCATGATTCCATGAGCTGAAATGATTCAGGTAGCAATGAGGCGAGTCGGTTCTTCGATGGCACAGCTGAATAATGAGCCAAAGAGCCGAAACGTGAAGCAGACCAATAGTAAGACTGGTCGATTGATGGAGCTGTGAGCTGAAATGGTTTTGGTAGCAATAAGACCAGTCAATACTTTGATTGCAGATATTAACAGTTGACCACAGAGCCGCGATTGGAGCAGCTCGATGGTAAGACTGCTTGATTGATGAAGCGATGAGCTGAATTGGTTTTGGTAGCATGATGCCTTGATGGTAGATATCAGTGCTGTACCAGAGAGCTGAGATGTGAAGCAGCTCAATAGCAAGGCTGGTTGATTGATGAAGCCGTGAGCTGGATCGGTCTTGGTTCCATGATGCTGACCAGAGAGAACCGTATTGTGAAACAGCTCAGTTGCCAGACTATTTGATTGAGGAAGCCGTGAGCTGAAGTAGTTTTGGCAGCAATACGGCGAAGCAATGCTTTGATGGCAGAAATGAGTGCTGGACTAGAGATAACCGCATAATGAAGCAGCTCAATTGCAATCTCAGAGCTAGCTGGTTGATGAAGCCCAGGCTGAAGTGACTTTGGCAACATTGTAGCTGATCGTTGCGTCAATGGCACAGATTGAGAGTGGACCAAAGAGCTGTAATGTAAAGTAGTTCAATGAGAGAACTGGACCTAGCTGACCGAAGAAGCCGTGTGATTGAGTAGCCCTGGAGCAGAAGCGGTACTGTCAGATGTAGGACCAGAAGGTTTGTTGTAGTAGTGTGAATCGGAGACTTGACTGTGAGACAACACTGATGGCAAGACAAGAGCAGCTGAGTGATGAAGCCGTGAGCTGATGTCTGAAATGACTTGAGAGTCGAAACGCCGCTTTCAGATGAGAGCAACAAAGAACTTGCTGTGACCTCAGTCGGAGACTTGATGTTGTTGACTGATATCTCGTCGAATGAAGTAGGCTCGGTAGGAGGAATGTCAACTTCAGACGAGTGATGATGATGATGATTGAAGCTTTGCTCTGAGTGACAGCAGCGGCATTGCGAGTGCGATCGGTAGGAGGAGAGCAGTTGAAGTGATGATGAGAAACCGCCATGTTGATGTCCGTGAGAAGACCGCCCGCTGGTGACTGAGTTGTCACGTGAATTTGAGGTCGATAGATGCTCTCGGAAGTGCTGAGAATGAGATTTGCTGACGAGATGACCTGAAGGATTTGCTGATACTTGACTGTAACGACCAAAACTGGAACTGAAGGGAGTCGCAACGTCCCAACGCCCACTGTGTCTTTCAACGCTGGTCGAGATTGTGGATGCAGAGCACCGAACCTGAGGCCGTGAAAGTTGCCAACTCTCTTGAGCCTTGAACGTATGCCACTGATCTTCGATGACTGGATGCCTGGACGTGGAGTTTGCTAAGCCCCAGAGGTCACCTGCGAAACGCCATGATGATGCGACCCAGAGCACGCCGAACATGAGACTTTGAGAGTTGCTAGTTCCCTTGGCCTTGAACGGGTGTCGTTGGTGTCTGAATGGGAGCTTGAACCGAGGAGCCTCAACTTCCAAGGAACATGAGCGAGAACTGTTTGTTGGCAGGATGCTTGGGTGAGGACTTGCCAGGTCCGTCCATGAGACTTATACCTTTTTGCCGTATCGCGAATGACCGGCGGCTTGAACCAGAGGCCCAACCCCCTGGAACATGAGCCATCACCGTGTCCTGAAATGAGAGAGAGAGAGAGAGAGAAAGAGTGCATGACCAGTGCAGTGTATCGCGCAAGACCGTGTGCCACCATATTTCGACATCCACCAACCACATGCTTGAACTAGGAAGTTGTCGACTTCCTGAACCTGAGTCTTACAGTGTTCCGTCGGAGGATCTTACACGCAGCTTGAACCATATGTAGCCGCCACTACTGGAACGTGAGCCTTGTGCGTAAAGGGAGTGGAGTTGGAAGACGCAGGCAGTCTGTAGTAACCAGGCTAGCCTTTGTCAACCAGCGAGAGGGCTGAAGCGCATCTTCAATCAAGCTCTGTGCATCAGACAAGCTGTGCACGGCGAAGCGAGATCTCCACGTTGTTCGGTCTTCTCTCTGCTCCAATGAAAGCTGAAAGTTACGAGGATGAAACCAGTAGGACATGTTAGCCTGTAGGAACAGGGCCCGACAGTCTGCTGGCGAGTGTTGAAGCGCATCATCAATCAAGCTCTGTATATCAGACAAGCTGTACACGACGAAGCGAGATCTCCACGTTGTTCAATGAAACTCTGGTTCCCCGAGGTCTTCAGTTGTCGGTGATCGATGAAAAGGTGCTGGAACGCGCATGCTGTCGAAACGAGCTGCAGCAGAAACCAGCGGAAGCAAGAGCCTCTCAAACCTTTTGATCACCCTCCCTGGTCGCAAGTCCCTTTGCAAATTCCCCAACAGCCCGCGAAATGGTTGCCAAAGCCCGCCAGTTTAAGATTGACAAGAGAGCAGTGACGAAGAGAAGGGAGACTCCTAGCCTTACCTAGGTGGTCTTGACGCTTCTCAGCCAGATCGCTTGATGGACCGCGGGTACAATGCTTCTCGGATACCTGGACCCTTGTTGTCGATGATGGTCTGGTCTTGTCGATGAAGAAAGATGAAGAATATGTCGTTGTGAATGGTGGAGACAGTACTTGCCGGGGAAAGGAAACCGATTGTAGCTTGACGGGGATGACAGAAGACAGCCAACTCTGGACTCCCAGGAGGAGAGTTGTCTGTGAGAAGGGCCAGGCGTGAGGAATCGGTTGAAGCTTCTACAAGCGTTCAATGACGGCATCCTCAACACCACATTCCAATCTTCTATCACCATACCGACAGCGGGGAACCGATTGAGACTTGACATGAACGACGAAAGACGGCCAACTCTGGACTCCCAGAAGGAGTGTTGTCTGTGAGAAGGGACAGGCGTGAGGAATCTGTTGAAGCTTCTACAAGCGTTCAACGACGGTATCCCCAGCACCTCTTTCCAATATTCCGTCGTCGGTTGAGGGCGGTGTAGGGGCGGCAGAGATTCAGTCGGACTATTGAGGTCCTTTCGGACCACTGATGATGTCTCGAAGGGCGCCAGAAAAGGCACCCTGTCCAACTGGTGCGGGCGCCGGCTTCAGCTTTTGGAGCTCAGCACGAAGCCTATCCACTGCGGCGCCCGCCTTCTTCAACTGCCGCTTGTTCCCATCCACCACCTCCAGGGTGTCATCAAGCCTCTCTTGCACGTCATCGAGGCGCTCTTGGAGCTCGGCGCGAGCCTTGCGGTCGACCTTGACTTTGGCCGCCGCTGAGTCCTCCACGGCCTTGACCGTGGCCTTGCATTCGCCCTCGATGCGGGCAATCTCCTTCAGAGCATCTGCCTTGATGCTCTCCACCTCCACTGCTGGGCCTGCCATGCCCTTGGCCGCCTTGGCCACCTCCTCCGCGAACTGGGCATTCAGGGCGTTGAACGCCGCAAGCTTGTCTGCCTCGAGTGAGTGCTCGAGAGCACCCACCTTGGCTTCGGCGACGCGCTGCGCGTCCTCGGCCGCCGTCTTCTCCACCTCAAGCTTCTGTGCCTTCTCGGAGGCACTCCGCTTGCTCGAGGTGAGTCGCTGGAGCCGGAGGAAGGCTGCCTGTTCGGCAACGACCTTCTCCAACTTCAGCGCGGCGACCTGGGCCCTTGCCCGGCGAGCGCGATCCAAGGCTGCCTTTTCGGCGTCGACCTTGTCCGCCTCCAACGCGGCGATCTTGTCCATCGCCTGCTGGAGCAGTACCGGGGCTGCCTGTGCGGCAACGACCCCTTCCTGCTCCAACGCCAGGATCCTGGCGTTTGCTTGCCCAAGCTGTACTTGGGCTGCCTGTGCGGCAACGACCCGTTCCTGCTTGAGCCCGGCGATCTGGGCTTCGAGGCTGGCCTTCTCGGCAGCGGCAGCGCGAGAGTTGGCGAGAATCTCGTCGCTGGTGGTGCCCTGCTTTGCGAGGGCTTTGCGGAGCGCTGCCAGCTCGTCGGCGGGGCCTCGCGAGGCAGCGAAACCGGCAGCGATAGCCTTGCGGCGGAGGATGTCGAGGGCGATCTGGTCGGCGTTTTGGCGGTCCTCCCGGAGGATGCCGCAGTGCTCCAGGAATTCGATCCTGCTCTGTTTGGCCGCGTTGGCCGAGCCCGATTTCTCCAGTCTCACGTGCAAGTCATCGATCCTTGCGTGGTAGTGAGCATGGTCTCTCGCCATGCGCCCGAGTTCGGCCTGCGCGAGGAGCAATGCCTCGCGACAGTCGATTCGTGGAACCCCAAACCATCCCGCAACCCAGGCCTGCGCGCGCGGAGTAAACTCCCAGACAACAGGCAGGACAACCCACATCAGCATCACGATCAGGATGACCAAGATGCTGAGCTTGAGGAGGTATCGGAAGCCCTGGAATAAGGACTGCGGGATTGAGGCGATCGAGCGACCAGCACTTGCTACAGCGGAGCAAGACTGGCTGATGACCAGAGAGACCAAGGAGGAGAACGCGCCAAAGGCGGCGGAGAGGCTGTTGAGGAACCCCAACCACACACCGATGACGCTTTCGGCGCCAGAAACCAACGAATTGCGGACCGTTGCGACGAGAGGAGTCGCCTTGGCGCGCAGGAAAGCCACCGGATCGTTCACCCTGAACCCCTTGTGCCCAACAACGAGACGGAGTTGCGAGATGACATAGTTCGCCGAAGCGAACACCCGGGTCACAAGGAGTTCCTTGACAAGGGCAAGGTTCTCGAGAACGGAGAAACTTGGGGCTTCAGATCCGGAGCCCCCGGCGGTAGACATGGTGGACTCAGGGGTTGGGCCCTGGTCCGGGAAAGCGGGAATGGTCGGAGAGGCGAAGAAAATGGTGCGGTGAGGAGTTGGGCGAGGTCCCGGTGCGGCTTCTGGCGGGAAGACCACGACCGAGATGCCCAGATATGCCCTGGCGACTGCGAGCTGTTAGTTCTCATCCTGAGCACTTGAAATGAGATAAGATTCAACTTACTGAGGGCGCGTGGGTCCAGCACATGTGCTGCACCAGCGTGGCTGGCGAAAAGCGCAGCCACGAGGAGGAGGAAGAGGTGGAAGAATTGCATCTTGTGGATGCGGTGGCGGCTATGAGGAAGGAAAAGTCAGCCTTTGCTTTCTTGACGATCAGAGAGGTAGTGCTTTCAAACTTACACAATGTAGGTGGTGAGAATTTTGTGTGAGAGTTGTGAGAATCTTGCGAGGTAAACGGGCGAAGGTTCTGCTATTGGTATGTCAGTTTTGCCGCTCAGAAGATCGAATCTGCAGCAAATTGCGTAAAAAGCAGCAGTGACCGCAGTGTATCACAAACCATGTAGAGAGACAATTGCTGACGCGAGATGACAGGGAAAACGTTCAAAAGCGGACAAAAGACACCAAAATACGTAGAAAACGTCCACAACAACTCCGAACGTCTCCAAGTGTGACAGGAAGTAGATTTTGCGGAGTGCCAACGGCTACAAAAGCAACGATGCTGAGGTGCCACGAAAAGTAGTCCCAGATCTCTGACCTTCAATGCAACAGCGGTACAGGAAACAGCCACAAAGCATCGAAGCCACCTTCAATTGCGACGAGAAGAAGACGATACAGCAAGAAAGCATCAGGAGAGACCATGCGGTCACACACTGTAGCAAAAACAGAAAAGCTGAACGGCAAGCAAGACTCCACCGTCAATTGGAGCTCTCAGCACACACAACAACAACAGCTCGTTCAGGAAAATCTCAATCAAAAGCAAACGCAAGAGAGTAAACGCAGAGCAATAAGGAGAAAGAACGGGATAACTTACGTAGCTTGGTGATTGAAAACTTTGGAAGTCAGAAAGCTAAGATCAACTTGTGATGAAGAAGAAGAAGAAAAAGGAAAGGAAATCCGGCAGCGCAAGTCAACGATTTATACCCATCACCTACACCTGCTAGCGCGTCGAAGAAAGCATGGGCCCATTCGTACGTTGTACAAGATTTAATCTCTTTGCTATTGAGGAAAATTTTCTTGCTTCACTTTGTCCTAATCGGGGAGCGGGAGTCATGAGATGACGTCGGCCAGCGACTTCGGCGAACGCGGGGGGATAACAGCGAGGTGAGTCTTCCCTAACAAATTTGCGGGCGAGGAAAACAAGGGCGTGTTTTGGTTGCGTTGTGGGTGAATTCACTCTGGAATTCAGGGTCCAAGAGGGGGGGGGGAAGGGGGTCGCCGTGCGAACCGTTGGTCGGCGATAATGAGGCGGACGAATATATGAGCGGTGTAGAGATGCTGATTGGATGCGCTGTAGGCAGATACTGGATAACTTTTATAAAGGGATGATAGTGACGTACCGGTTGGATACGATTTTGCCGTATAGGTGTGGACACGGCATTGGTGCCCTGTCATTCGCTGTCAATTGAAACTTTCAGGATTGGACTCGCAAGTTTTCCTATTGTACGCCTACGCCGGATGCACTCCTCTGAGGTTATGGCAAGGCAGTAGTGGACAGGAAGGAAGTTTTGACCAAATTGGAAATAGGGGTTGTATGAAGGCACGCACAACGTAAATAGAGTGATACACAGACGGGAAGCATGACTAGGCAAAAGGGCTCGAGGTAGCAGAAATGCTTTTTGTAGACATCAGACCACGCTTTGGGGTCGACCGATAGTTATACAACGTTATGATATGAGGTCAACCTTGGTGTTATACAGTCAAATAAACACCGGTACACAAATAGAGATCGGAAAACCCGTTCTACGAGAAATGATATAATTCGCAATGCCATCAACCGCCCCAATACCGTGATATTTTGACAGTCAAGAGATGTCCAGAACGCCATGCATACACCTCATTCAGGCAGGGCATTGCAAAATCTGAAAAAGCACAATAATGTGGTGCAAAGCCTTGATGCATTTCGGTAAATGCAGATAACGGCAGAAGAAAGAAGAGAAGTTACTTGCCTGTCTCGATTATCTTGAGACGTTCAAAGATTACTCCGGGCGTGGTCTCTTGTTGCCGTGAGGATTCCACTGCCCATCTCCTCCTGCTTGTTGTCCACCGCTGAAGAAGGCCGGGTTGAAATGTCCTTGATTGCCACCAAAGCCACCACCTGGGAAACGCGTAGTGTTAGCGAACTGTTGTTGATATTGCGAAGTAGTGGTAGGGGGTTTGCTCGTCGACGAGGAAGAGGGAGGAGAAATTCTTTCGCGCTTGGCATCCGAATCTGAGCCCGAAAACGCCTGTGGTGCAGGACGTTTGTGGCTTTGAGAATCGTTGCCATGCAGCTGGTTGAATGAAGGCTGTCCTTGAGGAAGACCTTGCTGCATGCGAATGTTGAAAAACTGATTTGGAGGCAAAGAAAAGTTGGGCCTACCCATTCCCATACCCATTCCACCCATCATGTTGTTGCCTATACCACCACCCATTGGCATTCCGCCCATATTCATGGCGTTCATGCCCATCCCGCCCATGTTGTTCATGCCGGCTCCCATGGTCATGCCACTCATGCCACCGCGGCCTCGATTGTTCTGCATGCCTCCGCGCATTCCACCTCCCATCATTCCACCTCGGTTGAAATTACCACCGAAGTTGCCTGCACCCATGTTATTATTGAAGCTCATGGGATTGTTGAAATTCTGGTTCATGCCCATAGGCGGCGTGAAGTTACGGCTCTGGAAGTTGTTGTTCATGTTGCCACGGTTGTTGTTGAAGCCTCCTCTGTTCTGGAAGCCACCCCGGCCTGCCCCGAAATTGCCACCTCCTCGGCTATCCTGTTTGTAATCTTTTCGGTTAGGTACATCCTTTGGCAGTGTCTTGTACGGGTTGATGTGAGGCGGGTTGAATGTGACGATTGGCTTCCGAACGTGCTGCTGGCCATCGCCGAAGGACTCAATCTTATGTTTCAGAGCCGTTGCAGCCTGTGCGGTTTGCATCTCAACATATACTTGGCTAATCGTCCACGTTAGCTATGTGTACTCTAGCAAATTAAGGCGTGTGATACTCCTCTGCCCGGAAGGCCTACCCTTTGCTTTTGCCATTGACCTTGTGTTCATTAAACGTGATATCCTTCAGCTCGTCCTCACATTCCGCTTGGTTTGCCCAGCCACGGATGTCGTCTTCGGTGGACCACCAATGCAGCTCCTGGATCAAAAGGGCACTAGTGGCGCCTGGATCCATTGGGCGGTCGTCTGCACCTTCTTTGCGCTTTGTTCCTTGCTGTATTGGGGCATGTTTTGGGAGCTGGACCTGATTCTGTCCTGCGCCCTCGCCGGTGCTGGCTATCTGCTGTGTTGCGGTGCTTACCGATTGTGTGTTGGCTTGCTGACCCTCATCTTGCTTAGCATGGCTGTTCTCGTTAGATGCGCCATTCGTCGGCGCGTCTGGTTGTGTTGTGTCCGTCATTGTCTCGCCATCTGTTGCAGGTCCTGCGCTATCGGCCTGACCTTCCTGATTGTAGTCTTGATTACCATCATCACCATAGATATCGATATCGAATTGGTCCTCGTCGGCCATTGTGAAATGAGCAGCTCAGAAGTTTGTCTTTGTAAAAACTTGTAGCTTTTGATTGATTTGATAAGTACTCTCTGCCTTGTCTGCACAGGAGGGATTACAAGTCTGTAGGAATGACACATGAAATCAGCATATGAGGAAAATAGATAAGGTGGTGCTAAGCGATGGTACGAGTACAACGGAGAGCCGTGGCGCACGACAGAGAAGATTTACAAGGGTACAAGATATGAGAAAGCAATGGACATACGTACAGATCCTCAGCAGCGTCGAGGTTGTGACAGACTTGAGATTTCGCTCGACACAATGAGCTTGTGAAGACACGCCGGTCTGAAACAGAGCGAAGATTTCTTTAAGTACAGCTTGATTCAGTGAGAGCTTTCGAGCGGTCAGAGTGACCTGTACAGATTGAAGTGCTGAAAGGTGACGACAGCGTGCAAGATCCCGTCCACCAGCTGCGTTAAGAACAGCTCTACCAGAGTGCTTGCGGTGGCAAGGCTGACACAAAGTTGTACCTAGGAATGTGAAGCGTATGAATCCTGAGGGATTTAGGCGGAGCTCTTCCTCGAACACCTTCCCAGTGCGCCGATATTATATTAGTAACCGACTCACTTGACTCTTAAGGTGGGTTGAGGGATATTGATCGTAGCGGGAATTGCTCGTTGGTCGTAGAGGGGCATGAGTGACAAAGAGGAAACGAGAAAGGAGCAGAGCTTCATTCTATGCGATGTCGACCAAGTCGCGACTTAGCGTGGTGTTCAACCGCTGGCAAACGCCTGCCGAAGTACCGCCGCCCCTTCGGCGATCTGGCCATAGTTCCTAAGACACCTCTCTGGATACAATTCACCGCCGCCAAAGTCCAAATCTCGTCCAACACCACCTTAAAATGGCAGATCAACTGAAAGAGATGGCCGAGCTGCCTAAAGACTTCATCCGCGATGGCACACAATTCCTGAATCGCTGCACAAAGCGTACGTCTCTGCAATATTAGTCTACCGACGCTTCATTAGACGAAATCAATTGCTAATGCCGGTGTAGCCGACAAGCGCGAATTCCTCAAGATCTCCCAGGCCGTCGGTGTGGGCTTCTTGATCATGGGTGTGATCGGATACATTGTCAAGCTGAGTACGGCGGCGTCGTATTTGTGTTTTCAATGAGACCTGCTAACGGGCATATACAGTTCACATTCCTGTAAACAACATATTGGTCGGAGCGTCATAGAGTCCTGCATATCCAAAGAGAGCGATTTGTGACGACACAGGCGGATTTGAGATGTGACGAGGAGGTGCTGGAACGAGTCACAGCATCACTGAGGCCAAAATACTGTATAATACCCTACATACTTGGTAGACCGGAGTTCAAGGAATTCAAAGTATGGGCCCATTCAATAAGCATCACATACGTACATGGATAGCGGAGAAGATGTTTCTGGAGAGCCAAGTCTGAAACCATGCAATGGGTGTATATTTGCGCAATTAAATATGGTACCAGTAACTAAACAGTATTTGGGACAACTTGTCCAAAGCAACGGGAATATGTTCTCCCCTATCAGCCTCTCAATCCTCATCGAAAATCTGGTATGTGTTTGCCAACACTGTTTCCACAACCCGAGCTTGTAGCCCAGCATCAGCAAGAGGCCCGTGATGCTCCTTGATATCACCCATCATCAAGGTGGGCGCAAAACAAATTGCCAAGTTGCTTGAGCTCATCCTGTTGATTGATGCATGGTCTTGAATGCGGTTCAGGTGCAAAACCAGAGCACGAATTGTCGCGTAGTTAGGGTCAGGGAGCTCGTTGATGATCTTGTGCATGGTATCGCGTCGTACAACCTCGTCGTCAATCCTTGCAGCCTTGACAAAGTCCTGGTATCGCGATCTAGTGAACAAGGGGTCATTCAGCTTGCTAAAAAACCGCTTCAGTAAGCCTGCCACGCTGTTGATATCATGGTGAAAAGATGCCGGATTGCGAAGATCAACTTGAGTGTGCTCGTTGTGTGCTATCAATCCAGTCAGACGTGATTCCTAAACTTGAGTAGCATCACTCACCTTTGTTGAAGACTGCCTCTAGCTCGTCAATGTGCGACGATGTTCCGGGAATGCGATAGATGCCTTCTACGTCAAGACCGTACATTTCCACAGCTTGAATGCATTGGTATACCACAATTGGCACGGGCGCCAGATTGTCGCTCTCCGCGTATAAGTCACCGAGAGAGCGTCCAAAGACTCCCCTATCGTCGTTGCTAGATAAAACACCGGATGCTTGCTGTGCCATCGTACCACTTTGAGATGGAGGTGGGTACTGCTGACTCGAATATGAGGGATATTGTGGAGTACTCGTCTGAGGATAATTCAATTGAGGTGGACCGCCGTATGGGCTATCCGCAGAATGAGCTGGAGTCTGATACTGATGCTGGGGCTGAGGCTGATACGGCTGGTATGAGTTGTCTTGATATGGCGACTCTCGATATGGAGAATCTTGCGAGACTGGAGTTGGCTGCGACACTGAAGATTGAACGTTTGTGCTTTGCGCAAAAGATTGCGGTGCTTGAGGTGGCGACGCGTTATGCGATTGCTGTGGTGGTTGCGATTGAGAAGCTCGTCGCTGTCCTGTTGAAGTCGACTGTTGGACAAGCGACTTCGATGCGTTAATGATGTTGCCCCATGACATCGCTCGGCTGCGTCGGCGTGCACTCACCGGGTGCTTCTCATATTTGATGTCTGGCGACTTCGCAGGAACCTTCGAGGTGTGACTTAGAATATATGAATTCAAGTCTTTCTCATTGTCGACTAGGTTCGCGAAATCGCGCATGCTTGGTGGCACCTGCTGACCTTCTGATCCCGGAATAGGGGCGACGAGTATACCGTTACCTAGGATAAGCTTCTCGTTGAAAGCAACTAGGAGCTTGTGTTAGTGTATTTGCTGGACCATGTTTTGCAGATGTGCCTACCATATTTTTGAAATTGAAGGCTTAAAGCCGAATCGCACTCCTTGATCAGTTCCAGAAGTGCTTTGATGGCTGATGGGCGCTGCGAGCTGATGAGCGCTTGTCGGGCATCCTGTGCTGTCTTAACTTTGGCCGAGTAGTCAGAGTCGGCCGCTTGAAGCTTTCTTTGCAAATCCTCCTCTTGTTGGGCAGAAGACTTGGGCCCTTTCAAGCCAAATAATTTCCCTGAGCTCTTGTCGCCGGTCTTCAAGCGATCCAAGTCTTCCGCAAGAGAGTCATACTTTGACTTTGCCTTTGACATCATACTTTCCGCGTCTTGTACCTTCTTTTCGTTTGCCAGTCCCTCTGCCTTCCATTGCTTGCGGCCCTTCTCGACTGTATTTGATAGCTCTGTAAGGTCTTCGTGCATCTGGTGCAGAGAAAGAGCAAATTGCATACCATTATCCCCCATTCGATCCTGCAGGCGTGTGGCGTTGTCAAGATTGAGGGCATACGTGCCTTGTCGAGTATTGGAACTGCTGATGGCATCGTGTGTGCTACGGTACAGCTTCTTGAGGCCCTGGGCATGGCTTTCTTCGATAGACGAGCGCTTCTTTAGGAATCCGGCAAAGTCCTTGGATCATTGTTTAGCACACAGTCATAATGCGACTACAATTGATACACACTTGCGCGCTGGCGATGCTTTGCTTCAGTCGGTTGAGGAGCGTGTTCACACCAATCTGCAGGATAGTCAGAACGTGTCGGAGCGCATCGGACATTTTACCTACGTCAGAGAAGAGGACATTATCAACAGCCTTCGAGGTATCGCTGACGAGTGTTGGTTGCACAAGAGGTATTGTCGAGGTCTCATCCTCACCGGGCGCATGGGAGCTCGATGGACGAGGTGGTCCGTCACCGTTTGCCTCGGAGATGGGTTCTCTTGAGTCCATCGCTGCCTGTGTCTATTGATGTGGGAAACTCGGGCTGATAAAGGCAGTAGCTGTGAACGTAACACCAAGGAACTGGTAGAATTTCGTCGAGTTTCAAGACGTTGGTCGCATTTCAACGACACAATCTGGCATCAACGCTTCAATGGTATGGCCATGGTAGTGGACGTTGCACGCACGGGCCCAAACCAGGGACAGAGTGTCACGTCACTGGGGGCAAGGCCGCGTGTTTACGAGGAGCTTGCGCCTCAATATCAAACGAATAGATGCATCAGCCACGACTCATTCATCTACCTGCTCTTGTATGTCAACATGTACTGTTTCGTGCTGCAGCTTCACAGGATCGGGAAGATGTCGGCTCGGACGCTTGTATAGTTTCTTTTTCTTTCACACCACGTAAACTATGAATCATGGGTTCGTGTGCTGTCAACATTGGACCGAAACACGCAGCCCAAACCATTACGCCTCACACAGTACGTAAACTCCATAGAAAATAGGGTATCCCAAACGCTCCGGCCCTGTCGCACATTTTAAGTTGCTCTCTCCACCTAGAAGAATGACATATAGATCCCAAGACCGAGTACCATCGGCGTATAGCCCCAATGGTTCCATTCCCCTTGCCCAACCATATATTTGCAGACGAGTCCATCGGTGAAGGCCATGATTCCGATAAGGAGTGTATACCAGCCCACAGTCTTTCGGTTAGCGAATGCTGCGGCGACCCAGACGCCGGCACCTAAGAGAACATCTCTTACTCCATAGATGACCATCAAAGCGTCAACGACTTTCCGATCAGCAGGCAGAGCTGGATAGGCCAATTCGAAGGGTTGCAGGCCGCTCTCAGGACGGAGGATAGCATTGATGCCGAAGGCTACCGTGATTGCTCCAGAGAGACTGGCGGCGATGGTCGCATACGAGAAAGCCGAGGACGACATGTCTGTTGGCTGTTGTGTGGAGGAAGATTTAAAGCGAGTTTGATTGGATGCTCGGAAGTATTTGAAATTCGTTATAGTGTGGTCAGGAGGTTTGAAGCTGTGAAGGGAATCAAGACTGATGCACCTCTCGCAGCGCCATTGATATTTATACATCCTATAAGAGACCAAGCTCTGACTACAGAATTGACTCACCAACATCAAGACTCCCTTATCCATCTGGAGTCCAAAGACCGAAGGAATTTGTGGCGCACCATTACTTCGTCCTCCGCATCAAACCCCTAACGCCAACCCCAATTTTGATACCAAACAAGGCTAGGAGGATCCGGATCGACGAACCCCGGTTTCTTGTGCATCAGCCTCAGCCAGTCCTTCACACCCGCAAAACCCGCGTATCCTTGGCTTCTTCTCCTCCGCCGCGTTTAAGCAATTGAGTATAGACTTCTTGATAAACCATAACCATGAAACCGTTCCTTGCTTGTCACGCCCGGTATCTCACAAGGCCAGTATTTGCGCCAATCGATCAAAGTCACATGTACTAATTCTGTTAATTTGCCTTGACCCTTGTGGTCTCTTCTTGCTCGTCTAGTCAACATTTTTCGTCCGTGTCTCTCCTGTCCGTTGAATTCGCCGAGATCTTGAGACGCAACTGCCAAAGTGGACATGAAATAAAGGCTCTGATTGCGAGCCGACGACATATTGGCCTTCATGGATTTCAATGCCAGACATGTACCACATATTACGCCTATTGTATTAAATTCATAGACACCGGTAGATACGTTCCCGCTACCTCAATCAAGATACTCCCAGCTTCGGTGTTTTGTACTCTGTGGCTGGTACTATGGGCGGCAGTATGTGGATTCTACCCCTTTGAAAATGGCAGCGGTCGGTTTCAGGCCTAGTATGAGCTATAAGCCAACGGAGTTGTGACTCGGGTCGAAATCGAAACAAGAGGTCATTGAAAGCAGTCGATGCTGATGCCGTAGAATGACATCCTATGCAGATGCCCTCGCATATCGATGATAGGTCTGCCACTCATAGATAGAGATCGATTGACTAGCTGAGGTAGGTTCCTCAACTACTTCGTCAGCGATGGTCTCATGAGGGCAGGAGCGTGTTCTTGGGTTGTGGACGTGACTTCCACGGAAGATCATCAATCCTTCTTATATTCATGGTAAACACGCCGGTCCTTCAAAGGTGCCAGGCCTTCTTCAAGCTCGCTACAATCATCTCTTCTTACTATCACTTACCCAGCATAACCTTTACAAGGCACACTACACTACCAACACACCACACTTATCGTTTACCAGAGTATATCTTAACTCTTTCCACTCATTCTTCAAGATGACTACCAACGGCACCGTTCATACCGAAGAGCTGGATGACATGGTCCCTCTTCAGAGAGAGGATGTTCCTCCGATAAAGAGGCGATTTCCCTTCAAGAAATTGATCCCAAAAGGAATACGCAAGTGGTGGTCAATATCTGTCAACGGGATCAAGAAAAAAATCAATCCACCTATCAGATTTGAAATGGAGCCGAGTACTCCTGACCTCAACACGGCCTTAGACCGGGAAACAGCTCGCAATACTGCCGCTAACACTGCAATTCCTCCGGTGACTCCTCCCAGTCCAGAAGTGGCCGAGGAAGAACATCTGAGTCAAACGCACGAGGATTCAGCTGATACCGCGGGCCAAAATACCACCCAGTCTCAAGAAGAGGGAGACCTGCAGGAACCTGACGTGCAGCGTTCCACCACAGACACCACAGAAGCTGGCCCCAGTGAGACTCCAATGTCAGGAGAAGATCTATTGCGTATGTCACTCCCATGAGCGTTAGCACCTTGCCATATCCTCTTAGCTTCTACAGTAAGTTGGGTCCATGCTCACAGTTGATTTTAGGGTCAGTCAGTCAAGAGTATCGGAGGCACTCGTCACACCTTAGCATCAGTAATCCAAATTCGAGGAGGGAATCACTAGCTACCTCGCCGGGCAGCTTTCCATCTCCAGATGTCGGCTCGAGTTCAAATGATGACCAGTGGACCCACACTGATACGACAAACACCAATTCTGGTTCCCCGGTTTCCCCAATGGATCCTGTGACTCCTTCGACTTCCAACGCGTCACGGCCACCTCGCCGACACAGTGATGAGCTACCACGCCCCAGTCAGGACTTTTTCGATGAGCCTGAGTCTAAGCCGGTAAAACCGGTGGGAAAGTCCACTTTTGTACCACGTACTCAATCACCGGAGTGACTTTGTCGAAGTCTCTGGTCATCAGGACGAACGCTCAGACGTTTGTTGGTAGTGCATTCAGATTTGGAAAACACTCATTGATGGTTCATACTTTTGGAGGACACACTGCTTAATTAGATCTTGTACTGTGGTAACTGTCTTCCCGATTGCTCTGACGCTTTGAACATGTATGGAAGTTCCCTCATGCGGGAGTGTCGTTCAGACCGACGTCTATAGATGTGTACATTGTTTGCAGTACTAATACTATCGTTGTTTCTCCGAGTCGATGTAATCTGTGCATGATGGCTTAGCTACGAGAGGAATCAACGACCGTTTACAAGGACCCGCACTTCTAGCCTCATCACCTGGGCAGGTTGTGCCTTTCTTTCAACACTGAAGCATCCTGTGGCTCGCAACTGTCCGATGAAGCCATAAATATCAGCGAATCCCAACCCTCGTGAGAATGATCAATTATTCAAAACTGATAAACCCGCTAGCTGCGTGAAACTGTTTCCTTCGTGCCTCAGAGTCTGGCGATATCGCGACATATCCCCTTGACGATAGATGACAATGCTATAAATTCACGGAATAGATGGAGAAGTCGCGTTTGGTGATCATTTCTCTCTCTAGCAGGGGAATCGCTGGCTACGATGAAGATGCGGCTCGACTGGGGGGAGCAAGTGAGAGCTTTGGCATTTTTTTATTACGGCAGTGGGAATGCTGAGTTGGTTTTCTTTACTCATTAGGGGGAATCACGAGGTTTAGGATAGAGTGAAGGTGCATGGGTGGATGTTGGATGAGATACCGGTTAGTCATAGTTCGTTCTTGATTCTGGTGGTGCAGCTGATGTTGATAGTGGTGGCGGATGGGAATGTTGTTGCGGTGGTGGCTTGGTTTGAGGAAGTGGTGTAGTTAGTGCATGCAGCTGAACTGTGAGGGTTTGTCAGAAGCATGGGAGAGGCGTGAGTCTAGCTGATATCAGCATTCAGTGGTGTTGGCGGTGAAGTGAGAAGCGTTTGGATGATGGAGAGGACAAGAGATTTCGAGCAGATGTAAAATATGCTCTTTATGGATCGTGAGTAATGCAGCCTTGAAGCCCAAATGGACACGATAGGCAAGAAACATTTTTCATGACGCTGTCCGTCTGTCTTTTTAATGGTACAGGTACTGTGTTTTGCACGTTGGGTGGGAGATGATGATATTTTATACAAGATCGCGACTGCCCTGGACATTCAATCTAATCCCATCTGTAATGCCATCAGCTCAGAAACTCAATCCGCCATAGGAGTGCAATGATCACTCACCCTTGGTCCTTTTGTCGCACTATGCCTCCGCTCTTCCCAGTCTGCTTCCCCGTCTTCCCGCCTTCAACGACTAGTTTGTCGAGTTGATAGAACTGGCTGACGACTGTTTGTCTCTGTTCCCGGAATCAGCAGGTATTCCCTTTTCATATTCCTCAATCGTGCTATCTTCTTAGCCGCTCCTCACGTCCCACCTCTTTGCCACAGTGTCGGTTAATCCCTCATTGCAGCCGCATCGCAAAAACCCAACTGCTGTTCCAGAGAAGCCACATACCTTCATCATCTGCAACTCTTTCAAGCCCTTCTGCACAAGCTCTTGCACAGCCCTCTCCTCCGTCTCGCCCTGATGCTCCCGGAACGCATCTCTCGTCCGTCGGTGTGCGTATTCGCGGTAGTTGTACAGCGCGAATTCGCGCGATTGTCGGAGGAGGCTACGGTACTGCGTCACTCCATTTTAGCATTTCTCTCTATCCACTTTCCCAACGTCATCTCCTCTCTCTCTCTCTCTCTCCCTCTCTTCAATGTCCTGCCGTGACAAGTCTGGTTCCTGCACCGAAGGGTTCGTTGCGCTCCTGCTACAGGCAGAGGCATGCGGAAACCGAACGTGGTAGACTAGGGGACCACGTAGATGGGATGTACTTACCAGCGATCGAACCTGGAACCCCGTATCGCCTTTCGCAGCTGCTGCTGTTATTGACATTGCGGAATCGATGTGTCGTGCATGGGGTGGCGTGGCGTTGGGCAGGTGAGAGAGCTAACTGGAGACGAAAGTTTGAAATGTTTCGGCCGGCGGAGATGGCGTTCGCTCCGGGGCACTACACCTTCCGGGATGCGAGCGGGATGACGTTGAGATGCGGAAAACTCATCACGATCCAATGTTTCTTCCAACAATATGTTTTGCAATCACGAAGATTTCTGAGAGTGATTTATATGCTGGTTTGTGATCCTTTTGTGCTTGATTTACGTATTCTTAGCGTGACGGCTATGTCAACAGGTGACGACCTCAGTCTTTTAGCCACGATAAGATATTACTACTACACACTTTGCGTAGGCAAGCTCAATATTGATTGCCATGATAGTAGTACATTCCCCTTCACAAGACCGGCTCATCCGTCGCAGTCACTTCCATCCAGGCAATAATCAGCCTAGACCTATCCTATTCCACCCTTTCCTGCCTGAGACAAGACGCGAGTGCCTAAAGGTTTGTATGTGTCAGTAGATGCCAAATAAATTTACACTCAGGTAGATACGAGTCTTCTTCAAATCATAGCTCCCTCAAACGCCGCCCAATGCACGTAATTCGCTGCGACACACCTCATCCTGATTGCTTATATTTTGCATTCAACTGCTTCAGCTGCTCCTCCACCTTCATGCTCTGAGTAACGCTCTGATTTCGCATTGCGTCTCTGGTCTCGGGAGTACCGTCATATTGGAATGTCGCTTGCTTCCTTCGCTTCGCCTGCTCTTCTTCTGAGTATTGCTGCCCGGTGACAGGATCAAAGAGATCACTACGTTGGCTGGCAAGCCGCTTGAGGTTGTTGGCGACGTCAGAGGTATTGAGATTGGTGGTGGAGTAGCGTGATTCGGCTTTGGCTTTCTGTTCGCGCCAGTATGGATCAAGCATTTCAACTAGTGAAACTGTTAGTGTGTATACAACAAATGGTGGGATGATGATCTTACTTCGCACGTGTTCATCGAACTCATTGTTCGCAACGAGTTGTTTGCAGACCGGGCACATCGACTTGGCAGTTTGTTCCTTCTTCTGTTGGAATGCTGGGACGTAGTCTGTTCGGACCTTGATCTGTCCTTGTCCTTGACCCCTTGCGGAGGCTTGTGCTTGCTGGGCACGCTCCCGATTCTCTACTCGCTCACGAATGCGGCGCTCCTCCTCATCTTCTTCGGGTGGTTGTTGAATGCTGTTGTAGCCCACGGGAATCTGAGGCGCATGCATAGGCATGGGTGATGGCTGTATGCCAGTCATAGGTGTCGGTTGCATACCAGGTATGCCATATGGTGCTGGTGGCTGCATAGGTGCCTGAACTGGAGGTGCCGGGTATTGGAACATGTCGTCGGTGGGCATAGCTTCCTCGATACGCATGTTTGCAGGCTGCAATGTCATCGACGCTTTCTGTTCCAATGAAGCTGATTGCAAATCATTCATGGAGGTCGGTGGGGGTAACTCGGCACTTTCATCTGCATCGGTAAAGAGCACCTCTTCCACAACTGCAAAGTCATGCCAGTCAATCTGTGCATATGCAACTTTCTCTTTCTCTTCCTCCTCCTCTTTCTTGGCCTTCTGTGTCTCTACGTATTTCTGGTACGCGGCGCGGTTCTTCGCTCGGTCAAGAATCTGATGTCGGTCGGTCTGGTTAAGTTTGAGCTGCTGTATTCGTGCTTTCTCCTTCCTTCCACCATCTGCTGAGCTCTGGTATATGAGGTCGCTATACTGATCAACTAAACGACTAAAGTATTGGTAGAAACTGTGGTTCGGTCGTAAGAAGTCGAACTGGTAGTTGCCAGACTCGCGCTGAGAGAGCGCAGTCATCCATGACCTGCCGTTCTTCGCGACGAACAAAGCAGTCAGCCGCAGTACTTCGAGATCCTGTGCGCTTATCGTTGGCATACGTGCCGAGAATTGAAACTCGGGTGGCTCTGGAGGGCCTTTTGGCTTCTCCGGGCCCTTGGGACCTGTACCATTTTCACCAACTCGTCCAGCAGCTACGTCTGTTCCGCGCCCTTGCTTGATCTCAGACAATCGCCATTGGTAGTATGAGTGGTATTCGTCGACCTCGTTGAGGAACGAAAACTTGGCGTTGGCAGATTCCTTCGCGCGTATCCTTTCTTCGAATGCCGCTCCGTTGCGCGCAGTGTATCCCGCCGTCCGCTCGATAATGCTTCGAATCTCCTTTGGCGGCTGTACAACACCAGGTGGAGGCTTGCTCACGTCATCCAGAGATGTCATAGTTGGAGGCGCCATTCTGGGCGACGAACGCGAATATTGATGATGTCGCAAGAGTTGCTGGTCGCGAGATAGGTTTCGAGATCTTGAACAGCTATGGCGAGGCGCTAGTGTATAATGGGTTAGCATATTTTTCACTCACCCTAGTCCCTATTAGACTGTTTACTCAATGGAAATCATGTCTATCATAGATAATGCCGCGCGACAGCTTCGAATGATTATCGATTGACTCACACACGATATACGGCACACTATTATATGAAACATTCTCTTGTAACTGTTGCTCAAGCATATGGCGTTCCAACGTTTATGGAATTCCATGTAAACGCACTATCTACAATGATTCATGGTACTAGAACCAAGCGCTCTGTCACAGCCTGGTTCCAAATGACAGAAACATCATCAAATTTCTCAACCCTGATATCCCGCTTCCCAAGATCCTCCGCCACAAACTTCACGATATCGGGCAGCTCCTTTTTCATTTCCGCTATCGACCACGACCCACGCCCGGCGCCTCTCAGTGTCAGATTCTTAGATCGCAACTCGGACGCCGGCACCTCCAGTGCCTTTCCGGCCAAAGAGCCAATATGCACCCACTGTATCTCCTTGTCTGATTGCAAGGTCCTAAACAAATGCTGAGTCGGCTTGCCGTAGAGGTAGTCGAGCACTACATCTGCTCCATTAGCAGGGGAGAAATCGATCTCGTCAATGTTTTCCTTCAACACGATCGTATCGTCGAGGCCGAGTCCTTGCATTGCACTTGCATTACGTGCAACTCCTATGACATTGCCTGCACCAAGCCTTCGAGAAACATCTACGGCGATCCGGCCACTCGCACTGGTCACGCCCATGATGAGCACTTTAAATTTCTCCGGAAGATTGACTGTTCGTCTCTGAAGGGCCATCCAGCTGCTCATGGTAGGGTTGACATATGCAGCGACATGAACCGGATCAGCGGATGGGTTCAGCTCGACCAGAGAATGAGTTGGTAGATTTATAATCTCTGAGAACGAACCGTTGGGCATGGTCGAGAAGTACACAACCTTGCCGGCAGAGGTTCGTCCAACGCCGTCTACGCCAGGATTCAGAGGAAGATGAGCAGCAGTGGCGCTATAGTGTCTGCCAGCCGCGCGAGACCGGACGACGTTGTGAACGCCGCTTGCGAGAACATGGACTTGTGTCGTTGAGGCATCGTGGGGCTGGCCAGGTTCGACGACATTGGCAATCCTGGGAGGTTCGTCGAACGAAGATACCAAGACTGACTTCATTGTCAGCACTAGTACTCATATAATACGAATACAAATACTAAAGGTGATGATACTGCTGGCGACCAGTATGGGTTAGCTGTAGAATCATTATATGAACACTAGGTTGTCTCACAGATCTACCTGGTAAGCCTATCCATACAGTTCGCTAAACCTACAAGAGCTTAGTTCACCTCAACTATGAGGAATGAACGAAGTCACCAATGCATCCTGTTTTCAGTCGAATACACACTCAACAGCCGGTATTTCCAAAGGAGGTGTCTCCTATAGTGTATTGACCCACTTGGCCTAAAGATGGTGCACTCCCTGTCAAATATCCATTGGCTAATCGACGGATGGATCCATAGTGACATGCTCGTCACTTTTTCAACTTCACTAATGAATCCTAATTACTTGTGCTCCCTGTCAATCCGACGACAAAGGTAGACCTCGTGACTTGTCCGTGCAATGAGTAGTATTGTTGCGACGTGTGTATGTAGTCTGCTCTTAGCAGTAACCAATCTACATGCTTCTTCCGCCCCTCTGCTCGAAGTCTGACAGTTCCGCACTCTTTAAATGTCTTTACCGTTAATAGTAACCCAGTCTGCACGCATGCTTACAATCCATGCTTGCCCAGAATCACGAACCTTGTCTCACGCGCAAATGCTCCTTATCATCCTGCCGGATCAATACTACTCTTGATGCTGCACCTAAGGTGAAACCCTGAAAGTACGCGTGTCATAATCCCAGGCTCAGCGCTGCACACCAGTGCTTTGTCCCTCAGCAGCCGCAGCTTGCGCTCTCAAACTCGGTGCAGTGTTCGACCTTTGTTCCAGATCAGCTGCCCAAAGCGCGGCTCCAACAGTGTTCGTGAACGAGAAGAAAATCCCCGCGAATGGAACCATCTCCAGTAGAGTGGCAACAACACCGAAGCTGGTATATGCAGCCTTCCTATCTTCAACATATTTATCCTTCTGGCTAGCGCTCATACCCTTGAGCTGGAAGTATCTCGTGTGCGCCACCGGTCCTGTACGACGGCCCTGAAGGATGATGAATAGCGCTGTGCCAATGACAGGGATGAAGTTGAGCGGCAGGTACATGAAGTACCGAATGATGGCCTTGGGCGCAAAACGTGCAAACGGCTTCTTGGCCAGCTTGCCGAGCTTGCCAATAGGGTCAGATCCAGCCTTGACATCGCGGCCCTGCGATACGAGCTCTGTCTGGCTACGGGTAAGAAGAGTGCCGTCAAATGTGTCTAGCAACGCTTCTTCGATGAAGAAGTTCTTAGAAAGTACAGTGAATATGGTCGAGCTCTCACTAAGTACGAGGAGGATGCTTGTCAGGGCAGCCAGAGGGCCGTTGAATATGGCGAGAAAGGCGGCTTGAGGAAGGTATGTCACGGCGAACATGAACGTCGTCACGCCGACGCCGAGGGTCATAGTGGGTGCGAGTTTGGCTGTGAGGGGCTTCCATAATGAGCGGTGGGTGAAGAAATAAGCGATACCCTGAATGAGACTTAGTTGGTGTTATGTTTGATACGAAGGATCGATCTGCCTACCTTGAGTGGGTAGAGATAGGCTGTTGAGCGAGCGGCATCAACAGTGAGTGCTCTGAGCTTCTCCACTTCCTCGCGCGCGGTTTCTTTGACCTTCTCGGACATGTTGATCTTTCAATGACGATGTTGATGTTGATTGTATGGATGGAAGGTGTTAACGGGGGAAGATTGGGGCAGTTGGGAATGAAGAGGTTGGAATATCGTATTGCGACTTGCAAATATCCCGGTTGTTTTGAATGAGTTTGTTTTGGATGTCCGCTACGTCATAATGCGCAACTGCAGGGTGGTGCCCAGGTGGGTGGCAGCTGCCCTGGATGGATGATGCCTGAGGTGCCCAGTTCCCTAGCTGCCTTTGTTGTGGATGCTGTGGTGCGCCACGCAGATCTCACGCCACAAGTCACAAGCCACACTGCATCTTTCTCTAACCTCAACTTGAACAAATGTTATAACGTAGTATCCAGCCACCCAACTGTTGTGAAGCACGCAGATCCAAGCATCTCCGAGCCCGAGACCCGATGTGATATATATACTGTAGCCAGTTATCCACCTTATTCTGCCAACACACTATTCCCTCAGCTCCATGCATGATTTTCGTTTCTCTTCAAAGTCTACGCCGACATCGTCTGATCCCGCTTCTAGGTTTCTCATCACTGCGGTCTATAGATTGCACGCCATCAAGTCTAGCAATCACTCATCGCCCCTCCCGTGACTCCAATGCTGGACACGAACAGTACTAAGAGCACGCGTAGTGCAGACAGCTGCCTTGAGAATCTGCGACGTGTTGCAGAGGCAATATTAGAGCAAGATACCAGATCATGTGTCGGGGCATCAAGCCGATGATCTCTCCCAGAAGAATTCGAGGACAGCCATCGCGGATCCTTCAGGCTCGACTACACTCCTCAGCACAAAGCCTGGATCTGCTAGCGCGAATAGGGCCTTCCAATCCGAAAGAGTCCTCTCTCTAGCATTGAATGTCGATGCCATTTCCAGATCCAGCGACCTGTAGTGGATGCATGTTAGTTTCGATGAGCAGCACACGGCCTTGTGTAAATCACCTTAACTCGCTTTCTTTCCAATAGCCCACAGTCCCTGACTCTGGCAGTATAGCCTCCAGCAGAATAAGCCTTGCGCCTGGTTTCATCGAGGGTAACTGTGCCTTCAATATACGGACGCAATACTCATCTGACCAGTTGTGAAATACCCAGCGGAAGATGAACACATCTGCCTGAACGCTTTGAGGATCGAACAGGCTATGAGCCATGAATTCCAATCTATCCGCGGAGATCTCTTCAGGGCCGTCACCGAGCATATGTGCCATATCCTGTACGATGAAGCGGAGGTTCTCATAACGACGTGCAAGGGCGATCGCAAAGTGGCCTTTACTGCCCCCAACATCCACAACGAGAGCTTTGCCCAAAGCGCCCCAATCATAATTGTTCACACCATATGCCAGATCGAATTCGGGTCTGGCCGTCATGACTTTCATGGCGCTTCCGAATCGAGCGGCACGAGAAGGATCTTTCCCTACGACTTCGTATATCGAATCATTCGTATCGTTCGCCAGAGAAAACCCCTTGGATGGTGATCAGCTAGATGCGCCGGGATAAGTGACTGTTTCACCTACCGTCTGATTGGGGTGTTGCGAGCCTGGCCATCGCTCAAGAGCATCGGCCAGCTAGGTTCATGCATTAGCAAGCGTCTGTTCCCTGGTTCAAACACCTTACTCGTCCTCCAGCAGGTCCCATTTCCTCAATGCCTGTTCGTGCCCAGTCTCTGAAATCATGGTTGGCCAGGAGCTTCGAGGCTTTTGTGTGCATCACCTGACCTGGCTCCGGTTCTTTGAAAATCCGCATTGTGGCAGCGTGTCGAACAATTCGCCCCACCATCTGTTCAGTCAGGGGAGTTTGTCTACTAATATCTTGAAAGGATGTTCGCCCTCCACAAGGGACCAGCGCCGCAATATCGAATCGTACAATAGTGTTGATACATGCCGGTTTGTCACTCTTTTGCGCAGTGTCAACAAATCGAAGCTGAACACAGAATGTATCTACATACTCTCGAGGACCGGTGTATAAAATTCATGGGATCTTGCAGTAGATCCTGCAACTCTGCTGTAGCGTCAAGAACTGCATGTTGAGGACCTGCGATCTCTTTCGGCAAAGGCGGACTGTCCTCGTCAAAAGACGGCATTGGAGCGCCTTGAGCGTCCAGTATCTCTTGTATCTTTGCCACATTTTCGCTTATGGAGGCAGCGAGCTCTACAATGCGTGGTGTAGACTGACCTGCACCCATCGTGTTGTATGAAGGCTTGGCTACACGCAATCGGACTTTAGATGAGCCTAGGTCGATGACAAAGCCGCGTATATCAATAGCAGTTCTTCGGCAGCTGCACGGCGCTTGGGGATGGTGGTTTTTAGTCCGATGAAGCAAGGAGGCCGACAAAAAGAACACAAAACCGACTAAGCCGTTTTCTACGAGACTTCAATACTTCTCGCTGCTCAGCGCCGCACTGCTTGTGGCGCCAAAGCTGCTGACGATAGCAACGAAGAGTCGAATGCATACCACAGACGGGTAAGCACGCCGTAGAATTGCTTTTCGTATGCAGTTTGAGGCTAGTGTAGGCTCATCAACACAGCCGAAGAGAACAAGGCCTTGATATTCAACCTATGGCAGGCTTCGCGCTTTCCGATGGCGTTATTTGCGATTCATGTTGGATCGGACATGATGACGAGGCGTACACGGTGCACCGCTACTTTGTCTGGACATGCATACTAGGGCCCCTCTGGTGGGTGCTACTTCGCGCCGGTCCAGCACTGGTGGGACCCCCCCCCCCCCTTGTCCAAGAGTCTCGCTCCGTAGTGGCTTTCAATCTCGAAGCAAGCCAGCGCTTCTATTAACAGCATCTGGACTCAGGCAACAGAAACAGATACCTAGTAATAGCACAGATTGTTATCTTACTGGTATTGATGATGCGGCACACGAAATCGGGCTCCGACTATATCGTACCCTATGTTCGCGCTTGATCTCTTCATCTTTTGCAAAATCACCCAACTATGCAGGTATTGCACGAGTACAAACAGTCCGCTACTTGTCTCCAGGATATCCTACGTAGCCGGGCCATAACGAGGAAGGGAGACATCGTTTGCTACCCACTTGGCGACACATCAAAACCAAAGTCGTTCACATATTCTGATCTATTTGTCCAAGCCAGCTCTTACGGCCGAATCCTTCGCGCCACCCCTGCCTTCAGAAGGAACCATCCAGTACTCATTCATCTGGACGACCACTGGGTAACAATTGTCTGGTTCTGGGCCGTGTCGCTTGCCCAAGGATTGCCAGTACTCTCATCTCCTTTCAGCAACATCAAGGAGCACCGTAATCAACATATTAGCGGGCTCTCGTCTCTGCTTCAATCGCCAATATGCATCACCCGAGAGAGATTGCTGGATCTCTTCGATGGCTCTCGAGGTCTTCTGCAATTACACACAATCGAATCGCTATGCTATGATGATTTGTCCGCCGACTCATCAGCGTCATCGCAGGCCTCGGACGGTTCAGCATCATCCGCGGACGAACCAATGGCTCACTTCCAATATCCTGGGGGCGATGCTCTGGCGATGTTGATGCTGACATCAGGAAGCACAGGAAACGCAAAGGCTGTGCGCATAACGCACAAGCAGGTTCTCTCAGCCATCGCAGGAAAAGCTTCTGTTCGGCCGCTCGAAGGGAAAGGATCATTTCTCAACTGGATAGGACTCGATCACGTCGCGAGTCTCGTGGAGATACATATTCAAGCATTGTGGCTCGGTGCCGATCAGATCCATGTCAACGCAGCGGACGTCGTTTCATCCCCGATTCACTTCTTGGATCTCTTGAGCAAGCATCGCGTATGTCGTACCTTTGCCCCAAATTTCTTCCTGGCCAAATTGACGTCGACCGTGACTCTGGAGATGGAGCGCCAAACGTTTAGAGGAGGTTGGGATCTCTCATCTCTACAGATTCTTGCTTCTGGTGGTGAAGCCAATGATATTAGGACATGTTCGGCGGCATCCAAACTATTGAGCAGATACGGAGCTCGAGACGATGTTATAACTCCGGGGTTTGGCATGACGGAAACATGTGCTGGTGCGATCTTCAACAGCCGGTGCCCCCGTTACGACGAACAGCAAGGACGCACGGTGGCAAGCCTCGGGAAATGCGTGAAAGGTATCGAAATGCGAGTTGTTGCTGGCTCCACCCCTGCAGCTACGAACGAAACCGGCGATCTTGAGGTCAGGGGAGACATAGTTTTCAAGGGCTATTATCGCAATCCCAAAGCGACCGCGGACGCATTCCCATCACAGGACGGGTGGTTTCGTACAGGGGACCGGGCTTACATTGACAATCTGGGGAACTTGTGCCTCAATGGTCGGTCGAAAGAGGTGATCAATATCAATGGTCTCAAGATTGTCATTGCGGATATTGATGCAATACTGGAACAGGCACTGTCTAGCAAAGTGCAACGTTATGTCGTATTCCCGTCGCGTGCAGCACACACGGAACAAATCACCATCGCTTATATTCCAAGGGAATCGCCACACACTGCTGCCCAGATGGCTGCAATCGATGAGCTTGCAGCTGAAGTATGCATGTCCAGCGTTTCCGCTCTACCGTCGGTCTTTTCGCTGATGGGATCCTCCCTCTCATCACTACCTATGACCACTCTCGGGAAAATATCACGTGCGAAGATGAGCTCCTTGTTTGACTCAGGTCGCTTTGACGAAGATATTGTTGAGCACCGGCAACGTCTCGATGCCTTCCGGAAAAAGACGAGGCGGACAGGGTCATCCGACGCTGCCAGGACTGGGACTGAACTACTCCTCATGGAAAGCTTTGCAAACACTCTAGACATTAGTCTTGACAATATTGGCCCGGAGACACGGCTCTTTGAACTTGGCTTCACGTCCATGGACCTCATTCGTCTGAAGCGCCATCTGGATAGAAGTCTACAGATCAGTGTTCCTGTCATCACACTGCTACGCAATCCAACAGCGAGGCAGTTGGCAGCAGCACTCAGCACAAATATGGCGAGCGTCACTTCCTCTGTGGAGCAATCCAAGACGATAAGTACCAGCTACGATCCCGTTGTAACACTGAAATCTAGCGGTAACAAAGCCCCCCTATGGCTAGTTCATCCAGGTGTGGGTGAAGTCCTAGTCTTCGTCGGTCTTGCACAACACATGATAGATGACGACCGTCCGATATACGCTTTACGGGCAAAGGGTTTTGAAGGTGGCGAGCGGTTCTCCTCGATAGAAGCGACAGTCGATACGTACGTTCAGGCGATCAGACAACGCCAACCACACGGGCCCTACGCCATTGCCGGATACAGCTATGGAACAATGCTTGCATTCGAGATCACAAAACGGCTGGAACGCTTGGATCATGGCACCGTCAGCTTTCTCGGAAGCTTTAACCTGCCCCCACATATCAAATCTCGCATGCGTCAACTCAGCTGGAACATGTGTCTTCTGCACCTGGCACAGTTTCTCGGCTTGGTCACAGACACAGTAGCCGAAGTTATGGAACAGAGCAGCACTTACCCTGGCGCGCATAGGGACGATGCTCTCGGAACTGTAATGCACGCCACAGACGCGGCACGCTTAGAGGAGCTGGGTCTCGATCATCTCGCCCTGACCCGCTGGGCCGACGTCGCATACGGCTTGCAAGGCATGGCCGTCGACTATGAGCCTAGCGGACAAGTCGCGAGTATCGATGTTTTCCATGCCATCCCCTTGCGCCACGCTGCTGCATCGCGGGAGGAATGGGTCCACGAGCATCTCAGCAAGTGGAGAGACTTTTCCAGGGATGTTCCCAGGCTGCATGCTGTGGGCGGAGCGCATTACACGATGCTTGGGGCCGATCATGTGGCGCAGTTTGCAGCAACGCTCAAGGAAGCGTTGCACGCACGGAATGTTTGAGCATGGATCCTTGTTGGTTTCTTTGAATGCATGGCTATGAGGCGTATTTTGTACATCAGTAGTATTAGCGATATATCCCCCCCCTTGTGGTGTGTTTGTATTTTCGGCTTCTTGATCTCCGCAAATCTATCTGGGTCTCTTTACTATTATTGTTCGGGCGCAATTGGGTGGGGCTAGAACTAGTGTAGATTCTATCTGATCCATCCATTCTTACCTATAGAGATATCCACAAAGTATTATTACATTCAGTTGCTTCCTTTAGGATTTGACGTGTCATCCCCTTGACTCTTCCTAACGTAAGGTGAGACATGTCACAACGTATCTAGAACCCCACTCCAGGCACCGGATCACCCGCGTCAACCTGCCCCGGTCCACTTCAGCCCTATTTTTTTCGTTTCAGCCGTCTTAGTCTTCCTAGATACACAAAATTAACACCAACTCCTCCCCACCCGAAAAGCCAATCTCAGCAGGTGTTACGTACACCTACAAAGAATCCTACTATCCACATTTAACACATCCAGAACAAACACGAAGACAACAGATACACACCCACACCTTTTCTCCGCACAGCAAAGAAACACGATGATATCAGAAATCCGCCGCGTTATCGGCGGATACACGCACACGGCCCTCGAAACTACTCGACAACTCCTCCTCCGGACGCTCTCCCGCCTCATCGCATCGCTCGAGAGCCCGTCCGATGTCATCCACCGGTACGGACATATGGTAAGTAGACCCCCCTGCCCCCGGTCCGACCTTCCCTGTCTCGCTCCCCCCATATCCGCCAAGCATACACACATACACACATACATAACATTGAATTGATGACTTGGCTAATCATGGCGGTGTGCGTTGCGGGTGCGGAATAGACTCTCCAAACTGCAGCTATCAGAATCGGCATCGATCTGGGCGTGTTTAGGCTTTTGACTCAGGCGCAGGCGGAAGGGCGTGGTGCGGTGTCGGTGGACGGGATTGTGGAGCGGAATCCGGGGGCTGGGGGGTTGGTGCTGAGTGAGTTTGCATTTTCACTTTTACATTTTACGCGTTCATGTACACGTGCGCATACACATACAGCGGGCTGTTCTTTGAGAGATTGGTCTGCTGTGTGTGTATGCGATGTCATGTGGTGGTAGTGCTGCTGCTGCTGCTACTGATGCTGATTGATGTACTGTACCAACACTGACACTCCCACGTGAAGATCGCATATTGAGATATCTCGCCTCCATAGACGCCATCACGCAAGTATCACCAACCCGATATGCCGCCAACCAACGAACACGCCACCTCGCCGACAAAACCGTCGAGGCCGGCCTAGCACACTTGTAAGTCCTTGCTTCCCCATCCCCCCCCTTTCCCACACCACCACAACAACAACACACCACACCCAAACACCCCCTCCAAGAACCCCCCCTTCTCACAAACCCCCAACCCAGCCTCAACACCGTCGCCCCCCAATACGAAGCCCTCCCCGCCTGGCTCGCACAAAACAACTACCAACCCCCCGCCGACGAAACCCACACCGCCTTCCAAGCCGCCTGGAACACCCATCTCGACGCATTCGCCTGGTTCGCCGAGCACGCGGACCACCTCGCCTACTTCAACGACTACATGGCCCTGCGCCGCCAGCGCGCCCACGACGCTACCTGGCTCTCTGTCTTCCCCGTTGCGCGGTATGTGCGCGGGTGGAATCCCGACGTGGACAGGGGGGTAAAGGAGAGCGCGGGGAGGAAGCAAAAGGCAGTCTACGTGAACGTCGGCGGCGGCATCGGACACCAGTGCCGCGAGTTCAGGGAGCGGTATCCGGATGTCACGGGCGAGGTGGTACTGCAGGATCTGCCGCATTCGATCGCGAACGCGCTGGAGACGCCGGGCGTGGTGAATATGGAGTTTGATTTCTTCGAGGAACAGCCTGTTAAGGGTGAGTTTTTGTTTGGGTCTATACAACATGATGCCCACCTACCCCCCCTGGCCCCCCCTTTTTCCGTCTCTCCCTTTTTTTCTCTCTATCACCACAACCACAACAACAACAATCCACCGTCCAGATAACTAAAGCAAGACTCACACACACATACAGACGCAAAATTCTACTACATGCGCGGCATCCTGCACGACCACAGCCCGGCGCGCGGACGAGTCATCCTCGAGCACACGCGCGACGCCATGGGGCCTGAGTCGATCCTGCTGGTCGACGAGATGATACTGCCGGAGACGGGGGTGAGCCAGATGGCGGCGGCGATTGATCTGACGATGCTTGCGGCGCTGGGCGGGCAGGAGCGTACGGAGGCGCAGTGGCGTGAGACGCTGGCGGAGGCGGGGCTGGAGTTGGTTGAGACGTACATGTATGCGCCGTTGCTGTATGAGGGGGTTATGGTTGTGCGGAGGGGGAGGGGGGTAGAGTGTTGACTTGGGGAGTTAAGGGGAGGGGGGATTCGGTTTCTTGAGGTTTGGTAGGGAAGGTGGATGATTTGTGGATGATTTGTGGATGATTTGTGGATGATTTGTGGATGTTGATAGATGGGTAGATCTGTTTGGTGGATAGATGGGTGATGGGTTGGATGGTTCGTATGGCTGTGGCACGGTGCGTGCATGCGTTTACGGTTTGTTTACCTTCATTTTATGTCTTCAGCTCTGTCTCAGCCTTCAGAAATTTGACCTCCACCCATTTAAACGACACTGCCTCTGTCTGGCTGCTGCCTGCCTGGCTACCAACACAGTCACAGTCACAGTTACACCCATTCATACGACGCCCTACCTCATCTCCAAATAGCCAGCCAGTCAACCAGCGAGTCCAGTCAGCACGACGCAGGCCAGTCAGCCAGCCCTGCATATATACGCGCTGACCCAACCGTCAACAGCAACACAACCACCAAGGCACCAAAATCAAGCCCACGCCACAGCCATGACAGTTCTAGCCACACGTCACTACGAACCACAGGCATTCCTTCCCGTGCCCAGCTGCCGATGTACCCCCCCTCAGTCAAATCTAAAGTGTAGGATTCAGGATCACTACCACCCAGATCCACTCTGTTGTATGTGTGGATGTGTGTATGTAATGTGTGTATGTTCCCCACGCAGTGCATGAGCCCCTCCAATTTATATGGTCCCCCCCTTCGTTCTCCACACCTGTCACTGACCTATACTTACTACTGCCCGCGCAGGAACCACAAGCACGCGCACATGCGCTCACGCAATCCTACAGAGTCCCACGCTAGGAGGACAAGGCTTTGTCTGTCCGTCTGTGCATTGACGAACGTGTCCAACGTGGTCGTGCTGGAGCCCGGGCCCTGCTGAGGTCCACAGCTGCTGCTCGTGCTCGTGCTCGTGCTCATGGTTAAGACTAATACTATGTCGTTAGTGTTCAAGCCGGCACGGTGCACTCCGAAGAAAAGGATCTTACGAACGAACGGCCTCTGGTTAGCGCTTTGTCTCCCCCCCTCCCCTCCCCCTTTCCCCCTTTAGCGTGCCATTATGACTGCTCCCTAGGGCGTGTGGACTGGCTGGATGACTGCGGACTACCGACTTGGTAACAAGCGGAGAAGGATAATTAGTAGCAGAAAGTGTGCGAGTGAGCACCATATGCTGAGACACGTTGGCGGTGACTGTGGGTATCGTTCGGCGGAGAGGTATTCCTGTTACTGTGCTGAAGATTTAATATACGGCTGTACTTGCTTGATTGCTTGTTTCCTGCCCGCTTACCCGCTGCCCGTTGCCCACCGGCCGGGCGAATATACTTTTTTACACATGCCTGCCAGCGTGCGCTTGCCCTGCATGCACGTATCCAGATAATACTATGCATGGTCACAAAGTTTGTTTACCGCCCGCTCGATCGCATGAATAATGAGACATGCACAATCACAGACAGACACAGCATAGCACAGCATCGCCAGAGCCGTCTTTTGTCGGATACGGCACGCCATGCACATGCGCAAGGCCAACCGTGCAAGTCCAGATCCGCATCTCCATCTGCATCTGCTGCATCTGTATCTGTATCTCCGTATCAAGCCGACCACTGAGGGTCGCACTGCGAGAAGGATAAGGCAACCCAGTCCAGTCGAGCCCAGCTCAGCTTGCGCTGCACCGCCTGCTCGTTGCCGGACTGCTGACTGCTGAGTGCTGCGCGATGACAGGCTTCGTTCTGGGCCGACGCAATGCAACCGCTCCGTCCAGCTGCTGCATCGCGATCAGATGGCATCGGTGTCGGTATCGGCCTCGTGCCTGCAATCTGCAATGCTCCGTAGGAAACGAACGACGGCTGAGTGTGCTATGTATGCACATACTCCGCCCTCCTCGCACGGCTGCACGGCATGATTACTCCGGAGCAGCGCCCGTTCATCTGGCCCCTTTGCCCGTTTATGGCCAGGTGGGTGGCCTGGGCGGCGAATGAGCCCGGTTCGGCGTAGTGTGTCTGTGTCGTCGTTGCGGGCTGCTGGATCCGGGGGTACCGCGGTTCTCCGCTAAGGGGGTTAGGGAGAAGACTTGCCTGGAATAGGTGGTCTAGTGTTGTACCGTGCTGTACGTTACAGACGGGTGTACAGGTGTGCGCACATGGGCATGTTTGATATGCTGAGTAGCGACTATTCAGTGATGCGTGTTGAATGAAGGTGTTGTAAAGAGATAAAGAAAGAGAAACTTGAAGACAAAGGTTGAGTTTAGCTATATCTTCTACTGGCTAGCGTGCTTGCCCTGAACAGAATCGTGCTTTCCATATTGGAAACGTCTTGTTTATGGCGAAAGATCGCTGCGACGATAACGCTGAACATCGCGTGGAAAGGAGGTTCTGATTCTAGCTATGAATTTATAGTGCACATGTTTTGTCATGTAGGTGTTTCTATCACAGTAAATTGATTGCATTTGGGATATCATAACCGAAAATAAGCTATTACATCAACACTAATCGCACGCTCGCTCAACGTCACTAACAAGACTTCTAAATAACTTGCCCTTCAGACTCTTTCGGCTTCTCCTCTGGCTTCCTCAGATCACGCCATCCCATTCCCCAGAGCACAAGAGAGCAAGCCGCAGCAACCCCAGCAACAAGGTAGAACACACGGTCGACGCTGTTGGAATATGCAACCAGCACACCAGCCAAATCTTCTGTTGCAACGAACCTGCGGAATCCCGTGGCTCCGGCGCGCACGATCGCTGCCGCATCAGCGCCCGGCGCATATTCTCGGAGCTGGCCGTTCAGGCTAGCCAGGAAAAGGACGTTGAAAATCACCAGGAATATGGCTGGTCCGATGGACTGTGCGAAGATGATGATTGCCATGCCGGTCGAGAGATCTCTCTCCCCGATTACGGCTTGCACTGTGAGGATAGCCTGTTTGTTTCGTAGGATTTAGTGTCTGGCAATGCTGCTGAGGATTATCAGGAAGGGAGGTGTGGACTTACCAGCTGCATGGTCAGTCCAGAGCCAAAGCCGGCGAGTATCTGGAAGCCAACCCACCATCCAGTCGGACTAGATGGCTGTAGAAGCGAATACAAACCGCTGCCTACGGTGAGAAGGATTGTACCAACAATTGCTAGTGGAATGACATATCCAAATTTTTGGACTGCAGCCTGTTTAGCAACGCCGTGACAATGCAATGATATAACTTACTTAGACCTCCAGATAGGCCAGCAGCGAAGAGCTGTGGGAGAATCATAGGGAGAAGATACACGCCGCTTAGGACCGGTGTGGCATTGTTAATGGCCTGGAAATATAGAGGCAAATAGAACGTTGCTCCATACACAGCAGACATCACGAGCGCTTGGAAGAGCCCCGACGACCAGACGACGGTCTGCCTGATCATGTACCAAGGAATCAGCGCATCGTCGCCCTTATGGCGATTCCAGAATAGCCATACTATAAAGGTCACGCCGGATCCACAGAATAGGCCGATGACGCGAGATGAGCTCCAGGGGTACTGATTACCGCCATACTGAAGAGCAAGAAGAAGCATCAGCACAGCAGGGGCGAAAAGGAGAAATCCGATCAAATCAAGATAATGGTGCAGCTTGGACAGGACAGCAGCCGCACGCTCCTTCTTGGCTTGCTCAGGGATTCGTACGAGGACGAGTGTTGCTGCTGTGAATGCTCCTAGAGGGAGATTGACATAAAAGCCTAGCAGCCCTCGTTAGTCAAGGGTTACTCAAAAAGGGGCAACTTCAGCACTTACACCATCTCCAAGTCGTGTAAGAAGTAAAAGCACCTCCTATAAGCGGGCCAGCAACAAGTCCAAGTTGATTTACTAGTCAGAAAGCTTAGGACACTGGAAAGTTTCATAACTGAGATTCGACTTACGACCCATTGTGATACCAATGAGGACTGTATATTCTCTGTCAGCCACTTGCCAATCCTGCAAAAAAGTAATAGAGAGAACTCACCAGGGCGCCTCTCCAGGGGCGCGCAACTCGAGATGATAGTGATGGCGCCATTAATGATTCCTGCTGCACCGAATCCCGCAATCGCACGACCGACTATCAACATGTTTGACGACACGGCTGCCCCACAGAGGATGGAGCCAAGCTCGAAGATGCCGAAAAACGACAGGAATGTCCACTGTGGTGCAATCATGAGCAAATGCAACACTCAATTGGCATTCAGCACGGTTACACAAACCTTGGAGTTGAAGTGCGTATAGATCTTCCCCGTCAGGGGCTGAGGTGCAGCACTGTCTTGAGGTCAGCTATCGTGGACTTGGAGATCAAAGAATCATCATCAGGTACGTACCTGCCAAATTGATACGCGCTTGCATACCATCCTACATCTGGAAGGGAGTTGAAAGTGTCTGTAATGCGTGGTACAGCCTAAATCAACAAGTCAGTCAAAACACAGCATTCCGACGGATGTGGCAACCGAGATGACTTACAGTACTGACGATCATCGTATCCAGAAGCATGAGAAAACACGCGAGCGCCATGCTGGCTACAATCAACACCAACTTGAAGCCAGTCACGTATTCCGTCTCCCTGACAGAGCCGTGCTGCGGCTTCTCCACCTCGGCAATGTCAGAGGCTCTCCCGGACGTCTCATCCTGTGGAGAACTCTGAGAATCATCGTGAAGATCTGATGCGCTTCTCGACATGTTGGATGTTTGGTTTAGGTCCTAAGGGCTCAAAGTGCCGGCTGGACTGGTCGGAAGGATGGTGGCTCGTGTATGCGAGCGATAGTATAGTGAAGGAATTCGAACGGGAGGGGCGTGCGCTTCCTTCCCGCCATGACGGCGGCTGGCGTACACGGGGCAACGCTCGTAGATCGTAGACGCGATGTCCTCCTGTTGGTCTTTTGGCGGGAGGTAGTGGCATCTGGAGAGATTGGTATGATGACTCCTTATAATCTGAGACAATGCTCCGTAGAATAGCCAGCTCGAAAGGGGGGGGAACATCCCTAGGAGAACAACGATCCATGGAGATGATCAACGTGGACACAGCCAGTGTTCCCGCCCCCACGCCGCGCTGTGATCGTCGTTATGGTCCCCTGCTAGATCATCACGCTGTCTCATGGGCGGCTCTGGGAGTGGGAAAATGATGCTGAGAACTCCCTGCATGCTGCATCCAGTCGTTGCATTGGCTGGTTGTTGGAGTAAGTGTCATCATTATTGTCGTTGTCGAGCACCTGGGCAGACCTCCCAGCTTCACAGCCGGCGCGCCTCATATGACGTTTTCTAGCAGCCTGACCTGGCTGTATTACTTGCTCACCGATCCACGGCCACACTGGGTAATCCGGCAAAACGGGTTGACATTCTAAAAATTCCAATTTCACCACAGGGACAAGGATGAAAGCATCCATTCCCCGGGCCCGGCCGTCCATTCGAGAACTTGTGGGCGATGGCGTGTGACAAGTAGATGACTGCCCAGCATTGTTATCTTATCAATCAATCTTCGGCTTCCGAAGCGTCGTCGCGATTGGACACCGTGATCTTCTTACAGACACAAAGACACAAAGGGAAAAGCAAAAGCTCGAGATAAGCTGATGTTGACGAGATGAAGGGAGTCAGTATTCAACACTTGCTCGTCATGGAATAGACTGGTGTGCATCAATCCCGGTTGATGGTGACATGCGCCGTCACAGATGGCATATTGTTCGTTGATGGAAGATGTATCATCATGTCGTGGAAATAGAATTTGGCGAAGCTTTGAGGATACGAGAAGGCTTTTTGCTGGGGCCTGAGGCCATACTATCCATCCACATTTGCTCAGGACCCCCACGTGATCAAAACAAACTTCTGTCCGATATATCATCATTCGATGTCTCCACCGAGTATATGATCCTGTGACACCAAAATTTTGGGTACAACACTGTGCTCAGTGTTCTCAGTTGCAAGAGTGTCCCCCACAAAAGTATGAGTCAACTGACTCAATCCCTAAATCACAGCCGGAGCTGTCACTCAGTCGAGACTGATACTTTCCGCTTCACTCGTAGTCTTGCCTCCATTGGAGGGAGCACAAAGTTCAACAGGGACTGCTTCTTGCCCGGCAAATTCGTCACCTCCACATCGTAATTGAGAACCACGTAGCTCAAAGCCTGTTTCACCAGCGTAGATACAAACCATCTGCCAGGACAGCCGTGGCGTCCATAGCCGAAGAAAAGAAACGACTTGCTAGGCGTGGTTAGCAATTCTTGCTTGGACATGGCCTCCTCTCCGGACTCTTCTGAACTGTTAGTGTCGCCTTTATGCACGAAACGGAACGGATCGAAACGCCGTGGCTCAGGATATATGTCAGGGTCCAAATGTACAAATCGTCCTGGGTAAGCCATGCGGACTCGTGATCCCGGACTTATCGTCCAACCTTTGCTCAATTCGATCGGTGAGCCTGCTACAACATCGAAAGGCAAAGTATGCAGGAAGGCATCATTCAGACGCATCGATTCCCGGATCGCCGAATCCACGTGGTACAGTTTGTCGATTGCCTCGCGTGTCGACAATCCATTATTCTCTCTCGCTACTCTACGGCACTCTTGCTCTAGAGTTCGGACTATATCGGCGCAGTCTGGATTGCTGTAGATTTCCAAGACGGCTTGCGCAAACACCCAACCAATGCCGAAAATGAACATGGTTTTGAGGGCAAGAACGCGTTTAGCTATTCGATCGGCGCCCAACTCCGCTGGCCCATGGTTCTGCGCTACGCGGATCAGTGACTGGAGCATATCGAGCTGCGATACCTATCAGTCAGTACGCATGGCCTAGTCAGTGGAAACGAAGTATAGCTGTACCTGGCTGTGTGCGTCGCCACCCATCTGCTTATGCTTTTGCAGTCGTTCTTCCACCACAGGAACCATGAACTTGAGTACTTTCCGCGCGTTGTGCCGCGTCCATAGACCAAGAAGTCTTCCTATCACAGGCCTCATAAAAGGTGGGAGACAATTGATGATAGCTGCGCTCTGCATGATAGAGTTGGAGTACCGCATTGACTCTTCCATATACTCTGCATTCCTACAGATAGGAAGTCCAAGCATAACTCTAACCGACACGCGCGATGTGATTCGTGTCATGGAGGCAAATGCATCAGTAATGAGACCATTGTCGGCCATGCCCGGATCATCCCAGCATGTACGGAATGCATTTTCGAACTCTTCCATCATGATGGGCGCAAGAACTGCCAAGTCCTTTGATGTCAAATCGTTTGTTACTTCAAAATGTATTGGATTGGACCAGATTCGTCCCCGATCTGAAAGGAGGTATTTGAATTGGATGCCCTCGAGCAAAGCATTAAATCCGGAGAGCTCCTGCCTGGATCTGTTCAGAAAGTGCAACATTGAACGAGGTAGGATGACAAGATAACCGCCCATCCACATGGTAGGCAGTCCAAACGGCTTGCCCTGCTTCGAATATTTGTCGTAGCCATCTTGGAGATATTCATCCAGCTTCACGGGCGACTTCAGCACAGCGAGCAGCCAGGAGAAGATACCACCGCCCGGAGATACACCCACTACGCCGATCTTCTCCCATAACGTGTGCTGAATCTTGAAATGGCCAAAGGAGTGTAGTACACGGAGAAGGAAAAGGGTAGCGGCGAGAATGCCGATCGTAGATATATGCTCCGGCCAGAACATGTTTTCAAGGAGCGTTTAGCGGAGGAGCTAGCAGTATAGTTCTAGTTCTATCCTCCGCGAGTAGGATGTCCGGTATCTTCGGAGGACAGCAAAACAGCACTCACACAATGGACCGGAGTTCAGGTAAAGACTGCGCAACCTTGGAAGACATGTCATACAGGTCTAAGGCTGATGCTGCTCCATCGCGCAAACTGAAGCCAGAATGTGGCGGGGGCGGGCCACGGCCGGGCGGGCTGGTGCCACGCCACACACACAGACACACACAGTGGCAGCGGCCACACCAGTGACCCCACTGACATCTTATGGTTACTACCTTAAGTATAGTGAATCGTCGATCATCCACAAGATGCGACGACTAACGTTACGGCTATCTCTCGACCGACAGCAGAAATGGAGGCGTAGGAAGCCGATCAGAGGCTCATTCACCCAAACACCATCTATGCGTGTCATATCGTCTGTATATAATAGGGCAGTCAGTGGCGCAATCGACTGTCCCTCATTCTGAAGCGCGACATTTCCTGTCTGTCGGGGGACTCTCTGATCGTCCTGTGAACCCCCTGGAACATCCAGCATCAATTGCGCATTAGTTGTAACACTTCTCAGGTCAGGGATTGTTGCAGTAATGAGTGGGGTAGCCCCTGCGTGAGGATGCGGATTCCACTGCAAAGGGGCTTGGAAATACAGTCGTCTATATATGTATTTTCATGTATTATCATGTATTGGGAAGATGAGTCATCCATCTGTACTCCTGGTGAGCCAGGACTTACTAAAGCGAGTAGTGTGTGATGCTGAGGATAACTAGGACCTATGACTAGAAGAGCTTGGGTGTTTCTCTATATAACTAGGTATACCTACCACTAAACAAAGAACTAGACCTGATCCTTTGTCTTCGATGACCTATCATTTCCAAGCTTAGATGTCTCTAAACAATTATCCGCCAATGTTATTACAGACGGCGTAAACTATCTCTAGTCGGGGATGATGCTGGCTCCTTAATTAATTTCGTAGTGAGACGTTAATCATATCACACGCACCGAGCCCGCCCCGCCCCGCGCCAACCTAGCATCATTTAGCCCAGATATCGCTCAGAGACCGTCGATATCTATAGCGCCTTTTACGTTCTTTCATACGGTGCGATTTCAAGCGCGCTTCTTATAAGGCAGTACTGGGGACGTGCTCTATCGCCCTACGATCTCAAGTTCTTGATCCACGTATGCGTTGCTTTTGAAAGAGCTTCCGACTTTCGACGTCGCCGTCTGATCGTTCGATTCGTAATTCCACAACACACACACACACACACACACACACACACACACACACACACACACAACTGGTCTCCCTTCGCAATGGATCCGAGCATGCTTCCACCACCGGTGAATCCCAGCGATCCTGGGAAAGGACCGTTGATCATCGGGACGACGTGGATGTTGACCGGACTGTGTATACCCGTGATAGCATTCCGATTCTACGTGCGCAGCAGAGCGCCGAGTAGTCCAGGTCTGGACGACTGGATAATGTTGGCAGCGACAGTAGGTGATTAGTCTACTTTGGAGCAGAAATAAGCAATTAATCGGACTTCCGCAGGTGCTCCAGATTACAGCTCAGGCGTTCATCACAGTGTCATATTCCTATGGAATGGGAAAACATGACTTGGACCTCACGTACAATCAATTAGTGAGTGCAGGCGCCTGGATATTGATGAATGTACGCTGACTTTTTGGCCAGGTCAACATCTTGAAATGGGTCTGGTTCAACATCGTGCCCGGTATTCTCGTCTCAATTCTTGCGCGCATATCCATCACCATCCTTCTCATCAGGATCTTCAACCGGAAGTCATGGCTGAAGGTGTATTTGATCATTTTTACGATCTTGCAGAGCATCGGAGGCATCATGGTTATCATCATCATCTTTGCGCAGTCAGATCCTGTCGAAGCTCTATGGAACCCCTTGATTCCGGCGAAACGATGGAACCCTAACATTCAGCTATATTCGTCATATCTGGTGCAATGTGAGTCGCATCAAGATGGCCATCTGAACCAGCCACAGGCTAACACGTCGTAACAGCTATGTTCTCCTTCTCAGACATCACATACACGTTCTTCCCCATCGCCATCATCTGGAAACTACAGATGCCGCTGAAGAAGAAGATTGGTCTTGCCACCATCATGGCCTTCTCCCTGGTCACAGCGCTAGCATCGATCATGAAGACTGTGCTCTCGCAGCCTCCGACAGGCGAACAGACCGACGCGCAGTACCACGCAGTCCAATCCCTGCCATGGGCCGTGGCTGAGCAATGTCTCGTCATCATCCTCGGCTCCGTGCCCACGTTCGCATCGCTGATTATGAGGATCAACCTGGCATCGATCCGCTCATTTGGCTCATCAATATTCAGCAAGTCAAAGGAGAAGTTCAGCGCGACCAGCAGCCAAGACTCCTACCTCGCACTCGGTGTGCGGCCTACCTCGGGCAGATTCGGCGGGACGCGCAGCGACTCGCCTGCTCCTCTAGACTCGGTCCATCACAACAACTCGTCACACAAGGACATTGTGCACACAGATGGATACGCGGTGTCATCTGTCGGCGATGGACGCTAGACAATGGTGCAGAGGTTTAATTTTTTTTCTTCATTTCTGTTTATAGTTAACGATAGAATTACATATGACTTGCAACTTTCTTCTGGGCAGTGCAATGCATAGAGCATGCATGAATCGCCAGCTGGAGCCTCTACTCCAGCAGCAGCCAGCGCACCTCCTCACTTATTATGACGTGAGCAAATGAATCAAAAACAGGACTTGCTTGGCCCGGCAGTATCTAATGATAATAACGATGGTAATAGTAATTCTAGGCATGCATGCTTATCGACGCCATTGAGCGCAGTGGCGGGATGGGAGCTTCCGACGGGTCTCCAGTTGTTCAAGGTTGTCTTACCCATGCTTAGTACTGGATACGGAGCAGGACAAGTCCAATCGAGTTCGAGTCAGGTGACGCGCACAGAAATAGTGCAGTGACACACTCTGATAGTCTGGCAGTGACGACCCACTTTTTACGCCCATCTCGTCATACCGGTCTGACATCTGCGCCTACCCGTGCAGATTCTCCCGCCAGCTTGGAGTCAGTGTGCCACAACCGCCTTACGCAATAAGATCCCAAGCCGCAGATCAATACACCATGACTCAGCATTGATACTCAGATGTATGTATTTATGTGCGTGTGCATGTAGCGATTTGTAACATGCTAGGGCCCTGTGCAGGTGTGCGAAAGTGTGCATATATCGGCCCATGCAGCGTCGTCTTATCACGCATCGTCGTATTAGCGCCCGTGAATAGCTGCTTACTTTGCCTAGTCTAGTCTATACAGGTCCACGGGTACTCAGATCTCGATATGGACCTTAGTGTGTGTGTGGTGGGACACGCGTAGTATCGTAATCGTCAATTGTATGTTATAGCTCTACATGTTTGCGTGCGACATTTGTGATCAACAGCAGTGCTGAATTACCCTTCACGCGCCGCGCAAGTCACGCATTTCATTGTCATTAAGCTTGCATGGCTGAACTCTCGAATTGATCCTTTGCTCAAGCTTGACAACACCTTCAACATGATCGTCACAGTCATACAGATCCTACTGCTGTCGTTTCCTTTCTATTTCATAGCTCTTGCTTTCTACCGTCTATTCCTCGACCCGCTCTCGAGAATTCCAGGTCCTAAAATCGCCGCGATCACAAGATACTATGAGGCCTACTATGACGTAGTCAAGAAGGGTCAATACACTTTCAAGCTCCGCGAGCTGCATGCGAAATACGGTCAGAGCCGAGATGCCCACTTTCAGAACATTCGCAACACTCTGCTAACACTCGAGTCGTTCTACAGGTCCTATCGTACGCATCAGTCCCTATGAGATCCACATTCACGATCCTGCTTTCTACGAGAAGCTCTATCGCCAAGATGGCCGTTGGAACAAGTACGGCTGGGCTTGGGATGCGCTGAACGGCCCTGGAGCCACGATCCACACCGTCGACCACGATTTACACAGGCGCCGTCGCGTCCCGGTAAACCCATACTTCTCCAAAGCCAGCGTCGCCCGCAAGCATGGCATGATCCAAGGACACGTCAAGGAGCTCCTCGACCGCCTCGACGAATCCGCAGCCGCAGGCTCAACAGTCAACATCGGTGGAGCACTCACAGCACTGGCATACGATGTCGCTACAGACTTTGTCCTGGGCAAGTCCTACGGCCTCCTCCAACACCCTACCTTCAACGTGACAATGACAAAAGTCGGCCAGAGTGGCGGCGCAATCTGGCGCGTCTCAAAGCACATCCGCGGCTACATGAAGCTCATGAAGAAGATCCCCAGCAGATTCATGCAGAAGACCGACCCAGCCTTCGTGGAATGGTTCAAGTTCGCCAGCGAAATCCGCAGCATCGTCTCCAACACCATCACCACACACGGCACCGCCGCCCAATCCGACAACAAGGCCGCCCGCAACGCAATCGACGTCATCCTCGACTCCGACCTCCCGCCCGAGGAAAAACTGCCCATGCGCATCCAGCAGGACATCTCCGTCTTCGTCGGTGCCGGCACCGAAACAAGCTCCAGCGTGCTGCGCATGATGCTCTACCACGTCTACACCACGCCCTCCATCCTCCACACCCTCCGCGCCGAACTCCTCGACTCCGCCGTCGACCCGCTCTCCGACCCCGTCTCCAAACTCGAACAATTACCCTACCTCACCGCCGTCCTGACAGAAGGCATGCGCCTGAGCCCCGGCCTCGTCACGCGCGCCGCCCGCATCGCCCCTGATCGCGACATCGTATACGCCGACAGCTTCAAGATCCCCGCCGGCACGCCCGTCAGCATGACTATCTACAACATGCACATGGACCCCAGCATCCACGCTGATCCCAAACGCTTCGACCCAGAGCGCTGGCTCGTCAAGCCCGGCGAGAAGAAGCCGTTCTGGGCGGGCTTCGGCAGAGGCACGCGGATATGTATCGGCATGCAGTGAGTCGCGCCCCCTTTCCACATATACACATACACCGTCAGTGTTATACAGACAGACACACAACACCTTTTTAAAAAGACCAAAAGCTAACTCCCCTCCTCCCCAACAGCGTCGCCTGGGCAGAAATATACACGGCCTTTGCAGCGCTCGTGCTGCGCTACGACGTCAAGTTCAAGGACGACGTCGGCGCGCAGGACGTTGATTGTATCGCCGATGCAATGGTTCCTGCCACTGCGCGCGTGAACGGCATCATAGGCTGGGTATCACGGCGCGAGTCGTAGAACTGGATGTATATCGTTGGTTTAGCCATGCGCTGTGATGGTTTTTGGAAGGCTGGCTTCCATGTGCGTGCACGACGACGAGAGCGGACGGCGGGGTTATGTATTGTGCGATGGATGGACGGATGGACGGATGGATGGATGGATGGACAGATGCGTATTGCGTCTACGCTGGGACGCGCACGGAAGTCTTGTAGGCTCTTTCATGCTCTCTTCAATGTCTCACATCCATACGTATCATACATGAATGACTGGGCGGCATGCTTGTTCACCTACAAGTTACCTACACGAAGCTACGAAAGTCGTAATGTTGCTCAAGATTTATATATATATCAATCAATCAATCAATCAATCAATCAGTCAGTCAATCAACCAATAAATATTTTTCAAAATTTTACAAAAAGGTCGACGCTCTCTACTATCGTGCGTGCGTGCGTGCGTTGCGTACGTGTGTGCTGAGGTCATTTCTCTTCTTCCCCAAACTGGAAGTCGTCCATACCAGTCCATCTCATCCCGTCACAAGCAAGAGCGGCCCACTGCACCTGCCTTGTCCTCTTCATCTACTGTAAATATCAACATCCAAGCCATCCAATACCAACCCACCACCACCACCGCTCACTACTCCTCAAGATGTCTCTCCAAACTGCCCAGCAAATCCGGTTCGCCGTCTGGAAAGCGCTCATCCGTTCCATCTCCTGCCTCTCCCGCATTTCCTGCATCTTTCGGCGGTGCAGCGGCGGAAGAGGACGATGGCTCGGGAAGGACGGGTTGTACTTGTTCTTGTTCTTGTATTTGTTGTTGTGCTTGTTCTTGTGCTTGGTCTTGTTCTTGTGCTTGTGCTTGTTCTTGTGCTTGTGCTTGTGTTGATGTCTGCTGATGCGGCGGCGGTGGTGGTGGTGGCAGTGGCGACGCAGCTGCAGGAGTAGGATCGGGATGGACGACGGGTTCGATTGGTTCTGCGGGTGAGAGGTGCGGTGGAGGTGGAGGTGGAGGTGCGGAAATAGTCTCGCGGGGGGGTTCTATAGGCGTGGGCGCCGGTACCGGGGGAGGGAGGACGGGCGGTGCGAGTACGGGTGCGGAAGAAGATGAAGAGGGAGGTGATGGATTCACGGCAAGGGCGTGGGGAGGAGCGTCTGATGATATTGGGATTTCGGTCTTTTGGGGTTCGGTGGGAGGGTGAGGGTCGACTGCGGGCTCCATGGGTGGTGGGGGAGCGAGGATGGTAGCTGTTGGTAGTGTGATTGCAGGTATTATAGAGTCGGCTTGGGCTTCGACCACTGGGTCTGTGGTGGGTGCTTCTGGAGGTTGCGTATTTGATTCTGCGCTTGGGGGAGCTGCTGGTGGAGCTTCGATGGGGGATACAATTGGCGACGGGATTGGTGCCGTGATTGGGGCTTCAATAGGTGCTGGGATGGAGGGCGCTGCGGGTTCATCGATGGGCGCGGTGACGGGTTCCCGTGAAGGTGCGCGTGCGACTTGAGCGGTGTCGTTTGATGTGTCCATAGAGTCGGGAGCAGTTACAAGAGGCTGACTCGGAGCTTTCGCTTGACTGTTACTGCTGTTGGCAAGCGGGAGATCTGGAGAGCTTGACGGTTCTCGACTGGGACCTGGAGGCGGCTCGAGACTGGCAGTCGATACGGCTTGTGTATTGGGGATAGGTAGTGACGCGGCTTCTGACACTTGGACATTCGGAAGTGTGCTCCGCTGAGGAGGATCGGTCGCGAAGTCGGTCATGTGTACGTCTCCTGTATGGGATCTGGGTGGTTCTTGTATCGTTGGTCGGCTTGGTGACTCGGAGAGCTCGCCCTCTTCGTGTTCAGAGTCGTCGTCGCCTTCATCGCCATCCTCTCCATCATCGTCTTCGTCGTCATCGACATCGTTAGTGCCACCCATTGGTGTGTCCATGTCCGAGGTTCCACCAAGTGACGCTCCAGATGGCGCGGCTCCAGGTACTGCAAGTCCATTTTGATTGAGTCCGTTGGTAGGAGCAACGCTGATCGAGCCGTCTGGGTTGGTAAATTTGACTTTCTTGTGGCCTCTCCCGGGACCCTTCTGCTTCTTCTTTGGCGGAGGCGGCCGCCGTATTCTCTGTGGTGTTTGACGGATAGTATCACTTGCAACAACCATCCCCTCTGAATTGACGACCCCGACGCCTTCGACCACGGTACCTGGCAATGGTGCTGGTAACGCTTCAAGCGCGGGCACTTCGGACTGAAGCACCTCACCCTCAACGGTTTGACCTTCTGGTACCAGCACGCTCCAGATCTGCTCTTTGCCTTCTGCATCAATCTTCCTCACTTTGGTTTTGCGCATCGGAACATTTGTCGCAAGCGGAGCTGCGATACTATGCGACAGGTGTGCTGAGGGCAGGCCTTTCCGTCTCTTGGCAAGGTATTCCACCTCCGGCTCTTCCAAATGTCTTGCGAGTTTGGTATAGCGCTTTACGGTGAAGCCGCGCGGAACGTCTTTGTTTTCGTCCTCGGCTTCATCATTTTCCTTGTCTTCCTCGGTCACAGTGGTGGCCGGTTTCGTAGCTATTCCAGCGCGCGCAGCGCGTAGCAGCTGTTGACTATGCTCAGGGAGCATGTGCGAGTCTTTCGGCATCGGGAGCTCGGGGAACGCGTTTGTGTCTATAACAGGTTCGTTTTGTTGAGGCGGCGCGATGGACACGTCGGAGACGCGCCATTGACGGATAGGAAGGCCTTCGAAGACATCGTGATCAGCAGTTGTCCTGCCAGAGCGGTTCACACGGCTTGAGCGGAATGAAGACATTGCGTAGAGGGGAGTGATCGAACACGCGTTGGAGGTGTTCAACGCCAGGCAAGCGTCTGTCATATCCAGCTTTCACCTGCAGCCCGTCTGGTGTTCTACTATACCCAATTAGGCGTAGTGCTCCCAGGTAGAGCAAAACCGTGCCCTTACTATTATTACTCCTTGCAATTGTACTGTCTGTTATCTCATTCTCAGACATAATTAGGGAGTCAACCAAATCGCACGTCACCTCCTTATGTACGGATAACAGACTAGAACGTCAAGGACATGGACTCAGTCACTTGGCCCATATTATAGTTGCCTCCACAGTTCCGAACATTTGGCCTGACTCAGGACTCCATGTCTACAAAGAATCTTGCAACATCTTGGGCCAGATTTCGTTCCACACCTGGACGCATCGCTAGATATGTGCTTAATGCAAGAGCATTAAGTACTGAGAGCCCTTGCGCTTCCCGGACGATCTCGCAGTCCCCAACTCTGGGTGAAAATATCTGCTTTCATCCCAGTCTCTAGCTAACTGGACTAGGTCTACAAAATGGTAGAGACCTCTTCAACTACACCAGGGGCCGTTTCATAACTGACGAGCAGTTTGAGCTGTCTCAACGATGTGTTGATTTCAATGTAGACGCATTAGCTCGATGCGCAGCTGAAACTGTGGGAGCAGAGTCTTGCATCAGCATCGAGAAATATCCGGACGGCATGTATAATAAAAGCATGCTTCTCACCATGGATAACGGCTCTCAAGTGGTTGCGAAAATTCCCAATCCAAATGCTGGCATACCTCATCTAACCACTGCAAGTGAAGTTGCTACCATGGAGTTTGTACGTGTGCAACGTCGAAGAATTGACTTACACGGGCATCACTAAAGCCCTCACAGATTCGGGAGAAACTTGGCACCCCTGTTCCTAAGGTATTAGCTTGGAGCTCGCGGGCTCAGAGCAACCCAATCGGTGCTGAGTATATCATTATGGAAAAGGCCAGCGGTGTCGAGTTAGAACAAATTTGGCCATCTTTGGATATCAAGGAGCGTTTTGCCGTTGTTAAAGCTGTCGCAGGCTACCAGAAATCCTGGAATTCGATTTCCTTTAAGAAATTTGGCGGGTTGTACTATAAAAAGGACCTTGATAGTGACACTGGGAATGATGCACTATACGTCGATGCAGATGGTCATGACATTGTTGATACCAAATACGCCATTGGCCCATCGCCCGGGCGCGAATGGATTGATAATGGGCGAGTCAACATCAAACTTGACAGAGGTCCATGTGAGTATAAGGCGGGATACCAGATGTGACTTGACTGAATTAAACCAGGGAAGACACTGACTGAATTCCACTCAGCTATTGGCAAGCGCGAGATAACTTGCATCAATCAACTGCCTCACCTCCCGAAGTCCCCCGTTACCCTCTATGGTCCAGGCATCTATATCCCCACTCGCGAAAGAAAACTTGAAGCTTTGCACTGCTACATGACCTTACTTGATGCGATAGTACCATCTAATTCGGCTATTTCATCGGCGCATTTATGGCACGAAGACCTGCACGTTGCCAATATCTTTGTCAATCCGTCTAACCCCGCAGAGGTCGTCAGTATTATAGACTGGCAATCAACTGAGATATCTCCGCTATACTTCCTGGCCCGTCAGCCTCACCTTATTGACCACGCTGGAACCCCGGTCACCGGGATAGAGCGACCGCAGTATCCTGCAGACTTCCACAGCATGGATCCGGAAGCTAAAAAAGCCGCAGAGACCCGGTACTTTCAGCGATCGCTCTGTGCGTTATACAATTTCTGGGTTTATAAGGCCAATCCGAAGCTCCATGCTGCGTTCGAATTCCAGCGTACCCCAGAGTTCTCCCTGCTTCTGCTGGCACGCAACATCATCATCGACGGGGAAGCCACATATCTTGCACAAGTACTCGAGTTAGAGAAGCTATGGGACACACTTCCTGGCGCAAAAAATAAGAGTTTTCCATTAAACTTCTCCACCCAGCACCGGGCACGCATTGCTGCTGAGTTGGAAGGCGCAGAAGAAGGAATGAACTTGATGAGTTCAATCCGAGATTCTATCGGTGAACTATTTCCTGAACAGGGTATTGTCAGGCATGACCAATATGATGAAACTCTCGACGCTCTGGCACAGATGAAAACACAGATCATCGAGCAATTTGCTAAAAATGAGCAGGAGAAAGAAGAATGGGAAAGGCTTTGGCCTTTTGGACAGTGACACATTGCGCTCTAAGTGGTTCACGTCTCGTCTATCGAGCCTTCCCGAATGACGGGGCATCAATGCGGTATGTAAGATTGCTTAATCTTTTCTATGTGGTTGGTCCAAAGGCTTATATGCCTGTAGTGTGGTCAAAACCCCGTTACGGAGTATCCGCAGTGGTCAAGTGAAAATCAAAGTCGAATATCTCAAGTTAGCCAATATGTAAATTGTAATTGTAGTAGTAGATATCCGCTCATTCCTAATGTCGCATGCATGGCGCTCAGATATTGGCTGGGCTTACGATGCTCGACGTCGTTCGCCTCAACCTCATAAAATCGTATTAGTATAATAAGTATTACATTTGTAAGATATACAAATAATCGATAAGCATTTGCGCACTCTCAAGTGCCCTGTAACTTGATCGCAGATCAGCTCAGTCTAAATATCTCTGGCGCGCATCGTACTCATGCAGGACGATTACTGGAACCCGAACTCTGGCATATCGTTCCAATCGAGCCATAGCCCTGATGTCTCAGACATCGTCGTATCGAATCCCTGGCCAATCGCTTCATTGATCTGATCATCAGACATAGCAGAGAAGTGCAGTGGTTCTCCCCACAAAACGTTGTTTGAATTTTGTAGCGTATGGAACGCCTGCTGCGTGCCACTACTGAAAACTGTCTCCATCGTCTGGGCCGCATGCTTAGGATTTTCAGCTGGAGGTGGCGCTGTGGCAGGAAGAGGAACTGGCGCTTGACGCACTAGGTCACGAAGATATTCTCCGTAGTACACAGATTGACCTCTCCTATGCTTTGGGGTAGTTCCCAGACGCTCCAAAACGTCTGCGGCCTCTTCGATGAGCTGTGCGATACTTGGGGCGAGATTCGCACCTCCGGAAGACGGCCCAGTGCATAGGTTGAGCGCCATGCAGGCCCTGATTTGATGTAAGCTCAGTTCTCAGCTGCAAGAATTGTATGACATACGCAAATGCTAACATGATACATGTATTGTTCGGCATTGATGCTAGCTGCGAGCTACTTTGGACGACGGCCCGCATGACATTGAGCGCTGAAGACAGAGCAGACGCTCTGAACAAACGCTTAACCTACGGTTCAGTCAGTTTATAGTAGCATAATCGCATTAAAGTGCATATTGTAGTCATACTGTTGACAATACATACCTCTAGAGGAGCTGTAGGATGGTTCATCACCTTCGTATATGTCGAAAGCTTGGTATGTCTACACAGAATCGTCAGCGCCGAAGGAGTGGAGGTCATGTGCACTGACGTTATCATAACTTCTACGTAGGGTGGTAATGCTTCCTTCTTGCCTGCAGTCCAGATGATTAGCCAACTGTCAAAGAATTTCTCAATACTGCGTTCGATGTCTCGTGCAATGTTCGATCCATTATCGGATGATGTAAAACTGTCGCATCGAAGTCTGACTTCGCTGAAGAGGCCATCCAAGTCTCGTCGAAGTACTGACATCGATATCATTGCTCGGTCGCCAGGAATAGCAATGTCAATGGTGTGAAACTTGTCACAATGGTTGATAAGTGGACTGATGGGAACTGTGTATCTTCTGCCTCGAGCAAGACAGACTCCTCTTTCTAGCACGAATAAGGCAATCCAAATCCTTTCTCTGTTATTACATAGTCGTCGGCCCCACTCGGTACTGGGATCTACACCGTCAAATCCGTCCATTGTTAGTGCTTTCCGAGCATCAATGCAATCGGCATTGGGTATTCGATCTAAGACTTTGCGATCTATATAAGACGATGGTAGGATAATTTTGTCCAGGGAGAGGTCCAAAGCGATACTCATAGCGGTAGCAAGGTAAAGCCCTGTGTCGTCGTCGGCCGAGTGATCCCCTAAGAGCTCTTATTAGAGATGATGCCCAGTATAAAGCAGGCTTGAGGGAACATACCAGGCGGCATCCATGGAATATTCACAATGAAAGCTAGAACTATCTCAACCGAACGTAGTCTCTGTGCGATGACTCTCTGAGCTAGCACCTTCGTGTGTATAGAGAGCCGTTTGGCTAATGCATCGGTATATGAAATAAACAGAGACGAAGCCGCCATGATGGAAGTGAGTAGGAATGACGAGCGTTTACGGATAAAATCTAGCGTATACAAAAACGGATCCAGTCCCCATCTCGTGTGCGCGAGGTTTCGATGGAAGCTGACACGGTGAGTTGGGAATATGAAAAGTCGGCTCACAGCACGTACAAAGAGGTGAGCATTTCTGCCTCATCAATGGTAACCAGCCCGAGATCTATGGGATCCAAGTCATTATGTCGCTCTTCCTCACTAGCATTTGTGGCTCTCATGGGCCGGAAGAAACGATGGGCTTTGGGCGTGATTTGAGGACCAGAAATAGTAGGCCTTCGATTAGATGGTGTCGTCACATCTTGTGTCGAACCTTGCGGACTTGATAGCTGTAGATCAGACGCACGTGCAAGCAACTGCAATGGATTTTCAGCATCATCGAGGGCTAATTGTTGGTTGTCTACGTCAAGACTGTGTCTCGATGGAGTGATATCTGGAATAGGTCCTGTTGGCCCCTGTGCTGATGATGACAGGCGGGATCGTGCTTCATCTAGGAGACGATGAAGTTCAGTGTTACTGGCTGCGCCAAGTGGTGGATCATTGCGTGATTTTTTGAGTGCTTCCTCAATCTGAAAAACTGCCTTTTCCAGTCCTGAGCGCTTACTGTTCGGTCTCAGAAGACTACATGAGTGGTATAGGGATTAAGACGTACTTTTTCACCCCTTTCTGTCTGCCGACATGGAATTGCCCAGGAGTTGAGCAGTCTAGCCCGGCATTTTGGCATCGTTCACAGACGACGTCACCCTGGTCCCTCTTACACTTGACTTTGCTTCTTCGACAGTGCAGACATGCGGCTTGTTTCGTCGCTGAGCTGAAATGATCGAGCGACGACATCTACGCCATGGAGGAGGAATTCAGCATCACGGACGTCAAGCTGCTGATGCAGAGTCTAGATTAACCTTGGTATGGAGGAGGTTGGGGCTATTTATGCCTCAGGCACCAAACTTATAACACGTGCAAGCCAACTTTCGTCTACATGTGAACGTGTCCTTCAAATGGAAGGATCTCCTGTTTCCAGCATATTGCTCAACACTATATCCCATAGCTCTAGATATGCCATCTTCTTCACCCGAGCTGTATTTTCTGTCTCTTGGTAACAACTTGCTGGGGCGGCATTAACCTCGGAAGCGCGAAAACATATTAATTGAATTGAGAAACTAAAACCCAGACGAAGAAAAAATGAGGTTTTTGGCATTGAAGAAGACGTCCAAACAAAAGAGATAGTTCTGGTACTACCAACACGGAACGGAGTTTGGCTTCATGGAAACGAACCAGAGCATCTTACTCGGCGCCATTCGAAGATTCGAAGCCATGCTGAAGTTCACCTTTCATCAGGAACTCGATGTCTTCCGTCTTTAAAGTATCGACAATTTTGGGTATCATTGATATTGCCGCGATCCAGATTATTGTTGGGACCGATCTTTCGAAACATCTGATGGTGCACAGACAGTTGTAGCAATGGCTCCCGTCATCAGACTTGCCAAAGTGCGGGTAAGGTATCGTCCTGAGATCTAGCAACGTCAAGGCCGACAATCTGCTGTATTTCAACTCACGCATTCTGGGCTAGTCCTGAAAAAGCGTTCCTACACGCACATCGGTCAAAAAGAAGCCTTGTTCCGCCTCTGCATATCTGAGACGGGTCAACTCTAGCAGTATTTCCAATTGAATCTGCTATACCGTCAACAAGACCCGATCTAACACTCGTCATACCGCATGAGAAAATCACACAAGGTGAGTATACCAAGTTCCAGTTCTTCAAGAAAGAAGCGTATATGGCCGATCGACGCAGTACCATAATACGTGATTATGTGTATTTGTGTATTAACGACGCAAAATGGCTGTGTCATAACGATGTGATGCAATTCTGAATGGCAGATTGATACTTCAATTTCAGCAGAGTCATACGGGATGCCTCAACTAGAACTGGCACGCTCTGCCTGGGCCAAGGGTCGTGTGATAGACGCACTCGGTGGTGCCACAGCTGCGTGTCAGACAGAACTAATAACTAGCACAAGCCATGCGCGTGGAATTGATGACGACGTACCGATCCGGTCACTGCTACTAGCCCAGAGTTTAGAGCCGGTATATCAAGGTCCCTGACATGAGACAATATCAATGAGTTCTTGAGGCCACGGACTCGTGGGCCACGACACGTATTTATTAGTCTGGTGCATTGCTCATATGGCTCGAATGTCTATGTATCAAGCCCATAACAGCTGCACTTATCTATGCTGCAACTGTTCATGTTGACGGAGTAGAGATACCAAGCGTTGATTGGTCGAATGATCCGGCCGATTAGCCGTTGTTCGGCGCTTCTTTTGTCTCCGAACTGGACTGCACCGCGACATTGGAGTGGATCACACTGTCGTAATGTTAAGCTCGCTGCCGATGGCAAAGAAGAGTAATTAGTCCAAGTAGGTATATACATGCCAAATATACTCCTTACATCCATTTCCATATCTCAATTGACTTCATATCATATTGGTATACAAGCCTAAGCCTAAACATACACGCCAAGCCCCGCGCGACTGACGCTATCGCCATGAAGTCGCTTCTGCAACCTCATACGCTGCTCGTCTCTTTCATCCCACGAACATTCGCAGCGCGTAGTTCACTTACAGTTCATCTCACATCTTTTCCTTCGTCCCGCAACTACACGCAAACGACACAGCGACAGTTTATACAAATAGAATCCGTCGCAAATGCGCCTAGCATTGACCGATCAGCGTCTAAGCTGTTTGACTCCGCCAATGCCGCTGTAGCAGACATCAAGTCCGGCTCAACGATACTGAGTGCCGGCTTTGGCCTTTGTGGTGTTGCCGAGACAATCATCCATGCGATTCGAGACCGTGGCGTCGAGAGTCTGCATAGTCTCACGGCCGTGTCGAATAATGCAGGCATCGAGGGTCTCGGAGGTCTATCCCTTATCACCAAGACCGGTCAGGTAGATAAAATGATACTTTCGTTCTTGGGAAACAACAAAGCTCTCGAAAAAAAGTTTCTCACCGGTCACATCAGCATTGAATTATGTCCGCAAGGCACCTTGGCTGAAAGAATACGTGCAGCCGGCGCTGGCATACCGGCGTTCTACACGCCCACGGCGGTGAACACATTAGTTGAAGAGGGGAGGATACCATCCCAATTTGACGAGAATGGGAAAGTAGTAGCATATGGTACTCCACGAGAGACTCGTGAGTTCGACGGACGGAAATTTCTCCTCGAGAAAGCTTTACCAGGTGATGTAGCGATACTCCGCGCCTGGAAAGTGGACAAGGCTGGAAACTGTAATTTTCGATACACAACGAGATCATATGGCCAAATAATGGCAAAAGCAGCAAAGGTGACTATCGTAGAGGCCGAGAACATTGTCGAGATTGGCGAGCTGGACTCCAACGAAATCGACCTCCCTGGTATATATGTTGACCGGATCGTCCGTAAGTTGAATGTGATTCTATGTTACAGTATATTCACTGATTGTGCCATAGCTGCGACCTCGCCCAAGCACATTGAAATTCGTAAGACGCGGCCTACTAAAGCACCAGAATCATCTCACCAGCAGCCCCCGGTCAGAGAAAAGCCAGCAAAATCTGATGAGCATGCTGAGCGCCGCGTCAGGATTGCTCGTCGTTGTGCTGAGGAACTGAAGCAGGGCTTCTACGTGAATCTTGGTGTTGGTCTTCCAACGCAAGCTCCCGCGTATCTACCTGAGGACCGGCAGGTATGGCTGCAGTCAGAGAACGGCATTCTTGGGATGGGGCCGTACCCGCACGAGGACGAGGTTGACCCCGATATTGTCAACGCTGGCAAGGAGACGGTAACATTGGTACCGGGCGCATCAACCTTCGATTCAGCAGAGTCCTTTGGCATGATCAGAGGTGGCCACGTTGATGTATCGATACTGGGCGCGCTTCAAGTCGATGCCAGAGGGAATCTTGCCAATTACATGATTCCAGGGAAGACCGTAAAGGGTATGGGAGGCGCAATGGACCTTGTGTCCTCTCCCGGCCACACGAAGGTGGTGATAGCGACAGAGCACGTTGCAAAGGATGGGTCACCGAAGATCGTACAGGATTGCAAACTACCACTAACTGGGGCTCGATGCGCCAGCACTATAATAACTGATATGTGTGTGTTCGAAGTTGATCGTACTTCTGAACAAGGAGGACTCACCCTAACTGAACTTGCTCCTGACACAAGTGTGGAGGACGTGAGAGCAAAGACCGGGGCTGAATTCAAGGTTGCGAAAGACGTCAAGCGTATGAAGTAGTAGAACACTAAGTATACACACTTTCCAACAACCAGGGTACTGCCAGGTGGGCACGAGGGTGATTCGGTATAGATACATTTATCACTGGTGAAGGTACCACCAGCACAGTCAGGTGGCGTCTTCGATTCGCATTTTTCGCCATTGAACAAAGTTCCAATAGGACATGTCGGCTCGTTGTCTGGAGCAATTGTACATTCTTTGGCAATGGAATCGTATCGAGTTCCAATGGGGCATTCGCTCTCAGAGTATGCCGACTTAGCACATCGGCCTTCGTTGAGCTTGAATCCGGTGGGGCAGCATGCTGCTTGACCCTCATTAAAGGAGATTTCCCTGCCAGGAGGACAAGATGCAGGTCTTTCCTCGACACACTCCTTGTTCTTCAAAGATGTGCCAGGCGGACAGTTTGGCTTAGACTCACAGATTTGTCCATTGAGAGTCCCGGTACGGCACCTTGGGGGCTCATCGCTAACACAAGCGGATCCATCGAATGTAGAACCCCCTGGACATCGAGGCTTAGAACTGTGTAGACACTTCCCATTCTCAAACACATAACCGGCCTGGCAAGCTGGAGCTCCATTGCCGTAGCAAAGCTCATTCATGAGACTTGTTCCGGCCGGACATTCAGGTGGTTGTGACCCCACACAGCTTCCATCGTCGAACTTGAGTCCTTCTGGACATGTTGGACGTGTCCTAGAGACACAAAGCTGTGCTTCGGCTTCAAATCCTGGCGGGCAGCTGGGTCGGGATGTTGAGATACATTCACCATTATAGAATTTCAAACCAGGGGGGCATTCGGCCTCCGCCGCTGACTCACAGGCCTGGCCGTTGAACCAAGAGCTGGGAGGGCAATTTGGTGGTGACTTGCTGATACAGACCTGGCCGTTGAAGGTCATGTTATCAGGGCACCTGGGTCCAATAACACTAACGCAAACATTGCCTTCTAGGTTGGTGCCTGGAGGACAAACTTCGCTGTGTAGGAAAACACAAGATTTGCCATCGTTGACGGTGCCCTGAGGGCAGCATCGAAGATTGCCGGTGCTATCGGCGACTGGGAGGATGTCTTCAAGACTAATCACTTTCGAGTGCGAAGAAGACGGGCGAAAGAGAGACAAGTTCTGCGTTTGAGCACCGGTATGGCGTTCGGCCATCTGTTCGAACAGAATGACATCGGCAGGAGTCTGGGAGGCTGCCAGAGAAGAGAAGATGCCCAAGGCTAGGGTCAAGCGTGTTTGCGCCATGCTGGAAATGAAGAAGTGAGGAATTGCGATATCGCTGTCTTCACAGAAAGCGTCAGCTCTTTATGGACGTCTCGCCGGACTGGGCTGCAGACCAACCTCGATCTGAACAACTTCCGATGCAACCTAGAGGACATATACGCAGCCCCTTCTTGTGTCTTGGCCAGCCACTACCTCGGAGTTCACCTCCGGAGGGGAGCTGCAGTCCGTTTGGTGTGATGCAACGCTTCGCTGATCTAGCATTGTCTATTGAGACATTTTCCATGGCTGGTGCCGGTGTCGGATCTTTCTGCATCGATGTTTACTCGGCACAACCTTCCTCGTGGCAGCCACTTCTGCAAGAAGAATGATTTCTAAAGTCCAGAATCAATGCAAAGGACTAACTCCGAATACAATGTATCTTGGTCAATACACTTGCGCTATTGTCGGCATTTTTCTTGGCTATTTACGAAGGTTTACTAAACATCTACCTCAAAAACTGGCTCGAGCGAAATAGCATTGATAGATATAACTAGTCTGACATATCTGACAACTCTGTACAATAGCTAGTGCACCTATATCATCCAGTAATCCCCACAATATATTCACGTGAAGTTGTTACTGGTACTAGTAAGTTGCTTATGCTATGCCCACGCAAGAATGCTATTCGAAAATTCGGAATGACTCTTCATGCTAATAGTTATCTACTCCAAGTTTTCGGTCTCGGCCTTACCGAGTTCAAACTTCGGAGTGTACTTTTATGTATTTGCAGAGTAGATAGTTCCGACTTTCTCAAATGGAGAGGTTCGATAGTCAACAGACCAACGGACACATGGCGTATCATCTTAGTGGGATCTGAGTGTATCCATGGGTGCATTAACTCCGCGACCAACACTGAGAGGAGAGGCTCATGGATCGGCATAAGCCACTCTGTGCGACTGTAGCTGATAGAACGAATAAGGCAGGGCGCTCGTAGATCTGCTATGTTGTTGTCGACTCTCCGGTTCGGAAATCGTTCCTATTGATCCGCTAAATCATGCTGCAGCTGAGAACATTAACCTACGATGTACGCCATCTCAACGGTTCACTCTTACGCTGCGTGAGTTGCGTTGCAAGTTCAGTGTGCTTATATGCCCAAATGCTAGCTCGGACAACAAATTCTCCTGCCTGGTAGAGCATGCACGATTACAGCATTATCGCTGTCTCACGCAGGCATGAGAAATACTATGGCGTAGTTTGGTGCTTAGTTCTTAGTCCAATGAATATAAATACATCAGCAAAGACTCAGTCAAGTTTGGCCTTACCAAGTCTTTTGAGCTTTTGTGGAAATTTGTTTACTTTCGATCCTTTGTTTCTGTTGAGCCAAATTCAGCACAATGGTCCACCACGCCTATATCAAATATGTATGTCGAGAAGCGCTACATGTTTACTACTACTAACATTACTGGCTTCCATTCAGACTCCTCACCGGGACGCGACTCGGTTTGTTGTCTCGGCAGCTGATGCCGATACTATTGATGAGTGGTGGCGGGCACATCAGAAGCACAAAGGACTGAGAATGGAGCGAATGTCTCCAGACTTCTATACGTATGCCACAGGAGACATTCACTCCACTCTACCTGAATTTTGGTCCCGTATCTAAGTATCTTCCTCACACTTATTGTTGATGCCGCTGGTGGTACCGCTGTACGCAACGGCGCTGGCATGTTGGACCAGGCGTCTCGGACTGACCACATCAGCGGTGGCACGTAAGTGTATACTCTTGTGTGTTCTGCAAGAAGATACTTATCGCACCGTAGCTTTTATGTGCGATCCAAGTCAGAGCCATCTCTGTACTGGTGGGCTGCGGAGACCGGAGGTCGCATCTATGCGACTCGTCAAGGCCGTACCCGATTCCAGATTCGTATCGACGCTGAAGATGATCGAAGCAAAACTGTTATGATCAAATCCGACCGCGTGGTGTTATGTGCAGCGCATGACCCGAAGCTCAAGGTCAGCACCGAAGCGGGCGAGCTATGTCTGGATAAGCATTCTGACTCTTTCGACTTTGGTGACTTCAAGCATCGTTTCCTCGCGGGCGGGATGTATGACAAGGAGGTTGTCAAGCGTGTAGACTTTGGGTTTGGGGAAGAGTGGGAGTTGGTGCGGTAAGATCATCTGGATGGCATCGATGCTCTCCTGATCTAAATTCACCATGGACTTTTCGACGACGTTTGGCTAGATTCGTGATAAGTAGTGACAGGACCATAGAAGGAGAGTAGAATCCATTAGGATACTAAATGACGAACGTTTAACGATGAATTTGACATCCCCAAACAGTATATTGATCCTGAGAATTCGCGCTAGGACTCCGCAGGGTAATTAAGTATCAAAGCTTGCGGCCCGTTGCGCGCCCACCCTATTCATTCATGCATGGACAAGCGGCTGTTCTCGTCGTTCACCGGGCCCACGAACGTACTTAGTACTAGTATAGATAAGTATCATTAGCTGTGCATCTACGGGTGCTCATACATGCCGCTTTCTCTCTCATAGTCAAAGCTATTTATGTATCACTACGCAGCTATGTATAATCCAACATGAGATGAAGGGGGAGGATAATTGCATCGAATGAATTCTGCAGAACTATTAATGGCGCACGGGCTAGGCTGGTGATTGGCACTAGCTTTCGAGTTGGCTAATGAAGTGCTTCTGCGCTAGTCCACAGTGTACATCCATAGTACATACATACTGCATCGTCCGGAACAAGCACAATTGGTAAGTAGATCCAACTATACCATAATGCTCCAGGTACGCACGGACATGTAACCCGAAGATAATCGTACAGTTATCTTACGATCGTGTGCAACACCAGAAGAAAACTTAGCCAATTCGTCGTCGGATGCTTCAGTGATATATGGATACACTGCCTTGTGGTCTAGTAGCTAATCCTTGCAGAGACGCAGAAGCTAGACCGGCCACGGCGAAACTAGGCAAACCTCAACATTTCACAGCATCAAGTGTCCAGGCTACGAGAATGTAGAGAGTCGTGTTCTCTTTAGGAGCTAGAGCTTTACCATTGTCTTATATCTCTCTTCCACTTGAGATCGTGTGTAGGCTAGACTCATCATTCATGGTATGAGGTAAGATCATATATTCATCAAGGGTGTAGTCAGGAATATCTACTCAGGGCTTTGAAGGCACATTCAAATAGGCAAAGTAAAAGAATGATTGTCACTACAGCCAACTTGACATTCAACTTGCGTATTCCATTTTGCTTTTTCTCAATTGAAAAATGGAACTTAATGTAGAAAGATTAAGGTACATCGAGTTCTCCTTGCATATAAAGCCACACTGCAATACGCAATCGTTTTGAATCATGTCTGTATTCTTAAACTCTTGCACGGCCCTTCACGATGGACCATCAACTGGGACTCTGCAGCCCGTATGTCTCCCAGAGTCAACGCTCAGCCAACAACGCGGTTCTCCCAACAGGCACATCGAGCCATGACGACTCCATCCAAGCCAGCAGCGAGGATCTCGAGAAGAGGGACGAAAAGGTTGAAATGTTCTACAGCGACCGGCACAAACCTAGCGAATACAAAGTCGAAACACTCCACAAATACGACGATCACGAATATGTCAAACCATGGTGCCGCACTTTGATGCTCGTACATCCTGTACTCATCGTGTGGGTCTTCCTTACATACACAGCGTACTTCACCTTTCGAATCTGGTGCAACTACAAGTCTAGAGCTGTGAACGGCAGGATCACGGAGGCCTCGCTGATGTTCGTGTGCTTGGAGGGCGTTTGCATCTGTACGGCTACATTCACTACTATCGAAATGTTAGCTGACGTTTCTCAGTACCGTATCTGTTCTACATGTCCATTCTAGTGTTCTCCTTTGGCAATCGCGAACGGCCTCAGCTGCGTCTGAGAGGCGCGGCGGTGCCTACTGTGGACGTTCTCCTGACGACTTGTGGCGAGGCCATACCTGTGATTGTGAATAGTGTTCGGGCTGCTTGTAACATTGATTATCCGCAGTATCGATACCGAGTCGTCGTATGTGACGATAGTGCAGATCCGGAATTACAAGAGGCCTTACAGCCTCTGCTGGTAGAATACCCGCAGTTGTATTACCAGGCCCGGCGGAAATACCCTGGCGTTCCTCATCACTATAAAGCGGGCAATCTCCAGTCCGGCATTGACTTTGTAGTTGGTTTGCCAGGTGGATGTGCAGAGTACATTGCAACCTTGGATGCGGACATGATTGCCCATCCGGAATGGCTACGTGCCCTGCTACCACACCTCCTGCGTGACCCTCTCCTCGGTCTCATATCGCCACCGCAGACCTTCTGGAATGTCCCGGCTGACGACTCTCTTTGTCAGTCTCTCTGCGACTTCATACATTATCTGGAGTTGAAAAAGGATCATATTGGCACTGCTTGGTGCACCGGTAGCGGCGTCGTAATGAAAAGATTCATCATCGACCAGATTGGCGGATGGCCAACCCCGTCCATGGCAGAAGACCAGCTGCTCTCATGCATCATGAACGGAGAGGGATATAAGACTGCGTACTGCCATGAATTCCTACAAATCGGCATGGTTCCAGAAAGCATAACAAGTCGTATGTCATTCCTGCTCACACCATACCCGACCACTCTCTAACTTTCCCTGACCTCAAACAACGCACCAGATGGGCCGTAGGCACACTTCAAACCGCACAAGTGCTAAACTGGGGCTTCCCAGGCAAACACGTAAGCTCTCTCCATCCCCATCCCAACATACACCCAAAACACTAACCACCCCCCCAAAAAAAAGACCAAACACATGACCTTCGCCCAACGCTGGTGCATCTTCACCTTCGCCTTCACCACCCTCCTCATCCTCCCCCAACTCCTCGCCTTCCTCGCCCTCCCCACCCTCCTCTACTGGGGCCGGCCCCTCCTCGTCTCCACCACCGCGTCCGAGCTGCGCTGGCAGATCCGCCTCGCCGCAATCTGGATCTGCTCGCTGCGCCTCAACGACGTTGCATTCGCGCTGCCATCGGGCTATTTCCAGGGCCAGCGAAACGCCATGGCATGGCAGTTCATGATGCCGTATCTCGCCGTCGCCGTGGTGCGCTGCTACGTTCTGCCCAGCTGGCTAGGCGGCGTGCAAATCGCATTTCAAGCCTCGGGCGCCGTGCGTGATCATCTCATGGAGCGCAGTGCGAGGTGGAGAGCAGGGCTGCGGACGCGGATACGACTGATAGGCGCGTATTGTCATATCTGGTTCTTTGTGGGGTTTGTGGGGTTTGCGCTGGGCGCTGGAGGGACTGATGTGTATCGGGCGTGGGAGGTAAGGGGGCGGGGTGGGGATGTCCGGGATGCGCTGTTGCATTTGTTGGTGCGTTCGTGTTTGCCGCCTGGGTGGTGGCTGCTTTTGGCGACGTCGTTTGCGGTGCCGGTTTTGTATATGTTTGCGCCGCCGACGGTGCCGGAGTGGGATGAGGTTATGGTTGTTGAGCCGGAGACGGGTGTTGGGCGGCCTGGGTTTATGGAGGCGAGACAGTCTTGGGGAGGGCTGGTGTTGGTAAGAGAGATTATCTGGGGTGTCATGGTTGTGTATTGTGTGGTTTTGTTTGCAGGGACGTTTGTTTATTAGGATATATTTCCGATTGAGGCTCGGTGTTTGATAGATGTGATGTCAGGTGGGTATGTGATAGTTGAGTATGCGGACTTAATCTACTGACGAGCCGGTGAGTAGAATCAGATATAGGCGATGGAGCCTTTGATCTGAGATCTCGGCATCTTCACTGTTCATCACTGACAGCAACCATATTAGAGCCCCGAGGTATACTGAGAAGAAATGTCACAAACCTCATTCCTACAACGTTAACATCGTAGCAAGTATCATCTCAACGATCACTCTCAGCACATCTGCTTCGTCTCTTCAATAATCTCGCCATCAGAACCCACAAGCGTGCGACGCTGCAGCCACTTCACATCCGTGCTCGCCTTCCTCGGGTTCTTCGACTCGAAAATCTCATCCAGCTCCTCGAGCGTGAGCCCCTTTGTCTCGACAAAGAAGAAGTACATGAAGACAAACTGGAAGCAATCCCAGAACACGAAGAATACGTAGAACCAGTACCCGATCTATTTTTTAGTCAGCCGTCTGAAACGCAACCACCACGGGAGGAGGAGAAGCTTACATTGCGCAGCGCGATCGGCCCGACGAATGTGTTGAGGAAGCCTGCTGCACCTCCGACGATCTTGTAGGTTCCCATACCTTTGGCACGCATGTCGTTGCCCATGACTTCGGCTGGGTAGATGGGCTGCATAGAGGTGTATGCCCATGCAAAGATAGCACCGAAGATGTAGATGAATGCTATCGACGCAGAGGACGAGGCAACGCTCCCTGTGTTGACGTAGCCAGCCGCACACCCAGCTGTGATTGCTAAGCTTACAATCATCCCAGCAGTGCTACCTAGTAGCATCTTGCGGCGCCCAAGGATATCGTGGAAGCGGCACCCTGCCGTCGAGAAAATCCAGCCAACGAGCGCGTAAATGATGTTAAGGAGGAGTTTAGTATCGGTGTCTCGGATTCCGACGTTCGCGACGAGATATGGCAGGTAATAGGAGACGATGCTGTTAGGATGAGCGGAATACTGGCATTCAAAAAACTTATCAGACGTACTTGTTACCAGAGAACTGACCGAACCATGCAAACGTCATGTTCAGCATAGTCCTGTACCGCCTAGCCCGTGTCTTGAAGAGAGTACGCATGTCAAAGTAATTACTCCATGACGGTGGTGGCTCACTCCTCAACGACGCTATCATCTCATCCATCTCAAGCTTTACCAGCGGATGATCAGCAACACCGTTCGCGTGGTATGTCACCAGGAAACTGAGCGCTTCTTCGTGCCTGTCCTTTGCAACCAGCCATCGTGGCGATTCAGGGAAGAACAAAACGACCAAGGAAACGATTGCCGGACATAACATCTGCAGCCACAACTGTTTTGTATCAGGACTGCGGTATGTAGAGCAGGTGATAGATTAGTACTGACCGGAAGACGGAAGTCCAACGTTCCTCTGTTTTGAAGATGTAGATGTGTACCATATACAGATGACGTGGCAAGGATAGAGCCCTGATGCAGTCAGAAATGATTTTAAAGTGTCGAGGCATACCTACAATAAAGTAGAAGGTATTGTACAAGCCTGCAGTGATTAGTGCTTAACTGAATATGATTGAATGGGCCACATATCTGCCACTGTTCCACGATACAAAGGCGGCGCAATCTCAACCAGATACAAAGGCGACGCACTGCAAGCACAAGTGGCGAAAAAGGACAACAAGAAACGGCCTGCGATGAAAACTGGCAGCGTTTTCGCAGTGGCAGTAACTATGGCACCTATGATCACGCCGGCTGTGGGATCTTGGGTCAGTCTCAGAAAACAAGCCACTAAGTACTACCCACTGGTTCCAATAAAGATGAAATATCGCCTTCCAAGCCAGTCGGCCATCCAGACACTGTCTCATTAGCTCTATGCATCAGCAATGTCGCATTGTGTTGATGCTTACAAGAGCGCTGCGGTCATTTGTCCAATCTCCCAAAGTCAGTGATCTTATGGGCAATAGCCGAGATTCAACACACATACCTGGAAGATGGCGAACACTATTCCAGTAGAGGCTGTTCCATGCTCCGGCAGACCATAGTACTTCGTATAGCTTGGTAAGGTATTTATGGACCCCATCAGCGAGCTATCAAAACCTATCAAGACCATTTAGTGCCGTGCTCTGATACACAAATCGATTCATCAATTACCCATCATAGTCGAATTCAGGAAGCAGATGCCACAGAGAACATAGAGCCTGAGATAGCCTCTTCCAAACGGATTCGGGGGATTCCTCGCCATGATGGCGGCAAAAGTCGGGTTCACTCCTTTAAACTCCTCCACCTCGACAATCTTGAAATCCGCCCCAGCTTCATCATGCCGGTCTTCTTCTGCCTTGACAGAAACATTCTTGCTGGTGTCTCTGCTCATCTTGAGCGATTGGGCGAAACCGTGGATGTGAAGTGTACTGTCATTCAAGGAGATTGGAGTAGTAAAGTAGCACTAGTAGAGGGCACAAATGAATACGCAGCCATCCATGCTCAGAGTATGAGGATGAGGTTGCATGCATGCCATGCAATAGTAACTCTTATCACACGAGCCCCTGTCTGGCAGGACGACAAATCATTCCTATATTTGGCGACCCCGCATCATGTGATGTGAGTAAAGCATGAAGCGCTGAGGTACAGTCACTCTTATCTCGCGATCAACCAATTGAGGAATTGGTACGTCAATGCGAAACTGGTACTTCCATGGCCGACAGATTATTAGACCGAACCGGACCGACCAACTTTAACGAGACCTCTAACTGACCTCGCTAATTAGCATATGGGTACATGTTACAGAAAAGACACGGAACATAGCCTCCGAGTATCTCCATCTGCTCTGCCATCCGAAGTCTGTTGGATTTTCTTTGATGCGGCTCGTGTTGTAATAGTCGATGCAGCAGTACCTGTTTCCCGGCACTCGAACGGATTGTGAACTAGATTTTCGACCATATTCGACACGGCCTGCGCTGTCCGTACCGAAACTTGCGAAACGACAGCATCGGCAGCTAGAGCAAGACATGATCTCTCCACCGGCTAGACATCCAGACGTTCCGACAACGAAGACGAGCCTTGGCGGGCCAGCCAGGAATCCTATCACAGAAAATCCATCCGAATTTATTTGCAAGAGCAGAACATAATGGCTACCCGATCCGTTCCTGGACCCCAACGAACTCTCCGTACAATGGGCCGCTGAGCTTCCGAGGACTGATCGGACCAAGTTCCACATACCACCCGAGACCCAGACGGACCTGTTGTTTTCAACGGGCGGAAAACTTTCGCCACCACATTCATCAACAGCAAAGAGGTGTTAAAGACAGACAATACATTCATTCATCCGCCATCGCACCGCCAACATCACCGACACCAGTGACATCAACAACCTGCAAACAAATAAAAAATTCGAACCGGCGCGCAAAAAAAGGGGGGGGGACTCGCACTGGTCGACGAGCACCCCGCGCAATCGATTCATCCATCGTTCATCAAAACGGGAGTGGGCCCGTGGGCCGGTCCGAAGAGCGCGGTTCCAATGGGGCTGGGATTGGGGCCCTATTTTGAACGACGTGTGGGCCCTGCCTGGAAGGACGTCTAACTACTTGGAGACTATATGTGTCTCGTATTGAGGGTGTCCTGGTTGGAGGTATGCTCTCGACGAGGATCTGAGTGTTGTCAATGCTGTGGCGTACGTCGCCACTGGAGGAGATGCAGGGAGGATCTGCTTGAGAAGTGGTCGTTTGTGGGCTGTGACGAGCCACAGCAGGTCATGGTTGATAGTAATTAACTCAAGGAGCTGAAATCCGCATCAATAGAGTTCGAGGACACTACACACACAGGTTATGAGATTATGAGATACTGCAAATTGTCTCTCTAATATCATCGCCTTCACGATATATATATTGGTGGCTTCATGCTTGCATTACGCATTACATACAACCAGAACCTCCAGCCTCCAGCATCCAGCCTCCATGCAGTCACAATTCAAGTGACGAAGATATGTCAAGCAAAGTGCCATGCGTCTAATGCAGCAAACGCAGATCATCGAGAGGTGTCCGGAAAATGCCACCCGATACGCGACCGGAACGAAAAAAAAGCCTGCTCTAGGGAGATTTACAAGAAAGGGTACGTTACATGACGCTGAAAATGCGACAAAAAAACAAAGACGCACGAAGCGAAGTGATGATATGCGCCGAAAAAATGACGTGCGCTCTTCGTGTCATTAGGGTCGATCCTTGGCGCAGGGCTATGCATGTCTACTCAGTCGTATGTGTGAGGTGCTAGTGTTGCTCTGAAAATATGACGTCTATTGGTTTCCATAGGTAGTGCCGTTGGGTACGGTAATGTGGTAGTCGGCTAGGTTGATTGTGAAGTTTTTTACAGATATGTGATTCAATGTCTCTCGGGGAACGTTGGACAGTGCATCTTTGATGCTTGATTGCGCCTCCGAGGCAGTGTCGACGCTGGTGCTGATTTGGAGAATGAAGAGAACAGATACGCGGGCAAAGTCAAGGGTATAAGTAACGGAGTCAGCACCAGAAGGCGTCGGTTTCGGTGTCGACGTGGATGAGGGGGTGGGAGTAGCGGAAGGTGTTGAAGTCGGAACTGCTGTGGAAGCTGCGGATGATTCCTGGCGTGGAAGGATGGGCTGAGAAATGTAGTCCAGAGACCGGCGGCGGCTTGATCCAGTACCAAAGTTGACGAGAGAATTTTCAGCTCTGCAACTCAGATCAGCAGCGTTGAGCTGGGCGACAACCTGAGCAGCGTCAAGGGGAATGCTGAAATTCTGATTGGCGTCGTTCAGAAGGCGAGGTATGACGTTGCCTAAAGTCGCAGAATCCACACCCGGAATGCTCATCGTAGTACACGATGCATCGGATGCAGTCGTACAGCGCTCGCCTGTGAAGCCATCCTTGCAAAGGCAGCTGCAAGAGCCCTGAGGTGTGGTAATTACGACACCATTGTTGGAACAGCTGAAGCTAGTGTTGCATTGAGACGCGACTGAGGCTTGCGAGGAGTCCCTTTGGCGTGGCAGAACGATGAGGACGACTGGAACAACCACAGCTGCTGCGATCAGCAGGAATAGTATTAGCATCACGACAATAAACACCCAGAGAGGCATTCCGCAGCATCGACGTCCTTGCTTCTTCCGGTCTGGAGACTTCTCGTCGTGATAAGTAGAGATCTGGTCGAAATGCCGGGGCGGCCATCTGGAGCCACGTTCGCGGCTGAACGATCCTTGATCGGGTGTCCCTAATGCCGGCGGGGGGAATGAAGCGAGCATGTCAGACAAAGAGCCCGACCCGCGATGGTGCCCGTTGTAGGTGCCATCTGCGAAAACATCCAACCCGAGACGGCTAGCTGTTTTGCCACGGTCTAGATTTGCGGCCAGACGAGTTGCCCGTCGAATGAGATCAGGTAGACTTGTCAGACTGCCTCGAGCTTCTGCATCACGAACAGCATCCATGTTCAGCTTCGGAGGTCGTCTGGTCCTGGCGCGATCTGCAAAGGATGCCTGGCGGATCGGTCGGTTGGAAGATTGTCCTCTCCCGGTCGGAGCATCAGAATCCGAGTCAAGGACTGAGATGGCCAGAGGCGAGCGGGATCGAGAGATGTTTGGCCGTCCAGCAGCAACTCCCTGGATGGGAGATATCAAAGACTCCGAATCCGACGACGAGTCTTCGAGAAGTCCTGTCCCACTGCTGAGCTCTGATCGACTGCCACCGGGACTGTTTACTCGCGAATTGCTCTTTGAGCCATGCCTTGAGCCGAACCCAGCAGCAAAGGCACCGCCAGCGGCACCTGCTGCAACAGCAGCTTGAGCAATAGCTCCTTTTGTCTTGCTTGATATGCCTTGCTCGACTGCTTCGTCGCGTAGCGTGTCTCCTGATCTGATTGTCGTCAACATAGGCTTTTCGCGACGTCCCAGACTCGCTTTTCTAACTGGTCCTCGGTTACTTCCTTGAGGACCTGCGCCTGCCAGAGCGTAGTTGGGATCCTTTTCAAGATCCTTATCGTCTGTAACTGACCTCTCACCGTCATCGTAGGAGGCATGCTGCTCGGGAGAGAAGACATTGCTGGAAGCAAAAGAGTTGTGTGATTTTGTTCCCTCCGACTCTTCGACGATTGGAGACACGAATGACATTTGCGAGTAGTACGAGGATGGACCTCGTCGTGCGGAAGGAGGGGGCCCGACTAAGGGAGACTTCTTCTGCTGGTGCGGATTGGGGACGATTGGGAAGTCGGGAATTTCGCCTAGAGATGAAGCTGTGCTTTGTGACATTAGTGTCATGGGTCGGTCGGAATTGCGGTGGGAATGATAGTTGGGAGAAAGATAGTGTTCAGGAGACCAATCGGGCTGGGGATCGCTGTGACCGTATTCGTAGTATTGCGGCTGAGCTTGATATGGCTCTATAGGTGTTTGCATGGAGTCATGAAGCGGCTGTCCGTACGTTGAAGCTGTGGTGTAGTGAGTTGGGTCGAGAATGGAAGGAACATAACTCGGTCGAGGCGGGCGTGGTGGTGGTTCTTTCCTCTGTGCTTGTTGGCCATGGACATATTGATCGTGACTGTCTTCCTCCAGAGTCCACTGCGGGTGAGGCTGTACATTTGACATGCCTAGACTGCTAGTCATTGGAGCATGATCATTTCGTGGACGTGCTTGGAATTGCGAGACAAGCTGGTTTGGTGCTGGGTATGTCCCTTGTGACCTTCCGGCCGACAACATTCCCTGTCGCTGATTGTTCTGTGCAACCTGCAGACGTTCTCTTGCGGCCTTCACAGAACCTTTCCTAGATGTGCTCATGTTCCACCGCTCAGCAGATGCACCGTATGGCGCATCACCTTCACCGAATCCCGGATTCATGTATTGATTGGTCAAGTCGTCGAGCTTGGAGGTGGCATTCGTGCGAAAGATTGAATAGTGTCTGATTGAGTATGATAACTACAAGCTACGTCAGCGAGAAGAGTGGCAATCTGAAGAGCGAATAAACAGGTAAGCGATGAGACTGTCATGATCGGCATATTCGATGTTACTACGACTCTGGACGGTAACCCGTCCAGAGCAGCAAGAAAATCATGCGCATAGCATTCTAGACTCGATGCTTGAAAATGGCCAAGCGACGAGGTTATGCGACTGTTGTTGCGGCAGACACCAAACAGAGGGAATTATGCAGTGGGGTTTCAGAAGTAGGAGATTTGCCGACATACGCGAACACTGCGGGTTTTAGGACGATTGAGCTGGTCGGAGGATGCGGAAATCGCCGGAGGAAGCAGAGGAGTCGATCTTGGTCTCTATATGGAGTGAATGGTATCGTGAAGGTCGAGTCGGCCGTTGCGACAGTCGGGACAAGGTTGGATAGGCGATTGACGAGATAAGTCGTGGTATTCGAAAGGTAGGCAACGCAACGACAGCAAGCAAGCATAGAAAAAAAAGAAAAAGACAGAAAGTAGCTCGGTGCAAAGTTGTGAGTAAGTAATAGTAGAAGCAGAAAAGAAGTGAAGGAGAGTAGAAGATGCCGAAGCAAAAGGAACGAGAGGCGCAATGTGATAGCGACAAGAGAGAGAGAGAGTGAGAGATGGTGGCGGCGGTCTGGGCAGAGAAGTAGGTGATCACTCAGCTGTGCGTGACGATGAAGGATTTCGTTAATTAGTTGCAGTAGCTTTGGGGGTAAATTAGGGAACGGGACGGGTGCAGTCCAGTCCAGTCGCAGGTAAGTTGTAACTGGTAATACTACAGAAAAAGGTACAAGCTCAGCTCAAACGTAAGATACACACCACGCCAGCCAGGCCCCGGCCCAAACTACGAATCGTTATTCTTATTCCACTATTCCTCCAGCGCATTCATCTCTTTTCCTCCCTCTCTCCGCCTCTCTGCCTCTGTCTGACTCTTCTTCCATCGTGGAGGCAGGGTATCGTTCATTGACAGCGGTGCATGGTGAAACGCCCAGGTACGGACCAGCGGCACATAAGCATACATACATACACACACACACCCTCCATCACTCACTCACTCACTCACTCAAAGACGCCATGCCAGTTGTCAATTATCAATACAAGTACCATGTATAGCCACAGGTCATACCTAAACCACGCGCCGCAGAGGCTGTGCTGTGTCGAGTTGCGCAACGCGGCGCTGCTGCTGCTGCCACGAGGGAAAACCTCGCTGATCAAGGAGCCGGAGCCCGGCCGGCGGGTTGTTGTTAACCCCACTTCGCATACATCTATATTGCCCTGTAGAATCCCCTAATTTCTTCCCACTCTGACTCTCCCCCTTGACACAAACAATAATTGGTGCTGAAACCCGATCGTGTGGCCAATCACACCCGTCACACACACTGCCGAGGTCACACACACACACTCGCCCTCGTGTTAGAGATATATCGATGCCAATATCCCGTTCTGTGCGTCTTGTGCACGTATTTTCTCCTATTCGTGGCTCGCTATTATATATCTCCTCGATCCCAACCACCCTGTTCTACGACTGTTCTCATCTCTACAATGGAGGTCATGCAGGAAGATGACAGGAGGACCTGGAGACGAATGTAATAATATACCACCAACCCGTTGCCTTTCCAGCCCTGTCTGCACAATCATATGCAGGTCCTCCTCCCTCTGTCGTACTCGAACGCTTTCTTCCCGCCGTCATACATACTTTCCACCAACGTTTCGTAGTTGCTCCCTTGTGTGGGAGGTCCCCTCATCTTATCGCTATGGAATGCTGTGCCTGTCAGATGGATGCTACTGCTTGCACGCTGACGTACGTCGTGACAGATCACATTCGAACTTGTTGACTCAAACTCCTGGCTTGAGAAGACAGACATGAACCCTACATCTGACTAAGTCATAACACAAGTCCAGACTCGACTGAGTCCGTGAATGTGATGCAAGCCAGGAAATACCGACTAATTACTTCACACGGTTCCACATACATGGTGCACAGTACATAGTACATAGTACAACTCCCACAGCCACGGCACACTGCCGCCGAAACCTGAGGGTCGTGCCTTATCGTGGCCTCTGCGCCTGAACGAACTAGCCGTGCGGATGCCTCATTTCCGCCTTCTGCCTGCCCACACGCTGCGAACCTTTCTCGCCATGTTTCTGCCCTGCACAAAGCCAGGATTACAATATGCACTGCACTACCGATTGCCCATCCATCAAACCTCCGACAAACTCTCCTCCTCCCTTGATAAATAACTACTATCCCGTCCGCTTCGACGGCACCGGAGACCTTCCCGTTGCTTGCAGCTATATCTAGATGCATGCAGGGTCCAACAGATCGCGATTTGTTGATTTAAGCTTTCGCCTCCAAGTAGCATCATAGTCTTTCTTTAGCTCATTACTACGTTGTATGTACTATCGTTCGAAAAGTTTATAAAGTTAAATACAGTATGTACGAGGATGCACTGGTCGTGTTCTGGTGTGTGCTTCGGGCCCGCCGCCGCCGCCGACGAAGGGGATAATGTTTGGTTTCGAAACACGATCGATTTGCTGTGTGATCCTGCACGGCAGGGCAATGTCGTGACTCGTCATTGGGGCCTGGAACCAGTTTTGTGCTCATTGGGTTGGTCATGGGGGCACGGCACGTAGGTCGGTCGTCCAGGCTTTATTGTTCGTCTTACTCATCACTCATATTGCGACTGCAGGTGTGAGACTGTGAGAGTGTGACGAAATATCGACTATTGAAAATGGTGTTCTTTCTTAGTAGTGTTGTTCATGTTGAATAGTGTAGGAAATGCTAGTTTTTTTGGTAGAAAGGGGTATCAATAGTCGTGTGTACTAACTAATAAGCACTAGTGCGTAAGGCTTTGTTGGAGTTACTTTCACTCCTCGTCATCTTCTTCATCGACCGTCTCCAGCCTTCGTTTCCTCTTATGCGCTTTTGATTTGACTTTGGGTGCTGGCATGCGCATCTCTTGTAACAGTTCCCGGGGCAGGTATCGCTGCGCCAGGAAGAATGGCGTGTTTGTTGCGTTGAGCTGGCGCTGCCTATAGATTGTTTAGCAAGATAAGCAAGATACTCCGGAACCCAACACTGATGTATCGAACATACCGCTTCATCAGTGTCATCACGTCGCTATCTTCTATGGTCTTCCGTCCAGCATGTACTGCATACGTGCCCAGGTCCTCTCCCACTTGCTCGAAAAACCAGTCTGATGCCTCTACGATAGCTGCCAGCGTCTCCTTGTTGAGTTTCGTGTTGCTGTTTCCGTGTATTCGTGCAAAGCTTGTTGCGACCCTCTTTACCACATTCGATGGCAGGGATGGGTATTCGATGCCATATCTGGACACCTTCACTTCCTTTCGACACCTGCGAACCTTCTTAGCATCCGTTTCCGGAGCCTGTGCTAGTTCAACTGAGTCTTGACGTAGTATAGGCTCTTCTCCGTCGGATGCATCAGATTGTGGTTCTTCTAATCCAACCAGAGCTGTCTCGTCATCATAGTCCGCTGCCGCCTCATCGCCTTCTACCAGATTTGCCGCACTTGCATGATCTTCCTCGTTAGGCGGATAGGTGAATACTGGCTGTGCAAGTCGATCCTGGCCTCCAATTCTGAATTGGAATGTTGGCTCATCATGGTCATCTAACCCGGGTATTCCTAAATCACTGTATCTACTCCGCTGTCTTGTTGTTTCCATTAGCGCGCGTAGGTCAGCTGTTGCTTCGTCGCCCAAGTTGATCGTGCCATCATCGATGTTGATATCCCCATTATCGCCGAACAGGTTGTTTTCGCGAAGGAAAGTCGCGTCGGGGTCTGCACCATCTCCAGCATCAAAGCTAAGATCATTGATTCCCGGAAATCGCTCACTTAGCCTTCCCAGGCTCCTTCTTGTGTATCTCGGATCTTCGCTTATAGCGCGACGGCCCGTCTCTAGAGACACCGCAGTCAGGTTTGCAGTCAGGTTGTCGTTGTCGAGATCTTCTGGCAAAGCTGATAGGCGTGGCGGCGCGTCTTCATCATCGGATTCAAAGTCCAAAGGCATAGACAGTCTCGGTGGTCGGGGATCAGATTCGTCGTCGATGTCGTCCAACAGTGAATTTCTTCTTGATTGTCCTCCTGTACGCGGTGTGGCAACGATAGGCTTGCTCTTAGGAGCAAGAAGTCGACTTAATGCTCGCAAGGTGTCCCTAGGCGTTTCCCTCTGCATACGGCCGCTCCGCCTTCTATTCTTCCCTGGTGTGATAGCAGCATTGCGTCTTTGCTGCAGTGCCCGAATCGCATGCGGTGTTGTTGGCGGACCACGACGCGCGATCACAGGTCTAGCATAGAGGCCAGTTCTTCCAACAGATCTCGGTGTCTTATTCTGCGTCCCTGGTGTCGTGTTCGCGCTACGTTCGGTTCCTGGTGTCGTCTCTGGCCCAGCAGATACAGCACGCCTGTACGGAGTCGCTGCGGGCTTTTTGATCAACGAAGCAAGTTGACGAAGCTGTATCTTGTCAGTCTAGATTCTACTATCATTGAAACACTCGAGCAGTGTTTACATTTGCGTAGGGCGTCTGAGCTTGAGTAGCAAGCTCATTTGCGTTCGAATTTCGTGGCGTAACTCGCTGCCGCTTTGGCCGCGGTTCAGACATCTTCGCGAGGGAAGATGTTCGTGCTGGATCAGATGTTATGGAGTTTTGCGACTGCCAACTGACAGTGTTGGAGGAAGACCAATCGGGATTTGTTATGACCTGGGCATATTGCGTGAACCATCAATCCCCAGGTGGTGCAGCGCGAGACGCGTCGGGATCGTAGCGGACCCACTCCACCACATCTACGCTACAGCACCTGCAGGGATCTACGTCTTATCGATAAGAGTCCACCAAAAAATTAGTCTAGGGACTTCCCACGTCAGTTCAATAAGACGCTGCTCAACCAATGCAATCGTCTTGAGCACAACACCGATATGTCGATTTCCGGAGATTCAGACGTTGAGGGGACTCTGTCAGCCAACATCGAGACATCAAAGAGTAGCATCAAACGCAAGCGGCACGATGGCGAAGTCGAATCAGAGCAGCAGAAACCTACAAAGCGCAAGCGACGGAGCAAGAAGCCGAAAGATATAAACGATGCAGACCTTGATGGCGACCTAGGGATAAATAATGGTCTGTCAAAGATGGACGCAAGACTATTGTCCGACTACGTTGCCCAGCGGACCAAGCGCTTTGAGCCTGAGCTGAGTCACGTAGAACTTGAGGACCGCTACATTCCAGGTATCAGCTTCGAAATTTCCACTTGTCCGGAACATACATGCTAACTTGTGGCTTCAGAAAGTGCCATAGCCGATACAACCTCTTGGTTAAAGCCACGGACGACCGATAATTTGGCAGACTTCATCAGAAAGTTCAGCCCCAAGAATATCGATTTAGACAAAGCACCCAGTACGCCTGGTTCGCCGCATATTCTCGTCATAGCATCAGCAGGTCTTCGTGCTGCAGAGCTAGTACGGAGTTTACGGACTTTCCAGACGAAAGAAGGAAAGGTAGAGAAGCTGTTCGCAAAGCATATTAAACTTAAAGAAGCCATAGAGACCTGTGGCAAAGTGCGCATGAGTTTTGGGGTTGGGACTCCTCAGAGGGTGTATGACCTGATTGACAATGGAGCCCTCAAGATGGACAAGTTAAGAGTGATTGTACTAGACGCTAGTCACATCGATACCAAAAAACGAGGCGTGCTTGATATGAAGGAGGTCCAAGTGCCTTTGGTAAAGCTTCTGGCGATGAACAATCTCAAAGAACGCTACGGGAAGGATGGTTTACAGCTTTTGTTTTATTAATTTCTCACTATACCCTATGGAGTGAGCCTGGAGGATTACTATCACCGTGCCTGCCACAGCGTAGGCTTCGTTGTCACCCAAATCTTGCTAATCATACTTCGACATGACCCGAGGTTTACCTACGATTTTTCTTCGCGATGTGCAAATACCTGGTTCAGCCTAGTTGACCTTCACAGAAACATGTCAAGATCATTGTGTATGCCCCTGCTATTCACTCGAACACCCCTGCTTGGAAGTCCAACAAGCACACCAGCTGTTGACCAGGCAACTTCGGAACCTCGTATTGCGGATGCGAATTCTCACTCAAATCAGAGCATAGCAATTGTCGTGGTTACGATCTTCACCAAGCCATATGACCCGGCCCGTAAGGAACTTAACTTATCATGAAGTACGTAATACTAGTATTGAAAAAGCGCACACTACGTCAAACGACCAGCCAGAAGACACCGATTTCACTGACAAATACAAGCATGGTAGGTAAGACCAGACTGAATGATAATTTTTCGTCGTCCAAAAAGAACTGAAGGCAGCGTTTTTGCTTCCATTCTCACGATCATTGCCCTAAGTAGGGACTGCTTCTCGTTCTCGCTTTCATTTTTTTTTACATTTTTAAAGTCGTGCTCTTTACGTCATTTCCAATTCGATAAAAGTGACGACCTCGACGTGGCATCACTCACTCTATGAGATCGAAGTAGCCTACCAAACGACCCTTAACCTCTCCTCAGTACCTGACATACACAGTTAACTACTCTGTCCATTCCGACGATATCAACAAGGAAAGTAACCTATATTTTGCGGTTCGATCTCAAGATGCCCGGTTTGGAGACCTCTCTTGCGATTCTCCCCTTCTACCACTTCATCTCGCCTACGAAGCGGCCAGCTTTCGAAAACCTTCCTCCATGGATCCGGGACCGAGTTCATGCGAATAGAGTCGCCAGCAGTACAGCATCGAAAGATGCAGAAAGAGGAAGGGCTACGTTTGGCTCAGTATCTCACGATCCCAAGTACTGGCCACCACCGAAGCCTGTAAAGTTCAAACGACATAAGAGCGTGCTGCGGGCATCTGTCAGTAGCCAAGATGGGCCACAGAATAAGCAGACCGTTGAGTCAAAGATCAAATCAAAATCTCGTTCTACGATTGGACTCTGCCAGCTTTCAATGTCAGGGGAAGAATCGTCTTCCGAACAGTCACTGCAGCCTCCTGGCCAACGTCGGCCGTCCGTGTCCGATCGCTTGACCGCACTCGCAGATGAGAGCAAGGACTGGTTCGATTCGATCCTGAAGACCCGCTCCCATACGCTTGACTACGCAGCTGAAGGCAAGAACTGGGTCGAATCATTCTTCCAAATGGAGGCTATTCTAGAGGCACGCAGACGGAGAGAAGAACGCAGAGAGTTGGCCTTTGAGGCTAAGCTCAAAAACTCGGTTCCACAAACGCTTGCAAGCCAGGAGAGTGAAGCTGGAGTTTCGACGTCGTCGATTGAGCAGTCGACATCTGTCACGTCGTCGAGGATCCCACGTCTGAGTGTGCAACCGAACGGAAGACTAAGTCTGATCATCCAAGACGAGCCTGCGACTTCGACAGAGAATCAGGGACTGAGTGGATACCTCACTCCCGATCAGCAAGAATCTGAACTCAAACCGGACGTAAACGAGCCCGACAAGGATGTTGCTTTCACTGGGTAGGCGAGAATCGAAGCTGAGAAGGCGTTTGACGATAGTCACCTGTCCCTGAGCAGAGAACTTTGAGAGAAATATCTAGACATACGGGTTCGGGGATCTGGCACGACGATATACCTGAAAGGAATATCGCAGCGATCTAGCTACATCATCAAGGACAGTTGTACGCTTTGAAACGTATGGTGTGGGTGAACAGGAGAGAATCGCGATCGCAAGACATAAGTGTTGTCTGTAGGGACAATTGTGTTGTTGTTGCACATTGTTCACATAGTTATCTCGTCACGCTCTAAATACTAATTTCCAATTCACCTGTGTTCTATAGCATTACTTCACTACACCCAATTTCGCTCTTAACATCAATCAACTCCTCACCTCCTTACACGATCAATCATAATCCCCATACATCCGCAACCCGAACACGATTAATCATAATCTTCATATCTCCACACTCCCAATCATAACCTTCATAAATCCACACTACCAATCATCATCCACCTTCCACACACCTCCCACACCCACAGAAAACACCCCAACACACCTCAACCAGCCAAACCGCAATGCACACCCTCCATCCCATCACCCTCCTCACAACCCTCCTCCTCCTCGCGTCCATCCCAACCACAAAAGCCCGCCATATCGGCCCCATAACCACCCCCAACCTCGCCTGGCACCCCTCAACAAACACAACCGCCAAACGCACCACCCCCCCAACATACTGCTCCTCCCTACCCGAACCCGTCCGCTCCGAATGCATTATCTCATATACCTGGTACACGCACCGCCTGCGCACCATCTACACCATCTGGTTCGACGCGCAGCCGGACTACGAAGTAGATGATCTGGCGCGACCTGCTGCTGCGGAGGAGACACGCGCTTGGTATGCGCTGGGTGGGAGGAAGGAGGAGCGAGAAGGGTATGAGAAGCCGGAGGAGTGGGTGGTGTATGAGGCGTGGATGGCGGCGACGGGGGGGTATGGGTTTTTGAGTGGGGAGAGGGCGGCGGAGAGGCAGGTGCGGTGGGAGGAGCGGGAGAGGGGTAAGGCGGAGGGGAGGTTCTTGGATGAGTTGTGGATGTTGAGGAGGTGGGGGAGGCGCGGAACGATTATTGCTTGATGGGTTGGGGTGGTTGGAGTGGAAAGGGGAGTTTTGGACGGGGATGGGTGATGTTTGGTGTTACGTTGGTATGTGATGTTTGGTAAGGGTCGTGTTGGATAGGCTTTGTGTTTTTGGGGCATTTTATGTACGTCTGCTTTCGTGCAATTATTGAATATATGTACAGGAGAAGGGGGAATGGCTGCTGCACGGGCAGGACATCGCATTGTTGCTCGAGTTACCATTTCCTGGCCTGTTGTAGTCTTTGTTGGATGCCTGACTGTGGCTTCTTGACCACCATCCAGAACATGATAGAAGTGGCGATACCTAGAGCATACCTGTTTATGTTAGTTTGCGCTACCACACGACATCTGACTGATCTTACCATGTGATTATGTACTGTGTGTGGTTATTCCTCAGGTTCACAGCCGCGGGCCGCCCAATTGGTACACCGTTCGTCTCTCTCGATTGAGATACTAGTAAATCAGGTAGCATAGTCTCTTCCACAAACACAGGCTCTGCGCCAACATGCTTAGCCATGGCCTCGATATCCGGGAAATGCCACAAATTTTTCTCCGGACTATTAGCCGGGGTAAACATGTTCTTCTTATAGGGCTGCCTTAGCAAACCTTGCACGATAATCTCTCCTTCTGGTAATGCATCAGGGCCAGCTCTATCTTTCTGCAGTTCCTTTGCTCGCGATATCCAGCCGCGGCAGACCAGAACTTTGCCCATCTCCTTGCCTTGCTCGTCCCACCGCTCCATTGGTGTTATCACTTGATACCCATCTTTACCATCATGCGTGCGCGGACCGAGTAGTATCTCCTGGTCATGTCGGAACTTGCCTCGTGCGAACACACGGCGATAGTCGAAATCGGGGATCGCGCTTGGGTCAATGTGTGGTGGGAGAGGGAGGGACGGACGGACTAAGCGGTCCTCGTAGCGGGCGACGAGATCGGTCTTCCAGGAAAGTCGCTGGACTTGCCATGTACCGAGGGCGAATGCTGTGATTGGCATCAATGCTAGATATTGATTAGCATTGCTGTGGGATGAGGGCGCTCTCGCAGCGTCAGGAAACAGATTGAGCACACACCTAGTATGATAAGACCTGGACCATGTTTCTTATTCGCCTTCGAGCGCATAAGTACAGCAGGTTTGTCTACTGGCGATACCCATTCGGCGTCGTCTGCGGGCTGATGAGCGTAGCGGCGCGATTGCTGGTGGAGAGGCTTCTGCCTCTTTGGAAGTGTCCTAGAGCATATTCTCTGCTCGTTTATGGTCTTTAGGCGAGATACATGCCTCCAGAGTGGGCCAAACTGGCTCATGTCGTAATTTCAGACAAGATCTGGCTACCCAGACTTGTTCAATGTTCGAATGAAGCTATTAGCTATGTCGGTCGTCTTGGGCGGTGAAAAGCGGCAATTATATCCTAGCTTCGGTGGGTCATGAAGGCAGCTGGAGCCGAACATCAACATCGTCAATTTCCCCTTCTTCAACAAACACGGGTGAAAATAGACAGCATGGCATCTGTTCTGGCTCCGATGGCTGACCAGAACTTACAACAAAAACCGAGCCGTGAAGAGATGCTGGATAAGATTGATCATCTTCTCGAACGCTACCTAGAGCTTGTAGATGAATATCAGAAAACGCGCATACAACTTTCGTCCCATATGTCCTCAGTAAGTCTATCCTCAATAATAAAGGAACAGGCCATGTATATTGATGATCGTTAGGGTTTCATTTCTTTAGCGCAGTCAAATTTTGCCTCAAGGGTTAGGTACGGGCAAGATCAGTACGATGATCGCATGAAGGCATGGCGGCGAGCACGAATATCTCAAACAGATTCTGGTCTGACTAAGCTTGATCTCCTGTCTCTGAATTTGACTCCCACCACGAACACATCCGAGTCAGCTGACCAAGCCTCATCGGACGAGAAGGTCCATCCAGACAATGATCAACAGCCGCGACACACCAAAGACGACGGACAGACTATCAATACCGAAAATGGTCAACATGGACGAAGCCCCGAGAAGTCTCCCAATCGGCCTTCGGATGAATCCGAGGAGAAGATAGTTGATCCAATCCGATGGTTTGGTGTTCTTGTCCCTCAGGCGTTGAGAACTTCACAAAGCCATTTTGTACAAGCCGTCGATGACCCCATTCCAAAGCTCTGTAATATATTGCGAGAAATGCGCATACTTGAGTCAGAGATTGGGAGAACGCGGAAGCAAGCGAAGAAACTCTCTTAGACACTCAAATCTACTCGGACTGGGTGATATAGTCATGTATATATGCAATTGCAAGCCTCTGATCTGTCAGCTTGCAGACGTTCGCATAATTATGGTGGACTCAGGTGTTCGGTCACAACGGAAAGCACCTACTCTCGAGTCTGCAGGTAGGCAATAGCGCTGCTGGTCAGACTATGTCGACTTCTCCTGCACTATTAACGCTGTTCCTGATCTAATTTTTGTTATGAATCCAGAATCTCTCTCCCAACCTCAAAACCGCCAAACCGATTATGTATTACTTTCCTTTCGTCATTTGATTTGATAACCTTTGTGCAGCGGCTCTATCACATACCCACAAACAGTCTCCACTCGCTACAGACCACCGACCAGGAGGTGAATATCTCACATCTCCTCTCACTATCGCTCAACCTGTGATCATGAACCGAGCACACGACATTCGCCGTATCGAGATCCCTGATGATTACATCCCAATGTACGAGCTTGCCTTCCTCTTCTGCGTAATAGTCTGTGTTACCCACATACAAGCTATTGTCTCGGTCTTGAGTGGTTACGTTGCTATATTCGGAGTCTTGATCTTCCTTCTATATGGAGATCGACGGAGGAAGAAGGAGATTCAGAACCTCCAATCACGAAGGAGGGCCAAATGTCACAGGCTAGAGGCTCGTAAAGACGTCCTGGAATCAGCTCGACTTCGAACCTGGGTTGACGAGCAAGCCCATCATGACCCAGCATGGACGACCAGCCCACGGCTGGGCAGGTCAAGACGTTATTCTACTGAACCACCGCCAGCCTTCCGGAACCGAAATGCAGCGAAGGTACCGTCATCTTGCGAAGAAGGCCACCGGACACGCTTATGCACACCTGCCGTGTGCAGACCAGTGTATGACTCTCATCCACGAACACCTGTAGTACGCAAGATGCATTCCTCTTCTCTCAATCGTCCGAGGAGTGTGAGTGCACCAGCCTCGCCGAGTCCATCCCCTCACACGCGATTTCCTGCTCTCTCGTCTATGGATAGCACATTTGTCGCAAGCACTCCATCGCCGGACTATGTAACACCAGTGGCTTACAATCTACCACCAACCCCTTTCAAGGTCTGGCGTGATGATTCTGTCGACAACACATCCATTTGTTCGATGGATCATACCTGCTCAGCTTCGTGCTCATCAACCGCACACTGTGAGCCAACGAGCACTGAGCCAACAACGGCAAGCTCTCACTCGGAAACACGACGTCTTCCTCATAGTGACCCTGTGAAACTGATCCGACCTTCCGCTGCAAGGCAGCCTATGGACGAAGCATGGTCGATCTCTGGTAACCCGAACAAATTCCAATTGCGAGGCCCTCTTTTGTTGAAGAAAGATCCGAATGGATGGGAATGGAAAGACCATAAAGCTCGTGCTACCAGGTTTTTGCCAAGAAAAGGGTACAGACGAGCGGTGAACTGAGTTAAATAAGGGTACGATGTTTCGAGTGGGAGAATGAATGGAAGAGTTGTTGTTGGCGTATTCAGTGTTCTTGTGATAATGTGTACAGTATGTGGGTACTGAGGCACCCTAATAACTTTCTGCACCAGCTGCTGCCCCTGAGCTCGTTTTGCCCTCTTTGGCCTCCTTCACGATGACTTTGCCGCTACTCGCGCCAATCCTCTCTGCGCCAATCTCTAGCATCTTCACTGCATCTGCGAAAGTCCTCACACCGCCACTCGCCTTTACCTTCATCGGCACCTTCGTCCCCAACGACTTCCCTGCTTTCCGCAACAGCTTCACCCCATCATCACTGGCATACCACTTGCTCGCTGCACGCATCAATTGCACATCCCGCACACTCGCGCCCCGCCCGTTGAACCCTGTGCTCGTCTTCACAAAATCAAAGCCCGCCGCCGCAGCAAGCTGGCATGCCGCTAGTATGCCGCTTTCGGACAGCTGGCTCGTCTCGAAGATGATCTTGAGAGTTGTCGGGTGTGGGCAGGCAAGGCGTATTGCGGCTAATTCAGTGAAGATAGAACTATACTGGCCGGACTGCAACGCGGGCCAATTGAGGACTACATCGAGCTCCGATGCTCCGGCGCGGACCGCGTCGATTGATTCAGCGACTTTCGTGGGCGTGGAGTATGTTCCTTCGTGAAAGCCGATGACGCAGGCGATGAGGACGGTGGACGCGGAAAGGAGGGATGCGCAAAGGGGCACGTGCGGCAGGCGGACACACACGGACTATGGCATAGATTAGTACATATAATAGTACAGTATTGGCAAGGGGTTTGGACCATGAAGTCATCCTCCTTCGCTTCTACGCATAGTTGTCTGATTTGGGCCTCTGTTGCGTCGAGCTTCAGCAGGGTATGGTCAATTGTTTTTGCGATAGCCTTGGGCCCGACGTCGTTCAAGGTGATCTTGTCATCGCTGGGCTTGATATGCTCGGCGGCAGCCTTTATGCTGAGGAGCCAATCGGCGTCGGTGAATGGGGAGAGGGTTTTGGCATTCTCGATGGCTTTTTCAACGGCAGAGTTGTGTATAGAGGTTGGGAGGGTCATGTTGGATATTGTTGGGCGCGTAATTAGAGGAATCGAGGCTGTATTAAGGTGATAGCTTGGAACAATATTACAAAGGACTCCGGCGGTGCGGTCATGCTGATTCTTTGGGCTCCACGAAATTTTGGTGACATCGGTCGTTCGTCGACGGCAGCTCGGAGCCACCACTTCCTCTCATAGAGGCTGCCCCGCAATTGACGGGCGGCTCCGATGACCTGCGAGGTTATCTAATATCACTTACTTTTAGAGCCTTTGTTAATGATGTTACGATCTATGAGATCCAATCCATCACTACAACAAATGTCTGAGGATTCGGGGTGGGATATAACATGGGAGTGCATTGGGTGAATACGTTGTAGTACGAGTATTTTTTCGGATTTTACAGAAAGACCGCGAGCAAGTGGAGGCATCCTCGATGCTACAGACGGTCATAACCACCGAATCCCAGGTAGGAACGGAAGGCTCATGCTGAACGCTATCTCCCCGTCCACATGCATGTACAATGATGGCCACATGCCGCACAAGAAGCCCAGGAAAAGGAAAAGATACCGTCGACCACGCTAGATATCCGGAACTCCCAAATAGCTTTTTGGAGATGATCCCTCTTCTATCCCGCAAGTCGATTATTCGTCGAATGCATGAGATCTAATGCCACACCCAGGATCCATCATTCATAATTTTGACCAGTCCACAAGCGCCACATTTACTTTCTCCTAAAAGAGCAACCCTCTGTGAGACGGGCCTTGCCACCGGTGGGCTGGCAAAGCACCTGCGAGCAGCCTTGGCAAGTAACGACTGTTTGTGCGTGCGAGTAGACAGTGGTGATGGTGAAGCAACCAGGACACTTGACGTCCATGAAGAATGAGCGTGGGGCAGGTACGAGCATCTAAACAATGTCAGAGCGTAGCAGACGCAGACATTATCACAAACATACCTTCAACTTGTGCTTGCGAGCTTGGGCCTGAGCCGACTCATTGAGGAAATCTCGGTCGAGAACCTAGTGGGCGTGTCAGCTCAATGTACACTGCACATCAACAACCCCGCGCGAAGCCCATATCAAGTGCCCAAGTGATTCTCCTTCATCGATTCGGAAGCAGTTCAGATGATACACATCCTCGTCTTGATGAGGTTGCCATGTCGTGTGCCTGATGCCACAATTTCGCCACAGGGTTCGCTTGGAGTATGTAGCGGGCGTCTCACCATCTTGAACTGTTGGAAATTGGTGATGAGATGTTGTCTTCGATTTGATCTTCGGATCCGTAGAAATTGGCGATACCGTGAGGGTGGCGGATGATGTGGTGTAAGGAGATGGGGAGGGCGGTAGTTGAAATTGTGCGGTCCTCGCTAAGCAAGCACAGACCAGAAGCTTGGCATTATCGCCTCAGGCACTAACACCGTACCAACATTTAATAAGTTTGAAGGCTTAAGAAAGCACGAGAGAAGTCATGGACAGACTCATCTATTCAAGGTAACATTGGTAACATTTCGTGGTTAAATGAATGTCTCTCAATCTAATGGGGTGCTGGCTCATATTTTGTCAGCGTCTAAAACTGTGTGCAATTTCGAATCACAGTCTCAGTTGTATCTGCATTGTGCAGATGATTTCACACCTCGAAACTGACGCGTTTCCTACTTGAGCTGTTAGACACCGTAGATGCGATGAAGGTGGTACACCCCTTACTTCGTCACGTTACACAGATGCATACGAACAATTGTACCTCTCACCATGACCTAATTCTCGTAGCTTTTCTCAGTCTCACCTGCCTAGCTTCACAGTCACAGCTTCTTCTCGGATAATGTGTAACACTAAAACAGCTTTCCAAACATCGCGCCAACTAAAGTTGAACATCACCAAGCAATAGGCTCAATTTCGTGACCATGACGGAACAAGCAGCGCAGACATTCCAGCGAATCATAGCAGAAAATCGAGAGCTTCTTGAGAAGCTGCAAGCGAATCAGCGAGAAATGGAGCAACTTGCCAGTGTGTGACCCTACAATCGAACGAAGTCGATTCCAGTGACAGTCACTTACTTATCACAGATTACATGCTCTCAGTGGACCTACAGAGTTCACACGAATCTGTAAAGAGTGGGCCCCCAAACTGTAAGGCGGAACACTTGTTAGAACGTTTACTCACCACTGACCTCTCCCAGCCAAGTTCGGTAGAGACGGGTCTGTAGGACTGCCGCTGGATTCTATATCCTCAGCAAGATCGAATTCGCAACGATCGTCTCATGTACCAGCTGTCGGTAAACCACAACCTAGCTCGGCCTCAAAGCGTCGTGAGCGTACAATGAGCTTCACATCTTGGAAGGGGCGTGAACCTCAAGCCTCTATCGAGAAGGCCCCGTCCGCGGATCCTTCACATGCCCGTATATCAGACTCGCGTCCAACAGGTACTATTCGCTTCATACCAGCGCCTCGGCCCGCAATCATCCCCCGCGCAGGTTCTCCGGTTGAAGAGGATGATACAACGGAGGACGAAGCGGAGGAGACAAAGACTGTGTATCTACGTAGAAGCAGACAGAATCACCATGTCACTGCGCTCGAAGCGAGAGAAGAGCTCTACGGTCCAGACGACCGGTGGTACCTTCCACGCCGCTGATAAGATGAGGTGAGGTGTCCTTCGAGGATTTGATGCCCATTGAACCGTGTTATGGACGATCGTTTCTTCGCTTCAGCTCTTTTCATCTTCAGAAAACGCTGATGCAGAACCAATGAATTGGTCAACACTGAGGACTTGAGCACTGGGGACACGCCTGGTAAAGTGAAAGCGAACGCTATGACATATGAAAGAAGATTGAGATGAGGTGTATGTACACTAAAGAATTTGGATCAAAGCACGGACCATTCATGAATTGCTATGGGAGGGGACCGGACGGGTAAAGCCCCTGTTCCTAGCGCCAATCCATCCACTCCCGTCCTCTAGAGGACTGCTGACATGGCCCGATATTGGGAAAAGTTTATATCTTTGCCGCGATTCTTCATCATTCGACTCAAAACGTCCGCTACAGAATGCACCCCCTCATTCAACGTTCAACACATCTCTAGCTTTTCTTGCGCCTGGCTAGCCGCATGTGTAATCTTTGAGATCGTACAAGAAGTGGGGCATGTTTCTGCATTGGCGCTCGGTTGGCCTATGAGGGCTTGTTGTAATAGCTGAAAATATGCAAGATCAGATCATCAGATGCTTTCCGACTAGGGCAATGCAGCATGAGCTCACACCACAACCTATCGGAGTCGATTCATTGGAAGTGGCTGGCTGATAAACCCTCCCCCTCACATACACGCGCCCAACAGATGCAGCTCTGAAAATCAGAAAGCTCCCCGGATCTATGGTCTCGAGGATTCCCATCTGTCTCCAATCTCACGAAGTCTATCGCAGTCCTCAAACTTGAAATTTAACATTTTGTTCTGCCATACAAGTCCGCCATCATGGGCCTGCTCCAAAAGCTCACTAAACCTTTCATCGATATATTCGTTCTTGTTTGGGATTTCAACCTTTTATTGCTCAATTTCGTACTTCCTTCATACAAGCCTGGTCATCTTGTACCGGAAGGACAGGCCGGGCACGGCGGTAAATGGCCCGAGTACATTCCTCCAAAGGAAGGCGATTCTCGATCTGCCTGTCCAATGATAAACGCCATGGCCAACCACGGCATCTTACCTCATGACGGCAAGAACATCTCGTTCAAAGAGCTCAACACCAAGCTTCGACAAACCTTCAATTTCGCGCCCTCGTTCTGCTTCTTTGTCCCGAAATTCAGCGCTGACTTCCTGGACCGCTCATACTGGGGTGGACGATTCGATCTCGCAGAGCTGAGCAAGCATAACGCCATAGAGCATGACGGTAGTCTCACGCGACAAGATGTGGCGATTGTCCCAGACCAGGCGAAGCCAGATCTCGAGCTTGTTGATCAACTCTTGAAGGAGGCTACTGGTACTATGCCAGATGGATCGCCGCTACTCACTAAGAGGGATCTTTCGCTTGCACTGTCGAAGAGGAGATATGCGGCCAGGAAGTCAAACCCAGCTTACACAGAGAGCTTCTTCCACAATATGTTTGGTAGTTCCAAGTAAGTTCACATCGTGGTTGAGTACAATCCAATTGACTCGATATATCTAGCTCTTCCACGATGCTCACGATCTTCGGCGGTCGCGTAAATGACCTGACGCCAATGCTCACCGAAGAGCGCTTCCCGGATAACTGGGAGCCTCGGATCCTTGGACGCTTTGGTCTTACGATGGCAGCGTTTAATGCTACCGTTATCCCAGTGGAAAGAGGTGTGGATGTTAAGAAGATTGAAGCTTCGCATGCCGCGACTGAGGCGAAGTAGACATGCACATTGAGAATGGTAATGGAACGGATACTGTCGTCCAAAAGAGCATCAGACTAATGGACCATTGACGAATATAATGATGTTATGTCCTATTGACATCAAAGAAGCGTCTTACGTGCTTTACTTGACTGGTTCGTTCTCTAGCAAACAGCTTTGAGTTTTGACTCCGAAAGTTGCGAATATTCGACTTTCACTGACAGTCCGCACATTCCTCTAATGCAGACAAATGCATCGCAGGCAACAGAGTGCCAGATTGTTCACTTGTAGTGTTCCAATTGAACTACGAAGGCTGACTCCAGTCCTGTTGTGCGACCTCAGTTGGGTGCGATTCGGAGACCATGCTGGCTTTTACTGTGTCGTGCGAGGTCATATCACGAGGCAGCTTGATTCCTAGTATCCGAACGTAGAGGCCGCACTCAAATTTGTAACTCTAGCAGCTCTGTTATATGACTGGCTCCATAGATGCGGCTATACGCATTCCGCCTGTCATTCTCAGTATTGCAATGCCGTTGTTCGGTGAACATACTGTGCCATGTCCAATTGTCCATATAGTCGTAACCTCTATCCAATGCTGGACTCCTTCACAACATATCCAAACCTGTAGCTGGCTCCAATCACGTTCTTGACCTGTCGATCGCAGCACGCACCAGTCACTTGATCTTGAGGTGTAGATGCCAGTAGTGACGGTACGTAGCGCATTTCGACATCTAGTAGTCTACGGATGACTTGAGCGTGACACCATCTCAGTACAATTTCCTGGTCATCGCTCCATGGTGGCTTTAGTGCAAACTCTTTTGTAAATTATAGTAAGTATAGATACTTGGGTGACACCGCCCTGATGCATGGTACTAACGCCTGAACCCGATTAGCGATTGTAATCTTGACGCGCTATAGATTCCATTGGAGCTAGACAAGCTACTTGCTTGCAAATCTGAGGTATACTAAAAGCATACTTGCAAGATAGTTATTATATGAAACGGTCACGTGAGACGAGATTGCTTGGCAAGAAGAATAGAAGAGATAGTACTCTTGTTTCGAGGCTCCATGACCTACATTGTTCAACAAACAGAGATGTCTGTCTTCGTACTGTGAGGAAAGCAGTACAAAATCGATAAGCAAAAGACTGATAAAGAATGTGATAAATTGTGCATGTCGGACGTGTCAGACCCTGAACCTAAATATAGCCGGTTTTGCCTGGGAGTACCTGACGGGCCGCAAAGCTACGCCGAAGAAAGCTTAGCTGCTCATTGAAATGCAGAAGTCGACGCACTAGGATACGAGCCGATTATCCATAAATCTAGAGGGTCCATGATGATAAATATTAGGAATCACACCATGCTTACCATCATGGACTGGTCACTTGAGCACCGTATATCTAACAGGCTTGCTCATGGCAGGACGTATCAACTGATCAGGTGGAAGTTGCGGTCGCCTGTTGAAGGAAAACCCATCTGCGCGATTATCTGCCTGTTTCAGTGCATTCGGTCAAAGCTTCAGCCAACTCATCCTGAGATCCACAAGTCTGGTCACTCATCGGTCCTATACACCGTTTTTTTTTTTCATTTAGCATTATATAGTCAAGATACCTCTTTACCACCCCGACCCCCTAGTACACCCCACCACCACCACCACCACCACCACTACGTTCACGAAACGAAGCAATTCTCTACTTACGCTGCGAGAATATATAGGGCTCGATTGCAGTTCGAAGAGACCGGGCATTAACCCTGTATCCTCCAGCATTAAAAGTATACCCACCATGGCGTCTGTTCCTGCTCGTGTCCAGAAGCCTGCCCCGCCCTTCTCAGGGACCGCTGTTGTCGATGGGGTATTCGAAGGTACACCATAACCCAAACTCTATCTTCTACGCTTCAAAACACGCAGAAGCTAATATATAATAACAATATACAGAGCTGAGCCTAACAACATACACATCCACCAAGCAATGGCTCGTCCTCGGCTTCATACCAATGGCATGGACATTCGTCTGCCCGACCGAAATCATCGCCTTCAGCGACGCCGTCGAGCAATTCCAGAAGCGTGGCGCCAGCGTCGTCTTCGCCAGCACCGACAGCGAGTACAGTCTCCTAGCCTGGAACAAAACGAGCCGAGCAGACAACGGACTCGGCGGGATCAAGATCCCCCTGTTGAGCGACAAGAACCTCAAGCTGAGCAAGGACTATGGCGTCTTGATTGAGGAGGAAGGCATTGCGTTGCGCGGCATCTTTTTGATCGACCCTAAGGGCATAGTCAGACAGGTATGTTTCGATATGAAACGGAACTGAAACATGGCGGTGCGCAGAGGTAAATTGGATAATCGTGCTGACATGAAGTCACTCACCAGATCACTATCAACGACTTGCCCGTCGGCCGCAGTGTGGATGAGACCCTTCGCCTCATCGACGCATTCCAGTTCACCGACAAGTACGGCGAAGTGTGCCCCGCGAACTGGAATCCCGGAGCCGCGACCTTCAAGGCGACCATTGCAGGAAAGAAGGAGTACCTCGATAAGCTGTACGCCGACACGCAAATGAAAGCGGCTGGAGCTAACGGAAACGGCACCCACTAACTCGGAGAGGTCCTCAAGAAGATACAACGGGAGGTGATGACTCCAAAGTCCAGATGTCCGTTGTTATAGAAGTATAGAGGTCTAGACGATTTTGAGCTTCCCCGCATTTTGCCAAAGCGTTGGGTACGGCGCATAGGCCTTTTTGGGGCAATATCTACTGACCAGCTTTCGTTGGTGTGTAGTTGTGCACTTCACTCATGATAGAAATTAATTGAAATATCCTGGTATCGTTACATCTTCCATTGTCACATCTGACCCCATGTGTTATTGACCCCAACCCTCTACTGTTGCTCTTATGAATGATGACCCCGACCGTGACCCTGCTTTGCATGGCCTACTCTGAGACCTGAGTCAGTCATGGTAGCAATTCTGTTCACGTCGAACACACCAGAGGAACGACGTACGTTGTATGGTGAAAGAAAAAGTACAATATGGTACGACACTTGACTACTTCTCGAAGGCAAAACCAAGACAGCATCTATTAGTTATTGTACATCAATTGCCTCAGCACTATGGACCCCCCTTTTCTCCGTGTAATCCCCAGTAGATCCAAGATAATCTTTTGAGACAGAACTGTTCAGTCAACAGAAGAACAAGAGGGCCTTACGTACGACTACATGTATATTTGTATAACAGAACAAAACCAGATGTGAGCAGAGAGATGTGGTTTGAAGTCGCGGTCGATCATGTTACGTGTTCAGTAGACCTTTTTGCATCATTCTGGATGTTGCCTGCCTTGATAGTTCCAACAGCTTCAGTTTTGCAATTCTGTCATTATCCATGCTGCCAAGTATTGACATTTGTTGAGAGGCAGAATGCATTAAGCGCCACGTTGGAAAGCTCTTGCTTACTCGAGGAAGACAGCTTCCTCTCCTGGAGCTCCCTCGTTCATAAAGCGGAGGTTTCTGAGTTTGCCGCCGACTTCGAGGTATCGCATCGTATTATCAAGTCTCCACACACTGCGGGACACCAACAACTGCAGCCCTAAGTTAGGCACAGAGAATAGTTTAGCGTTCTGTCTCAAGCTGTGTGGGACGAAATCATCAATCGGAACGAAGAAGCCGTCTCTATGCGGCGGGCTGTTCTGAGACACGGTCCCACATCGGATCATTGCCTTCTGGCTCTCTACTGCAGATACAGAAGCCACATGAGCGTTTACGATCGCGCACAGTTCTGGAAATCGCGGTGAGGACCGCATGTCGAATCCGAGCACGTGTAGCATCACGCCTGGGAGCTTCTGGAAACCGACCGGCGAATTCTTTTTAGGCTGCGAATTATCCGAGTCGAGACGTATCTCCGTAATCTTCAGAATGAACTCCAGAGAGTGCTTGTTCATCGCGAACAAATCCCAGCGGAGAAATATCGCGTCTCTGCTCAAGCTCTCCTTGAGCACTGAGAGCACTTCCAGTGAGCTGAGTCTGGCACTACCGGGATCATTCGAAGCACCTGGGACACTTCTTGCCACTAAGCCCGCTACGGTGACAAAGTTGGGGATGAGCCTATGGAGATTCACGATTTTACCAGCCTTTTTAATGCACGAATGGAGGTATGTTGACATGGAACCTATAGTTCCGCCGCGCCAAGCAAGCTTCATGCGTCCCTTTTGTTTTCGGCGAAGTTTCAACAGTTTCGCTCGGTCAGCACCTAAGGCGAGAGCAAAGTGCATTTGATGGTCGCCACTTTCAGTAGGTCTATCGCCAGCAAATACTTTCTTCGAGTCTTGTCTTTTGATGATCGTCTCCAAGTCGGTCCATTTGTGGCTACTTGCAGTATTGACTGGGTCCAAGAATGCATTATACGTGTGTATAGCTGTTAAAAGAGCGAAATGGTTGTTTACCAACTCCAGTCCTAGTTGATGGAATGATAACAACAACTTCATAAGCTTAAGTCCACATAGCATAGGATTTTTCTTCATGAAAAAGAATTTCTCCCGATCCACTTTGCCGGCTGCGGACTGATTTAGCTTATAGAGAGCCTCCAACTCATCTTCTTCAACGCTTTCACTAAAGTCCGAGACCATCCCGAGAAGGATGCTTTCGTTCTTTTCATGCCACTTGCTAACCCCCGATGAATATCCAAAGCGGACAGTGGCCTCGATAGATTCCTTATACCACTTGCAGGAAGCTTGAAGGTCCTGGAAGCCCCGGGAGCGGTCCTTGCCTAGGATGCGTTGACAGTCAGTAAGAGATTGGAGAGCGAAGACAGCCCACGAGTAGTAGATTCCATCCGTCCTGCTCTGAAGGATAGCTTGAACCATCATGTCGTCATCATTGTCCATGGTCTTGAGGCGTCCGACACTTAAGAGTGTCAAATAAGAAACACAGAACATCAAGTTGTCTTCATCATCTGTAAGTAGAGGCGCTCGTCTGTGCTCATACCAAGAAACGACGGGCATTGTCATAAGTGACATTGTCATTCTATGCACAGTGTTGCATGTAATGACAGGCTGATAGAGTGCAAATTCATCTCCCTGATGCGATGTGAAAACAAAGTATCGCCAATCTCCGTGCTGTTGATGTTCCGAAGGCTTGTAACTTCCATCCATGAATGTAATAATCGTTGCATGATCAGACAGATGCGGGAAATATTTGATGAAATGAAGATTGACTTCGCGGCATAGTCCCAGTGCCGTGTTATGGATAACTGCGGCAGTCTCAAGAGTTATACGACGCTCCTTATATTCGGTCCAGGCCTGGCGTATGAAGTATCGTAGCCCAGTCAGATCCTTGAGAAGACACCACACCGCAACTGACGTCTCTTCGATCGAAGGCTCCATCTTGAACACAATTTTGGTATCGCTTGATCCCGCAGATCTAGTGGATGGCTCGCTCGGGGACTGGAGCAAAGAGAATGGGTTGACAGTCTCCTGGAGCTGCTCGAAAGAGTCTCGCTTGGGATAGCCTGAGTACTAAATTCCTGCTTTTCTTCCCGAGTGGTAGAAGCAAGCTTGCTTCGCATTTTCTGCAAGATGCTGATGTAGTAGTCATGGCTTTCATTTCTCTTCTGATGAGCATCGTTGTCTGTAGACAGTTGCCGTCTATACCATGAAGCACACTCTCTCCGAGCAACGATTACATCGTCCAGCGTATAAAGGATGGCTGGTGGGACCTTTAAGTTTGAGGAAACGATCACATCAGCAAACCTGTTAAGGTCTTTGACTTCAAAATCGAACGTCTGCTCTGATGTCTGGCGATTATTCTGCTCATGTCTCTTCAAGTGAGCATTGGTTCCCGTGCTTCTGGTAAAGGACGCGTCCAGGAGACCTGTGCCGTAGGCGGCCTTAGCCAACCAGGTGACGACTTTCTCAGTCCCGGCTTTGTATTTGACGTAGGTGTCATGAAGGACTGGGTCAATCTTTGTATTTGACGTAGGTGTCATGAAGGACTGGGTCAATCTTTGTAGTCATATTGGGAGTCCTGTCTCTGTTTTTGCCTGATACAACGTTAGCTAAGAAGCGCACTTGTGAGTGGAGCGTCCAAGATCGGACATACCTACCTCAGTGGCGTTGGGGAGAACAGAAGCTGAGGTTGAGAGCTGCAACCGTCCAGAAGATCGAACTGACATAGAAAAGGGGCGGAAGAAATTTGAGTGGGTCAAAGCTGGTCTCGGCGAACAAGTGTCGTGAATAAACACGTTCTGTACGACGACCACCTTGGTTGTTCACTTACCCCTCTCAACACAGCCATATATTCAGCTTGGCTCCAGAACTTTCGATTGACGTAATGTAGGACGAGTGGTACAGGGTCCATAAACATTATGAAAATGCTGTTCTGGGACTTTCTCGCCCTCTTGACATGGAATCACTGACCCACGTCGATGGTCTGAGGAGAACTCCAAGCCTAGCAGAACTTCAAGCCTAGCAGAACTTCAAGCCTAGCAGAACTCCAAGCCTAGCAGAACTTCAAGCCTAGCAGAACTTCAAGCCTAGTAGAACCTCCAGCCTAGCAGAACTTCCAGCCTAGCAGAACTTCAAGCCTAGCAGAACTTCAAGCCTAGTAGAACCTCCAGCCTAGCAGAACTTCCAGCCTAGCAGAACTTCAAGCCTAGCAGAACTTCAAGCCTCAATGTGAAGTCGTTCTCTTCTGGTGAAGCGGGTCCGGTCATCTACCATCTGTTCTGCTCGTGGCAGCCAATCCTGAACGGGCCAACGATTAAGCAGGCATATAAATGGTCCGTTAATGTTCGCAACACCGTGAGCCGAGTACAAGGTCGTGTACCAGACGACGTTCGCCCAGGCCAAAAAGGCGAATTTGCATCCAGGCAGGAGGAAGCTTGACGCCAGCCCCTCCAGCGTCAAGCTGGAGTGGAAGCCACGACTTACCTCACCGACCCCACCTCATCACACCGCCGCCAGCACCCTCTCCACAACCTCCACAAACCTGCCCCGATCCAACACCGCGCCAAACCCATGACACTCCACCAACGGCACCAAGCCCCCCCTCATTTCCTCCAACCCCTCAAACCCCAACCTTCCAAACCGCGGATGCCGCCTCAACCACATCCACCCTTGCACCGGCGTGATTTCCCCCTCCGCCAAGCCCAACTCCCCGGCACCCTTCAACAAGTTCTCCAGCTCACGCACGGGCACATCCCAGCGTGCATCGGACGGCATGCCTAGGTGGAGCGGATTGAAGCTGTACTCGGGGGCGCGGGCCATGATGGGCGCGCTGAGCATTTGGCGGTGGCCGTTGCCGATTTGGCCGCTGAGGAGGAGCATTTCGGGCATGATTAGGCGGTGGTGGTAGAGGCAGGGGGATTCGAGGCTGAGGACGAAGTTGACGCCGACTTGGGTGGCGTCGAGGCCTTGGGGGTGTGCGTAGATGGTGGTGCCAGGGGTGGTGGTGGTGGTGGTGGTCTCTGTGGTGTTTTGCAGTAGGGAGGGAGCGGAGGCGAGTCCCGAGGCGAGTCCGAAGGATGGTCCGGGGATGGAGGCGGATGAAGTAGCGGAAGACACTCGCTCCAAGGGCGCACATATACTGGTCGGCGGAGTAAGAAAGTCGGAGTCGCTGTGGCTTGTATCGCCGCCAAAACTGCTCTGTGAGGGTGGTGCTTGCGGCGGCGTGTGCGGAAATGCGAATGCGCGATTCGGGTCCGGAGAGGAGTCGTCGGCCTTGAACCGGGCGGAGATCTCTTGGTACAAGAGGCGACGATTACCTACTTCGATGGTGGCGACTGGTACATGGCTCTCGGCAGGAATGGGGATGCCGTTGGTGATGAGGGAGTCTCTCAGCGTACGTATCAGGGCGGCCTGAGTGGCGTTTTCTCTCCGGAGCTCGCTGACCTCGGATTCGAGGGACTTGACGTAGGTTGCTTTGCGTGCGCGATGGGATCTGTGTTACTAGGTCAACACCTGTGAAGATTCTGGGATTTAGTCATGTGATATATAACAAAGGCTTACTTCTGAGCTCGTCGAACCTGTTCTCGCCGGCGTTCGTAGGCTTCTCCATTAGGGCTTGCCATCTTCTTCTTATGGGCCTCGGCTGGACAGTACGGTGTAACTTGTGATGTTTGCCGAAGCGTGGTTACATGGTACGACCTCCAAAATCGCCCTCAAGTTAATCAACGAGATCGTCTTACGTCGCCTACTTAGATTAAGTAATAAGTACAAATGATGGCGGCGGAGGTGGCTAAGCAAGGTCTTTGGCATGATTCAGCCCTCTTGGCGAAGCCTAGACCGTCTTCCGCTTTAGGTTAGCGGTATCCGGTCAAAAGGTATATTTTCACTACGCCCTTCCATTTCAATATCTTGAAGATGTTTTGTTGGTTATTATATTTAGCTGTAGTGTAAAAACATCACATCTTATGCTAAGCTATAGGGCATCTTATCATATTGAACATCTAGTAATCTCTTATCCTCTCCCAGGTCTCGCGCATTCTTAGCGATATACAGTCGAATCCCGTTATAACGATACGAACACGGCCGGTTCAATCGTATCGCTATAACGAGAATATTGTAATAACGGATTCGTTTGCTGGCAAGATCTCGATTTCGTCCACGAGGTTCGTATTTTTATACTAAGGATATTGCCATAACGAGGTTTGACTGCACCAACTCGATAATCTAACAACTAACCACTCATCAAAAAAATCCAATAACACTAATAATCTAAACTCTAAAACAACCCAAAACACATCACAAACAGCAGTCTTTCTTTTCCTGAACGAGACCCAAAACACAAAACATTCAGCAGTGGGTATTCGCTAGTGGTCACCCACCTAACTACTAATCCACCCCTAACCAGCTTAAATAGGCGGGAGCGAACGGGACCGCTTGCTTTCTGGTTGGTATGGCCGAATGTGCTTAAGATTCCAGCAAACAACATTATATCAAGATAGCCAGTCTCCTTTCCTATCTTTAGTCTCCAAACTTTCCATACGACCCCAACACGGATCACAGAGTTTGGGAACCAGATTCGACCGAAAAGAGAATGAATATATATATATATATCCCAGAAACAACAGTCTAGTCCCAATCAACCACTACCACCTACCCTTAAACCACACTCATCGTACCGTCCAAAACGAAGCTAAATCCCCTTTGTTGTTTTCTTCTTCTGCCTTTCACCCCCCCCCCCCCCCCCAAAAAAAAAAAAAAAAAAAGGCAACGTCAAACCGACAAATAGTAACTAACCTGTAATAGCTCATCAGCTAGCCCAAAGTCCAGTGTAATATGATTTCTGCACATACTTTATTCATTATACTATACCCAAAGATACTCCCCTCCGCCCCTCCGCCGTCCCCCCCCCCAAAAAAAAGAATGAAAAATAAGAAGAATAGTCGTATCCCTCATAATGCCACGACCAAGTAGGTACCACCTAACAGAAAGCCCGGGCGTGGTGACTTGTCACTGGGTTCGGCATAAACCTACCATTAGCCCTACGATTACGATTACGATTACCAAAAGCACATATCACAAGCTCTAGATACACCACTCCATCCCACTCAAAGTTCTCCACCACCAGCCAGCCTTACGCGACACCCCGGCTCAGCACGAGCTACGTGCAACTCCTCCAGTCCAAGTCGAGTCGGTAAACATTCAGGTTAGAGCACAAAAAAAGTGACTGGTTGATGACACATGTTGTAATTGCTATGTAGTGTCTATCAAGAAGCGTGATCGTGGGCTGCCAGGTGGCAAGTCCTCCACAACCCGCCGAAACAACTGGTATGCGGCTGCTACTAACGCTGACTCTGGAGATGGGGAATGTAACATGTTGCGATCCGCTAATATCCGAGACCAGGTCAAAACATCTATGCCGCCGGTTGAGGATATCAATAACTGCATAAAGCCGACGCGCCTATGCTACTAAAATATGCTATGATTCTGACCGTGAAAAGAAAGAATCTGGAAAGAACGCGTGTGCCAATGACATGGGGGTATCAAGTGTTCGATGCTATCAAAAGTGTGTAGATGCTAGAATGGACTCCGAGAATCGAACTGAAAACTTCGTGATCTGGGCATTATCTTTACTGAACGAGGTTGAGCGAGAGCCTCCCGTAGAGGGACTAATTTTGGCGGTGGACGGTATTTGACGTGCAGCTTCTGCAGACAGTTGGTCGTAGGATGGACAGCCGGGCAATGTCTGATACGGAGCTTCTGCGGCCGTATATTCCTGGAATGGGCCACCGATGTCAGACATTATGCCGTTCCGAAGGCGATGTCCACTTCCCCAGTGGAGGAGTTCCGACGAGAGCCAATAGGAGTCGGTCGGCGTGAGCCGGTCAATTGCTCTTCCCGAACAGCTTCCTGCTTCTTGAAATCCTCTGCCATACTGCTGTGTCCCCGAATCCATTCGCCCTTGAAGTAGAATGCATAGATCGGTATGATTACACCGATCGATATGCACGCAAGTATGACACTCCCATTCCTGGTGTTCTCAGGTCGTCCAACGTTCTCGTACAAAGGATTTGCGTATAGTGCTGAGATACCAGCGAGCAGATCACGGGCAAAACCGTTACCACCAGTGGCAGAAGCAGCAAAGGCACCATAGGCGGCGACCATGTAATCAACGGTGGCGAGATAGATGGCGTAGTTTGCGATACCGACCAACACGGTGGAGGAGAGCGCAGGCCACGGGCTGGAAACGATGCTAGGCTCACTGAGCCAGGCGAAGAGGAACATGCCTACGGGCAGGAAGGGAGCAACTGCATACCTGTAAGAGAATGCTACGAGTCAGGGCTTTGGATAACTTACTGAACAACAGAAGGAACAGACGCGATTCCGGATTAATTGGCTCGCCGGACCTCTTTGACCTCCTCTTCTTGACCCAGAAATCGACGATGTAAGCCACATACCCAATGATGTAGCCAACGATGAGGCTACAAACAGCATTAGTTGGTTCTAATTGAGACGTGGTGTAGGGCAATGACTTACAAGAGGAACCCATGCCCAATCTGAACAGGCCCTAATTTATAGGGCTCCTTGAACACAACACCATAGGAATTCAGGAACGTAAATATCAGAGCATCACTGAATCCGCTGAGTAGCGACAGAAACAGTACGATAGGCTCTGTGACAAACATCTTGAAGGGTCGAAGCCAGATGGTGAAGATGTGTCTCCACGTTTCTGGATGACCGGTAAGAATTTGCCGTCTGCTCATGATATCTACGTTTTCCCTTGGTCCCTTGATGTGACATGGTCTGCCCTCTTTCGCCGCATCAGTCCGTAAGGCTTTTGCCTTGGCTGTACCATTCAATTAGTACAGCGAAATAAATATGGTGGTGTACACTTACAGTTGAGGATCTCCTTGGCTCTCGTTTCGGGCAATGCTACGAAGGCGGCCATGACGAGAACACCGAATATCACCTGGGACCAGAAGTTCCATTCCCATTCGACATTCTCTTCCAGATAGCCACCGACGACAGGCCCGACCACCGATCCACTGACAGAGGCTAGGACGACGAAGTTCACCGCATAGCCTTGCTCGTCAGGTCGGAACATATCGGCGACGATGCCGAGAGTGATAGAGCCACCAGCAGAGCATAAACCACCAAGAACACGGCCAACCATGATAGTGGTGAAGTTTGTAGCACTACCACACATGGCTGCCCAGATGTTTACGAGCAACAGACTGCCCGTCAAGATCCATCTGCGTCCAAAGTCCTCGCTCCAACTAGGTTATCTGTTAGTATGGCGATTTAAAGGAGATGGAAGGTACTTACGGTGCCCAGAGCTCACAACCAAAAGCATATGCAACAAGGAATGCAAACATCTGAAGTCGGGCCTGAAATTCCGTGATTTCAAACCTTTTTTCGAGAAGGCCCAGGGCGTTCCCGACAACAGATGCATTGTAGTTCATGGATATCTGAACGAAGAATACCACCGTCAGATGAACCCATTTTTTCCACGTCGGCCAGCTATAAGCGAGTAGCTCCGGATATGCATTTTCTTCCAAGATGATAGGTTTGGGCCTAACATCTCGTACTGTTGCTGTAGGGGGTGCACAGCCGACTGATTTCTCAGTCAGCTGTGGTCTGGCTGACTCTGGCCCTGACGACGTTTCCCCTTGTGAATTCCCCCTGGTCTCTGTGTCTCGCGTCTCGACGAGATGGACTTCGGGCAGGGGACCCTTCTTCTCGGACTCGATGAGGTCAGACATATCGCTGTGAAGAGAGAATTGACTGAGGCGAAATCTGGTGGTTTGGTATGTGCAGTGGATGCTGTCGAAGAGACGGACAGTGGTATTTATAAGTTTGTCCATCATGTATAAAGTGCGCCTTTAAACGTGGCGGCTTAAGAATGAGAGAATAAAAATGGGCGACGTTTTCGCTTGACCATGGGACGAAGCATTGTCGGTTGAGTGGATTAAGTCAATATTGGCCAACAAGCGCGAAAGATATAGTGTTGTCAGGTAGGCCATCATGCTTTCCCGACTTACGGTACAAGTCCCAGTTGCCGCAGGAGGCTGGTGGTGCCTACCGACCTTACGACACGACGGCCATGTAACTCTTTCTTCTTGTTCTAACTTCGTGAGTCGTGATGCCCCCGTATGTCTTGGCCTGAATGGGCTTGAGCACAGCCTCTAAGGCTCGCTCGATCAGCCATCATACTGGACTTTCCATATCATCTAGACTGAGGAATCATGAAAGTCAACCTTCGATGACTGTCCGCACCATCCGGATATGCCTATTCTCGAACCAAAACAGATAGTCTTTCGATACTAAGGATTTAGAGCTGAGGTCATGGGGTCAGAAAGGCAGAACCGTACCATTCCGATGTTCTACCACTCATCAAGTCCATGACCAATGCGGGATAGAAGGCCGGGGGATCGCGCGATTCTGATATCTAGTCTTGGATGAAAAATACGTGATGTGTTATAGATGTGAGAGGAGGCTGGGTGAAGAACTGGTCGGCATAGTGGCCCGCTGTTTGGTATCCAATAATCGTTTGATAAGTGACAAAGTCGACGTTGGGACCAATATGAAATGGTACTCTCGCCAATATGAGGATGATATGTCGCGCAAGCCTAGAGGGAGAGAAAAGAAACATATCTTCTCTTTCGATGGGTATAATAAAGTGCACTACATAGACCATAGCATGAGGCACTACTAGTCGCAGACTACGAGATTGCATTGCAAAACAGACAGACAAAAAGCGCTCACGAGGCCTGACTTCGTAGCTCCTGAAAACTCTAAAGGGGGAGGGGGGGGGTATATCCAACTCTTCAGTAAACCTTCCAATTAGCCGACGGCTTCAACCTATACGTCCGAGACAGCACGTCCAGACCTCTCCCTGCGTCCGACTTCAGCTCGCCCGCACTTCCCAAAGGATCCGGCCACTGGTACCGGATCTGCATCGTGGACGATGACCATGAAAAATCCCGCTGCTGCTCTCCTTTCTCCTTCCTCCATAGCTCGAATTTGATGTACCATCGTCTATCAAGCCGTCTCCTCCGTGATGCGGCAAGCTGTTCCACTCTCTCAAGGTCCTTGGCTTGAAGACTTGTCAAATAAGTCAGCTCGGCTTCGAAACTGCGGTCATTTGCCGACAGCTCCTCATGTTGCTTCTTTTGCCTGTTCTGCACTGCTCGCTCCTGTTTCGCGCGCAGGACGTTGACTGCAGCTTCATGCTTCTTCTCCAGCCCGTCGCGGAGGATGTACTGCTGTTGGAGCTTCAATCGGTCTTGGTCTGTGACTGTCCGCCGCAAGCCGGCTGGTTCACTTGGTGGTAGGGCACCGCGCGCGACCACGCCGCAATATGCTTCCATGTACTTTAGAGCAGTGGCGACATTTTGACGCTCCTCGTCTTGCAGCAAGCGGAGCTCGACTTCACGGTCCATTTGCATCTCCTCCAAGGTCTCGATGGCATGTCTGTGCTCGGCCTCAATGTCCTTCCTCTCTTGTTGATGGAGTGCCCAATAGTCTGACCGAAGACGGTCGTAGTGAACCTCAATAACGCGTCGTTGTCGGAATTCAAAGTCACGAGCCCTCGAGTATTGTTCTCGTTGCTGGTTCCGGAGCGATGCGAATGCTTGATCCTGAGTCGCCGTATCTTCTCGATCGGCATCATTGGCACTAGATCGCGAATTCGAGATCGATCGCCGTCGTGGTGATGTAGGTAAGGGATGCGTAGGGGATGAGAGATAAACAGGATTCTGTGTCGCAACACCAATGTCTAATTGTATTGGACTCAACAAAGGGCCATACGGTGGTATAGCCACGTTTAGTTCTAACGGCGTCGGTGTCGTTCGGCGCGATATCGCAGCAACATTGACTTCACTCATACTATCTTTACGATCAACGCCATAGGAGATAGCTAATTCGCGCTCTAGACTGTCGAGTTCGGCCTCGCTCATCACTCTGGTCAGTACAGATGCAGGGATAGGTACGCCACAGCAGCTCGGAGGGATCTTCTGATCCATCTCGAGAGCTTCCCTGATATGCATCCGTATGGCGAAGTTGGTCAGGCGATGCCCGCATTTCAGTCCCTGCAGTGGAGCATGACCGTCCGATGACAAGGACGTCGCTACAGGATATCGGATTGATCTGTGTAGCTTTTGTGGTGTCGATCCTGTGTCGTAGCCGTGGCAAGTGCAGGAGTAGCATTGACTAGAAACAATGTCATGAGCGCTGCAGAAAGAAACAGTTCAAGGACAGCGCACTCACCTTTGGCCTTTCCGGAAAAACGACAAAGATCCGCTTCTTATATTCAGCGACTTGGGTCTTTTGGTCTTTGACCCGAATGCGAAGGAGAATGTCGGCGCACTGGATGCTGCCGAAGCTGACCTCGATGGCAGCCGTGGCCGGATGTTGTCGATGACAGAATCATAGCTACTGTGACTCGAAGTGGAAAGCTTACTTTTCGATAGTCGAGAGGTTGATCTTGGTGCGGACAGAGACGACGCATCAGTCTGCGTGTCGCGCGAACTTCGCGATCGGTTTGTGATGTTCGTGGATAGCGATGAGTGCAGTGAGATGGAGCTTGGGTGCGGACTGGAGACGCCCAAGGACGATAGGATGGCTGAGATCTCTTGAGTGTCAGAACAAGTCTCGTCCTGCACATCCGCTTCGATCCCCGCTTCTCTTGCTTGCAGCGCATGAAGCTCGTCTAGCTCATCCTCCGTCTCTCCTTCGCCAAGCTGTAGCACGTCCTTGTCCCAGAGCTCAGTATCGTACACAAGAGGAGGACAGGATAGGTGTTTGGCGTCGTCGGTGGTATGAGTCGCAAGCATTTCGACAGTGGACCGCTCAGGCGCAGAAGTCCGAGGGCCTCGGCGTGGTGTTGAGTCGTGGGTGCAATCGGGACAACGGCCTTGGGTCTCCAGCATTCTCGGCCGAGTCAGACTCAAAGAATGCTCACGAGAAGCTGCATGCGGCGACCGGTTCACAGTGAACAGCGCAACAGGTCTGAAGGCATGACCGTTGGTTATTGAGCGGATGATATAGGTACGATGGAGGAAGCGGACCACAGGAAGGAATGTAGATACATTCTCGGCGATAAAGTAGTAGGAAGAGGCGGCGAGTGACAGTTATGACAGCAACCCACCTGGCATCCTCCTCCTCCTCCTCCCTCCCCCCCCTGACCCCGGGATGGCGGTCAAGGCGCCTGTTGGCAAATGCGGCGCGAAACATAGTGCGAGACTTGCGAGTGGACATGCAAGTCAAAAGAACCCAAGAGACGCAGGATGATCCTATCCCACTATCCCTGGGGTATCCTCGGCTCCGGTTACGTGGCAGACGGACTATATTATATTGTATCATTTCCTTAAATGCAAGGAGCAAACAGCAGCATGGTATATCAATCCATGATGTGAGACATTGTAAGACGGCCTCGAGCAGAAACGGAGGGCTTGCTTGGATATTCGGACAGGGCTGCTCGTTACGAGCGGACCGTGGCGCAACCTTGTCGATCTCCACGATTTCATCCACCTGGTTTGCAGTCACAGTGAGACTGGTAATACTGTATGGTATAGAGGGCTTGAAAGTCTAATTTGTTATTTGGTTTGGTAAAGTGTGCATGTGGTTGTTGTGGGCCCCCCCCCTTCAAACGGAGAATTCACTTTAGGCAACCCGTTGGCCGCAAGCCTTTCCCGCCATGCCCAAGGCTTGGTTGTAATAGAACAGAAGCAAGCACATGAAAAGGACAGTCGAACTTCGCATCCATCCTCAAAAACATCACGTTACTCGTCAGTCGCCCATCTCCAGCCTTACAGCCGACCAGCCTCCCTTCCATCATCCCACTGCCGAGCCCATCAAGCCCGAAATTGAAATGACGGAGGGAGGGCGTCTGCCGGGGGAACGCAAGCAAAGAAGAGGCGCAATCCCATCCCCCGTCTCCGCGCCGACATTCCCCCACCCCCACTGCCTTCTCCGCGTGTGTCCTCCCAGCCAGCGCCACAGAGAGAACAGAGCCCTTCATTAGTTGTCTGCTACAGAACAGAACCACAGGCCAGCCAGAGAACTGTTGCTGCCGATAACAACCTCCTGCAATATTCTAACTCATCACCGGTGGTCTTTGCTGCATACCAGAGGTAATATGAGACTGTTCAAAAGAGAAGCTACACAACCTGGTGAGACGTGCCACAAGAGCCTTAGGAGCGCCCACCACACTATAGATGGATGGCATACGCCGGGGTTTCACGGCTCTCTCGCCTCAAGTCGATCAGCAAGCAATACCATTGTTTGCGATGTGCATCCCTTGCGAGCCTGTTCCCTGTCAACACTTTTGCTTTCGTACATGCCGAACCGAAGACAAAGGACCCCCGCCGGGAAGATAAAAATCCATGCACCCCTTCCCTTTATCCTTCCCGATGGCGAATCCTACACGATCGTCGAAATGCCGTATTAGTAGTATTCATTCTCTTTAGAAGCTTAAAAAGCCTCTTTGCCGGAACAAACAAGCCAGGCAGCCATCGGATGACATGTTAGATGCGTCCCGTTACTAAACGACGGACGGTCGGTCGACTGAACTGCGGAGCTGCAGAACAGTCACAACACGATAAACACCGTGACCGAGCATTAATCCGATATCTGCCTACCTACGTACTCAATACTCTCGAGATCGCCGATCTAATGCATTCATTCATTCACACGATCCATACGCAGGCTCAGGAGACTTTCCGCGGTATCGGAGACTTCACACGCCTTTACGCAACCAACCGCCACCACAAGGTCTCGAATGACTGACTGAACTCTGAAGACTTGCTTACTTACTTGTCCATCGCATCCCATCCAATCTTGCAATTACCGTCTGGAGACGTGATATCTGTTCACACAAAGTCGTGTCGTGGCGATATATGTTCCAAACAATCACCTTCTGTTTCCATTGATTGCGCAAGCTGTAATTATCCAGGCTTCTATACATCGAATCACAAGCTACCTACAACGTACGATATGCGGGGCTTCCAAAAATCAAAACATAACAACACCACGCGTCATAATTACAGCTCTATCTGATGAATCAGACTACGACTACTACTACCTATACACCAACACCCCAGCAACGCGTCTCCCAAATCAAAGCCATTTCCACGCCTTCCATTATCAATCTTCAAGAATAACCGAAAAAAAACATGCCATTCAATGATAGGTAGTAGACTTGCCTACCCCAGTGTCTTATAACCTGACGTCATCCATCTCAGACTACCTACTAGTACCTACATTTTCATCCCCAAGACCAGGGATCCAGGCCCGGCTATAGGCATACTATGTATGCAGGTACGCAATGTAAACAGGTACAGTAGTAGGTAATTACCCATTTAGGCAAACGCGCAAGAGTATGTATCTAAATCAAGTCAACAATTTCATCAATTGTAAAAGACCGACTCTGTGGTAATTTGAATCCATAAGACGCTCCGACGGGGAATATATATATGTGGCTTCATCTTGTTTCCTGCAGGAGGCGCATATCCATTGGATCTAGGTTGTGGGCTGATGGCGATATATCACTTACTGTCAGCGTCTACTGCTATTTTCACTCCCTACAAGAAGAAAAAAGAGATTTAAGAATAATCATTGGCAATCTGGATGATAGGCCGAGCGACGGAAGGTTCGCGATGTCTTTGCGCTAAATTTCGTCGCAACACTTCGCCTGTTCTGCATGATAATTACCCTATTCAAAACCTTCTACGCTGTCACAATAAAAATAATAAAAGTCATCTACTTATGTAATAGTAATTTTCTTGAATTTGACTTTGCATGGACTACAAAAACCCATTCTCGCTTCCTTGGACGAAAGACGCATTCTTAGAAAGCCACCCTGTCTGTGAAAAGCCCTCTCAAAAAAATGCGCCTGTCGCGCCGCTGCTACGAAAGGGAATCAAAGTATATGACATAAACCAGACGAAAAAGCCCGAATACGGTAGGCTCGTCGTATACGTAACCCTCTTGTCAAATCCGCCTCCAAGAATCCCTCCAGCAGATCTTTGCGATCCGACCGTACATCGAAGTAGAAACGTGAACGTCGAAGCCGTCAATCATTGAACCAGCGGCCCCAGAGAGCGGGTTCTTCGTGAGAAAAGAGCAATTTTCGGCTGTCAGACTAGGGATATCGATAATAGAACAACAAAGGAAATGCATGCTCGGTGTACAATGTTACGAAACAAGAGTTATAAACTCAAGCACGACCAGCGACCAGGTCGACACTCGTGTGTTGCGACAAAAAAGATCAGACGACGGAATGTATGAGGGTCCGTCATCGATAGTGCTATGTGTAGCGATGTAGCGATGCAGTAGATAGATACTTGGAGGTCTCTTCAACTGCTCGCGGGTGACACTTAAAACTGGTTCTGAACAGGGGGTCGGTATGGCTGGTATTGTGGTTTGGTATTCTCGGAAGAATAACCGCCAGCGCTCGTTGCGCGAACTGCACCATTCGGAAGGGGCATGAGACTACCAGGGCTAGGACCCCGTCTTTTGCCATCGCCAGTCTTGACACGACGCTGTTGTGGGTCGCCGCTCCGGTTGAGCCTGCTCGTTCTCCAATCTTCATACCAGCGTTCACGACTTGCGGCCCTCAGTTCAGTCCGCCATTCGCGAAAGATACTCTCCTTCAATCGGATGAAGTCGCAGTGTTCAACATTGTATGGATCTGCGAAGCCCCACGGAAATTGGCGACCAATAACCTCAGGCTCATAAATGTCCGGCGATATGATGGACATTGGGAGGTATGGCAGCTCGGCATCATCCTTGGAAGGGCTAGACGCGATAGTTGCAGACATAGCGGACGCTTTACGCGTGTGAGTGGGCCTTTTAGCGTCGGGAGATGGACGAGGTGGGGATGAGGGGCTGGTAGAGGCCTTGTCGGAGTTTGTGTCCGTCTCATCGGAAGAGTCGCCTTCCTTCAAGTTGTTCAACACTGAGGACTTCTCCTCGTCCTCCTTGTCGGAATGCACAGCGTCGTCTTCATCACGCTCATCAAGGGCCTCCGAGTCCGATTCGTCTAGGTCGAGTGCCTCCAGCGGATCCAGCTTTGCCTGCTTCAGACTGTCCCAGACGACCTTCTTCAAGCGTGCCATATGCTTCGTCGTAATCGTGTCCGCCTTACTGATGACTGGAATCACAGTGGTCTTACCCTGTAGAGTCCGAAGAATCTGGAGGTCTAGGTCGTCATCAAGGCCACCAATAAGCTTTTGCTCAAGAGAGCTCTTGTTGCCGGTCTTTGCGCTACGAGCCGCAGCCGACAGATTCGCATCCAGTCTCACTGGATCGAGAACCAGGAAGGCGCAGTGAATGTAGGTGTCCCATACACCAAGAGCACGGACTACTTTTTGTTCCTCAGCAAAAGTTTCTTCAAACTTACCCTCGAGGAAAGTAGCCATCTCTCTCAGTTGAAGATCAACAATATTCTTCTCCAGACCTTGCGAATCCCAGATCGTAATGCCAACTCTTTCATGATCAATCTCAGTCTCGAGGTATTCGGACGTGAATGGAGAGTCAATGACCGATTCGGGCTGTCTGGGGTGCTGCGGGGGGCTTTGTTGACGTTTGTTTGCTGGCAAAGCCAAAGCAGTTCGTAGGAAATTGATGAAGGACGTCTTTCCAGAATTCTTCGCGCCAATGACCAAAATGCTGTAATGCCGTCAGAAAGAGTGCGACGAGAGTTTTGAGAGAAGCTTACTTGAAGGGTGTTGGATCTTTACGTCTACGCACGCGCCGAGGACTATTGATGGACGACATGGTACTACTAGCATAGCTGTAGCGACCGCGATGCGTCATACTTTCAGTCCTGGGGTACGGATCTACGTACTCTCCATTGCTTCCAGGAATAGGCGGAGGCCTGATCGGATTCGGGACAGGACTGACGCGACTGAAATTCATGCTTCTATGATGTAGAGAACCTTGAGATGTTGTACGGCGCGCGTTTTGTTGTGGTTCAAATTGACCGGTAGCGATGGCGACAGAATCAGGACGAGCTTCTTCACCTCCAAAGGTGTTTATAGTTGGGAGCGGAGAGTGAGACGGTAGGCGTGGAGCTTCTTGTGGGAGAAGCTGTGCTTGACGTTGGCGCAAGAGTTCCTGCTGCGCCTTCTGTTTTTTGCTCATCTTGCCAGACTCAGAGGAGCGCCTGAGGAAATTGAAACTTGAGCGTCGTGGCTCGAGGCGCGGCGAGATAGGTGACTGTTCAGCTTGTTCTCGTTTTGGGATCGCAGGTAAGGCGGTTGTTTCGATGGAGGGCTGAGCGCTGGCCTGGCGGGGAGGTGTAGCGGTAGCCATGGTGAACGGCGGCAGGTGATCACGTTATCTATACACGGGTGCGGAACGAGAATGCAGCCTTAAATGAAGGGGGCACCGCAGACCAAACAATGAGAAGAACGCTATTACCCGCAAGAGGTGGAGCCCTTTCAAATTGGCGCTTGTCTCAGGAACGGATGAAAGGGTCAGACAGGGTCGCAGAGCCTGCTTGACAGCTGAAATGGAAGAAGTCGACGAAAGAGGATGGTTTGATGAGGTTGAGGTCGAGAATGACGGGAGACAAAGATCGGAGGCGTGCTGCTGCTGCTGAAAAAAGACTTCTCCAGTCACGTCAGCTAAAGTGTTACTACTCCATAATGGCAAGGCGGCCTGGGTAAATTCTTGAGATTCTCTAATAAAAGGGGACAAAAGCTCGCGACCAGGATGAACGGTTGGAAGCTTGGGGCTCCACGCGGCTGGGATCAGGTGCAGTCAGGTACAAGGGCACGTACCAGAAAGGTTACTCACCCGACGTGGCTGCCACGAGCAGTCCTATGGAGCCACAGAAACACGCTGACAGCTGGCTGTGCTGTGGACAGACTAGTGGGAGGATTCCAGACAGACAGCAGGATGAATGTAAGGTCGAGAAAGAGGGAAAGCAGATATTGTTCGTTTGTCTGTAAGACACTTTGAAGCTGCCGCTGCTGCAGAGCAAAAACGTAGCGGGCCGTTCTGCACGTCTAGCTGGCTTGCAGTGCTCCGGATCGCCGTCGTTGTTCGGGAGTTGGATCAGTACCGGCCGAGCTGCAGCATGCAAACATGCAGTAGGCGTCCTTTGCGTGGAAAACGCTCGTAGAGACAAGAATGGAATGAATTGCTCGTGCGGAAGGGAAACAAGAGGAAGAGAACACGCGTCGGAGGAAAAACGTTAAAAAAGACGAGGAAAGATAATGACGACGGCACGGGTAGTAGCCTGAGCTGAACTTCCTTTACCTGTAATCTACCTATACCCTCCACGTACCTATCCAGCTATTATCCTATGTAGCTAACTGATTCCAGCACACAGTAAGTCCAACGAGGTATCGTGCTGCTGTCCACAAATCGCTGCACGAGCTGCTCCCCTGCATGCCATTCAGGGGTTTTACATGACTCTCGCCAATCAGGTACTCGGATGTGGCCCCGTACCAGTGATGAAACACGCTGAGCGCCCCCTTCGTACTTGAGACCTACCCATCCCATCTCATCCATGCATCTTCTAGAACCCTGTTGCTCCACAGTAATTACTTATGCTCAAAGCCATTGCATATAATGTTCTTTGTTCGACTGTTCTGCACTTTCATGATGCCGCCCGAACACTGGAACAGCAATGCGGATCGAAACAGTGGTGACCTAGCCTGCGCCGTCAAAAAGTTCCAAGGATCCGTGCGCCTAGACAAGATGTGGACGTGTTCCTCGGGAGAATCCGAACCGCCCCAGCCATGTGAGTTCCAGTAGTACTGCATAAGTAAGAATGCAATCCAGACCAATACTACTCACATGCATCCAATAGACAATGTGCCACTACATAGAGGATAGTGCATAGATCGCAGTAGCTCCATCTCTGAGTTATGGTATGCAGCAGCATAGCTAAAAATTGGTACATAGATCTTAGCTTTCCCGAGAACGGATCCTGAGGCATCAATATATGACGGTCGAACGCTCGTCATCTCGCATTGATCAGGAGTTCAGTCCAGGGATGAGAATGTCGACCAACACACCTTAAGAGCCCATCTCAATGTCGTTCAATGCTAGATAGTCATTTTCCAAGCATGGTCCGATCATAACCAGTCAATCCTCGACTCCAACAACCATCTTCAGCGACCTAACATGGCCAGTCGCGCCGGATGTATTCCTTCAGTGCTCTCCCCATTATCATCTACTGCCGGGCCTGTATCAGCCTCAGGCTCGCCCTCTTTACTCTTCTTGCCACGAGCCTTCTTCTTTTTCTCTCTCTCGGCCTGCTTTTGTTCCACAGTCTTCTCCGCGTCTTCATTCTCTCGGCGTCGTGCGCGCTCGTCGTCTAGCTTGGCATTCTTCTCACGAATTCGTAGTGCGCGTACTTCTGACTTGGCACCTCCTCCTCCGGCGCTGTTATCGTGTTAGCTTGCATGTCCGTTGGTATTGAGCGACCATTGCAAACTTACGTGAGCTCAACGTTGATCTTGCGCGGTTTGCTGATGCCATCATCGAATAAAGAGTGGTGGTATAACTTAAGACATGTCTTCATCCGGTCGTAGTCTGCAAACTCAATGAAACCAAAGCCTTTGCCCTTGCCAGTCTGTTTGTCTGTAGATAGACGTATACTCTCCGGTTCAATTTTGGCGAAGTGCTGTTTCACATGCTCTACTGTTGAGGTCTTGGGAAGCTGTCCTATGAAGCAGATAAAGCGGTGTTCCTTGGCTTCTCCGTTGCCCTCATCGTCATTTTGCCCACTGGAAGCTTTCTTGATATGCTTCGGCTTCCCATCCTTCTGTTGAGCATTCTCTCTGTTCCCATAGGGCACATGCTTGAACCCAGTCTTGGCTAGGCGCTCTTGCTGCTCTTTCTTCAGTTGTGCGCGGCCCTCTTTCGAGTATTTCAAAGGGTTGCGCTTCGGCTTCTTTCGTTGTGGCTCCTCTTTTCCTGCTTCCTTAGGTTTTATTTTGGAAGATTCTTTGGGCTGCTCCGCGCTAGTAACGTCCTCTTCGAATTTTCTTTTCTTATTATGTGAAGCAGGAGCGTTGGAATAGCTGATGTGGGTGACTGGCGTCTCAGGTTCCGACACAGCCCCTGAGAGTGAAATAAAACCGGTCGCATTATTGTCCCCGGGAACAGCCTCTGGTGCTGCTTGCTCCGTCGATTTGCCCTTCTTGCTTTTCTTGTCCAAAGTCGCCATCTTGTGCGCCTTTTTCTCCTTCTTCTTCTCTTTTCTATCCGCCTTCAGAGGCAGGACCTTCTTCTTGTATTTAGGCTCGGCCATACTTAAGCAGGTGAGTAGTCTTTTGTGAAAGTAGTGTAGATGACGCCGTCTACGAGTCGCGAAGCTGTCAACAGCTCAGTATTTTTTTACATTAAAATGTGGGGCTCGTGATCTACCGTAACCCTATCCTAATTAGCGCGCCCTTAGCCAAGCCTAGCTACAACTTGATACTCCGAAGCTCCACGGCTCTCATTTAGCTGTGTCAAACCGTGAGGGCATCAATTGAAGCCTCGCGCTTCGAGATTTGTTCTCTGCGGAGATCTGTTGGCAACATGCCTCCCTTACGCGCCTGCTATAAGAGACTGGCAGTTCCACGAACTCAAGGGGCGTCCACACGCTCGTATCGCACCTCCGAACCTCGACATTTCGCAAACAACCGACCGCATCTTCTTTTCATATCTCGAGGCAGCAGGCCACGGCCTCAATTGTCATTTCTACACCCCAGTACCTTCGGCAGACCTGGTGATAAAGGCCGATTGATGTCCACAGAGGACAGAGCATACTGGTGGTTCGTGGGAAAATTGTCATTGAAATGGTTCGTTTTTCTCAACGGAGGCTTCATAGCCCTTCTATTTATGATAGACGGTGTCAATGAAGTTCAGGCAGAACATAAATATCCAACACCTCTAGAATGGTATTACTTTATGAGAAAGCACTATCGAGCCGCGAAAAGCTTCGAGGATCCTGCAAGGAGCGGGCTGGGCCAGCCAGACTGGGTGAAAGCTGGAAGACATTGGAATCTTGCTATGGCTGGCTGTGAATGTACAAACTATGACGGTGTTGAGGGTGGCCCTGATAATCCCAAGCACAACGGAACATGGATACAAGGTTTTGACGTGCGACATAAAAGCGAACAGTGGCGACGGGCATACTTCGAGGTTTTGATGGGAAGTGCGCGAGCGGCAGAGCATCTTGAGGGCTGGGTCTATGATACAAGGAATATGGTGGCATGGTCAGGAGATCAGATTATCGGTCCATCGAATCCCAATAGGAAACCAACGGCACCTACTGGCGTCGAGCCACCACGCGAGGAGTTCTGCAGACCAGTACCGTACTGGAGACCTGCTGATATATACTACAACAAAATTGCGACCATGGTAGGCTTCACTTCTAGCCAGAATCTTCAGGGTGCAATCGGGTGCGGCGACTGGGCTCTAGCCCATTCCCAGCCAGACGTCGCATACGAGAAGTACAAGCAGGCCTTCGACATAGCTACAAAAAACATACCAAATGCATCGACCATTGTCGACACCTCAACAGGCATCATTCAAACCCCAAGTTCAGCCACCGCAAACATCATCCAAGCCTCTACATCCATGGCAACCTACTACGCCCAAACAAACAACTACGCCAACGCTCTCCCAGCCTACCTCTCCGTCCTTCGCGCCCGCCGCGCAGCACCCACAAACCCACCGAAAACCGCCCCAAAACGCAATAAAACCATCTTCGACCCCCTAAAGATGCTCTTCATCCCCCCTGAATTCCCACCCGTCCCGCCAACCGGCGACGAGCCTTTCGCCCGCAGCGCCGAAGACGACTGCGAAGACGCCGTGCTCATGACCTACATAGGCGAGATCCTGTACGCAATCAACGACCACGACAGCGGCTTGCGCTGGACGCGCGACGCCATCGCCCAAGCCGAAGAATGCGCTCGCGACGGCCGCCTGCCGCGCAAAGTGCAGAACAAGGGCCTGGAGTGTGCGCAAATAGGCCTGCGCAATATGAAACTGATGGTTGCCGAGATGGCCGAGGACGACGTGCAGAGCGCGGAGCGTAGGGCGCAGAGTTGGCGGCCTCGGTGGCTGGGAGGCGGTAATCGCGCCGGCGAGGACGCGCAGAGCAAGACGGTGATGTGGACGAAGGAGCTGGAAGATTTGGACGAGAGAAGTGAGAAGTGGCGGGAAGAGGCGCTGAGGAGGCTGGTGTTTGAGAGTAAGGACGAGACGTTCAATCCGATCAAGTGGCTGATGGAGAATTGGAAGCGGCATGGCTGAGCTGGGGGCTATGTGCGACTGTATATACTAGATGTCCAGGTGCACTTCTGACGAATGTACTATATTATATGTATATGCCCCTGCTGAACGAGATATCTTCCTCGACCATCAGCTCTCTTCGTAGCGAAGCTATCCTCCCACTCACAATCCCCAACAACACCAAACGTGCTCATACCACAGAAAAAAGTATTCTTGCCCTCCTACACTACCTAGAATCAATCAATGGTATGAGCTCAATCATGTAAATCATTAAGCCCTTAATCCCACGGAGAGGAAAAAAAGCTGCAGCAGAGCAAAGCAAAAGATACGCTAGGGGGGGCTTTATAAACCCTGCATGGTTTCATTTGTCTATTTTTCAATATATTTTGGTCTCCCTTGTGTGTTGGGATTTTGGCTCGTGATTAAGAGGTGGTGTGTGAGAATGGGAATGAGAATGAGAATAAGAATGAGGAGGGGGGGAGTAGAGGCTCGAGAATAGATTCTAGAGAGGGCAAAGGTCGGAGATATGGGAATGCAGGAGTAGATGGAGGATAATGTATGTTGTGGACTGGACTGGACCGTGTGCTGTGTTATGAGTTGTCAGTAGTGGATAGTAGTGCCCTGCCCTTCAATCATGCACCTGCGTTACTTTTCTTTCTCATAGTCATTGGCTCGACAAATGTAATAGCCTAACTTAAAGGGTCTACGACTTAACTGAGCAAGATTTGGCTCGTGATTTGGGCGTTGGCGTTTGGAGATTGAGGTAATCACGATAGACAGATCACGTGAGAATAGATCAGTTAAAGTCGCAATCAGAATGTGCTTGAAGGAGGCTTGCCTGGTAGCTGAATAGCTGAATCAATACTTAGCGGTGACATGAAATTTGAAAAGAAGCGTGGCATACCCTTGATATCCTGACAGACTTCATACGCAGTTTTGTACTTGCCTTTCCAGCAACCAGTAATTATGTTTCCAATGGGACCGAGATGTTTCGTCTCTGGAAACAAGGACTTCTCGAACAAATCTTTGATTTCTTTATCCGTCTGTCCGTCATAAGGACTCTGACCGCAAGTGACCTCAAATAGAGTAGACCCAAGAGCGAAAATGTCAGCCTGTGCCAACAGTAGTGATCCCGGTGAGCGATGACTGGCAGTTACTCTAACCATGAGGGGATGACCATCCAAAGAAGAGCCGGCAAAGTCACCGACCTTCGCGTTCATATTTCCGTCCAAGAAAATGTTTGCCCACTGGAGATCCCCATGAACAACACCCTTGGAATGAACAAAGGCGAGTGTATCAGCAATTTGTAGACACCATCGAAGCCGCTGATCGCCAGTGATCTCATCCCCATTCTCTTGAATATGCTTGCGAAGACCATAGTTGCTGGCAAACTCAAGGCGTAGGCCCGATCCACAAGGTCCCAGATATCGCAAAAGTCCTGGATGACTGCCAGACTCTTCAAAACGCTTGTAGATGGCCATTTCGATGCGAATTGCCTCGTCGTGCTCTTCGTCGTGAGGTGATTTGACCACTGTGCCGGATGAAGAGTCCAAACAGACGAAGCCAAAGTTACCCCATCCTACCAAATCATCTTTATTGAGGCCTGGTGGCCACTTGATCTGTGTCATATCCAAGTTATGTTGTCCATGCGGCTAAGAAAGACATTGGGTTTTAGTGGTGGTGAGAGAGGAGTTGCTGGGAGTTGACGGAAGCATGCTGCTACGTTGCAAGAGCATTAGTTAGATGATTGAACAGACTTGAACAGCGAGGTTGATGGTTTTCCTTACCGTGTGCTTTGGAGGATATGTAATTAGTGTCGAGACGGCAGTGTCCCTGCCAAGGTCCAGAGTTTAGAGTTCAGCGGAGCCACACGAGGGTAGTGTGGCGCGCTAACTGGCAAGAGGTACCATCCTTGACGGCGAAACTATACGCAACGCGCAAAATATCAGTGATAAGATCTTGTAATATATTAGAGATACATGACCAATCAGGTACAGTGTTCTCCTAAGTCTAAATAGAATTATTAGTTCTATAGTAGCGCTATAGTAAAGGAAACATCGTAGCGATATTCGGAGTACCACTCCGTGAAGTAGGTGAGGTAGCAAGTATATAAGTATAATTTTGGGAACAAAAGAATTTTGAGCTTTTATAAGTTTATTAACTTAGTGCAAAGTTTTATATTACTTTAACATTGAAGTGCTAGTCACGCGTTCCTGCATATAAGAACGTTCGGCACGCAGAGATGGAGGTTAGTTACTTTATTTTAGCTATTCGAGTGGTCAACCTTATTGAATTAGGTGTGTGGCTTACGAGAGCGAGCGGTAAATGCGCGCCGTACCCACTGTTGTCACTCTGAAAGTCGTGTCCACTAATCGATGGAGATCTAAGTCAGACGAAGGTTGGGGGAAGGAAATGTGGTGCATGAGATGTTTTGTAGGTACTGAATCTTATGTACGTTCTATTTGTCCATATATATGTATATGTGTATATAGCATAACACTTCCACGTCGACGTCTTGCTCTCTTTACCATCTCCTCCTAGAATAACAATGCAATACTCCAGGGACAGCACCGTCATCATCATCAAGCGTTCGTTGTGAGAGCTAAGCGTGTAGGATGCCAGATCCCAACGCCTTGCTTCTCACTCCGTGTACAGATGATGATAATGATGATGATGTCTTGTCAAAGCCCCAGATAGAACAACGCAGCCCCGTCAGTGACTATGGCTGATAGCATGAAACCTCCGCTGATGCGCACGACCAGCGCTCACACCTGCTCTGCGCATCTTCTTCGCCTGGATCGCGCCGTTTGCACACGTTGTACCCGCAGCGACGGGCTGCCATTGCACCGCGCCGTGGTTGCAGAGTCCCCATTGCTCCGATCCGTTACAGACGAGGGCGCCATCAGTGGTGCATGCTGTACCGTTGGCAGGTGGAGACGCGCTGCCAGGGGTGGGAGCAGGTGTAGGTATGGCGGGAGGAGTTGCTTGGACAGGGGCGGTAGGGGCAGGGGCGGCGTTGGTGACTGTGACGAGCGTTGTCGGTGTCGAGATGGGATCTGCTGGAACAGGGGCTTCGGCAGAGGGCGCGGCGCTTGGTGCGAAGACGGCGCCTCCGTCGTTCGAAGGGGGTGCGGATGCGACGGGTGCTTCTGCGGTGTATTGTCCGTTGTTGGCGTTGCCGCCGGCAGCAGATGTGGGCGTTGCTTGAGCAGGAGGGGCTGCTGCTGGTGGTCCGCTGTTGGCTTTGCATGGCCCTTCGAGCTTTCCCTCATTGAAAGCTGACGCTCTTTGGACTTCTTTTCCTGGGTTCGGAAACGCTGTGTCTTTGTTCCCTTCGGTTCGACAGCCCGCATCATCGAGATTGGCGACGAACATATCAGGGAGAGAGTCAAGACCAGAGGCATCTTTTGCACCGCCTGATACTGTGATGGGCGCACAGTTCATGTACATTTCAGGCTTGCCAGAGAGTTTGGCAAACCATGTCCAGGCAAAGGAGAGCTCGCCATCTGGTACTGCGGCAGGGAGGGTGAAGTCGAAGGTAGATGGACCGCCGTCGACACCCGGGCAGCCGCCTTCGATTGACTTGATGACCTTGAACTTGGAGTTCGCAGTAGGTGGGCGATCGGTCGTTACAACGAGCTGGCAAGACCCTCCGCCGTGTACGGCAGTTCCCTTGAAGGATAAGGTCTGTTTCTCGCCGACTTTCATCACGTTCTCCTTCGTAATGTTGAAACCTAGCTGAGCCTGACAGGGAAACTGAGCTCGGTCAATGGGACCGTTCTGAATTAAGTCTGCTGAAAATGGTACAGGATTGGCCATAATCATGTGTGCCACCGCGGAGGTAGCCATCGAGGCTGTGGCTACAGCTTGGAGGATTGTGGAGGTATGCATCTTCGACGTCAAGGAACGTGGTACTCGTGCGACAGTATCTAGACCAGCTAGAATATATTTGAACAAGGGTCTAAAAGGCCTAATCAAAGGCAGTGTTTGAAAAGTAAGGATAGGGAATGGAAGTTGCACTTGGCAAGAAAACAGAAGAGGGATGGAAAAGAGAGGTCGAGCGCGGAAGTGCTACAAGTTATTCATACCAGAAGTGAGTGACTGATGAAGAACAATGTCAAAGGTTCACAGCGGAAGGGTCTTACGCCATATTATATTGTTTCCGACCGATCCAAGAGTGACCACTGACCAGGCAAACGGACTGTGGACCAAGTAGAAGAAACACATTAGTGGTGTCCCTGAAAGTTTCAAAAGCCAAGTCAGTCGTCAACGCATAAGAGATGTTGATCGAAAGGCAACGAGCCAATGCTTCGTTATCCGATACGCGCTCGTGGCGATCACTTGTTTCATTTGTGCATAAACAACGCGGGAGAAACGACATTGAGTGGAAACACAAACCCCACATGGTTTTGATGTGCGTACCTAATACAATGCACAGGGCAGGAGGTAACTGGAAGCTGATTGATCGCTTAGGCGGTTGGACCAGCCGCATAAGATGGGGTTGATGTTTGCACGCGAGATGGTTGCATGAAGCCAATGGCCATCGTGAGACCAGGCGGCGGGTCGTGGCGTGAAACCCGCACGTCGATCCGGGCAACCTACCACCCAATCAACAACAGGTAAGAGTCAGGCCCTAGCTTTTGCGGAGAGTCGCTTGAGGCTTGAGCTCTCTTATGCATCGGACGTTGTCGACCTGCCAGGCGCTTCAAAAGCGTCCGACTGAGAAACCTCTTGCGTAAGCCCCTTGGCCTGGCAGCCTGGTAGAATAGCGAAATTGTGTCTATCATGCGATTCCACGTTTCATCGCACAGTCACACTATTGTAAGAAGCGCTGGACAAGGACCAGTGTCTCGTCCCACATCGGCAGAGGCCGATAGTAATCACCTTCCACCATACCTACGACCGCGCTACTGACAATAGTAGATGAATAGCATTATGAAGGCGTGAAGGCGTCTCAATGCGAAGAGTTTGTCAGCTGGCCTCACACGGAACTCGGCCATATTGCATGAGACTATGTGGAGCACAGCACGCTCGGAAGTATGGTTGTGGTAGAGGATGCACGATCAACGTCGTCGTGCTGTCGGAGACATAGGGATATTATATCAATGGTGAGTGATTAGTGAGGAGCGGAGTGGCAAGGGTGCCTGAATACTAAGGCCATAATAAAATCACAATACACGTGACCCAGTACGTCTCCGCAGTCACATGTTCTCGTTTTTCTTCCCTCACCTCGGTTCAGACAACAATATTGCGCTATTCACTCCAGCATAAGGCAAACATCAGTTCAATACCGTCGCCAACACCGTTCTGTCCAGCGCGTCGATCCCGTCTGCTTTCGCTTGAGGTCTCTTCCCCAGACTCTTGGCGCTCAGGACCAACTCAGGGCTCTGCTTTGGCACCGGCTAGATGAAGGTTCCATGGCTCAGGCTTTGCCGCGGCAGCAGTACTAGAGTCAAGTCATTCCAGCCCGGATAGGCCTATTTCAGGCGACGGCGTCCTTCTCATGGCGATCTATCGTATCCACCTTTTACACCGTGAACCTCCTGGTGTCACATTCTGCGGGGTAACAGAATGCCGTTCAGGCCGTTCAGACGAATGTTGATGGTACTATACATCATGTCCCACACCAAGCTTGCGCCGGCTTATAATCAGCCACTTGTGATGAACATGTGCTTCTGGACGCTTCAGGGATATTTGAACCTCAAGCCCGACATAGCGCATGGCTACATGTAGCAAAACTTCCCTCATACAGCCAATTCTATCCATTCATCAAGATGGAATTTGCTGCCGCAGCTGCGGCTTCAGGCCACCGTTCAACCAACAACATGGCACCGGTCCAAGTGCACGATTTCAGTGCCTCTATCACGGACAAGGAGAGCAGGCCGACAGTACGAGACACGGATAGCGGATCTGGTTCCGGACAGGACTGCGACGAGGACAAAGAGAAAACAGCGCAGCTTAATCAGACCGATACAATGGAAACTACATTCGAAGCTCTTATCAACAATGGTGATCTGTATCGAGATGGCAAGCTGATATTGATGCCTGCTCCTTCCCGAGACCCTAAGGATCCTCTCAATCTGTCTCTGAAGAGGAAGATGATTGCTGTCTTTTGTCTGACTCTTTTTGGTGCTCTTGCAGCTTCTGCAGAGCTGGTCTTAGGCGCCATGCTACCAGTCTTTTCTATCTACTACTCTGGCCACGATCCAGCGTATTTGTTGAGGGCAATTGATATGAATGGCGGTCTGCCCCAAGGCAACAATCCTCTGGATGCCTTGCAATTGATCCCAGGATCTCCTCCCATTTGGCTCATCTATCTCCTAGCTTCGTTACCTGTTCTCATGATTGGCATCGCCAATCTATTCTTCATTCCACTTGCTATTGCCACCGGGCGTCGCCCTGTTGTCCTAATCACGGGCGTCATTGCCGTCGGCGGTGCTCTGTGGGCTGGATTTTCAGGATCACTTGGTCAACATCTGGCTGCTCGTGCCATACAAGGCATCGGGGCTGGTACGGTTGAGTCTCTTATTCCCTTTATCATTCAAGACATGGTTCATGTGCACGAGCGGAACACCTGGATATCTGCCTGCTTCGCTGCGCAAGGCGTCATCATCATCGCGCTCGGCATCGCGTCTCCCTACATGATTCTTGAGCTGAGTTGGCGTTATGTGTATTATGTGACGGCTGGCGCTGCGGGCTTCTTCCTGGTTGGCTGTGTTTTCTTCCTGCCCGAAACCCGTTTCAAGCGTTCAATGGCGGAAATGAGTAAGTCTATCTTTAGAGAGCGAAATTGTCCCAAACTGATTAACGTCACAGATGGAACTCCACGCAATGATGCTAATGTCCACTACACACCTCGAACAATCTGGTATGACATTGCCTTCAAGCACGGCAAGATGGAATGGAAGAAAGGGGCGTACGCCCTGGTCGATACATTGCGTACTTTCTTCTATCCTCAAATCTTCTTCATCACTATGCTCAACTCCGCCATGATTGGCGCTGCTCTTGCCGCAGGCTACTGCGTTGCACCCGCGTTATTGACCCGACCATGGTCATGGAAATTTCACAGCATCGGGCTCTTGCTCATTCCTGTCCTCATCGCTGCTATTCTGATGGGCATCATCACCGGTGTTGGTGGTGACTGGATTGCAAACTGGTCTGCAAGAGCTCGTGGTAGGCGAGTACCAGAGAACCAGCTGCTGAATCTCATCTTTCCCACAATCTGCGGCATTGTCGGCACTGTTGTTTTCGGCATCTCAGGAGAGAATCCAGACGACTACCATTGGGCTGTATTTCTTTTTGGGCTTGCCTTGATGGCATTCGGCTTTCTCGGTGCTAACACTGTCGGAGCTGTCTATGTTCTAGAAAGTTATCCCCACTTGGCTGGCCCGGCATTGGTCAACATTGCTTCATTCCGTGCTCTGATTGCTTTTGTGCTTTCCTTCCGCGTTTCCGAGTGGATGATTGACTTCGGTTATCTAAATACGATGTTAATCTATACCGGAATCATGGCCTTCTTCGCGTTACTGATTCCAGTCGTCTACATCTGGGGTCCTGCATGGAGGAAGAGGTGGCCTGCAACAAAGTACGGTGATGCACGGGAGATCAACCATACCTGATATCAGCCTGGAGTATCATTCGCATTTTGGCATGGAGATACACAAAACATGACGATGCTGGGGATCAACGGAGAACTAAGACAGATGGTGGCATATTAATATATCAAAAACTCATACATACCTCGTCCATGGACTAGCACCACTCGCGATAATAATAAAGCGTTCCCGAAATAGATTCGAACTTATGATGCATGATTGCAGACTCGGCTTGTGGCATCAAAAGTTTATTATGTCGATGCACGCTCCCGTTTACCCGACCTGGTGTTCTGAAACCTACCGGCGCTTACGGCCTTTTTATAGTGCCCAATATCCAAATTTAGCACATTCTGTCCCATTATTATAGGTCAGAAGTGACGAACATGCATATAGCCTTATGCTCGTTGACCACAGCCTTGGGATGTTCACACCTCATGAACGCGGGTGGTCAACTGCTACTGCGCCGTACTGAGGATATTATAGGTCAAAGATAGCGAACATGCATGTAGCCTTATGCTCGTTGGCCACAGCCGTGAGATATTCACACCTCATGAATGCGGGTGGTCAATTGCTACTGCGCCGTACCGAGTGGTAAATTATATATTAAGGAAGTACATATATTTGTGTTGTTCAACAAGATTGACTACAAACTGCCATCCGAATCAAAATCTAGAGACATCGTCTCCCGTCTTCAGAAAAAAAGCTGGTGAACGTTCCTGCTACTGCATCCAGCAAAGCAAAGTATGTTACAAACCTTCTCGACCCACGATCCTGTCGCCTAACATGTTATGTATCAAGGTATAGCATACAGATGGAGAGACTATTGCCGCCCCTACTGCGTCGCCAACTCCCAGAAAGCAATGTCTTTATACGCAATTTCCAGCCATATATATGGCTCAGCATATTGCTTAGATCTCTCAGTCTACAGATTTTCAATATTCCGAAACACCGCCAGGCGAAAGAGACCGGCAAAGTGGCGATCGATCAATCTCGCTTCAAGGCACTCATCCGGTCCTCGATACACTTCGTTCCCGTTGGCACATCTCTATATCTAATACAGCTCAACTGGCGATCGCAATTTATTGTCGTTGAATCGGATTGGTACGATCTTCTACCATTTATCTCGAAGGCCCACGAGATACTGATGCAAATGTCTATTGCTGCTATGCTCGCGACTTGGGTGCGGAATCATCTTCTACAAAGACACGGTTTGCCGTTCGGCGGGCTTGTCGCCCTCTTTCAGGCCACAGGCCCTGCATATTTTTTTTCCTCGGAGCATTGGGGTTTGGCATGCTCTCCAAGGAAACCGGGAAGTGCCTGGACGCATTGTACCTATGCAGAAGTCGTCCTTTATTCTGTGTTTATGGCATTCACCGTGGGACCGTCAAGTACAGTTGCAATGTTACCGAGAGCCGGAAGATTCAGCATAGTTCCCGATGTCCCACCTCACCCCAATCAAGCAGGCTCAGCAGATGATCTGTTTCCTCGTAATCTCGATGTGCACCACGTTCCGAACAATTGTTCTGCATACTTTCAAAGTGGTGATGAGGACACGATTGATTACTACTGTTCACCTAACGACTTCGAAGCGATCTCCACTATCACGAATATAGCTCACAATAACGAGTTTACCGACGGAGAGATATCTACAGATCTTGGAGGAGCTTTCGTCCTCAGGCAATTGCGGGTGTGGGTGCAATCACCGGGTAATTCCGACTCTTACTCTGGCTTCGGCCACTACGTGGCCGAGCTGGTAAACAGTCTGAACCATACGTTCACTAGGCCTCTTGGTGCCTCTCTAGTGGCTAGCACACAAAACTTTCGGGCAGCAGACTACCTGGGCAGACTATCAGTGTATAATATGCGCGCACATGGAGGGTCTGTGGACGCCAGAAAGCGAATCCCGGTCACTTTCGAATTTCCGTCTGTAAAACTTCCTTATGCCACTTCCCAATGCTACGTTACAAATTTCTATACCACGGATGCCGGCTACGTTCAATTCGACGACATTGAGAAGGTTCGCATCCCAAACTTCCAAGGAGACCATTTTGAGTACAATATCACCCTGAAGGAATTTCAACATGAGGCTTACTCGACGAATATATCTCATGTGAGATGGTTTGAGTCTCCCGAGGAACTCCGGAACAACATTTCCATAATAGCTCTGATCAGCACTCCACTGACTGGAGCAGCATGCGCGATTAAGGCAGCATGGGGTGAGGGTTCTATGACTACGACTTCTCACAATGAGGCAAAGATTGAGGGGGAAATTAAAAGGATGACCATACAGAGTTCTCATATCGAGGAAAGATGGCGAAATCATACTACTTGGCCTGCGGAAGTCATAACTATAAGTCCTGATTTCATGCAACAATTCGCACCTACAAAGCTGAACATCACCGATAGTGTTTCGATGGATCTATCGCGAAGCCTCCGCATTGCGGCTGAGGCAAGATATAGTCAAGCACTTCCCGAAATATGGCTCTCGAGCATTGTCGTTGCAGGTCTATCGAAGATCTATAGCAACAGTGATCTCGACGCACTCTTCAACGCAAGCGGCACTTCCACTGAAGTCTACGAAATCAAAGCGGAAAGTTACTATGCAGGACGAGGGTGGTATCTCGGCAATATGATAGAAAAAGGGTCTATCTTTGTTCTTGCTACCTACTGCGCTCTCGCGATTCTCCACACCCTCTACACTTTCACAACAGGCATAAGCTCAAACAGCTGGGACTCAGTTGCCGAAGTCATAGCACTAGCACTAAACTCTAAGACACCAGAATGCCTGAAAAGTGCCAGTGCGGGAATAGAGTCATCAAAGACGTTCCGCCAGCCAGTCGGAATCCGGGCAAGGCATGGAAAGGGGCTGGAGCTAGTATTTTTGGATGAGCATCATGACGATGACGACGAGCTGGAAAGTGTCCAGGTAGACCATAAGTACTGAGAGGAACCTTTAACGGTTGAGCCATATCGAAATGGGAGAACACGGGTTCACGCATCGAGCACTTCGTCCGGGGCCGTCCCGTGCAGATGGGTTGTGCCTAGTACACTTATCACAGTTACGGAAAGTACGACGAAGGCGCCCTGCTACCCCAACATGAAAACAATAGAATGCCTGTAAACAAGTAGCTACACCTGCCCTAAAATTGACAATTAATACATTTCTCATCACCGTCACGGTCATAATCATCATCATCATCATCTTCTTCTTCTTCTTCACCATCCTCAAGACTAATCAGATATGCCCTATTCAACGAATATGCCGAGCCCTATAGCCTACGAGAAGAAGCCCTTTTCACATGTCAAAGGAGCTAACTCGTATCGGACCATTTATGAATTTTGTGGAAGATCACTCTTTGGTCAGTTATAACGAAATTGAGGCGCAGAGCGATGCCCCGGGAGACAGCTTCTCTCCGGATGGAAGTGATCCAGACGCCGGGTGCGAGTGTGAGGCGAGGACAGGGGCGGATTTGTCAGATGTCGAGGTAGCAGTCATCTTGTTATTCATCAGGACCGACTGCTATTCAACACCAGGACTACGATGCGAACAGTCGCACAACGGGGGAAGAGTCGATGTCCAAACACAGTGCAGAAGGCGAGACGTTTACATCACCGTTCTACACTTGCGATATTAGTGAGGAGTGACACGAAGTCCGGCAGTCCACAGAGGTCATCACCAAACACTTCGAATGCGCGTGCCACAAATATGAGACTGATGCCCACGGAGTACGTCCTATACCGGAAACGCTGACGAAACACGATGCCGAGCACAAACAGCGCTGGGAGGCAGCGCGAGACTTTCTGGCCAAATATATTGATTGGCTCAAGGGCAAGACGATCAGGCAATTCGGCTTACACCGCCGCAAGGAATACGACATCGCCTTTGGATACCTGCTCGCCAAGGGGGTGGAGTTGGGGCTTGAAAATGTGTTCGGCTGCGACGATATTATCATGCAGACTGCGGTGCATACGGGCATCTCGGAGGAAATGTGTCGCAATATTGCGGATGCTGGGCATAGGGCTGAGTTTTGTGCTCATCAGAAGATGACTGGGTCCTACCGTGGCATGAAGCTGGTGGCATGATTGAGCTTTTGGGCCTTAGGCCGTGAGAGTGCTGCCTCAGAACGATTATCATCACGGTCAGGAATAGGGAGATGGACTCAGCTATTGGTCAGATAGTCGAGTCGTAGTTTAACATACCAAGACGCGAATCTCATGCAGACCTATCTGGTGTATAACCGCTCCAGCCACAATCCTGTGTACGAAGTCACGATCTAAAAGCAGTCAAAGATGCAGTTCATACCCAGGACAACAACCCACTTTACACTACCACGAGTCTGTCAGCTGCTGACTATCCTCAATTCAAATTCCTTGGATTCAAAATGCCAAGCACGAACGTGAATGCTGATGATTGGATGCAAGGTATCCTAGAGGTTTTCCCATGGATCGCCACCACAACAACCTGGATAGACCCATGCGGCACTGCCTTGCCTTTTCACATTGTTTCTCATACCTGGTCACCGCCACACGTGGATCCAACAGGTTTCCACATACATGATTATAACATATAAAGTACGCATTACCTGCCCACCCTCCCTCGCCAGATCCTAATCCTACAATCATACTGCATCAAAGCCCCAAGTACAAATTCAGCCCAGCTAGACCACGTCCTAGACAAATAGCACAAACAGCCAAGCAGAAGAAAGAAACAGACAAAGAAACAAAGAAAGAAGTGAAGAAACAAATAGACAGAGAAGCAAACAAAAAAGCAACAGCCCAAACAAAGCAGCCTACAGCCTACAGCCCATAGCCCAACAGAAACCCCCCAAAAAATACAATGCAAAGCACAACCACCAACGAAGCCAAACCCGGCGCCGAATACGCCGTCTATCTAGCGCAGGCCTTCGCCTTGACAACATTATACATACTACTCGGGGTTGTGTACATGTCGCTTACGGTGCTTGTTCTGGGCGCGACGTTTAGTGGCGTGTGTTATGTTTATTCTTTGGTTCTTGATTGCTATGAGCAGGAGACCGGGACCAGGACCGGGAATGGGAATGGGAATGGGAATGAGAATGAGAGTGAGAAGGAGGAGTTGGGGGATGGTGATGGTGATGTGGACTCTGAGGAAGAGGAGTAGGAGTCGTGAGAGAAATACATGCAGAGGGAAACAGGAGAGATAAGACGGCGAGGGAGGAGAGCTATAGAGTGAATGACAAACCCCCGGGAGCACATGTTGCTCGCTCGTGGTGATAAGGTGTCAGATCGAATTTCACGAGGTTCTGAATAAGCGCAGGCGAGGTTTGATATCACGAAATAGCGCTAGGCACTCATTGTGCGAGTGGATGTAGACAATGCTTTGTGATGTTTGTTTCAACAACGCTTTGCTGTGATTGGGTATTTTTCTTATCCTGAGACAGTCATGAGTATAATACAAAAGCAAGAATGAAACAAAGCATGTCGATACCACGACGCCGTGTTTTCATGACGTGGCCAGTGTGTCTGGTCTGCGTCTTCTGCTTGGACGTCAGACAAGGCTTTTATAGTGCTTGCTGAGGTACGTCCTGTACCGGGCCCTGAGATCGGACTGAGGTCCGAAGATGTGAATGGAGAAGGTGGCAACCGCAAGGAGCCATTTCATCTTGCTCGCTTGAAGGGGTGCGCTTCAGTATTCAGAACGTATTCGTCGAGACTTATAAGGTCAGGTGGGGAGAAGACAAGATAGAAGTACTTTAGTGTTTCCGCCAACCAGAAGCTCTATCAAGGAGTCGTTAGCAAAAGACTTCATTCACTTAAGGGTAAAGTATGACAAACCTCCATGTAGTCCTCCCTCTCCACCTTGTCCTTTGGTACAGTCACATCCTTGATCGCTGCGGCAGCGAATTGCGTGCTTGTCACGTCTCTGACTGCTTGGAACATTTCCCATGCAGCATCCTGGAACTCTCTTCTTCCCGTTATCCTATAGAGCACGAACACACTTTCGATAGCCTCTGGTCGCAGAATATATCGTGGGTCTTTGGCCGTCGTAAAGCCTTTGGGTAAATGATCCTTGTACTGCTTCTTCTGTTGTATTTCCTCTTTCCATTTTGCTTCGTCCCATTTGCAATTCAAGCGGCTCTCACACTTGATCACATTATATCGTTCGGGCATAACACCAGTCGGCATCGCGTGATAGGCCCAGATGCATCCACGGGTGAGGCGGGCCCCAGTCTCGATGTAATCCTCGTTCTCGAACAGTCGGCCACCAAGCGCATAAAGCCCACCGATGAAACAAGACAAATGTTCACTTTCAGGGTCAAGATGCGGACCGTCATCTAGGACATCTATATTGCCAGATAACAAGATATCGGCGTTGTCCGGGGTCATAGGTCGGAAAAAGAGGTTCTTTTTTGCAGTGTCCATGAATGTCCGGGACATCCACATGTATTTTGGTTCGGCACCACCTAGGAGTTGGTATTGTTTAGGAAGGTATTCGAATAGGGAATCTGCGTTGCCGCCAATGGAGAATTGGTAGTTGGAAGCCATGTCCTTGCGGCGCATCGAGACGAACATAGGCCACATGCCTGGCAGTAGGGTCGTATTCTGAGTGTCACGAAAGACCTCCATGACCTCTGCCACTGCAGCGTACCATTTTGGATCCCCTGTGATTTGTGACAGCCGGGTGAACTCCATCGTAAGCGTACCTGGCGAGGCTGAGACGACATAGTCTTCGACTTCAAGACCTTGCCCGGTTTTTGCAGTTTCAAAGTCGATGAAGTCTACCGGCATGTGGTTCTCTGTGTTAAAACCACCATAGAGCAGGTTTCCAATCTCAATGGCTTTGAACTTGAGCGCCTCATGCCCACTGAGATCATAAGCTGCCAGCAGCCCTCCCAGATATCTAATGTTCGTCTCGAAAATGTTTACTCGTCCGCTTGTCGAAAAGCCAAAGTCTATCCGCGCGACGGCCTTGGCTGCCTCGTAGAACTCTTCTCTCATGCCCATTATCCAAAGTGTATCCAACGAATCCACCAACGTCGCCGCCCAGCCGCAGAATTGGTCAGCGCTGGTACCGGAGATTGGTTTCAAGACGTCTTTCATCCATGCGTACTGTCTGTAGCTTGCCCAGCTCTTCTTGAAGGTCTTGCGTACCTCATCCCGCCGCAGGTTGCGCTTGATAGCGTCGTCGGGACTTTCGCGGTCGAAGGCATGTTGTATATGTGGCAGTCGCGTGTGCGGCTTGACCGGTGGCACCGCTGGTGTCCTCGCGACCGGGAACTGGAAATTGATAGCTGCCCAGTCAATGGTACTCTTCAAGGGTTTTATCCTGGGCGAAGCTCTGTTCATGTATTGGGCAAGGCGCCCAGACTCGCTGCCGGTATCGCGGGCGAAGGGAAAATAGAACCAGAGGATAAGTAGAAAGAGGGCCGCGACGGCAAGGGTCCGCACGCGCAAGAGGCGACGACTCATCAGGGAGAAGACGTCCTGTGGGAATAGCGGTTAAGATGAATTGAATTGACAGGACTGGAGTCGATGGAGCGGGCGAGGCTACATTTGCAGCATGGGGAGAGAGATTACTGTGTACAGATATTAAAGGTACGTTGAAGGTTGCTGGACCCCTGCCGAGTGCTGGGCGGGTCGCTCCTGACATCAAGCGTGCTGATGCGCCAAGTGGTAGCTAGTCGCAAGCCTGCGTGAAAGCACCATCCATACTCTCTTCCTATGTTGATATGTTGACACCCCTTGCACTTGATTTGTTGTCCTCTTTCCTGCCATGTGGTCCTATGAAGCATTATCTATTTGCTCATAACCGTTTCTTACCACATCATGCCATCGATCTGCCTGCCAAGAGGCCAAAGATGTCGGCCAAGGTATCGATATAAATACTAGCTTCGGAGAGTTTGAATATGATTAGGTATATATAAAATACTTGGGTATACACTCTCGATACTTGCAGGCATCTAGAATGCTTGCACTCCATCCCTAAGAACAATCTTCCCAGCATCACCATCACGTTCACCCTCCACGACCATTCGGACAGTCTCACCTCCCACAGATGGATCTAGAGCCCCCATTTTCTTCAAGGCAGCTGCATTCTCTTCTTTAGAGCCAGCGTTACTTTGAAGACCTGTTGCGAGAAATCCCGGCGATACGGCAAATAATTTGATGTTGTCATTTTCGAGCAGCCGTTCCCAGTGCAGGTACATCATATTCATGCCGGTTTTACTTGCTTGGTACGAGTGGTATGAGAATTTAATGTCCTTTGGATAGCCAGGCTCAACTTGGGGGAAATTTATCAGCGTCCTGTCGGCCATCTTGGCGAGCGTCGAAGTTCCACTTGTGATGAACAGGATTCTCGGATCGGAGGCTTTGAGCAGGATGGGTAAGAATGTGTGGACCATGATAGATGTTCCTGTAACGTTGATGTCGTATGCCTTGTTCCAGGCCTCACGCATACTAATCTTCCCTTGCAGCATTTCCTGGTCGAATCCGGCCCCTGCTGCTGTCAGACACAAAATTTTCCATGATCTATCTACTCTTGCGACATACCGGCATTGTTAAGGAGAACATCGAGGTGTCCAAACTTAGACTTGACATGCTCGAAGGCCTTGCTTATACTCGCGTCGTCTTGGACATCAATAGATATCGACTCGAAGGTGCTCTTGGTGCTGGGGAACTCGGTCTGAACTTCGGCGATGGCTTTCTCACCCGCTTCAAGCTTTCGACTGCCGATGATTATGTGAAACGCTTTGCCCGTCTTCGTGTTGGCCAATGCCTTGACAGTCTCTAGACCGAGACCTGTGTTCCCGCCAGTGATCAAAAGAATAGACTTGTCGGACATGGTGTATATGAGATGAATGCTTGGTCGTTAGTAAGTACTGTTTTTGAGATTTAGACCTTCTTGAGCAAGGGGCATTCCTCTCCCTTTATATACAACGATGGATCCCAGCTGCAAACCGGGTAAGTAGGATCATTCTCAGCGGAGATGTAGACTACTAACGACCCGACAAAAGGATTCTTGCATTTGCTCGCCAGATGGATGCTACAACAGTTGGTACAACCACGTTTTGACCTGCTATAGGTGCTTCAGCTGCGGACTTTAGATGGAATTTGGCTCGTCGGCCTAAAAATCAAAATACGAAGAGTGGCGGCCTGTAGTACTGCGTCATTGTGGCGTCCTACACCTGAGTCATCACACATAGTCACAGACGCCATCTTGCGATCTGCGGCCTTATACACAGTTGATGCCGATAAGGTTTCAGGATGAATACCTTACGTAGTCGCGTCGAACATTTGCTAAGTCGCGGAGTAGTACTCCGGATGAGCACGGTTCTGCGGTCTCGGACTACCGACCACCGACGTCGGACTTAATCATCCACACGGCCGAGGCATGTCACATATCTCGTCTTCAATATCTGTTCGTTTTTCTTTTATCACGCTGCAACTCGATTGTAAGTACATCTCCTCGTAGGAGCAGGAGTATTACTAACGGCTCCATGCTATTCACAGGAAGACGCGTTCGTAGCCTACAGCAGGTCCCGTCTGCCTTTCATGTCCATAATCCATGGATATGTAGTGTCCACCCCATATAGTCGAGCATCGTGCTCCGAACGCACCGGAACTTTGTTGAAAAGAACTCGAGGACGCTCATTTAGCCAGTGTGGTAGAGTGGATCATGAAAGAGGCTATATCTTCGACCAATTACCAAGGCGAACCCCACGGACGGCGTTCAGGGACCCTGTTCGACCGTTATACGCGTATATCTATGACTATAAAGCTGTCTGAATGTAGCCATGCGTTCATTCGTCCTCCAACGTAGGCCGCGAACCATACAAAGGACGAGCGCCGGTCCATGGACAAGTGATTCAGGGACATCGTCGTATGATGTCAGAACAGAAAATTGAGGACGAGAGGCGTGATCATGTTGAAGTGTTGTTTGAATTCCAAGTCAATTCCGCCGCATCCAATAACATGACTAGCTATTCCAAAAAAAAAAACGACTGTTGACTTAATGAAAAGCGCACGCGATGTATCACTAGTAAGTTGAGACATCATGCACCTCGTAAAGCTTCGCATACAAGAATCACTACACAAAGTCTGTCTAGGTAAAGGTATTTCTTACAAAGATACTCTGATTCTACTGCAGGCAGTTCAGCATAGACAGGCGGCACAGTTACTTATACATTTCCACCCGTGGACATCATGTACCCACATATTCGAAGGGGTAGCGTATAGACAAGCATCTACGCCCGCTGCGAACTAGCGGGCGATCTCCCCGGAGTGGATACCGACCCATGTAATTTCGTACGCCTATTGTACGCATTCTCGCTCGTCAATCGACCATGTTGTGTTCGAGGACAATTGTCGCACCGTTGAAGTCAGACTATAGCCTTGGACAGGTGTCGTGCTCATGTACATCAGGGTGCTTGATCTCGCCGGCCGGAGATTGAAGATGGACCCCGTACCGTAGACATGACGTCATAGTCCGAGTGTCCGGCCCGTTGCGTTTGGACGATGCCGTTCTCCAAAGTGTAAACGACAAAGACATGAAACACATGGACAGCACCGGCAACAAGAAGCCGAACAAGAACAGTGACAGCCTATTGAGCTAACATGGGAAAGCTCTGACTAGGATTGATATCATGGTATAGTCCCATCATTATGATCGTCGAAGAAACCAGACCAAAATGATGACACAGCAAGGCCGTCGCATCTTAGACCGCACGATGCATGCACACCATTGGATACACTAGGCGCACGTCTTTGTGCTAGGTCTCTAGCAATGTCGATGCGCCAAAAGGTACCGATCTATCCGTCTGGCTGGACAGGACTGAGCATAGTCATCTCGAGTACTAAGTTGACGCAGTTCATGCACACGTCATTAGTCTCGTCACAATATAATGAGACGATGACAAAAGAACCCATGGCAGCATGTTATAAGGCTTGGGTGTTCCCATCAAGACAATTCTTTCATCGTCGGTCCAAACACAGTTCAGTCTAAGTTAATTGTCACGATGCGCTCAATCATTTCCGCCACCACGTTCGCTGGACTCGCAGCTGCTGCGATAGTCAACAGCTCTATCACTGTGGAGCCTCAGGTACCTCATCCACAAGATGCTGTGCCATCCGGTGTTCAAATTCCGTCTAAGAACGGATTTGAAGACGCGTCGGTCTATCCATCTCGTGGAGGCAAAGCGTAAGTTCTGAATAGTCAAAAACTCCTGAATGAAAGCATTTACATTGAATAGCGTATGCGTACGTGGTATCATTCCCGTGGAAGCAGTATCGCCTATGAATGTGCACTTCAACTACGACGTTCCAGCCAACCAATCCGTCCTCACGCAAACATTCGTGTCAATGGTGACTCCTGGATCCCCATTCATGCAGCAGATCATGGGCGGCACAAACAGCGTATCCGGCACATACAACATCTACTCCGAACTCTGCCTGCCCGCTGGCAATGCCCAGCCCAAAGCCGTCCAATTCCTAACCCACGGCATCGGCTTCAACCACCTCTACTGGGACTATGCGCCCGGCTACTCGTACGTCGACGCCGCCATCGACAAAGGCTTCGCAACATTCAACTACGACCGTCTCGGCACCGGCCTCTCCACCCACCCAGACGCCATCCAAACCACCCAAGCCCCCCTCGAACTCGCCATCGCCGCCCAACTAGTCCAGAAGCTCCGCGCCGGCGCCATCGGCACAACACAATTCTCAAAAGTCGTCGCCGTCGGCCACTCCTTCGGCAGCATCATCTCCCAGGCCCTCTCCGCCACAGCACCACACCTCCTCGACGCCGTCGTCCTCACCGGCTTCTCCACAAACACGTCCGGCCTCGCCGCCTTCACCCTCGGCCTCGACCTCTCCATCGCCTCGGGCGTCGCGCCCTACCGCTTCGCCCAGCTTTCAAACGGCTACATCGCCGCCGGCACGCCCGCCGCCTTCCAGACGGGCTTCTTCACCGCGCCGGGCTTCGACGCGCGCATCGTGCAGGAGTCGTACAGTACCGCCGGCGACGCGTCTGCAATCGGCGAGCTCTTCACCCAGGCCGCCATCTCGAAGCCGGCGGCGAACTTTACCGGCCCCGTGGCGATTGTGAATGGCGATGCCGACTTGCCGTTTTGCTTTGGGAATTGCAGCTACCCGGTTGACAAGGCGCAGGCGCCGCTTGCGATGCTGTATCCGGCTAGTCAGCATAAGGGGAGCTATATTGCTGGGACGGCGGGCCATGGGATTAATCTGCATTACTCTGCGCTGGACGCGTATCGCTGGATTCAGGACTTTCTTGCGCAGGGAGGGATTACTGCGGAATGAAAGGCGGTCTTTTTGTAAAAACCAAAACTATGATGTTAATATAATGTAAATGAGTAATAGTCATCGTACTGATACTAGATTGCAAGGCCTGTTCCGTCGATCTCTCTCAAACTCCAGACACGCGATTCGTTGCGAATCATCGAGGTCTTCCCTGCCGTCTATCCCATAAGTTCTTATTGTATATGTATTAGTGGGCTCACAGAGAAGGGGGCCAATCAGGAAGTAGAAGCAGAAACAGGGCCACCGAACAGCTCAGCAAAAATGACCGGCCGATGCACCATCAAGCCCGTAACTTCATTATCAGCAACCACCCACTCAAAGCCCAACTCCCGCTTGCCATCGGACCCCCTTCGCGCACGCACACCATAGACATCCTCCCACTCCCACGCTTCCAGCCCATCCAGCGGATCAATCTTATACGTGACAAACCACACCCCAGAGCCCATGATATCGCCCTTGGCATCCGGGCCGGCATGCACCATGACAAGACGCTCCTTGGCGACGGACAGGTTCAGACCGAGGCCATGCTCGAAGTAGGCGCAGAGATAGGTGCGGTAGACGTCTTCGTCGACGGGCGTGACGCTACCGTGGGAGTAAGAGGAGAGGGAGGAAAAGTAGAAGGACATCATATGGTCGAGAGCGCGCTGGCCTTTCTCAGCAGGCGACAGCGACGAATCAGCCGTAATCTTAGGATAGGCAGCAACATATTCAGCAGTGAAGGCGGCAAAGTCGGCTTCGAGGACTGATTTGGGATCTGGTGCAGGCGATGCGTCGGCGGCGACGGACATGATGTGTGGACTTGAATGTGGTTTATTGCGACTAAGGAGAAGAGGCGGGTTGTCGTCGCAGCGATTTATGATTTATGGTGGTGCTGGCAGCAGCAGTCGTGTTTTGGCGATAGGTAGTCGCGTGTAGATGCTGCAGCCGGAGCTACCCCGCGCTAAGGGGGCTGCTTGGCTTAAAGGAGGCATGATGTACAGGCGGTGACATTCGCAAGCGAAAGAGGAGTGTGGGACTCGGGAAGGCGGATATTGTCCTGAACGATAGGCCTCAGTCGGACATTCTTTGGCATGAGTATGGGTGTCTGTGAGAGCGGAAGATGGGTGGTAATGATACAACTGATAGTCCTTCTATTGCACAAGCGATGCAGTCAATGTAGTGAAGGTGAAAGTGAGAGTAGAGTGGAAGACGAGCCGAAGATGAAGACGAAAAAGAGTTGATGAGAGCAGAAATGCAGATGCAGGGCAGAAGACAGGGCTGTAAGGCAGAACTAAGTTTGCCTGACATGTGCCTTACAGCGGAACCTAACTTGTGGGGCGCTCTGCTGACGTCATCGCATCCACTGTTTTCATTGGCGGCACGAGTCAGCGCAGATGGTCCGTGTGTTATGTACTACTGCGGCGTCAGTGTTATGTATTCAACAACATACGATACAATATTACGTCATGAGTCACGCGCCAGGCACATGACCGTCACGCTTCTCACGGCTGACGTCATCACCGCTTTCCACGTGCTCCTTCCTGTTTTCCGCTATTCCGTGCTGCTGTTGTTGTTGTTGTTGTTTATTGTTGTTATCGTCCCTTCAGCCTATACACTCTATACACTCTATACACTGACTGCACTCCCACTACCTTTACAGTGTCAGTATCGTGATCCCAACACAACCGTCCGCAATTCTCCCGTGCGCTCAGCAAGTGGAGCCTGTGGAACGTGTGCAATAATGTGGAATCCATCCATAATGTGGAGAATATCGAGTAGTATAATCCGAGTCCGGACATCCACTCCGAGGCACTCTCTCTCTCTCTCTCTTGCCCTCTGCCTGCAACACGGCAAGGAACAAGGTATATACTAAAACCTAATGGACATGGACACTCTATAGTACTGCATGTCAACGTCTACATGTTAGCACACCCATACGCGAATCGGTGCTTCCCTCGCCCAAACGCTCAATGCCCGCAAATGCAAAAGGTCCAACCATCTACGCTAAATACCGAGAGTGTGGGTGTGGGGTGCAGATGTTCATACCTTTAGGTCCATGCATTCATTCTCCTTGGCCCGCCTGAAATGCCTGTTGAGAGCCTGCGATTAGCCAGGCTGAAGAAGAAGTCTGCCTGATGCTTGAGTATATCTCTCATTCACTCCCGCCGGCATTCACTCCAGCGGCGCTTTGACCATCTCTGTCTGCCGCATCAGTGCATCGGTGCATCCACTCTTCGCTGCTGTCCTCGTCGCTATACCGCTCCACTTCCATCCTCCCCCGGCCATCTCGCTATCGTATAAGTACTCTGCCATCATGCCCGACCTCTACCGTCTCGAGCCCTGTTGGTCTGCCCTTCAATTCCCTCCACCACCCTCAAATCTGCTCCTTCGACTCCATCGTCGCCAGCACGACTCATCATGAAGCCTTATTTTGGCATGAAAGGACTATGGCTGACCTTTTGGGTCACCGTTGCCTGTGCTACTGACATGACCCTCTTCGGCTACGATCAGGGTGTCTTCAGTCTGTCCATCTTGATTCCATCATCTTCGTCCGCTGTCTAACCTCCACAGGCGGCGTCATCATCACCGACGACTTCCTCGACACTCATGGCCTGCAGGGCAAGACTTCGCTGATCTCGACCGTCACCGCCATCTACGACATTGGATGTTTCCTCGGCGCCATCAGCGTCATGTTCCTGGGCGAGCCGCTCGGTCGCAAGAACACCATCTTGCTGGGCACCACCATCATGAGCATTGGTGCCATTTTGCAGATTGCCTCCTACAGCGTGCCTCAGATGATTGTCGGTCGGATCGTCGCGGGTATCGGTAATGGCATCAACACCTCCACCGCTCCCGTGTGGCAGGGCGAGACCTCAAAGGCGAGCTGGCGCGGCAAGTTGATCGTCATCGAGATGATTATGAACATTGCCGGCTTTTCGCTGTCAAACTGGATCAACTACGGCTTCTCGTTCCTTGACGGGCCAATTGCATGGCGCTTCCCGCTCGCCTTCCAGTTTGTCTTCATCTTCATTCTCTTTGCTACCGTGCCGTGGCTGCCAGAGTCGCCTCGATGGCTCATGGCCAAGGATCGCGTTGACGAGGCTGACCAAATTCTCGCTGATCTGGAAGGCTCCGAGATTGACGATCCGTACGTCGTCACGCAGTCCAAGGAGATCAAGTGGGCCATTAACTACGAGCGCGAAAACACCGTCTCGTGGATGAACCTGCTCAAGGGCAACACCAAAGGCGGCTCCTGTACCGTCCGCAGACTCATCCTCGGCATGGGCACCCAGTTCATGCAGCAATTCTCCGGCATCAACGTAAGCCCATTTCCTTCCCAAGTCTCACGTGTCATATCAATAATAATAAAAACTTCAGGTTACATCATACTACCTCCCTACCGTGCTCATCGAGTCCGTCGGCCTGGAAGAAAGTCTCGCGCGTCTGCTCACCGCCTGCAACTCCGTCTCTTACCTCCTCTTCTCCTTCATCGGCATCCCCAACGTCGAGCGCTGGGGCCGCCGCAAGATGATGATGTACTGCGCCACCGGCCAATTCGTCTGCTACGCCGTCATCACCATCTGCATCCGCTACAACGAAATGGAGTCGCTCGCCGCGGCCACCCGTGAGCGCTGGGCCGAGGCCTCAATCGCCTTCTTCTTCCTCTTCTACGTCTTCTTCGGCATCGGCTGGCAGGGCGTGCCCTGGCTCTACCCATCCGAGATCAACTCGATCAGCATGCGCACCAAGGGCGCCGCCCTCGGCACCGCCACAAACTGGATCTGCAACTTCATCGTCGTCGAAATCACCCCGCCGGGCATCGAGTCCCTCGGCTGGAAATTCTACATCATCTGGACCGTCTTCAACTTCGCCTTTGTGCCCACCATCTACCTCTTCTACCCCGAGACCGCCGACCGCACGCTCGAGGACGTGGACCGCTACTTCCGCGAGAATAAGAATCTGTTTGTGTGCACGGATCCCGTGGCGATTAGCAGTAAGCGGCCGCCCGAGTACCAGGAGGATGAGAATAGGGAGGTGCGCAGGAACTCGAGTGTGCGCCAGGATGGGATCATGGCGGCGCAGATGGCGGCCGAGGCGCGGTTTGAGAAGGATGCGGGTCGGGCGGAGCGTTTGGATCGGGTTGGGAGTGCGGGGCAGAGTGGAAGTGGGACGAGTAAGGAGAAGAGCTCGCTTGGGGATGCGGCGGTGTAGGTGTTTTTGTGTTGTTTACGGAGGGGGATGGGTGGTAGGGAGATGCTGTGGCATGATGCATGCATGTCTCGTGGTTGATGGGTGAGCAGGAGTGCGGATGGAAAATATGATTATAGATACCCATACAATACATGACACTGTTTGACATATTCTGTCCGCCTGCAAACATGTGCTATCACATCGACACGAACGCGCAAAATAAATCACAGGACGAGACGAGGTCTACTGGCACGAAGACAAACAGATAAAAGATCCCAGTCTCGGCACGCCAGACCGGATGTATATGATGTGTATCCACACCCTAAATTCGCCATATATATGCATATATACCCCATACCCATACCCATATCCCCCATCCATACCCCCTCCACCCCAAAAATAAACCCCCCCCCAAAACCAAAAGCCCCCAAACCCCTTAACCCCTAAAACCTCTCCATCATCCTCTGCCGCACCGTCCACATGCGCGCACGCTTACCGTAGATATACATCGGAATGCTCCACAGCATGACGAAGAGCTGCAGCCCACCGGTAGCCAGAAAGACGGTGCGCGGACCAGCAGCATCGAGCCAGCGGGTGAAGAAGAGCGAGAAGACGAGGCCGTGGAAGATATCTGCCCATTCGACGTTAGTTTGATTATGTTGTGTTTTGGGTAAGTGAGTGTGTGTGTGTGTGTTCTAGGAAGGAGCCAGATTGTGAGAAGGAAGGAAGGAGGACAAGGCAGGGCGAGGCAAAGCAAAAAAAGGAAGGACCAAAACGCACTCTTCGAGAAATTCAACGTCACCAACGCCTCCCCCGCATACTGCCGATAACTATCCACACAAAACGTAATCGCCGTCGTGCTCCCCAACGCACACCCAAACCCAATCACCCCAAAAAACACCGTCGGCACAATCCACGCATCCCGCTCCTGCGCACTCCACCCAAACCCCATCAGTCCCGCCGTCGTACTAACCGCAATCGGCAGCGCCATCACAAGCCGAAACTCAGGCTCATACACGCCGTCATTCCGCCGACTCATCCAGCGCACAACAACATCCGATAGCCGGCCCGCGACGACGGTGCCGAGAATACCCCCGATGAAGGGCGCGAGATAGACGAGGCCGACTTGGAGGCTGGTGAAGTTGTAGCTTGCGCGCTGCTCGTAGACGTGGCTTACGGATTCGGAGAGCAGGGCGAGCCAGCCGACGGAGAGGGCGTAGGTGGCCGAGGACCAGAGGACGGCCGGGTAGGCGAAGAGGATGAAGGGGCGGAGGGCGATGAGGAACCAGTTTCCCGGTGCGAGGCGGCCCGAGTATGGGGCTAGGGAGGCGATGAAGGTGCGCGGGGGTGCGCTGCGGTAGTGGTCTGTGTAGTGGTTTGGGGGTGGGGGTGTGGTTGCGGTGGAGAGGACGGAGGGTTCGCGGGTGAGGATGGGGCGGATGGGGTGGGAGGGGTCGGTGGTGGTGGTGGTGGTGGTGTGGATGGCGGCGGGTTCGGGGATTGGGTGGTTTGCTTTCTCGATGTCTCGGTCGGGTTGGGTGGTGTCTGTTGGTAGGGCTTCTGCGAAGCCTACGTGGACGTTTTTATGTTGGCGGGGGGTAGTGATGCCGTGGTCTAGGCCGATGTTGGCATTGTCGTGAGTTGGTGATGTGGGTGATGGGATGATGGGCGAGTTGACAAAGGACGTGTCGGCAGCGGGCGATTGGACAGGAGTAGTAGGATTTGTATGATGGGACTGGACAATGCTGTGTAGACTCAGCCGGCTTGGCTTCTTCTTGCCACGATGGTGTTTTCTCGCTCTCGGCGTGCGGTCCCAGAATGTTTCGGGCACAAAGAGGAATAAGAGAAAGAAGCAGAACCCGATGACCATGGCGAGTATCCTATGGGAGTTAGGACCAGGATTTCGTTGATATCAGTCACATGACTTACCAGAATACCCATCTCCAGCCTAGCGATTGGATGATAGCGGCACTGACTTTGATGGCTTTAGTAAAAGCCAACCGGTACGCTCTCCAGCACTTACCGAGCGGAACCAGGTTCTTGCCACCAAGCAGTAACAGCGTATACACCCCCAAGCGATACGCCCGTTCATGCAGGAAGAAGATCTCTGCAATCGTCGCAGAGGGCAGGCACTCCACCGGACTAACCGAGATGCCCTGGACTATCCTTGCAATAAGGAGGGACACATAGTTTGGCGAGAGGGCGCACCAGACCGAACTCGTGGCGAAGAGGATCGCAGACGCAAGATAGACCGGCCGTTTGCCAAACTTGATTGCCGTCGGGGACATGATGACCGAGCCGATGCCGAGACCCGTCATACACAAGCCCGTCGTCAGCGCGACGCGAGGAAGCGGCACGTGGTATGTCTCCGCAACGTCCGGGAACCCGGCTGCTAGCATGGGCGTGACGCCGCCGCCCAACATACAGTACAGGCCGATGGAGAGCAGGGCGCTGTCTCGACGCCACGACGGCCAGTTTAGGGGATCGTTGGGCGTGTCGTCTGGCTGTGGGTCCAGGATGATGGTACCGTCGGCAGTCTTCTTGACTTCGGGCACAGAGTGACGCGTCGCTCTCGAGTCTCTACTGCGGTCTCGTGTCCTGATCGAGGCCGGATATGGCGAGGGAATCGAGGAGGCAGATGTGCGAGCCTCAGCATGACGGAGTCCGAGCGGCTCGTTCCTCTGGTGGACGTTCGACAGGAGCAGGACGGAACCTGTGATATCTATTGAGGATGCTGGCGACACAAGGACGTGGCGAGCTTACCTGGAACCTCGTCCGTCTCCTTGTCGTTCAGAATGCCCATGCTCCATCTTGATTTGGGCTTTGAGATGGAATCATCCATCTCCGTATGGACAGGCTTCTCCTTCCCCTCGCTGTTGCTGCGGCTCCGGAATTTCGAAAACATGCTGGCTATGTAAGCAAGACTGACAGGCTCCAACAATGCATGAAATCTATAGTGATGATAGTGCAAAAAGTCTAAACGGCCGACATGGGAGCGCACGAAACGAAGCAAGACACAGAGAACACCAAGCTCGCTCTACGGCACCGGTCATCAATCAGAAAAACAAGAAGGACAGTGAAGTCATGGAGGAGACGAGGGAGTGATATTGCAGTTGTGGCGCTAAGAGAATGAAACACATGGATGGCATAGCGTCCGGGGGGCACTAGTACAGAGGAGGCTTGAATGGGGTGCAGGTGATAATTGGTATTATTGGGAGGATCGGAGAAGAGTGGTCAGTGGGCGGTGGTCAGTGGTCAGTGAGGGTCAGTTTGTTATTCGGTGCTCAAGTGTGTGGTCCGTGGTTGATTGTTGAGTGGTCGTGCACGGGTCGAATGGTAAGAAGGTTGATCCGAGAATATCTCGTCATGCTCCCCCCCCCTCCCCTTGTGTTTATCCATCCTTCGGCCTGAGGCACGGCAGGAAGACCCTTATCTCAAATTAAACAATCTCGTCATGCCATCATCCTTCTTCTTCTTCTTCTTCTTCTTCTTCTTCTTCCATTCTGACTTCATCAACAATCTTCATTCACTCTACAAAATCAGACATTCATCCCCTTCGTGCCATATCACAATCAGCACTCTTCTGGTTCGTATCTCTACTGCTGACGCCCTTCGTCATAGTCGCCAGCTGCATCCGGTAAGACGGTGCTGATCGCGTCTCGCGCGTGCGTCTTGGAGGGTTGGCGCCGAGCCGTCTGACACTCCATTCCCGGTCTTCTCTACTGCACACGTCCGCATGATGCATGTTGTTCGCGTTATCGGGAGAAAACGTCCATCATCTTGATAAGGGCAGTGACTGGTGTAACTGTAGCGATGGGTGGACGACTATGCCCACTCCACCGTACTCCTCCAGCTTTCAGCCATAAAGAGTCGCAGCTCCACAATCTAGAATGTCACGGTTTCTGCTGCAAGTCGGCAATTGAATTCCCCAAGTGCGTCCGTTGGCACACCTTGTCATACGTTCCACTATGCCAACCAGAGGCCAAGCCGCGCAGAAAAGCTTATTCAGACCAAAAAGTTGCTATTGTACCACCGTCTGGCATACAACACCAGAGACATGCATCACAGCTTCAACGCTTTCAATGCCTACAGCACTGTGTATTTGTGTCTAAGGTTGGTTCAGCTGCGTCACTACAACAAGTCCTCAGGTAAGCACGGTCAATAGCCGTCCTATTGACAAAGTGACAACTCCAGGGCTCTTTCAAAGGTAAACGATGCGAAAAGCGCTATTCACTACTTTCTCAATGAGTCTCTTACAGCCCATTCATTATCGTTCTTGTAAGTAAAAAAATCCGTCACACCTGTCCTAGGGTGGTTTATCCTGTACATCGTGTAGGTTAGCTCTGCTACCTTTCTGTTTCTCTCACCCAATACCTTCAAACACTCAAGTCAAAATATGAACAAATATCGTCCTCTTTTTCTTCCGCTTCTCGTCGCCCAGTCGATAGCCTGGACTATAGCAATACCAGGCGTCTCGCAAGTCGAGTTTCCGACTCAGCCTGCTGCTGGTCTTTCTTCTGCCGAGACAGAGCCACTGCCTTCCGAAACTCCCTCGATACTCACTCTGGAAATGCCAGCTACAATTAATCTTACGACAGCGGCCTCTCCTACACCCATGTCGCTGTCGATTCCGTCCTCATGGAGCAGCTACTTGGTAACATCCGCAGCGAATTCCAGCGTTGTGGTACCAGCCCAGACCTCCAGCATCGGCACTACAGTGCGTTCGAATTTCTCCGAGACAGTCGCGGTCCCTGATGGTATCACCACGAAAACAATATACACCACGGAGTATGAAATAAGGACTGTGGATCCTGAAATCTTTTCTTTGATCGTGGAAAAATATGGCTCAAACACCATCAAGCATTCCTATATCCTCTTGCCAGACATTACCAGCCCGCCCGTGCCCTCCATCACTGGTCCATCGTTGATCTCCACGGGTATATCCGCACCTCAGACTGCAGCAAGCTTAGCGAATGTTTCGACAGACGCCACACCATCCACATTACCTTCCCCCACATTACCATCCCCCATATCACCACCGCCAATATCACCCTCCCCCACATCACCCTCGCCCGTAGCCAGCTCTGGCGTGATCCCAACGCAAGCCCCGGTCTGTACATTACCCATCATCGCTCCGTATGGAAGCCCTCGTTTCTCCCAAGCCTCCCAAGCCTCCCAAGCTGTCCAGGCCGGCCAAGCCACCGACATAGCAGCAGACTTCACTCTGACCTACACAACTACGATTCGTAACACAAAAACGATTACTGTAGCAGCAAAGGGTGTTCATACTCCCTCAATCACAATCGCCATTCCAGAGCCAAGCCTTGAACCGACCCTGGGCTCTGAGTTCAAACTCGACCCCCTTCCCTCAGATGCATCCCTAGGTGTCGGCGTCGCAGCCGGGAACGAGCCGCAAGGAATGATCATACACGGCGAAGATGATGATGTGCATGAGGACAAACCTGTCAGTGGTTATGAGCGACCTGGTCAGTTTCTTGCGAGGCGGGATCCGGTTGTCTCTGGACCAACGCAATCACAGGAGCAAGGGAGATTTGTGCACAAGAAGCTTGGGAAAGGGGTTCTGGAAGCGGCCACGGCGTCGTTATTTCTCACCACTCTGTATATGATGATATGGGTTGTCGGCAATTAGCCATGGAGATATTCGCTGAGGTTCTTGATTTTGCTTTGCTTCCTAAGTTTGTAATGAATAGTGTGAGCGGCCCGGTTGCCGCGGAGTCTATTCAGAAGGGTTATCTGGTGTATGTCCTTCGTTTACTTATTGTTAGTTAGTTAGTTGACATCAACTTTACACGTTCATTTAATCCCACGCTTCATACTGTGTCCAAACTGTAATTCTCGTCGAAGGTAAACGTGATGGCGTTGCTATATGCCAGTGACATGTTTGCTGCCTCAGGCATAAGTGCAACCCAAAGACCCACCACCAACGTACCCTCTGACCTCCACCACCACCTCCATCACCAAGCGACATGAGCTCCCATGACCAGACCGCACTCTTCGCACACCTACATCTTCCTACGAGCGTAGCTTAGATGTCTCCGCAATCTCTCGAACCTCAAAGTCCCGCGGATCATGAGTGGCGCATCCTCCGATGGCCTCCCGTCACCGCGCACTGTGCTGCCAGTCCTCCCACAAGATGAACGCAAGAAGCCCAAAGACAAAGCCACCACAGGCGCAACAGCGGCCACAATGAGAGCACTCACAGCTCGCATGGTCGCATTCTACTTCCGCGCGCCCATGAAGGCCTTTTTCAGAGCAAGAGTCGAGTACGTGTGCTAAACCACCTCCTCCCTCCTTATAAAAACCACTTTCTAACCTCCGTATAGCTACATGGTATATACAACAACCACCTCACCTCTCACCCCTTACAAGTAACTGACATACAATCCACCAGGGCTACCCCCGCGCCATAAACCCATACTACACCCAAACCACCTCGTCGAGATTCTCCTGGCGCCTCACCACACCGGGCCTCCTCACCCACGCCGTCCGCACGCACGGCTGGTCCTTTCTCCCGCTCCAAGTCCTCCCGCCTCTCCTCGCAAACACCCTCGTCGGCTCCATCCTCTACGTCTCCTACCTCCAATTCCTCGGCCTCATGCACGACCCCTCCGCCCGCTCCACAAAACGCGCCTACCCGCCAGCCTGGTACACACACACCTTCCTCGCCGGCTTCGCCGCCGGCGCCATCCAGTCCCTCGTCGCCGCACCCCTCGACGCCCTCCAAGTCCGCTTCCAGGCCAAGGAAATGCAGCAAGGCCGCTACAAGCACATGCTACACTACGCCTCCGCGAAGCTCTCCCAGATCGGCCTCCGCGGCATATTCGCCGGGTTTTCCCTCTCCTTTGTGCGCGACGCGTTCGGTGCAGCGCTCTTCTTCAGCACGTTTGAGACGGTCAAAAGCCAGGCGTTTTACGAGTTTGTGACTCGGTTTTATGGGGATCGTGGTGGGCAGGCGCGTGTGCAGAGTGCGGTGACGGGCGATGAGAGGCCCGTTATTCGCCCGCATTATAGTATTGAGCCGAGCTTTATACTTGCCGGCGGGGTGCTGGCGAGTGTCGCGCAGCAGGTTGTTGTGCATCCGTTGGGTGAGGTGCAGGGGGTGCATTATGCGCGGCTGGAGGGCTTGGATGCGCGTGTGCGGGAGCAGAAGGCTGGTGGTGGGAGGCAGGGCATGATGAGGCTGTACTACAAAGCTTATGAGCAGACGCTGCAGCAGTGTGCAGTCGAAGCGAAGAAAGCAGGCGGGTGGAGGACGTGGCTGTATCGCGGCTTTGCGGGCAATACGCTGCGGCAGGTACCCAGCACGAGTGCCGGGCTGATTGTGTTTGAGCTGGTGAGGAGGAGATATGCGACTGATGAGGAGGCTGTGAGGATCGAGAAGGACGGATACGATATTCTGTTGACATGAGTCTTTGGGAGGGGAGGGGAAGGGGGGAAGAGGTGAGCATAGTCTTTAGCATACATGTGCATGCATGCATGCATGGTATATTTCGTTGTGCCATATCAGTGATTGCTTTGCTTGTATTTTACTCCTGTCTTATGGTCTTGGTTCAGTTTCAGATACCCAACTCTGCTATCTGCTCTAAGACTACAATGTCTTCTTGATAATCTCACGTACGTTTTTGTTTGGCTTGAGTAATTTACTCCTGGTAACGATCTGTTTCTCAACGCTTCACTCTTGTCATTCTTACAATTCCTCTGCCTTTTTCTCCTCATCTTCTTCCTTCGCCGAGGCCTTCTCGCCTGTCATAACCCCTTCATTTTCTTCTCTTTCTTTCTTTTCTTCCGATTTCTTGTCTTCTAGTTTCTTTCCTTCTAGCTGTTTCTCTTCTGATCTTTCCGAGGCTGTGCTTTTAGAGTTCTGCTTTTCAGACTTCTCCTCTGGCTCCTTGTCTTCTAGTTTCTTCGCTTCCGGTTTCTCAGAGTTCTGCTTTCCAGAGCCCTTCTCATCAGGCTTCTTCTCCTCAGACTTATCATTGTCTTTCAAAGTCAGAGGCTGCAGCAACATATTCAGCTCACTCCCCGTCCCACTCTCCGCCTCTACTTCCTCCTCCTCCTTCTCCCCCTCCGCCTCTCCATCCACCTTACCCTCTCCTCCCAAACCCGCCTTCCCATTCCCATCCCCATTCCCAATCCCACTCCCGTACACCTTAACCATCTTCTCCTTCTCCTCCAACGCCTCAACCATCAAGTCCCCAATATGCGCATCACGATCCCACACCCTCATCGCAAACATAACCAAATACATCGGCACCATCGAATTCTCATAATACTCCGCCACCCCATCCGGATCCATCGTCTCAAACAGATTGCTAAACCGCTCAATCACCCACACATCACCACTATACACCGTCTCCCACGTGCCATACAGCTCCGCATCCGCCTGACTCCACGCCTCATTCCACCACGGCGGCAGCAAACTCGGCCGCGCATGCGCGCGCGCAACAAACCTCCGAAACGGCACCAGGTCGTTTGGCGCGCCCGTGTAGATGCCGTCGGCCGAAGGCCTATCAGCCTTGTTCCTGCGGTGCTCGTCGAGGCGGAAGGCGTCAATGAGCAGGGCAAACGTGTCGTTGGGCGCGAGGTCGTGCAGGAATCTGTTCTCGTGTAGCCGCGTGAGCGGCTCGTGGATCGGCGTGTCGATGTTCTCGATTGTGGCGTACATGTTGTTTGCGCGCATCGACTCGTCCAGGAACTTCCAGTAGAGCGGGTTCGACTTGATGCCGCTGGCTAGGTCGGAGGGCGTCATGAGGCCTGCGGTGGGTGCCTTCATGTTTTGCTCGAGCTTGACGCGCTGCTCGAGGGTGGCGGCGAGTTGTTGGGCGACTGTTCTTTGGTGGCTGGCTGGGGTGTATGGGACGAGGGTTTCGGAGCTGGGCGTTGCGGGTGGTGGTAGCGGTGGGGTTTTCTTTTCTTGCCTTGCCTGTGCGCTGGTGTACTCCTTTTCGAGCGCGGCGCAGATCTTCTTGTGGCGTTTGTGGTCGGCTTTCTTGCAGGCGACGGAGCAGTATTGGATTGTCTTGCATTTTTCGCATGGCTTGAAGGTTTTGTTGAGGACTCTGAGATCGGTGGCGGTTTTCTTGCAGGCTGCGCATATTAAAGGGGCTGTAGTGATAGGGGCCATTGTGGGCTGATGAGTTAGGGTCGAAGTTCTGTGCCTAGTCTCGTGTATGAGGACTCCCAAGATGGAAAGGAGACGTAGTTGTAGCTGGTACGGCTATACCGTCTGCAAAGTATGTGAAGCTTGATCTTGAACGAATGACGATGCAGAAATCGCGTTGTATGAATGAAAGATAAAGCTGGAGGCGATGAGCATACTGTGTATGGTCGTAGGCACAGATCAGACATGATGGCAGCTTTGATTCACATTGGCAACCTTTTCGTCCGGGGCAACTTTCCCGTCCGGGATCAAAGGAGCGATATCGTGCCTGCTTCTACCGAAACGCATAACTTCCCTCAAGATAATACTCACCCTGAAAGAGACCACCGAGAGATCAACAACTTGGGCTGCACCATCTTCTCACCATAATCTCATACATGCAGGGTCTCGGTGTGTTATTGAGCTCCTATACGCGACTTGTATGACACACCCTCTTGATCTTGAAGTCCCCTCAGATGTGTCCTTGAGATCTGTTGTCCCGTAAAGGAGGAACACTTGAACGGACACCTGAGACCCAATGAGGTACATATCTTGTCTACCGATGGATACTGGTACACCAAAGTCTCCTGTGTCAAGACACCGTCCTCTTCCTCATTCATGGCGATCTCAAGCTCACTCGAAATGCTAAAAGACGGGAGCAAACAGTATCAATGCATTACTAATCTACTACCGAATTGGCTCTTGCCGATGAAACCTTGCGATCTATTCATCTTGGGCTCTAAACTTATCCCATGCTGAAGTAGTCAGCAAAGCTACTCATACAGCAGAGAGAAGTACTCACAACTGTGCATCCGCTTCACCTGACCAGGTGTGAACTCATTCATGCATGCATCATCGGAGTAGTCAAGAAAGTTGTGAATGTTGTCTTTCAGGCCACCTTCACAGCTATCTTGGGTCGTATTGCAACCAAGGGTTGCCATGGACTGGGGAGTTGTGTCGTCAATCAGGTCACCGGCTCCGAGGCATGTGATATCAAAGACATGCCAGAGGCCGAGCCAATGGCCTACTTCATGCACGGCGGTCTTTCCTTCATTGAATGGCGCTTTGCTACCTGGACCAGTCATTGCTGAGTTCAAGATGACGCAGCCATCTTCGATCAAGTCCAGTTCCGGGGATTGAATTATATTCCCGCAATACTGCATCAGAGCCTTAGCCTTTGACCGTATGCCACAGAAGTGAAAGGAATAGCACATACCCCTAGAACCCCTCCACCAAGCCCAACAGACATCGACGGGACAAAGAAGACATTAAGAGTGTTTTGGACACCCTGCCTCAAGGCTTCTTTCATATCACGGTCAGTTCGGTCTGACCATTTGGCCCATCTGGAATTTTTCGTTCGCGTTGTATTGATGAGGTCAAATGAAAATCCCGCGGGCTCGTACTCGTCATTCAGGACCTTCAGTTGGTCTTTGAGGCGCTTATCCTGTACAGTCAAATAATCAACTTTCGGTTTAGTATGGTCACATGGAGAGCCAATTGAGAAAGACTTCGAGGGCAGAATAGGCAAAATGGCTCCGTGCACACAAATGTTGACAAAACCCGAAAGACAAAGAAATGCTGATGGAACAAGGACGGAAAAGGACTCACATTTGGTGAAGACGGCTCATCAGTGTCATAAATAACGTGGAACACCGTCGGAATAGTAATTTTTGCGTCCATTACGGAGTCATTGACTCGACCAAACATCTCATCTTCGCGCATCTGTGCGGCCAAAGCCAAGCCACCTGAGCTGCCTGTGGTCGCACATCGACTCAGAGCGATTACTGAACTGCTGTGTAGCAGAGCGGCGAGAACGAGAGTGATGGAAGACTTCATGATAGAGAAGGGAAACCTGTAGTTTTCCCAGAAGGTGATTTGCGTAGGATGAGATGAATAAGGATGTTCGAAGTCAGAGATGTTAAGGATGTCGGCGGTGATTCATGAAGTGTGTTTACGGGAAGTAGGACAAGTTCAGCCGTGGGAATGTTCGAGATAATTTAAAATATGGCAGCTGCGATTATAGTACCTCTTTCTTCCTCTTCAGGATCAGGCAACATCGAATTTATTATCGAACATGCTTTCTCCTGATGTCTTCCTCATGTGGCAGGATTACATCTTGCTGGTCCTGCCCTAAGCTCTTCGCATAAGACGACTCTATAGAAACTACTCAGATAGATAGACTTCTATACTGGTTTGCTCCCAGGCTCCTTAAACGCTCCCATAGATTTATGCTGTCGGCATACCTAAGTTCATGATCATAGAGATCTTCTCCTTTGGAAATCAGGGGCACAAACAGTGCTCCGGTGCGTTCGGTCGATTGGCATGGACTCCCACGTGCCAGTCTTTTACTTTCTTGGTCGTAGACATACTGGTAGAGTGTATGATTGAGAAGATGAGTGCATACATCGGACAAGTGTTCTGTGGAGAACAGATCAAACTGCATTGAGACATAGTCGGACAATTCGAAATCAATAGCCAAATATATAAACCTTAGATTGAGGACAGGTGCACTATACAGCTTGATATACCAGCCTATTCCAGATCTAGAGAGCGTTCCAAGGTTATAATCCAGGCCCCCGATCCATTTCAGCGATACATCTGAACATGATGCGCTATTTCGACTTCAAGCGCCATGACGATCGTTCAAAGCTCTCGATAGTACATCGGTGGACCACTGCAAATATACAAGCTCAGCATATCCTATGATGAAAGAATCGAGTACAAGCAAAAATATGACGTCTTACTAGAGAGGTATACAGAGCCACAGCCTCGACATTTACAAATACCAGGGTAATTGAAGTCATCCTAGATTGTGGCACTTACTGCTGTATACGCGACTAAAGCTACCCTTTGACGATCGGCTTAAAGATGAATAGTCTGTTCGGAGACTCATAGACAGCAAACTGACTCTCCAGCCGTTCACCACAGAGTGCTTTGAACAGGAAGGTCAATATAATTGACAATTTCAATATCTTCGGAGTCTGCTAGTTGGTTTACATAATTGTCGAGCTGCGTGTGCTATACGGTTTCGATGATGCGGCGCAACTATGATATGTTATATTGCCAGCAAGCAAGGCAGACGATGCCTGAGCACATAGAACCAACGCTGATGTTCTTCAATACTATAAAAAGGAGTGAGGTCAGAGAGTTATAGTACTAGTCTGTTGATTACGTGAAATGTAGCACAGACCTCTGATTCGCCAAGCCACCTCGCATCTTCTACAGTCGTCCATCAACAACCTCTTCTTCTCAAACCTCAAACTCAACTCTCATCCAAAACACAAACAACCCCCCAAAACACCAAACATATATCAAAAATGCCTCGTCAAGGTGGTGGCAGATCCGCTCCGGCACGTCGCCCGGCCCCTCCGCCAGCCCGGCCTGCAGCTCCATCGCAGCAGCAAACTCGCAGCTCCTCTACCGCCACTGCTCGCCCCCCGATGCAACAGCAGGCTCCTCCTCCACCAGCACCAGCGGCCCAGCAGAGCGCTGGCCCAGGTCTTTTCGGCCAGATGGCTTCCACCGCTGCGTATGTAGCTTTCTTGCCCTACCAACGCCACTTTCGGGGAAGAAAAACCCTACCTTCGACCCCCCGTTTCCACCCCCCTGATACTATAAAGAGAATAACTAACGTGTACCAGTGGTGTAGCAGTCGGATCGTCCATCGGCCACGCCGTCGGTGGCTGGTTCAGCGGTGGCAGCAGCAGTGCCGCTCCCCAAGAAGTTCAGCAGATGGCCGCCTCACCCGCCCAGGCTCAACAGTTCGACCAGATGGCACAGAATGGCGAGTGTGCGACTGAGCTTCGCATGTTCAAGGAATGCGCCGCAGCGTACGGGGGCGACCAGCCAGCTTGCAAGTTTCCTATGGACACCCTGATGAATTGCTTCAAGGGACCGTCTAGCAACAGCTCCTCGACGTGGTAGACAAGGTAGCAAACGGTGTATGATAGCGTGGGGTTGGAAATGGAGCAAGCATGTGCATACGGACAGTACGGAAATCAAGACAGCCGTTATTTATAAATGTGTATAAAACTCGACTTGCATGCTGTCTTCCAATATGTACGTTGGGGGGCAAATCACTAAAGCATAGCATCTCAATCATAAACCCTCTCTGCTCATATATATGGCATTAATCTCCGCATATCGTGCTATTAAGACGAAACTGGACTATGCGAGCATGACTGACTACTTATTGTCGTCATCTCTGGGCTCAAAGTTGAGCTGAGACCTGGTTAGCACTCACTCATCGTGTACTCAAAGTCCACTGACCTGGTTACCATTATACAGCTCCGTATCATCCCTGCCCGCTTCCCTCCTCTGATCTGCCAATGTCCTAATCTTCAGTCCAGAACCAGATGAGTTGTTTTGCGTACCCTGCGCACCACTTGAACTCGACTGGTCCATAGTACGTCCTTGCTGGGGCGCCGATGCCCTCCCATCCTGTGAACCATCTGTGCCGGGCGACACAAGAAGCCTAAGCCCAGGTACAGCCCTCATGGTACCCACAACAGCCCCTATTGCACTACCAACCAGCCCAAACACCCCCGTCGTACCTCTTTGAACCGTACCCAGATACCCATCGCCCTGTCCCGAAGCATACGCACTCGTGTATCCCGCAACAGGAACAAGCACAAGCGTAGCAGACGGGAACAACCCCAGCTCAGCCAGCGGCGACGCCTCTTCCGACATCGATATCTCCCGACTCGGCAGCGGCGCCTGGATATGCCGGAACGTGTACGGTGGCGGTGCTTCTTCCAATTGCCCATCCACCCACGGCCTCACGGCTGTCGTCAGATTCTCCGCCGACGGGAAACTCTTCCGCACCGTACTCCCGTCAAACAGTCTGACCTGTAAGCTCACATTCTTCCCCACCGCACTCGTCGTCCGACTCGTCTGCGGCCGCGGACTAGGTGTGCTCCTCGCTGCCCCTGCACCTGCACTCGCACCCGCACCTACACCCACACCCACAGCCTCGCGCTCGCGCTCGCGCGCCCGCTGATGCGCACGCCGCTCTTCTTGGTCCTGCCGTAAGCGAGCCTGAACGCGCTCGAGATCCTTCTCGCGCGCAAGCTTATGCTTGCGTGCTTCTTCGGCCGCAGTCTGCTGAATGCGTTTCGCCTCAGCAGATTGGCGCTCGCGCTCGGAGAGGCCTGGGGGCTCGACTTTCTGCTTGCCTTTGGCGCGGCTGGACTCTGCGGGCGAGATTTGTGGTTGGGATTGGCGGGCGGCGGCTTCTTCGCGGGCGCGTTGTTTGGCTTGTGCGGCTTCTTGCTTTTGGCGGGCTTCGCGGGCGATGCGTTCGTGTTCGACGCGGGCTTGGTGCTCGGCGAGGATCTGCTCTGGGGTGCGGGATGGTGGGGAGGTTGTGGGCGGGGAGGTAGGGGTTGTTGTAGTGGTGGAAGCGGTAGGAGTAGTGGTAGAAGCTGGTGTTGTGATCGAGGGTGTAGGGCCTTGTGCACTCGCGGAATTGGGTATGCTCTCTCCTGGATCCAACGCCGCCTTCAGCCTCTTTCTGAATTGATCTTCATCGACCGGACTCGCGATGTGCTCTTTCAACTGTCCATTACTACCAAATCAGATCAGCATATCTTCCTTTTCCTGATAGTATGAAGCATACTGTATGACCACCAAAGCCGGAACCTCCTTGAGCGGGCAAAATGCACCCAGAAAGCCCGCCTCCTGAGATCCCTCTTCCAACCTCAACACCACAGCTCTTTGACTCAGTAACCTCGCAAGCTACGCGCTCGTTAGCTCTTTCTCTCCTATTGCTGCCACGGCGTATACCCAGTCTCATACCTCCTCGTCCTGAAGCCAACTCTCTTCCCATTTCTGGCTTTCTTCGTTCGTATCTGCCGTTACCCATTAGCCCACACTTCTCTGAAAGACCAGGTCTACCCTGGTGGTACGACGCTGGGTAGCTTTCCTGCTGCGGAGCTTGGAGCTTCCATGCTCAGGGGATAATGTAGAAGCGGAAGCCTTACCTCGAACGAAGCACGCAACGGACTTTCGGCTCTGGAGCGCAAGCGTAATGCCGCTGTTCAAGTCACCCGTATGAAACATAGCGTACGCTTGAGGAATACATGTGAGTACCGCGGCGAAAGTGCCTGCGACATGCGTTTCTGTTGTTGGATTTCTGGTGGGGCGGATAGGCAACAAGGCAACAAATATAATGGACAATGGATGCCTAACAAATTCTACCACTCTTAGTATATATTATAGTCACTCTCTCTTCTCTATTCCATTAAGTTTCTCTATCTTTAGACTATATATATTATAATATTTATATAGACTTATATAGATAGTATAATAAGATGATAAATCAAGTATAGTAAATCGAAGTTCTTTGATTAGTGTATTATATAAAGAGTTATTTCTTGAAACGGAAAAAACTTGAGTAAGAGAGTAAAGAGAGTAGAAATAGATTCTATAAATAGTTGTATATATTCATATAGACTATCTTTTGAAGAATCACTTTCCATCATAAGATACTTTCATCTTCCTCTCTTTAGATCTTTTTACATATTTGTATTCATGTGTATGATGATAGAGTATGTGTGTATGAAGAGCTATAGCTTAAAGCAGAGTAACGACACTTGTGCTCAAGTGCTTAGAGTGGGTAGGATTCAGACAGCTAAATCGTATAGCTTGGACACCGGCAGCAAACGCTATCACAGTGGTAATCCATGATTAGGACTAACAGGGTACAACGACGATGACCTCAGTCACAAGTTTATCTAAAGTACGTCGCAGGGGTAGATGATCACGCACTATTTAGTGAATCCGAGCGTATGTAGGAGGAGCACAATGAAGAGACAGAGATGAAACATTAAGATGATTGCTCTACGCTATCTACAACTGTCACCAGGTATCACAAACCACATTCCCGCAAAGTATCAGATGGATCTCTGGGAGAATGCCTTAAAGACAAATGACAGTGAAGGAGAAAAGTCAGAGGTTTCTGCCAAGACTGCGAGAAATTCGAACTGCCAATGTGCGAAAAATGCTGGTACTCAGAAAAAATTCCATGGAGGCGGGGCCATTGACACCGCGCATGGTACAGTCTCAGGCAGTGCATCCTTCACGCAACGCCTACGGCGCGAGGTGAGAGTTGTAGTGTCGCATTTCTGAATCGCAAGTAACGCCGCCGGTGAAAAGTATGGTATTAAGGTCATCAAACAGCTTCATTCGGTCGAAGTATGGCATAGCTCTTGGAATGTTGCGTCTAAAATTGATCTTCATATCGCCTGTCACATCATTTACAGCACAACACACTTTGATTTCTTCTTGTAGCCAATGGCTGGACGTGGGCTAAGGACCGCTCTGTACGAGGAATGGTTAGCAGGTTCCAGTGTAAACGATACAACGATACGAGAGTGAATTCAGACCTGATAGCTTCGTCAAACACGCTCTTGAGGTTACGTTGGGTCAATGCTGAGCACTCGAGGTATTTCTGCGCCTTGATCTCCTTCGCAACCATAACGGCCTGCTCGTACTGGATAGGTGCCATCTTTTTCTGGCGCAGGCTCTCACGGGTGGCCTCGTCATCTCGTAAATCCAACTTCGTACCGACGAGTATGATTGGGACATTGGGTGCATGATGCTCGATCTCTGGGTACCACTATGCAGGAGTCAGGACTGATTTGTGATGGTATTTCATCGATTGACTTACTTTCGCCTTGACGTTGTCAAAAGAGGGTGGGCTGACGATTGAGAAGCAGATCAAGAAGACATCGGTCTGGGGATACGACAAAGGACGCAGTCTATCGTAATCTTCCTGGCCGGCAGTATCCCACAGTCCAAGGCTAATGGGCTTTCCGTCGACCATTACATTAGCAGAGTAATTGTCAAAGCTTTGCTCCAAAGTTAGCGTCCGCATTGTCTCGATCGACGGGAATGATCGCATACACGGTAGGGATGTATTCTCCAGGGAAAGCGTTCGTTGTGTAAGAGATGAGCAAGCACGTCTAGTTCGGAATTAGTTAACTATTGCTTCAAGAAACTTGCAGCGGTGTACTGACCTTGCCTACAGCACCATCTCCAGTGACGACGCACTGCAAGCTATAGTTAGTACAGATCTTCCGAGATAGTATATAGCCTGTCTCTCTTGCATACCTTCAAGGACTGTGTTGCGGGAGCTGAGGCCATCTTTCCAAGAATATCAAGTAGTGTTGCGTGGGTATAGAGCGTTTGCGGTCGCACAGGTTCGGTGAGATTGCAGTAATATTATGCTGATAGAGAGAGAATTAGCTTGCAGTCGCATTGCAGTTTCTTGCTAGATCTTGACTACTGACTGATGACGAGAATTAACTTAGACTTGCGGAATATGCGCGAAACTGCGGCGTGTCGGTGAGTGAAGAAAGGAGGGCCAAGTATTAGTAGCGGTAAGGCGGCTTGCCAACGTTTATATTGACGTGAAATCTCGAGAGAGAAGAGGGATTTAAAGTCGGGTACGTGTAGTGAATCGTATAGTTTTGTGGTGGAAGTGAGGTTGTTGATGTTGATGTTGTTGGTTGTTAAGAGAGCAGTGTCCAGCACAGACTTGGTGGAGCGTATCTCGAAGTTAATAATTAGGCCGGACAAGCGATCGACCAAGCCAAAGTAAGCTCTTTCAGCACCCTTTTCAACGCACGACCAAACTGCAACACAGTCGAAAGAAGGCAAATTCGTGGGATGGTAGTGTAGCAAATCCAAGGCAGCAGCAGACTCAAATGTGAGGTCGACCGTCCTGCTCAAACACGTTTGATACAGCTTGTAACCACGAGGAGCTTCGCCTCTTTCGGAGCCGTCCATTCATTCTTTTTAGCCGCCGCCGCGACCAGTGCCCGACCAATGGCCTCACTACGTGCGGACTTTACCATTTCACTCGTTCGTATTTCTTCTGCCAGTATCTTCCCGCGTCTCGCGCGTTATCTACATTGCACGCGACGGCTGGCTCATCTGACACTGGCTACCAATACGCATCAACAGCAATAGCACTTAATGTGGACCAAGCCTTTACCGAGCGCACGCATCCAAATCCATATCATATATCACACAACTTGATAACTCTAGAGTCAAGACTCTAGAAAGTTCTTAAGTATATACAAATAACAATATAAGAGTAGATAAGTAAGTTATTCTAAGAATACTATGTAATAGTAGATATCTTAGAGAAGAACCCATCTATGTTACTTACGACTACGGAATTCTCGAATTATGACTCTTCCTTATAGTGTATGCTTTCTTCTTCTATTTCCATTTGCGTTACTACCTTTCGCTATCTGCCTCTAAGTGACTCATAGAGTATCGTCTAAGTCTATGTCACTGTCCGAATCGGAGGTGCGTTATATACTTAATCCGTCTCTTGTAGACTATTCGAAAAACGACGGATTTGGGTTATACCCAGGGTTTTTCTGTAAAACAAGGATGAGAAGGGCAAATCTTGCTGTACGACTTTAGTTATTGCTCGCCTTCTTACATTATTAAAGACCTACCAAATTGATCCATATCATAGTCAAAAACCCGTACTAGACCACCATCACGACCAGGTTCATGTGGTATGACAGCTTTTACTCTGTTAGTATACACGGTACCATTATAAGCATAAACATAAAAGAAAGAGAAAAGTTCAAGAACTTACACTGAGTACGCGGCATGTCTAAAAACATACTTAGTAATGAAGGGCTTATGTACTTTCTATAGAAGTAGTCCCTATCGAGGTTCCAGTTCTTCCCGACCTTTTTTTTTGGCGATGAGTTTGTAGCCTGTTGAGGGCCATTGCTGTCCGCACCATGAGGCTGATCGGCTCGCACGATTGTTGTTATGCGGCCCGTACATCACATATGTCTCCCGTCCAGGGAAAATTGTATCCTCATGACAATCCGGCCAAGTGTTTATATCCAGACCAGTCACAGTATCATGCCATTTTGTTCTGCTCTCCCGTATCCAGCGTTCATCATCGCAGAAGATAAGAAGCTCTGCGCTTCGCCAGTTCCTCGCGCTGTCCTCGGGTGGCATCTCTCCATACATCCTGACTACATCATACGCTCGAATGAATACGTTTCGAACCTCCATATCAGGTCGCCCGGTGTCTCTGACGATATCTAGCTCAAAATATATTCTACGGACGTCGTCGTCGTCGAGCTGGTCGAAGTTTTGTAAAACCCTCATGGCTAGAGTCGCCGCTGTTATAGCTTCCTCGGCATGAGAACGGATTGAACGATACTGCCCACACGATGGATGAAAGGCATAATCAAATTCCGCTAGAGAAGAAGTAAAGAGTGCTGTAAGAAGCGCAAGAGAGGGTAGAAGGAAGAACATAGTGCCTAGGAAGAAGTATATTATAAGGCTGATACTACGAGCTTAATGCTAATTAAGGGGGGGTATATATACCTAGAGAGTCAGGTCACTACGAACGTATAAATCGCGCAAGTGTCGGCTCGTTATTCTTGAATTATTAACTCATCACTATCTATGAGAATAATAACTCATCTTAAGCTATGAGGCGTTTTATAATTATTCTTATCATTTGAGTTCTTTAGTATGCCCATGAAACTACGGTCTGGTCGAGATTATTGGGCGGCGAAGGGTAGGACATCATATGGTGCTCACGCCCCAGAGTCCTTTCTGAGATCCTGACCTGACTTATCATCACCGCCCTTGCATTCTCCAAGCTTCCCAACCTTGGCCTCGCTCTCTTGCTCATGACATTGCTCGACACAGTCGGTATTGACAAGTGTTACGCTGGTGCTCCTCTCACGGCTGACATCACTCAAGCCTGCTTTGTTCAACAGCTGCGAGTCAACCATTGTCCCAGCAAAAGGCACTTTCTGAACCTCAGAGGTAGCGCCATCGAGCTGAAGGGGTGTATCTCCGTCATAGAGTCTTCCTGCTTCGTCAGGATCCATCAGGTCCAATGCGTCGACAGCATCTGCTATCTCGGCTGCAGCAGTTCTAGGTGTAAGGGCAAATTCAGGATTACGATACGCCGTCGGGTCTTGGGCGATCTCTTCGAAGAAATCAAGTACAGATCCCTTCACCTGCGGGAATAACATTTCTGCTATGACAGGATCTCCTCCGGAAAAAGTAGGGTAGAGGGCTTGACTGAAGCTGTCTTTGACGAGCTGATCAATGCGTGATTCAAGATTCTTTGCGTTTGCACCTGTCTCAGCCGTTGCAGACTGTACAATCTTTGAAGCATGACCGCTTGTGGAACTCTGGGCCGATGCCGCAGCTTTAGGCAGGTTTATCATACTATTTCCAGCGCTGGTGAGGACGCTTTCTGCACCAATATTCTTGACGTGGTCAAGGTAAGCTTTCGTATCGTTGAAGCCAATGATCTCTTTGATCTGTTGACGGGAGACGCCTTGCGTAACATTTTCGAGCCAGTTGGTTTCATGCTTGACTAAGGGAACTCCGGACCGGTTCTCTTCGGGTGGATAATGCTCTTGGTCGGCGTTGGCGATGTCATACACCTTAAAGTTATCGGGTAGGGCCGTGAAATGAGTCTCCAAGAGAGTATTAGATGACCTTTCAGACTTGATCCAAGCACGGGTTCTGTACTTGAGGAACGACCTAAAGTTCACGTCCCAAACTTTGTAATTGCCGGGAGGGTCCATGAGAGCTAGACCAGTCAATCTTTGAGAGTACTTTGGCCAGTTTTCGTCAAGAATGTCAAGGGTCGCACGAGCTCCTTCGCTGACTGCAATTACATATACCTCAGCTTCTGGAGAAACGAATCGAGTGTCGCCAACGACTTGCTCAAATACTGTCTTTATGTGATCTTCTATGGTCCGATGGCCCGGTACGGTGTTCTCGTCTCCATCGAAGGCCGTTGCAGGATGGGCAATCGATTTTCGCGGCATCGCCAGCCACGAAATACGCGTCATAGCACAGTTATATTTGTGCGAATAGCGCAGCTGACCCGGATTCAAGACAATCAAAGCCGGTGCACCGCGGCTTTGAGCTGCAGTCTCAGGGTTAACATCGCCGTCAACACCTAGAGGCGGAGATCTTGCAATGAGGTCCTTGACAGTGCTTACGCAGGAGCCATGCTCAAAACCTCCCTGTTCGTAGAGATGGCGGTATGCTAGCACTCCAAGATCTTGAAAATCATCGTTGATGAGTATGATCACTCGCTTCCTCGCTCTCAATATCTCCACCGGCGGTGCATAGATTGGTATATGGGGCTCGTCCCGAGGCTCTTCGTAGATGAGTTGTGGCATGTACAGCTTCTCGATACCAAGCTGTGCCATTCGAGAGTCAATTTCACGGCGAATGCATTCTAGTCCAAATTAGCCTGAATCTGTCAAAATTGGCTTGTCACTACTCTGCATTGCCTCGCGATGGACTTCATTGTAACGCTCGTGGTTTGTGACCCAGTAATCAAACCTCTGATCAGGTTTGTCCTTCCTTCGCAGGAGGCCATCCTCAGTGATGAAGCATCTGGAATCACATGTCAGTAAGCAAGCCACAGTCCAGATCTGAGTTTGTACATACCCAAGTTTGTTCATATCATCAGGCCAATGCGGGTCAGGATGATCCTTGACCAGGCCATCTTCAAGGCGGCGAAACATGGCGAATTCAATGACGAAGACAGGAGAGTTGGGAGTCTTATCAAAAAGCTGTAAAGAAGAAGAACAATCTCAGACGAGATGTGGACTACCTACCTTCAGCCAAAGGTGATTGAGATAGAGTGAAGCAACCTGGTGGTCGATGAGCTGGGTAGGACCTCATCACGTGGTTGCAGTTGCACTGTTTGCGTTCACTTGCTACCTTGTGGGCCAACCCGGAAACGACCCGCGTGTTTATCGCGTGTGAGAGACTTATGAGGAACGTGCGACACAACAGTCCCCAAAGGCGAAACAGAACACGAAAAGCACTGTTGACACGAGAGAAATGAAACTTATGGAAATACAGGAAACTTCCAGTACCTTGCTGAGGCGTCAAAAGGCGTAAAGGTTTCGTATGTACAAAAACGCCTTCCATGCTTCCATCTATGCATATTGTACATCGGCGGGATGAGGTTTCCAGTTCTCGAGCAGTGCTCCGCATGACGGCCTTAAGGTGACTACCAACTGGCTTTCTTTACGCCTGGAACATTTCCAGCTAGAGCTTGAACCCTGAATTGATACTACCGAGTGAATGTAAATTAGCAATTGTCCTTGACGAATGAGTAAGAGCATCTGCAAGCCTACCCTTGCCATCTTAAAGTCACTGAATACACCACGACCTCTTCCGCCCATGATGCAACGATTCTTGATCTGTGTGAACCTTGTGTAGCAGTGCATTTGTGAGAGTTGGAGATGTGCCTGGGCTCGCATTCTTTGAGGAAGGGTGGTATTTCGTGTGATGTATCGGAGGGCTTGCCTGTGTCAGATGTTATTCAGACGATCTCCGTCGAGATACGGGATTCCAATGCTCTCGTACCTCTCCGATTCGTATTCTGCAAAGACTTTCCGTTTGGTATGGTCGCGAATATTTCTCGCGTTAATGAAACAGCTGATGTCCAATGTCTTTGACCTGAATTGCGCCATGATGAACAAGGTCGCAGTGAGAGACTTCGGGAGACACGATTCAAAATGGCGCCTTCCAAAGGTTCTATCTTGTACATGAACGTGCCCGTCTCTTGATGGCGGGCGTGGCAATGCTGATGACTAATGTCTTGGCAGCACGACATATAGGCTGAGTCAAGTTGTGTGGAATATCCTATTAGCTGACCGCTTGAGCAGACTATGCTGGGATATCAATTTAACAGCTCTGCCGGATGACTGAATATCAACCTAGGCTTTGTTGGGGACTGTCAACGGCGATACCTGTCCTGTCATACCAACAGGCGATAAACGAACAATAGTTTCGCAGTATGCAAAAATGGGACCTGATCATCAATGTTGCGTTGAATATCTCCAGGAACCAAAAGATCAAGCTTGTAAAAGTTCTCGACAGCAAAGCTCAGGAGTGTATCACAGAGGTTCGAGCCTTCTTGACAGACGCAGGTGTATATCTTTAGAGACAGCTGAACGGTGTAATTTGAAGGGTGTGCAACACCGCATCCCCAGGTTATCAACATCGATCGGCACATACAAGTTTACAGCGATGATAATGTTGTCAATGAGATTGTTGCTTAAGGATCCTGAAATGTGATAAAGCTGTCAGCATACTTCATAATGTATAAAACAGCAATGTTCAGGCGCAGCATTGCAGCCTTAACAGAGCGAGACACTCATTGGACAGAGCCGGTTTGGACATATTTTGGGTCGATAGCTGCTCTTTTAACTTGACGTGGAAGCACTTAACGATACAAAGTTGCAGAGGCAACGAGGTCTTTGACCGAAGATTAGTAAGCAAGAAATAAAGCAATAAAGCAGTTACAACGTCTCCGCGTTTCAACCAGCTGTCAAAGACCAGCCGTTGGGTCACCAAAACAATTCCAAAGCCAAGCTAGCACAATTCATGAAAAAAAAAAATAGCCGAGGCTCTATCTTGCGAGGATGCAGCCAATGTCCTGGATCAATTCAAGATGGAAGTTAGCATCAAAAGGCTGAACGAAGGGCAACTGGGATCGGTAAAGCAACTCCACATCGTGACTACGAGCAAGGTGGGTACTTAGCCACAACAGCCTTACGCAGGATCCCGATATTCATGCGGGTCTATACCGCATTAAGACGAACGCCACAGCTGCAAGGTCCAGGCCTCATGTATTGGAGGATTATGGCGTGCTGGATCCACCTGGCACATCGTCATGCTGATGGTGTAATACTTAGGTAAGCCATCGCTTGATTGTCCAGAGCAGACGCAGAGGGAGATAGATGATAAGTAAACAGCTTCTAATGCATCATTGCTGAAACGCATGTGTAGTCTGAGAAAGTGTGTGCTCAGTGTGAGTGTAATGACGGATGCGGCGGCCAACAAAATTCTGCTATTATGTATGATGCACATAGGACACGAGAGCAGATCCCCGATGCCCCGATTCCCCCGAACCTGATCTTCTCCACAATAAGCATCCAGCCTCAATCCGCTATTTTACGCCGTTGTAAGTGGTGGACAGTTAGTATAGACTACCGGATGCGGTGTAGCCTATCTCGTGCAATTGCGTGCTCAATCGTGCTGATTGCGAAATTTCTTCTGGAAGGTTGAGAGATTTGGCCGAAGGGGATGATTAATAGACAGTAATTACATAGTATTGACAAACTACGACACCGGTAGCGGACACATCAAGCACGCAATTCCTAAGCAGCCTTCGTAATCTCCAGTATTGCCGTTTGTCGTAGTCATGACCCTCTCTCTTCATATGTCAGTCTCTTCTGCTGTCCATTGCTTCTCTTTTCCGCATCATCCTCTTCAGCCGTAACAACTCTTTGCCTTTCTCCCTGCACAAACTGCCCCAAGCGTCTCAGTCACGTTTCTGTAGTATACTTGACAGAGTACGCGCGACTCTTGCTCGTTTCGACATGTCGGGCAATTCAACCACCTACGACGACAAGGATACCGCGTCACTGAGAGATGTAGAGTCTGGATATGGTTCTGGCGAATCAAACGATTCCCCACAGCCTGAAGTACTCTTTACCAAGACACACCTGAAGCACATCAACCAGCAGTTGTCCAAATTGTCGCCAGATGGTGCGTAAACTCTTTCCCCATGATCACGTGTCGAACTCGAGGGCTAACATGTTGCAGAAATCCTGCAATGGTGCCTGATCTCATTGCCATCGTTATACCAAACCACCGCTCTTGGACCTTCAGGCCTCGTCATTCTCGATAAGCTGTCCAAGATCTCTGGACCACTAAGCTCTCGCATTGACCTCATCTTCCTCGATACCTTGCACCACTTCTCCGAGACTCTTGACCTGGCCAACCGCGTGAGGAAGACCTATCCGAAGTTCCATATGCACATCTACAAGCCTGAAGGTTGCGAAACCGCTGAAGAATTCGCCACTAAGCACGGCGAAAAGCTGTGGGAGTCCAATGAGGAACTCTACGACTGGGTGGCCAAAGTGGAGCCTGCCCAACGTTCCTACGCCGAACTTCAGGTCAAGGCTGTCATCACCGGTCGCCGCAGCACCCAAGGCGGGAAACGCAGCGAGCTTGACATTGTCGAGATTGACGACACCGGTATGATCAAGGTCAATCCACTAGCCAATTGGACCTTTGATCAAGTCAACACCTACATCAAGGAAAATGACGTTCCCTCCAATGAACTTCTCCAGCGCGGCTACAAGAGCGTCGGTGACTGGCACTCCACGCAGCCTGTCGCTGCCGGTGAGGACGAGCGTTCTGGACGTTGGAAAGGCCGCAACAAAACCGAGTGTGGCATCCACAACAAGAAGTCCCGCTACGCTCAGTTTCTCATGGATCAAGAGCGTAAGCGAACTTTACAACAAGAAGGCATGGAGCAGACTATCGAGCAGCTCAATCAGACCTCCATCTCGGTGTAATAGTCTCCCATAGTCTGTACATTTCTTTCGTGCGATTTTTAGCGTATACCACAGCATATTGGCGTTCGGCAGTGAGCATTTATGAGTGCTGGGGACTATACAGCGGTCAGCATCTCGTAAGAGATAGAAGACAAAAAGATACAAAAGAAGTGGAAGGATGCGAATCTCTCGGATGAGAGCCGCCGGCAAAATTACATAGTTATCGCGATATCACAGTGAAGCAGCATTCAACCTCTAAAGGCCCATCAGACGCTATGATCTCTGCAATCCTTATCTTGTGTAAGATCGCCTTGTGTGTATATGAGGCGTCTCCGCACCCCGTGAATGTATGTCTCATTCCAGGCCGGACAGCCAAAAGGAAGTTTGGAACACGCCTCGTGTGCGACCGATCACACCATCGTACCAAGCTTTTCCTCTTTGATTGACACGCATTGGTGTGTTATCATTGCCGTTTGTCATCATCGCACGTACCCTGTTTGCTGAGAATTGCTTGTTTGTGACAGCTGGCATTCGAGGTCGTGAGATAGTATATAGACCATGGCCCCCGAAGCTGTGAATAGATCAAGACTTGGTGTTGGATTAAAGTCTCCCCGAAGCCCCTCACCACTTCGTCGCACGGGCAGCAGTGCTCGTAAACCGACTCCACCCGACCGGGACCCCCTGTAGTAACAAGGTTGCGTGCTTTGGACTACGCCGTCCGTGCTCTGCCCCGCAGCCGAAACAACATTACGTCGGTCGGCAGTTCCCCCCAAAAGGCCTTACCTTTCCACTCCGCCATAATCTGTATACAAAAAATTTCCTTTAGCTTACCTGTCCTAGCCTTCATATTCTTTCTCCCCTCTTCCTATCCTCCATTCTCTCTCTGTACAGTCTCCAATTGCTTGCTTTTGACCTCTCTCCATCTTCTCCCTCCTCCACTCCTATATCATACCTCATCTCATTTCATCATGGCCAATGCCCCTCATGGTAAGAAGAACACATTTGCCCCGCGGTGGTGCCCTGTGGCGTATGTAAACCATTGAGCTGTAGAAGCTGACGTGTGTATAGGTGGTATCCTCAAGGACTTAATCGCGCGTGATGCGCCGCGTAGATCTGAATTGCTGGCTGAGGCAGATAAACTGCCCGCTATTGTTCTCACCGAGAGGCAGCTGTGTGACTTGGAGCTCATCCTAAACGGAGGTTTCAGTCCACTTGAGGGTACGCCTAGTTCAATCGTCGCAGAAGTCCTTCTCCAGAAGACCTGAACAGCATTCTTGAAATATGCATGTGAGAAGAACGGTGCTGACCTACGACTGGGCAGGCTTCATGAACCAGAAGGACTACGATGGGTGAGCAGGACTACATGTGGTCACTGTACTTCACTGATACGTCACAGTGTGGTTTCAAACGTACGCCTCGCAGATGGAAGCCTCTTTTCCATGCCCATTTGCCTCGACGTTTCACAAGAAATCATCGATGCTTCTGGCGCAAAGGCTGGTGCTCGTATTGCACTTAGAGATTTTCGTGATGATAGAAATGTTGCCATAATCACCGTGGACGATGTATACAAGCCGGACAAGTAAGAGACATTTCTGACTCGAAGAGCTCAGGAACTGATACCCAAGTAGGGAGAAGGAGGCCAAAGAGGTCTTCGGCGGTGACCCAGAGCATCCTGCGATCAAGTTTCTCATGAATACACAGCGTGAGTTCTGTATTGGCGGTAAGCTTGATGCTATTGATCGCTTGATGCACTACGACTACGTCGCTCTTCGCTGTACGTCTTTGGTAACTCCCCTCTTTGCGCAAGTAGCCCCTTCTCACACCAGCTTTAGACTCGCCCGCTGAACTCCGTCTGCACTTCGACAAGCTTGGCTGGTCCCGCGTCGTCGCCTTCCAAACCCGTAATCCCATGCACCGCGCTCATCGTGAGCTGACCGTCCGTGCCGCTCGTTCTCGTCAAGCGAACGTCCTCATTCATCCTGTAGTCGGCCTCACCAAGCCTGGCGACATAGATCATTTCACCCGTGTACGCGTTTACCAAGCACTACTACCTCGCTATCCGAACGGCATGGCGGTACTTGGCCTTCTCCCCCTTGCCATGCGCATGGGCGGTCCGCGTGAAGCCATTTGGCACGCCATTATCCGCAAAAACCACGGCGCAACACACTTCATCGTCGGCCGCGACCACGCTGGTCCTGGCAAAAATAGTGCTGGTGTCGACTTCTACGGCCCCTATGACGCGCAGACTGCCGTTGAAAAGTACCGTGACGAGCTAGGCATCGAAGTCGTGCCTTTCCAGCAGATGACTTACCTTCCCGACTCCGATGAGTACAAGCCGCGCGATGAAGTTCCCTCGACCATCCGCACCCTAGACATCTCCGGTACGGAGCTTCGCAAGCGTCTGCGCACTGGTGCCGCGATCCCAAGCTGGTTCTCTTATCCAGAGGTTGTCAAGGTGCTGAGAGAGAGTCACCCGCCGCGGTATGCCCAGGGATTCACTGTCTTTTTGACAGGCTACCAGAACTCCGGCAAAGACGCCATCGCACGCGCGCTCAACGTTACGCTCAACCAGCAAGGTGGACGCAGCGTATCTCTCCTCCTCGGCGAAACCGTACGCGCCGAACTCTCCTCCGAGTTGGGATTTAGCCGCGCTGACCGGGACAAAAACATTGCGCGCATCGCATTCGTTGCGTCCGAGCTGACAAAGGCTGGAGCTGCTGTCATTGCGGCGCCAATCGCGCCATTCGAGGCGAGTCGCCAGGATGCCCGTGAGAGCGTGGAGAAGTATGGTAGTTTCTTCCTTGTGCATGTGGCAACGAGTCTCGAATACAGCGAGAAGACTGATCGGAGAGGTGTGTATGCAAAGGCGCGGAAAGGGGAGATCAAGGGGTTCACAGGTGTTGACGACCCGTACGAGGTGCCAACCAAGGCGGATCTCGTCGTGGATGTGGAGAAGACGAATGTGCGGACGGCGGTGCATCAGATTGTGCTGTTGTTGGAAGCGCAGGGGCTGTTGGAGAGTGCGGAGGCGGTCTCATAGATCTCGAATATCGAACCAACATAGTTCCCTTTGCGTAATTATATAGATCAGATAGAAAATGCCTGTATTGAGCATGCAGCACCAGACCTGCTACAGTGGCCGGATGTCATGCACTTACAATCCGCGACTACAAATAAATCCCGCCATATCTCCATCATAACACACCTCAAAACGTCGCCTAACTTCATAGCCAATCATTTTTGTACAGACCTGTTCCCCTTCTCCTTCTGCTTCTCCTTCCTCCTCACCCTCTGCTCCTCCCTTTCCGCCCTAACCCACTCCTCCTGATCCCTCAACTTAACCTCCGTCTCCTCACTAAACGGCAAATCCATCTGCTTCTCCCATTGCACAATCGTCGCCTTGCCCTTGACCAGCTTCTCGAGCCCGTAATTCGTCACGCACGTCACGCCGAGCTTCTCGCCCATGCGATGCACCCAGCCATTCATATACTCGACCTCAGTCTTACCACGCCCAAAGCGCACGTCCGCAAGCATACTACTAACATTCTGCCCGGTGCGTGTCGCGACGCCGACCCACAGCGCCTCGAGACGGCGCGGGGAAAAGCGGCGTTCGGTGTTGTAGAGATGGGAGAGCGCGGGCAGGTTGCGCAGGACGAGGGAGACCTCTGAGATGATGAGGCGGGCGACGCGGAGGAGGGAGTAGGAATAGGGCAGGTAGCCGTTGCGGACGTCGAGCAGGGCGGTCAGCGGGTTGATGACGCAGTTTATGGCGAGTTTCTCGAGTTGTAGGGCGAGGAGTTGGTCGGGTGGGTGGACGGCGGCTTGGAGCTGGGGGACGCGCTTGATGTGGTTCATGAGGCAGCGGGCGGATGGGGATGGGTCGAATGGGGGTAGAGTGTGGGCGCGAGGAGAGGTTGGGTCGGGGATTTCGGGGTATGGCCCGATGGCGATGGTGCCTTGACCGGCCCATTCGATGGCGAATGGGTGATCTGGTTGTTTGTTGACGCCGTGCGAGTTGACTCCGAGGAGATATGTAGGGCGGGTGGCGGGATCGGGGAAGATTTTGGTGTTGACTTCTTCGATGATGCCGATGCCGTTGTGGAGGAAGAGGATGCTGCTGGCGGCAGAGAGGCGTCCGGCGACGGCAGAAAGAGCGGAAACTGTGTCGGGGGCTTTGACACAGAGGATTAGATGGAGAATGGGGTCGTCGTCTGAGCTCCGGGCTATTTGTTGGCCTACTTTATTGATGTCGGGGAGTGATCTGTCTTCAAGGGGAGTCTTGCGTGTTCGAGACGCCTCTGCTTCGGCCATCATCTGGTCCACCTGATCGAGCGTTCTGCGTTGCTCAGGGGTGAGCTCATCGTTGAATGCTTCTTCATCTTCTTTGGACCAAGTTCCACTTTGCGTGCCGCTTCCGGATACTGCCTCGATCCTATCTGGACTTCTGTGTGCTTTGGGTGTGGACTCCTCTTGGCTGCTTTCGATAGACTGTCCTGACTTTCTATTTTCGACAGCTCCTGCAACGCTTTGTTGTACTGCCTCTTGGGTGGATTTCTCTGCGAGGTCCGGTCGACCAGTGTCTGTATGGACCCTTTTACCAACATTCCGACTGCTAGAGTCTGACTTCTCGCGCTCAGCAAACTCCTCAGGTGTCACATGGTAGGTTGCATCGTCCTTGGCTTTCCGTATACCACTCTTCGGTAGAGGATTACCAGGTAAGATCTCAGACCCATGATATCTTCGATTGGGTGTTGCGAACTGCATCCAGTAGTGGCCACTATTGAGAACGTCTCCATCGACTGTACAGGTGATCCGTTGCGGAGACCGTAACCATTTATCTCTTGTTGACTTTTTGTGTGAAACGAGGATCACGTCGGGCGTCCCCTCCCAAGGTACAGCTTTCAGAGAGTGTGCTATGAATAATCCAATAGACCCAAGTCCAACAACGTGTATTTTATCTTGAGGCGGTCGTCCTGTCCTCTCTGGCCTCGGATCAGAAGAGCGCTTGCGCGACATCATATTGCTAGATGTACGGTTCGAGGAGCTATGTGTATCATTAATAGCTATCAATGCATTCTGTAGAGGCTACAAACATTATTTCATCTTCCCGAGCTACCCCAGCTTCCCTTTGTGTTTCCATTGGGGTCCTCTTTCTTTGAGAACATGACAAGGCCGCCCGGCCGCAGTCAATGTTACCGGAGAACCATCCGGAGCGCGGGAGTCTTCGAGGCCGGAGCCTGGGTAAAAGGATTGGAAGCGTTATGGAAGACAGCTTGACAGCATTCGTATGGGGTTATAATATACGAGAAAAGTTAATCATCGTACTCCTTCAGTATTGAGCGCTGAATCGCGGTGTTCTCGCCACGACCTTCGTCATTGAAACCGGTCGGAGGATCTTCGGAATAACATAAATTCTACATATCTTTACATAACAATTACAGGTATTCGATATAGCTAGGTCTAAAGTCGAAATCGAAATAACGCTTATATTTGAACTACCATGGATTCAACAGATCTCAACCCGCTAATCGAGAATTTGTCCGCGAACATCGATGAACTTGAAGATGCTCTCGAGCCACTTTTGAAGACCTCATTGCGCGACACGTCTAGCAAGCTACCTTTGCTTGACAAGGCGAAGCTCCATGTGCTCACGACATATGCTATCGAATCAGTAATATTTTGTATGGTAGTTCTCGATCAGATAATAAACATCGACTAACACTTCCACCAGCATACCTCAACCTCTCCTCCGTCGATGCCAAGGCACATCCTATCTTTGAGGAGCTCAGTAGAGTTAAACAATACTTCGCGAAGATCAAACTTGCAGAAGAAGGACCAGTCAAACGTCCTGGGCATCGAACGCTCGACACCTCGGCGGCGAACCGTTTCATAAAGCACGGCTTATCCGGCAACGAGCAGTACGACAAAGATCGCACAGTGCGACAGGAGCGAGAGAAAGCATCGGCTAAGATTAAATTCGATCAATTGACGGAAAAGGTCGAGATGGAAAGACTAGAAAAGAAGAGGAAGGCGCAAGAGCTTGCGGAGCGACAGGGCGGCGCGGACGAAGATAGTAGTTCATCTGATTCAAGTTCTGAGGAGTCAGAGACTGAGGATATGAAGCTGAAAATAGAGGAGAAAGAACCAAAACAGGCTTCCCACAAGCCCAACAGGAAACAGAGTAACAAGGGAGTTGAAGCGACTCGCGACAAACACTATGCACCGCGCGATGGAAAGCCCGTTGCTAAGAAACAGAAATCGAACAAAGCGCCAAGGGGACGCAGTGAAGCTTTTCAGGCTCTTCTGAATAGACCAGTAGTGCCCAAGCCTGAATCGAATGCAACAGCACCTAAGCAAGATTCCGATGGCAAAACGCACAAAATGAAGAGCTCTGATGGCGTGAAGACACACAAGAAGAAATCGAAGAAGTCTAAAGCCGACACTTGATGCTCATCCGCATCCCTACAGTCAGGAGTAGATGTCTACTGGACTAAAAAGCGATTGAACCTTGAAAGCTGCCCAAGAGGCAAAGTTGAACTAATTCGAGCTTCCGCACAATAGCAGACGAGCCGGGACGCTGTACATCACGCAGCGATCACCCGAGCCTTGATAGATAGGGAAGGTCACAACACCCACACCGAACCCCTGTAGCTCTAGGCTATCGATGTCAATGATATTTCAGCGCAATCCATAGCCTGATGTCGCTCTTGGGCGAGACCGTTGATGAGATGAGACGGAAGATTAGGAGCATCCTCCGACAGCACAGCGCTTCACTTGTTGGACGATGCACCTGCATGAGGATTTAAACCTTCTTTGTATGCCTCGCTAATCTTGGATAGATCAGCTAAACCACTTGCTGCATTTACGTAGCACAATAAAACTATTCCATGGCAAATCACCTATCATGTGCTACCGTAAATGCATGGCGCATATGTCCCAAGGTTAGCGTGATTGTCTAAAGTAAATGATATTTCTCAATAAAACATCCACGCGCGATGAAGACATCACTCCGAATAAAAAGAGCTCCAGTGGTAATGCTCCATCAATGGTTTATTACATCGCTTGCGTGTATTCAAGGTCAATAATTTGATATCTATCCACCCATAGCCTTCGTCCGATCGGCCGCCGCCTTCTTGACCGACGGCCTCTCACTCAACTTCTGATACCAAGCCGACCACGACGGGAATTCCTTGTCCAAGTCGGTTCCCTCTGGCACCGTAATTGCGTTATACCAGTACCAAGGCACAAACATCAAATCGGCATAACTAATGTCGTTACCCAGCAAGTAGCTACCACCGCTCTTCTTGAGTTGCTTCTCAATGACGCCGATGTTGCGCACGGTCTCCTTGCCGTAACGCTCAACTGCCGAAGGAACTTTCTCAGGATGGAACTTCGTAAACCATACTAGCTATATGTTAGTGGCTGGATGCCAGGATGAGCGGAGATGTAACACACCTTTTTGGCCTGTGTATGGACCTTGTCCACTCATCTGGAAATCACGGAGAGCTCGCGCGGTCCATTTATCTTGTGAAGACTTGGTAGCGAACTTGCCACTCTTGTCATATGTCTCGATGAGATAGTCGATGATGGCACCAGACTGATAATACCAGTTAGTTAAGCAGAAGGTGTCGCGTTATCACGGTGCATAATTACCTCCCAGACCTGGATACCGGTGTTGGGATCTTCGATCGCTGGCACACGACCGTTAGGGTTAATGGACTCATAGGGCTCCTTCTTGAGATCCCCGAAGTCCATTATCTTCATGTCGTAGGCGATGCCGAGCTCCTCGAGGAAGATGACAACTTTCCACGGGTTTGGGCCGCCGGCATGGCCATACAAGGTAATTGGCTTTGACATTTTGATTCTGATTGTTGTTGCTTTAGCAAGGAAGATATCATATACAATTGCAGAAGATCAGTTGCAACCAGTGGACTATATATACCTCTGACAAGGCCGGCACAGCTATATTAAAAAGCATGGATTAGAAATGAAGCCAACCCCACATCCGACATCGCGATCCCACGTCATCGATCAAGGGCGGCCATTGAGGTTGTTGGCTAGTGATTAGTGCGTCTTTCAGGGTTCCTCAAATTAGCAGTTTTCGGCTATACCGTGATGTCTCCCCGATTGAACACCTATACATAGGTTCCCAGTGTCTGGTGGAGCAGGGCGATGATTACAAAGCAGTGTTTACTTTTTTGACTTGGATGTCGATTACTACTTGAAGAAGACTAGTGCCCTTTAGCCCGAGATTCTCACCCTTCTTTCTAGAAAATTCAATGCTTTTTAGATACTGTACTTCTGGACTGGCCTGCAATAGACGCGTTTGGATATGTAGTATCATCACAATACTGTAAAGAATGCCCCATCGCTATCACTTGATGCGAGAATATCATACTAATAATGTATAGTCTGAAGGCATAGATGATCAAATAGTGTAGAATCACGATCTCGAGGAGGTTCTATGCACTACTCGAAACATAAACAGCGCCCTGGGGTAAAAGGTTGGACGATTTGCGATAGTCTATTGAGAATTCACACTACTGTTTACTGCCTCCAGACACCACTCTTCGATTGCCGGATTAGGGTACGCTCCCGCAACGGGGCCGCGGGCCGCATGAAGGACCAATCCGCCCAATCTCCGCTCCGAGATATACCTAGAACAACACAAAAGCTGTCCCGGTGGAAGGCTCACATGTCCTGCACATAATTAGTGATGGGAGAATACAAGACATCGTTAGTTGAGATACGTTTGCCAAGCAGAAGTCGCCCGCGTATCACCGTCTTTAAACAATGATCGGCACCAGTTCCAAGTAGAGCAAATCCTGTGATTCGAGCAAAGACGATCCTGAAAGCCCATGCAGTATGTGGCTGGCTGGTGCGCGCGGACATGTACAATCACACTCGATGATTGGTCTACGGGCCATCGCAAGGAGCCTAGCTTGGGATCGACCATCCTACCGCTGATATTGTTGCGGGTGGATTCCGGTCTTCAAAAGCGAGAGACTTCCAGGTGCGCGTTGGGGGGCTGTCGTGTGAGAGTTTTGTTGGAGCGTTTCCCTCTTGTTCTGAGCGCGCTGCGGACTGGTTTTTTGTGTCTTTGCCCCGGGAGTTGGGAGTTCCTCTTTACGCGACGGGATCATCATGAAGAAGATACCTTTCGTCTCTTCTCTGCTCAAGCGAAGCATGCAAGGCGATGTAGAAAAGGCCAATTTCGCGAACGCGCCTGACAACACACATGCTCCCCAGACCATGTCACAGTCTGAAGGCATTCCCTCTCAACCACAACGGATCTACGCAGGAACAAGTCGCCCGCCCGCCCCCATCGGATCTGCAGTCCATGAATTTGTTGGAACACACGACCGGCTGGCCCATTTCCGTAGATTGGTGGGAATCGACTCAGTGTCTACGTTAACAGATACTACATATCTGCAACGGAAAGCCCCAAACGTGGGTATATACACACGAACGGTCTCGGCAGAAAAGAACTGCGGGAAGCTTTTCAAGTTCTTCTCGATAGCGATCAACGGATGTTTGGGCCTACAAATTGTCGTAGCGGCGACATTGACCGCCCTTGGTATGCTTTCTGTCCCTCCATAGACCATCCTTCTGTGTAGACTAACTATCACAGGTGCCGCCGGTGGCGGCCGCAGTGCTGTGACCTTCTTCGGCGCCGTGAACACCATAATTGCCGGCTTCCTGACCTACCTCAAGGGCTCCGGACTGCCCAACCGCTTCACATACTTCGAGTCCGAGTGGCGCAAAGTGCGCGAATACATCGAGCAACGTGAGCGCGAATTCGGCGTCGAGACATGCACCCTCGTTGTCGAGGAAGAAGCACGCATCATAGAGCTGATGTACGAGAACGTGCGCGCCGATGTCGAAGCAAATGTGCCGGATTCTTATACATCTGTGACACGTGCGGGCCGGTTAGATACAGCGCGTGTCGCGCCTTTACCGGCGATCGGGGAGTCGCACAGGACAATAGCTAGTACGGCAGGGGGGTTTGGTGAAAAAGTGGCTGAGGGAGGGCATCATGGGCTTGCAAGGGGATTAGATGCGGTACATAGGGGTATCGAGAGGATTAATGAGAAGATGCACCATCATGCGGATCACGGGCAGCAGGAGTTGCAAGAGGGGCTTGGAAGAGGGCAGCAGGCAATTCACGAACGCTTGTCGCGTAGTCAGAGTGCGCTTGAATCGACGTTTACGAGGGGCCAGCGGACTGTTGATGGAGCGTTTGAGAGGGCGAACAGCAGCCGTCATGCAGCCCTGGAACGGATGGGTAATAGCCACTATTCTGGGCTGGAGAGATCTCAGAGTTTACATCATGGTGGGCTGGACAGAACGAGAAGCAGCTATGAGGGCAGTACGGAACGTGGACATCAGGGACTAGATGTGAGCATGCAGCAGGGATTAGCAGAAGTTCACGAGAAGCTCGACATGTTGGATAAGGGACTCCGGCAAATTCGTCTTGAGCGGAAGGATGATGATACCACCAATACCGACGTCGTAAAGAGGGATCACGATTGAAAATCAGTGATTGGTTTATGGCTTAATGTCGTTTGCTGTGGTAGTTGTACGAGCATGGGATTTATAAGTCAATAAAATATTAATGTTTAGTCGTCTGTATGGATCAGTGTTAATATGGAGGAGCAAGGGTCCGATTTTGACGGCAGGACATAATTGAGGTCTAGCCTTCTCTCCTGAATACCAATAGCCATCAAGATCTCTCTTCGTCGACCATATATTCATACTCGAACACCCACTGCATCCTGTCATCTCTTTATTATGAAAACAGTCAGAGACCTTTCGTATTGGAGCTATTCCTGTTTCTTCGACAGGCGGTGCGCACCTGGTATCGACTTCACCAAACTCTTCAAGCTGACCTACCTATAAAATTAGTCACAACCCTCTAAACAAGTACGCCAGTGCCTCGTGCATACTCGACAGTAGCTCCGGTAACCTAGTTCCTATTGCCGAAGTTCACTCACGCTTTATCATGCACATAGGTCCTAATAAGCCTCTTCATGATCGCCTTTGCCCCAGCCTTATAGCCACCTCCAAACAACGCATAATGGTTCAGATGATGATACCTGCACATATCAGCTCTCTCCTCTACACTAGTCCTCCATCTCTACACAACTGCACTTACAATCCATACAACTCTACCCGATCCTCATACTCGCCCACCGGCTCCGTCTTCGCGCACGCCCTATGATACTCCCTCAAAAACACGTCCCCAAAACCCCCAAACATCTTCATGATTCCCAATTCATACTCGCTGTGTGCATAGCACGCAGAGGGATCATACACAACCTCTTGCACCACATCATCGTCTCCTATCCTCCCTCTCCCGGCGTTACCCGACCATAGATCGCCGTGTACAACGACTGGAGTTACGCCCCTGCCACCGTTCAAATGCTCGTCGCCAATCAGCCGTGGTACGACAATGGAAGCAACCGTCTCGAGCATACGCCTCAACTCGTCATCAACACCATTCGCACTTTCTGCCCGCTCAAGAATGAACCTCAGCCGGCTGTTGGCGTAGAAATCAGCCCAGGAGGCGTTGAAGGTGTTGTCCTGCGGAGTATCACCGCAGCATGTGGGCACGGGGAAGCCAAACATAGGACTGTCGTAGCCGTCAGGAATGGGCGCCGGGGTAGTATGTAGCTGAGCAAGTTTCTCCGCGAGAGAGGCCGGTTCATCGTCTGCCGAAAGATTGCTGCGAGCAGAAAGATTCAGGAAATCCGTTACGAGGAAGAAAGTATTTGCGTCGGAGGAGAATGGGCCGCTCCCGTGGGATTTAGGGCACAGAGACGGGACCACGGCGTTGATTGCGTTGAGGGATGCGTGTTCACCTAGAAGGCATCAACGGGGAACCTAGAAGATCGCTCGTTGTCGCGGTGCAGACCTTGGAACATTATTTCTGCATCTTTGCCGGACCCTGTTTTCATGAAGTATTCCAGCTTAGTGCCGTCGTCTTGTTTTGAGATAATCTTCGATGTTGACGCGGAGGAAGAGCCACCACCACCACCATGGTCTTCCACGGTCACATTCCCTTCAGATAGAGATAGAACTTCCAGCACAGCAGGATCCGGCCTCATGTCGACTTATACACTTGAACAGAGTAATCGAGTGGAATCGTTGGTGATGACAAGCGTGGAGGAAGGGAACGGTGGGGTCGGTCCGAAGCTTCATGGATACTTACCGGGTGGCAACCTTACCTATAGGTAAGTGTCTACACAATCGCATCAACGCGGCTAGAGACATCGGAGCGAAGTCAGGGCAACGAATTTCATAGTGTCGGCTAACATATTTATCTTTGCGAGTAGCGAGATCAAGAATTCATCATAAAATAATCCACACGCGTACAAGGTATTTCGACATTGTGAGTCTGAACTTATGTCAAAGCCACTAGACTATCTTAAATCCGTAATCCAAAGTCCATGCGCCTTTGCAAAGTTGCCCGAAGCCATGCGTATCACAAATGACTCCATATTCCCATATCTTACAATGCAGAGGAAGATTCGATGCTCCGTCGCTGTGGCCGGGTTGATAGGGGAATAAAGTTGCCTTATGGCTTTCATACAGCGCCTTCCCAGTTTCCTGCGTAAATATTAACATGCGTGTCGTGTAGTGCAGCCCCAGCAATCATCATTCGATGAGGATGAAACGCGGTGCATGAGATAGGCGAGGATCGATTCCGATTGAGAACTCCAGAATACGGCTCGAAGGACGAGAGTGGGCTCCCCGTGTTAAGGTTGTACAACCTGACAGTATGTCGCTCAGAGCCACTAGTGAGTCCTAGATTAGCGGTTATGACAGAGCAAAGAGGAGCAACATACACAGCGAAGACCGGAGCATGTTCATGCACGCTTAAGCTCCTCAAAGTATCACGAGTCGCTCGAATCGTTTTGACACTTTTGTCCATCCTGATATCCCATAGTTTGACTTCCCCGCTCCTGCAGCCACTGACTAACTCTCTTTGCCCACCTCGCTGAAGATGAACGTTGGTGATCCATTGCTTGTGCTCCTTCCATACTTTAACCATCGCCGTGGCTGGCTTTTCTCGTTGGTCGTATACGCGGACGGCTCCATCGCCAAAGCCAGCAATGAAAACTTCGCCTTCAACCTGATCAGAAGTGAGTGAAGTGACGCAAGACCCCGATCGAGCTGGTATATCCTAAATCTAGTCATTAAATCTGCTCATATCTGTTTACCCTAAGGACCTACAGTTGAGCATAGCTCGCTCCCTGCGTTCCAGACACGGATCACTTTGACGTCACCAGCGACAAGTATCGAACCTCGACTTTGCTGCCAATCAAAGACTAGCCCAGCATTCTTATTACTGGGGACCAAATCAGTCAACGCCCGGAATGCTGTAACAAGTTCGACTTCTTTTGCAGAATCATAGTTGCGGAATAGCTTTATAACACCGTCAGATGCACCTGTCATTAATAGCGCCTGGTCATCTTCGTTGATAAATCGTGCTTCGGTAATCTTTGAGTCGAACGGGTTGCCATTCGAGAACCTATTGAGTCGCTGCTGTCTGTCCCAATCCCAGATACACAGTGTGTCACGATTGTCGGCTACGACCAGGTGGTTCTCGAATTGATGAAAGCACATCTTGGTCGGCTGCGAGACATTATTGAAGAATGCTTTAGACCGGTCCCACTTGTTGCTGCCGGCGATAGCCTTTTGAGGTTGCGTTTCAGCAATGATCTTGTCATTGCGATTCCTTCTCCACAGGCGCTCATTATAGTCAACGCTTCCTGGTTCGTCGGCCTCACTTGACTTCATCTGGGGTTCGCGGAAGTATTCCACAGACCATTCAAAAAATGTGCTTGGAAGAGGTAACTCTGCAGGTTGACTGAGGTCTCTGGGTCGAAAATAGCGGGTTTCTGGTGTTTTAGCAGGCATGTGGGAATGCGGTGTATGGGGACGATCTCTCTCATCCGGTGGCCGGTTCCAATCGCTGGGAAGCTTCGAACGGCCAGGACGGTCTGGAGTACCTCGTGGTGCAATCTTGATGGTGGTACTTGGCGAAGTGTTTTGACTCGTTGAACCCCAAGCTAGATTCTTCAGAGAGGCAGCTACGCTTGCCGTGCGTCTGATTCCTGCAAAAAAGTACCCGTCTTGTCTTGTTGGGCTCGGTGGAGCTGACGGCTGTGGCGCGGGAGGAACCTCTGCAGCAGTCGTGTTTACCCGTGGCTTCTGACGATTATGGTGTTCAACTTCTTTGAGAATAGGCTCAGCGAATGGACCCAGGGGTGAGTCAAGAAGCGATTGTATAACGTTATCCACGATTATACCTGCACTTTGAGCTATATCAGGGTGAGGGTCTACCGACATGACTAGTACTTGCTTCCAGATGGCGGAAAAGACGGTATTGGAGGACACAGACTGAAATCTTGCGCCTTCAGATTTGGTGGCATCATTGTCCTGTTTCGTGGACTGACCACCCTGTGAGTTATCCGGCTTGCCGAGGCTTGGGCGTAGGAACTCATCTCGTTCTTCGACCAGCTGATCGTATGCAGCCACGTTGAATCGCGTTCTATATCGGACGATGAATGTCGAGAAGAATACTAACAGCTCCTTGCGTACCATACTATTACCGTCTGATGACAATACCAGAACCATTGATGCAATGGACTCTTCGATTTGTGCGACTTGAGGTGTGAGGTCTGGTATACCAAGAAATGCGGTTAACGCATACAACATTGCTGCGCGAACTTCGGATACAGCATCTAAAACGAGCTCACAGAGCCTTTGGTGCGCGAGACAGCGAATGCCAGCCCATTTGGCCTCGGGAAAGCCGACCCAGAGTTTGGCAAGGCATAAGCATGACCATTGTCGAATTAGTGGATTATGAACGTCAGCCATGTGTGTAATACAGTTTTCGATCAGCTCAGGACTAAGTGAAACCGTCTGTCCTTGGTGATAGTCTTTGCAAAACATTGCAATGATGAATGCACACATGGCTCTATGTTCAACCTGATTCACCACAGGCAGCGCTACCCGCGAGTTAGCATCATCGATGACTTATACTTTTCCCGAGTACTTACCAGACGAGGGATGGAGAATACTGATAAAGTACTGATATCCGTTGTCCTTCAGTAAGTCCGCCTGACAGGATTGATCAACCGCCAAGATACGTGCCCATATGAAGACCATGACAGGTTTCAATTCTATAGCCTGAGATTGCAGCAATTTCAAGACATAGGGGAAAATGCCAATGCTGAGGGCGAGCAGCACTGCCCATGGACCTTGGTCCAAGAATCTCGAGAGTAGGACCAATGCACGCAATCGATGAACCTGACTCAGTAGAACCTGCAAGACAATCGGGAGTTGTTCTGGCACCTTGCCTTCCTGTGCATCTCGGTCAAGATATACCTGAAATGCAGTGAGTTGTTCAGCGAAGAAATTTGAATGCTGATACTCGTATGCCTTTTCGCCATTGTTCTTCGCCAAAAGATCAGGCAGTTGCGCTAGAATCATCTCCACAGCAAGATCCCAGCTGCGCCATAAAGGATGGTCGTGGGTTTGAGGAATCTCAGGATGGCACACGGGATGGCAGTGATATACCCGCATGATACGCTGTGCGAGGAGGAAGTTTCGAAAAAGGGCGGCCACCATCAAGTCTTGACGAAAAAGCTTTTTGAATAAGGGCTTCGACAGTGAGTTCCAGGCAATGGTATCAGTTATGGCGGTAAAAATCCAGTTCAGTTCTCCGATTGGTGTCCTTCGTTCCGAAGCACGGCCCAGTTTCTCTGCAGAATGGGAGAAGTATTGAGCATCAGCTAACGTGATGCCTGAAGGTAACGGATTTTGCAATATGAAGAATCGAACAGCCATCTCTATTGGAGTGGTCAAACAAGCCGTAAAGACATCGGCAGGAAGGTCAGGGTTGACAGGCAATGTTTCCCTTTCCCTACACGCTGCAAGATGTATGCAGTCGCTGAAATCGACCGATTCGATGTTGGGATCTCTGCGGCGTGCTTCAAGGTTCTCGCTCTCATGTTTTTCGGCGAAACGATTAAAATTCGAGATAATGGTACCAGCATCTGAGCAGTCGTACACGAAGAGACTAGGTGCGCCAATCCATGTCTGAAGATCATACAAAGAGATGGGGATATATTGCGTGTAATTTCGATTGAAGACCCAAATCTCGCCTGAGGATGTAGGTCGGGGCACACCGTGTCCATTGTAGTGGAACAGGACGCGCTCGTTTCTCGCATTCCTCCGAAGGGTCTGACAATATCTTCTAGTTTCGTCGACGGTCGGGTCTAGACATAGCTTGTAACGCGTGCGCATGCTGAGTTGTTCATATTGTTGTTGGAGGTCTTTACCGATCTGGTTCATGGGAGTGTGTCCGGAGGCGCCACTTGACGCAGTAGGGTCAATCCAGCATTCTAACTTCGCGCAAGGATTCGTCTTGATAACGTCTGGCGGATCGACACCGATGTTAAGGCAGAGTGCCAAAACTGCAGACACGGTCTTCAACCTGTCCTTCGTGCGCCATTCTTGTAATGGGTATGATTCGTCGTATTCTTTAGGGTGACCGCCGGTCTCGTGCTTCTTGTCGGTAAAGTACATGAAAAACGTCTGTGTTTGAGGGTCAGCAGCCTGCCGCTAAAGAGACCAAAGCAAGTAAAAGCTCCACATACAGAGTTGAGTATGGTGTTATATTCCTCAGAAGTCAGTTGCGACTCAAAGCCATGCCTGATCTTGAAGTCTCCTTCCGCGCTACTCTTTGACTCATCGTCATGATTTTCTGTAGCATCCTCTCTCCGAGGTCCGAAATCACTCTTTGCTCGCAGCATTTGCGGTCTTTCCGCCCGTCCGTCTCGACGCATATTCGAACCACCATTGGTCATCCGCGAGGACGACGTTCGCGAATCTGAGTTTGCATGCGGACTTGACGAGCTGTACGGCTGCTGATCGTATTCGTCCGGTGTTGAAGGTGTTTCGAGCTCCAGTATTTGCGAAGCATGCTTTGGTCGCATCGCCATCTTGAATATTGTCACGCTTCACGCGACTATATTTTTGAGGGAGGCTTTCGCGGAGCGCCCATGGCGAAAGGAAGACGATTCTTACAAGGTGTTTAAAGCCGGCTGAGAGGCGTGACCAGGGGAAAATTGCGAACTGCGACGTGAACTTTGACGTTGAAGGTGAAAACGCATGCCCAGTCTTAAAGTACGTAGGTACTTGGGCCAGCTGCTAGTCTTGACCCCGGGTGCATGGTTAGCGCGCGGCACTAATATTACACATGTAAACAGATTTGGATTCATCATCTATCCGATGAGGCCTCAGGCTGCCGTTCTGGAATGCTATCAATTTATTATTCACTTGACCGCTTCTTCTTTGTTTCGTCCTCCACAACCCTCAACGGAAGGAATAGTCTAGTGGCATACAACAACAATTCTCGCCTTCACTGCACTTCTGACATTCGCTCAACACCTTGAAATTCGACTTCATGCTTACTCAACAGTGTTGTGACTCATTTGCTTATAATCTTCTGCTTTGCGCAGAAGCCTGAACATAGCACGGCGGTTCGAGATATTCGCATATTTGATTCTTATCCCGAAACAAGAGAGCTGTTGGTGCCAGGACGTCTATCCATGGATATGTCGGCTAGCTTTGACCAACAATGGTATAAGTATAGGATACAATGCCAATCATTACTTAGGCAGTACGCTTCGCTACGAGCAAAATCGGTAGGATAGACACCGTATGAGAAGTGGCTTTTCTCGAATTTTACATTCCTGGAAGTGAACTATCTATGTGCCATCTTCATCAGCCCACTGACTTGATCGACCACCTCTACGACGGCCCTCCTGCTCCTTCAGGCGTGTGCAATGTGTGCATCCTTAGGATTTAGATCTACGAGCTCTAGGTGGTGGTGCACATGAGATTCAATATTGAGGTTGTTGTGCATGCGCCTAGCAGCAGGCTCTAGAGAATTTGCATCGTGGATCGAGAACGATTCGCCATCTATCATATGACTTAGGATAGACCAACATCTGGACTCTTACAGACCGTATACTGAGAAAGAGCCTATACTAGAATATATGAAGAATGCTAGATATAGGCTCTGCAATGTAGTAGGTTTCGTGGGGAGATATAATTGATCGGATGCAGGGATGGGTTTCCGTAATTTCGCATCCTTCGCGTCGCTCAACCCCACGAAATCCATTCATATGAAGGCTTGTTGAGGTGTATTGGATTGATGTGACACTAGAAAAACATGCAGAGCGAATTACGGAACGAGGAGCGCATCCATGTACTTGGTTCGTTCAGCCCAAGTTGCTCCATTGGCAGTCTTGTCAATGCAGGCTATACTGCGAGCGACGGTCAGCAAAATACAGACAACAAATGGCAAGCGACTAATAGCTTGTTCTTCCGAACTACATTCTATTATGCTCCAATGGATATAAGGGATTCTGGGACAGGTCAAGGTTTGGCCCAGTAGTTGGCGCAGGTTCTTGGGATACTGATACTATGTACATGCCCACAGTATCCACCCGCAGGTTCAGGGTGCAGCTGCCCAGACATTATTAACGTTAGAACAAAGCTCAGGTCAGGGGAAAGCATGACAGGTACCACACAACGACGCAGCCGCCACAAGAAAATTGGGTATGTCGTCATGCTGCTACCAAGATACCTATACACCGAGTTTTATACAATTGGAAACTCTCTACAACCATGTAGAAAGACATTGTAAAATATAGCTCTTGAGATATTACAGCAACGGCAATTTATGGCGCAAAGTCCATCGCGCGCCCCCTGGACCAGGGTTATTTGTCTAATCCGGCTTAGCGTCATTTTGCCCTGGAGTCGCTCTCGAACGAAACCAGCCTCCCCAAAGAATAATTTCTATGCATCTCACCTACGAGGCCGCCAGCAACAGTATCACGTCCGGTTTCTTTTACTGTCTCATTCCCGTCCGCCGCATCTCGTCGGGATCCCTTGATTACCTCGTGGCGTATGTGCCTGACCTGCCCCGGTTGCGCAAGCCTCATACCTCCTCCCGTTCCTCAAGTCCGCTCCTACGATACCAAAGACCCACCCTCATACGCCTCGAAACATCAATCCAGTGATCTCTTCTACCGACACTTCGTCCGGATGCTCTCTTGACCCTCACAAAGACATTATCTCCAGCGATTGTACCTCCTGCTGACGAGGCGCGCCGCCGGTCATGTCTTTCCTTTTCGGCAAATCGAAGAAGAACCAGAATAGCGCCCTGCCTGCGGCGACGAGAGACTTGGGCTCCTCTCATGGTCAAAATTCCTCTATACCCGTCGCCAATGGGGGCTTAGTCGGTCCTCGTAATGTTGACAATGGAAGAAATACCCCCACCCAAGGCGCAAGTGTGAACAACTCCCAGAACTCGCTGTCAGGAAGCATGCAAAGTCAACTTCAGGGCCAAGAACCAAAGTCCCTGGCGGTGCGACCAGATGGTGAATCACAGGTATGTTGAGTGTTTCTAGAGGTAACGTTTTCCCAGAGCGCATTGTTAACACGTAGTTTGCAGCAACTCGTACGTGGCGCGCAAGGTCCTCAAAGACCTCCTGGCGATTCGCCATACCCATGGTCTCAGCGAAGGATCAATTTCTCTGCCAATGCCAATCCCTTTCCCCGGTATGGGCCTGCCGTCAACTCGTCTGCTTCTAAAGACGGTATCGTATATCTTATGGGAGGTCTTGTGAACGGCACCACAGTCAAGGGTGACCTCTGGATGTGCGAGGCGGGAAACGCAAATATGCCATGTTATCCTGTCCCTGCGACGGGCGATGGTCCCGGGCCCAGAGTAGGACATTCAAGTCTACTAGTTGGTAACGCTTTCATTGTCTTCGGAGGAGACACGAAGATGGACGAAGGTGACCAACTCGACGACAATTTGTACCTCCTCAACACATGTGAGTAGCGACCAGCTTCGGTCCTGCCATTGTCATGAGCTTACTGAGAGTAGCAACGAAACATTGGTCCAAAGCGGTGCCCTCTGGTAATCGCCCCACTGGACGATACGGACATACATTAAATCTGCTCGGGTCCAGGATCTTCATCTTTGGTGGTCAGGTCGAAGGGTTTTTCTTCAACGACTTGGTAGCCTTCGATCTCAACGCTCTTCAGTCGACAAACAGTACGTGGGAGACTCTGATCCCCAACAGTGGCGACGAGCCATTACCACAAGGACTCTCACCGCCTGCCCGGACAAATCATACCATCATAACATATAATGATAAACTCTATCTGTAAGCCCTATGTTCTTCCGATGATGACTGTTCAATGCGACTGACGAAATGATTGCTAGATTCGGCGGGACCGATGGCAACACATGGTTCAACGACGTTTGGACTTACGACCCACGAGTAAATGCTTGGACAGAACTCGATTGTATTGGCTACATTCCTACACCTCGAGAAGGCCATGCCGCGGCCTTGGTAAATGATACAATGTACGTTTTTGGTGGTCGTACGAAAGACGGGAACGATTTGGGAGATTTGGCCGCTTTCCGCATCCCGTCGCGCAGGTGGTATATGTTTCAAAACATGGGGCCTGCGCCGTCACCACGATCAGGGCATAGTATGACTGCTTTCGGAAGGCATATCGTTGTTCTCGCTGGCGAACCCAGCTCATCACCAAGCAATCGAGAGGAACTAAGCTGTTCCTACGTCCTGGACACTTCTAAAATCCGTTACCCGGCAAGTGATACTGTCGCTCCTCAAACAGGACCTCCAGTAGCTGCACCACCTACTCTAAATGACTCCAGAATTCAGGCACCTAATGGTCGTAAGATAAGCAACGAGAAAAGTGTGGTTCTGCAAGGGCAAGGCAGCGTAGCAGCGGCCCGACAAAGTGTTATTGGTGGGCCAAGGAATACGGAGCCTCAGTCGAGTGGCATTCCGGCTCCTGCAGGCTCAAGATTGCCACGCGCAGCAGGTAACCAAGCCCCCCCTGGACCGCCTCCGCAACAGCAACCGCCGCAGCCTAGAGCAAATGGGACTGCCGTGAGCTACAACGCTCGCAGTAGGACTCCAACAAAAGACAGTAGAGGCTATGGACCTGGCGTGGAAAACTTGAAAGAGATTGATCGTCTAGATAATGCATCGCCTACGCTTAAAAGTAGCCCGGTTACAGGCTTCGTAGAGTCGTCCGGCTCCAGAAGAGACCAAAGTCCAAGCGGTCAGTCCAAGATGCACAGCCAGTCTGCCAAAGCTTCTATGGATACAACGCGCTCAGGCAGTCTTTCCTCGCGGAGCGGATCACGAGCACAACGACAACAGTATTCCATTGATAGCGTAGAGCAGGGTACACCACGACCATCTGCAGATCAGGTCAGAGGACTCAGTCGGGAGGCAGAAAGACCGATAGATAGCGGCGTTGGATCGTCTCCAGCGCTCTTCCAACAGCAAAATGATGACTTGATCAAGGAACTTGATGCTGCTCGCAGCAAGAATGCCTGGTTTGCTTCCGAGCTTGCTCTAGCTCGGAAAGCCGGATACAATGCGAATACGTCCAACAGCCCAGTCTTTGAAGAGAGATCTCCCGACACGTTCGGCGATGAAGATCGACCGCTTGTCGAGGCCCTATTACGCATGAAGGCAGAGCTTAAAAGAGTGCAAGAAACTATTGACGACCAAGCTAGATCGGCTGCAGGTAAGATTGCAGAGGTCGAAAAGCAGCGCGACGCGGCAGTCAATGAAGCAGTCTACGCAAAGGCAAAGTTGGCCGCACACGGCGGTGGAAGTCAAGCAGGTACACCCCAACCTGACGGTGGTAGAGGAGTGAATACGCCTGACATAGATCGTGTCCACGACATAAGCCGAAAATTAGCAAACTCGCTCGCTTTTCAGACAGAGCTGTCAAACAAGATTGAAGCCTTGACTACAGAAGTCGAGGCCGAACGCAGAGCTAAACAGCTAGCCGAAGAGACTGCCGAAGCAGCGCAAACACGTGTTTCTGAGCTTGACACGTACAGACAGCGCAATGCTTCAGAAGTTGAGTCTCTTCGTGCGGAGCTGCATGAAGTTCAGCGCGCGGCAAGGGAAGAGGCTGCTAATGCAGCTGAAGCCAAAGCCACCGCTAGACTCCTGACGGTTGACAAGCAAGAGATTGAGACGAAGCTTACGAGGGCTGTGGGTGATACACACAACCATTCATCGCTGTTACAGTCACTTCGAGATGCGGTAGCAGCCTCATCTGACAGAGCCTCCATGTTTGAACGCAAATTCGAGGAGGAACGACAGCAGCGAGTGGTCATCGAGCAAAAGTTCGCGCAGATTAGATCAGAGCAAGAGAGCCAAATGAGAGAACTGGATTCTACCACTGCTCGTCTGCGCGATGCTGAAGAACTGGCCCAAAAGCATGCTGCGGAGGCCGAGACGCACCGATCAGCAGTCCTAATAGGTTTAGGAAAATCTATCGATATGGAAAACAACGACCAAGATGTCATCGATGAACGAGTTACTATATTACAGCAACAGGTGGAAGCTGCGAACATACTCGTACGGAACAACCAAAACGCGGCTGACGTTGCTTCTGATAAGTTGAGACGGGCGGAAGAGCGCATTGCTGGCCTCGAGGCCTATCAGGAACAGACAAGCCGTGAAAGCCTGACCATTCGGAAGCAGCTTCAAGTCACTATGAAAGAGTGCCAAAATGTCCAGAGAGATCGGGATGAGATGCTTCTAGGGTACGAAAAACAGCGACTGGAGAGCAACGCTCTCGAGATTCAGCTTAAAACGTTGAAGGGCCTTTTGGAGGAAAGGGGAATAAATCCAAGTGATGCGAGAAGATCTCGCGGCTTGGACAGCCCAAATTCCCGCTTTGGCACGCCAGAACTAGGACGCATGCGCGAACTCGAACAGCAACTCGATGCATCACTCAAGGCTCATGACGAGATGCGTTCAACTTTTGAGCAACAGCAGAGCGCAGTGAACAAGGAATGGGAAGATAGAGTGTCTGCGCTGTCGAATGACCACCAAGCTGCAGTCAAATATTTACGTGGTACTGAGAAGATGCTAGCGAAGATGAAGCAGGAACTCGACCGTTACAAAGCAGCCAACACCAAGCTAGAGGAGCAACTCGTCGAGGTCCGCCAAAAGAGTGGCACTGCTTCTGCCACAGAATCCGCTGCATGGGAAGGCGAACGCGATGCCTTGCGGAGAGAAGTGTCCGCTCTACAAGACTCACTCAAACAGAATGTCGGCGACCTAGAGACACGTTTGTCAACAGTGCAAAACGAGTTGCAAGAAGCTAGGAAGGCTCGTGATGCCGCCACGGCACAAATGTCGTCTCTCGAGGCCTTTACTGCTCAATCAAAAATCGATCTTGAGAACTTGCGCCGCGATAATGCTCTCTTGGACGAACGGGCGAAGGACGCCGAGTCGCGCGTTCAGCGTTTCCTCGATCAATTCGAGAATTCGGTTGACAACTACCGTCGACAATCAACGCTCCCACCTGGAGCTGCCAATGGCATGCGCCAACATAATCCCCACGACAGCATCGCAGGCGAGAGTCTATACAGTAACGATGATGCACACAGTGAAGGCACGGCAACAGCGGAGCACGCCGCGGACCGGAACTCTTTAGCTCTAGACAGTCTCGCCACAGAATTGGACGCATTACGGTCGCAATGGGAGACAACAAACAAGAATTACCGCCTGAGCGATCGCTTCGACTTTGAACGAACCCCAACAACTGAGAAAGACTTCAGCGAAAGTCTCGGTGGGTGGAACAAAGGTTTAGCTCACGGTGATGGCGAGTCGAAGGCGTCCATGTCGCAGGCGACAGGCCTGGGTCTCAAATCTACAAACATGATATAGTATTATCGAGGATGAGAGACCTTCACAAAAAGGGAAAAGTAGTTTGTGTTCAAGCTTTTAGCGTCCTACTCTCGTTTCCTCCCTCTTCTTTTCTTCGTCTGACAAAATTCGAGAGTGGCTGAAATAGCTAGCTTGTTTTTTGGCCCATGGGCTTTGTACCACGACCCTGGAATATATACTGCACTTTTGCCGATGTGCTGTTCACGATTGCTATTGTCTGAGTATATTCTGCTTGCGTTTCTTGCTCCTTATTTGATATCTTGGGGCGCGTCTTTTGGATGAGTGGGTGTTTCTATTTAGCTACTACCTTCTAGTGATGTTGTCGGTTGTCTGGAAGGCTTTGTGGGAGCGGCGTTGATAATGTGATGACCCAGGAGTTTTCTTATGCAGCTAACGAGAGGACTGAATGGCTTGAGCTTTTTTTGGTGTGTTTGTGTGTGTGTGTGTGTGTGTGTGTGTGTGTGTGTGTGTGTGTGTGTGTGTGTGTGTGTGTGTGTGTGTGTG